GAGATTACAGCAAAATATGACATAAAACCATTTATCCAAGTGCAGTTTTTGGAGGCAAAAATTAGGCACTTTATCCCATTCTCAAAGTTTCACCGATGCCAAAACACTTCTATCGACCATAACTATAGCCTAACTTACCCGAGTCTGATACTAAGCAGAGGCTTTGCAGCTATTGAACTCTCAATAGATGGCCTGGAATTCACGGATGAAACCCCACAGCGCGACAATCCAAAGTAGGTCCATATTTTCCACGACATACGCTATCAGAATATCAAACAAAGGGGCACATAATACCAACCCAGACGATAAGCGATCTGTTGTTGATCGGCGAAGTGAGATTGAAGGACAGCAATTCCAACATACAACAATGCAGGCCTACGTTCCAAAGTGGCATGTGCAGACTAAGCAGCAACAGGCGGTAAGCAACAAGCAGTAAGAAGCAAGCGGTAAGAAGCAAGCGACCATTTTCAAACATCTAGGGCAGAGCAACAAGCCCAAAATGTTGCATATTTGCGGACGTGCGTGCTACTCGGCGACGGCAGTTCCGGGTGGCAAAGTATTATTGACCCTGAAAGTAGCAAAAGGTGGAACATATCCCAACCTATAGGACCATCCAGCCGGTTGTATTCAGCACCGAGACGCTGGGAAAACAGGTTGAACCCGGCCCCAAGGTATCGGATGCTGTTAGCACGATACCACGCGAACTGTCCATCGGTGAACAAACATACCATGTAATGGTAGCATCGTAGCAACAGAATGTTGGCACGGAGACTTGCCGCTGGGCATTTTGGGGTTCTTTGTTGGCTTCTGGCCCGATGGTTGGGATGAAAGGCTTACTCGATTGTTGGTGGTGGAGCGGGAACAAGAATGATAGGAAGTAGCTGAAATTCATAACATTTCCAACGACGTTCCCGAGCGGGGAAATCTTGTCCACGTGCGTTGGTAAGGAAAAGAGCTTAATTGGACATCCCGTGTAGGGAAGCCATGGAAATGTTGTTATCCTGCTTGTTGGAATTATTGACGTAAAAACCCGGGTGCAGGCAAAGCGCGCGGCAGACTTGTTAGCATTTGTTCTGAAACACTCATAGAAAAGTTATTGATTTGGGATAGCTAGCGAGCAGTTTTAATCCGAATCTCGTTTGATAAGCTACTAGCTAACGAGAAAATATAAAAAGTTATTGTGCGGGTCGTGCAAAAGATAGAATGCTCGAACGAGGGAGTGAATAAAGGGAATACTCGGGTAATGCAAACTGAGACAGGAGAGGATGACAACACAAATAGTCTTGGGCAGGTTCAGTAGGGCAGAATAGAAGGGCAACCCTTGTTGGAATTCTGCCTTGAACATTAATAGATGGGTATCCCGAGTTGGCATGTTTGATGTCTCGGTGATGCCGATAGAACAACGCCACACCATGCCGATTTCTGTCAAGATTCGAAGTCAACGTCATGATAGGGTGGTTAAAGGGCTGGTGGACCATATTCCTTTTCCCCACAATACTTGGTTGCTTTCTAATACCCAAGGCAGCGGAACGCAGAGCGATTGTTTGCATTTCGGATAGTTTTCCCATTGGCAACTATTTTAAGTTTACCAAGGCTCTGCCACTTCCAACTGAGGAGATTCCACCGACCAATACTTTGGACCTATTCACGCCACTGGGAAGCTTCACCGACACCGAGCGTAATCCTATCCGAAGAAAAAACTGACTAACATCAGAGGAAAACCAATTAAAGCAGGACGTCAGATTGAGGTTAAAATTGACCTTGTCCAATCTATTTCTCGGACATGCTCCTCTTAAAAGTTGGAATGCCGCCAGCCACTTGACAAGCTGAACTGGCTTCAGTATTTAGTATTTCGCAATTCCCCAATGAGCTTTGGAGAAACACCAACTGAAGCCCAACTCCAGGCTGACCATCCCCGGAACACCACCACCAACACGCCAACTGCCTCACCGTGCAGGATCCAGACCACACACTTAAAGTTATGGTAGCGCTAGAGGAGTGGGGATCCCAGCAGACCTTGCACCGGAACTCAATCTACGCCCACACGTGGTGGAGTGCAACGCACTGGCGTATGCAAGCCATCTTAGACATCTTGCAAAAATAGATTGTGTGGGGGGGGCTTCTAGATATATGAGAAACCTTCCATGGCCCTTGACGCTTGGTGCGGGGGATAAATCACTTCGAATCAGCCCTCCCGCTCTTGGTAGTATTCGTTGGTGATGACGTGGAAGCTCCAGGGGAAAGCGAATCGCCAGAAGGTGTGATGAGATTTAACTGCCACGCCGCTGGTATAAGATCAAAGGTAACACCTCATCACCGGCCTATACATAGCATTGTCTAGGGTTCCGCACTCAACGTTAACCAAGTAATAGAGGTTGCTGCAAACGAACATACATAGGCGCCGCTATTTACAGCCTTCTTCCGTCTTTGGGGACCCTTGCCTTGGTCATTCATCTGCGGAAGGACAAAGTACCCGAGAACTCGTCGCTTCAATGGATAAACTTCAAGCGCCGTCCAACTGCATGAGCGCTTATAGGTTCCTCTGTCCGAGGCCTATCAGCCTCATGACGTCTCCGTCACGTTAAGCCCCTGGATAAGATGATCTTGCAGAGGAGATTCCCATCGACGGGGTCGACTAGGGAGAGGGCGGCCCACGACCGTTCATCCCTTCACTGAGGCGCTGAGATATTCTCCGAATAGTCGGGTATGCAGGGGAAACTATGGCCGGCGAGACGCCTTGTAGGCCATCTTGTGCAGATAATTGGAGCCGCAACGCAGGTACGAAAGTTAATTCAACCTTAACGCCACGCCCTGTGCTCGGATGAGGGCTTTCGTTGGACCAGATGCAGGTCTAACGTTGGAGAGCGCATATATGGTGTAGTGAAACACCGTCTGAATGGAGAAAATATCTATACTTGGACGTAGGCGTTATCAGATGGTGAGCGTTTAAAAATAAAGGGGGGAGCTTAGTCGGCGCTTATCCACAGCGGCAACGGAAACATTGCCATCGACTGGCCACAATCGATCTATATTTCACCGGGGTCTATCTTGGTTGGCTGAACTAATTAACAAATGTAGCTATATTTGTATCTCAAACTGCGGTATGCAGCAAGGTAGACACCTACTGAAGCTGTTAATACAAAGGTACAGAAGCTAGGTCTGTCGTTGACGATTGGGAGTGTCACGTGACACAGGATACATCATTTACCGCTAGGTGCTGGGGAAGCTATAAATAAATAAATCTCCGTCTCAGACGGCGGCAATTCTGCCTCCCTTCCCCGCGGGTCTCCCGATTCCCGCAGGTTTCCTTCTGTTAGTGGGCAATCTTAAGTATAATACACACGGGGTATAGGGCATGGCGGCTAAAGCTACGACGGGCTCACAAGACCATAAAAATATCAAGCCACTTGGGCACGGCAGCATGCACCTAGCAGTGGATGCTGCGGTGAAGTAGTAACAATAAACTTGTCCAAGTCGTGGCCGTCAAATGGCTGCTAGGGGATGGTAAGAGTACTCCGAACAGCGGCCTTGAGGGGGATCGAGAAAGAACATGTACAGAAGAATATCACTTGCTATTCTGGTGGGTATCATCCGTACCGTGGCCATGTGGGGTGTCGAGCATAACAATGCCCCAGTAATATTGTCCTCTGCGGTTGCACAGGTTTCGGGCACAACTAACAACATAATTTGCTGGCGAACGGTCCGCCAGACGGCCACCCGGCCGGGCCTCTCGGCCGCACTGCATATCGCCAATCAGACCGCGCGGGCGTGGGGAGGCATCGTCGTCTCACTTGGGCCGGCACGCCGTCAAGCCGCGCTTAAGAATCTAATCTAGTCGCATAGCAAAGTCTCTCATGGAATGCTGTGAATCGCGAGTTTCAAGGTGTGGGCTGCAAGGCAACCCAACAGCAAAACGGGCCTTTTCAGAGTAGTCGTTGGCATCAGGTCAGGACATCACAATTACCACCGCCCTGCCTAGAGTCCAGGAATCCTCAACGCTGACTCTAGGGCCCCGAACCTAGAACCTAGACAGGAGACCCGACAACTTGCCTGTAACAGATGTTGCTAGAGAAGAGAGAGATCCAACGATCAGTCAAGGATACACAATTGTCGATCATGGGCGCCATGGCATCTGCCGGCTGTATTGCGATTCGTTCTGCCCTCTGTTCCCGGTAGCGTTGGTCCGCTGTGACTGATGTGATTTATTTGCGTTTCAAAACAGATGTTTGGACAGCAAGTACGAAGTACCACAGCTGCGACCCGCCTGCTCAAGCCCAGTCTCATTTGTCATGTCGTTTGTGCCTTGAGTGAGCGTGTCTTGATGAGCCACGCCCTCCGAGTGGGCGGATAATGGAGAGTTCCGCAACCCCCCCTCCTTCCATCATGATTCGTGAGTGACCCTCGGCCCTCGCCCTGTCTCTGCGTGCGCTTCAAGAAGACGCTGCTCGGCAAAGGCTAGATTATATTTGACGCTGTAAGCGGGTTAAGACTGGTTAACGGTCGCTGTCCACGCAGCGGCGGACCTGGCAATGGCGCACTCAATTCCCACACCATGGCGATCAGCTTTTCTATGCAGCTCTATTTATCGACTCCAACCCCCCATGCTGCTGCCAACATTTGCACCCAGATCTCGTCACCACTTTGGTGATATGCCAAGCATATTATGCTTAGCGATCCTTACGAGTCTATTCTTGTCACACTGATCCCTGTTTCTGATCCCTTCGGAATATTGTTTCATGGAGACGCGGCGGGGCTCCGTGACTGCAAGGGGAGGCGGGGGGAAGGGGAAGAGAGAACAGGAAATCCATCCCACATCATCTTGCGGGCATCGACTCGGATTGCATATCAGAGTCATCTTCATGCGCCCCGAACACAAACCCCGGCAGGGATTGGGGCGGTAGGACGGTAAGAGGCTTGAGTTGTACGAGGAGAGAATAGTAGCGGTCCTCGTGCCGCGGTTGACCTGATGCCCAAATTTGCGCGCTGTGATAGATATTACCCTAGGTGACGGCGATTAAACCAATGGAAGTCTCAGCCTGATCGTTTCCGAGGCGGTGACCGGTGGCTGGGGACAGACGAGGAAAGCATACAGCTTCTGGGCTCCTGACAGCAGCACTAAACTCGGACGGATCTGAGATCGTGTTGGGGACATCGGCGGCCGCGATACGGTAGTTCGTACTATGTACTCTGTACTCTGTACTCTGTCCACCTGAGTCGAGTTCGAGTCCTGAGCCGAGGGGGGGCAGAACGGGCGTGTGCACTGCAATCTGGTGAAGGCTGGTTTTTGACTCTCGAGACAATTGCAGCCTTGCCTAATCGAGATACCCGCCGACGCAGCGGCAACCAATGGTGCGGCAGAGCAGGGATGGGGACGCTGTCGCGGTAGTACGCCAGAGTGTGATGCAGCGTCCAACGGCAGCGGCCAACAGCCAGAAGAAGCCAGCAACCAGCCGCTCAGCTGCTCGGAGAGGTTGGGCGACGTCTGGACGCTGGAGGCATTGGACTGGCGGAGTGGAGGCACAGGTACAGGCTCTGGCATTATTGGCATTGGCGTTGGCATTAGCATTAGCATCAGCATTTGGCCTTAGTAGCACACGATGGTGAGCACCACTGGCGGCTTCTGTGTGGTGTTCCGACTGTTGAACACTACCTCCAGAGTCTAGTGTCTCTGATAAGCACGCAGGTACTGGAGTCGATGTTCCCTTCCGTAACCATCCATAGACAGTTGGCATGGCATGTACCGTCCATGTAGGTGCTCCGTAGGGAGCATCAGCGTCGCCTCTGGCCTGCAGCCCTGATCTGCCGGCGCGCGTCCGCCTGGGCTCACTGCTGCTAGGTACTCTGGGGGAGGGGGCTTTTCCCATCTTTTCCGACCAGAGCATGGAAACTTGTCATATTGGCACGTAGGTATGTGGGTAGTGTGAGCAGTATGTACCTCATCCATCTCACGGCGCCGCTTTTGCTGCTGATCCCCTTCCTTGCCTGCCTGCCGCTGCTTCAGGTGCTGCCGCTACCGCAACCGCACAGCGCTCCCGCAGCCTCCGTGCCCCAAGATGAGGCCAAGGCACTCAAGTCACTCGCCCCAGCCAGCATCTGGGAGGTCCTGGGCTGCTGGTGTGATGGGGGACGCTACGCAGTATCACCATCACCACCACCTCCTCCGCCTCCGTCTCCCGTACGTCGTAGTTGAGCGCTGTCGTCCAATTGATGCCACCCAGCGCCTGACGGACGAGGGCGCGAGGGGATAGGATAGGATAGGATGGGGAGAGGATGCTTCGTACTTCGTAGGGATCAAGCTCTTGTCTCCGTGGGCCGGGGCCGCGATTAAATAAAGCAGGCGAGCGAGCGGCTGACGCAGGAGACGGTCGACTGTCTGTCGAAGGCCCCGCCACTTGTCCGCCAGCTGAAGCCAGCGCCTCAACCTTGAGGGGGCTTCTTAGCGACGTGTGGTCCCGCAATAGGCGCGCGATATCCTTCCCACGGGTTCGCCTGAGCAGCCACCAGGCCCCATGACGAAGTCCCAGGCAGGGCCAGCGTCAATATATTGGCAGTGGACGCCCCAACGGCCGAGCTATTCTTTGCGTCGTCGGTTACCAAGCAGCTGGGACATTTATTGTTGTTTTTGCCCTTCTGTTGCGTTGAATCTATTTTCTCCTCTCCCCCCTAGGACACAACACGAACCCGACCCTCATCTAGAGTGTTACGTGCATTCGAGCACCATTCGTCCCTGTTCATCCAGCGCCCCGGAACTGACCCGACTTGGAATTGACCAGTGAAACCCCTTCGCCAGTGTTGTCTGAACCTGAACGGCGCCGACGAGCAACGCGAGAGGTAGGATAGCGATAGAAAAGAAAACAGCGCCCCCCGGGGATGAGATTCGTTTCGATCGGTTTCACTTCCTCTATCTAAATATACCGCGGCTGAGCCACGTGAACGACTGAAGTTGCGCCCTCATCGATTGCACCGTTACTGTCCGATTAGAGACTTTGCTGAACTGATCTTCTGTATCGCGCTTGTCAAGTTGAAGGGAGGAGAGAGAAGAGAGAAGAGAGAAGAAGGGGGGAATTGAACAGAATCGGAATCTTTCTCAACTCGAGGTTATCGCAGCGACATCAATCCGGGGAGCGGAGAAGCGAGAGACAGCCAGAACGCATCGCCAGTACTTGGACCGTGAAAGTTTGGAAGCGGAAATCTGGACCTGGAGAAAGAACCCGAGAACAGCCGCGTAGGGAATCGCATTGTTGAAGGGGCCGCAGTCGCATTATTGTCGGGAATCTGAATCTAGGAGGTCAACAGTTGGTCGGAGGATACGAAGGAAGGAAGTTAGGCGAGCACATCGATTTCGCAACCAAAGTCCAACACTTCACCAACACCAATATCTAGCGACCCAATTTGTTGAGGCACGGGCACTCCGACCGATAGTTCATGAAGGGAAGAGAAGCGTTTTACTAGAAAGTGTTTCTTGCAGTTTACTTAGAAAGCCTTCGCCTTGCGCATTGTCGGTACCAGGACGCAATCACTATCACGATCATTTCTTAATCAACCACCACCACCATCACCTGATCTCGCCTGAGCTCGATATCAATCTTTTTACCTACGCTTCAAGCAAAAAGCATAGGAAATCTGGCCGAAGCACGAGTTCTCGTTCAATTGGATATTCCGCAATCGCGCCTAGGAGCGAATTCGTCATTGTTGAGATTGCCCAACGAGACGGCAACCCAGACCCAGCAAAGCCCCCCCGTGCGCCAGGACCTCGTGAGTCTGGCGAGGGAGATCTTGGGCAAATCGAAATCGACTGGAAAGACATTTAGGCCATCTTCTATTGTTGAGATGTCGCCCACAGAAGACACCATCGTCGTTCAGACGGAGTCGCCCACATCGCGGTTTACGGCTGTTAATGGCAAGGAACAGCCCTCAAATGGCAACGGCAACGCCACCAGTGGAAATGAAGGCTCGAGAAAGGGATCGGACGAACGTTCTAATGGACAGCCACGCATCTCTCCTCCTGGACAAGGGAAGTTGACCATTTCAACGAGTACCCAGAGAGGAGATTGGGCGTCGCCGAGTAACGGGGATCGAACTCCCTACCCATCAGGCGCCCCGTATTCTGATGCAGAGGTATCACACAAGCGCAAGAGATCGCGTTCGATAGACCAAACCTCGTCATCCGCAAATTCTTACCATGGTCACGCTTTACCGTCATCGACCAAGCAGACCCCTACAACCGCAACCACCGAGTCCGATATTCATCGAGAGGACAAGCTCCGACCACAGTCACAGTCGGGTCCTCGCGACTCTTATGGCCCAGAGACGCCGTATAGGCACTTGGGCGCGGAAGAAAGTAGGGATCCTAGCCAACCAAGCGAACCGTGGCATGCACGCTACTCTCAGCAAAGCCAAATTACTTCCGATGAGCAACATCTATCTGACGTCCTCCGGAGAGCCTCGCAAAGTATGGATGCTCAGCAACGTGAATATGAATCTGGTAGCCCTGGTGATGACGAGAGGTCGGCCAACCCCTACACTGGCTACGGAAATGACCGAAGAGAGATGTCGGTGCAATCGGATCCAAAGAAGAGGAAGCGGAATTTTAGCAACCGGACCAAGACTGGTTGTATGACCTGCAGGAGGCGGAAGAAGAAGTGCGATGAGAATAAGCCCGAATGTAAGTGCCCAACAACCAACAATGTGGAGATGAGACTTGTACTAAAACGCAATACAGGCAATAATTGTCTCCGGGGAGGCTTCGTGTGCTCTGGATACCAGCAACGCGGTCAATGGCCAAAAAGCGAGCAGAAACAAGCGCCTATTCCCCTCCAGTCAAAGACCGAGTACGAGAATGCGGGATACCAATCATCGCCTTACGCCTCCCAACATTTGGGCCAACCCAGGAGGGAACCGTTGCCGGGTTATCGTGGACAAGGCCTCCGAGTTGACCCTCAACATGGCCGTCCTCATGTTATAGATGATGAGCAACCCAGTGCCTCTACCATTCCCAGTGCCTCCGTTGCAAGTCCTGAAAGTAGTCGACTATCAGCTATTTCATATTCCCAGCAGATGCCGACGCCAGTGACTGCAACAACTAGTGCATATCCAGACCGGCAACTTAAAAACGCATACGAGCGCGTAGGCCCTCTCCACGATCTCACCAGACAAGAGACAAGACAAGATACGGACGCGAGTACGCCACAGTCTGCATCTTCCACATTACCACAGATCCTCCATCCTCAAATGCATTCTGACAGCCCACACAACAACCCACAGGTTGCCGCCCAGCTGGCTCTGTCAAATCTTGCCTCCACAAATCGACAGAGGACCCAGAAGGAGGAGATGCTTGCCGGCCGGCACTACTTCCCTTTCGACAAAGAGCTCGTCCTCGAGCGCGAGCGTTGCAATGGTGCCTGCTGGCGCTTCAACAGCAGCACCAATCCCAACAACGGCGTCTCCCCCGAGGAACGTGCCCGCCTCTTCAGGGACATTCTACAGCCTCCTCAACATGTCATCTCCCCAACACAAGCCTCGCCCGTCACACCAGTCGGCCGAGTCGGCGATAATGTCGTCGTCGAGGCTCCCTTCAACTGTGATTATGGTTACAATATCACCATTGGCCAAGATGTGGCCATTGGGAAGAACTGCACGATCCTCGATACATGCGAGGTCACAATTGGCGACAGGTGTAACATTGGACCCAATGTTAACATTTACACTGCAACCCTACCTATTGATCCTAAGCGGAGATTGGGGTCTAGGGGACCAAGCCTAGGCCGGAAGATCATCATCGACGCTGATTGCTGGATTGGCGGTGGTGTAACAATTCTGCCTGGCCGAACGATCGGCAAGGGCAGCACGGTGGGAGCGGGATCCATTGTCACCAGGGTACGAAACTTAATCACCCCATCATCTACTGATGCAGAGACCATGCTGACTTAATAAATATAGGATGTCCCACCTTACACTGTTGTCTGTGGCAACCCAGCTCGTGTTATCAGAGGGCTCTATCCACCGCATGAAGGATGAGCGGGCCGTACTATTTCGAAACAGGGCTCTGAACTTCAATCTTATCGTTTATTGTTAACCAGGCAACGAGTTTCCTTTTTATACCCCGGATATGTCTGTCGTTTAGTTTTTGTGTGGTGATAATGCTCTATTCTCTGAGCTTATGTTCGCGCTGGTCTATCATGCTCCGCAATATCGTTGCATAGCGGTGGACTTTTGAATTCCATCTCCTCCATGGCGGCTACTTGTTTTTTTATTTGAATTTCTTTTTTGTCGTCTTGGGCTGCGTTGCGATCTCTTTTCTGTATTTTGGCATAGCGAGGGAAAAAGGACGCGTATGTGATTACGGCTGTCTTAGATGGATAAGGATGGGACGGGCTCTGGCAGCTCAGTATAACTTTGCTGCTTGATGGGAGATGTCTATGGGTTTATGTATGTATTTGTATGTCTATGAGCCCAAGGGAGGCCAAAAATATATGGGAGTTAAACTTTTTAAATCTTTGTTATCCACCGATTACCCTCTCAGATCTTAGTGATTTTATCATCCGAGTCCTTTCGCCAATTGCTCATGCTCTTTGTAACATATACATACATCTAACCCTCTTCCCTTCATCTTATTTCCTACCTCCTCCCATTCTCGATGGTGTAGTTTATACGTACATATATATCAAAGACCGCACCTTGTCCCTGAATCTCTGATATTTCATCCGATTGCTTCAACCAGCCATAAACATAAACCTTCCCTTGATATAGATAGTTTCACAATCTGCCCGAGATTTGTTGCACATCGTATTTGTCCTCAATGTCCCAACTTGTAGTAAGCTCTCAGAGGAACCTTTCCTAACAATATATAATTCACTACTGCATTCTCACCCGCTCTAGATGTGGCGGTGAATATGCAAAATTACTTGATTATAAGTAGAAACCGGGCCCTATTGTAAGATTACCATATTCTATACGCCTCTTACATTGCTTGTAGAGGTTAGGCTATCAACCAAGGTATTCCCCCATCCTAGGTTCTATATAGTCTTGGAACTGATTTATTAAGCATCATCCAAATTCATATTCCTCCATAGTCCAGAACGACCTAAGGGAGTATTCTTATTATTATATTTCACAACCAATCATGGACGTAGAGGCCAGAGTTTGACGGATGGAGATACACACTCATAGACACAGCCCACAGCGAATAGGAATCATGTTCACGTTGAATTAATTAAGCTATTGCAGCAACTGCAAGTTTGCAAACCCCCCATTTACTTCTTCTGCCGCTTGGTATTCTTATCACTGGCAGCACTAAGCACACTTGCACTCCTCTTATGCGCGCCACCGCCCTTAATACTGGCAGCAACACTCTTCTCTCTCTCCTCCTGCTTCACCTCCGAGCCCTCCGCCTCACCGGTGCCATTCACCGCGGCATCAGCATCCCCATCTGCAGGTTCACCACGCGCAAGCCTCGCGGCCTTCTCCTTCTCGGCCTTCTGCGCCTTGGCAACAGCAACCTCACCAGCGAGCTTATCTGCTACTTTGCGTGCCTCGAGAAGAACATTAATGCTCTGCAACACCGACTCGTAAGCCTCACCAACTTCGGCAGTGGGCATAATGAGTCTTTGCGGGACCTCCAGTTCAGTGAGGACATTAGAGATTTTGGTTTGCTGAACGGCGGATTTGCTGATGAGCGGCTTGCTAATCCTCTCGAGACGGAACGCTGGGCCGCTGGTGAGACGCTCATGTCGAGACACGCCATAAATTCTCTCTTCCTCCTCGGTAAGTTGACGACGCTCGCTGGGACCTTGTGCACCCTTCTTGCCCGGGGCGCCACTGGGTCCAGTGGTCGATTCCCGAACAGAACTTTCGCGGCGGTCGGCGTTGGCGTTTTGGGCTTGTCCACTGGGGCCGGCGGCTGGACTGACTCCATCGCCAACCATCAGCGACTTTCTCTTCTTCGTCTTGTCGACAGTCATGAGTTGTTGAAGGAGTTGCTGTAGGCCTTGACTTGACGTGTATATGCCGATGTTGCCAGTGCTTGGAGGGGTCTCTAATCGAGCGTATAATTCGCGCCGTTCATCATTTAGTTTCTCCGATCTTGCCAAAATGCGTTTCAATTCCAGCAGTAGGCTTTCCTCCTCCCTAGCTTCCTCCTTGGTCCTCCTAAAGGCGGCCTCGGCGAATTTCTTGCGGAGTGTCTCCTGTCCCGGATTGAAATTCAACATGACTTCGTGTAAGTTGAACTCTGCGGTATTCATCTGAATGGGTGGTTTCCTCAGCATCATCATCGTCGCCGCAACAAAGTAATATCTGGCCTTCAAATCCTCCATGCTTCGGACCTTGGATGTCACAACGATGGCGGTTTGATTTGTCTCTACATCCATCGAAGGTATGATAGGTTCATATTCGTATCGATCCCAGATCACCGGCCACCTCAAATCAAATTGCTTGGCCAAATCCATCAAGTAATCCGTCTCCTCCTTTGACCAGTCGGGGTTCTGTAGTCTCTTGTTGTATTCATCGTCCGTATAGTCTGGGACGTTAACCTGGACATTGAATTTCGCAAAGGCAGAACGTTCGATCTCCGGTTCGGGATTGGTAGTATCTGGTAGATCTGTACTGCCATCATATCCCGCAGGGGCAGGCGGTGTCTCCTGCTTCCTCCTCCAGTGGCGTAGAGTGAGTGAATCGTCTTCCCTCGCGGGGTTCTTAAATGATCTAAGCTCCCACTTCGCAGCAGGTTTCCGGCTTGCAAACCGCCTTTTCTTGAAAACTGAGATCTCGGGCACAATCGCGATCGGATTATCTCCACTTAGGTTCTGAACTTCGCGCGCCAGACCCTTCAGAGTTGGTCGTTGGGTGGAAATCTTTTGTTTCTTGGTTGGTCGAGATGCTGCCGCGTCTGGCAGATCCAGCATGTCGCGCACATCGTGGGAAGTCATCGTGGCTGTAGTTAGGTGTGGTACTTGCTTAGAAGGAAAGTTCGTAAGCTAGGGATCGATGGACTTCGCTTCCGTCGTGGTCGGGTTGATGAATGAATTCCGAATGAGGTGAGGAACGCGGTCTGATGGATCTGGATTCCAAGTTCTAGCTATCTGCACGTGACAGCATCGCGAATTGTCGAGAAATCGAACGTGGCATAACGGCGCGCGCGAGCAACTCCAGTATCTCCCCCCTTTCCACGCGATTCCTCAACCCAACACTCTTGCAATCCCATTGACAAGGCAATCATGCGTTTGGCTACTACACTACTGTCCGTGGGTGCCTTGATCACCCATGTTCAATCCCTCTACTTCTACATCGACGCCAGCTCGCCGAAATGTTTCTTCGAGGAGCTGCCCAAGGATACGCTGGTGGTCGGCCACTACACGACTGAGGAGTACGATGACAATAGGAGAATGTGGTCAAAGCATGATGGTCTGAATGTCTATATTTCAGTCGATGTAAGTCAAGCTATCCCCCCAATTCCACAACCCTGAATCAACCCCCTTCGCCCTTCCCCCTATTCCAGCTACTGACCTCCTCCTTAGGAAGTATTCGACAACGACCACCGCGTAGTATCGCAAAAGGGCTCCGCCTCCGGCCGCTTCACCTTCAGCGCCGCAGACTCAGGCGATCACAAAATCTGCTTTACGGCTTCGTCGAATTCTGGTGGATCTGGCTGGCTCTCAGCCGCGCAACCCCAGGGAGGGATCAAATTGACTCTCGATTTAGCTATTGGAGAGACCAGCGCTATTGAGAGCACGGATAAGGGCAAGATTCAGGACATCGTACAGAAGGTTAAGGATTTGAATGGCCGGTTGCAGGATATTCGTCGGGAGCAGGTGTTTCAACGGGTAAGTCTATCACATGTCTCTAGGTGTCTTTTTGTGATGGGGGAAGCATATCTGGATTATGCTCAATTTGGATGATTTTACGTGATTTTTTCTGACTTGGTTTATTTAGGAACGGGAAGTCGAATTCAGAGATCAGTCTGAGACGACGAATGCGAGGGTCGTTAGATGGACTTTGCTTCAACTGGTTGTGCTGGGGATTACTTGTGCTTGGCAGCTTTCGCATCTTAGATCGTTCTTCATTAAGCAAAAGTTGACGTAGATAAATGCATGCATGGGGATTGATTGGGGATGTTTTACTCGTAATGTAAGATATGGGCGGGCAGGTAAAAAAGGCGTCATTGGCATGGCACAATGCACAACATTTTAACTTACCTCCAATAATGAATTATTTGGAAAGTCTTGATTTGAATAATTTTCATTCGGACAATTGTGGACTTGTGAAATCTTTAATAAGTCCAGATACATCTATTTCACCCAAGCGCCTTTGCCTTGCCCGACGTAGAAAAGTCAACAACCGTTTCGAGTCCTTTCTGTGCTTCCAGGACTATCAGCTTTCCTACCCGGTAAACCGGTGAGGATTTCGATGCTGCGGAAAAAGGAAAAGGCAAATATTAATCTTCAAGTAATTCTAGGACATAAGCGGGCGGTGCGAAGGCGGGGCTAATCGTACGGATGCATTGTGACAGGTTGAGGCGTGGCATTTATGTATTACCGTGAGAATCGTATCTGCCAAAGGCAGAGGGAGAAGGATATGCGGGGGTCTGCCCGGTTGTAGAGAGGACGATGTGCTGATTAGGAGTGCTTCCAAGAGCAGTTTTGGGGTCATTAACGCCGTGGGAGAAGGAACAGTCCGCTACAAAAGAGGTAAAAGAGATCAACAAGTTTAGTGAGGTTTCTGAGTTTCTTCAAGGAGACGTGTTCATCCTGCACGTCGTTAGTCAGATATGTCATGGCACTCTGATACCAAGTTGTACTAACCGCAGCATAACGTCTTCATTAGTTTCTGGAAACCCGATAGCTCTGGTTCCTGGCTTCTTCCGTTCTGTGCTTGGGCCGCCATGGCTGGCTGAGGCGTCATTCTCTGGGGGAGATTGTTCGAGCTGTTCTGGAATTGGGCCTGGGTTGAGCCTGCGGGAGTAGCGACGTCTTGGAGCCCCCCCGCCGCTCCGCTGCTGCGTTTTGGGACCAACCCGCCTTGGGCGTTTGGTCGATCGCGCGATTTGCCCATCCCCGGCTTGATCGGGGACGGGGGCGGGGGTTGCGCGGCGTTTAAACGGGCGGCAGTGAGGTGACCTGGCGTGCTATTTCCTCCTCGTGATTGTCCGTGTAGTTCCCTTGCTGATGCTCCTGGTACGGCATTTTGTTGATGCAGCATGTGCTGACCTGGATGTTGCTTCGTCGCCTCCCAGCCCTTGCCATTGTTGAGCTTCATCCAGTCATATTCGCCATCCTCGACCTCGCCTGTATTCTTCAATGCCTGCGTGAAGAGATCCCGAAGATAGTCATAATCGGGCGTATCCTCAAAGCCAAGGTTTCGAACGTAGCTCAGATACTTGTTGAACTCTTCGGGGAAAGCATCACACAAATCTTTGATCGCGGTGGTCTGCTTCTTCTCGCCAATCTTCTCGTACTTCTGCTTGTTGGTTGCAGCCTTCAGGCCTTGCCACGGTAATCCACCTCGTAGGAAATACATGAAAACATGACCCAGAGCCTCAAGATCATCGCGTCTCGATTGCTCACGTCCCAAATGCGTGTTGATGCTCATATATCGGGCCGTGCCAGAGAGCGACTTCCGTTCGCGATAGGGAATGTGCTGCTTCGTCTTCGGATCCCGGTACTGTTTCACCATGCCAAAATCCACCACATGAATTACATTAGCAGCCTTCGTCCCCGGCCGACCGATGAGGAAGTTGTCGGGCTTGATGTCGCGGTAGATCAAATTCTTCTCGTGGATGGTTTGAACTCTCGAGAGCTAGAACAATTAGCAAAGGGGGAAGGTTTCTCCAAGGGGGGTCGCAACACACCATTTGCTTCGCTACCATGACAACGGTTTTGATCGTGAACCTTCTGTTACAGTGATCAAAGAGATCCTCAAGGGAAGGGCCGAGAAGATCAATGACAAGGATATTGTGAAGACCCTCCTGGCCGAAGTAATAGACATTAGGGATGCCAGCTATTTGATATCAGTCCTGGGGGGTATCACGGATAGAGTGGAATTGAGGTACGCACGGCAGCCAACCAGGATTTTATATGTCCGATACTCATCTCGTAATTGTGGTGCATCGCTCTTTCGAGGCTCCTGTGGATGAAGTGTGAGCAAGAATCATAATTCCAGGAGCGGCTTTTTTTTAAGGGTTGTGCGGATCAAATCTGGCGAGACGGCGACAGGAGAGGAGAGTTCCAAGGGCACACGTACGAATTTAATAGCCACTTGTTGATTGTTCAACAGGTTTGTTCCCTCAAAGATAACACCAAAGGACCCCTCGCCGATCTTCTTGCCCACCCGATAGTGGACACCGACGACATTGGAAGATGAAGAGGCCATTATGTAGGTTTAGAGAGCCCGGTGTGGAGACGAGCTCGGCACAAGACTAAGGGAGAGGAGGAAGTGAGGGAGGTTGAGCGACAGGTTGGGGAGAGCCAGGTCGAGGAACGCGAGGTTCTCGTGGCGCTACAGCACCGTTTCGTTCGGTTCAGGTTTGTCCTAGGGTGACGAATGCACGCGACGACGACGACGACGACGACTGTAGGCACTGACAGGAAAGAGAAAGAGGTCAGCTTTGGCCACTCATGGCAACGCGTGCCTTCAATGAATGAAGTGGAAGGGAATTGGCAGGTCGGACAGGAGTGTAGGAGTGTAGGTGCGAATGTCGGTGTCGAAACGCAGAAGGGTTAAAATTGGGACGGGGGGATCAGACTCACATGCAGTAGCAGTCGGCAGGGCGCTCCGCTGTAGCTGTACCAATGCACGGGGCTCGACGGGCGCTAGGAAGTACTTGTAGGATTGTTATTGTTATTGTTGTACTTGTGGTCGTGTACTCGTCGTAGGTGAAGGTGACAGACGTGGTCGACAGAACGGACCCTGAAGGCAGCAGGTTGAAGGGTGAAGCAGGTCAAAGGTTGAAGGTCAAGCCGGCGAAGCACGCGGAGGGCTCAGGAGTGCAGTGGGACAGGCAACCGAAATAACCCGTGTGAATGTATTGTACTGTACAAACACAATCCTCACTTTTTGGACCGCGGTGCAGAGCAAGAACCAGAACAAGAACAAGACTCTGCACTGGAGTCTGGAGTCTGGACGACTACAGAGTATGCACTGGGCAGGGAAGGGCAGTGCAGAGTGCAGGTGGCGCTGGGGGGAGGGGGGAGGAGTTTGGGGGCAGAGTCCTGAGGGTTGAGACTTGAGGGTTGAGGGTTGAGGCTGGGGGGAGGATAAGGCCTAAGTGGGTTTGGTTATTGGTTTGTTGGTGTCGGAGCCACGAAGATTGGGATTGCGCTTTAGGGGTTCGGGGGCAAATGCTAAAAGGAGCACCAGACGGAAATTGGCCCGTACTTCGTACTTCGCACTTCGCAGAGGGGGAGTTTTTGTACGAGGGCGGAGCACGCAGTATGGATAGTATGGTTGGTTGGTTAGTACGGAGACACTGCAGACTTCTTACTCGTACGAATTACTCGTATTAGGTGCTGATAATCTACTAGGAAATGAGAGTCAGGTCCAGAATTCCACGGCACTAATTAGCTATTGGTATTATCACAAGCTACTCGAGCAACTTCTGCCCTTGTTGACTTCGACACGGTGGGCCTGAGGGCTCAAGGCATGCAATGTATCCGGGGCATGCCAGCGCTGGCGGTGAAGAGCGAGAGGAAGAGAAACGTGAGCTAATCAACTAATATGGAGTACTCCGCAGACTACTGTAACAGGTAACAGGGAAGAGACAATAATAATACGACGCCGTTTACTGGTACCGTACCGTACCGTTGCGCCTTGGGAACCTTATTCCACTGCTGTTATGCAGATCAGAGTTGTATGATTAAAGTATGTACAGCACGGAGTACTCCGCACTCACGGTGGCGATCTCCAGTACCTTGCCCTAGTAGGTATCTTATTACTGCTCCATACTCTTAAGACCAGCTAAACAGAACTGCCCTCCGCAAACTTGGGACAATCAGCTGAGTTGATACTACTGACTGGCGGCGACGACCGAGAATAGCGGCGCTGCCACTTCCTGCTTGCTGCTTGCCACCTGCTAATTAATTGGGCCTGGAGATGAGCTGCAGGCGCCGGAGTAATGCGAGCCAAAACCAAACCACGCATTCCCCCGGGGTGCGACTCTGCTGATTCTGCGAGCCGAAGCAGACAAGAAAGCCCAGCCCAGTCGTCCAGTCCCAGTTGAGCGTCCAGCGAGAACCCCAGTTACATGCCCGCCAAGCCAAGAAATCCCGGAGATACTTCGTGCAATATTGAGTTCATGAGACCCCAGATGCCGACCGAGGGTGGACGACATGTTAATCAAATACTTACACGCGCTTGTTTCATTTCGAATTATAAATAATTGTGAACAATATATATAAACGCTTGATTCATTTCGAGATATACCTTATATAAATTGAATATAGATGATAAACAATATATATAAACGCTTGGTTCCCGCACTGCCGCCCGAAAGCAATAGCCGGAGTTGGGTACTTTCTGATATTCAAGTGCGTTTTCGAATTGTTCATCCTTGTAGCCTGTGCCGATGTACTTCCTGACCGCCGAGGATGAAGAATTTAATATTACAATGTACAAGGTAGACGCAACTCTGTCCTTCTAGAAAAGATTTACGTAGTAAGCCAGTCTTATATCCAGCAATTGGACACCAAGGGAAGAATAACTAATTTCCCCAATCAAACCATGCTGAGCACTAGAGTCTGAGACATATCAATGTATAAACAGAGAAGGTACAGCCGACGGGAACGAATGAGATACTCTTCGGTGTGAAGACCCATACAACGCCATCTACATGCCAATGCCATTCTACTGCAATGAGTGGCATCTTCATACTGCTCTGTGTCCATATTATTCACCACAACTGCCATATGATACAAGTTACAAGTTAGCTCTCATTTTTCATTCTACCTTGTTACTATGCACTGCTAGAGACAAGGGCTAACCATTTCCAAGATCGCCGAGGTTTCACGCCTGGGTGACTGTCATGAGCATTTGATATGTTCGTTATCCCTTAAAACCCCAAGAATAACTAGGGCGCATTTCCATCACGAATCTAAAAACCGGCTGTCGAAGTACAAGAGGTAAGAAACGCGAGTCACTTGGGGAATTGGCATGTAGTCAGTCGTAAATGAGCTAGTCATTAATTCTAAGTAAATAAACATGTTTCCTCGTAACTCCCGCTGGCTTTTTAGTCTCGACGACTTCTGAAGGAGGCGCCGCCCCTCACCACTTGGGAATCTCTCGGCATCTGCTCGCTCGCGTCTTGCTCATCCTTCCACAACTTCACCGGCCATGCCGTTGCCGGAACGAGTAGAATGAACGAAATGGGACAGAAGTATGGTCACCTCGCGAGAGAATCGGGATTATATAGCCGTTGAGGCCACGAAGCGAGGCCATATCCGAACAGGGACGCCAAATCCTTCTCCCTAATCCATAGATCCGTATATTACATGTACAATTTATTCACCTTCCAAGTGGCCCAAATCCCCCCTCTAGCTTAACTCTCTATGGCTGAACTTCTGAAACTCTGTCTGTTGCCGTAAGGTTTTTTGGACTTGACTTTGTGTAGGGGTTTGGAGTGCAGCAGCTTCTCCGCTTTGTTGTGCTCCCCTTGCGCGATGCTTTTCTCCACCTGCTCAAGTGCGTGCCGGGCCTCGTTCATCTTTTGGCCATCCTCGGTCTTTTCACTCATCTCCTCTTGGCAGTCCTGTTTAGCCAGATCCAGAGCCCCTGCGTACCACTTTTCGAGCTGGGACTTCTTAACATAGACGTTGAAGGCTGCATCCTCATTCTGGAACGCTTTCATGATGCTTTCTCGGATGCTGGCGTCTAAGCCGGTAAACCGGTGGTCTAATTCGTCTGTGGATGCGCCCGCGATGGCTTCTGGGTTTATTGGCCTCACAGGAGAACCTTCTTTAAATAAATCTGTACTAGTTAGAATCTCAGTGGTAACAATGCATCAAGTTGGCTTACGGTTCTTGAGACAGTTTCTAAATGTCATGTATAGGGCCGTCTGCCTTAGTCGGTCCGCAACTTGTTGGTCATCCTTCAATTCTGTGTTGTTGACATCCGTCCAATCGTCTCTTAGCATACACCTTCGCCAGATCACCCTTTGGAGCAAGTTCTGTTCCTCGCTGTCGGCGACTCCACAGCGGCTTGCTTGCAGAGCAAGATAGAATTGTTCGCCGCGAAAGACGGCCTGCTCCTCTGATCCATTGTCTCCCATCAAGGTCAGGAGGTCGATCAGTCCTAGGCCGTCCATAGCCTTAAGATTGATGAGCTGAGACATATTATCTTCCAAGAGTGAGAGGAACGCCGTCTGCTTTCTCAATAGCTTGTTTCCATATAACTCTAACGCTAATTGAAGTTCGGCGTTCTCATCAATCGCAGGGCCGATAGAAGAGAGGACATAGTCATAGACGGTGTCTTGGATTTTGATCAAGCCAAGTTGGTTGTTAACTACAACGAGGTCGATCTTGTCTCCATCCAGGATGGGCGTGCCGTTGTTCTGGCTATACCTTCCAGCAAATCGAGATAATTTGCCCATGCTCAGCTCTATCTTTTTGCTCCATAAATCTTGTTCTCGTTTCAGGCCGAGGTCCAGGAGAGTCTCTGCCGCTCGATCAAAGGTCTTTTCCCGGGTGATCTCGTGTATCCAAGCGATTTTGGCGTACTCCGGTCTACTACGCAGGAATTCTGTCAAGTACGGTTGTTCTGTTTGGAACTTATCTAGCAGGCTCTTTGTAAAGCCAAGCTGGATTTGAAGGTCGTAGAAGGCGGTCGCCCAGCTCATGCCGAATTTTGAGAAGCATCTTTCCACAGTTTCCTGCAAAACGGCCAACCGAGCCACATGTTTAGTGAGTAGTTTGCTGTCGAGATCAGGATTATCCACTTTTGACGAATGCTCATGGATCTCATATGTCAGGATAGACGCAAGAGTAGGCAGGATCTCATGTTTTTCAGCCAATGCCATTGCCTCATCTGGCAATTGACATTCCTTTGCGAGGGTTTTTAGCTGTGAATCTTCGGATTCACTTTGCACGACCTGAAGTGACTCTGCCTGGAGTTGTATTTGAGGATCATTCTGCGCAAAATCCCAGCGAATCTTCTCATGATTCGATCGAATGACAACATCGACAAGGGTTTCTTGCTCTTGCCTTACTTTTTCTAGCAAAGCAGTACTAACCCGCTTTTCGGTTTCCGGTTTTGGCCAATAGTGTGTCACGAGTGCCCCGGCTAGTTGTGCTTGCTTCCTAATATTCTCGGCAAGATACATTGTGGATGTCCAGAATTCTGGGAGCCCCTCGTAATTCGATTTCAATATACCATGCTCAAGCAACTCATCTTGGAGACCGTAGAGCGCAAGATTCGATTCGCGGAAGTCGAAGGCACCTTTCAGTGCGCCAATGACAAGAGCATTCGCCTCGATAAGAAGTTCCAGGACGGCATTATGATCTTTTTGGCCGTCTTGGTAGGCATATTTGATCACCTGATACGCCCATGGTACCGCAATATCCAGTCTCCATATATCGTTGATGAACCAGTGCCGGACCCGGTCAAGTTCACCGTTTTCCGGTACGGGTTCTGTCTTATAGTCTTCGTGGATGCACTCTACGAGCTCGGTGAAGAGGCCACGCTTCTGGCCTTCAGGCTTTTCACTGACCGCAGCATCATATCGCTTCCAGATAACGGTCGCAGCCCCCATTCTTTCAGCATCCCAAAGCAATTTCCATCGCGTGACCCGATCTAGGGCCACGCCACTCTGCTTTAGATATTCCGCAAGATCACGCAAAGCAACGGACCGTTTCCGAAGATTCTGTTCAATTGACGCCGGAACAGAAGGGATGTACGGAGTTTGGGACCTCAGAATGTCATTGCTGAGGGATAAAGCAGCATCGCCAACTTCTTCTGCGGGAAACTCGGACTCCGGGCGTACTGCGAAGCTAATCGGGTTGCCTTCTAGTGTCCCGAAAAACACTGCTTGCTGTAGCTTGCTTTTTGGAGTCACCTGTGGGGGCTGGTCGGAAGCCAGCTTGTTTATATCGTGTGCGGCTATCCGCAGCACGCCACCACCACGAACAATAAGAATGACGGCGGGGTGTTTTGCTTTGTAGCGGCGTGACTTTGTATCTTCGATGCCATGTGATAATCCGTAAGGTTCTTCCATTCCAGACCCTACAATTTCGATGTTCATATCATCCTTGAATTGGATCACATCTTCAAAGGTCTGTGGGAACAGACGGCTTTCTGTCATGAGTTGCGATTCCGGGGAGTCTGGGCCTTTGGCCATCGAGACAAGAATAACAGCTCGATCGAGGACGACATAAGCAATAATTGCAGGATTCGGTAAATACAGTCTCGTGTTCGAAGTTGCGGTTCGGGCGATGGGCGTGCTGTAAGACTTTATCGGGCGTATATCCCCAATTATGAGTTCGCCTCGGTTCAATAAAACCTCGACCAGTGAATAGTGAGTGGACTCTCTCTCGTTCAGGGAAGTTAAAAGCAAAAGGCGTATCCCTTCATCACTTTGGCCACCAGTACCAGTGGATGACGCGGGGTTCGGCATGTATGCGAAATCCAGAAGCTCGAATGTCTCCAGCAGGAGCTCGCTTAGTGCTGGGATTGCTTGCTTTATCACTAGCACAATAGCTTCCCGCGTTTCAATCTCCGCAATTAGTGATGTATGTCCGCCTCTGTGTATGTCCCAGGATTGTATTTTTCCTTTTTTGGTCGCTAATACCACGTTTCTCTCACCGATCCTATCTTGATGCCCCGCTCTTATAGCTGCAATGTCTGAATGCCAAGAGGAGCTCGACAAGGCATTTCGCAGGCTACCAAAGATTCCAGTGTTGGATGATCCGCTTCCAGCACGGAGGAACTGGACGGTAAGAGCCGGTCGGCCTTGCCCGTCCCTCACGCTCATATAAGCGATGCGACCACTACTAAAGCCAAGCATGAAGCCAGCAGACTCTGCGTTGAGAATATGGATGACCTTTTCCCCCGAGAGCATCCCAGGAATAGACAACTCGACGCCATTACGCTGTAGCCTCAAATCCAATGTAGCAGCACTGGCGATACTCTCCCAGTATATAATCTTGCCAGTAGTGGGAATAACGACGACGAGGCCTGGTTCTAGGGAAGAGGCCGAGGCTGATACCAAAGACCCAATTGGTAGAGGGTCAGAGACATGTTTTGAAGGATGAGGAAGCGCAAAAGTGAAGGTTTCGGGTGAGGGTGTGTTCGCGACGTAAGGCCACACGATGGCATGGGTGTGGGTTAAGGTGAGCGCATAGCCATTGTCGGAGTAGATAGCACCATGTTGACGACCTGAATAATGTTAAACGCATCCACCGCCATAGAAATATAGACTTACTAGCAGGATCTGCGCGCAGTCCGTCGGGGAGAGCTGGGAGTCTGCTGACGGTGTATATGTCGTTCGTAGTCTACAGATAGCAAAACGTCAGCTTCTATCTAAGCTTTAATAAAAGCAAGATTTAGATCTCAACCTACAAGAACTACACTGCCATCACCTTTACCGCTTCGATCTCCCGGTCTAGGTTTCTTCCCCCTAACAACAATTTCCTTCTGAGGGCCAGGGACGTGGGCATTCCGTAGACTCCCACGCTTGGCCACTGTTGGTGTCTTATAAGCCTTCGTCTCCTCCATTTCCGGTGCGCCATCAGGAGGCATAAACGTTTGCTCGCTCAGGGCGCTTCTCTGCCTCTTCGCTTTTGGGATGGAGCCTTCGTTGGACAGAGGTCGCGGCCGGCGTCTGCTGGTCCTGGCGGAAGCCGCAGGAGGATTTGTGCCTGAAGGGGAGAACATTGTCGTCGTCGGGCGGCCTCGAATGAGTAGGCTATCTCTATCTCGAGTTGCGTGAAATATGTGGGTGGCTTCGTCACATCGCCAGAAATTGAAGGCAGCGCTGGCTGTCGGAAATGTGCTGGTTAAGCCCGTGTTTACTGGCAGAATAGACGCGGCAAAAATATCGCCTAACAGGGCGGTCAGTGCCAGAACGGGAACCTCGCGTCATCAACAGCGTCAGAAAATGCCAAAACACATCGACCCAAATCTAGCTTAAGTTACTAGTTACCCATCAGCAAGCTTCTAAAGTACCCTAATCAACAACTGCCCTAAGTTCAAGTTCAATACCGAATGGAATTATCATATGATGTCTAATCTACTTTACGAGTACTTGTCCTCGTCAAGGAGATTATCAAGGTTCCAAGGGTCTTGTGAAGCTAGATGCGTGAAGTAAACCTGGTAAGGCCGAAGGCAAAAGGCGCGAGACTGGACCAACACCCAAATAGCAGCGATTCGCGCCATGAGAATCCCCATGTGTCTACACCAATCTACAACCACTTCTTTCACGATCCCCAATCCACTACTCTGGTACTAGCCGCTCTGACAAACAAACCACTTCTTTCACGATCCCCAATCCACTACTCTGGTACTAGCCGCTCTGACAAACAAACCAGATCTCTCGAGTATATACAATGGATTTATTCTAGCTTGAAAGACTAAGCTCCCCAAGGCGAGTATGGAGCTTAGCTCAAGGCAGTTGGCTAGGCTTTAGAGAGCTTGCCAAAATAAGAGAACGGAACGCCTTTGTTCAAATCTTTTTATATATTCTATGCCCTTCTACATGTACTATATTACAACGTAATAAAGTTTCTATCTCTACTCTCCGTCATCACATACTCCAGCTTAACAACAAGAAAGTTGGGAACGTTATGGACTGCGTGCTCTGTTGACCTTCTCTTACGTCTTTTGAATATATACAGAGCTAGCTGAAAACCCAATTCATAGTTTTATATAAACGTATATATATCAATTACTTATCATGTTCCGAAGCTTTAATATTGAGCTTCGCCCGCCTATGTGGTAGTCTTGACGTTCTGTGCATTTGGCTCCACCCACTTCCGTCTTCATTTACTGATTTCTTATTGCTTGGCACAGTATGTAGTGCCTCACTTGTTACTATAAGCTCACTTTGCTTTTTTCTTTGAAGCATCTCTAGATAATGTTGGCGGCATGCGCGTGCGGTTGGATGATCATCCCTGAAGACCGCGCCGTAACCTTCACATGCCCTTTGGTACAAAGTAGTAGCCTCAACATAGAGGTCTTTCTTTGCAAGTCAGTATGCGAGACAATATACACTTAATAAAGTGTTTAGATGCTTATTACCGAGCACCTTCTCGCTCAACGCCAGCGTCTGCTTGTGCATCGTCTCTGCTTCGTCGTACTTGCCTTGCTGCCCACCTGGAATATCGGGTTGCTGACCCAATCAGAGTACGAGATTCCCCAACTTTCGCTTCTGCCTCCGCTTTCTTTACGTCCGTAATGCAATTTCTCTACAATGACTCAGAAGTATATGACTCAGAAGTATATGACTCAGAAGTATACCAGACCTAAACTTGAAATTATTCAAGAGGTACGTTCATTTCATGTAGTATTCCCAACAAATATCTCTTTAAGCAATATATTTCCATTAAACGCATTTTCACAACTACTAAAAATGCCTTCCGTTCTCATTTTCGGTGGTTCTGGCAAAATCGCCAAGTTCATTACAGCAAGTCTAGTGAAGCAGGATTACAAAGTATATTCTGTTATTAGACGAGAAGATCACGTTCCTGAACTTCGCGAACTGGGTGCAACACCCATCATTCAGTCGCTGGAAGACTCAACAGTAGCCGAACTTACTGCAACCATTAAATCCTCCACACCCGACGTAGTTATCTTCGCAGCAGGAGCAGGCCTACGAGCATTCGAAGACCCCAACCTTAGCATCCTCGTCGACCGCGATGCAGCTATCCGCGTCTTCGACGCTATAGCCGAAGCGAACTGCACAAAGCGCCTCATTACTATCTCAACGATAGATACGAGAAATCGTGACAAGCTATCACCAACCTGGTATAACGAAGAGGACCAGAAAGGAAGTGATGAGCTATGGGGTATGCTGCCTACATACATGAAAGCCAAGTTCGAGGCGGACAAGGACCTAGTGGAGCAGAACTCGAGACGAGGGTTGGAATATACCATTATTCGGCCTACGTGGTATGGGGATGGGGAACCGACTGGAAAGGTCAAGGCTGGATTGGCGGGAATCTCACCGAAAGTAAGTAGAAAGGATGTGGCGGATGTTTTCGTAGCATGTATTGAGAACCCGGCGACTGTTGGGTGTGTGTTTGAGGTCTCAGGAGGTGAAGTTCCTATTAAAGAAGCGGTTCAGCGTGTTGCTGAGGAGAAGGTCGACTCTTTTGGTGAAATATACCGATAGATTTCTTGAGAGGGTATACAGTAGTACAACTCGGAGGACTGTACGCGTGTTCAAAGTATGTGCTCACAGTAGGGTGAGCTTGCCATTTTATGCCTGAGAACACAGTCTGCCAAAATACAGCCACAGATAAATAAGCTGCAATTACCGTAATGATGATCAGGGACCCTTGATAGCTTGATGAGAGGTATCAACCCATGTGGCGACGTCGCATAGCACAACACTCCCTGGTTACCACAAGGCTTATAATGAATTTTCAGCATTGTAGTGAGGCTCGGAAACTCAAATAAAACTGTTCTATAAGTTTGAAAAGGTGCGAAGAGCGCGTGGTGGTGTTGTAGGTCGAGGGTCCTATTTTACTACAAATTGACACCGTTTGTAATTAGGCGCGATAACAACGACGCGATTGTAATTTTTAAAGTAGGTAGAGTTTAGACTGTTTAGGAGTGGTTATATAGTATAACTGACAAAAAATAAAGAACTTCTCAATAGATTTACAAATTTATAATTAATTGAATTCAAAGTACCGATAGTTTGTCTCGTGACACGGTGCGTCTCGGGACGCAGAGAGAGACGTTATTAAAAATATTTGCGGTTTACAAAGGGGAAGCCGCATTCGCTCCCTACTGTAACTCTATTAAACACTAGTTAAGCACTATTAGGAGTCTAAAACTTCCAACCATCACTCTGAAAATTCCAACTATCATCCTGAAATGGCCATCCAACAAGCCCAAGACTAAGTTGCGGACCCGCTTCAATCTCTTTGGCTTTGGCCTTGAGTTCGTCTACATCCCAGCTTGCCCACAGATACTTTCCCTTTAAGAAACGCGCTTCAGGGCTTGCGAGCCAAACATTGAAGCTTGCTGGCAAAGAAACTAAGTCAAAGTCAGCTTCATGATATCCTACCCAGCTAACCGTCATTACTTACCGTCATCCGCGTGGCCGACAGCATCGATACCCCCCGCTTCCTTATTCATCGCAGTTTCAACTATTCCAGGATGGATATGGAAAACGCTCAATTCCGGGTTCGCAACGGCTAGAGAATCCCAAAGACGAAATATCGCTAGTTTGGCGATGGTATATGAAGCAAACCTAGTGGTAAAATTCACATGTGCAACGGCCGAGTTAACTTCGATAACGACTGCGTCCGTCGCCGCGTAGGTAAGGAACGCCTGCGCAACGAGCAACGATCCTTTGAGGTTTTGCTGAATGGCTTCGAGGAACTTGTCACAGTCCACAACGTCCACGGGATCATGAGGCCCAATAACCGCTGCGTTGCTAACCAAAACGTGAATTTTTCCGTCACCAACAAACTTGGCGAAGGCCGCGTCCACTTCATCCTTCTTTGTGACATCAGTGGAGGCCACAAATACCTCGACGTCAGCGAACTTGTGCTCGATGGAGGCTTTGGTGTCGAGAAGGGGCTGTTCCCTACGGCCAAGGAGGGCGATTCGAGACGCGCCTGCTTCGGCGAAGTAGCGAGCGGTCTCTGCACCGATGCCAGTACCCCCACCTGTTACTACCACGGTCTTGCCTTTGGCAGAAAGCTCGGGACGGGTGGGGGATAGGGATGGGTATGTGTTCGAGTGCCACGTTGAGGTTGGGGATGGAAAAGGAGCCATGGTGATTGCAAGGTGAGTAGATGATTAGGAAGGATAGATCGATTGTTTGATAAGAAGAATCTTTTTGAGCGAACAATGCCCATCTTTATATATGGTTGAGTTTACAACTCTAATTTAGTGACGGAGTTGTGCAATTTGTAATGCTAAGTATGATCATCACGTTTACGAAAGCTGTGGGTTTTGCAATAATCTAGGTACCCGACGCCCGAATCCAATGTTGCTAGAGAAAGAGGGTTTCGGATTCTTGGAATTGAAGCATGCTTAGCATTTGCAAAATGTTCCGCCCTACTGACAAATCTGAATCTAGCCAACGAGTGTTCCGGGATGCTTCGCCTTTACAAAATGTTCCGCCCGATGGACTATTCTAAACGGAGATATTTGGCCCCTATCACACTTGCACCCCTTAGCCCCCAATACTCGTACCTTTAGTAATCACTTACCATTTTCGGCAGGTAGGGTGCGAGTATAAGTCTTCTTGTTATTAAACTTGCTAGGATTTAGACTCCGAGTCTGTTATATAATAACTGAGAAATACTAACATCAGACAGGAAGCATTCTACAGCTTTCCTACTAGATAGGTAAGTATCTAAACAGCGAGCTCCAACTCTAACAAAATAATAGCTGGCTGTCGAACACTAAACAGGGAAGACACGAAAGCTGTTAGAACGGTGAAGGCAGTAGTATAGACTCTAACAATTTTGTGTAGCTGTTCCAAAGGCCGGCCTGGTATTTTGAGAATACTACACTATCAATGAAGCAGTAAGCATGATGAGACCGCCAAATCCATCCATTCCCGAGCACCATTCCTCCCAATTTGTAGTGTTCCTTGACGGAGTTCTAGCATCTAAGGGCGTATAAAGCAGCACCTCATGACTACAATATAGCTGGCCATCATTTAGTTTAACCAGCTTACCGTTTGCAGCTAATCCAAAGGCAGAATGGGCCCCAGGTTCCCTCTCGCTTTTCGACTTCCACACAGACTCATCCCCTGCTTCCCATAGCTGTTTCTTCGCCGGCAGTGGTGCTATAATAAGGTCCGTTTGTAGAGTACACTTCGCCGCCGGCTCGAAATAGACCAGCATATTCACTACTCGGTAGACCACGGCTAATCTTTGATTCAATTAGTATCTTTACATTCAGTTCATTACAATAGAGTGGGTAGAAGTCCAACCTTCGTCTTGATTCCTCAAAAATCCAATCTTTCCAGCTTGTGTCGTGACCGTAATTGCATACGACGTCACTCAGGTTGGAGATGAGTTGATCAGCTATTACCTACATCATATCATTAGAGCTAAGGTACGAGGACATAAGCGGGAGCTAGACTTACGGTCACCGTTGCAACTAATAGAGAATCAAGGTTATTGTGGTCCGTCTCGCCTTCATCCAACCTTATGAGAACGTAAACGGAGAGGGCTAGCATAGCAGCAATTAATTCCCATTTGTTTAACTTCAGATGCTAAAATTATCCATCAGCCCATTGTGAGTATCCTTGCCGAACCAAAGCAAACTCAACGTACCTCTTCACGCAAACGTTCGCATTCCATCCCCACATTTTTCCAGAATAGCTTTCGACTCCCTCGGATCCCGCTACTGATCATATGCACTAAACTAAGGCAGTTGGTTAGTGGCTCCATGTGGTTATTCTCGACATTGGAAGATATCAAATGCGGATGGATAAACGGTGGAAGGGTGTTGTGGCGTATCATCATTAGGGGATAAGATTTTAGGGTGTGGAGCATGAGATTGGCGATTCTTTGCGTCCCGGTGTTCATTTTTGGTCGTTGGATAAGTGATCGGAAAGCGTCAGTTGGACGTGGCGGTATCGATACATGGGAAGAATATATGGCTTCTTGCAATTGAACTATTTGATCGGCCGAAGGTGTCGAGTGACGAACTAAAGATGAAGACCCCAATGGAGGGTATTGGACGGTCTCATCATTCGTCTGCTGATTCGAAAAGTCGGCGAAATCGATATCTAGGTCATCCCAGCCAAGATATTCCCCTCCAAGATTTGCGAACTCTGGGTCTGATACGACAAGCCCACTATCGAAAATTATATCACCATTGTTGCTTGCTTCTTGAGGATTTTCGACACTAGGAGAATCTGACACCAATGAAGGCGCGGTTTTTCGCCATTTTGTCGGGGCATCATCACTATACTGAACTCTTGGCCCTGTACCTTTGGGCGTGGCGGTTGGATAATGGCATTCGATGCCCTTGGTTATACACCTCGAGCACTCTGGCTGCCTGTTATCGCAACGCGCCTTCCCTCTCGCACATGAAATACAAGATCGAGCCCGAGTAATGCTACCAGATCTTCGAGACCGACAGTAGTATCCATGTCTCTTTAGCGTAGACTCTAAATCATCATACTGTTAGTACAGACTCGGCGTCACGAAGTAATATCTGGTGGAAGTACAACTCACGTTTATCAAATGGTTTATTACACTGCCCGCACCGCAGAATAGATTCCATATCTCCTTCTACAAATAAGACGGCAGCAAATCTTAGGAATTGTGAAGTGGAATGCCTACGTTATATGAAATTCGTGACATTTGTCAGCGCAAATATCCCGGCTCCTATTACTGCACACTCACACCCATTAACGTCCACAAGACCCGCACCCTTAGTAATCACTTGCCTTTTTCAGCCTATATCATCTCCTTTATAGGTCTAAGTAATTAAAATTAAAATCTCTAGCCTTATTAGGGTTTGAACCTAAGCCTACCTCTAGATTGAAGGGGATATAGGGGAAGCGGAGTTGGAGATACGGTAAGCAATAGGAGGAATCGAAGGCAGCAAGAGAGGAAATCAACTTTGAAGAATGCGAGCCTACCTCACCTCCCTAGGGGAATCTCAGACCGAAATAGCGCCATCAAGTGAGACGATAACGCAACTACCCAGGGGCACATTTGCCATTGGATATGAGCAGAGATAAGAAGCGGTGCTAGCAACTACTTCTCGTACCTAGGTATACTAGGAACCTTACAAATCATTCGAAAAAGCCCCACCAGTGAGTGTCAGAATTCGTAGAACAAATTCAACTTTCGGTACCTTTTGTTTTAATAATATTTAATTATAAAATAAGTTTATAGGATATAAAGAAAGAGAGTAAGATTGTAAATAGAAAAGATTGAAGAACAGCCTACCAATTAGTGTTACGCCGACAGGTAATGTAACAATAATCTGTAGAGGCGGAGTGAGAAACTTACGGAAGGTTGGTTAGACGAACGTATGTGATATGCTCAGTTTGGAGAAGACAACAGAGCAAAAGCTACACAGCGTGGGATCAGCATCGAAGGACAAATCCAATACATCGGAATTAGAGCAATAGACAATGATAACCCATCTGTAACCTTAATCATCATCAGGCAATTTGGTTTACACCCAATGGACTACCTAGGTAGGCGAGTCAGATATATATAATACTCTGCTGGTATATCGCGATCAAACGTCGCTGCAAATAAAATGCCCATCCTAAATACGCCTCATAACTCCTATCAATGCCATAACGTCTCCCCATAAGTCCTATTCATCTCCATCACAAGCTCCCTACACCAGGAGTCCAGCTCTCTCCAATCCGTCTAATATCTTCCGCAAACCTCGCGCTCGTGATCTTCTTCCCACCCCGCCCCGTTGGCGGACTATGCTCATCAGGATCATAGAAAGGGTTCTGCAATAACCTCACATATGCTCCTTGCAACGACTTAAAAACCTAAACCGCCAAAACCCGTATCAGCGTGATGCCCCCGTATAGCCATATCACTGAAAGACAATGCACACTCACCAGCTTCATCTCGCCCTCCCTAACCCCCAACCCGCCGGCGCCCACACTCTTTCCAGCCACCTCAGCCACCGCCCTGCCTCTCATATCCACTACTACTACAAACTTCACCCCGGTATTAGTCTCGAAGCCATAGGCCGCCAGCCGCTCGTCGACCGCGTGTAGAAGCCCGTAATCACCGGAGAGACCGCCGCCAGATGTGAGATTCGCCTTGGAGCGGGTCTCAAATATGTCGAGGGTGCTAGAGAGTATGAGGGAGAATTGGAGGGGTGTGCGGAGTGGTTTGTTGTTTGGCGCAGAAGGGAAGATCGTGATCTGGAGGGGATTGTTCTGCGGGGATCGTTAGCTTTGATTACGGTTGAGGGGTCTCATGAGAGCATGGAAGGAGCTTGAGGGGGAAATGTACATTTTTCCCTAACACGCCAATGCATGCTATGGAAGGTATTGTTGCCATCGCTGGTGTTGTGGTTGGTGGTGGTTGTCGTTTCTGGAGTGGTTGAGCCGAGATGCGAAGTTACAGTGACAGGACGAGGCTGAGAAATTGCAACTTCTCATATCTAGAACTGGACTAGAAACACAACGCCAATCCAGCGGATTTGTATATAACTGAAGAAGAGACATTCAAGGTCAACTAAATAATTTACAACGGAGAGCACGTTGTCCTCGAGATCAAAATAATTTCGTGATACTGCAGCCTTACGACTTGTAGCCTCATCATTGCCATTGATACTTGGTAAAGTCCAGGCAGAATTAAAAAAATGCCGCCGAACACCTGAAGGCCCGTCTAATGTACACCATACCTTAATGGTTCCGTCTTAAAACTAGGGTCGATCTTCCTTCACGCCGTCATTATGGTATTCCGCCACGTCCTCTCTGAATATTTCATGGGAGAAGCTCAATCCTCTTCTTCATCCTCTACCATTTCCGTATCATCCAAAGCCCTTAGAACTTCTTCAATCTCCTTTGGGTGTGTAATTCCCCATACCCCGCCACCAACCAAATTTTGGCTACGCATTCCGACCTCTTTCCCAACAAGGTTCCTACCTACCTTGCCAGGCCCGATACCAATCCAGCGTCGGATTTTCCGCTCCTGATCCAGATACTTGATCGAATCCCACCATCTGACAGTTTCTACACATTGTCGCGCCCAAAGTTCCTTTAGCTTCTCCTTGCTCTGAAACGGTCGGGCAGTGACGTTGCTAACGCACTCCATGACCCCAGGAAATGAGACAATATCTTGATCTTCGCGGCCTTTAGTCCGGCTCTTGCCTTCCAACCATTTCTTCATGGATGCTGCAGCTGGTTTCATCAACGGGCTATGGAAAGGGCTGTCGCTCTTTAATCTGACGGCCCTTGGATCATGACCTCCGAATTGCCTTAGATGCGTCAAAAGCGTTTTGATTCTTTCAATATTCCCACTGAGAACAATCTGATTCTTGCTATTTATGTTTGCAATCAGGACTTGGTCGATTGGTGGCACATCCTGCGCGCTTTCGGATTTCGAACCAGTGCTGTGGAACCCGAGAAATTCGTGTATCGACTCGATCAATGGGGCAAGGTGATCTGGCTCGGTGACGAGAGCCACCATCCCGTATTCTCCGCCATGTTCTTCGCATGCCCGCCGGGTGCATTCCGCCATCGCCTGAGCTCTTTTCCGGACCAGATATAGACTATCCTCGAAGGAAACGAACCCTCCAGCAACCAGGGCCGCAAATTCACCCAGCGAATGTCCGAGTGTAACACCACACCTCTCCGACGGTCTGAATCCGAATTCCTGCTCTAATACTCGTAGGATAAGGATGGAGGAAGCCATAATCGCGGGTTGAGCATTTCCAGTCGCGGTGAGAGTGCTGTTCGGCCCCTCGTCGATAATCTTAGAGATCTTGTAACCCAGCAACTCGTCAATCTCTTCCACCACTGGCTTTGCCGTTGCAGGAAATGCCTCTAGCCATGGCGTGAGCATGCCCACTCTTTGAACCCCTTGGCCTTTTCGACTGTCAGCAGGAGATCCTTTGATTTGGTGTTTTAAGATTCAGAATGAATCATGATAGGAGTCAAGCATACCTGGAAAGAAGAGTGCTGTCCGCATCCGCGATGGGCTCGTAGAGGCATGCCGTATTTGCTGGTATCGACGAGGACGTGATTGTTGATAACGGCCAAGAGCTCTAGTCACCACAATCGATTTCCCTGTCATTGCCGCACCCCTACAATGCTTGGGAAAGCCAGCTGGAAGGCACTTCATTGTGAGGAGCTACATAAGGTAGGATAAGGGTATCTGCCTGGTCGTTGCAGGAACTTGGTAGCTTGATGTGGTGTAGATTCATAACCTTGCTCGAGGCTGTTGAGTTCAAATCAGATAACCGCGGATTCGGCACTCGCGATGCCAATACCGTGCTACGGACGAAGTGCTTCGGAGTAGTGCCCCACGACGAATGGAGAGGCCGGGGTCCACTGGGGTACTGTAACAGGTAGCTAATCACCTATCTAGGCTATCTTAGGTGCCGTACCTTCCCGAGGTTTATCCGCATTTCTCGAGGCATTCCGCTGTAAGCTACTGCTTGTATCAGAATCAGAATCCATAAGAAAAATACTTAAGAGCTCGACTTCAATGGTTGAGGTTGAAAGATTGGTTTCTCGCATACCTAGGTACCCTATACGAAGAAGTACAAAGTACCTGTACTCTCCACCTTTCGGCTGGTGTGGCTCTAGAACTGTGGCTGTGACGGTGGCTGTGGCCCTCTCTGACTGTTCCGGCAGCCTTAGTGTCGGCCTTAGCCTCCCGCGACGGATGCAAACGGGGGCTTTGATAAGAGCTTTCGCATTGAGCGTCTCGTGGGTTACCAAGTACTTAAATGTGTTATTAGGTATCTGATGAATTTTGCAATAAACACGAGGATCTACAGTATTTGTCGACTATATCTGTGTATCTGCGCTGTGCAGGGGGGCTTCAGCCTCTGTGACGAAATAGACCAAATCCTTTTGTTTTTACGGGCAGTCCAGCCAGTTAGCGGGCTATGTCAGCGCACGTTTCCAGGTAGGGAGGGGCAACCGTAATTTTGCTCCGCGGGCCTCCCAGGCCAGGCCTGTTAATAAGCTTTGGACATGATGCTTCTTCCTGTGGCTGTAATTGTGTACTTCACATCCCAATGCTACGCCTTCTCTTCTGCATTGCATTGTAACCTCCCACGACATTTATATCTACTTTGTATTCTTTTGGTCGCTCGCCGTCGCACTCCTCCTGTTGATCCCCAATCCCAATCCCAATCCGCCACCTCCCGCAGCTGTCGAACAGTCGTGAGGCCAATCGGATACAATTGCCGTGCGATCGAGGTAGGCATTGTAATTCGTCCGTTTGAAAAATGTCGAGCCAGCCCCTTCTTCAATCTGCACCTGGTACGTAGTAACTATGTCCTCGTCCGTAAGCTGTAGCATCAGCAAGCTGCGCTCTGCCGGTCAATCAACGTCAGCCATTAGCTACATTGCTAACATCCCGCCTCCCTCCAGGAAAGCGAATTGCCCTCCCAACTCGAGTCGAGCCAAAAGTATTCTTTGCGAACGAACGAACATTCCTATCATGGCTCAGTTTGGGCGTGGTTATTGGTGCCCTCGGGATTGGGATGTTGAACTTCGGCGATAAACCAGCCTTCATCTCAGCCTTCCTTTTCACCCTCGCCGCGATGTTAACGATGATCTACGCCTTGGGCACATTCCACTGGAGAGCGAAATCAATCAGATTGCGGGGGCAGGCTGGTTTTGATGATAAGCTCGGACCGACCCTTCTCACGATTGTTATTCTTGTCGCCATGATCGTCAACTTCGTCCTCCGCTTTGCATACGAATCGAAGGACAAAAAACATGGAAAACCATGAGGAATTGGTTATGCATACAGAAAACACACAGGCGTTGGGGCACTGAGATATCATGAAATGTATTCATTTCGCACCATAGGGGATGTGGAGTTGGTTTAGGGACTCGGTCCGCTGTACATATTGCTCTTGTCATTCGGACGTAGTAGGTAATGAAAATGCCAGTCTTGAAACCATAAACTTTGAAGCGAAGCTATATAGTTCACTGCTATGGCATTAACGGATTTGGGGTTATATATGTACATGGGTATCTCAATACACGGATTCCGCCTTGACGCCAAAGTATAACGACCGTAAACCACCTTGGTATCTATCACACTCTAGGAACCCGACATTTGACCCCGCAAGTAACATCGGACGACATTCTCATTGAGTCAAATATACACGACAAGGTCCTCAGCCACTTTCCACGCGACCCGGTAATCCCAAGCCATTAGTTTGTTCCCTATAAAAGTATATATTAGTCAAGGTCCTTCTCCTTCATAATAATATTGAGCTCAGGCTGTCCAACATACCCATATTTCTTCCTAAGACTTTCAATCCTAACTCTCGAAAGGTACGTAGTCATTGTAGGAACTGCCCTGATCTTTGGTATATCTTCGATTGCCCTCTCAAAAGGCGTCTTCATGGTTTCAAAAGCCTCCTCATCCTGGTCACTCTCAGGATCTCCCGATGCATCAACCTCTGATGGTCCCTTCACTTCGCCAGATTTGTCAATGCCAGATTTACTCTCTGGTTTCTGTACTTTCTTCGGCTCAATGGTTTGATCAACGGAGTTGTACTGGAACCACTTCCCGCCATTTGAAGCAATCTCTCTTTTGGCAATCTCGACTATGCTGATCATCTTGGAGGCGGTCTTAGCCTTGGAATGAAGCATTATAACAGCTGGTTTTGCGGGAGGCACGGCTGGAAAATTTGCCAGCTGTTTGAGGGCCGAGGTGACCTTCTTTTCGATTTGGGAGGATGAAATGATATGCATCGGTAAGACATCATGAGTGGTTGTGAGATTGCCATAAGGTGGAGGAACGTTGGCCGATGCAGCCGCTGGGGGCTTTATTGAAGATTCATTTTCGGAGGCAGTCTCATGAATCTCTTCTGGCGATGGGCTTTCGTTGCTGGAGGTCCTGTTTGTCTTATTCCTCTTGGATGGTCGGATATCTGAAGAATTGGGGTTTCCGCCCTTCCTTCTCTTTGGCCCAGAATTTAGGTTCTTTCCGTCCTCAGTCCTACTATGCTCACTGTTGATGTGCCCCGCGAGGCCACCCCTGGTGTTGGCCTTGGTGCGTCCCATGATATAAATTTATGAGTGCTGCTGTTGAGAATTGAGATCTGAATCCGACTAATACGATGACTCGTACTCGTACAGCACTTCGGAATGTGGAGTGGGTTGGGTTTGGCAAGCGAATCCACGACGACTGGCAGTTGACACACCGGAGACCGCCCTGTTACAGGAACACCACGACTACTCACTCATACGGAGTAAACTTCTGTGTTTCTCTATCCATCGTCTACAATCATTCATAGTCGTCTATACTACCTAAGTACAATAAGTCTTGGATCGTATTCTGAGTATATATCAAAGCGCACAGAAGACCAAGCTTATTAGAGTTTTCTTTCGAACACCATGCCGCCCAGACCTCAAACCGCAGAGTTAGCAGGATAGATACAGTTTGAGCAAAGAACTCTGCTTGAGGGGTGCTGTTAGGAGAACTGCGGTATCATTGCAGACCATATCAAAAACAACACTGCACATTCATTTTTTATTATATTCATGCCGGATACTGACGTAGATCGTCTCTTGAGCTGTTTCTTACCTGCGGTCCCCACAACTCAGCCGCAACCTAAGCTCCTACTTCGAGATTACTTTCGCCTTGCTCATTTTGATACAAGAAGAACCAAGATAACGTCTAATTCCTATCCGAAAATATGTAGATATCCCAAGACCATACGCCCGTAGAACCTATTTGCCGGCCCAAGGACGGAGAAGGTAGGTAGGTATGTTTCTCGGTTACCTCCAGGTTGACTGGAGAAGCCTCCTTAAACAGAGAAACTCCAATGGTACCCCATTATACGATCCTTGCTTATTCAATTGTGATTCATCTTGTGATTTCGTCTACGTTAGATACCTAGGGAGGCCCTTTTGAATTCGCCAGAGTTTAGTTATGGTTATAGCAAGAGCTCTGTGCTTATTTAGATATTCTATTGAACTTATGAAGCATTCTCTCTGTCGATACACGCGTAGGGATATTGTGTATACTTTTCTTCCTTTATGTTCAGACTATGCCGTATCTTATCCACGCCACAAAAAGTTTAATCCCCACACCACTGTTTCGGTTTGGGGGCCAAGGTGGGCATTTCTCGTTGCCCAAACACTGGATCCTCTCGATCCCAGTTTAGCTTTTGGGTTTCCCTTGTCAGGGTGGCAGAGAGATGCGTTGATTGCTCTTTCCGAGCTTACTATAAAATCTGGGCGTTCCCCACATTGTCTCCCGGCAGCACGTTGCAACACATAATTAGGTATGAAGCACTGGGTACTCGGTGACGGCGTCGGGCTGTACTTAGTGCTGAGGTTGCACATCCGAAGCAAGGAGCGAGGAGCCAGGAGTACGTAGTCGGTGGAGCACGCCACGCCATGGGTGGGTGTGGTGCGGGGTCCATCGTCCAGTCTGGGCCATTAAAAGCCATTGATAGCTGGGAACTTGGGCCACTGGCACTGGCACTGCCATTGGCACTGTATTTGTATTATTGTTATCCCCCCCCCCCCCGGTTCCCCGATGGGTCCATGGGTTCCATGGGTCCAGGTCCAAGTCCAAGAACTCCCCGTTCCATTGTCTTGTCCCAGTCATCGCCATGCTCCATCTCCATCGCCAATATTACCAGGTGCCAACTTCCAACAACACAGCAAACAAAAACACGGCGCACGCCTGCGGCATTTTACGTTCGTGTTAATAAGCCGCCCGTATTACCGCGCGGACTCGCTGTAGTTCTCCATATTTCCCGCATAATCTTACTCCCAGCGCCGCCTCCTATTGGCCACCGTCTCTATATTCTGGCCTCTACGCTCGTATTATCTCGTTATCTGCCGTATTCTAGTACCAACACCCCCTTACTTCGTGCTGAGCACGGAGTCCCGTTGCTCGTTCGTTCCAAAAACAACTCCTCCCCTTCAACCACCTTCAACTTTCGCCCGTCGCCTTATTCCATTCCCAACCCGACCACTTTGAACACTTCAAACACTCCTATTTCTGACACCTGGTTCCCGCCCATGTCAAGTTTTAATACATCTCCCTTCTTATACCGATCGACCTTGTAATACCTATCGCGCCTTCCTCTCCTTCTTCTGTTCCACGACGACCCTATCTTATTTTTTGCCTTCCCGTCTCGCCCTGTTACGCCGATCTGCTCGCTTTATCAGCGTTTCGTCGCAGCTGCCTCGCCTCGTCATAACATTCGCAACCTCTCGCCACGACGGCAACATTCCATTCTCCGCACTCCTTACGGTCGCATTTTCCACTATACGATTTTTAATTAACAACCACCCTTGTACAAAGGTCGGCGCACCATAGGCAACCGACCGTGCCATTCTCAGGCGCATCGCATACTGTTTGCGACCGCAAATACCCCAGCGTGCTGTCACGGTCACAGAACACTAACTGTGAATCCGCTCGCGATCTAACTTCGCCACTATTCACCACAACACCCCCCGGGATCCATGAATGTGACCGCGATTTAAAAAGCCATACCCCGCCGGCGCCACGTCCTCCCCAAGATCTTAAAGCGCCTGGTCGCGCCATCCTGCGATAGGGCAGCCGCGACCTACTACTGTATGCGAATGTTCCGACTCTCGTCTTGGATCTCTGAATCCAGGGGCTGCGATAAGGTGGTAAATGGAGATGTGGACGACAAGATGGCAAATACCACTCGACCTGTGGTGGAAATCTGGCCAGGAGCGTTGTCAAAGCGGAAAAGGGACGCCTGCGCCGATGCGCCGCATGTGATAGAGGAGCCTGGAAAGGAAACGATACACGATGCCAAACGTAGGAAACCACCTGGACCCAGTGGCGACGAAACCACGCAAGGTTCAGAAGATATCACGGAACCCCAAACAATAGCTGCTGAACGGAAAGATGATGTTACTATTCGTCGAATTAAAGACACCATCGAATCGCAGCTCGGCCTTGAGATCCTGCTGAAGCACAACGAGTTACGTCTGATCAACCAGGAACTTGCCAAATGCCAAATCGCTTTGGAGCAGTTGCGTCGTTGTCATCTGATTCCTTATCCAGCGTCTCAAGGAATGCCAGAGGCGATGCTGAATGTCATGAATGGCACTGGTGCAACTGTTGGCCAGAAAGACAACGTACCACAATGGGCGCCGCCCTACGGAGTGGCCGATGGTCCGTACACGAGGCATTATTCAAAATGGCTCATTCCGGATCCCAGTTTTGATGGCGTGCATCTTGACTGGCAGCGAACTCCTGATGGATCACGTGCTGGAAAGACCGTGCCAGAAGGTCGTGCTACCAGATATAGCCTTGCGGAAGGGAATACGCCCGGAAGCAAATCTAGGACTCAAAGAGGCTCTGCAGGGCAGAAGCTTCAGGCCCTATCCAGCGGCTATCCTCCAGCCAAGGAGAAGACCGGTCCATGTGTCACCAAGCGGTCAGATGGACAACTTGTCAAGCTTGTATGTCTCGACTGCAAGCGGGATAACTTTTCTAGCACGCAAGGATTCATAAACCATTGCCGTATCGCCCATCGGCGAGATTTCAAGAGTCATGAAGAAGCAGCCGTGGCTAGTGGCCAACCGATTGAAGTGGATGAGGTTGGTGTCATAGCCGGGGACGACAAGAGCCCAGCACCTGCTCCACCAGCGTCTGGCCTTGTGCATCCTCTGATCAGATCCGCTCCCGTCGAGAGAGAGGCCTACGTCGACCTCCTCTCTCGAATAGAAGCGTCCATGGATCTGTTTCGCCAAGGAAAGCTCCCTGGGGTTACATCGATACCAACAGGCCTGCCGTCAACGCCGTTGCCTAAATCCAAGACGAAAGAAGCAACCAAGCCAAACAAGAACTTTGTGCCTTCATCGGATACCTCGCGCCTCTCGGATCTAATGCGTAGTAGGGGTTTTGGCTCCAATCTCGCTGAACTTGTTACCGAAGCAAAGACACCTGTCGACTTCGAAGCAGCATTCTCGTCACACGACGAAGACTCTGACGATGGGGAGCGTACACCGCAACGCCCTATCGGAGGCTTGGATGGCTCTGACTCACCACCTATGCCTGCTATGCGGGTGCCTGCTCGAGCTAACGTACCTCCAGCGCCATTTGGTCGTCCAGGGAGCAGTAAGGGTGTTGACAGTAAAACTGGTCGGAAACCAGGGCTGAGTGCAATATCGCCGCGACTATCTCATGCCACTCCAGTTATTAGCACCACAACGCCTATTGTGTCTCCCCCAAGACCCTCAACACATCTTGTTACCCATCAACTCCATGATCATATGGATCCTCATCACGATGATCATATGGATTTGGATATGATGCGGCATCATTCAATCAACGACCTAAGTCCGAATACAGTGGCGAGTAACAATGCTCCGAGCTTGGTTAGTGACGATGGAGAGTATGAGGAAGGGGATGATGCCGACAGCGTTAATTCTGGCAACGACGAAGACAGCGACGTTGCGGAGATCGATATCGATGATGACGGTGTTGAGAAGGTTGTCCCCAGAACGGTATTGAGGAACCGAGCTGGTAGCGGTGGAGACGGGGTGAGGCTAAGGAAAGAAGATAAACATGTTACTTTTGTCAGTCCAATGAAGGAAAGCGGGAAGGGACGGAGAAAATGATTTCGAAAGGAGCGAGACTACCCCTTCTGCTACGTCCGGGTATGATTTTCGGGTGTTTATTGCGAGCTTATTGCTACGACCTAAGACTCTTCTCTTCACTTAGAATTGTTGCATGATAGAAACAGTACACATTCAACTCTGCTTAAGCAGTTTAGCGATTATGATATATATGTATAAAAGTTTTTAATAACTCAAGATCTTGGCATGGATTCTTCAGCTCCGTTGCACACTGCCGCTTTGAAAGCCAATGCTATTTTCCTCATCAACCGTACCCCTCTGCTTCTTAATCTCCTCCTTTAACTTTTCGTTTTTAATCTCTAACTCATGAATCCTTGCTTCCAACTCCTCGGCGTTCTCTTTCGAAGCAAGACTAAACTCCTCAATAATCTTAAAGAAGCGCCAGAAACGCAGGATAATCACCAAGGAAGCAACCTCTCCAAGAACACCACGTAGCACCACATCAATGACAAAACTAGCAACGATGACCGCGGCATCGAATGACCGGAACCATGATTTGAAATACCTATCCCCGTAGAGGTTAGCCAATTAGATCTCGCTCTATTTTTAAACCCAGCTATGGCAACAAAGCCTAAATTCTAGACATATGTCTACAGGAGGGGAAATTGGGTTGTCAAACCTAAATCCAAAAATCCAAAAGCTCAACATCAGCTCTAGCAGGAAGATGCAGGAGAATACAAGGCCCACTATAGCTAGGCTGTCACGAGCATGCTGCAAGCGATGATCCAAGCCGTGCGACATTTCCAGATTGTCGCATTGGTACAGGTTTATAATTATATCGGCGAAGATAGCTAGTAGATCGCAGGAGACGAGCACTAGAACTGTGTAATGCTGCGCGTGGGAGGACAGGAATTTGTATACCAGAGTGCGAGACCTGCTGTAGACTGATTTTAAGCGTGTTCCGAAGGCGGAGGAGGAGCGGGATCCAGTGGGCATTGTGAGCGTGCAGGGCGGTAGCTGTACGTTGATTAATGGTTGAGTCTCTGCCATCGATATATATGTGGTTCGTTTTAGGTGAAGATGGACGCTTCCTGTGGTCGGAGGTATAATAGCTGCTTATGGTACCTAGGTAGGTACGTAGTGAAAGTATGATGGATTGCACGTCATTAGTGGGCAGGACGAGTAGTGGCATACTTTGCTGCGAGACATTTTAAGTTCTCGAGTAGCCTTTCCAATTTGGTCTATTATTTACAATACCGTGATGTTCAATTGTGAATAAGCTTTCTTGCGGTCAGTAGAAAGCGGTAGGCATTCTCTTACCGCGGCCTTGGCGGCACAATCATTTCTTAGTATGGTAAGCCTCTTTTTATGACGAAGTTTACCTTGCTCGTCAACCTCAATTCCAACAGCCTTGCGCTCGCGAAAGCAAGACTCAACAACACATCAACAACATCAACCTTAGTTTATACACCAATTTCCCCCGCACATTTAGGGTGTAGAGGTAAGCATTACCTCATTCCCTGTTTCGATTTCCTCGGCGCTCCGCCGTGACACCTTTTGTGCTTCGATGCAAAGCACAATTGAGCTTTAGCTTGAGCTTGGTGGTAGTCACCTTCGCAACCCATTCCTTTCGGTGTCCGGTATCGCGACAGGACAAAGGAAACGTTAATACAACCTATGTTTTCCGGTTCACTCCCTCACTCTTTGTATGAATATTTGCTAACCCCTTGTTGACGGCAGACTTTCTTTCTCCTACACAAACTACGCCCTACGTCGCCTTGTCCAACCGCATCCATCCATCCACGAGCATTAATTAAACATGGCGGACGCCGAGCATGAACACAAGGTTGAAGAGGAGGTTCCCGCAGCTGAAGGGGAGGTGAATGATGAGGTATGCGAACAGGCATTCACGAATATTTGCTAGATAGCTGACTCGACTGGTGCGCCGCAGGAGGAGATTTCCGAGATGAAGAAGAGAGTGGCAGAGATGGAAGAGGAGGCAGCAAAGCTCCGCGAGATGCAAGCAACGCTCGACCAGCAAACCAACGATATGCGAGAAGACAAGGAGGACATCGACTCGAGAAGCATTTTCGTCGGCAACGTAGACTATGAGGCATCGCCCGAGGAGATCCAGGCACATTTCCAGAGCTGCGGCTCTATCAACCGAGTGACAATTCTACTGGATAAATTCACCGGCCATCCTAAGGGGTTCGTTCCACGATTTCCGGTTTCCTGAGGCTATTGTTTGTTGCTGTTGTCGCGAACCTTTGTAATCAGTGCTACCTGGCAAGAGATGGATGCTAATCTAGGCTATGCAGGTATGCATATGTGGAGTTCACAGAGCCGAGCCTTGTCGCTCAAGCTCTTGTCTTGAACGAGAGCGTCTTCCGTGGAAGAAACCTCAAGGTCAGTTATATTCCCGTTGTACTCTCGCTCCCATGCTATACTAATCACCCTTGCTGCTACAGGTTGTCCCTAAACGCACAAATCTTCCTGGCATGACCCGCGGAAGAGGCCGAGGCGGTATGAGAGGTGGTGGTCGAGGCGGTGCTGGTGGTGGCTATACTCCCTATGGCCGTGGAGGCTTCGCGCCCCGTGGAGGAGGATACCGGGGTGGTTACAGAGGAGGACGTGGGCGCGGATATGCCCCATATTAGCTTCTACGACAAGATTCGGATTTGCTGAGAACTGAAAGGTGATTGGATGGAAAGCGTACGATAGATAGGTCACGAGCCATGCGTTGGTTTTTTTTAAAAAGGGCAGGGAATTCACCATGGGTTTAAGAATAGTGCTAGCTATCTAGGCACTTCTTCAGTATTAATAGGTCGGCGTCAAATGCTAAGCACGTGATCACATATGGAGTTGATTATCTTGTTGTCTTTTTATGGTGACTATTTGTGAACCCCGCGAACATGGCTACAGTTGAGATTCTTCCTGTTGGTGATACAAGATAGATATAGCTCAGAATGAAGTCCCAATTTAGCATATTTCGCTATTTTTGCATCACCGCTAAGTTCTGCCTTACGTGTAAGGCTATTTTAGCGGGGACGGGCTCGAGTGTGTTTGGCTTTGCCGCAGGAACCACCAAACGTATCATTCAAGTCATATATGGTATTATCAGCGCACCTGGAGCATCTCGAGTATTGATATCCGGAACGGTCATTCCCCAGCTTTTGGTTACGAACGTCGGGCCAAATCGAATCCGGCGTTGTGGCTGGCAAGGCTCTCCTTTGCTGCACAGCCCCCCCCAAGCCCGGCCCTGACGACCTCTCTCGAACGCCTCCGTCTAGAGCGTCAGTTATCCCAGAAACGCTATCAACTGCACGCTCTTTGAAGATCTGCCATCACTGAAGACGTTCCTTTGAACAGCGCCGCCATATTTGGCGCTCCTTCAACATGGCCAGCAGTAGCAGGATGGACTCGAACGTCCCCTCGTGAGTGTCCTTCCGAGCGTCATCAAGGGAGCATATACTGACCAACATCCAGACAACCCAATCTAAGGCTAACGAGTATGTTCCATGACCCATCCTCGCAGCTTACACACAGAGATCAATGCTAATCTATCATAGTCATCGCTGCCGATGGGCTATACAAGCGTGATGTCTTCCGTATGTCAGACTCTATTCTTGATAACTTGGCCACCTGCTGAACACATCTATAGGATTTCCTGACCCCTTCGCCGTGGCGACCCTTAACGGCGAACAAACCAAAACAACGAGCGTCATCAAGAGAACATTGAATCCATACTGGAACGAGAGCTTCGATCTGTGAGCATATGCGGTTGTCGAGCTAATTGGAATCTTATTGATACGGTCTTTAGGCGTGCTGGCGAGGATAGCATCCTGGCAGTTCAAATCTTCGACCAGAAGAAGTTCAAGAAGAAGGATCAGGGGTTCTTGGGCGTTATAAATGTTCGAGTTGGAGATGTTATTGAACTTGGTGGTGGCCAGGTTGATGGTAAGTGGTGTTGGCTTTTTAATTCACCTTTTGGTCCATCATCGGCCACGGCTGACGCTTACGACTCACAGAAATGCTTACTCGGGACCTCAAAAAGTCCACCGACAACTTGGTCGTCCATGGAAAGCTTATCATCAACTTATCAACCAACTTAGATGCACCTCCGCGAGGTAATTTGGCACCAGTGAACCCATCCAATTCGAGTCGGCCGTCTCTCCTAAACACACCCCAAGGATCTACTTCATCTGCATTCCCAGGTGCCGCCTCGCCGTCTCAAACTCCAAAGCCACCTGGAGTTATTATGGCAAATGGGTCTATGTCAACAGGACCAACTCCCGGACACGCACCCGCTGCTGGCAGTGCAGGTCATCCGAGCGCCAGTACCCACGTAAATGGTGCACCACCAGCTCGACAGACTGGTGCGTTTAGCTCTTTCGAAGATGCACAAGGGAGATTACCCGCTGGTTGGGAAAGAAGGGAGGACAATCTCGGGAGGACATACTATGTGGATCATAATACCAGAACCACGAGCTGGACCAGGCCATCGGCCTCTGGCACAGCTGAGACCCAGCGGAATGAGCGAGATGCGAATACCCAAGTCGAGCGCCAAAGACATCAGAATCGAACCTTGCCCGAGGATCGAACTGGTGCCAACTCTCCAAGCTTTCAACAGCAACAACAACCGCAGCAACCTGCAAATGCGGCCACCATGGTCGCAACTGGGGCAACCACAGCTGGCACTGGGGAGCTACCACCGCTCTGGGAACAAAGACACACTCCTGAAGGTCGCCCATACTTTGTTGACCATAACACTAGAACCACCACCTGGGTCGATCCTAGACGCCAACAATATATCCGTATGTATGGTGGCCAAAATGCAAACAATACCATTCAACAGCAGCCAGTTTCCCAACTTGGCCCTCTCCCCAGTGGATGGGAAATGCGTCTCACGAATACCGCACGAGTCTATTTCGTGGATCACAATACCAAAACAACAACCTGGGACGATCCACGACTTCCGTCGTCGCTCGATCAAAATGTTCCTCAGTACAAGCGTGACTTCCGGCGAAAGCTTATCTATTTCAGATCCCAACCGGCCCTCCGGATTCTTTCTGGTCAATGCCATGTCAAGGTCCGAAGATCTCATATTTTCGAGGACTCCTATGCTGAAATCATGCGTCAATCCGCCACGGATTTGAAGAAACGGTTAATGATCAAGTTCGACGGCGAGGATGGTCTTGATTATGGCGGTCTTTCGCGAGAGTTCTTCTTCCTTCTGTCCCATGAAATGTTCAATCCCTTCTATTGCTTGTTCGAATACTCCGCCCACGACAACTACACCCTTCAAATCAATCCTCACTCTGGTATCAACCCTGAGCATCTCAACTACTTCAAATTCATTGGCCGCGTGGTTGGCCTGGCTATTTTCCATCGTCGATTCCTGGATGCATTCTTCATCGGCGCTTTGTACAAGATGATGCTTAACAAGGCTGTAACATTGTCAGATATGGAAGGTGTTGACGCAGATTTCCACCGCAGTCTTCAGTGGATGTTAGATAACCCGATTGAGGGTGTTTTGGAACAGACCTTTTCAACTGAAGATGAGCGGTTCGGAGTGACCCAAGTGGAAGACCTCAAGCCAGGTGGAAGAGACATTGATGTTACAGATGCGAACAAGAAAGAATACGTCGATCTGATGGTCAAGTGGAGGATCCAAAAGCGCATCGATGAGCAATTCCAAGCATTCATTGCTGGGTTCCATGAATTGATCCCAGCCGAACTGGTTAACGTTTTCGACGAGCGAGAACTCGAGTTGTTGATCGGTGGTATTGCAGAGATTGATGTTGATGACTGGAAGAAGCACACCGACTATAGAGGCTACACCGAGTCGGATGAAGTCATCAAGTTCTTCTGGCAGACGATCAGGAGTTGGGATGGTGAACAGAAGTCTCGCCTGCTCCAATTTGCTACTGGAACTTCTCGTATTCCAGTCAACGGATTCAAGGATCTCCAAGGTAGCGACGGTCCAAGACGCTTCACGATCGAGAAGCAGGGCGAGGTCACCAACTTGCCTAAGTCTCACACATGGTATGTCCGCATAATCCTCATAGGTACCCCACTAATTGCTAACCCTTATTTAGCTTCAATCGCCTGGATCTACCACCATACAAGAGTCTTGAGCAGTTGCAAACGAAATTGACCATGGCGGTCGAAGAAACGATGGGTTTTGGGCAGGAATAATTTTGTTATTACAGGGTGGGGATTTCTTTATCATGGTGTCTTGTTTTTCATACTGAGTCCGGGAGGCTTTGGAGGCTGTCCTCAGAATTTAGCCTTGTCAGTAATGTGCCGCATACTTGGGATGTGGAAAGCGTTCGAAAAGCCTCTTGTGTACTTCGTACTTAGCATTCACTAGAGAGAGGTCTGGTGGCCATTGATGTCTTGATATGCCTCTACTAGGTACCGCATTTAATTGGCATACACAGCGACCCATATGTCCAATGTATAGGCCGAAATGGTGACTGCAGGTCAGATTGCCCCAGAGGTTAGGATTACGATCAAGTCATACTGTGGCTCCGGTCATCGTACCACTCCACACTAGAACTATCTACTCCTTCGTCTATTCTCTGGCCTACCGTTGTGCCCGCATTCTCAACGCTCCCGAGGCCAATGCCTTCACCCAGTGTTACCAGTCCCCGCAGCCAGCTTATCGTGACTGCCAGTCAACCTGTCAATTGAGTCTCGGCCCAGTCAACAAGCAGACCTAAGCTACTGTAGCCACTATCCACCAGATAGCGCAATTAATAATTTAGAGTGCTTGTTGTGAGACTTCATGAGCCGTGTCGGAATACCTCGGTACTGTACGAAGTATAAAGGGGCGAGACGCGGTGATGGACCAATCAACGCGTCGACACTGGAAGCAACACAGCGTGGTCTGTATCACAAAAGCAAAAAGCCGGGTTAAAACATGGTCTAAATGACGCCGTTGTCTAAAACTACTCCGAACTGGGCAATAACTGTACCCAGAACACCTGTAACCTATGAGGTTGCCGTGGTGTTCAGGTGGCATCGTGATGTGGTTGCTGGAGGGAAATTGGGCGCTGCCCAGGCTCAATGCTCCGGTAGCACTATTTTTATTGACTACGGTATTTATTTATGAACACAGTGCTCAGACCCCCCCAGTGCTTAATTTCTCGAGCTTTCTCCTCACTTCTCCTTTTCTCCCATCCTCACTCACGTCACTCCACTATCGTTGAACTGTTGATCGTCTAATCTCTTCGCCTGTCGTTACTAAACAGAATACTTACACGCTATTAATCCGTCTCTACTTCTACTTCCAATCGCAATCATGCAATTCCTTCTTCCCGTTTCCCTCCTCGTCGCCGTTGTCGCGGCGCAGAGCACTTTCACTGCCCCAACATCACCAACGAGCACCAAATGTGCTGCCCAGGGCGTCCTCGATCAGTGCATCACCACCAACATGGGCTATGTGAATTCATGCGCAACATCAGACTATAGCTGTTTGTGCCAGAAATGGGGCGACGTTCTAACGTGAGTCTCGTCCGATCTGCATCTGCACGCTCCCGATTCTTATGGGTCGAACGCCTCGCCCCGGCCCGTCGTATAGATGATCGATAGGAATGCGAATCTAAATGCTAATTGATACCTCCTCGCTTCTTAGTTGCTACCTCCAATGCCCCAACGACCCCAACTTCAGCGGCGCGCAAAGCTCGAAGGCCACTTACTGCCAGAACGCGTCCGTCTACGCCTCGACCACCACCAGCGCCGCTGTCTCCAAGGCCGTGTCTCCTACTGCCACCTCGGGCGGGGCTGCGAATACCGATGCCGGAGAATCGGGCGCTGTCAAGACTCCTAGCGGTACCGGGTCAAGCGCAAGCCCGTCAGCATCTGGGAAGAGCGGCGCTGATAATCTGGCCATTGGTGCTGGATCTGTCATGATGGGTCTTGCTGGTTTGGTTGCGGCAGTTTTGTAAGGGTGGACTGTGTTGCTGAAGGAAATACTATGTAGGATCTAAGTTCGGGTACCTTCTAGAGTGCTAGTTGGGGATTTGTCGGATATATATGTGGAATATGTATTGGAGCTTTGGATATTTTGCCATTTAGCGGGTTGGGTTTTGAGCCATTGGGATGATGATCACCTTGCGGCAAGATGTGGATGTGGAGTGTTGCTATCGCGTCTTGACATAATTTGTTGCAAGCGGATGGAATATGTTAATTTGGACTACGTAACATAAAGTAATACTAAATATTTAACATCGTCGAATTTGAGCTATGTGATGATGGGCTCTCAAGAGGAGCCTAGGTTGCCTATCACATGGTCTAACACTAATGGAGCAAACGGGAGTGACAGGATTTGGTAATCTTAACCATGAACTAATACACCAACACATTAATAGGTGCGGTAACCAAAAAATCACTCCTATGAGTATTCACACAGGGTCCTCTCTTCCGTATTATCTTCTTGCGGTACATGTAAAACTTGCAATGTTTTTCATCCTTGACCCTCGTCCCTATACAACATGGAAATCTAGGACGCCAGCCAAGAATTAATAGATATAAACTCCTGCCGACTCTGAGGCTTTTCAAAACTTTGCATATAACCCTTCTCTTTAGCTTACAAAGTCGAGGAATTTTCTCCTAAAAACCTCCCTCAAATTCATAATCGTCTCGCCTCGCTTAGAAAAGGGGGAAAGGTGCGATGAAAACACTTCTTACGCCAAAGCGAATTCAAAGGTAACAAGTGAAAATGAGAACGGCAAATAGTATACAATTACTCGAACTATTAAGAGCAATTTAAAAAAGTGATCGAAGACCAAAGTGGACTGTCAGATAGTAGGCTAAAATGGGCAAAAGCAAGGCACCACTTACCTGATGACGGGCTTTCACCTGGGGGCCCTCCTTAGCTGCTCACCAACTTACCTATTAAATGGCTTTTGTGTATTTTGATTCGTATAGTACTGCATCTCAAGGGTGTGTCTATGAAAAACAATGTTGTTCTGGTGGCATACTGCCTCCTAACGACTTCGCCAACCGAAAAAGAAAACCGAAAAAAGATTAAGATAAAAGGTATTCGATAATTAAAAAGAGCAAAAATCCAGGGAGCGCCGAAGCGCCCGCCCCTGGTTAAAACCAGACGCACTGAGTTTTAATTATTTTGGGCTGAGCCTTTTTCGAGATCTCTCTAAGAAAAGACAGGAAACTCTCTCCAACATCGCACACACAATTTGATCTGTACCACCTCGCCAAGTGGTCAGCCCTTGTGCCGATTAACTAGTTTTGCCTTATTTGGCTTTATATAGGAGGGTGTGGTGGGCGTTGAGAGGGCGGGCGGTGAGAAGTGGTAGCGAGCGAAGGCGGTGGCTATTGTTGTGAGGCGGGTGGCTTGTCTTCTTGAGTTGGTAACCACCTAAGGTACACCTAGCTATGAATGATACCTACCTTGACCTGTTTTATAGGGGTCGTTCCAAGTGTCTCGCTTCGGGTGCCGGAATGGGAAGATTTTGAGGTGATTGAGTTGATTGATTTTCCTATCTAATAAGTGGGAAGCCTATAAATATAGGCAAATGGAATGTGCCAATACCTGTGCATTCCAAGATTTACATGACCGAGCTATTCACCTGTTGCCAGTCCTAATTACTAGCAAAACAGGTGCTCGGACTAGTCGAATTGCTCGTATCACCCATTTGGGTGATTGCTCCGGATCTTGATAATATCCCAGTGGCTTGGCAGGAGATCTGTGGGGACTTCTCACCGATGGGCTTTCTTTCATGTACTGAGGTGGTTCTAAAGATTATGTAGCTGCTGCACCAAAACAGGGGGTTTGCTACGGGTGCGGTGGTGGAAATCATGAACATTAGGTCCAGGTCATTGAAGTTCAACATATAACTATCTAACACAAGGAATGAAAACCTCTCCTACTACTTTTGGTTGATCTGAAAGACATCAAGGATAAATATGCGCCTGTCTCTCGATACAAATAAATATATTAAGAAGCAGCACTAACCTAGCATGAATACTTGTCGACCATGTTATAATTTTTGTCTCCACGCCACCTTATAAGAAAAATTGAATCGGTTTTTTTGAATTATATCTACTCGTCATATTAAGGCAATAGGAGATTATAGCTGGGCCGGGGCTAAAATTACGACAATTTCATGCTTTTAACCTATAACATTAGCTACAAGCACTCTATGCTGTATATATGGATTGTAACTGTGGAAATCAAGTAACAAACGGTCTTTGATTGTGTGATGAGACAAGAACGGGACAAGCAAGTAAAGGTTGTCTAGAGAGTAAGAGGCAGGTCTAGGGACATATGATTTACCATTTAATATTGGGATTCTACTATAGCCATTTCAAAAGTATTTGTTAGCAAACTGTCAAACGTAACTTGAGTTGTACCTAATTTTATTTAGAAAAGTGGGCAAAGATGTTATATCCGCAATTTAAAGGAGTTAAGGAGACTAAGGGTGAGGGGAGTCACACAAAATATATAGTGAGTATGGACTAGATACGTGAATTAAGAGAGCCTTGGGTAGAATTATAAAAGGCTTAAAGAGTGTCGTGGGAGTCCCTTGAACTGAATCCTCTCTTTAAGCCCCACGAAGCTACCCCTACAAAAACACCTCAAGGTGTGTCGCCACAACACTTCAGATTGCTCGGCCCCAAGTCGGCCAATTACCTTGTTTTAAAGTATCCAAGAATGCAACTAGCTTGTATCCTAAGTCCCAGGAGGGGAAGCCTCCTAGTTATCTACAGTGGAAAGTGGGCGCTAGGCCCGGATAAAGACAAAGATCCAGGAAGCCACAAACACCAAAAAGGGCTCCTGGCAGGAGGTTCCAAGATCAGGGCAAACAGCAAACAGGGGATCTAACAGGAGACTCCTGGAAGGAGGCCCAAGGCAAAGTAAAATACAGCCAATATCAAGACTTTGTTTTGGCAAGACAAAGACTGGAGAGGGGAGGAATTAGAGTGGGAATAGGTGATTCATCTACCTATGTGATGGTTATCTGCCAATTGAGCCCGAAACAAAAATTTAAGGCTTCTCTTGATTCGCTTCTTTTAATTAAGGAACGATATTCTCGCCAGAAGCATCAAGATTTCGTTCTTTCGATCAAAGAATAACATGTTAGCGAGGATTGTTCCAACTGTTGGAAACTAATCTCTTTGATATTCGTTCACAACATATCATTTCCGGCCACTCAGCAGAATTACTTTGATTCCTCAGGTAAACCTTTGTCTGTATAGCCAACAAACAGTTATTTGCTTATATATAGTGAGTCAGTAGTTGGGCACTGCCCCTGAGTTCAATTCTCATGACCATCACTTCCACCGCGAACTTAATCCACACAGCATACCCATTATTTCCACCGCAAACTTGATTCACTCAACATACTCATCATCCAAAACTCAACTCATGATGGAGCGTCAAATTCGAAAATTCATTCAAAAGCACTTCATCCACATACTTGTTTACCAAGTAATCATGTTCACCATCCTTTTCGTCCTAATACGATTTGGAGCAGTTGGTTTGTTCCCCTCCTCCAAATATTTGGAACGTAAAACTAATAATCTCTTAATAGAAGCGCCGGCTCTCACCAAGCGCTGGGGAGGCTTTGATTCTCGCCCAACGTCGAATCGATGCTATGCTCAGGAACGTACGGCCACCCTCCTATCATATATTTTGGGTCCGCTGGCTGTGGACCAATTTTACGCTCACCACTGGGTCCTGGCTGTTTTTAAACTACTCACCTTTGGTGGTCTGGGATTGTGGTGGTTTATAGACATTATTTTATGGATTGTTGGTGGTGTCTACGGAACACCTGGTTGCCCAGGGGGTTACCATGGTGTGTAGGAGATAACCGGGCCCTGGAGGAGGCCGTGCTAGCCCTTGAAGGGTTCAACTTCAAAGATTTGGCAAGGCTGCAGGGAGATACTTATGGCGAACTAAATTGAGAATCGCTCGATGGATGACTTTGAAATTGGGGATATTTGTGGTTGTCGAGCTCTATGGCAGCGTTGTCAAGTATGGATAGCGTAACTTCGTGATAAATTGCAACAAAAAATCCCTTCCCACGCCTGGTGCCAGTATTAGAATCAAACATAACGGAGGTGATATAGGGAGCTTATTCGGGTCCCGAGCCCGGTGAGCTCATTCTGCCCCCCACTTAATTCTTGTTGCCAGAGTTGGCACCGTTCGATTGGCAAGGGCTTGGTGACTAGAAGTGACACTGTAGATAAGGCATGTAGATTCCACCACTGAGGATGGCGCTCCGTGGGTGAAGCGGCGGTGAACATATCAGCGGGTGGTCATGTGTATGCGGTTCGGCGGCCCCAGAAGCATGAAGGGTTCTACGGTTCGGAGGCATATCTGCTCTGGTATCGTTCTGTGTTTGTTCTGGTTCTGGTCGATGCTTTGGGATCTGCTCTCATGATTACCTGGAAGCCGACGATAGGTGGGAGGGAGGTACTGTACATCGGGACTAGGTAATCTTACAAAGGGTAATAATGTACCCCGCGGTTAGCGGGTCGTAGGGTGCGACTCGGTGCGACTCGGTGCTACTGCAGAAAGATCTCGCTATCTCGCTATCTCGCTGATTCACTTGCCTACATATCGCAGTTACATATCTCGCAGCTTAAAAATTAAATTCCGATCGATGGGCCCACTACGACGCCACGCAATGTTTGCATCTGGGCTCTCTGCCCTTCTGCCGGCTTTTATCCTTCCAATAGTACAGAACCAGCAATAGTCCAAAGTCCAACGTCCAAGCACACGAGCACGGAGAGCGCCGCAGCCATCTGCCGAGGCCTTAGTGGGTGGGGTTGATAACTGGATCAGCTCTGCAATTGGGGCGCAGACTCGCCGTCCACTCTGTACGTGCATGGACATGTGCAAGACGAAAGTACTCCTACCGTGAACAGGAACAGGAACAGTTTTCTCCTCCTCCTGGAAGCGCCTTCACGAGCATTTTAGCATTTTAGTATTGGCATTGGCTTTGTCCCCGCCTTGAACTCGTTGCAATCACTGTCGTTTCTCTGCTGGCAAGCCCTCGGCAGCAATTGGAATTTCGGCCAAGAGGCGAAACCTTGGAAGGGCGACGCCACTACCACAATTCGAATTGAGCAGAGCAGGATCGATATACGAGTAAGACGTGATCGCTATCGCAGATATCAATTGCCATCGTGGCCTCGCACAGAAAGAAAAGGACTTCCACCGAGGTTCTTGCCCCAGGGAATGAAGTACGGAGAAAACCTCGCGGCGCGATCAGTGCCGCAATGGGCACCCTGTGAGTCCAGGCACAAGTCCCAAGTACGCATCGCAATTCTGACCTCTTCTACGTATAGATAACATAGATTATGATACCCTCAAGCATATGATAAAGGCGAACACTACGAGAAATGCAGCCCAAGCCGTAGCCATTCCAGGACACCTTGACGATACTTTGCGGAGATTCGAGAGTCAGTTCTTCGACGAGCTGTGCAATCAACATGAACGGGTCGATCTTTTTGTCAGGAGCAAGGCCGATGAGATCCACCGCCGACTTGGTAGGGATATGGATGTCTTATCCCTAAGGAGTGCATATGGTGTTAACCGGAAGATAGAATTCGTCGAAAAAGCAACTCGCCGGCTGCTGGATCGATGTGCAAACGCCAATGGCAGATTTATATCCCAGAGGAAGCTTGAGAAATTTGCAAAATACGAAAATCGAACCATAAGGTAGGGAAGGCGGTGACCGTGTAGCAAGCTATTCTGAGAAAGTGTTAACGCATGCTAGGTGCGGGGATGATATCCGATTACTGGAACGTTTCGTGAATGAACAACGGGTGGCATTTTACAAGATCTTGAAGAAATACAAGGTATGCTAGTAGAACCCAGGCTTGCAGCTACCATTATACACACCCAGTGCTAATGCTAATCTATGCTTGTAGAAATGGACAGGATCTAGGTCAGTAGGCGACCGCTTTAATCAAGAGGTTCTCAACAACCCCAAGAGCTTTACAAAGATGGATTTCAGTCCCTTACACTCTCGATACACTGAGATCGTCAGCTTCCTCCGCACATCTACTCCTGAAACTAGCGAACCTACCACTCCAATGACAGCATCGCGTCAATCGAGTGCGGGACCAGCCCAACGTGCCACACCAGTATTAAGTTACTGGAACGAATACGACGACCCGAGTGATGGAGAGAACGAGCCATATATGATCTCCGTTCGCCCAGAGCCAGAGACCCGTTTCCCCGGCGCAAACGCCCTCAGCTATATAATCTCCCAAGCCAGGGGCCCAGTCGAGAAAATCAAGGGGCTGTTGAGCCCAACCCAACATCATCCCTCCGAGCGACAGCCTCTAATACAAGACCGACACTATTTCCCCGAGCAGCAAAGCACACTAGATACCACGGATGCAGAAGACGACGCATCATCCTGCGACTTGCCCTCCAGCGGGTACATCACTCACTATGCCACCACCATCCCCAGCCTGAGCGATCAAAAGAACTCTAGGAACCGTGAAACGCTCCTCTTCCGCTCCTGCATTGTCTGTTTTACGGCCGCTTTTATGTTCCTCTTTGTGGCCGGCATGCTCGCTGCTACAGGTCGTCGTCGTCTGCGCGCCGAGGTTGATGCCGGTGTCATTACCGGCGTGGTGGCCAGTCTGTTCTTTGGGATATTAGCCTTCGCATGCATGTTGCATCGGGGGGATAGGCTGGATTGGCTACATAGGAGTTGTGTTGTTGTGACTTTTACGACAGTTTGCGTGTTAGATGGGATAATGTTGGTGTATATTACGGAAAACATGATCCCATGAGAGGGGTGTTGTAACCCCGCGCATTTTCAGAACATCATGTTTCGCTATTCCAACAGTTTGGATGAGTGGAGATATTGATTACTCACCAACAACTTTCTTTTGTACAGGAAGAATACCAGGAGTGGGCATTTTGAAATTTCGGACGTTTTGGAGTATGTTGGATTAATCTGGGTCTTTTTAGTAGGCAGGCCTGTTCAAACGAAATGATGGCCATGGGATGAATCATAGATTAGCTGATTAGTATATAGCTGGCGGGGCCTTGGCTTATGAGAATGTACGTACTGATGTAGGTAAAGTAACAATAATACCAATGTACAGATCTGAGAGGCTTCCAACTCTTTTAAGCAGCGTGATTTGATTGAATCTATTCTTTTGATATACCATGGAGTAAAATGGAAAGTAGCCAAGTTGGTATAAAATTGAGCCTTTTGAGGAGTTTTTCTTTGCATGTAAATTTTATGGCTTCTATTATGCGGTATAGAGTCAGGCAAAGCAAGGAACAGCTCCTCAACAAATATGCGCCACTACTATGCCACTTCAGCACCCGCCTACTTCCCAACTATACTAACCACACTAGATCAGCTATTTAGCTTCCAACAATAGTCCCGCCATTGGGATGCAACGATTGGCCGGAAATGAAACTACTATCCTGGCTCGCCAAAAACACAAAACATGTAGCCACCTCACTCGGCTGTCCTGGTCTGCCCATCGGACTCGTGAAATTCCCCTGAGCCTCTTCAGTCATAGTCGCGGGGATTAGCGGCGTCCAGATCGGGCCAGGACACACAGCGTTTACTCGAATTCCCTGCTTCAATTGTTGGTTTGAGAGGCTGCGGGTGAAAGCTACGATGGCGCCTTGGTGGAGGTGTAGTCCAGCAAGTCGGGGCGGCCTATATAGTGGTTTATGGAAGCACATGTTATTATGGCATCGCCGGATTTCATGTGTGGGAGTGTGTATTTGGACAGGAAGAAGAAGGGGTGGATGTTGGTGTTGAATGTTGTCATCCATTGCTCTCTGAGTTGGAAAAAGAGTATTGTCAGTATAAGAACGGTAGCAGCCATAAGTAGTCTTCCTTGGGCGGTGGTTCTGGCGAGGCGGGATATAGACCTACTCGCTGATATCGTCAATAGACTGTTGCATCATCTGGTACCCATGATTCAAAACCAATATATTGATCCGTCCCATGATCTGAAGTGTCTTATCCACAACACTCTTACATGTCTCATGGCTCCTTAAATCAGCCCGGATGAGATGTATCTCTCCGCCCTTCCGTTCAACTAATTCCTTCGTCTTCTGTGCGTCTTGTTCTTCTTCGGGCTTGTAGACAATGATGGACTCGGCGCCTTCCATGGCATAGAGAATTGCTACTGCTCGACCAATACCACTATCGCCACCGGTAATGAGTGCTTTCTTGCCAGTTAATTTTCCTGTGGCTTTATATAGTTGGTAGCCACCGCTTTCGGTGGGCAGTTGGTCGTTGACTGGGGCTGGCGATGGCATCTTGTATTGCTTGCCAGGAACTTCCATTTTAGAGACGGGGACATTGTGGCCTATCATATTGTATTCATTATTAGAAATGCTTCGAGGTAAGATGGATGGGCATATCTTACCCTTATCAAACTGAGAAGACATCTTGAGTTATGGGGCTTCTTTTACTTTCACGGTTCGAGGTTGAGATCAACTGAGGGGGGACTACCACAAACATGGAATATAATTATGGCTCGACGTTGGAAAAACATCAGAATGCTAAGAGTATGAGGACGATAATTACCCACTAATCCAAGGCGTATTATCAAGATAGGATTGATCTGCGATTTCGGACTTAATTTTGAAAGAGTTGAAAATCGATTTGACGCAATTGAAATAAACGTCACATACCCACTAAAGATCACCTAGGTCCCTCCGCTATTGAGGTTGGAACTCAATTAAGACTTTCACTCTACTAAACCCTAAACTTTTGGAACTTCACTCGAGGTCTGGTAGAGAATTGATTTGAGCGACTTGGTCTCTGTACTCTGCGTTTTCAATAGGAAAGTTCGATATATAGGTATCCCTGGGATTCCCTAATAAATGTGACTTGACTACATTTCTGACCCTCGTATACAATACGTTGTCTCGGCGCAGATGCAAGTGCAAAACAATACTCATTTCCATTCACATCGTATCTTATCAACCGTTTTTACATATAATTGATTGAAAACTGGTGGTTCAAAGCTGAAGTAGGGAGAGCTATGACGTATATTATGCGATGTGTTGTTCATGACGTCATTCCCATTTGCCCGTGCCACATGCAACATTCATTATTGTCTCAGATCCTTCGGACTTTCAACCATAATACTTGGTTTATTTGGACCAACCAAAAGGCGGCTAAAGCCACATCAAAGCCACTCACCAAGCCCCAATCGTAAACCAGCGTCACCCCAGGCGTGTAACCCTCATGGGACGGGCCGCTATGCCCACCAAAACCTGCTTGTAATTTCGCTGACCACCCTATCTACGGAATATGCCCAACAGCAAGTATGCTATGTGAAACGACCGGGAATCGATGATCGAATGCGTGTTTAACTCAGGGACCTGCCGTTCACTCGATCGTAGCTATCGTCATAAGTTCATACCCCGACGAAGGCCAAGGCAAAATCTCCCACTAACAATCAACAATCCAGTTTGCGTAGCTTAATCCCCGTTGAACCCCCTCTTAACAAGCGCTATCGCCGTCACGATCGACACCTCCATGTCGATTCAGAGATCTATAATAACGCCCCATGAGCCCCTCTCTAGAATCCCCAGAACTTGATATCATACCTTTACTTACGCTCTTGGATTTCATATCGAATTATCAAGAAACACATCACACTACACTATCAACCCCATCAACACCACGCTCAATATCAGGAAATACCACGCCAGCATCTATAAACACAAAGGCTACCAGCATAACATATCCAGAGCCCAACAGGAACAACTCTATATCGGAAAAACCCCAAAATCAAGAAGGAACGGAATCAATAGTTAATATGCCATTCCGCAACAAGAACCGCGTCGTCCAAACCCGGACTACAAAACCCACTCTGATGACCCGTCTCCGTGGCCGCAATGCCAAAACCCAAACCGTGAAGACCACGACTAAGATCGAGCCCGCGTATAATCATCACACGCATGGCACACGTGCCACACATACTCACGCTCCAGTCACGACTCGCCGCTCAAGATGGGGAGGGAATAGACGGGCGGCCCATGGCCATGGTCACAGTCAGCAGATTGTTCAGCATAGACGGCATGCGAGCTTTGGCGATAAAGTCAGTGGCGCTATGATGAAGTTACGCGGAAGCTTGACGAGACGACCGGGTCTTAAGGTACGTTTTTCTTGATATGATAAAGTGATCCTAGGACTGTTGAATTGTCATGCTGATGAAATACACAGGCTGCTGGAACAAGACGCATGCATGGCACAGACGGACGTGGAGGCCATCATGTATATTAGGATGGGAATGATATGATTTCATGAGCCTTACCTGTACGATATGTTACGAGATACCCAACGACTTGTCATGATAAGAACGACTAAAGCGAAATTGTTTTAATATTAGACTTGTATTATTATCACTAGAGAGTTCGTTCTAGCTACGGATCCTAATAAGACTATCTATGCCCTCATTACTATTATTCTCTCTGGTGATTTAGCAATTTGATGACGGCTGTGTATGACATGGGATATTACGGCTGTAAGAAAATAAATTTGGGGTGGAGAGGTGGTTAGGATCAAATCAAATAAGCGCAAAATGCAGGAGCAATAGAGTGATAGCAGCAGACACCATGGACCACAAGGAACACCGCCGCTCTTTCGAACGAATCGCTGCGGAATAACCAGGCACCACTATCCTCGTAACACACACAAAACTATGGCTTCATGGCAATATCAAAGGCGGGGTCATTCAACTGCAACTCGTCAATCTCCATCTCGCTATCAGCCATGGCATTGTCCTGGGTTTCCTGCTCTTGGTTGGGGGGCTGTGTATGCTCTAGCTTGCTGTAACCAGAGTAGAATCGTCTGGGGAGTTTCGGGGCTAGAGAAAGACTCGGGAACTTGGACCCTTTGTTGATATCTGCTGTCGACTCAGTTGTTCTCGTATGATGCGATCTCTTGAATAAACTGAAATTCTTCCCATTCTTAAGTCTCTTTGATGCCTTGGTTCCCTCATTAGGATCCTTCGCAGCAAGCACCGGTACTGTTGGAAATTGGGCGGGCGGAGTACGTAGCACAGCATCTCCATCATTGACACATTCGGGGTTTCCCAAATTAGGATACTGGCATCGTAACTCTTCTTCTAGCCTTTCCAACTCGGACTTGCTGGGTGACGGGTGCTTTTTCCAAGTCCTTGAATGGGATCCGAGTCTTCCTCTGGGCGTTCCCAGCTGAGACCCCTTCCGCTTGACTGCGATGGCCGTTGATGACTTCACCATGCTGGCTGGCTCTGTATCTAGATCCATGTCCGAATAGTCAGCTTTGTGGGAGTTCTCCGAATCGGACAAAAATTTAGCATCAACGGCTGTGTTATCCTGACTCTCATCCTCTTCAATTGTAGGTTGCAGCCGAATTCGAGGTGTTGACTGCGCTACAGGACTCGATGAGAAAGTAGCATCACAATTGACTTGATATCCCATAGAATCATATTTGCGTTCCTTGAACTGTGCCAGATCGGTAAGGCTCCGGTGTAGTCTAGGAATTCCATGTTGGCCGGTAGGAGAACATCCCTGGGACGAAAGATCGCCAACCGACATTCTGCTGCTCAATGATCTGGTATCGCTAGTTACTGGGTTACGCCTAACTGCCCCATGGCTAGCGATTTGGGGGACTTGCTCGTTTTGAAAATTTGCACCTAGGGTCACGATTAATACTACGAATGCTAGAGAGAATATCGAGGATTACCTTCGCTGAGTCCGAGATCGAGCACAGTTGGCCCAGAGATGGAGTGACCTTCGAAATGAGGCGTCGCATGTAGATAATCTCTCATGATTGACTTCATCCTGCCTAAAACAGTACTGTCCCTGAGGCGCCTCCTGGCCGGCACCACAGAACCCTGGGGAACCGTTTCATCAATAGTAGGTTTTAGAACCTCTGTTGTTGCAAGCATAGTATCGATTGTGCCATTGATGTATCTTGCATCCACTGGGCTGCTAGTGGCTTTTGAGGGGCGGGAGATGGACCTGTTGCGCTGCAAAGGTTTTCGCTTCACTGCCCTACGATGCATCGATGATGCTGAGTATTTTCTGGCATGGCTGACCGGACGTGTAGAGACACTCGGAAAAGCACTGCCGAGCTTGTCTGAAGTGGTGCTGTCGTGGATCATATCGGAAATACATGGGACCGAAGCAGTGGGTGGTGGATTCAGTAACGAAGCCCCATCGCCGTTGAAAACCAAGGTAGCAGACTGTGGCATAGTATTCTCATTTGCTGGAGCAGCTTGCGTTACGATTGTTGGGGCACCCATGGCTCGACCGATTTGAGATCGCTCTTCGCACAGGTCGGGTTTTAAATCATCAGCTGTGGTGTCGTCAAGAAGTACGTTTGCCATTTCTTCGATGCTATCATGGCGTGGAGGCTGAAGTTCGTTGCTTCTACCATTAGACACGAATAAATCCATGGTCGAAGCTGTGTAGGAAATGTGTGTTAGCGAAGAAACCCCCTAAAGTAAGATATCGAGCAACGCGTGTTGAGTTGCTCAGTACCTCCAGCAGCCGAATATTTTATGAAGATGGGAAAGCTCGTGCAATCAAGCTTCAGGATATGATGATATCAGGGTCCATAAATACTGACCTCGGTGCATAGGCTTGACTTCTTTAGAATTGGGAGCAAAACCCGAGTCTGAATCGCGGAAGGCAGAGAAGGGAGGAAGAATTGGTCTTCTCTTCTTCCCGTAGGTAGCCAGAATGTAGAGTGTGGGCTCCTCAAAGGCGCCCAGCGATGCCTATGCCTGTATGTATGCGTATGCTGATGCGTATGGCGATACCTATGCCCAGGTCATTACCACGATTCCAAGGGTTAGAAAGGAGTGTGTGAGCAGTTGGCGGAGATGGAATGAGGATAAACCAAAGGGATGTTGAAACGAGGTGCAGGTTAGAATAATAATACGGCACGTGGTAGCGACGTGCTGAGATAAGGCTGTTGTGAGCAAAAATGCAGGAACAGGAGAAAACAGACTACCCACGAAGAAAACCGTCACTCAACTTTCCAACGTCAAAATACCCAACGCACCTCCCCACCGCTTGCTAACTATCCACCGCCTCCTTGGCCAAGGGACAGATTACAACAGAAGGAATCTAAAAGCAAACAAGTCGAAGAATGAGCTGAGTACGCCCGGGGCTATTGGACTTATCCTATCGAACGGATCACTAACCCAGGCTCAGAACACAATTCATCAGACAAGACTAGCTCAAAGCCTGAAACTTCTGCAACGTCCCTTATTCCGACTCCGAGCTAGCGAACTATGTAGCATTGCAGTATACTGCAGTATATTGCAGCGATGAGGAAGCAGCGTTACAACATAGAGAGCCTAAGAAAATTGCAAAATCTCGCATGGCCACCGGCAGCACCAAAGGGACTAACAACTTTGAGAGCCCTGGCATGGAATATATTGGACTTGGACCACTTTAGACACTCTGGCCTAGATAACCGTTCTATTCGACTGTGAAGCACTCAACATTGGCTAGGCCTGCCGCCGCGAGCCAGGTGCGGACCGGCGCTGGTCCAAATCCCACAATGAATTAGCCTCAACATCTGCAGGCATTAAACATCGAGGAGAGGCTTTGTTAGGCAGGCTACAGATATTAGCAATACCCAATTGCAACTCTGCAAGTTCTTGGATGCGTTTATGCTGCCCACCAAGCAACTACTGGGGTTGGTTGCCAATCCTAAACGTCTCTAAAGTCTAAGATGGAGAGTGATAGTGCCGCCTATGAAGTATAGAAACACAACTAACGCCATTGTATGCATTTATACCGGCAGTTTTGCAGCAAGACGGTGGATGAGCGGTGATCCTCGGACGACGACGTTGAATACCACAGCTTTGTAAACGGCTCTAGATGATTGGCTCGGAGAAGCTACAATTCATCCCATTTTATTATGTAGACATACGTTGGTGCTATATACACTCCGTTGCCCCCGGAACCTGGCATCCCTCGGTTGGATTCCGATTCCGACTGAGTGTCTGGCTTTTCCCTCCCCGTTCGGACATCTTGCGCCCTTCATCCACAACTTCCATTCCGATCCAAGGGGAACAACATGTCTTTCTCCAGCCTCGTTCAAGACTTATCATTCAGAGACAATGGCAATAACAGACAACAACTGACTCGTGGCTCCTCAACAATCTCCACTGCAGATGATCGCAGATCCCATATCTCTAGGGCAATGTCGTATGCCAGCACTAGCGCTACGAGCGTGAGCATAGCTGGAGATATTTCGAGTCAATTGCATGGAGGGTATTCCCATCCACTTGCTCGATCGTGGCAAGCCGAGAAGCAGTTGACCAAGGTACGCCCTCCAAACCCCCATCTTTCAAAGCTCTCTTACTTACTGCGCACCAGTCAATGCTCATCTACCCTCTATTTATCTCCGACCAAGATGATGAAGAAACGCTTATCCCTTCCCTCCCAGATCAACATCGTCGCGGTATTAACACACTGGTCCCTTTCCTCGAACCCCTCGTCCGCAAAGGCCTGAGATCGGTCATCCTGTTTGGCGTACCCATGGCAGCTGGCGTAAAAGACGCTTTAGGAACTGCTGCTGATGACCCGAAGGGACCTGTCATGGCCAGCATCCGTCTCTTGCGACAGCGCTTCCCGCAACTATACGTGGTTGTCGACGTTTGTCTCTGCGAATATACCTCCCATGGGCACTGTGGCATTCTACGAGATGACGGCAGCCTGAACAATCAATTATCTGTCGACCGTATCTCAGACGTCGCCGTCGCATACGCGCGAGCTGGTGCCCACTGTGTTGCTCCTTCGGACATGAACGATGGCCGTATCCGAGCAATCAAGCTTAAGTTGATCGAGGAAGGCATCGCGCATAGGGTTCTCTTGATGTCATATGCCGCCAAATTCTCCGGATGCTTATATGGGCCTTTCCGCGACGCAGCTGGTTCTGTCCCATCCTTCGGAGACCGAAAGTGTTACCAATTGCCACCTGGGGGAAGAGGCCTAGCTCGAAGAGCAATTGAAAGGGACATTAGTGAAGGCGCTGATATTATCATGGTCAAGCCAGCAAATCTGTACCTAGACATCATTAGTGATGCCAAGGAGATTGGCAAGAACATGCCAGTTGCGGCTTATCAGGTGAGCGGAGAATTTGCGATGTTTCATGCTGGTGCAAAAGCGGGTGTTTTTGATTTGAAAACAATTGCATTTGAGTCTACTGAGGGTATATTGAGAGCTGGTGCAACAATTGTGGTTAGCTATTTCACGCCTCAATTCCTGGACTGGCTTGAATCGTAGGACCTATCAGGTGGATGTTAATGAAGGGATGATCTCGCGTCAGGCGTTTGGTGTTAGCAAAAAGTCATTAGACGATACCAGAAATGAATACTCCACTTTGAAGAACATATCACATTTCTACCCGCAGCAATGCCACTTGATCTTGGAGTAATACATTGCGCGCGCAAGTTGGACTCCGGCCAGAGCATTGCTCTGTTGTTGCTGCCTAAGGCTTATTAAATATTTATTGTTTTGTTGGATCCTGAGGCATAAATAAACATGCATATCACCAGGGCGTCTCCGCATCCTTGAGATGTACTTAGAGAAGGCCCCTTAAACCTTGAATTCTTCCACCACAGTTGCACGAATTATCTCCCAATACTTCCTCCAAATTTTGTCGTTGCAGGAACTATGGCCACTTCAACTTCCACGCCAGTAAGCCATTGCAACCCAAATCCTCGCATTGAACCAGGCTGACCAAGACCAGCCAATCTCCTTCACGAGGCTAAAGCAAATCGCCAACGATGTATGTTTATATACCTACATACCCTACCTAAAACCGTGCTAATCTTCGGAAGGCTTGCCAAAGTGCTCTAGGGGGTATCGATTGCTACGAACACTCAAAAACCGAGGGATGGAACACAACGATAATTGTTTGTTTACCCGATCGGTTCATTTACCTCCCAAGTGCTAACACGACTCCCCCCCGCAGAACTCCATCCTTCGCTCCCTGATCTCCGAATCCTCTCCTGCTGGGGGAACCCCATCATACAAATACGCAGTCAACAGCACAATCATCCAACACCTAGTCCCAACATCTGCGTTGAACAAAGCCAAGGCGAATCAAGAATCATCGATACCCAAGACAGAAGAGAGCGACGCGAAGATTTCAACAAGCGATTCGAACGCAGATGCTACAGGAACTGATGGTAAACCACATGTTGGCCGGAGGGGAATGCACAGTGCAACGGGTGCATATTGGAATGAGAAGACTGATGGGATGTGGAGCTTCAAGTACGAAGGAGGGGAGGGCAAAGGCCTTGATGTCGTGATCAGCGTGATTTGGATCTCATTATGAGCCATAGGGCGCGACTAAGAACACATATTGAGCGTTACGGTATAATATGAGGTATGGGATATGGGTTAATGTTCTTCTGCACAGCTTTCTTATCAGGTAAACAAACCCATGACAGGATTTCGTCTGTGCGTCTAATGATCCGTGAGAGTACCACGGGACCATTGATAAGCGCTCTCCTTTTCAACTTCATGCGGCGTTAGTCAGGTGTCTATTATGAACGTTTTGTTGGCTCTATTTACTTTAACATAACGCCATCTATTATCATTCTGCAACGTACATTCATTCCATACACATACAGAAGATGCTCATGGCACGCTAGTCATGTTCGGCCTAATCCGGACTAAGTGCCAAAGTCTCTTACAAGTGTTACGAAACAAGCTCTTCCGGTCCTATGGCTCCTTTCATCAACCCTCCTCTTTGGGGTCGCCACCCAGCAAGCGCTTCGTTCTACACAGCTAGCATCTCCACTTCTCACAAAAGAGTCCCACAAATGATTTCAAATGCCGACTTTTCCCCTCCAAGGATACCGAGGCACGGGAAGCCCTAAACTCTAACTATTTATCCACCGCCCGCTGGGACAGTACTAAGCCCGGCGGCCAGGATAGCCCCTGATCTGGACCCCTAATTAAACACTCTCGTGACTTTTTTTTGACCCCACACGACAAGATTGGAACGCGACTTCAACAACTTCTCACCTTCAACCACATCTGGCGTGCGACCGGACCGGCACTGAAGAGTCATAGCCTTGTCCTCAGAACTCATCTCAACATGGTTTTGTAAGTTGATTCCTTTTCTTTATAGTTATTGAAGCTTACCGTTAGCTATAGACTATTCCTGCCCCAAGATATCCAGCTGGAGGTCATCGAGCACCTCCACCCCATGGATCTTCAAGCTCTCGCACAAACATCGACGCAGTGCAGAGCTTTGGTTGGTGTCTCTGAATTCTCGGCACTCTCCTTGCCATTCCCTGCATTCGGACTCCCTCCATTCGGCGGTGCCAGTCCTACAAGCTCTCAAAGCAGCACCAGCGCCGATAATGACACCCTCATGAGCACCGATACTGAGATGACCACCCCAGACGAGGAAGAATGGGAGTTTCAGATTACACCAGACATGATCAACCGCCTTTCTAAGCTTCCAAAGTCCAAAACTGGAGCTACTTTGACTACCCTTCCCACCGAACTCCAACTTCTGATCTTTGGTTACCTCGACCAGATCGACTCTGCCTGCCTTGGACTCGCTTCCCCACGAACCTACGGCGTTTTTAGAGCTATCCATGGTACCAAGATGCCCCTCAACACCCGCCGCATTGGCCCGAACAATCTCGAAGCTGCTTGGGAGGTCGTGGGCAAACAAACATGCACGCACTGCGGTCTCTTCAGATGCGAGTTGCATGTGCATATCAAGGGCTGGATGCCGGAGGGCCTGGAGTACTGCCACTTGAAGCGTAACTTTGGACTGAAAGCTCCGGCCGAGGCCAACGGTACTTGCTTCCGGGGCAAGCCCAGCAAGCCGAAACGCTGCGGCCGTCACCCTTTGAGAACTTCATCAACCCATCAGGATGATTTGGGATTTAAGCTTTGAAGCAGCATGCTGCAAGACTCGTGAATTTGGACGTTGACTTGGATCGAGAATATGGATATGGTAATTGCACCTTTGACAACTAATTTGAGATACGAATGGCTTTGCAAGGATACATACAACATTTGCGGTGGGCGTTGCGGACATTGCATTGCAGAGAAATTAAGCGTCTTCATTTAAATGGCATGGCGTTTGTGGTTGGTGAACATGGTAATTAGATACTTGCTTCAAATACTAGCTCTTAATATGGACAAGGAATGACGCGTAGAAATACTAGCTTTCACACAGCACGTTAAACCAGGGGCCTGAAGCAACGAGTTTGTCTATAAGTGAGTTCTATGGTTACCTGGAAAGAATACCCAAGGTTTCCGTTCATCAGAGGCCCAGCCCCGCCAAAACATCTTCCCAGCTTTCATAATCATACCTTGCAGCATGATACTGCTCTGTAGTCTTCCCTGACAACTCCCTATATTTCTTTTCCTCGATACTGTCTTCCTGAAATTCTTCACTTCTTCGCAACCCCAAACTCCTCTTCTCCTCCCAAGAATTTACCTCTTCAAATACCACTTTCCTCTTTCCAAACGTCGTTAACAGCATCTTTGCCCTACACCTCCGGCATTGCCCAAGATACCACTCCACATCCTCCCTCTCCAACGCATTTATCTCCTTCTCAAACACCCCAAAAAAGTCCTCCTCAGCCGCAAATCTCTCATAACCTGTCTCAGGCTTATAAATTCGGCACTCACCGCAACATCTCAAGTTTCCCCACAGCGTCTTCTCATCGAACAACAACTCCCCGAGGCTCCGATGCCAGAGGATATCGTTATTATCTCGCAAAAACCAATCCTCCCAGATCCAATTCAGCACGTGGGCGCCACAGATACTTGCTTGCATGCGTAGAGAAAAGGGATACCTCTTGATGTTGTATGCCAGAGAGGGGCCGCGGTTATAAACGGTGTGGAAGACGCGGTGGAAGTAGTTTGAGGTCAAGCCAAGGCACATCTGCGAGACTGGGTCGAGGTGCTCCATTAGCTGTATGTGGACTTCTGTCGGAAGACTGCTGAAGAGGAGGATCCATCCAGCTTGGAACTGCTGGTCTTGATAAGAAGATGAAGATCCATTTTCGGAATCGAACTTGCAACTAGAACTTCAGCATGTTAGTTTTCAGCCTCCGGATGTTAAAGTTCGGACCTGAAGTTAAGTAAGATAGCGAGTGGAAACTGTGCATAAAGTGACCCACGTGGTTGTGCTGCCTGCAGCGACTCTCCCCTGTGTAAGCGCAACGCCTTGTTCCCGTTTCGGTTCGCCGAGAATGGCCATGCAGCCTAAGGTACCGCTACCTCCCCCTTCGTCACCTTCGCTATTTTTTAAATTTGAACTGGCAAGCAAAAGCAAACTTCAAAGCAGTTGCAAAGTCAAGAACATGCCCAGGTGCATAGGACTTCCAATGTGAGGACCTTATTCCCTTAGAAAACGTACCCGTTGGGTTAGGGGTCGTTCAATGATGTTGCCTTTCTCGTTGTGGATGAAGCGATCTGGTCGCCGAAGCGCCGGAATTCATTATATTTATAGTCCTAGACATTCATTTCCTAGAAAGTCGGTATGATTCACACATCCTGCACTTGCGTGGATTCACTTGTGTGAAGCTGTACAAGCCTTTATCCCCAATTTAGACCAAAGCTTACTTAGTTAACAGACTAGCTGACTGCACTGGTATATAAAGCACTTACGTCTGGTAATTTGCTACAGTTTAAACTTGCCATATTATGTAGGGAGGGTATTTGTAGTTATGCTATTATACCGCTGTACCAACTAGTTACATGTGAGCGATAAGTACGAAACCAATGTCCACGAATAGTGGTAGCCTAGAAAATATGTAGGCCACACTGTCTCTTGACGCCTATTTGAGATATATAAGATTACAGCCGTTAAATAAAATCGGTGCTCCTTATACAAGATGACTTGCTTGGCGGTTGAAGGCAGGAAGGATTGCGAGGCTTGTTGCAAGGATAAAATTTGTGTTCTCTCTGCCTGGGTGATTATATCCTATAGCATTCCGGGGGTTTAAAGCCCAGAATCACTCGGGAATAGCTCAGCCCAAAACAAATTTAGGATAAATGCTAATAACATGCACTTGACAGAAAAATGGATACACATAGAGAGGCCATTGAAAAGTAAAAAGACCACAACGTAGCCAGGTTTCGGGACACACGAAGGGAACCTTGAAGATGTTGTGATGGCCAATCAAGCTCTTGGCTTTGGGATTTTTGAATAATTTCTGTCTTTAGATTCTCTTATAGACTGCTATTCCCATCCCCTACCACCATCTCTAGAATTTCAAGCACTTGCTTCTTTTCTGTCAACGGAATTGCATTCGTCTGCAACCAGCGATCTTTCAGACAGTTAACGGCCAGGGCATCCAATTGCTCCCTCTTAACGCCCACACTTTTCAGTGTCGTCGGCATTCCTAGCTCACTAATAATCGCACCAACAGCATCACCGGCATCAGCAGTCTGCTTGTTAAGACCTCGCTTCTTCAATACCCCCGCAACAGTTTCTTCGCCCCATAGAATATCCAGTACCTTTTGCTGGGGCCTCCTGACCTTCTCATCTCCGTGCAGGTAATTATACTTCAGCACAGCCGGCAACATGATACAACTGGTCTCTCCATGGCCGACGCCCAAAGGTCCCAATTGATGTCCAATACCGTGACTCCCACCCATAGGAACACCCAATCCCAACGCTCCCATCGCCTCCACAACACCAAGGTGCTCTTGTAACCTTGGCTCTTCCGCCTCCCAATCCTTCGCTGTAAGTAGTAGATTCGGAGCCAAGAGTTTCAGACCCTTTGAGAAGCGTTTCTCTGTTTCCTCTGTCACAGTAGGCTGCAGAGAACATAGGCCCTCGACACAATGATCTACCCCTCTTATCCCCGTAGACAGCCAAATTCCCCTGGGTGTAGTGGTACTAAGGGCTGGATCTAGGATGATAATGTCTGCACCCATGGTAGGATGTGAGAATGAGGCTTTGTGATGATTTCTCGTATTCGTGGCACCCGCAAAGGCAGAATACTCTCCACCGGAGAGAGAGGTTGGGATATTGATCACAGGCATTGTGATGGGCTTTAGGTTTTGAGTTTTGGCATCTGCGGTTAGTTTATACAATCCGTCGAGAGTAGAGATATCGTTGGCTAATGCCTAGTTTGCTGTCAACACCTCCCCTCTCTTCAATACATATTTATGAGATCTGCACTTACAAATGTAATGACTTTAGCTCCATCAGTAAGGGATCCTCCTCCCAGAGTAACAATAGAATCCGCATTTTTCTCCTTGATATCTTGGATAATTTCCACTAGGTCATCCCAAGGCGTGTGGGGCTTGATTCCCTTCCTCACCCCCGCGACTTTTCCAACAAGTGCCTTCTCAAGCTTGGTAAAGTTTTCTGTTTTACTGATCGAATTCGACACGATGATATAAACTCTCGATGCTTTAAATGTGTTTGTGATGTGATGTGCGCAGGCTTCTGGGAATGGGATACCACTGGATAGGTGGGGTTTGGTTTTGGGAGGGTAAGCGGGGCGGTAGTCTTCGCCGGGAGCTGCCATTTTGACTGCGATTGTGAAAGTAGCGGTTTCGGTAGGTTTGAGAAAAAATGGCCCTATTAGCAGAGCAGCAGGTTGGGAATTAAATATAATATGCGGGGTCTGAATTTCTTATGACATTTATAGGGGAGGAAGTATTGAAGGTGGGGCCTGTTATGTTGACGTCGATGACAATTCATTGCTGCACGAAGGAACCCCGGGATTTCTCCAGCCTCGGCTGAACCCCGGATGGATATGATATATACACCCCTGGACCCACGTTCCCACCCCCCTATTAAACCCCACAGGCTTATGAATCGAGACTGCAACTGCTTCGTACACTTGAATTAGAAGGATAATACTCCATAATAGACAGAGCCAATAGCCTACCATACTGCGGTGAGTTCCATGGAGAACTAACGTGCAACTTGCTGTGCTAGATATAGCTAAAATGGTAAATTGATAGTTTCTTCAGGTAGTGCAAAACTCCTCGAAGTTTTCATTCCTTGCAATTGGAGTTCATTGTTTAATTGAATTGGTCTGCAGTATTACCACAACAGAGCGCCCATAATCATTCATTCAATTCGCTTTCTATAGTTTGAAACCACCAGCACCGTTTACCAATGCCGCAGCCTGGACTTTATTCCCCTCAACATCTCTGATCTCCCCTTTCCTTCCAATGACCATAACACCACCTTTCTTAAGCTCCCCAATGGTCTCCCGCTTCTTCTGCGCCTTCTTTCCCTCAGGACGTTTATTAGGGTCGTCATCTCCACGCTTCTTGATTCTCTCTTTCTCTCTTCTCCTTCTTCTTAACTTCTCTTGGCGGGTCATTTCTTGCCTTGCAACTGGAGCTCCGCTCTTTGGAACCACTTCACCAGGCGTGATAGTATCCTTATTTTGTCCAGCTTTGTAGATCTCCTGAGGCGCCAACATGCTCTCGCCACCGTTAATTCCGCTAGCGGTGGTGGGTTGTGCGTCTTCCATGCTGATAGTGGCCACGTCGGCTACCACTGTCAAACTTGGTGCTGCAGGCTTGGGTTTATAATGCCAGCTGCTGAGGGCGTCAAGTTTTGCGCTGGCCTCTTTCCATAACGCTTCGATCTCTTTCTCTTCCTTCAGCATTTTCTCATCTGCCTGGCTCACGTAGGTATCGGGATTGGTATTCTTGACATGCTCTTCCTCATACATCTCGGCTAGGCTTTGTTGGGGTTTGGTATCATCAAGCTCAAAAGCACCTCTCCGAGTATTCGCTGGAGTCAATGAGTCTGGACGACGACGGACGACTTCGTCAAATTCCCGAGCTAAGATCCTCCTCTTGATGAGATCCTCAATATTTTCCGAGACCTCAGCGGTGATAACTGGCACGGGCTTTCCCGTGCGCTCGAAATCAAGATCCTCATCCAAAAGTGAGTTCTGTGGCCGATCGGCAGCTCGAGCTTCCCCAGACAACGTCCATTCTCGCTTTGCAACTGATGCAGCTTCCAGGCGACGGATCTCTTCGGCGAGTTTTGCTTGCCGACGCTCGTGTGCCGACCGCCGTGACTTTGGGTCTGCCGGATCAAGATCTGACATAGCAGCTTCTGAGCCGGCATCGTCTGATAAATCATCGAACAGATCACGTCTGACGTCTGCCATAGCTCGCTCGATATCTGCACCATCATCCTCTGGCTCTGCCGCCTTAGCTTTCTGGGACTGCCTCTCGAGATATTTTGCCTGCCGTTCCCCTTTTCCAGCTTTGCGCGGAGGAGGTGCGAAGAAATCTTTGTACGTAACGTCATTCGTATTATCACCGGCTGTATCCATACCCTCGTCCATGTCGGCATCTTCGTCTTCATCATCGCTTTCGCCTTCGGCGGCATTTAGATCCATATTTCCAAAAGTGGGGCCAGCGTCGTCCTCCAATTCTTCATCTTCGTCTTCATCATCATCGATATCCATCGCAGCAGCTCGCCGTGAGCTCGAGACTGGTTTTGTTGTCATACCGAGAGGATTAGCATCCCAGTCGATATCTTCTTCGTCACTTGCTTCGCCGGTATTGGGATCCGCAGTAGCATCTTGTTGTTCAAGAAATTCGGTCTGCTTGTTGAACTCATCGATGGAGAAAAAGCCGTCATTTAGACCGTTTGGATCTTCGACGAATACTCCAGTGGGCTCATCATCTTCTGACATCTCCTCATCATAATCATCTTCACCGTCGAACTCATCGTCCATCTCAGCGTTTTCGGACTCAAGATGACCATCCACATCATCACCAACGTCGTCACTTCCAGAACCCTCCATTTCATCTTCCTCTTCTCCTTCTAACTCCTCATCATCGGACTCAACTTCAAACCCATCCTCATCAAACTTCATCAATTCCACCCCACCATCTACCTCTCCTTCCTGGACCTCATCCTCATCGTGACTATCAGCCTCTTCCCCGCCAAGTTCTCTAAGCCCTCTCTCCGCATCCCCCCTCAAAGAATCAATGACCCTCCTCGCCTGCTCCCAAACTTGTTGCACAGCAAACCCTTCAGTATGTACCTTCCGAATCTTCAGCACCTCCCCCACATCTTCTCCCACTTCGCCTCTTTTCCTCTTGTTCCTCAGCTCCTTCAATCTCTGCGCTTGCTCATCGCCCAATTTCCCAGCAAACGTATCTAGCGTACTTTTTGCAAACTCCAGGCTTGTGTTAGGTAATGAGGCCGGAGGTGCGATGAAGGTATGTCGATTTGACGGTGCAAGAGCTGCTAGTAGGTCTGCCATTGGGGAGGGATAGGCGGTATTATGAGGATTGGAAAAATTGGCTTGAGTGGCGGATGTTGGCCATGCGGTCATGGTGTGCGAAGTAGACGTTATCGAGGATGTTGTGCTGGTATCGGCCATTTTTGGTTCAGCCATGGTTTGAGTGCTTGAATTGTGAGGGAAGAACTTTTTATTTTCGGCGATAAGATTAGCGCAACCAGGAACTTCCCAGTCTAATCATCACGTGACTTGTTTATGAAAATCGACCGATAAGTTAACCCTCTGACTGTTATTTACATTCGTGGGTGGTTGGTTAGACTGCAAGATTCCATCTAGTAATGGTATGGCTGGTCGAAGACTTCTACCTTAGGGTTCTTAAACGCCCTTACAGTAATGGCGGTATAGTATCTAGACGCAGACTCTCAATGAGAAAGAAGTAACGGGTGGTCATCACAGGAAAAGCCGGGGATCTCTTTTAATACTTGTATTCTCCGGTGCTGCAAAAACGAACGCCAATGCATCCCAACTATATGCAGGTTGAAATTGTACAATAAGAGACTTCCCATCCGCTCCACTCCACATGTGTTTTTGCCTACTTTCGGTACCACCTGTATTTAGAGTCAGCATTTCCTGTTAAAATTTTACGCCATATGCCTGGAATCCATGATGACCAAGGCATGGATTGGCGAAAGTCGTGAATCTGCTATGGGGGAAACATACATTCTGGTAATTTTTGTGTGTCTCATCTACATGGACCGTTAGTCTTAATTATACCAGAGAATTCATCCAGGCGAAACAAACCTTCTTCTGAAGCTGGAATATTCCATACATCAAAGCTTCGGATGATGGGGGACACCCAGGGACGTAGATATCAACGGGCACAATCCGATCACATCCTCTCACCACACTATAGCTATAATGATAATACCCACCACCATTTGCACAACTTCCCATCGAAATAACCCACCTGGGTTCAGGCATTTGATCGTAAACCTGTCTAAGCGCGGGGGCCATCTTATTCGTAAGAGTACCAGCCACAATCATGACATCGGACTGACGCGGGGAGGCACGGAAAATTATACCAAGGCGATCCTGATCGTATCGCGGTGTTGAGAGATGCATCATTTCGACGGCGCAGCAGGCGAGACCAAAGGTCATGGGCCAGAGAGAGCCTTGACGGGCCCAATTGGTGATTTGATCGAGGGTTGTTCTGCATCGTGCGTTAGACGGATTATCTAAAGAGCCTCGCCACGCCCGCCATTGTGCCTTGGAAGCCTTGGGCACAATTTATTCGCACGTAGAGAACTTCGTATTAGGACACGTACAATGCGTATTGCATAGCACCTTTCTTCCCCTCCTGGCTAGGCAATGGCACCTCGCGCCTCTCCTTCCTCACAATGCCCATTGGTGGGGGTGTACCCGGGTTGCCTTGCACATTGTGTGGTGATGATACTGCCGCCGCTGGCTTTGAAGCAGAGGACGAAATTGCTGCAATTGATCGGTGGGTGATTAGGGACGAAGCTGGTTTGGCTGATGCAGAGTTAGCTATTGTGGCAAGTGTGAGGGGGCTTTTTGTATGTGGCATACCCCGCAGCGCCAGCGCAGCTGCTGATCTCGTGGAAGATAGCATCTTCGTAATATCGAGACAGGAAGGAAATAGGAAAAGGAAAGAGGGGGAGGAGTGGCGTAAGGAGTGATTGTAGCTCCAAGCTCTGAAGTCGTCGAAGTTGATATTCCTCCGTAACCGACAAACCCGAGAACGCTGATTGGAGGTCCAATTACGCACGTGACCACCGCAAATCGCCAGCAATTGCTTCGTGAACCACACAGATTCGCAGATTATGGGGGGAAAATGTTCAGAGAAGGTCGTCCTATCAATACCTCTAACAAAGCAATATATGTTATTCCGGACACTTCCGCCTCATGTTTTTATTATTATTACGCGTCCGTTTTGTAGGCGCACTATCTTGTTGACACTTCTGAACACGCACAAGGAGTCTCTAAACCCAATCCATTCGTGATCATTATCGATATGCTGCAGGATTGATTGTATCAGTATTCCCACCGTCAACATATAATAACCAGTTCTATTTACAAAGCTACTTGAAAAGAAATCTATTTATTAAAACAGAAAGTCAGGTATCCTATAGGATTACCTATTGGGAAGAGAGCTAATACTAAGGCTTGTCGTACATATACTGGAGTCCGTAACATTTTTTATGCTCCCGAGGCCTTGGAGTTCTCATCCATCATGGCGTCAATCTGAGCATCAACTGCTCTCTCTTCGCATTCATTGCTAACTTTGCCTTTTCTACCCCGAGGTGGTGACCTCCCATCGCTGTCATCGTCGCTGTAATCGCTTCCTTGCTGGCTATCCTGGTTTAATTGGCGACTTCGAGTCATCTGATTCTAAAGTTAGATGGGATTTCTAATTGCTTCAACATGAGCTTAAACTTACCCATGACCGAACACCGCCAATCAGTCCTAGACTGTAACCAGTGGCAAAGTCGCTTCCAGGGCCGCCAGGGCTCTCGGCTCTAGGAATCTCCAAACGTCGGCTAAGATGCGAAAGGGCAGAGGGGCTGATAAGACCGCTAGATCTATTTGAATCATCGTAGCTTGACATCCTAGCAGGGCTGCCGGGTCGACTGGCCTGCCAGAACTGTCTAATTTCTTTACCCAACTCTTGACCAGTGGTGGCCCAATTTGAGCGGATGGCGTCCCTCATCTCTGCCACATGGCGCTTGAGGTCTAACTCGTTCTTCTTCAACCATGACACATTGAGTTCCTGGCGAGAGGTCCCACGCTTGAATTGACGAGCGATGTATTTCTCGTAATCTCGAACAATTCTATGTGGTGCAACATTAGCATATGCGCCTCCTAAAAGTCAGGATTCCCTACTTTGTGATAATGCCAGTAGTGCTGACACCCTCTGTTCGTTGGGTAACAAGGAACTTCCCGGCTTCCTTAATAGGCTTGTAGATATCGTCGCCTTCGTCCGCACCATATGGAAGGTCGTCATGAGCAACATAGTCAATCCTATGCTCTTCAAGGAATCCCGGCGTAACAATCCAGGGGCAGTCCTCGATGACTTCGTCTACCCACTTGCAATGCCTAACAGTCTCCGCACGTTCTTGTCCAGAGAGGACAGTCAGTCCTTTTCGTTTGTGGGTCTCCTTATCTCCAGTTACGCCAACGATAAGATATACATCGGGAAAGGCTTTTTTGGCTTGCTCGAGCTGGCGCATATGTCTGCATAGCAATAATTAGTAAGAAGCCGATGAAACTTTTCCGGGTTACCAATGTGGTGTAAAAGCATACCCAAGATGAAATAGATCGAAGACTCCGTCAGCGTATACGCGAACTGGTCCCCCAACAGGAGGATCATTTGTCGTGTATCCAACAGGATGGGTCAATTTTCCAATAGGGGGTGGTGCCATAGATTGAGGTGCATCGTCATTGCCCTCGTCCTGGGATGTGCCTTTTCGCCCTTTCCGGGCTACTCGATTCGCAATTTCTGCGCTTCCTTCTGTGGTATCTGATGGCTCGCCTGGATCCTGGGCATTATCAGAGCCATCGGACACCGTGTCGTGAGTCGATGATCGAAGCCGCTTCGCAGGAGGGTTAGTCGCGTCGTTAATGAGGGTTTTCTTGTGGTTTATAATAGCGGACTCAGGGGCTGTAGAATCGCCCTCTTCCGCTGAAGCATCCCTAGATGACGGTTGCAATTGGCCCACAGCTGACATTTTATTGTCTGACGATGGTAGAGTCGACGTTCGTTTCCGCTTCCCGACTCCTGAACCTGCCGACGAGGGAGACGACATGGTGTTACTGGGTGGCCGTTAATTATCTTCTGATGGTGCTGCTAAATAATACAGAGCTGACGACGCGTTGTCAGACCCATAAATTGATGTCGTGGAGGGTGAAACAGCCGCGCTATAAAGCTGGTGAAGGTAAGAGGACAGAAGACAGGAGGTCTGACAGCTTCCCGAGGCCAGAAAGTAGGTTTTAGTTGGGCAAGATCGGCAGGGATGGGGGTTGGGACTAGGGCTGCAATGAAGCATCAGAATAATTTTTCCAGAAAGATAGGTATTAGATTGTTTCGGAAAATAAGGATGCGAGAAAAAAGAAGCAATTCAATGTTTTGATCAAAAGCCGAACCCCATTCTCGGTGTTCCTAGTTTTGTATGGAGTAATAATATAGCTGCTAGTTACTTGCAGAAACATGGCAGAAACCCGCCCCGTCCCGACGCGCGCTGTCATGGGCGAATCCTAGGAAAAATATCGTCATACTCGACTAAGTAACGTGACTACGCGCTAAAGCCGACACGTTTAAAAAGGGGCATCGAGACCTTTTAGCCACGTCCGGCGTGGAATTAGCAGAGTTCTACAAGGAGGAACCAACTCCATGAAAGTCAAGTACGTAGGACTCCATAGGAGTAAAACTAGAGTATTGGAGAGATGAGTGCCGCCGCGCGAATATCCCTATCCTTTCTGCTTGTGGCGGCACATACCTAATACCGCAGTTCCTGGTCAAACATGATGCTACGGTAATGTTTGGTTTCAGGTATCAATTGGCCATTCTCAGTACATGTTGGCCTTCCTCTATGGACCATCCATCCCATTGAAATCTCTGATGCAAAAGGAAAAGGGAAAACACTCGCTGCGTGATGAGATTCTTGAATCGGAAAAATGAAATAAAAAGAAAGAGCCGCCACCATACGATGTCCCGTAGTTGCAAATGAACAAATGTTGCAGACCGTCGCCTGTCCCAACCGCCTAAGCTACCCTCCAGCCCATGAGTTATAAGATCAGAAGTACACGAGAATAGCTCGTTGGTTCTTGCCATAAAAACATAAACGCTAGAAGCTCTAACAGAGGGCGAGGGCGAAAGCGGCATCCTTCTAAACGTTTGCGTCATTCAGTGACTGGCGGCGTGCCATTGAATCTTGTATCAAGTAATCGTGCCATTTAGGTCGGTCTTATGAAGATTCACAGGGTTCCCACCTTGCTAGCCTTTGACCTTAGAAGCATTCCCCCCTAGCTACTTTGCTGCCGAGTCTGCTGATGTAGAATTTGGCTTCGTACTAGTACCTTCCTCTGAATTGGCGGTGGGTTTTGATTCGTCACTGCCAGCAACTTGTCCTTTGGATACTTGACTTGCAAGGTCCTTATCTTCTTCCTGATGGTCGAACATCTCTGTGTCATCTGAATCCGTCAAAACTTCGGTGCCATCACCCAGAAGGATAATGCGTCCTTTTTGAGTGCCTCCAAAGGCCTTGATTTTTTGGTCCATGTCAACATCATAGCCACTGTCACTATCATCAAAGTTGTGGTGTACACCAGGTCCTCGGAACTCAGCTATATCAATTATTAGCACTACAGTCTTCGGGTAGAGATAAAACTGATGCTTACCATACTCTGGAGGTGCACAAGGGCCATCTCCATTGGCGACTCGCTTTGCGATCTCATCATACCACTCGGTCTTAGTCTTGCCACGCAAAAGGCCAATAATGGTCATGGTCATGTTATCACAGCCAACACCGCCGGTCTCGGAATTCGACGCAAGGCAATTATCCATCATGTTCTCGCAGATCTTTGAGAGTTCTTGCTTTGCTGCAATGCCACGTCGAACGAACTCAACGACTGCTTGAGATGACTGACAATCCCAGATACCTGAAGATTTAGGTTAGTAGTTATCAGAGTATAATGTTGCTTTACTTACCATCGCACGCAACTATCAGGAACTCATCGTCATCTGTGATTTCATGCACAGTTACGTCCGGATACGCGGTTACAATCTGCTGCTCAGGGGTAAGCTCCGCACTCTTTTTGAACTCGAAGTCGCCGATAGCTCTCGATAAGGCAAGGTTTCCGTTCACTCTCCCGAAGTCAACGAATCCTCCAGCTGCAGTAATCCGAGCTTTCTCGCCTATGTTATTGTTAGTATCGTCTTGGGCATAAGTAACGAGGGTAGCGATGCTTACCTTCGTTTTGAGGTTTGTGGTCGAACGAAAGCGGCTTAGCCCGGCCTTTCACCCCGAGAACACTTCGGGAATCCCCAGCATTGCCCTAAAAAGTCAACAAGAATACTCTCATAGAATCGATACACAACATACCACGAATATCTTAGTTGCGGAGAGGATACCAACAGACGCTGTGCAGCCGGAAACTTCTTCCTCGTACCGTGGGTCTGCAAAGCACGAGTCAGTTTCCTATCAAGCCCATACGGATCAGGTAGGCTGACCATTTAGAATAGCCCGATCCGCGGCCAAAAAACCGTCCTTCAATGCCTGTTCAATATCCCCGTTCTTGAAAGCTTCCGTCTTTGCAATGATCTGGTGTATATTTTCCCCGGCAAATACCGCGACCCTATCGCCTCCGTGCCCATCGTATACTCCGAAGAATGACAGCCTGTCATCCACAGAAGTCGGCTGCGCAGCCTCTCCAGTGTTTGCTTGTAAATCTAAGATTGTAGCATGCGCATCCTCCATACTTATACGCCATCCTTGCATAGAAGATACGCCATAGATTAAACGTTCGTCACCACCCGACTCTGAGTTCTAGCGAAATAGATATATTAGCAAGGTGAATCCAGCGATGAACGGTCAATGGTAGCAGTCATGTATGCGGCCAGCCGGTGCGGAACACCGGGCTGCCGCTGCACTGTGGGCATATAGCGGGCTTTGGCCTGGCATTCAGAAGGGGGGTTTTTCGGTCTGTGAAGGGATCCGCCAACCGCGGGGCAAGCGATAGCCAACCCGCCAATAAAACTAGAAAGGAGAGAGTTGCATACCTTGTCTACAACTGGCTCCGACAGAGTCTGACCCATCTTCGCGAGCGTTCAGATACTCTCAAACACGACCAGGCAATGACAAGGTGGCTGGAGTCAAAGTTCGCGTTCGAATGTTGAAAAATTGGATGAAGTGCGGGGTCAGTCGCGTAAAGACGAGGCTCGGGAGAAGGCAGAACGATTATCTGTCCATATGTACCAGGTATGGCTGAAGAGGTTCTATGTCGTCGTGGGGAGAGGAGTGTAATGTGAGAGTGTCGCGTGTGAAGAGAAAAGGGTTCGAATATGACGATCTATCTGCGAGGCTTTTGCTTGCGTTGCGGGAGCTGGCTTGGGGATCCAAAGTAGCAACGCTAAGCCATTCGGCTATCTTACCAGTAGCGTCATTGTCTTAAAGCAGCGGCGGCGGTAGGCATTTGTTGTGTGGCACGTGACAGCTGGATCTGAATATAATTGTTATCACTATCACCACTATAATCTGCACAGAAAACGGACCTTTCCAAAGTCCACTTTGTCTGTCTTTAAACCTGAGCAGTCACCACTCTAACCTGAGCCAAGCCCTAAGCCTACGACTATCAAAAGCAGCGTCTCAAAAGCCGAATTGCTAATACATAATATGATGTATTGATTGATATTTATATTGACAGTCCTTTATATTATCTATTACGTTTGAAAGCAATCATAAGAAAAGCCCTCTCTTCATGGTACTAATAAATCATCCAAAATTCAGACATAAGCTGTATAATCCAACTCGCCCGGCTCCACTGTAGCGTGTGAGCTCATAACCTCTTTAGTATCGATACTAATCGGCCGTCTCCACGCTCCTTGCACAACCCTCGCACTGTATCCAATTCCAGGAACCGTAGGCTGCGAACCAGATCCGCCTGCGGCAGCCGAATGCGGTCTGGGCCTTTGAATTTGCTCCGCAGTTCTAATAATATCGTCCCCATCATATTCTTCTATCAAGTTCCCCTCACTATCTCGTATACTTCGTTGGGTTTCCCAACTCCCATCCGAATCGTCAGCTTCCACTAAATCTTCGTATTCATTCCCTCCCCTAGTCCTCGCCGACTCTGGGAGCATCTGCGATTGATCAAGCGAAGCCGCTGAATCAAACCTACTATCCTTTGACTCATTAGACAGGATACTACTCCTCGTTTTGTTCCGCGTCATTTGACCCTGGATATAAGACCTTAACTGCCTCGTTCCCTCTCTCGCTAATCCATATGAAATGCCGAAGGAATCTCGCAGCGCCTCGTCACTCTCTTCTCTCAAGCCGTAGAGGATAGTATTTTCCAAACTACCGATGGTCATCGTCTCCCTTGCAGTAGTCAGAGAATCCGCATACGAAGACCGTACTCTTTTGGGCGATAATATGCGGGATTCGCGATTAGTTGAGCCGCCAAAGAAGGGCGACGAGCCTAGACGTCTGCTCACCGGTCGGGAGATGCGGGAAGTCCCACTTGCTTCAGAAGGGCATATGGTAGAAAGAACGTCGGGACTTTTCGTTACTTGACGAATGCTCATGAGGGCGTTGTTTTTGTTGCTGTTGTTTTCTGCTGGATAGGTATCTGAGTATTCAGATGGGAGGCTGAAGTTGCTACGACGATTGTGTTCACTGGGGTTGTTTGTCGCCACTGTCATCCACGTCCTTGAGTTTCGAGCAAGACTGCGTGGCCGGCTCACATCTCCTGCCCAGTCCTGGCCATGTCCTATACTAATTCGCCGCGTGCTCATGCTGGATAATGAAGAGATGGATCGTCGGCCACCATGCCCGATACCGCTTCTCCTCCTTGGATGAATTGCAGGCACAATATGCCTAGATTGTCTTATAGCAGACTTCCTACGATTCGATCCTTCCGGAGTATTAGTAGGCCCCGCTGCTTGTAATATATTTAAATCTTTCGGTAACACAGAGAAATTTTCTAGAGGAGCGAGAGAAAAGTTGTCGTCTCTCAAGTTCAAGATTGAACTCCCCTGGGGTTGTGAAGTTACAACTGCACTGCTCTCTGGTGCGGTGCTCTCTAGTAAAGCAGCCCCAACAGCGCTGCCTGAAAGCAGCCGGGCTGAACGCCTCTGGTGCCCTTTCCTCGAATAGTTTGAGTAGGTTCTTGTCAATCTGTGCGAGGAATTCGTGCGAGACGATCGGGAGACCGTTGGGTATGCAGTATCTTGAGTAGATCTCCAACTAGTATCTGTTTGCGACAGGGCATTATCTGAATATGAGCGGACCAGCTTCCCAGAATTCCCTGGGTCACTCTTCTGCGACGTTCGCTTATCAGATATGTCGGCGGTGGTATGCGATCGTCGGACGGACTGGCGCGGCGCGACTTTCCAAGTATCAACATGCTTCTCATTTGTAGTTAAACCGTGCATAAATCCAGACGTGTCTAATTCTAGGGGTTTGGGTAAAGCGACCGGAGGTGGTAAGACGATGTCCGGTACGCTTGAGGCAGCCTCAAGGACGGGTCCTGATATTTCGCTCTTGGACGGCGGTCGGGATGCAGCTTTCGCATCGTATCTGCGCTTTTGGCAGCAGAAAATCAACAGAAGTAGTGCGGCTATTGCCAAAGCTATTGGAAGCACGATTGCTACTATGACCCCCTTGCTAAACTTATTAGGGGCGTTCGCCTGTGGAGAAGTCGATACTTTTGTTTGGGAGGGACTCTTATTTTGTGCGGTATGAGAGGACGATGATTTAGTAGATGACGAGGGGTCAGTCGCAGAGTCAAGGGATAACTTGAATGATTGGGATTCAGAACGGTGCGAGGATTTCGTCGTGGCCGTTAACATAATTTCAATGTCGGCAGGACTAACGCTCATGGGGACGTGGCCAGAGAGTATAAAGGCTGTAGAGTTGAACGATATCCAAGAATCGGTGGCAGTAGAGTTAATTGAGATATCAACATCGGACGGATTTCTGAGGTAGGAGCTCATATTATATAAGAAGCCTGAACCTATCGTAGCATTTAACCTCGGAATCGACTTGCTGAAAATGGACCCGGCAGCGGCAATGGCTATTGTGGCATTCGCAGTATCTCCATATATATCGGTGGCGACCACGGTAATGGTGGCGGGTACTACACCCACCGGGGCAGTTCCCGTGAACTTCAGTGTCGAATTATCGAAATCCAGCCAAGAGGGTTTATCCACCACAATCGACGAAATTACCGAATTGTTCGCCGCCTGTCCATCGATTTGAAGATTTCCCTCAAGCCCGGTGAAATCGACATGATCGCCAGCAGTGACATTGAGGGACATCGATACTCTGCTAAAGCTCAGCAAGTGGACCCCGACCTCGAAGTTGAAATTTATGAACGTCGCAGAAAACCCCTCAACATCAGAAGCGATAAGCTTTACTCCAAAAGTCTGCGGGGGTTGAATGAGTGACTGGTAATCCGGTGTCTGGCCGCTGAATGATAACGAGCTTTCATCGAAGGTCACCCAAGATGGCAAGGGTGTATTATCAAGTGTGACAGCGTAGTATTTCAGTGCTGAGGTCCCATCATTCGGTGAGAATGTGCTAGAGTCGAATTTGATTTTGAAGGGAGTTGAGGGGTGGTAGAGGAGAGTTGAAGGTGCCGAAAAGACGCCCAGGGCAGGCAGTTGTGTCGAGGGTTGAATGCTTACTACCGGCGCCGGATTTCTGGAGACAACCAATGTAGCATTCTGAGTGATAGAACCTGAACTGTCGGTCGCCGTGAGGCTAATCGGTACTCCAGTGACAACCCCGGCGCCAGCATCATTCGCAGAAGGAGTGCCGGATAGAGTGCGTGTTACACCATTTAGCGAAAGCCAACTGGGTCCACTAGAAAGTGTATATTTTATAGGAAGCGTCGATGAGAAAGTTGAGCTGGGAAAGGTGTAGGAGAAAGGCTGGGATACTCGGGCAATAGGAGGCACTTGAGAGTTTAGAGGTAAATCAATTGTTGGAGTGGCATTCGAAAGAGATGTGAGAATCGCACCGGCGAGGGCTATTCTCTGTAGTGCCATCGTTGATAGAGAGTAGAGAGCCAGCCGTTGGCCAAGTGTTTCCAAATTCGATGTCCAATTGAGCAAAATATTGCCAATCGGAAGGATCACGATAACATAACTTCACCTCCTAAGCAAGAGTATAGTAATTGGTAAAAAAAAAAGAGGAGAGGAAAGAAATTGGACATCACTGAGGTGTCCTCGAGGCAAAAATTTGGAGGCGCAAGCGGGGGGGTGGGAAAGGGAGGCGTGCTTATCGTTGGTATCGCCTTGCATAAGGAATTCAACGACAATGGTTCGCGGCAAGGGATATCGATCAACCTCCCCCGCCCAGCCCTCTAATGGTGATAGAGAAAGGGTTCTTACGTGTTGCGCAGTGGCCCAGTAATTATTCGCTGGCGGGTATGGGTGCTTTTAAAGAGGCAGGTAAGTTGGTGGAGGCATTGAAGATACTTGCATACCGCAATCCAACCACCGCAGGCCATGCGAACTGACACAGCCAGCCCCATCCTAGGACGCAGCTTGCATCTTCAAGATCTGGATAAGTGAGGTCAAATATGAGAGCCCTTTCAGCCCTGCGGCGTGACGTGCTCCATGAAAAGGGGGCACATGGATTCCGGGTCGGGACCTGAAGAGAGTGTTCGAACAGAACGTGAAGTTGAAGACAACGACAGCCCAAACTTGCGATGAGGATCGAAACGGAGGTGGAGCCTGACTCTCGCTGAAATGCAGCAAATAGTGCATTTCAAGGACATATTTCGAGTAATTGCGACATGGCCACAACCCTTGCGGAGTTATACTTATGGAACGAGGGACCGCTCTGGAAACACGAAAGGAGTTGCAGAGTGCTTGAGTATTGTGTACTTCGTAGGAACAAAGTATTGAATTTCCTCGTCACCAGCAGTACCAGGGCGGCTGGGCAGAATTCCGTCTCGGAGTCGCTGACCGCCCTACGAAGCGAGTCAGGGGCAAGGGGGAAAGGGGAAAAAAGGGGGACAGAGATCCATTCCTCGACCTGATATTTCGATAGAACAGCGACGATTTGGCAGAGGGGTCCTCGCATCGTATCTAGGAATCGCGGATTTCTCGAGGATGGCCTCGTCACTCCCTTGGCTCCTTGTTCTTGAACGGGTTATCTTGGGATTTGGGAGGGCGGCAGAACAATGGCGGGCGCCCTAGCCAGGAGCTCGCTGTCTCAGACACCAACGGAGAACGCCTCTCTCCTTACAGTGCTGCGGATTGATCCGGACTGAGTGCTGAGTACTGAGTACTGAGTACTGAGTACTGTAGGCCAAGGCCACCCTTCGCCATTGCTTCGGAACCTAATCGAATATCTAGCAGCAAAGTCATGAAACTCTCCGATTGCATAAAAGGACTTGGAGTTCGGCTGCGAAAATGTGGAGCCCCTCTAAGGTCTATTGACTGCTACCCATATTCACACCCAGCAACAAGGCAGGTTCATCCACCTTATGGTGTTCATAGCTCAGCACACCAACAGCGCCAGGCTCCAGCATCATCGGTAGCCGCATGCTGAGTTCGAAGCCAATCCACCGCTTCGCAAAAGCCCGTAATATATGTCCATGCGCAATCAACACCACATCAACACCCTTCTCTCCGTACATGTGAGGGCCTTGGACCTCCCTGATCTTGGCAATGATCCTATCTAGACGTTCGGTGACTTCTGCAGGCGACTCGCCCTCCTCACAGCCATCGACCCAGATATTCCATGGCCGTTCCTTATCCAGAGCGCGCCCCTTTCGGCCTTCTCTAATCTGCGCGGTCAAGAGTCCTTCATAAAGGCCATAATCCCATTCGCGTATATCTTCAGTAGTTTCGCTTTTGCCCTCAAGGGCTTCCTGGTAGTCCTCGAACAGGAGGTCGTATGTGCGCTTGGCCCTTGACCGTGGGCTGACGAACAGATGCGCGACTCTCGAGGGATCGATAAGCTTCCGGGGCCCAACAACAACGCGCGCGGAGTTCAAGACCTGAAGTTCGCCGCCAGATGTCAAGGGAATGTCACTACGGCCTGTATAGCGCCCTGATATGGTCCATTCGGTCTCCCCTGGAAAGTCAAGAGGTCAGATGCTGTGAGGTTGGGGGGTGGCGCGCTGCGGGCATACTTCCAGCTACTGCCTAGAGGAGCGGAAGGGGGTTCTCATGGCACATACCGTGTCGCAAGAGGAAGACCCGCGGTGTGCCAGCATCTTTGTCGGACATTATGGCAATGTCTGCAGCGAGGATATGGAATAGAGCAGTCAAAGCATTTCGTATTTCCACCAGAAAACGATACATCCAAGGATATCTTGGCTCGCTTTCTGATTGGCTGGTATGTTTTATTTAGTGCCCGGTAAGATAACCTTATTTTGTGCTCCGTAGCCCTGAAGCCTTGCCCTAATACAACTACATCTCACTAAAGATGGGAGTCTCCTTAGGTATACTAGGGCTGAATATCGACTCTATAGGCCTACCTAGGTATCTAAGGTAGGTACCTAAACACAATTTGTGCTCGCTTATATTCCAAAATAATTGACCCCCAATCTAGATGCAGTTAGTGCGGCTTAGTCTATATAGGCTGGACTTTCCTATGCTGGTGGTTCGAAGGGGAGTGGAATATTCACTGTTTGGCTTGTTTTCTATTTAAGCCGCTCTTCTTCCACATCCCATCTCCTTTCCAATTACAACCTTCCCAACCTCACATCACTCCTCCCTCGACACCAACTGTGATCAGACTTCCGATATCTTAACAACAACCTTAGTCAACTGAGGAAGGAGCTATTTATGCAACTCGCCTCATATAGTCTATGCAAGTTGGAATTTCCTATTCTGGAATTCAGAAGGGATGGAATATTCACTGTTTGGCTTAACTTCTATTTAAGCTGCTCTCCTTCCACATCCCGTCTCCTTTCCAACAACAACCTTCTTCCCAACCTCACATCACCCCTCACCCTGAACACCAACTGTGATCAGGCTTCCGATATCTTAATAACAACTTTAGTTAATTAAGGAGGGAGCTACTCATATAACTCGTCTCATATAGTCTATGCAAGTTGGAATTTCCTATTCTGAAATTCAGAGGGGATGGGATATTCACTGTTTGGCTTAACTTCTATTTAAGCTACTCTCCTTCCACATCCCGTCTCCTTTCCAACAACAACCTTATTCCCAAGTTCACACCACTCCTATCTCAACCACAACCTTCTTCGCGACTACAACCTTCTTCGCGACTACAACCTTCTTCGCGACTACAACCTTCTTCGCGACTACAACCTTCTTCNACAACCTTCTTCGCGACTACAACCTTCTTCGCGACTACAACCTTCTTCGCGACTACAACCTTCTTCGCGACTACAACCTTCTTCTTCTCAAGTTCACACCACTCCTATCTCAACTACAACCTTCTTCGCAACTACAGCCTTCTTCGCAACTTCGTATTACTCCTCTCCTAACACCAACTGCGATCAAACTTCCCATCTCTCAACAACAGCCTTCTTTCCAACTTCACGTCACTCCTCTCTCAACACCAAACCGGACCAGACTTCTTCCAGTTGACCCCGTTGATCAGACGAGGCTGACTACCCGGCTGTCGCTGTAATTAAAACAGGAGAAGTTGAGTGAAGCTCCTGGAGGCCGCACCTTCGTCCACCGTCAATCCCAAGCATCCCTTTGACCTCCTACGAGTATGATTTTGAGCAGCTTCTCAAATCTACACGTTTCCAAGTTAAGTGTTTAGCTACCCGTTAAGGCTCTACCGGCTGGAGTGCCCGATCTATTATCTCCATTCCAAACAATCTTCTAGTTAAGCGCTCGGCCACCCGCCACCCCTCTCTGTTTCAACAACCAACACACGGCTTTGCAGGCTCGGGTACCATCTCCGTTTCTAAGTACCTAGGTACCTTCGCCCTCTAGATAATTGTTCGGCCACCCTTATTCCCCCTATCTTCAACAACTAACGTGAGGCTTTATAGACACGAGTACTCGGGTACCATCCTTCCAAACACCTACGTCTTTTAGATAAGTGTTCGGCCGCCCGTCATTCCTCGTATATTCAACAACTAATTCAAGCCTCTCTAGACATAAGTTCTTGTTTACCAAGAAAGGACCAAGAGCAAGAGCTAGCTTGTTCCACTATCTAGAATGGATGAACACAGTGAGGTGGATAGACACGCGTCGCGCGGAGTAATGACCGTCCGCGAGTCGCTTGAAAACGGTGACCATACACTGGCTGGCCTAGAGTCCCCTACAGTCACACGTACTGTGCCACCATCAACGGCATCATCTGGACCTGGCACAAGTATGTTGACACCAGACGAGAGAATGGTCAATACCTGCACGGTTTGCCTCGAGAGTGTTAAACCTGATGACATTTTATACACATGCACAAAGTGTACAAAAGGGGAATATTGTGCGACCTGTTTAAAGGATTGGTTCCTCGATGCTTGCAGAAACGAAGCAAAGATGCCGCCCAAGTGTTGCAAAGCCATACCGCTCGTTTCCATATCTAATCTCTTGACCATTGCCGAGGTGAGTTTTCAGGGGGATTGGAAAGTTCGAATGCTAATAATCATTAGATTGATTTATATAAGGAAAAGTATTTGGAGTGGAGCACCGATGACCGTCGATACTGTCCTATTCGCTCATGCTCAGCTTTCATCCCACCAAGTCTCCTCTTGGAGCCTTCACGAACCCCCGAGAGAGAAACTCAGCAGCTAGAATCTCTCCTGCCAGAAAACGCTCAGCAAACCACCGAACCACCGCAGTGGGTTGACCTCCAACTTTATATCGACGGCTGGGAGGCACCCAAGAAGCCTCTCAAACCCAACGTGGCATGTCCAAAATGCTCTGTTATGGTTTGCACAAGGTGCCGCTCTGTCAGCCATCTTGGCGACTGCCCACCAGATGACATCAGCGCACACTTTCAAGAAAAATTACGCAAATTGAATGTAAAACGCTGCCCCAAATGCCGTGCTGGCATACGCAAGATGGTTGGATGCTCCCACATTGAATGCAGATGCGGTGCGCATTTTTGCTGGGAATGCATGAGACCCATGAACGTATGTGATGGGGAGTGTGAGGATAACGAAGACCTCCCCTACGGAGCTTCGGATTATCCTACCGCGGCAGACGATCTCGACGGAAACCTTACTTTTCAAGAGGGCGATGGCGATCGTTTTGGTAATGAGCCTTCGGGAGGTGGTATTGAAACATGGCTTTGTGCTCATGTTTGGTTCCGCCCTATTATTTTAAACCCTGCAGTCTCTTCTAAACAGGCTCCCCTCGAATGCAATCGGTGCTTTCGAGTAGTCACACGCCCAGAAGACGACAAAGAGATCCAAACGGTACTATCCCAGGGTGTCAACGCTACTTGTACTGTTTGGCAGTGCGTTGGCGGTCATTCGGCCTGTAGCTATTGCCCAAAAGCATCGCCGACCCGTCGATCCGTCCATATCTCACGCTTATGGACTTGCAGTTGCGGCAGCGAGACTTGTGCAATTTGTGAAAAAGAGGTTGCTTCTACACAAAAGGCTCTCAATGACGAAAAGGGATGGGAGTGCCAGTGCACTTTGGTGCTGTGTGGAGCTTGCAAAAACCTCGCATAAACACTTGACGATAGTGGCTTTCTATCCATTGTGCGGCATGGATATAGACATAGGCATGGATATGACGTGGGTGCATTTGGAGTTTGGGAGGGTGACATTAAGGAAATTGAGCCTCTTCATGTTTGCTAGGCGTCTAGAGGTAGCACCGTGGTGGACAGGCATTTCACACTATACCCCGGCGCTACACAGAGGGAGTCTCAAGACGGGCATACTACTAGCATAATTATTATTGCAGCTAAATGATGCAACAGCGATGAATTAGAATATTACAAAGACAACATTTGGCTTATTTCTGTTAAGTGATTAATTAGGACTATAGTATGTGTGTCTGTCATAACTATATTATAGCTAAAAATAACACCAGAAGACAAACTAATACGACAACTGAAATGTACAAAGAGGATGATGAATTGAACTCTTCTGTAAGCAGGGTCACCGTCCTTCACGGCCACGTCTTACCCAAAGATTGAAGTTGATCCAAGATTTAAGCACGAGAGGGCTAAACTCAGACTGGGGGAAACGAGGAGTTATTAAGCCAATTGTTACTTTGTCTTTTTGTCTAATAAATGTAGCTCGCTAAGTTCACATACTCCAGATCCCCAAGTGAGTATGCAAAAACCCGTACTATACAACCCACCCCAACACCTATCCTTGTTAAAAATTGCCATCTATTATACAACTATACTTGATTCTTACTCTCACCCAGTGGGGCGAGAGATGTCCTATACCAACTTGCAGATGGCATGTCCTCAACCACAAGCTCCTCGTCATCAACATGCTCCCTATCAACATCCTCTTCTAACTTATCATCCGATTTACCTTCTCCCTCGCTAGTCTCTTGCTCCAATAGGTAACTCTGGAGTGTCTCCATCTGCTTCTTCTGCAGGCCCTCGAAAAGCGATCTCCGATCCTCCACGCGTCTCAATATCGAAAAGGTTATCCGATCATGTGGACAGCCTGCGCGTTCTTTTCGATCCACCGCATCGATTATCATCGGCATGTTCTGCATTCTTACGTAGCCTGCTATCAAGATGTTCCACGTGACATCGTTGGGTGGTATTCCTCGCTCCCTCATCATTGCGAGGACTTTCTCGGCAGCCCGTGGTTGGCGTTGGGCCATGAAGATTTGGGCGAGAACGCTCCAAGTACCAACACCTGGCTTCGGCAGCCGCAATACAGGTTCCGGCTTGTTCACTCCCGCTGGCTCTGCCCCAGCTGCGGGCCCAATTCCTGAAGAACTCATCTCCCCGATGATCTTCAAACAAGTTGGTAAATTGATAGCATGACGACCTAATGCCATGAGGACCAAGTTAAAGACATGAACAAAATAGAAGCCGTCACGGACTTTAGAGAGCGCAATCAAAAGTGGATCTCCATCCCGTGCCAATTTGCACCAATGGGTATAGAACGCTTTTGGTGATTTTGGGTCTACGCAATCCTTCAGAAATGCAGTGACCATAATTACAATGATCACTGGAGGCGGGCGGATTGGGATTAATCGTGGGCAATCTTGTGGTTCCACGAACTCGGGGAACCGCTGCGCCAACCCAGGTAGGAGATTCGCCAAGGGTGTAAAACTGAAGTATTCGCAGTAAATTGGGAGCATCTTCTCCAAGGATGTTGGGCGGCGGCGGTTTGTCTCGTAAGGCTCGGGTTCTGCTTCGTATAGTGCTCGTAAAGACTCTTGTTTATCGAAATGTAATATTGAATGAAGGGCATCCGCGACAATGAACCGATTTCGAATCTGACTCTTTTTCACAACTGTAAGCACCCGCTGAATGTCATTCGTATCCATTCTACATTTAGCATCATTCAACAATATTGAGTATGTACGGTTACTCGGCCTGGGCCCATGGTTCTTCATCCTTTGGTAGAGCCGCCAACCTCCTACAGAATCCCCGGCTTCCAGCATCTTCGAAAGTACAACGTTATATATGATGCCATTCGGTACCAATCCGCACTTCATCATGTATTCAAACATCTCCGAATGGCTGACTTTCCCGTCTCGGCTCGAGTTTAGAAGCATAGTTGTGCAAATACTCCTCATTTTGCCGGAATTGAAGGGTTCTTTTAGATCGCCAATCCTCCGAAGAATCTCAAACGCTATATTCTGGTAGGCTGGGCCCGAGTCGGCTAGGCGAGAAGCAAAATGTGCAAGCGTGTCGGCCGTAAAAGGATTGTTTATTTCTTCTAGGGACCGGTAGAGTTCTACCACATGATCGGCTGTTGGTACACGTGATAGGAGGAGGAGTATAGAAGGATGTGACAGATACACGTAATCTGGGGGACCATGCCGTAATAATTTGGTTATTGTCTTGTAGAGATAGACGCTGGGTCCATCACTAGTTGGTTTCGTACCATCGAGATAATACCAAATGATAAAGTCAAGACTGTCGGCCACAACAGGAGCAGGAGGGTATGGGTCTGTATAGGTACCGCTCAGGACTTTCAGGGCCTTGTGGGGATAGTCTCTCATGGCTATTGCTATGACTGCCATCCACGGACCGCTATGTGGGATAGCCTCCCTCCATCTCTCGCGTATGGAAGTGGAGGTGCTCATACTAATCAACTCTGTTACCAGATCCCATCGCATGTCTCGGCCTTTCGATGGAGGATATTTGCTATAGACACGATAGCAAGATCGTAGAAACGATATGGGCATAGGCGACGGGTCGTCCTTGCAAGGATATGGATTCTGCAAACTGCTGACTTTCGGCGCATGAGTTCGGAGGCCGTACCGCTGGTACGTTTTTTGAGGTCGGCGAGGAGACTGCCGGAAGATTTCTAGATGGGAAAAATATCGTTCGGCCTCATTTAGGCCCCCCTTCTTTCTTGGTAAAATGCCTCTTTTCGCGTGGACATGTCTGACAAGCCCAGAGCGCCTGACACCCCGTCTGCCTCCCGCCGGTGGCTCGACCGACTTCTGCCTCCATGATTCTTGCTTCCAACCCTGCTGCCAATTTTCATTTTCATGCCCAAAGGCAGATTCCGACAGAGACCCATCGATACCCTCATCGCGCTGAACAGGTTGAGATGCGGAATAGTTTCGACGTGAACCGTGCTGGTATGGCCATAGCTGGAAGACCCGGGGCGCTAAAAATTGGAGGACGGGCAGTTCTATAGTTGGCCACCGTCTGGGCAGCAGTTCCGCTCGTATAAGCATTGGCAGATAGCTGTATTTATCTACCGGATCGTGTTTTCATGGTGATCACGCAAAACATTTTAAAGCTCTGGGTTCCGAGGTTTAAGGTTTGCGGGAATCAGATTAGCGTGCGTCGCGGTCCGCCTCAGGCAAAATGTCCGGAAGTGCCTGGGTGCACCACCACAGCTTCAGCCTTGGACAATATTCAAGATCAAACCTGAAACAAACATAAAAGCTGTTCTGTACTCTCAAACCGATCAATTGAACGCTCCGGTGAACGCGACCAAATGTCGGCCACCCATGCGACTCTAGGGGCAGCGGCGGATGAGAGAAAAGCCCGTTTGGCAAAGCTCAAATCTCTGAAGCGCAAGCAACCGGCCGATGAAATTGTCCCTCCAGAATCAACACGCTCCCCATCACCCCCGGCCGCGCCTGATGTCGCCACGCTCCACCTCTCAGGTCGAAATTATGACCCCGAAGCTAAGGGCCCGAAGTTGGGCTTCGAGGCGCCGCCAACCCTAGCAGCTGAGAAGACCCTGGAGCAGCAAGCAAGAGACGTCGAAGAGGAGATCAGGAGGAAGGCGGCGGAGGAAGAAGATGATGATAAAGGGGTAGATCTGTTTAAATTACAACCTAAGAAACCGAACTGGGACTTGAAGAGGGATTTGGAGAAGAAGCTGGAGATTTTGAATGTTCGGACAGACAATGCTATCGCGCGAATGGTGAGAGAGAGGATCGAAGGGGCACAGAAGGCGGCAAAGGCGAAATCCGGAAGTGGGGCTGCCACTGCGAGTGAAGGTGGTGAGGAGGCGGGAATGGAAGGAATTGCTCTGGTTGAGGGTGTCAAGTTAAGGGAAAGAGAGGAGGAAGTAGAGGAGCAACGCGAGAGAGAGGATGCTGAAATCCAGTGATAAAGGAGGGTCTCATCGCCTCATTGATTTGCATTGCATGGAAAGCATTATAATGGCGTTCGGAGTCTCATTCATCGTGTAGAGTAGTCTGGGTATGGGTACCTATTTACATCGGGAGAGCCAGTCTGGTAGCTGTCTTAGGAACCTGGAACTGGGTTCTACCAGTGTCACTTTATAAAATCAAACCACCCTATCAATTTCATCGCCCCATATTCATAGATTGGGTGAGGGCCAATCTTTTGCTGAAAGGGCTTAAGCTCCTCTCTCTCGCAGGAGGTTGGTGGTCCTTGAAATCATTACGATGAGAACCCCCGCCATTCCCGAAGTCCTCTCGCGAAGGATCCCGGTCCGACGGTATCCTTCTTGCTTCCCTCTTCGGACTTGTGCTCTCGGTCCTTCTGCCTCTCATGGGAGGGCTCATATGTTGATATCTCCTTCGGGTGCTGCGGCTACTATCCCGCCGTCTAGAGTCCCGCCTGTTGTCTCTCCTATCGTCAGAAGAAATTGAATCCACGGACGAGAAAGAACTCCGCCTCCGTTTCTTTTCTCGATCCATAGCCTTAGGTTGGGATGGGGGCGACCTCGAGACGCTAGGGAATCTCCGGTCCTGGCGACTCGAATCGTTGGGAAATGGTGATTGTGACAGACTTGGTGATCCAAGCCTGCGTTTTCCGCCTGAATTGGATCGGCGAGGGGATTGGGATCGTGTCATATTTGTAGATATGGTAGAGACGGATATTGTGGAAGAGACGGATGCAGATCGGATCCTCTTCGATGCCCCCGCAGCCTCGGGCTCCTCGCTCGTCCTTTCGCGCTTCCGGCCCCTCTCCTGCTCAGCTTTCGCAAGTTGTTCGTCGGCAATGCCTTTTCTGATAACACATTTAGCAAGAAGATCATATATCACCCCAGGGCGTTCCTTGCGCTATAAATCAACGAAGAACAAAAGAGATAGGCCTCCTTGTGCGCCATGGCTTGGCAAAACAGACAAAATACTCTGCTGCAGTCTGCGTCCGAAAGCCCTGTAATAGCCCAGAGAAATAGAATTGGTAAATTCCTACCACCACTTCCCATCACTGCAACACAAGGCAACGGGAGACAAGAAGAGGGTGTGGGGGGTAAAGACGTACTTCCTCAGCAGATCTTGCGGGACATCGCTTGTCAGTTTGGGGACAAGTTTGGGATTCAAGAGCTGCTGGGTTCTAGAAGGTCGAGGGACATAAGGGCGCTCTTGTGCAATCGCTTTGCATTCGTAGGAATAATGGCGTGCATGCGGTTAGCCTTTTGAATTAGAAACACGCGCGGGGAGACATATCTCTCTTCAGACATTTCTGGCACAATGTGCTGGCTGTGGCCTTGGAGGGGCCACCGGTGGGCAGCCTTTGATATCGGTTCATGGAGGCTGTGGCTGTGGTTGTGGTTGTGTATGTACGAAGTGCGAAGTAGAAGTAGATGTCGCGGACAGGGAGGTGGAGCGGTAGATAGACGCTTCACATCAGCATGAATAGGAAGAACCAAAAGCCAACGAATGCTCTCTTGGCATATAAACTGGGCTGGATAAAGGGGAATCCTAGCGCATGACGGGTTGCCAGCTTGTCATTATACTTATTGTCGCAAAGGGTGAGGTGAGGACGGAACATTACCTACAGTAGTACTTCGTCGGTAGATACTTCGTAGATATTTGCTACTCTTGGGACGCTGCGCAGGCGAGGACAAGGGTTCTTAGTGCAGCCTTAACCTCTGCTTTGGGCGCCGATTTATGAATTATGGCTTTACGCAGCAAGCCTTCTTCACCTTCCACGACCTCGAACAGCTTCTCTGCGCCGAGGATGTCTTGATTATCCTCCTCCTCCTCGTCTGTTCTTTAACTATTCAAATTGTCCCCCCGCTAGGCTTTGCCCATTGTTAAGCCCCCTGCCCGAGATTAGCCTTCGACAACGTTTGGGGTTGCACGGGTCGAAAATCGAATCGAATCGATAAATCACCACCACTTCAACCAGCACTCGAACTTCATCAACGTTGTACGCCCTCGCGCGATCAAGATCAAAACCAGTCTATTGCACGACACTGGTAACGGCAGACCTATCGAACCCCTCATATTGCCCCCCTTCCACCACCAGCTGGTTAGTTACGACAATGACCGGATGTCACGTCTTTTCATCGGGCGCTCTGGTTAACCTCTTCCCTTAATATTCGATTCACTTCCCGATCTTCAATCCTTTCGCCAAGCTGAGATCTTACGCTGTCTCATTTGAACTGCTACGTTCATTTCCGCAGCTCCCGCGGTCCTTTCTCGACTGCAATATACTTCGCAATGGCTACTGCACAAATGTCTGCGGATACTTCTCGATTGTCGTTTGCTAAGGTATGAAATCCATGCCGACACACGTTTCCCGCCCTCCACCTCACAGGACCTGTTGCTGACATATCTTCACTCTCAAAGGTAGCTGCATCTGCTGGCAAGGACAATGTAGCCCTTAGTTCTTTTAATAAAGCTGCAGGATCTGTCCCTGCTCGAGCTTTGAAAACGGAGAACATCTTAATGCAGGCTCATAAGGAGCAAGAACTGCACGAATCCCCTCAGGCTGCCGAGTCATCCCTCGATAATAACCAGTCTGTACAGGAAGAGGGTGGGCCAAAAGTTATGACCCACCCTCAGCCCGCATCCGCATGTGAAGCCAATCTGGTGGATGCAGTCAAAGCTCTGAACATTGACGGAGACCGCAGTATGCCAATGCCCAGTTTAGTCGTGAATGGTTCAGGCACAGGCGCTATAAATGCTAGGAAGAAGCCGGATCCAGCAGATACTTTCGCGGAGGACCCATTTCAGCGTCCAGATTCTGGATCAGAGCTGGGTACTAAGCCACCGAGTCTAGATGGGAAGAGTATCACATCCGGAACTACGTTTGCATTGGATGAGAAGGAATCCTTGCGGCCTGATGATAGCGCCAGTGTCAAAGCTGCCGAGGACGATGATACTTTTTCAGGACGAGGCTCAATCGTCGCTGGCTCCCGGATTGGATCTGAGGCAGCTGCTCGTGCATACCGTGCTCAGTTTTATGAATCTCCAGACAGGCGTATGCAGCCTATGCCCGAACGACAAAGTCACGGAGTCAATACCCCTCAGAGTGGGTCGTCTGGACCGCAGGTCACAGATGATGGAAAGCCTAATAAGACCCTTATTGGGCAGCCGGGTGTTCCAGATGCCTTTAATCTCTTCTATCGCCAAACGCCAGATGAGAAATTGTTGGAAGCACTCGAGTCACCGAAAGACCGCATTTTCCTGCTCCGATTAGAGCAAGACTTGCAAAAATTTGTTATTGATTCCAAGTGAGTCCTATGTCTTCTTTGCTGATTAGGCAATCGACTTTTAGAGCTACGACGCTAACCTCTATCATCAGAGAGCCGTTCATCGATCTACCACCATGCAACTCGTTCTGCAGGATGCTAACTCATAAGCTGGCTGATTATTACCACATGACCCATCAAGTTGACTCTGTAGCCGGAGCTGTTCGTATTTTCCGGACCCCGTTTTGCCGGTTGCCTCCCTCATTGACCAGCATCTCAAACCCCCCCACATCAGGGAATACCCCGCCTCCAACGATGCCAGCGATGAAGATAATGCGACGGGGGGGAGATAATGACACTGGCCCAAGTACTTCAAAAGCGACTTCAGAAACTGGTAGTGATGGCAAAGAAAAATCCCTTTCAGCTAAAGAAAAGTGAGATTTCTATCGACCCTGTATATCTTCATTTGCTAACGTAGTGTAGGTTGTCTAGAGAAGAACGAGAGGCCGCTTACAACAGGGCACGCGAGCGTATCTTCGGTAAGGATGAAAAGGCAGGAGATGCCACACCAGGTATGCAGCTACCCCGACCTACAGGAGAGTACCAGCCGCTAACTAGTTGAAAGATACCGAAGATGGTAATGAGATGTCGCGGTCTAGCTCTATTTCAACGAAAGACAGATCTAGTCAGAGTAAACGATCCAAGCCGGTAAAGCGACGAGATGATTCGGAAAACTTTGACGTTCGATCGCAGTATACTCCCTTCTTCCCCCAAACTCAGGTACCGACATGGACTCCAACATCTCATTATTCGCCTATGCCCCCGCAGACATTTAATGGGACTGGCCAGAATATGTATCACACCTCAGTGCCGCCTCAATTCAATGGCCCACCACAACAATTCAATCCGACCGCTGTTAGCAATGGAAACATGCAAGTATATAACAATATACCCCAGGTAAATCATTACGATTCCTACCTCTCGAGCCATATTTTCCTAACACCACTTAGCAATATGCCCAACCAGGCCAACCCCGATTTCAGCCGCATAGTGCCCCTATTACTGCCTACGGCTCACCTGTTCAGCCGGCTCCAGTTGCACCACAGCAGTGGCAGCAGCAGCAGCAGCCTCTGTATCAGAGTCCATATCAACCCCGAGGACCAATGGCGACTGGACCTCCGAATTCCATTCCCTATGCGTTTGGCCAGCTGCCAAGCACTGCAAATCCAGCTGATCCCAAGAGCCAGCACCCGATCCCCGGGAGTTTCAATCGGCATGCGTTTAATCCAAAAACACAATCCTTCGTCCCTGGCAACGCCGGTCTCCCAATTCCGCAGACCATGCCACATCATGGGTCTCCTCTCCACGGATCCCCGCATCTCACATATGACACATATACTGCCCCCCAACAGCAATTTGGAAGCGGAATGGGTTACAGCATGGCTCGGCAAGGTTCGAATAACTCTTTGCCGTCTTACCATGCATCTCCGCATATAGCTCACAGGCCAATGATGCATCAAAGCATGCAACAAGGCATGGCTCATGGAATGCCTCAGGGAATACCTCAAGGGCTACCTCAAGGGCTACCTCAAGGTGTGCCCCAAGGCATGCAGGGGCTGCCGCAGAATGGGCAAGTTGGACATCATCTTCCTAATTATGGCAATTCATCAACGCTTCCCCCAAAGCCACCTACAGGAGTTTAATGGTTCATGGTAATGTTATCAACAGAAAGTGGCGTTTGGTAGCATTGGTGGAGTTGGTGGAAATTGCGGGCTTAATTTGGCGGGCTCATCAAATGGAGCTTTACAACCAATTTACGGCATTGGACTGGTAGACATGAATAAAACAGAGTACAACGATTTAATCTTGGAACACAAACAAAATCCTGGTGCAGAATACCATTCTACGCGAATGTCTTTATAGCCCCACCGTAACGCCGTAATCTTTTCCATCCTGTACAATGCACATCATGCACCGCCGAGCTGCGTGGAAATAGCAGAATGAATCATAAAATTACTCGTTTGGCTCTCTTGGTTCCCTTTGCTGTCCACCGCGTCCACCACCTCCACGTCCACCACGCTTTCCGCCTCGCTGGCCGCCTTTCTCGCCGCCTTCCCCTCCACCAGTTGACGCTAAGGCATCAGAACCACCCATAGTGAGAGTAGCGGTCGCGAGTCTCTGGGAAAGGTCAATCTGGGTGCGGATGGTGTTTGCAAGGTATGAAACAACAAGCACATCCTGGACGTGGTTATTGAAATCTCTCTCAATCACTTCAGGGTCAACCTTTGGCGCCAACGACAAGGCATTCATCAAAAACTGTCCCAGCGGATTTGAAGGCTGCCTTTCCTCATCCAACACAGAATTAACGTACTCGGCAACCCGCTCGAGGAGATCGAGAGCTTGGTCAACGGCCCGCTCAAGTCCCTCGATATCTGAGACTACTGGAGCAGCACGGCTCTCGCTATCCTTTGCACCAGAGATTAACTCAAGTCCACTCTTCTCGGATTCGCTGTATCGGATATCGTATGGAACTGGAAGGAAGAGGCAGCTCTCAGAAGCACGCTCGGCGTTCACCCCCACGGGCGCACTGATGTATGCCTTGGCCTCGATTCCTTTCCCCGGATCCGTTGAAACAGTCACATGGATAGAAGGATGAGGGAAAGTTCCGGTCTCCGGGCTCGCAAAGAAGTTCTGAATCAGGGCGCTGAAGCTGTTCAGGTCAAGACTGGTGGTATACCATCCCAGCAAAACCTCCCTCGGGTTGGCTTTAAGTTGCAAAGCAAGCATATTCTTTTGGTATTCAACGTCCACTTCAACTTGATCTTCGTTCTCCGTGTGCGGGATCGCAAAGCAATTTCGAACTTCAGCTTCCATGCCATCTTCTGAGCGTACGCCAAGCAGGGCTCCGATAACTCGTGTGGATTGCGTGTCCCGGATATCTCGTCGGATAGCGTGGTCAAGGATCGAGAAGATTGCCTATTCATTGTAAGTTCTTATTCATGCGAAGTTCTGCGGCATGGAGACGAACTTGTGGCTGGATTATGACATTTACTGGCGCAGTAGTGGGCTGGACACCGATTACCGTGGGCGCAAGAGGCCGCGCAAGATGCAAAAATGAGGGAGGATCGACCGCCATGGTGGGCAACAGGAGTAGAATCGATCCGGTGCAGAGATGGAGGTTCTCGAGGCTGTGGACGTTGGTGGGTTGACGTGTGGTTGAAAATTCCCCACCGATCTCTTTCGTCGACTATTTTGCCTTTGCCCTTTGGTGGGTTGGATTTGTGGGCTTGTAGTTCACGTGCACGTACCACCACTTGTTGCTGGTGGGAGCTGGGAATCGATTGCTCCTCGTTAAGTATAATAGCCGGAAACGGGTGCTTTAGAGAGGTCGTTCAGTTCGAGAGTATTTATTCAGATGGCTACCTTGATTTTCCTAATTCACCAACGTCAAAGTCTCTGCAATGGAAGCCGTTCTGTTTTGCAGTCTTTATTCGAACCCCTGTCTAACGAACCCTCGACTGGCGCTAAGATAAGAAAGCTTATCTGTGTGAAAGCCGTAAATTAATTTTTCGAGGAGGTTCAAGCTACGAGATATTCCTAATTGTACTCTGGCAGCACCATGGCATTCCACGGAAATCGAGGCGGCTCCCGAGGGCGAGGTTCTGGATCCAGTGGTTCTCGAGGCCGCGGACGTGGAGGCGGAGGTGTTCGGGGAGGTGGTGGTGGAGGTGGTCGCGGACGGGGAGGTGGTGGATTTAGAGCCAAACGTCCTGTTTTCGACAGCGCACGAATTGCGAAGCAGGAAGAAGCGTATATATTGTTCTCTATGCATCTTAACAAGTTTCCTGTTAACAAAGAGTAGGAACGCTGGCCAAGACTCAGAGTCCGAGAATCCGTCTGAAGAGGAGGATGACAAGTCGCCTAGCGAAGACGAATCTACCGATGAAGAGGATGAACCACTCCCGGCAGTGCGACCTTATTCGGCGCTTATACAAAGTCTCGCTGCTGGTTCTGCACCACAAGCCAAAAGAAGGAAATTAGACCATCCCCAGCCGGGAAAGCCAGCGGAGACTGTGTCTGACGATAGCTCAGAGAGACTGGAGAAACTCTCCGACGAGACTGATGATGTGGACGAGGAAGAAGAGGGTCCAGACACTACAGCTGATGCCCTGCTAGATGATGATGAGGAGGAAGACTCTGAAGATTCTTTGGACCCTTTTGAAGTCCATTTCGCAAACCCAGATGGAAACCTGTTGTCGCAGAAACTGAAGGCTCTGCAGCTGAACCAATGGGCGACACAAAAGCTAATTCTCCCAAAAGTTGGGAAGGCTGTTTTCAGCACTCCTCAGGAAGTGGATCAGAAAACGGTCGCCCTGGCACCCTCGGTATCTAGCCCTGCTGACCTGAAGTTAAAGCTAAAGCTAGCTGGGGCCGTGGCAAAACAATGGCCCGAGTTCAACCATATGGAGAAAAGTATAGCGGCATATATGTTCAACTACCAAGACATATTGTATTGTGAGCGAAAGCCTTCTAATTCGGAGGAACTACGCCGGCTAACTTGCCTACACGCTGTCAACCATGTGTTCAAGTCAGTATCCCGACTTTCCGTCTTCCCAAACTTAGAATTAGACTAATGGTAGTAGAACCCGAGACCGTGTTATCAAAAACAATGCCCGCCTCGCAAAGGAAGGGAGCGATGATCTTGAGTTAAGGGACCAGGGTTTCACCCGGCCCAAAGTCCTGATGATCCTGCCTACCCGTCAGTCCTGCTGTCGAATGATAGATGCCATCACGTCTATATGCCCGCCAGAACAGCAAGAGAATCGCAAACGCTTTGAAGATTCGTATGTTGAGAAGGGCGAAAAATTCTCAGCTGACAAGCCCGAGGATTTCAGCGAATTATTCGAAGGAAACGACGATGATATGTTCCGCCTTGGTCTAAAATTCACACGGAAAACCATCAAGTATTTCTCTCAGTTCTACAACTCCGATATTATATTTGCAAGCCCGCTGGGCTTGCGCATGGCCCTCGAAGGAAAAGATGACAAGAAGGGCGATTACGACTTCTTGAGCTCTATCGAAATGATTATAGTTGATCAGGCGGATGCTCTGCTAATGCAAAACTGGGAGCACGTGGAATACATCTTTGAGCATCTCAATATGCAGCCAAAGGAGGCCCATGGCTGCGACTTCAGCCGCGTCCGGTCCTGGTATCTGGACAACAATGCCAAATACTTCCGCCAAGTCATTGCACTCGCTGGGTTCAACACACCTGAACTCAATACCCTGTTCTACAATCAATCAACCAACTGGGCAGGCAAAGTCAAAATCAGTGATACCTACTCTGGGGCTATCCAAGAACTGGGCTTGAAAATCAAACAGACCTTTTCCCGGTTAGAATCTCCTTCTTTCGCTACGGATCCAGACGCTCGTTTCACCTACTTCACATCCGCTATAATCCCATCCCTGACTCGCCGTGCGAAAGATACTGCTGGCACTCTTATGTTCATTCCTTCCTACCTGGATTTCGTCCGAGTGAGAAATTATTTATCAACATCTACTACGACTAGCAGCTTGTCCTTCGGCAGTATCTCAGAGTACACCTCTGTGAGAGATGTAGCTAGGGCAAGATCGCACTTCTTCACCGGACGACATAGTGTCCTGCTGTATACCGAACGAGCCCACCATTTTAGGAGGTACCAGGTGCGGGGGGTTAGAAAAGTAATCATGTACGGGTTACCTGATAATCCAGTCTTCTACAAGGAGATAGTTGCAGGATACCTAGGTCGAAGTGTGCAAGAAGGGAAGCTGGCACCAGGAGAGGGAAGTGTAAGGGCCATCTTCTCAAAATGGGATGTACTGAAGCTGGAGAGAATTGCTGGGACTGAGCGAGTAGGAAAGATGCTCAGAGACAAAGGGGATACATTTGATTTCCTGTAGAACAATTTCATACTCCATATTTTACAAATACCAATACCAGCAACGCCCCTGACATGCAATACTGATAAGTACCAACACTCATATGGTTGTCCACATGGTTTCCTCTCGCCCTACCGGCTATTTATACAGTCCCACCCCATCTTCTCTCCTCACTCGCAGCATTATTTCTATCCCCAACCTCCAAATCAGACATCTGCTCTACCATATCCTCCAATTCCGCCTCCCCACCCGGCCTAAACCGTGTAACCTTATCAATATTCTTCGCCGTGATCTCGCCAACAGGCCTTCCCTGGCCCCTTTCCCGCACTATCGTCCTCGCTGTCATCGCAAAGCGCATATCCTTAGGACCATCGACGAGTTCTAAAATCGCTGAAGGTGCCATGTCAGGCTTGAGGGGCTCGACACGTAGAATACGTGTGTATCCGCCAGGTCTCTCAGAATATCGTTCTCGAAGCGAGCCGAACAGCTTTGGCATCAATTTATGCGGTGTCTAGCATACTCTGTCAGCCTTACCCATTCCCAAGGAACAATAAATGGGTGTAATAGGTGGAGTGGAAGTGCCAGCCCTGTAACGTACATAGAATACACTAAACGCTCTCCTCTTACTCGCTTCTGTGTTCTTCTTCCCCAGCGTGATAAGCTTCTCCGCCAGGCGTTGCGCCTCCTTTGCTTTAGGCCATGTCGTCGATATCGATTCGTGTTCGATGAGAGAGGTTACGAGGTTTCGAAGGAGAGCTTGTCTATGTGCGGATGAGCGGCCGAGATGGCGGTATTTCATTCGCCCTCCAGCCATAGTAAAAGTTTATTCGGGGATTTGATCAAGGCAATGTGACCAATTCGCTGCTCTGAGTGGTATAGGGCCTTGAATAGGTACGCTGAGAGTTGAGTACTCCGAATGCTGTCGCGTCTGAAAGTTGTGGTTGCGGTTGCTCCTGTACAACCCCGGGATTTTCATCCGGCTTCGAATTTTTGGCGAGCCGCAAGCTTGAATCAACCCACCTACATCAAGAACGTCAACCCTTGCTCAACAGCTTTCCAAAAGCTCTCCGGAGCCCCTTCGGTATCAATTAATTATATCGCATATCTGTGACATAATTACAACTCATACAGCAGAGCATTGCGCTGTTGGCGCATCGTACCAAGCTTCACCAAAAAGCATGGGGTTCACCACCGGCTTCGTAAGTGGAAAACATAGCCCATTATAGATAATCGTAGCTAATGAAGCTCCCAGACAAGCGGTGTCACACTCACACTCGGCCTTGCCTACCTCACAGTCCTCGCACATGAGCGGAATCGGTCATCTCAAGCCCAATCCCTCCGTTCACAATCACGGGTTCTAGAAGGCCTCCTCCAGCCCACCCCTCTACCCCCGCCACAAAGCCGTGCAGAACTTGCCCGTGAAGAAAGAAGTACGTTAACAGAAGCCGCCAAGGACCGATGGAATGCAGAGGTTGAGAATGCCGTGCGGTGGGTGCAGAGAACAGATTGGGATGAGGCGAGAGAGGGTATAGTGGGTTCAGTTTCGCGATTGCTTGGTGGAGGCATACAGAAGTCAAGGGATGAAATTGAACATCTTGAGAAGGTATCTGCACATAAGGTTCAGGAAGCTATTGATCAGAGTAAATCTGCGGCAAAGCACGCCAAGGATCAAGCTGCTGAATATCGAGATACTGCGGCGGCAAAAGCCGTCAGGGCCACGGACGAAGCAAAATCAGGGGCAATCGCTGTCAGTGACTCCATCCGGAGGAGTGGTGGAACGGTCGATGCAGCGCGTGGTGCTGTAAGAGACGCTCTAAGCAAAGGAGTTGAGAAGGGCAAAGAGGCCATTGACAGAGCACAAGCAGCTATTGGGCTTGCGGAAGAGAAGATCGAATCTAAAGCACAATCATCTGCTATAAGCCATTCTTCGGCTGTTGAGAAAGCACTGCATGAAAGATATGAGAAGCCTAATGGACTTGATAAGAGCGTGGAAGAAACCTTGGAGGAGCGGTACAAACCGGTTGAGTCGGAGGATCCTACAAAATTGCGGGGACTGTAAGTATGTATAGAGAATAATTACCTTCTGTACTATTACTGTCTAAGATTATCGTCTATTGTTTATGATTTCCATTTAGACACTTCTACTACTCTACACTAGGTAATGCCTTCCTTATGAGTTTTGCATATTTTGCGTTTGACCAAAAGGTTCTTGAAGAGGTATCAAGCACAAATCACAACAGCTGCCTCTGCTACCCTGGGTCTTTAACATGGGTAAGTACAGTCAGGGGCTATGAGATACGTGCCGGAGAGTAACTAGACAGCTTGGCGAGTCTTGACTGAGGGCAGAAAAAGTAGCAACAGGAAGGGGGCAATTTCATGCCAGCGTCACCGGCGACATCGAGCGTGGCGGACAACACGCAGAGCTATGGTGGGACTGCTAGCTAGATACTATCATAACCAACAGGGTTTTCAAGCATGGGAATCTAGAGTATCTAGATAATTCAAGGGTCCCGACGTACAAAGTAAGTGATACTATCTTCTCTCGTGCCACCCCACCGTTCCAGATGTGAGTCCTGTGTAGCGATATCTTTGAAGCCCATATTCCTGAACATCTTGATAGACGACGGTCTTGCAGGAGCCCAGGTCCTAGCAGGATTCCCATCCATAATCTCATTAGTGACCCGCGTGAGAACTGATCCTAAGCCCAATCTCTGGAATTCAGGCTGGACCATTGTGCCTTTGCGGTCTGGTATATATTAGATACTGTATCCCATTCGGATTGTACAAGACCCGTTCAAGATAATGAACAACGACACGTACGGTAATCTTCCTCTGGGTTGTAACCATGCTTTGCGGACTCCCCTAGGCTCGCCCAGAATTCTTCCAGCGCAGGAAGGAACATTTCTTTTAATAGAATTGGCGGCAATACTTCATTCAAGGCTACGGCTTTAGCCTCGGGAGTCATGAACTTAGCATCCTTCTCAGTCCGCCATTTCCATGGGAACTGGAGAGCAGTCCACGCTATAATCTTCCTACATGAATAAAATGTCAAATTCAATATATAAATAGTGCAGGGGGGGTTACTTACCCAGAACTCTTCTCTGTGATGATATATGTAGTAATATCGGGCATAGTCCATCGGGGGGCGAGCCACTTCATAACCCATTCGTGAAGCTCTTCATCGTCGCAGTTTTCTCGGACGAATTTCCAAATCCCATCGTTCCGGTAGGCAACTTCCATCACACGCATGACTTCGTCCATTTGGTCAGGGGATGCCTCGCATAGTGTGAAGTCTGGATTGAGGGCCATGATTTTATTCTTCAAAGGAGGTGCGAGTTAGAGTCTTATCTTTGTGGTTCTAAAGCGGGAGCTGTCAGCTATATCGACCTTTCCAGGCCATCATGGCCATCTGAATTCGATCAATAATGCTTACACTGTTTAGGACCGGTCGGTGTAGACAAGGAACGAGTGACTGATGCGTGCCCGCAAAAGGTCCAATTGTTTTTTTCAATAATAACAGTAGTGAGACCTTAACTGCTGTCAGCTTACTTTATAGCGGAGTCAGCAACCAGGATCTTAGGTACCTAGGTACTCATTATTCGGCTGTCAAAGATACGGGAATTTGGCATTGCTAATTAAGGTAACTTAACATGGTTCATTCGAAACGGGCGGTTTCTTTTAGTATAGAGAGCAGGATAAGTTTTTAAGCAGCATTTCTTAGTACTAACATGCCAAAGATCCCTCAAACGTGCTCAAGAGCCTCAGGAGCCTAACCCAGGTTTGTAATTCCAGGCGCCTTAACACTTGAAATGAAGGGACCTTAAAAGGCTTGGACCTAATAACGGTTGGAATGCCCTAGGTAATTTCAAGAACTGTAAGGACCTAGAGCTGGGGTCCGGCTCGTTCAAACGATACATCCATTCGGACCAAGCGGGTGCCTTCACAACGACCAGCAGCTGCAGAATATCCGACCAATTTGGTAGATAAATCCCCAATCCCACTACTCTCGGCCCTCAAGGGTGGTTCGGAATTTTCCCCCCTGAACATCCCCATCCGGGGTACTTTCCTGAAGGGCTGCAAACACATGGCACTACTTGCTCCTGCGCTGATCGATTGCCATTCTCTAGCCGCGTCGCCCATACCATTCGACAAATTATTGTCATGAGGGGTATCATCTCCTATCCCATATGAAACGCCATAAACAAGTGCCCAAATTTTCCCATAATATGACAATTACTCAGTCAAGGCGCCCCTTAACCTCTTCCTCGTATTCGCACACCGAGTCAACAATCCGGGCAATACCGCCAGCATTGCCACTAGAACGACCCCAAGCTGCTCGCTTCATCTCAATTGCCTTTTCAATTGCTCCAGCAAGACCTCTACTTTAAATTAGTATGCCTCTCGATACAATGCGATATCCAAGGGGGTGCCTAGGTGCATGAGAAACAATAAACGCAATAGCAAGAGCAAAAATACCCCAGAGAACCTAATTAAATGATACGTACAGTAAATCTGATTTGACCACATATCCTTGCTTCTCCAGCTCGGACGCAAGTTCTTCCTGATGGTTATCCAGGAGTGAGATATTTGGTACTACCACAAGCGGCAAATCCAACCGCATAGCATCTAGAATAGTGCCAGCTCCTTCAAGAAGTTAACATCGTTTCTTGTTGTGTTTTATATATCCAGAAGAATAGCTTACCAGCATGGCAAATCACGATACCCTCCTCCGATACGCCCGGCTTTGCCTGACACTTTCTCATCTCATCTTGCAGGCCATGTTTGTTGAATGCAAAGTGCCGGATATTAATGCCTTTGCTATCGACTGGCTTGATTTGGAGGAAATAATCTGCCAACTCGCCGACTTGTAATGTGAGATCAGTAAAGCCGAGATCTCTGAGTTTCTGTAATGTCGGATCTGATACTGCCGCTGCAAGCAGCTGAGGGAAATCGGCGGTTGCGCCAATGGTTAAAAAACATTCCCGACGCATTCGTCGTTTTACCGGTTCCATGTCATGAGTCGTAGATAGGGTGGAAGAAGAGAAAAGGAGTGCCAAAATGAGCCTGTCTTGTAGGGTGCTGTGGATTCCAACGTTGTCGCCCTAATCTAGCTTGGATCAATGGGCCAGCTTTCGGGATTTCGTAGCCTCACAGTAAAAGATTTATTACTAGTGGGAATGCATATACTAGACAGGAAATTTCGTTGAGTTGTTTGTGAGGGTTTGGAGCTTGCCCTTCAGATGATTACCCTGTTGGGCTGGGCGATGGTTGTCGGGGTTGGGGAACAATCCCTATCAATCTTGAACGTCCCTGTAGCAGGAGCCGGCTAGTCCTCAATCGATCTTAGCGCATATATTGGCCTCAGCCTCGATCTACAATTTTATCTCACCTAGTATCTCCTGGAAAGGCGACCGCTATATCCACACACCACCCGTCATGGCAACGGCTCTCAAGGGCCTCCGGTTGACAGCCAGAAGCTGCGCTGGCGCGTCGCTCTCCTCTAAGTGCAGTGCCCGGCCAATTGGGAGACGGAGAGTGTTTTCCACCACTCCTACACGATGGAAGACCACGATCGATCCCGAGGCCGAGGCGGCTGTTATTTCGAAAGCTGAACAGGCCCTCGGGGTCGACTTAAGGGCCGCGCACGCAGAGATAGACAGTTCAGCGAAAGATATACAAGATTATCTAGATGCAGAGTTGGATTTTGGTCCGCCAGGGCCAGAATTCCTACCAGCGAAAAAGAAGCTCAAGGAGACATTCTTGAATATGGGGGACCCAGAACCATTCGAAGATGGAGGGTTTGCTGAGGATATGGAGGATGATCTTTCATCACTCGCCCATGGTGAATTGGAACAGCACAGAGAGTGGAGACATTATGCCAGATTGGCCGCTTGGGAGATGCCGCTTTTGTCAAGTATGTTGTTTTTTGCAACCCCCAATGGCTTGCATAAAATAGATTGCTAATAGAAAACTGCAGAGTTAGCAAAGCCATTCGAACCACCAACAGCAGACATGCCATTGCGATTCAGATACACAACTTACATGGGGGAACACCACCCAGCGGAGAAGAAAGTCGTCTTGGAGTTTTCTCCAGCAGACATGCCCAATCTAACATCGATCCAAAGAGACAAGCTGAGAAAATTACTGGGGCCGAGATACAACCCAGAGGCAGATACTGTTCGAATGAGCTGTGAAATGTTTGAGACGCAAGCTCAAAACAAACGGTATCTAGGTGATTTGGTTGATACACTTCTTCATGAAGCAAGGGTATGTTCCCTTTCTTATTTTATAATTACTTGGTCTAATAGTTGCAGGATCCTACGGATACCTTTGAAGATGTACCTTTGGATACCCGACATCATCACTTTAAGCGAAAACTCCGCTTCCCCAAGGAGTGGGAAATGACAGAAGATCGGCGCCAGGAGTTAGTTAAGCATCGTCAACAAGCAGTAATGAAGGATCAGAAACGAGAAACCGCTGGCCAGTTAGTAGATGGGATAAAGCAAATCGAGATGGCATGGGCAAAACCTGTCGCTAGGGAAGCAATTCCCGAAATGGCTATGGCTGGTAAGGGATTAAAGGGGAGGGGACCGACTGGGAAGAGGGTGGGTGTCAGAAGGTAGAAGTGGAGAAGTTGGATTTAATGACCACTGTAAAATATTGTGCTAGGACATCTGCAAATGTACAATTCCAATGTGTTGGCCTCGTAGCAGAGACGATTGTGGGACATAAGACGGTACTAAGCAATATTGAGATCCCCTAAAAAAGGGAGCTTTCGTACAGTTATCCGGGCGAAATGTAAAATGTCGAGATAGAAAACCAACTTCCACAGCAATGCTTGTCGCATGAAACTTGTCGCATGAAACTTGATAAGCAGCATTTATCATCATAATTACTAATGTTCTGGAGGAAGAGCCCTTGCTGGTGTTGATTGGTTCCCGCTTTCACAGCTCTCTTGATTCAAGTGGAAGAATCGTTCTAATTTTAGGCCTTTCTGGCCGCACGAGTAGCGAGCTGTCCAGAATCATACTCGCATCTTCCCAGACACCCAGACCTCGGCACGATGATCCCTCCATTGCCACGCGGTTACTCATCTGTTTCGTAACTCCGACCGCATATATAGATCGCAACTCCTCATTGAACTACATTGCGATTCTGTCTTTATTAGAACAATAGGAAGCAATATATTGAAGAATGTGAGTATACCCCGTTTGATTCTTAACTGCTCCCTTGATGGCTATGCACGCTATGCGTAGCAACTGAGCCAGGACTACCTCCTAGCTGTTGTTGCTGGGCGCATCTGATTACTTGAGACTTGGCCTTTATATCATGGAGGGTTATTGCGGACGAACCCGAGAAAGAAGCTCTGCAAAGCTGCTGAGATGCCAGATGACAGTTACTGTTACAGTTGTAGTTGGAGTGCGTGGTGGGCGAATGAGTGCCCGCTGTCTGATTACTTCCTTCATTTACAATGCCATCCTGAGATCGACGCTTTTGTTATTCTCTGACCTTTTTAAATTCTAAATAAATTCGCTGACCAAGTTATTCGAACAGCTACGTTACAATGGCACCTGTTCAAATCCCACCGTTCGAGGCCACGGCCATCGACTCGATCCCCAGCACGGTCAATCGCATCAAAACCACATACCGTTCGCAAAAGACAAAGCCACTTTCATATCGATTGACGCAGCTACGCAAGCTATATTGGGGCCTTGTGGACAATACCGATGCCCTCATCGAGGCATGCAAGCAGGACCTGGGCAAACCGATCTTCGAAACGGTCATCTCGGAGGTAGATTGGTGCAAGAATGACATTATGTTCATTACCAAGAATTTGGAAAAGTGGATGAAGGATGAAACTGCGCCGGACATCCCTCTCACCAACCGACTTGTCAGCCCCAGAATCAGGAAAGAACCTCTTGGCACGATCCTAGTTATAGGTGCATACAACTTCCCCGTGCAACTCTCACTTGGCCCCTTCATTGGTGCTATTGCAGCTGGCTGCACCGGTGTTTTGAAGCCCTCAGAAGTTTCTCCCGCAACGGCAATGGTCTTGAAAACGATCTTTGAGGAATACCTCGATCCAAATGCGTTTGCCGTTATCAATGGTGCCATTCCAGAGACAAACGCACTACTCAATGAGAAGTGGGACAAGATCTTCTATACAGGAAGCGCCCAAGTCGGCACAATTGTTGCAAAGAAGGCTGCCGAGACATTGACCCCAGTTACTCTTGAACTTGGAGGCCGCAACCCAGCAATTGTGACAAAAAATGCTGACCCCCGTCTTGCGGCTCGCCGGCTGTTATGGGGCAAGGTTCTCAACGCTGGTCAAGTTTGCATTAGCCAGAACTATATCATGGTTGAGAAGGAAATACTTCCGGCATTTATAGAACAACTGAAAATAGCACTCAAGGAGTTCTTCCCTAATGGCCAAAAAGCAAGTCCCGACTTTGGCAGAATCGTCAATAAGCGACACTTTTTACGAATCAAGAAGATGGTCGATGATTCCAAGGGAAAGATTTTGATTGGCGGAGAAATGGATGAATCCGAAAACTTTATTGAGATCACTGTGGTTCAGGTTAATGATATTAAGGACTCTATGATTGTTGATGAATCATTTGGCCCCCTTATTCCTGTTCTTGCTATTGATAATGTGGAGGAGGCGATTGAGACTGCTAATGCGGTCCATTCAACGCCTCTGGGTCTCTATGCATTCGGTTCTAAAAAGGAAACATCTAAACGTAAGTGGCACCATAGTTCATTATATGCCAAGGCTTCCACGGGCAACACATGCTAACTGCCGCAGTCCTTGACAACATAACCTCCGGCGGAGCCTCAATCAATGATTCTTTCTTCCATGGCTCTATCCCTACCCTCGCCTTCGGTGGAGTAGGCGACTCAGGCCAGGGCGCTTATCGAGGCAAAGCCTCCTTCGACACCTTCACCCATTGTCGCTCCGTAACCACCACTCCCGGTTGGATGGAGAAGCTGCTCGATGTCAGATATCCTCCCTATGGTGACGCTAAATTGAAGCAATTCAAGAGAATGAGTGACAAGAAACCTAATTTTGATAGGGAAGGGAGGGAATTCAGGGGGCTGGGGTATTGGTTGACTTTTTTAGGAGCACTGGGGGGTGAGAGCGCCAAGGGGGCGGTCGTTAGGTGGGCGATTGTTGCGTTGATGGCTGCGGGTGCGAAGAGGTTCTGGGACATTCCTGGGCAGTTACCATGGTTGAAGTGAGTAACGTCCAAGCACTTTTACTTAAATGGTATATGTAAGGTAGGTTTGGTTAGGTATGGGGGCATGGTGTAACGGATCCCTTTCCTTTGTTATATGTACAGAAAGTATTTCTTTCGCTGTCGCTAAAAAGTATTAATTAGTCGATACAAACTCGCCCCCAACTCATCACTCCCATTTCGTTCCAGATAAGTGATCAATCCTTGTATAACTTTACATGTTTCCATTCTCTTCTCAACAACACTTTGCTCGTGTTGGAATGCTGATGGCTGATAAAAGGCAATTCTGCGGCACTTCGTAACGGGGAGACCCCTTCCTCAGAGAATGCTCCGGAGCTTGTGAGTTGGTGGTTTTTCATCCTTCAACGAGGTGCAGGGACCGGAGAGGCTCAATGATACGGGAGTGAAAAACGACTGCTTAAAGTTAAGACGTAGGTTCCGCTACATATAAGAGTACATGTAGGTATTTTAAATAGGGAGCAAGGTCAAAAGCTGAAATCTAACCGAACTCTAACTGCTATAATATTATCCGCTTCCCTTCTTCTCTTTTTACTACTCGCCCTTCTCAATTAGCTACCATCATTACTTATGCTCTTAGTGCTCGATTCACTTAATACAATGTTAAATTACTGTCCCAGCCTCGGTTCAACCGTCAATTCAAGCTTGATATGTATAAAGCAACGATCTAACTGCTGCTCGGTTTATGGTTCAGACAGGGAACCGCGCCTAGCTAGATTCAACTTCGATCATTTACATTGTGTTTGGAAACTGCCCTTTATATGGCCTAGAAAAGATAGAGTTTAGAAGATGGTTGTCATTTAGTACAAGGTTGCCATTTGTAACTTGTAGTCATTCGGCAGGGACCTGTCAGCCCTATAACTAGTCGTTGGCCCTACAGAGTAGGAAGATGTAGCACTAGCGTATCGTAAGTGTTCCTTGCGTTTATAAGCTAGTTTCCGGGATTAGATGAGAAGGGGATACATACCTACGGGTACCTACCTAACCTAATGATATTTTCAATATTGATCGAAACGGGTTCTAGGGATCTGCCTGGGTCCAAACGACGAAGCAATTACCCACCGTGTGTATAAGCTTTATTACGAATCACACTTTTGGCGCGAATGTTTCAACAGGTAAAGGTTCTTAAAATCTTCCCCTAAAGCAATCAATTCACTATCTAGGGAGGTTTCTTGCACATCCCACTACAACTTTGAATGCCTTAATATACAGGATTCTTAGCCGGCTCGCAATACGGATCCTGCGGCTCGAATGCTTGTTGGCATTGGGTCTCTGCCACTTCTCGCAAAATGCCCCAGATGGTTGCTAGTAGCAATGAGGTGGGCATAAGGTAGTGTAAGGCCCCTCCAACCCCACCTCGGGTCCCTAGATCCTTGGTTTTCTCTGATTCCTCCAGTCTGCTCTGCAGCTATTGCCAGTAACAAGGAATGGCTGACGACATCGAGTCCCAAACGCGGGCCGGTTATCCAACCCTCGACGCCAGAAAAGGTATTTGCGTGGTAGATGTTCTTTCTCACGGGCCGCTCAATAGACTTAAGACCCTCTCGCGCTTCTCTTTCCCCAGATATGGGCTACTTTCCCCTTCATCCTCGGCATCAACCATAACGGCGGCCTCGTAGACTTTCATAACTAAATCTTCATCAACAGGAAGCCCTTCTTCCACTAATAGCGTTATCACTCCCCGAACCCTGGATATTTCTCTCCTTGTCTCAGGTGGGATTTCGTCGTTCTGGCTCGAGTAGGCCATATTGCTAACGCTCTCCTCGATTCGGGTAATTGATGTATCATTATCGGCAACTTCGACATGTTTGCTGATCCAAATGTACCCATTGACACCTAGAACCACATCAACCTTCCCTCCTCCGTGCACCGTGTCAATCGTCCAGGTCTGTCTCCTAGCCCTAACTACGCCACCACCACCTCCAGTTCCACTGACGCTCATAAACATCCCATTTCTAAGCTTTCCATACTTCAAACTCCTGGTATGAAGACTTGCACTGCCATCCTGATGTAAAGCCTGGACCTCAGCAACCAGCAAATCGCCTTCACTAAAGAATGTCCTGATCTGCAATTCATCCGTCTCTGTCCTCTTGCGCAGAATTCCACCTGGCAAGTTGATGGCAGAGAGAGGCAGATTTGCAAGGACAGGAGCTCCAACATCAACTCGCCAGCGCTTAGGTTGTACTTCGATGATGCGGCCCACGACAAGATCACCAATCTCGGGGGTATAACGAGCCCGGAGAGGCCGAACCGAGAGCAGTTTATTTGTCTTTTGAATAGTACCAGCTACCGTGGCTATTATTTCGGTGCGAGCAGGTGCGATGTATGTGCCGTGACCTCTGCGACGTCGTTAGCAAATGCCGCGGTAAATAATAAAAGTGCCATATATACCTCATCCATTGCGGATCATCTGTGATAGTTTCACCAGGAGTGACAATGTCTTTGGCGGAACGTTGTGCGTGTGTAGCAGCCCGCATATCAACATCTCCTTCTAAATCCACCCCGCCGTTTTCAGAATCATCCTCATGCCGGGACTCCTCTGGCTGCACTGCTGGAGCTGGAGCCACTATGGTAATTGCCATTCTTGCTGCCGCAAAATGATAGCGACAGAGAACTGAGTATGCGTTTCTTGTCTTGACGAGGGCTTAATTGTTGTGAAGTTACTGGTCTGGTCTGGGCCGCTCGTGAAAAAGATAAGTATGGATCGGAGATCGGATGAACTTTGTTGCTGAGACCTCCTAGCGCCAAGGCAGCGGCAGAACACCGGAGGAAGCAACGCGTACAACACGAAGTATGATATCATGTTCCCGTGTTTCCCTATATCATTAGAGCAAAATAATTTCTCTGGCCAGACAAAGAAGGCTATCCGCCTTGCTAGCCAACACAGTATGGTGGCCAGGTAACATATCAGCAATTCAAGAACGCTTAATCGCAGAGACCTATTATCTCTTTATATCTCCATGAATCCGCAACTCCAATCTCAAGAGGTAACAACAAGTGAGCCAGTTCCGGATTCAAGTCTGGATTCGCCACAGAAAACGAGCCATACTGAACCATTGCCAAAACTACATGCAGTGCCTCCCTCTCGAAGGCGGCAAGTTATTCTATGGACTGGCGTTACTCTCGTTACATTAGATCTTTGTTGCCTCCCAATAACTTATTTTTATGCGTTGAAATTCGATACAGATCTTAGTTTGCAAACGAGTATGTAGTCAGCCCCATGGCAGCTCCCACAACATTTCTAACCCTCCTTAGTTTTTGCCATTATCACAGGCGTCTATGGCTTAATAAGCTTCACCCACTACTTCTTCCGCTCGCTCAGGCTGTTCCTGCCCAAGAAATCACCAAAATGGAGACCCGTGGGGTGGACCAAATGGGGGATAGTAAGCGCTCGCAGCACATAATATGTAGAGATGCTAACCCGGAAGCAGGCGGAATTTCTTCAGGTCAATATATTAATCATTATAACACTAGTCGAGATCGAACTCGTAGCTGCCACAATCCCCCACAACCCGTGGGTTCGTGTTTGTGCGATGGCTTCCCCAACAATCTGCTTCTATGTTGGGTTCCTCTTTTGTGGCACTGCTATCCTTACACAGATGCGCAAGACACTTCCATTTAACATGTCCTCGACCCCAAAGGGATCTCTCTGGAGACCGGCACTGTTCGCTTACGTCGAAGATGCGGGAGCGCTGGAAGGCCAAGGAGGAGTTCCATATCGCGAAGCCATCATGAAGAGATACGAAGTCAGTCCTCGGTTCAGGCGGATGATCCTCATTCTAGACTGGATGTGGGGCGTGGGTCTCCTCGCCATTGCCATTATTTCGACGGTCTTGATCATGGTCTTAGACAAGAATATCGCATTCGGCGTCGGATGGGGCCTTCCCTGGGCATTTTCGGCGGTATACGCGCTTTTGACAGTGTGGATTGTAAAGCATCATCTGAAAAGGGAGAAGGCGGAGTGGGCTATGAAGGAAGTAGCCAGCTCAAATATGTCTGCTGCATGAATTGTATGATTAGATGAGTTAAGATACTGGCGACAAAGGTTACGACATACATTTTCGAGGAGCCGCAAAGTCCCTTGTTTCGTGAAAATCTGCACGACTGAGGATCTCAATTGACCAGCCTCCAGAAGCCCATACCCGCTAGGGTCAACGCGATGCTGGTGATGCCTGCTTGCCGGCTCTTCATCCCCAATAGTGATTTACTTTGAAGAATCTTTGCTTGGTGAGCTTTGAGTTGAGAATGCCCCGACACGTAGGTGTAGGCGCCTAGCCCTATAAATGCAGTAGCTCCTACAGGAGCCGTCAGCTTAATTTCCCAAATATTTCTATGAATCGCGTCTGACCGACTAGTCTGCATGGCAGGCAATCTTCTGGTCCTTCTTTTGCAAGAACGGCTTGAAGGGGCTCCGGTTTGTCGATGTCCTGTAGACGAGGTATAATGGACTTCGACATGGTTCACTGTGCTTTAAAAAGAGTGAATACTGTTTGAATCTCGTGCGATCACGCAAAGGAACGTAGTACTGTAGTTGATTTGAAGAGAGTGTTATTATGATAGGAGGAAAAGCTCGCAAAACCGCGGGTTTTTCATTGCAACAAGCGACGCGGCGGTCCATGGGATGTCGCGACCTGGCCAGCCCCACGTCCCCCTTCACAACTCCCCACCAGAGCGTTTCTGGAACTCGGGATGATACAACAAGAACAGATAATTGATCATGAGCCAGGTCATAGAGGCTCTGTATATTTACGATGAGCACAAGTACGTAAACCGGTCCGTACTACAAATATTCCAAATTCTGACTGCTCCTAAAGGCCCATACTCTCCCACATATACACGGCTCGACCTATCTCTGCCCAGCAGTTACTACCCCTCTACCTTGGTCATCCAGCACCCCGACCAAATCTAATATACCTCCCAAATACCTCGCCACCTACCCTGGTGTTCAGTCTCATCCATTCCAACCTATTGTTCCTCCTAACGTCCTCCCACGAGATTGAGCCCTTACTTGCCCTCGAATTCCTACACCGAGTCATAGATGTGTTCGAGGAGTTTATCGGCGCCCCGTTACTAGCACAGAAGGTGGAGAGTAATTATGATGTCGCCGCTCAACTTTTGAATGAGATGTGCGATGCGGGGGCTGTTAGTACAACAGAACCCAATGCGTTGAGAGACCTGGTGGAAGTTGAAGGGTGGATTGGGAAGTTGTTGGGTGGCATCAATATCCCTGGGTTTGTTATATCCCTTGAACAAGCAAATACTCTAGTAATAACAAAGTCATAGGAAAGCGGGATTCGCGTCGGCGTCCTCGAGTTCGAATATGTCAGCTATATCCTCGACTGGGACACTGGCAACAAATACCCCAGCACTGCCATGGCGGAGGGCAAATGTACGGCATACATCTAATGAGCTATATGTTGATATTGTCGAAACACTATCCGTGACGCTTGCTCCTTCCGGTCGCCCTTTGGCAGCTTTTGCAAATGGCACTATCGCGTTCACGTCAAAGATATCTGGCGTTCCTGACCTCTTACTTAATCTTTCAACCCCTTCAGGGAAACACAACCTTGACAGTGTAATGGAGCTGCCTGTCTTCCATCCATGCGTAAGGTTAGCCAGATGGAGAGAAAACCCGGGAGAGTTGAGCTTCGTACCACCCGATGGCCGTTTTGTGTTAGCCGGCTATGAAGTTAATTTACTCCCTTCTCAGAGCGATAAAGTTGGTAACACAAATTCGTCAAGTCTGAAGCTGCCAGCTCATGTCGAGGTCAAGACGAGTCTCGGCCCCACGGGATCTGAATTCGAAGTAAGGCTATTCATTACTAAGATCCCGGGTCAGGGCAACTCTTCAATTTCTGGGTCATCCTCAAGGGGGGCTGGCCAACTTGGTGGGCGTGCTGGATCTGGGTTTGGAGGCGGGCTGGGCATGCATTCGGGAACTTCCTCAATGCCAGTGCTGGATGATCTGGTAGTCACAATTCCTTTGCCAGCTGATGTGAGGAATTTGTCAGAAATTAGAGCAAGCAGAGGTGATACCACATATAATCCAGGAGGCAAGAATCTTGAGTGGCATATTCCGGCAAAGGAGGCTGTCCCGGGAGGAGCGAGCCTACGCTGTACCGTGGCCGGTCCCCTTACAGATGACGGAGATTTTGAGGGTAATGGCTTCAGGCTCGATGGGAGATATGACTATGATGAGGATGCATATCAGAGTACGCCAGTACATGCGCAAAAGGCCGCCGAGAAGGCAGATGAGGGGACTGATGCATACAAGGTTGCACAGAATAAAATTCTCATGCCTAGTTCTGCGTCGATCAGCTTCTCTACGAAAGGATGGCTGGCTAGCGGAATCAAAGTGGAGAGCGTAGTTATTGATAATAGGAAGAGTCGAGGCTTGGGGGAGGGCGTCAAGCCGTATAAGGGAGTCAAGTATCTGACGATCAGCAGGAGTGGTATTGAGGTTAGGTGTTAAAGGTTGTGTTAAAGGTTGTGTTAAAGGTTGTGTTAAAGGTTGTGTTAAAGGTTGTGTTAAAGGTTGCATTCAAGGGACCTACCGCTCTGGTTGGAGCGTACGAGGCCCAAAATCCTACGCTGTTAAGTGACAATTGCGTGTCTAATATGGTATCTTGAAGTGAGACCTCTGGCAGTGCTCCTTTGCGTTCACAACTCATTATTCCTAACGCTCCAACCATTCGGAGACCACAGAACCTGTAGGAGATCGTCGATGCTTTTGGTCATCAACCGCTAAATGCACGATAAGTTGATGCTCCCATCAATCGTTTAATCAAACTATTTTGAGACTAGTTCATCGCCATCTTTGATGGCGCTCCTCTTCCTCTCTTCTCCGGATGTCTTCTAGAGAAACATATCCCTCAAGAATCGTCCTGGTCATATCCCCTAAACCCCTATTCATTATACTTGGTACAGCGGAGTTCGTAAACCCTTCTTGTCGTCCCCGGAGATTTTCTTCGGTCAACGCAGCTGGTGGGACCTTATCCCTTGGGACCATTCGTTCAATATAAGTTCCGGTCATATCTTCTTGCTGCTTATTCATGGTAGCCGGAACTCCGTTGACAATTGGAACTTTGGCAGGTCGATGGATCTGTCTTGGAGCAGCAATCTCCCGCCTGCGCCGCTGCGTCCCAGTGTGTTCTCTCCCGGCCGCCTCCCATTGTTTTCCCTTCCTAGTTCGCCCTTGCTCCTCTGCTCTTCTCTCCTCTTCGTCCTTCCGCCGCTTCTCATCACCATACTTTCTCACTGCATCTCTCAACTCCCGACTTTGCGTTGCCTCTCTTCTCTCTTTCCTTATTCTTTCTATATCTCCCCCTTCGCGTTCCCTCGCTACCCGCCCTACCTCTCCACTCACTTCCATTTGATAGCTCATCGGTTTATTATATCGCTCGGCCACTTCGACCGTTTCTCGCTGGATTTTTTTCTCTGCTTCTCTTCGTTCTTGCGCGTATCGTTGCAGTGCAAGCACTCTGTCTGCATGCTCTTGAGCTCTCTGCTGCTCTGCTTGATCTGTTTCGACTTGCCTATATGGAATATGACCGGGTTCGGGAGCAAACTGGGTCAGGATTGGGAATCCGTTGCTGCTGCGCTTGATCCGCTGTGATAACCTCCGTCCCAACGCCCCTAATGACCTAGACGAACCCTGTCCAGACTTATCGCCTGATGATCTTGAATCCCGGCCACCTGTTTGAGATGAACGAGAAGGCTTCTTCTCGACGGCAATTTTATATCCTGGAAGATTGAAAGTTATGACTCCTCGCTTCTGATGACGGTCTTCATGTTCTAGGGCACTTTCGTCACCCATCTTGCCGCTTTCAGTGTATCTCCTTCCTAGTTCTCCTCTCGGATCCGCTCCAATGCTGTGACTGCGGGGGCTTTCTCCCTTGTTTTCTTCATCTAAGCCAGCAGCCTTCTCTCGAACACTGTTTCTCTTGTTCTTTAATCAGTTCTTGATCGGCATGCTATTCGCGGTGTTTTGAATTGAACAGAGGGTGGTGACTGTGCCCTGTGCATTTGCAACAGAGTCTTGTTCGGTATTTAGTAAACGGGTTTGGTATGCTGAAGGAAGTGACAGCCTTTCAAGACTGGTGGTGCTGCTCTATGTGCTCGCCAAAAAGTAATCGGTCTAAGCTTGTGAGATAAGTTCAGTATGTTAATAGAATGGGTAGGTTGTCAAGACCAGTAGTTCGAATGGAAGGTAGAGGTGACTATGTACATACTATAACAAATTTCGCGAATCACGGCTACCTGGTAACTGAATCAAGCGCTTGAGATAATCATAACCGCCTCTCTCCTTGACCATATTCCAGGGTTATTACAAATTTCACGTACAGCTTAGTAGGTATGAATACTTTCTAGTTACGAGTCCCAGTCACCGTCACGCAGATGATATAAACGTGACTAGAGTGCATAATTCCAACGATTCTATTCAACTACTATTCCTACCTATACTAACGTATCTAGATAAGACTGAATGCCAGCCCATTACTTCACAGGCTATCTACCCCTCTGGCGCTGCTGGATTTGACGAGGATCCACCATGCCCTCAATGTACGTTCTCTGCATATCCCCCAGTCTATACATGTCAGTATTTGCTCTCGGGGCGAGGCCATGAGTAGATTGATGAGAAGGGTTCCGTAGGGGTAATTGGGCCGGGGCTGTAGCTCTCCGGCGCTGAGGTCCAAATTGACCAGGTCTCTGTGGAAGGCCGCTTCGTTGCACAAATGGTGAACTTGGTCCCGATATCGAGGCACCACGTGCGGGGCGGTGCGGTAGCTCTTGTTGAGGGACGGGGCCCATATTTCCCATGGAAGGCTGCTGTGAATATCCGGGGACGTTTGAATTGAATTGACCCGGGACAGGTCCCAAGTAAGGAAGCTGCCTGGAGTTTCTCATGGGAGGCAGAGGAGGAAGTGGAGCTGTTTGTAATGTCGAGTTATAGGGGCCTGGATGGGTAAGCGCTCCACGACTTCCCTTATATGAATATGTGAGATTTCCGGCACCCTGGGAAAAGTTCTGGACATTATTCCCAAATCCTGGTGCAAACCCATTGTGGCGGGAAAGTAGCTGGCTCCTCTGCCCGTTCGATATCCCGCCAGTAGTGGATCGTCGTTGGAGCCCGCTACGGCCGCTATCCCAGGATGAGTCGCTATCACTACCGCCTTTGTTGTAGAATTTATTCCAGGCTCTTTTGTCTCCAAATGCACGTCGGATTCCGGCGTCTAGCCAGTCATGAATTGGGTCATGGCGCTTCTTCTTACCCATGGTGGAAATCTTCCAATAGGCAGAGTTTAAAATCTGAGTAGATATGGACGTGTTCTTAGATAAAACTGGCACGTATAGGGCTGGCAAGAGGCCTCAAGGTTATTGATGTGAGAGGTTCCTAGATATGTAGCTATTCAGGTCGTTCCTGAATTTATAGACTAGGATTTTTCCCACTGCTCGCTGTTCTTGATTCACTAGACCAAGATGACTGTAATACCTCGCAGAACATTGATAAAATACTAGAGATGGAGAGTCTCTGCATATAGCTGCTATCTGATTCACCCTGAACTATTCCCCAACATAAACAACCATAAGAATGGATCTATTTAGATTCTAGTGCAAAATAACCAGTGAGGGAAAATAAATGTCAAGGGACCGAAAGGTGGAATGCGTCAAAGGGGAAATACAGAGCAGTTTCTACTTCAATACGTAGGAATAAATGATACTATAAAAAAGATGTTTCATGACTTCAAATCGGACATTGTTCTAGAATGCATAGGAGTATAGCTAGTCAATTCTCACTGTTGATAGATTGTAGCAGCTATCCGGTATAGCCAACATTACTGAGATACAATGCTTGCAAATCAAAAGCTTTTGTGGCCCCTAATCACAGGTTTATAACGCTAGCTTCTCATGTTTGAAGGGCTTTTGCCCCTCTCCTTCACCATACTCCATCGTGATATGCCCCGCCCCCCTTACCTTATACTTGTAAATCATAAGCCCCTCCAAACCTACAGGACCTCTTGCGTGGATTTTATTAGTGCTAATCCCGACTTCGGTCCCGAACCCATACCGCATCCCATCAGCCATGCGAGTAGATGCGTTCCAGAAGACACCTGCCGAGTCGACACTTGACATGAATTGTTCGGCCAGAGGCGCCGAAGACGTGAGGATAACGTCAGTGTGATGGGAACCGTGGGTATTGATGTGGGATACAGCTTCTGTGAGGGAGGAGACTGTCTTGATGGCAAGTACGAGAGAGAGGTGCTCTGTGTCGAAGTCCGTCGCCTCAGCATCTTGAAGTATGGCTGATGAATGTGCTGGCAATTTGGCCGTAAGAGCCGTCTTACTTGACGCATCGCACCGGAGCGAGACACCATTCTCTAATAAGGCTTGTGCTACGGGAGGAAGCAGTTTTTCGAGAGCAGCCTCTTCTACCAAAAGAGTCTCAACACTGTTGCACGCCGCTGGGTACGATGTCTTGGAATCGACTATGACACGGACGGCTACCTCCTGGCTGACACTGTGTTCGAGATATATCGAACAAAGTCCATCGGCATGACCGAGGACAGGGATTTTGGTGGATGATTTGATATACCGCACCAGTTCATTGGAGCCTCTTGGGATAACAAGGTCGATGTATTGATCCAAGTCCAGAAGCTGAGGGATTACATCCCTCGTGGTGACCAACTGGATTGCATTGTTTGGAACTTCTGTTGATTCCAGAGCTGCAGATATCACCTTGGAAATTGCAATAAACGATTCTGTCGATTCCTTGCCACCTGGTGACTCATTAGTGATATGACTTTTGGAACGAGTATGGCTCCGTACCTTTCAGAATGGCAGCATTGCCTGACTTTATGGCAAGTGAGGCGATATTGGCAATAACTTCTGGACGGGCTTCGAAAATAATGAGAAGAACACCAATTGGGCAGGATACTCTTTCAAGATCTAATCCATCATCAAGCCGTGTCCGTAACGTAACTTTACCCACTGTGAGTCGTTTCATCAGCCTCAGTCATGTGAAGCAGGGGAGCAGACCAGAGGCAACATACCAGGATCGTCCAAGTCACGGACATCCAGAATACCCTTTAACATATCCTCCCATTTCCCCTTCTTACCCAGATCCAGACGTGAGACTATGCTTAAGCTGAGTTCGCCATTTTCAGCGGCCTTTCCGGCCAGTGCTAAATCCTGAGCATTGGCTGCTAGAATTTCGTCTTTGGATTGGGAAAGCGCCGCGTGGATGGCTGTTAAAGCATTATTCCTTGCAGAAGTGGGAAGAGTTGCAAGGAGATGTGAGGCTGACTTTGCAGACTTTGCTGCATCAGCAGGAGAAGCATTTGTGAGAGACATTGGATAAGTCTAGGGGCGGGAGTTGTTTTTGGTGTTGATATTGAAGTGGTGACTCGAAGGTCACTGGACGTGCAATTCGTACATTTTGATGCCAAGATTTTCGGTCCCGGCTCATCTTCGGCTCCCCGCCACTCCGTCAACCCCACATATTAATTCAGACACGCCGCTCATCCTAGTCGTCGCCAGAGATAAGTAGATACAAAGTACACAGCCTTGTCTCCAACAACGTAAGTCCAGGCATCTCCAACCTCGTCGCGACCCCGCCGAGCCCGCGTACTTTACGATAACATACCAGTTATAAGGACCATACTCATACTGTCATTTCAGATTTGGGAGAATTGCGGTATTTTAATTAATAATTGTACTGCTGGGGTCTAGAGCAGCCCAGCTCGCAGCTTACAGAGAGCACACTTGGCTTGACGAGAGTTGCCTGCTCAAGACGTGGCCCCTGGGGATCCTTATACCGTGCTATCGGCGATCTCAGAATGGACGACCTATTGCCAAAGCTTCTATCGTTTCCGCCTCACCCCCCACCTCCAAAACCTCTCAGCATCGTCCAATACGATGAAGGCATCAAAGCCCAGATCTCGGCCATCAAGAGTATACCAGAGGGCAAGCTACTACAGCAAACCTCTAGCGGTGAAAATGCCCTAGATGTAAGTAATCATCATGGACCTCTTGATGATGGTGCTAATAATGCCACTTAGATTATTAATCCTGCGCTAAACACCGTCCCATACGCCCTCATTCTGACTGCACATATGTCTGCCATGCAAAGCGGCGCCAAAGACGTGGACCTTGACATGCTTTGGGGCAAGATTACCGATTTCCTTCCAAACTTCGACCCTCGGCAAGCTCGCTATTTGGGCTCCGAAATATCGCGTATTATTGAGGCCACCGCCGCGATTGCACGCAGTCATCAGCAGGTATGCATCTGGAGATCGAAGGGGAGGCACACTTAAGTCCTAACTTATTCTAGATTCCGCTCGCCCTCCCACCCATTAGAGATGCACTGCTACGTATCGATCCTACGGGCACCGTGTTTACCTCGAAGCACCTTCTCCTCGTGAAGCTGGCATTAGAATCTCGGAGTTACGACAATGTGATCCCCGTCCTCGAAAAGCCCATACTATATATCCCAGGATCTCGCAACCAACCAAAAGCAAAACATATTTGCGATACCGCGCTTCCACCCCAAGCCTACATCACGCCCGCGAATGGTTTCCCAGGGAAAGGTATCCGGCACCACGATGTTTTAGAATATTTCCTCTATAGCGGAATGGTCTACATTGCTTTGAGGAATTGGAAGCGCGCTTTAGAGTGCCTAGAAGACGCGGTTACATATCCTGCCAAAGATAGCTCTATTAGCAAGATTATGGTGGAGGCGTATAAGAAATGGGTGCTCATCAATCTTCTGGTGGAGGGGAGATTAATGGATATACCGAAAGCCAGCAGCGTATCAAAGTTGTACCATACCCTTGCTAAACCCTATGAGACCGTCGCCCGAATTTTTCAGCTTGGTACTGCTTCCAGGCTCAAGTCGGAGGTAGAGGCAGGGAAACACATATGGCAAAATGATTGCAACACCGGTCTCATCCTCAACGTCCTGGCGGCATACCAAAAGTTCCAGATCCGGAATCTTGCAGGTGTCCACAGCAAGATATCCATAGCAGAGATCCACAATCTTACCATGAGTGGCGAGACAGGTGCCAAGCTGCCGAGTTCCCAGGCTGTCGAAACCTTGGTACAAAACATGATTGCTGACGGTTCTCTAAACGCCACTCTAAGCAATCCCTCCAACCAAGGATCAGTTCTTACATTCTCACAAGGTGGCCCTGTCTTGAGCGAGAAGCAGGTGCAAGCAGAGCTCGCAGCATCAACGCTGCGCATTAAGAATCTGACGCAGGAGATCAAGAACACGGATCACATAATGACCTACGATAAAGACTACGTCAAGCATCTTCAGAAGCAAAAGAAGAACACTAAGACTATGCACGACCAAGGGATTTCCGGGGGAGATATGGACTGGAATGGTGTTGATGACGAGGATCTCATGGATAGTTTATATTGAGGGCGTCTTGGGAGCTAGAGGTTAAAAAGTCTTGAATTCGTGGGTATTGTCATACCGTAGATGACAGAAGAGGCCAGTATTCTTAAGAATGAAGATGATGGCCTTGTCCCTGCTAGGTATCCTAGTCATGCTGGTTTGTCTGAAGTTCTAAGAGGTTGAGCGGCGTACACGGTGGATTTGCTGCCATTATGGTTGCTCTGGCGTCTTGAAGTTATGACATTCACGATAGAGAGACACATTTCCATAAACAATACATGAAAGGACTAGGCCAGTATAAGGCCTGCAGCATTAAACCCCTTCCTGGTAGGACTGTGTCAATTGAAATATAAGCTGTGTACATGCGCAGAGAAGATTGGACATGATCAAGCGCTTCTTGCATTGCAGTCGATTAAGAACGCAGTTACGCTGGAGGCAATGTCAATAGTATACAACATTGACTAGAATACAATCCACCCATGATTACAACGCTACAACCTTGGTCAATAGTGCATCATTTAGAGGGTTTTGGTCCTAGGCACTGTAGAATAACTCCTATTAGAGCATTGAAAACTATTAGGGGCGATTGTCGTTTATTGTAATGGAGAGTTTCCGGCTACTCTAATGAACTTCAGGATTCGCCTAGATATTGTAGGTACCTTTAAAGGCAGGATATTGTAAGGGCTTATTCGTATTCCAGTCCATGTGGTCAGTGATGCTTCTCCCCTGGAATCAGCTGCCGTGCCTGCCCTGCATAACACAAAATCACAATGGCCGCTAACCTATCGATGTATTCGCAATGGATCAATTCATTTATTCATTTTTGGCAAGGATTCAAGCCATTAACGCCGCCCCCGCCTTAGCATACGAATCACATCATGGCAAGGACCATTGACATTGACCTCCTCTACCAAACCCTCGCCCCATGACATTGTGCTGGTGCTCTCTTTCAACAGAGCAGCAAACATGTTACTTAGCACATAACAAATACATCCCATCCTCATGCCGACATTAACAAGTCCCACGACAAATCAATAATAAATCCACCTTAGTCAATGTTGTACAGCTTAATGAGCTCCGTAAGCTTCCGCGCCTCTGATTTGAAGTCAATAGGTGCGGCGCTAAGCACTTGGTATCGAACCCTGAAAATATGTTTAGCACAGTTATAAAGTCGGTCGAACAGGAATAGTACCTCTGCTGATCATTGTAAGTGTCCATCCTAGCTCTGCATCTGAAGAATAGGGTCTTGCAATTGGCATCATCAAAAGCTTTCTGCGCACCCTCGGCGTCATTCTCCTTTAGCTCGTTCAATTGATCCGCATCCATGCCCATTACCAGACGGCCAACGTCATCAAAGCAACTCAAATACAACTGGCCAGTATGATCGGCAACGTTCAGCGTCATGATATAGCGGTGCTGCGGCCTAGGATGAGCTATCTCGCACTTCTCGCAACGCCAGGTACCATCCGGCAGCTCCGTGACTTTCTTGTTACAATTCTCGCTTAGACAAGCAGGATATGATATCGAGTCTTGTTTGATGAAAACAATAGTAGCCTTGACAGAGAAGTAATCATCCTTCTCAGACATTCCGAGGTTTTCGTCTCGCACTTGAGAGATAGTCTTTGTTTGATCTTGGCGACCTCCAGCTGCGCCCGCGCTGGCCATGTTTGTGTGTGTTGCGAAGCTCTCACTTCGGCCCTGAGAGTCATACCATCCCTTTAACTTATGAGCTTCTGGGATATCCGGGTCGAGGGACATGGACCCTGAGGACAGTAAACTGAGACTTCGACCATTGAAATCGGAGACTTTTGCGCCCTTAAACGCAACTATGGATTCGGGATTCGTGTCAAAAGCCGTTGCAGTCTTGCCCCATATCGTCAGTCTGACAGAAAAGCCGCTATCATCCACCAGGGTCAAGTCACGCTTATCATATCCCTTTCCTGTGGACTTGGATTCAATTTGATTGACCTCGGCAACCTCTTTAAGCACCCCGATAACATCAATTGTTGAATCCTTATCGATATCCTGAAGTTGGCCGATGGTTGTGAAGTTGTATCGAACCTGAGGGACGTTCTCTTGGTCTTCCGCCTTTTCGACCAATGTATCCTTTTCGAAGGTAAGCTCATAGTCGTTGGGTATATTAGAGAACTGCTTCCTTGCTAATTGCACTCGACATGGAGTCGAAATGTAGTAGACGGAGCCTTCCTGAAATACGTCATACAGCGCATCACATTCATTGTTGAAGCCAGTAGCTTTAATCTCCCCACTTTCATCCAGAAGATTGACACTGAATAATTTTCCTTCGCTGCTCGCCTTGTGCCAGGTTCTGATTTCTGATTTATTGGTGACGCGAGCTTTGATTGTCCACTTGTGGCCGTAGGGCGAAAGAGCTTCAATAGGATGGATTGTGCCGTGACTTCCCGATGCTGAGCTCGTTGGCACAGTGCGCGAGGCCGCCCGAGGGGCAGCCGGCTGGGGTTTGTCGTTCCCATAAAATCTGGTCCCGCCAATAGTTGTGTTGACCGGCTTTGCCTCTTCGTCTCGCGCTGGTAGAGCCACGGGGTCTCCAATTTTTTCGAGTTCGCCTAAGCTTTCAATAACTTCAAGGTCCAGAACGATGAGGATTCTGAAATGATCAGCCAAGGAGCCTTGTCTAATAGCAATCCACCAACCTTTTGCCCTTGACCTCGTTCGCCTGCCATGACTTGAGTCGAACGATCGATCCCTTCTTCAACTTTCCGTCGTGTACAACATGATTCGCCTCTATGATGATATGAGTAAGTGTGACGGCGGAGAAAGAGGCGGGACGCCTTACGAGTGGCAAGCATGCTCTGAACAAAGTTGTCCACGTCACTCAGAACGAGACGGTATCGCTCTGAAGGGTTCTCGCCTGTAGATCCCAAGGCTTTTATCTGGACGCATTGGCAAATTGGTACGGGAAAATTTCTCGCGACATTATCAGGGTCGTTGAAGATAGCGCTGACGGCGGTTAGGGTCAGTGGGGTTGCTCATAGCGCGCGAAAATGGAGAAAACAAACGTACTTCAAGGCGCCCCGCGATATCTGAGCTTGAGCTGCATCTGCCATCTTGGACAGCGTAATATCGAGTTCGAGATGTGGGTGAGATATATGTGTATAGGGGAGAGTGGTGGTGTTGATGGCGGGGGAAAGAAAACAGGAGTACTGTCCTGTCGTGATGACAGACGCGATGGGACGCGTCGAGGCGTAAAGTGGTCCCCGCTACTACTCGTACGTGCTTAGTAAGCGGCGGTGTCATCCAACCAAGGCACTGCCCCGCCATAAGGTACGTATACAAACAAAGGTATAGATAGGACCCTTACCTCAGACATACTTTCTACACTCTCTACAAATATCCCATCAACGTTACCAAGCCCTAGAAGTCATCTCCCCCATCAACCGTAATTATGGCGGATCCATCTGTAGCAACTAAAGCTCCGGAGGGCGACGCGCTCGAGACAGAGACAGAGACGGAGCAAGGCTCCTTTATTTCGGGGGATCCCCCCGCCCAGAGTGGTGCCGGTCTGGGAGTATGTCGCGCTGAATCTCCTACTATGAACAAAAAGACTCCTTTTGCTAACGATTTACAGGAGCACTGTCTGACAGATAGACCTACTCGTCAGTATACTCTGAGAGCTGGCAGCCAGCTAGCAGTTTAGCTGGCACCGTGTACTGACTTGAATCAGCGTTTGGACGGGGCCCGTCTGGCGAGCTGACACAATTGGGAGGAGTCGAAACATATATCTCGAAACCCGCGGATTATCCCCATGCCCCTTCAAAGCTTCTACTTCTCTTGACCGGCGCCACGGGTCTGGACTCTGACAACAACCAAATACAAGCCGATAACTTCGCGAGAGAGGGATACCTAGTGGTAATGCCTGATATGTTTAACAATGATCCCTTGCCTGGCTCCGCAACATATGAGGAAGAGAAGGATCCTTCGGTTATTGAGCAGATCAAGATGCGCGCAGCGGAGACGGCCAAGAGTTTCTTGATCGATATGTGGTTGGCAAGGCAGACACCTGAGAAGGTCTTGCCAATTGTTCACAAAGTAATCGACGCAGCTAAGGATGAGTTCGCGGATGCTGTAGCAAGTGGTGGAGGGATTTACTCTGTTGGCTATTGCTTTGGTGGGAGGATGACTCTTCTCCTGGCTGGCGAGAAACCAAATACACCTGCATGGGGCCAGAAAGCACAGGACGAAGAAGCGGGTGCAGTCAAGAACGGCCCCTTTATCAAAGCAGGAGCTATCGCCCATGCTACGCTAGTGTCGAGAGAGGATTTTGAAGGAACCAAGGCACCACTGGCCTTCATTTGTGTGGAGGACGACCAACTGTTTCCTAACGATGTCCGAGGATATGGCGACAAGTACTTGAAGGAGAATAACGTCGAGTATGAATTCAAGACGTATTCGGGTGTTCCGCATGGATTTGGAGTAGTAGGGGAGTATCAGGATGCCAAAATCAAGGCAGCTCAAGCAGAGGCCTTTGATCAAATGTTGGCTTGGTTGAAATCCCACTAGAGACTACGTTGCTACTGGCGTTATGGGCTATATCACGGGTTAGGTGTCGATCAATAAGTCATTTGGGGGGGTTTTCACGCGTTTTGGCTCTCCTCGCCCATTCTCTTTTACTCACGTTATGCAACAGTTCAAGCTGCCGACTTCGCTAGTCTACAAGACCAGGGCGAAATTCTTGTCCGTTCTCAGATATAGTGACTACGTGCATACCTTCTATTAAGGGGCAAACCACCACGCCCAGAGCTTCCTGTCGCTCTCTATCATTCCGTAATAACACATTATTACTGGCTAGACTGTAATAGATCCTTGAAACCATTATTAACTAAGGAGCCGCTAAGGATAGGATCCAAGATATGAGTGCTTGTTTCGTGGCGCAATGCTGCAAGAGAATGAATAGCCAACAGGGATAGGATTGAAGATTTGAGTGCTTGTTTCGTAGCGCAATGCAGCAAGAGAATGAAACTTAAACTACGCCTTTCAACATAGGATCACCGAGCACAATTCAGTATCCAAATCGCCATTCACTGTGCAACTACTGAGCAGATGCAGTGGATCTCATTCCTGATGATCTCAGGATTGGAATTCCAAATAACATCATTTTCGCATATGCCAAGAGAATATAAAACCGACTTGGCACAGGCGTAGCAACCAGCAACGCCATCTCTAACAATAACAGTAACAGCGCCTGAATACCGATCGTCTCAAAATTAAAAACGCACCGCGCCGCAGTCGAATTATTTATAAGAACGACCCACGTAAACCAGCACAAATAGACCAGCCAAAGGACGTCCAAAATACCAACCCCTAGGTTAGCTTGCGGCGTGTCAAATCCTTCGACATGTCTTAAACCGGCTAATTTCAGCTGTGCCCCTAATATGACTACCGCTACTCAACTAACTCTAAATCCTATATGATCCTAACGATGGGCTCATGACTTTTCACGTAGTATGCTACGTAGTTAACTCCTGACTTCACGTAATATACTACGGAGCTAACTGATCCATCGATCATGCACATAAGTATATCGTTCGCGGCAGTTCCGTGAGGGTTCATCTGTTGTTGATAACTTTTCGACTTTTTTCTGTTTCACCTCGCCTTGAGCTCCTTGTTTTATATTTATCGCTTATCTCTATATTTATTGAACGGAGAAATATCGTCCTAGTGAAAGTTCAGACGGATTTATTCAAGAGAGAACATAGCCAATCTCAAAGGCTGAAGGAAAACAAGATGTTCAGTTATGTGGTTTTCCTGTTGTTAGCCGTAGTGTCGGTGTCGGCAAGGGCAATGGGTATGTCTGAATATCTCTCTTCTTTACTGCTGTTATTGGTTTTTACAGGACGGTGCTTGATTACAAGATGCAATAGTTTGCGTTTTCAAGAACTGAGCAGTTTCACCGGATATAGTGTTATACTTAGAGTTTACTACTCCCCCAGCATCCCACTTCCTATCTCATCAGCTCCTACATCTCCTGAGGCTCCCCGGCCGCACAAACTCAAATACATCCTATCACTCATTACATTTCCTCTCATCACGCTTTCTAAATCCATAAGCCCCAAATTTAAACTAACACTATCCACAGATTTATCACTACCACGTAGCCTCCTGCAATTCCTCCCACATATGCCATCCAGCACCGTCCAATGCTCCTTTTCTCCACCATCTGCTCCTCTATCACCAGCGAAAACTTACGCACAAGTCCCCGCCGCTGCCTGGCCAGTGATCTCCAAGCTCCTCCACAGCAGCCTTGTCGCCAACTCCCAGGCTAACGCATATGCGGTCCAAACCTTCAACTTAGGTTCCGAACCCCAAGGCGAGGATTTTGAAGGGGTTATGCTTAGTGTCATGTATGGGGCTATGCCTCCCACCTACGTGAGGGTTGAGACAGAAGAGGGCGAGAGGGTTGAACTCAAGAGACGAGAAATTCCCGTCGGCGACGTGGATATGCAGGAATGCCTTAGTCAGGCTGCTCAAGGTGTGGAGAAGGTGAAGATGATGGAAGGCTCTATGGAAGTCGATAGGCCCAATGCCCCTACTGGGATGGTAAACTTTTTGGTATACCGGGTCGATTGATTGAGTGGCATCACGTGGATAGGAAGAAGCGCCGTCTCTCAACAGCAACAAAACAGCATGCTAGCCCGGAAGAATACTGCGGCTCTGATTTTCAACCACGCTAGTCGTGATGGAGTCATGGTTTCATGTACAACATAGGGATAGAACTGTAAACATACAAAGACGATGGAAGCCGAGGCACCGAATGAGCACCGAGGACGGAATACGTGTAGGAATATGTACTAAACGGTCCACCCCTTCATCCACCCAAAGAGGTGATGAAGTGGAAGAGGAAGATACAACAAGATGAGAAAGAAAAGAGAGCATTGAATTACTGGGGAATAGGATAGGATAGGAAACGTTATATATGTATGCTACGAGCAAGAGGCATTTAGATAATGACAACAATATTTCAAACCTGAGATCCCTAATACAAAGTCGAGCACGCAAGGAAAACAAGCCGTATACGCCGCTAATTAGAGCTAGGCTTCTTGGGAAGGATGGCAGTGCCGAGCATTACGTTTTAATACACAAGGTAACTGCACCGACTCTACCAATGAAAGATAGATCTGGGATGCTCTACGAAAGACAGCCACGAACTGGGTACCGTATTTATGCACATTCCCCTTTCCCTGAGAACCTAGACTTAAAAGCTTATAGAAGCAGCTTTCTGCTTAATGGCCGACTACTACAGGACCCTACCCAAAATCCACTTAGGACCTACCTCCGTATTAAGAAGATAGGTGCGATAAATAATTAAGCTGCCTCGAGAAGTCCACTAAGTGCATAATACATGAAGTACTTTGTGTAGACAAGGGGAACCTCACTTGACGAAATTATGCTGCAGGAAGAGGCATAAGTGCGGCCCGACAATTTCCTAGCTCTCGGGGGAAAAGACAAAACAATTAAAAGACAAGGTCGTGATGGGACAGGCAGCTTAGTGGGGTTCGGAGGGCATGCAGATAGAGCACCTACCTACTTATTACCTAGCAAGTATCTTACCCAGCCTCCCATCCCCTGTGCTGCGCGCCTACGTCCAAATTACTTTCACATGTCAAGTCACTCACTCACTCGGTCACAGGCAACAAATGGGTGGGGACTTCCGTATACCAAGATGTTTTCCATTTTAATAAAGGTGTGTGAGTAATAATAAAAAGGTGACTCGCAACCTCCGCGGATCCATGCCATTGCCATTGCCCGTTCCCTAGCGCTGTAGAGAAGGTCCTGTATCGACAGATATCAATCATGAAAAAGCAAGGCCCGGACCAAAAAAAAAACCGACTTGTACTGCTATGCAACACAACAACAAAACCAAGCTTTTAGAACTTCTCTTTCTCGTAAAGTCGTCGTCGGGGTTACATCAAAGGAAAACCAGCAGCAGCTCGAGGGTTAGAAATAAAGGAAAATCGTCATAATCGTCGTTAAAAGTGTAATAAGTTCCACAAAAAAAGGAAAGAAGTTTGTCTGGTGATTCGGTGAATCAGAGGGCTCCTCTGAGCCAATAATCCATCCGTGCCTAGGTTCATAAGCAGGCGTTTTTTCCAAGTCTCCGCTTGCATGTGTATCTCTGGGCCTTGTCTCATCGATTATCGGCCCCTTCCCCGTTGCAAAGCGTAAATCATCAGCCATATGCATAGCCACATGGACTTCTTTAAAAAAAATCAAAGTCGTAACTCGTCCGTCATCTGAAGTAAAAAAAAATATGCTGAATTGGTGTTTTCAGCCAATACAAGAACAGTTGTTGATGAAGGAAATTTTGTCTAATGAATGTGGTTGGTGGAGATTTTGAATATGTTCGTAGGCCAAAGCCGGGGAGGGATGGCGTATGGATAGAGTCTGGGTGAGACGGTCCAGACCCGGTAAGAATGTGCAGAAGATCTGGCTGGGGAGGGCGAGAGGTTATCGGCGTCGTTGGGTCACCGCAGATCGTGCGCGGTTCAAGCCAGCATCGTAAGTGGGCCCCGATACTGATCCTTCACGGATCGTCTTGCGCCTTTTCAGGCCATCAACATCGCCTCCGGGACCCCGACTTGAAGGGCGAGCATCATCATCGTCGTCGCGTCCGCGTTTGTTGCTCGTGGGAGCTCCGTTCATGACAGGCTGTTGGGCAGCATAGCCATTCGGTATCGGGTTTCCGAGATCCGATTGCGAGCCGTACACGTCCCCGGACGAGTTCCCGTTTGCGGTCCCACGCTCACTACTCATTACATTATAGAGATTACTGGATGGTGGTTGCGGAACACGTGGGGGAGTACTATAACCACCTTGCTGTTGAGCATAGTATGGCTGTGGTGCAGCCGCCGTTCTTGGCGTGGCCCGCCCCGACGCTGGATTATTAGGAGAACCGGTCATTTCCGGAGACAGATGGGCATGCTCTCCCGGTAACGAGCCGACTGCTGGCCCATTCGCGTAGTTGTACGAAGCACGCGTTGCGTCGTAGTTGGAGGAATTGTCATGAGTGTACTCGGCATCATGTTCGTGCTCTGCCTCCTCTTCACCCTGGACATGCCCAACCTGCCCCTGTAGCTGGTTGTGAAGCATCCCGTTGGAATCTTTGCTTTCGTGGTGCTCTGATTCCGAACCTGGGGCTCTTGCTAATGGCGGCCCCATCTCATTCTTGATGTAAGGATTTGACTGAGGGTAGCGGGACATGTTTTGCTGGCCATTCGTCGGTTGGGGGTAAGCAGGTTGTTGTGGAGGGGGAGCTGAGTACACTGGTCGGGAAGCATCATACGGTTGTGCGCTTTGTTGATACTGCTGCATACTCTGAATTGAGGTGCCCGGAGGGGTCGTCGCAGGAGTTGTGGGCATTGACCGTGCGTTGCTTAAGCCAGTATCGATCGACAAGGGATTTGCACCTTGGCCGCTCATCCCACCTTGAGACCCCCATTGGAAATTTCCATCCGAGCTGCCCATATTCCCCATTACACTCGACGCGCTTGTTGGGGGAGTTGGAAATGTATGTGCCCGGTCCATGCCCGGTCGGCCCACATTGCTGGGATGTGGTGCAAGTGAGTGCTGCGGACCTGGAAGCTGGTTTCCAATTGAACTATTCATTGAATGGTGGTGGTGTTGATGTAAAGATGGCAAACCTGGGGCCTGGGAATTGCGCAATTGGTTCTGCTCTTGTTTTCGACGCTCTGCGGCTGCCATAACCGCATTTGTTCGAGTTTGATTCGTCGGGTGATACAAAAGCGCACCAATGTTGTGAACAAACAGAGGATATAGCAACTCTGTTATTTTCTCCTTGTTCGCAAAATCCAATGCCCGCTCGAATGGGATCCTGGACCAACAGTCAGTTCCGAATATACGAATATACAAATCCTACTTACCAGACTCCCTTGAGGTGCATTGGGCCAATCTTAACGACATGCCTCAGCTTTTCGCTCTTGAGTATGCCATCTCTTCGACCTCGAGTCATTCCTGCCACATTCAAAAGCTTCGTGCCATTGATCATGTGATTGTCTGAGAAACTGTTAGCAACTTTCAATCCATCCGGTGCACTTCGTCTACTAACCCTCGCGTCGAGCCACACAAACCCCTTTAGCCTCGACCTGAAAACACAAGCTACCCTCATCTTCCCACAAAGTCGCCGTGACTCTCGGCTTCATGCCCGGAGGCGCTACTTGGCCGGTCGTGTCGAAACCTTGCTGTGCTCCATAACCCTGACCCGGCATGCCTGGCTGAGCAGCAGACATAGCGGGCAATGGCAAGACGTTGTTTCCCTGGCCCATTGAACCTGGCACCGGGTGGCCCGCCGCTGGAGGCGATGTCAGCCCGTTGGAATATCCATATTGGTTATAGGGCCCTGGCGCGGTGGAGTATTGAGCAGGCCCTGGTTGTAGCAGAGGCGGTTGCTGGTGCTGTGGATAATGGCTCATCCCACCAGACGTGACAGTTTGCGGGGGTGGCGGTTGCCCGGCCGAGATATGTGACGAGTAGTACATATCTTGTTGGCCGTGATTCATATTTGAATATGAGTCTTGGTTGTAGGAATAGGCGGTGCCGGAGGGCGACGTATTGTTGTATGCCGCCTGCGATAAAGCCGCTGGGAGACCAGTGTTGGCGGGAATGGTTGGAGAGGGTGTCTTTGGCCCGTTCGAGGAAGACGCCGTCGTGTACGACGACTGAGAACTCCCGTTTAGGATTGATGCTGATCCAAGGGAACTGAGTGAGCCAACCCGGGGAGACGAGGTACCGGACGAGTATGCCTGTTGCGGCTGGGGCAAAGGCAGTGCAGGCAGCCTATCATTCACATACAACGGTCGTTGCGCCGCGTGATGATTGTAGTATGGCACGTCAGAGGGTCCCCGGGTTTGCACTTGTGATATCGACGGGAGATCCAGCTTTTCGGTTGGAATGATACAAGTCCGGAAAGGACAATGGATTGGTTAGACTCCACGTGAATCTCGTGAGTCTATGTGCAGTGGAGCAGTCGAAGCTCGCACTAATGGATCACGTAGCGGGTCGTACGAATTGAGCTCGGGACAGAAGCCGTGATCTCGAATTCCCAGTGATCTTGGTCAACGTAAACAATGCCTCCAATGAAAACCTGGAGCGATGTTTGGGATGTTGAGGACCTCGGAGGAGGGGACTTTGGCAAGAGGGCGCAAATGATGTCGTATCTATTGATCAGAGACAGAAATGATGCATATGCCGCCGAATGAGGGTTTTCGTTATAAAAACTTCAAACTTCGAAAGCAGGACGTTTGGCTCGTAGAAATCGTTAAGATATGGAGGGACCCTGAAAGTACGCGGCCGGTGAGCTCAGTTGCAGATGCGATTGAAGCTCCACGACAGGATGGCTGACAGGTTACGCGAAGCTGCAGGTATGCTTGTGCGTAGGATCGCTTCGTAAAAAAGGATTCAACCTGTGCTTCGATTCGAGGACGCGACAAGTGTAGGAAATCGTGATGCTCGTCAGAGATGGCTCTTTCCTGCAACAGAGGGGCAATGGCAGAGATGGGGTGGCTAGCCAAGGTGGAGGATAGGCGGGAGAAGATCGGTGCGTGCGTGCAGATGCGCGAGGCAGAGGATGAGGACGATAGCGATGTGAGGAGGCGGGTAAGAGAGAGAGAGAGAGAGAGCGAGCGGTGTTGAGTGGGGGGAGGAGAGAAGGATCCGTTTGAAGAATTGGAGAGGTTCAGCCCACCTCTAATGCAGGTACTGTACTGATATCAGTCAGCGCTACAGCGAGAGGAATAGGAAAGCAATAAAGCGGAGGAGCGCAAGAGAGCAAGAGGGTGGAAGAGAGGCTTTGGAGACATGTACATACAGACAGTACAACCGCTGCAACCAACACCTTCCTACCAAGGAAAAGAGAGAGGTCGGGGGTGGGTGGATAGAAGGGAAAGAGGAGGGGGCGCGGAGGGCGGGCGCGGAAGAGGGATGGGGAGGGAAGGGAGGGAAGGGTAGAGGAGAGAAGAGGAGACCAGAGGAGAGGTCGGCGTACTCGTAGCAGCGAGACACCAAGGAAAAGGGCAGAACAGAGGAGGCCGACGGGGGGCGGAGAGGTTGGGAAGCTCCAGGTTGGGGGAGGATGGAGTGGAGGTTGGGGGGGGTTGTAGTGTCGGCCTGGGGGGGTGGTTGTGGAGAGGATGATGGAGTGCGGTTAGGATAACCAGGGAAGGATGAGCATGAGCGTGGGTTTAGGAGATCTAATGATTCTTAGGCCGGGAAGCGAGCGACCAGGAAGTCTGGGGGCTGGAGGAGGAAGGCACTAAAAGGGCGTAGCGGTGATAGAGTATCCAAGGGACGAAGTAGGTAGGTACAGTCCAGTACGTATGTTTGTAGGTAGGCAGGTCCTGGAGAGAGAGTCTGAGAGTCTGAGAGTCTGCGAGATAGAGGGACAGAGCAGTAGAGGCTTTGGCTTGGCTTGGTATACGAAGTACGGCGTAAGTAAGTACCTCTGGGGGTGCTGTAGCGGTGCTCTGTACTTCGTGCTCCCGTACGGCGTATAAGAGAATAATAAAACAATAAAAAAAGAGAAACGGCGTTTATCTGATTGTAGTGCAGAAGAATAGAAGAACCGGGCTGGGCTGGACTACTCCGTACTTGGGCCCTGGTGGAAACACAAACAAAGAAGTGGCCCTGTCGAGGGCTTCAGCGCCCACTACCCAGTAAATAGCAAGTAAGTCCGCTGGCCGCTGGCCACTGTCCACTCTTCCCAGGCCGGCACTCTGATAGCGTGTGCACTGTGCGCCGTACAGCAAGCACAGCGGGTCGGCCACGCTGGAGCTCTTCTGGCGCCCACTGGCACTAAGTGGCGGCGGGCTTGGGGGGGCTTCTAGTGCCCAAGAAGATGTCTCTGGGCAGCAGACAGCAAAAACAAGTACCAGACAATTAATTCCTTTCTCCGGCCTCCCACGGCCATTATCATCATTGCGTTGAATCAGCATCCTCTTCCTTCCATGTCCCACCATACCGTATATTTCTTTTGCCCTTCCTCTCCCTCCCTCTCCCACTCCCTCACTCTCCTCCTCACCCTCTTCCACTTCCTGAGCAGCCGAGCCCTTTCCAACCATCCCTCCCACCCCCCCGCGCCAATTGTTTCCCCGGTGCGGACAGGATTGCACAGGAACTGAGTGCCCGCTCGCCTTTGCGGCCGTTGCCCCCAGGGAAGTGGCTCGAAGTGGGTGCTAAACGAGCCACCAGCGAGCACGCCGACCAGGGCAGGGAAACTACTGACCAGCCAGGGGAGAACCCGACGAGTGAACCAACACATCTGCGTGGCCAGGGGGGAGGGGGGAAGGGGGGGGGCCCTAGAACTGCTGACGGGGCCAGCCCTGGAGCCGGACTGCCAGACAGCCAGACAGCCAGACAGCCAGACGAAAGGTTGTGCTGGCAGGCTGGGAGCGTTTCACTCACTCAGTGGGAGTGGCAGGCTGACCGTGTCTGGCAAGTGAGCAGCGCCTGGCAGAAACGCTGAGACTCCGCGTGGAATCGATGGATGATCCAGTGCGCTCTTGAGCTCTGAGCGCTGGGCACTGAGCGCTGGGCAGCCAGCCTGGTGAGAATGCCTGACCACCACCAGCCCCCCCTCCCTTCCTCCCCTCCATCCTTATCGGCGTCGAGACTCGAAAGCTCGGTCTTCTGGCCCAAGGTACTTCATAGGTGGTACTCGTCCTTCGTACATCCGTACATTCGTAAAGTACAAAGGGCCTTGCACGGAGATACTTCCCGGTCTCGATCGCGCCCTAGCTGATAGTAGCTCGCTAGGCGCGATAAAAATCAAATTAGTACGGCACGGTGCCGTCACATTATCGCGGATTCGCAGGCCTGATACAGTACTCCGCAATGTATTCTCTTGGTGTCTCGGGCTCCTCTGTACGGAAGCACCGTGTCGTGGGATCGATCTAAATTGTCCCGTGCTGCTCAGTGTCCTGCTGTGCTGTAACGTGATCCCATGTGCCGGCCGAACAAGTGGCCCCGAAAGCTATCCCGGATGTGTACTACACTGTGCGAAGTACTTCGTTCGCTGCCCATTGTCCACTGCTCCGGACAACGGCGCGCTAATAATGTTCTCTGTACTTTCAAAGCTCCGTTGCACCGTTCGTATAAAACCATAATATATTGACGAGCCGCCCTCGCTAGGAAGAAAGTAGAACTCAGTACTTGGTACCAAGGTAGTACTCCGTACCTAATGTTGAGATATTGACTTCCGAGATCATATGCGGCACAAGCCAGCGATACACCGTAAGCGCCCAGCATGGGCGCCTCTGCGAGTCTCCACCGGCCATCCGTAGTAGCGTTGAATGCCATGTCTCGCTCGCAACTTTTGCACGGTTTGGGAAGCTGGCTCTCTGGGAATCTGGGGAGGGTGTTAACCACCGGCCGAGGTACTCCCATTTGTCGGTCGTCTGGACATAGTAGTATGTCTTGCTCCACTATCAAGTGGACCTACATGGCTTTAACAACAAACCAATTGATCCCGTGCCATCCAATGGGCCTGCATCCGAATTGATCGCGGTTGTACAACGCAAAATACGAAGTACCTGGTACGGAGTAGAGATTACCTACTACTGCGTAAACGTTACGAGTAATAGTTGTTCCAAGATTCGACTCGTTCACTGGGTGCCCATTTCCAGAATCTGTTGAGAACTCAGGGCCGTAGCTCCAGGTGTCCGACGGAGAAGCCACGAGTACCAGGGCTACGAAGTATTGTCCTAGACGGCCAATAAATGGAGAGGGAAGCGGCCTTTGGAGGTCCACGAGGCGCCGGTAGCGGGGCCTGCAATAGGCTTCTAGCTGGTGTAGCTCCGATCAGTTCAGTTCGGCATGACGTTGCAATATTCAACTAGATTGAGCTGTCAAGTGGATCACTGATAGCCATTAAGATCTAACGGCCCGGAAGCCCTAGCCAAAGCCACAATGTAATTGTTGTCTTTATGAAGTACGAAGTATTGCTTCTTTGCCTAGTGATTAATCAGCGCAATTAGCTGTTCCACCAGGTCCTTGGTGTCCCGACTGATCACGAGTTTTGGCTGATTGCACCATTCCACCATTTGTCAACACTCGCTGGTAGTGGGGTGCATTTGCAGGAGGGGCTCCCAAGACTGCAACGCGAAGTTTGACACACAGCAGATTTCTTTTCTTAAGTCGTGCAATAATAGCCAGGAGAGCAATAGATGAGCTAGTCTTGTCCACTATAGCGGAAATTGCGGCAATGTGCTATGTTGTGCGTCCTTTCCACGCCAAAATTTAGGGTTGAGGCCATGCTGATTGAATGGGGGTTGCTGCCAATCGCGCTATGCACCTAGATATGCAACGCAGCGCAGTGCAATGCAGACGCGGTAGAGCTGCAGTAGAGCTAAAGGGCGATCAGGCTAACATAACAGCAGGAGCCCGACAATATGCCCAGTAGTTAAAGGGAATTCTCCGATTGACTTCATTCTGCCGAAGGCTGTAGAGGAGGAGTTTTCTGATGCTCGATCTAGAGACTAGGCGATATTTCCTGTTGGCAAATCCCGGAATGCAGCAGCCAAATGCAATGCCACACCGTTTGTGCCGGTTCAGACTGCGCCGCCATGCATAGGCAAGTAGCGAGGCAAAAGTATTGTCGATGTTGTGCAGCATCTGCTGCGCTCTGGGCTGTTGGTTCTTTTCTAGCGCCTAGCTTCTGGACGTAGTATGGAGTAGACTTTTACAGCGGATTAGTCCCGAACATATCGTTGCAATTTCTTCAAAGGCTCCAGATTCTCCGCACCCCGGTTGTTATTGAGTACTCCGTCCGTAACCTGGTTACCAGTTCTTTGAAAAAGTCCAACAGGCTATAAATATTCTCGGCAGTGTCGACTTCCGTTCTAAACTGAGCTTTGCTCCATCTGGGGAGACTCACGGAATTGATAAACAAACAGTCGAACACACCATATCCCTGGCAGGCGAGGATGTTTCTCTTCAGAATTGTGGTGGGACAGGCTTATCCGGCCCCTCCTACGAGTACAAACCGGGAGATATTTGCAGGCCTCGATTGGTTTCTATCCTGCATTTGCAGGCCCTTCCGCCATCGCCACTCTGGGGTCTGCCTGTGGATGTAGGGCTCCGTGCATGGAGCTCTGACTATTTTTGTTCTTACACAAAGCTTCAACCGGCGTGTCTCTGATCAAGCCGGCGTTGGTACATCTAGTTCCATAGGATGGAGCTGACACAGTGGCAACAAACAAAACGGAAGATCGAGATACGGGTGTTTTGTGTGAAATTCCTGCAGATCGTGCATAGAACCGAGCCCACATGAGATGGAAAGTTCGTTTATCGTGCCTCGTGGGAATCTGCAATCCTTCTTGCCTGCAGCTTCTGCTGCGTTGACGCCATGAACTGATATGTATCCTACAATAGATGGGATGGGGTCAAAGTTGACAGGCACCGTGCTCGCCCGTGCAACCCAGGCCGGCATTTCTTCCACCTACATATTGACATAAGTCGGTCGCACAGTCGAACTGGGTGTGGTCAGCACATCCTGGAAAGGATGGCCGTTCTCGACGTATCGATGCTCATGCTGAGGTCAGATCAAATTATTTTCTTCGACGTGGTTTCGAGTTCAATAGTAGGATCCCACATTACCGGAGTTCGATTCACTGGATAATTGGACTGTCTCATATCTGAGTACACCCAAACGTGTATTGTGATGGTCAAGGCCGTGGACAAAAAAGACTGGTCGAAAGCGGGGCCACTTATCGATAGAGCTATCTCAAACGACAGCCACCATCCCTTACTTGACCTCCGGAATTTCAACTCTTCATCATGGTAGATAGAATCAGCTTGTTTCACAAAGAACTCTCGATACGTCACACATTCCTCCCTCGTTGAAAATTGTAAAGACCTCGAAATCAACGCCAACCGCCACCATCCGCGTCGCCCCGAAGCAAGGAGCACACAGCAATCCCTTACACAACATACCGTTTAAAGCCGCTTCAAAAAATCACAACCGAGTTCCAGGTTCTGCAAATCTGGTCATTGGACTGGGCCGTTATGGCTTCGTAATCTAGCAGGATCATACCATGAGCCTCATGCGTTGCCCAATATCGTGAGGTAACCATGGAGAGCTTTGGGGCGTTGGGGAATCCTGTATATGAAGGTCGATGTTCAGCGGCCGACATCTCCAGTCTGGAATGAGGCTAGCTAGTCTTTAGGTCTCAACAACAACGTCCGTCGGGGTTCGATGCCGATTTTGGCAAGATAATCGGAAAACCAGTTTTCTACATCTCTTCCCACTACTTCACCTCAGGATGATCTTCGGCAGGATGATCAATGTGATAATTCCTTATATTTGCCCCCCAAAGTTCGGGACCCATGATACAGTACTGAACAGCATCACGGCCTCACTGATGCAGCTCCCCGTGATACCTTGGCTCTAAATGGGAAAATGAGAGGAAGCTCATACTCGGAAGTCACGAAAGTCTGGTCCGGATTGGAATCAAAATCGCACCACCATTGTTGCCAGGGTCACGTTGTCTTACGGCTGGCCCCAAGCTCATTGGCAATAGGTGATCCACGTATTCTTGCAAGCTCACCGCCTCGCCTCCCCTGTCGATTGCTCCGTCACTTGGTGGTCTTTGTCGTCTCGTTTTCTCACTCCCGGCAGCGGTCCCTGCAGCGTCGCCAGAGACATGTGGGCCTAGCAGAGCACTTGCATTGCATATGCAGAGCGGCTATGCGCAGCTCGGACATGGCCAATGATCGGAGGACCGGGAGAAGAATGGCTGGGACATGGTTTCTTAGCCTGTTTCATGCGCTTGTCATGGTTCGAAGCCTTGCGACGTCGCCACGGGGGATCCTGGAGGTTTCCTACGGAAGGCGAAGAATGAGGATGCTGGCCTATCTTCTGTGCAACACCAGAAGATGAAGAGAATCAACAGAGGGAAAGACAGTTGATTTCGACCGGTCTGTAATCTCCTGGTTTGTATCCTATCAGCTTATCGAGAACCCACGCCAGCAGCGCCGATCAAGACAATCATCGGGGGCCTTTTGCGGGGGCTTCCCCAATCACAGCCATACACGTTGTGGTGAGAGCGAGTCTTCAAGACCCCAGCAGCCCCCGCGGAGCCCGTTTTGGGCGTCTAGGGTCGAGCCTTTAGCCTATCCGCAGCGAGTATTGTTGCCCAGAGCGGCCCCGCCAGCCAGTCCCACGCTCCAAGAAACTTGCAGTCAGCTTTCGAACCGCCCAGACGCCCGCACCAGCCAAAGACTCGAGGAAGATCTTGCCCAACCTCTCTCTTTCTTTCGTGTCGCAGCCTCACATGTGATGGGCATGAGATGACCGACGAAGAAAGAGAGATCATAGGCATTGAACCCGCTTCTGGCTTCTGGGGTCCGGACTCTGGATTTTAAGCCCGGGACTCCGGATCGTCCAACTATCAATGGATATGTATGCAATTCGTAAGGCGGATCAAAACTCAATCGCGAGATGCAAGCGCGGATAACGGACCGTCTCTCGCAAGCAAGGATCATCGTACATCCTGCGCACCTTGGCTGCGGTTGCACACCTTGTGGCGCTATCCGCCAATCATGCGGCGTGGACGGCTCGATGATCCAACGCACGACATCTGGGCGAGGATGGCTTGAGCGTGCAAGAACTCGGGGCCATCAAGGCTCAAGCTGCGTTGCGTTGCGTTGTTTCCCACATTATTCTCCAACAACAATAACAATAATAACCCCTTGGCGGCAGTAGACCAAAGAGCGATCATGTATGACATTTCTTATTCGCTCCGGGACGCTCTCTTTCGAAGCGTGGCTGGTTTTGAGAACATGGCGTTGCTAGAAACGTGGTTCACCGCTCCTTTTGCTCCCTTGAGGAAAACCCTCATTCGTCCACTCAAGCCTTTCACTTACACATCATCCACTGTGGAGGCCTCATAGCCAAGTCAGAGAGCCCATAGGTAGTCAACTGTCGCCAATAATAAACTGAGAATAGCAATCAGACAAGCCATCAGGTCGCATGGTGCGCAGCCCTCAGCGTCACTCCGCCCACGGACGCATCGATATCGGCCTCCTTCCGGGATGATGTATTATAATTTGCAGTCAATTGTTTCGTGAATCAACCTGAGAAATCCGGCAAGGATCGAGGGTGAGACATGGATGTCCCACTATATCGAGCCCTGGCCATCGTACAGAGTATGACGGGCCTGAAGAAAGCAAGCAGGAACTCCGCTGAAGGAGCATGGCGATGTTGCAGCGCTGGAGGATTCGAACCTGCCCATAAACGTGTGTGCTGCAGCTTTTTTTGGATTCCTACCAGGCCTTTCCAAACCGTTCTACTTCGTACATACTTCATAGGCAGATATAGCCTCAATCCTTTCCCATATTACCACCCACCCCCCTGGCCTCAGGAGCGTGATCCTGATCCCCGCCGCCATCATCCTATAAGCGGGGTTGGTATGGACAGCGAATACCTCCCGCCATGGCGTAGCCGGATAGTCCCGTCTCAGACGTAATCTCGATCCCCCGGCCAAGTTGTATCGTACAAGTAATCGTCGTCCAAGGATTCGCTTTAGCGACCACTGGCTATTGTCGCGACTATCACATGGGGCGGGCTCCCAAAGCCATTGATGAAGCCGTCAAACAGTCGTGTCCCAAATGATGCACAACCCACTCAGGTCGATATTGCAGCTGTATGATAGCAGCAGCAGCGATATTAAAGATATGTACAACGTCGGTTGGGATTAGCTGTGAGGAGGATCCGGAGGGGAGGCGCGAGCGATCTTCATGTAATGTGGCTATGTTAGGACTGGCCTCTCTCTTGCTTTGCCTTTCCTTGTCGGTAGATGTATGTGGATGCGGATGCGGATGTATGAGGGTGCTTTTGTGGGTGCCCGACAGGACTTGAGCAGCAGCGCCATCTGCATCAAGCACGAGTCGAGCATCAGCTTGAACGCACGACATACTTGCGTTGATACTGCCTCGATTCAAGCAGATCTCGCAACGATTGTGCAGAAAATCGGTGCTCTGCAAGAGTCTGCACAGCGCGAGCGGGTTCTTGCATGTGTGCATTTGTAGGCTCTGTTGTGGGACGCTTGAGGTACTCGAGTAGACGTTCCACGACCAGATCTTCTTCTTAATCAATGGAGCAGAAGCCTCGACCGTATCGGAGCGACGATATTATCGGATGATGCGACTATTCCTGGAGCTGGAGCTGGACGAGCACTCCTCCCAGTCCAACAAACCTGAACGGCACAAAGTCCGGTAGAGCGGAGGCTGGGCTGAATCCTGCTGAACGAAGCGTGGCACACTGGCACCTCTCTCGTCTTGGTGGTTTTAGGCAATTCAGAACTGCTTCGCCTGGAAATCAATATGCCCATGCTTTTGCCCCTATGTGTGTCCTGATCATCATATCAGTGGATTTCCATGTTCGAGGTCGTACCTACCCACAAAGTCCCAGGTAACTAATTGATCCACACGTGATTTCGCGACACTCCCGAGGTTGTTCTACCAGTCCCACGCGTCGCCACATCAACCGGGTCAATGATATCAACCCCACTAAGACGGGAAATATGGATATCTGCAAAGTGACCCCTTCCTGCAAACTGCTAGCAATGTGTCATGAATGCAGCCCATACTTCCGATATGAACATTGATCAAGAGCGGCTAGCTATGCACAAATTCGAATAATCCTAAATGGTAACCACAAGGAAATGTCCTCAGCACCTTCAGGACAAAGAGCCGCCGACGCAAATTTTGGCGCTCGTTACGATCCTTGGAATGCCTCTTCCACTGGCCACCAACGTAGCGAGAACCAGTCAGGGCTTGCAGGATCTACAGGATGGAGGCAGTCAAGGAACGTGAAGCTACACCACCAGCTGATAAGCGGGGCCACTGGCGGAAAACGGATATCTGATACAGTGGGAGTTGGCTCTGAGGATTACGATGAGAAGGCGGGGGCTTTGATACCGAAAGCCGTAAGGCAAAGGGCGAAATTCAACGTGATGGATATGGCTGCCGGGAGGAAAGCAAATGGTATGTCTGGCACCGGTTAGAATGCTAGGGTAGACTACTAATAGCGGACAGCATCCCCAACCGAAGAGGGAAAACTTACGGCCCGGAGAAAGGAAGCAGATGTCTCCAAAGGGGAACAGGCACTAGAACGGCGCAAAGGCATTTTTGACGGGCTTGTGATCTACATCAATGGTAGCACGCACCCATTGATCTCGGACCATAAACTCAAGCACGCTCTAGCTGAGAATGGAGCAAGGTTGTCGATGCACCTTGGGAGAAGAGATGTCACGCATGTTATCCTTGGCCGCCCTTCTGGGTCTCAACGTTCTGGAGCTGGTGGTGGACTCGCGGGGACAAAGCTTCAGAAAGAGATAAAGAGGGTTGGGGGTTGCGGCCTCAAATATGTTGGTGTTGAATGGTAAGTCATTAATACATCTAGAGGTTTGGGCTTAGCTCTAACACTAAATAGGGTCCTTGAGAGTTTGAGGCTTGGAAAGAGGCAATCCGAAACTCAATTCTCAAACCTGAAGGTTGCTGCGAAAGGACAGCAAAGTGTCTATAGCATGTTTAAGAAGACAACCACGGATTCAGGAAATACCGAATCCACGTGCACTGGGAATATTCGGCTGTTGGTGGCGTTTGGTTAATGGGAGTCAGTGCATGCCTGCTATATCTGTTGGTAGATGGATGTGCTGCGTGCTTGGAGTTTAGGAATGGAATCATTTTTCGGGCTAAGCGTTTGGGCATCAAGGTGGATACCTTATGGATAGACGCATTTTAAATGGATGAGCATAGGATAAAGCATGGACACTTCTTTTTCAAATAATGATTTTCATATAACGACCATAATATTTTGGTTACTGAACCATAAGAGATAATTCATAAGGTAGTCTCCTATCCAATTGACTATTGAGGCCTGCTGCGGACAGGGGTGTGAAGACAAAGTATTCTACCGGGGTTGAGCCGAGTTCGTGTTGTAAACATACAAAGTAAACAAACGTAACAAATCTCCCGAGAACTCTCAACAACGTCACTACGAACTATTTGACCACCGACCGTATCTCAAAACAAAAAAAAGATAATGATACGTGGAGTCTGGAATCAAGTATCATCTACAATTGGAATGGCATCACCTCTCTCAGAGAGAGGAGACACTGCGCTCAACACAAACGCACCACTCGATGCCTCGCAGAAGGACGGTTACGAAGTAACATGTTACACTACAAAAACATATGTGGACAACGAGAGCGATGGACTCCCTAGCTCGCCATTCGTTGCGAACATTGCTGACCCAGCAGGCGTGGAAAATGTCTCACCGAGCAAGATGTCTCGATCCAAAACAAGAAGCCCCATCGAACGGGATCCCTTATCGCCTTTGAAGCCGCTGAAGAGTCGCACATCTCCCACCTCAAAAGACGAATCCCCGAGGAAACTTTCGGATCAAATGAGAAGCGCACGAAAGCTCTCGTCGCCCGAGAAGCGATTCCCAGTCAGGCCATCGATGTCACCCGAGAAACAACCCGTCGCTGTGGAGAGAAAGCTGTCGATCGAGGTGGCTTTGGCAGAAAATGACGGCCTTACAAAAGCCATCGAGATATTGGAGGATGGGGACAGCGAGAACGAAGAGCGGCTCACAGATGGTAACCTGACCTTCCTAGGGCCAGGAGGACCCAGTCCTAGCTGCGATGAAGCTACCAACATGGACGATAGCACATTCAGTACATTCTCGGCTATACCAGACATGACAACGTTTGCAAAGGTTGGGCGCTCTCCTACAAAATACTCGGACGCTGGGCCGACCCCAAGACGAAATCAAGTATATACCCCCGCAACAGCTCGACGTCCAATGAATAACCACTCCCCTTCCCCAACGCCTCGTGGGCACCGATTTGAGCAGGATCGAGATGATGGCAACACAACAAACCTTCTCGACTTCACGGAGCAGTTTAATAATTTCTCCTCATACAGTCGCCAATCGCCCAGCAAACACAGCAGACAATCCCCTCTCAAAAATACTACGATACCAGACATGCCATGGGGATCAACGCCTGCTCTGAATCGAAGCAATATGTCGAACCTACTCGATTTTGATATTCCACCGGCTCCAACACCACGAAGCATGCCATCGATCACCCCTAGGGAACTCGAGAGTCTGAAATCAGGTTTCCTCTCTGAGATCAGTAGTCTTAAAGCTTCGTTAAGCGGGAAAGAAGCTGAGGTCAACTCCCTCAAGACGGCTGTGGGGGATGCTGAGAACCGAGTAGGCGAGAGCTTGGAACAGGTCCGAGAGGAACGAAGCCTGAAGGAACAGCTAGCCGCCGAAAAGGAGGAGTGGGAGAGAAGAGGGCGGGAGATGGAGGCTGTCTTACGGAATGTGAAGGATGAAATATTACATGGGGAGCGAGATCGGGATGACCTCGAAGGTCGCTTGGAAGAAAGTGAGAGAAGGAGAGAGGCGGCAGAAGTCATGGCCCAAGAAGCGGAAAGCAAATTGGCTGCTGTGAAGACCGGGAAAGCACCGCCAACCTCGGAACATAGTGATACTAAGCCAGGCGAGTGTGTATGTGGAGGCCGAGCGGTCGAGATTGCTGTCGAGAAGGTATCTAGAGAGCTACATACATTGTACAAGGATAAGCACGAGACTAAGGTTGCCGCCCTCAAAAAGAGCTACGAGCGCCGATGGGAGAAGAAGATCAAAGAACTCGAGAGTCAAATCGGGGATCTCGCTAAGGAGAATGACGAGCTACGACAGGGACGCGACGCAACAATGACCAAAGTCGAGCCTAAGGATCCCCATGAAGTCACGGAGGACCTGAAGAAGCAAGCTGCCAAAGATGCCAAGTCGAAGGAGCTAGAAGCAGAGTTGGAAGGCCTAAACCAAGTTGTTAAGAGCGTAAAGCAAGACAACTCGCATCTTCGGAGACTCCTAGACGAGGAGAGGGTGGAAAAGGGCAAATTGGTGGCTGCAGTAGATGAGATGATTCCCGTGGTGGCAGCTTTTGATGACATGCTTGCGGAAATGAATGCAGCTCCTTCGAATCAACAACCCAGCATCCCATCTCAACCACTCACCCAGCCGGGCGTTGTTGAAAACCTCAGAGGCAGCATATCACGGGCCTCTGGCCTACGCGCCCCTACGAGCGTCTCCACCCTTGCTTCAGGGGAAAGCCGCATTGGCAGAGGGGGATTTGGCGCGCCAGCAGGGCATAATCAGGAGAGGGCTAGCAGGAGTGGAAGTGCCCACGGCTCGAGACCCGGAAGTGGTCTGGGATATAGAAGCGGGATAATGAGCTCCATTGAGAGAATGGGAAGCCACAAGGGACGAGGGGAGTAATTTGGAATTCTATGTGTGACATAGCTTGATATTGGAGTTGTCCCTTTTAGGCGTGGGTTCAGCAGGTCTGGTTCTTGAGTTGTTGGCTTTAGCTGGAAAAGGGGGGCTTACGAGTATGATGGATTGATGATTCCCTACCTACCTACCTTTTTTATGGAGCTTGTTATAGGCCCTCCCTGTATAGCAGCGATTGCTAGTCAGATTTGATGGATACTTTAGGGCAATAGATTATATATGCCAGTCTTCTTGTCTAGTTTGGATTTACTGAGCTTGGTGGCTAGGGCAGATTAAAACGTTTGTGCACTGATAAATGTTTTAGCTTTTATAAATACTACTTTGCGTAGCATTTATTTAAGTTTGATACTACCAAGGAAGTAAAACTCCATCTGATATAATTATCATTACCTTCATAACCCCTTTCAATCCACCGTACAAATAATCTTCCCCTTCGATGTATTCCTCTCCATCAGCTGATGCGCCTCAACAATCTCCTCCCACGGCAACACCTTATCCACATAAATCTTAAAAGTCCCGTCCTCAAACCTCGGCAGATACTCCTGCAGTCGATCCCTCAACCGTCCCTGATACTCCTCATCCCGACTCCTCAAACTACTCCCCTCATACCTAACCCGCTTCCTTATAAACGCACCAATATCCACCCCCGCAGTAGCTAACTTCGTCCCACTCATCGCACCCAGATTAACAATCCGTCCATCCCTCGCTGCCACATCGAGGTTCTGCTGGAAATAGCTCTGGCCCACGAAATCGATGGTGAGATCGACGCCCTTCCCGTTTGTGAGGGAGAGGATTTCTTTAGCCCAGTCTTGCGTTTTGTAGTTGAAGCCTGCGGTGGCGCCGAGTTCCTTGACGCAGAAGTCGATTTTTTCCTGAGAGCCTGCGGTGACGTATATGGCGCTGGCGCCGGCGGCTTTGGAGAGCTGGATGCCGGCGATGGAGACGCTGGAGGCGCCGGCGTGCCAGAGGATGCTTTGGCCTGCTTGGAAGTCGCCGACTAGGTACATGGCTTGGGTGGCTGTTATCCATGTCTAGGGGAGGGTTATAACGTTAATAAGTTTTATTGTCTTGGGTTTGAAAGGAAATAGTATTGCTACACCATGGTTGCCTTTATCTAGTATTTCGAGAGAGAGAGGAAGAGGAAGAGGGGGAATGGAATTTGTATTATACCTCAGGAACACCAGCCGCCTCCTCCCAGCTCAAATGTGCCGGCTTATGCAAAAGCATATGCGAGCTCACAGCAATATACTCCGCGTACGCGCCCCCATAAGCTAACCCGAACACCTCGTCTCCTACCTTAAACCCCTCCTTCACATCTGGGCCTAGGGTTTCAATTGTACCGCTGAATTCTACGCCGAGGGTCTTGGGTGCTTGTGGTGGGAGTGGGTAGTGTCCTTCGCGTTGGAGCAGGTCCATGCGGTTTAGTCCGAAGGCTTTGATTTTAACGACGGCTTGCCCTGGGGAGGCTGTGGGCTTGGGTGCGGAGGAGGAGATGAAGAGGGAGGTCGCGGGGCCGGTGTCGCCTTTGATGTCTGGAGGTTGTGAGCTTCTGTCCGAGGTTGCTAGAAGAGGGGTGTAGGTACTTACCGACAGCACGCATGGTTGTAGTCATGGCTGGAATATAATCAATTGGGGTAGCAGGTTAGTAGGGATGAAGCAGAGATGACTGAATTAGAACCTGTAAAATTAATTCTTGAAGAGTAGGGGGAATTTATAGTTGATGGTGGTTGGCAATATGGGGCTTTGGTATTGGTGGGGTTTGTTTGTAATACATCTATGACGATAGCGGGGTTATGTCCGCTTTGCCCAGTTTCATCAAGCTATGCATGTGGTTGCGGGAAAAGTCTTAACTGCACAGGGATGAATAAGCCGAGGACATACTAGACATGGTATTTTGCTGTTTGATACTGGTCTTTGAAGAATTTCTATCTCAATAGGCGGGCCGTCCACGGCCTCGTGCTCATTGGACAAAGCCGCCGGATTCACTGTCGGCCGGCTTCCGGCCTGAGCAGAAGCGTGATGATAAATATCTCATCCAAGAGAATGGGTTTTCTTGAACTGGATAGCCTCTATCTCGCAATCAATTCTACAGCCGTTTTTGATCAAATCCGCAACGCCACCAAATGCAACCTAAAAGCCATTCCCAGTTATCCTCACTGCTGCTGTTGTTGTGCTGCTGCCGCTGCCTTTGCCTGCCTCTCAACCTCATAAGTGAAATCGAAATACCCCTTATCAAATTGATGTACGCGAACATATCCGTCCTCACTACCGCTTGCATATCCTTTACCCTGGGGATCCACTGCAACTGTGTTAAGAGGACCGAAGTGACCCTTTACTCTGCCGATCTCATCCTCGAAGATCTTGTGGTAGAAACGTGCCTCGAATTTTCCTTGACGGGCTGAGGTGGTGGTCACGTCCATGGCTGCTTGGCCGCCTCCGAGGATGACGAAGTCTTTCTTGGGCGTAATGGAAGCGCTATTTAAGGGGGTGTCGGTGACGTATGTTTTCATGACCTCGAGATCGCGTGCGTTGACGAGCTGGTAAAAATTTAGATCCACGCATGGACTTCATGAGGAAAGGAGTACTAAATTACCTTGGCTGTCTTGTCCTTTGATGCAGTAATGAAATATGTCCGGTCTGGTGCCCATTGCAGGTCGGTGATCAGCCCTTCGTGGACTTGGACGTTATCGAGTTGCTCTCCAGTCTAAACCATAATCGCATCAGCGAATAATCTTTTGATGTTTAGCAAAACGGTGCGGCTCTTACCTTGGCATCATATTGTGATATGCTTCCATCCTCGTGGCCGGCAATAATATACTTTGACAGATAACTCCACCCCGCCACGGTGGCCTTGCTCTCCTCGCAGGTAATGGTCATCGACCTCTCGTCTGACTGTGGTCCGTCAACGTCCAGGTTGATGTCGAAAACAACGATGGTGCCTAGGAAGCCCATGCGCTGCTCCGTCACAGCCAACAGTTGTGATCCATCCTCGGTGAACTCGACTCTCTTCACGGCGGTGTTGAAATCCCAGACCTTCAAGCACTTTCCAGTCCGGATGTCCCACAACCGAACGGTATTGTCTGCGGCGCCGCTGGCGAGTAGGGTGCTGGTCGGGTCGACGTCTACGGTCCAGAGGGCTCCCTGGTGGCCATGGTAGGTTCCCAAGCGCTCCCCGTTGTGTGCGTACCAGGCGCAGATATGCTGATCCTTGGCGGTGGAGAAGATGATATCGCCGTCTCTATTGTATCTGCGGATAGGTATGTTAGCATGGGAATTTTTGCGCTGCGCAACCTTCAACGGGGGCGATGTGCGATGGGTAGTGGGTGATCATGCGCGTACCGAATTTGGGTCAGGGCCCGCTCCTGTTAGGTTATGATTGTTAGCAAAGGATAAAAATGCGATCATAGTATGGTAGAGGTAGAGGCAGCGTACATGTCCTTGGAGCAATACGGGTCTCATGGTTGCGAATTATTTGAAGATGATGGGCGGATGGAGGATGGTGGATTGTGTTGGCGCAGAGTGCGTTGGTGGGAATATATGGGGGGGGCGACTGGGAGATATTTTCGATAGAGCAACTCCGTCCGTTGGTAGCGGCTGCAGTCCCTCTGACCTCTGACTGTGATTCTGACTCAAAGTTTCGCGGGGCGCAGGGCAGAAGGATTCACACGTAACAGCAGAACAAGGGCAGAGCAAGGGCAGCACCAGGGCAAAACGGCGAATTCCAGTTTCCAGTGTGAAAGTTCGAAAAAAAGACCGTGGTGGGCGCTGGGTGCGATGCGCTGGCCAATCAGCAGCCGCAGGCCCTGTTAAAGGTCTTCGAGGCCGCTAGGACGCATCGGGCCCAATTCAAACCGGCGCCAAAGGGGAAATATTCTGTGCTTCGTCTGCCTCCGTTGCCCGTTTCCGCCGTTTCTCCCTGGACCTGAGCCTGAATAACAAGAGCAAGAACAAGAGCGGGAGGGGAAGGGAAAGGGAACGGGAACGGGAAGCTCGTGACCAGCCATGAGCAGGTTATATTCGTATTTCTTTTTTGGTTTTTATATTATTCTTCTTATTAGTCTGCGTTCCTATCCGGTGGGTCTGTCTGGCTTGTCAGGCTTGTCCAACGTACCAGCAAGTACAAATAGGTCCGGCTTCTGCTCTTAGCTACGGTCACGGATTGCTGGGCACACTGCTACTGCTACCATTATGCCTTTGGAACACCTTCCGGAACTATAACCAGCACGAATACGGGGAGTAGGGGAACCTCAAAAACAAGAACAGGAACAGGAACAGGAACAGCTGCAGTCGAACACGGTGTTCTTGGTGCTCGCCATTTATACTGCCGCCTTCCCGGGTGCACTCAGTATCTGCAATTCCAGGCAATTCTAGGCCATTCTCACTCTTTTCCTTTTCTGGCTGCTATGAGAAAGGGAATGGGAATGAAAATGAGTTTTTCCACTGCCATTGCCCGGAGTCACGTCCGGCCATGGTCCTCATCCTCATCCTCATTGCACATGGCCGCGGCCACAGGCACAACTACCGCCAACGCCAATGCTAACGCTCACGCTGCAGCCTCGGTCGGTACCGCGACGCCGGCAAGACGAACACGAATAGGGAGCGTTCCTATTGGAAAGTTAAAATCGCGGGGTCTAAATTTGTCCCGACATCTCTTGCACCCCTCGTCCCCCACGTTGCGATCACGATCACGACCACGATCACCGTCACTGTTACCGTCGCTGTTAGCCTCGACCTCGATCCCGAGAACTACCTTGAGTTTTACCTCTGCATTTTCATCTTCATCTTCATCCTCAATTCCCCAGATCGCGGTCGTCACATCGTCGCTCTCGCAGAGGAGGCTCTTTTCCAGCACCCCATCCCCGTTCGCCATGACCGCAACCAAGATCAATGGCACCGCCATTGCAAAAAGTGTTCGTGAGAGCGTACGTGCGCAAATCGAGGCTTCGCAAAAGATAAATCCCAGATACAAGCCTTCCTTCAGGATTATTCAGGGTAAACCCTCTCTTTTCCCCGCCCATTCGAATAACCCCCTCGCTGACATGCTGTTTCTGTAGTTGGTGGAGTGTCGGAGTCCTGTAAGCTATGATTCGGAATTGCAACCGCTTACTTCTTACTTGCCCAGCATAGCTAACGCTTTACAGCAACATATGTTCGCATGAAGCTAAAGGCTGCTATAGAGGTGAGGCCGGAGTGTTGTTTTACTGCATCCTATATACCGACCGCTGACCTCGCACAAGGCAAACATTGACTGCGAACTTGTCCAATTTCCCGACACCGTCACCGAGGCCGAGCTTATCGATCAAATCATCCGCATGAATGAAGACGATGCAATCCACGGAATTATTGTCCAGCTACCCCTCCCCGAAAATATCGACGATGGCAAAGTCACCTCGGCCATTGCAGATGAGAAGGATGTGGATGGCTTCAGCACATTCAATGTCGGCGAGCTGGCAAAGCGCTACGGACACCCTTTCTTTCTCCCATGCACGCCTAAAGGTGTGATGCTCCTACTCGAACAGAGCGGCGTAGATCTCAAGGGTAAAAATGCCGTGGTTCTCGGACGCAGCGACCTTGTAGGCGTTCCCGTCAGCCATCTCCTCCTAAAAGCCGACGCCACAGTTACCATGTGCCACTCGCGGACGGCGAATGTCGAGAACCATATAAGACAAGCAGATGTGGTCATCGTCGCAATTGGACAGCCAAACTATGTCAAGGGCGAGTGGCTGAAGCCTGGCGCCGTGGTAATTGACGTTGGAACTACCTACATTCCCGATGACACCAAAAAGTCGGGCGTAAGACTAGTTGGTGATGTCCATTTTGAGTCAGCCTCAGAAGTCGCCTCTCAAATCACGCCTGTCCCAGGTGGGGTTGGCCCAATGACTGTTGCCATGCTCCTGCAAAATGTAGTCGATTCCGCTACAATGTACTTCGAAAGAGAGAGGGTTAGGCAGATCGTACCTCTACCGCTGAAGCTTAAGGACCCCGTTCCTTCGGATATCGCAGTTTCTCGGGCACAACACCCGAAGCAAATAACTCGCATTGCCCAAGAGGTTGGGATCGAAGGGCATGAGCTCGAGCCATATGGTGCGCACAAGGCTAAGGTGGAACTGGATGTTCTCAAGCGTCTCCAACATCGTCGCAATGGCCGGTACGTAGTGGTTACAGGAATCACTCCAACTCCGCTCGGCGAAGGAAAGTCTACAACCACCATGGGTATTGCCCAAGCTATTGGAGCTCATCTGAACCGCCTTGCTTTCGCAAATGTTCGTCAGCCCAGTCAAGGGCCGACCTTTGGGATCAAGGGTGGTGCTGCTGGGGGTGGTTACAGTCAGGTCATTCCCATGGATGAATTCAATCTCCATCTCACTGGTGACATCCACGCCATTACTGCTGCGAACAACCTGCTCGCCGCAGCGATTGAAACCAGGATGTTCCATGAGAATACCCAGAAAGATGCCGCCTTATATAAACGTCTTGTGCCTGCAAAGAAAGGCAAGCGAGAGTTCCAACCTATTATGTTCCGCCGTTTGAACAAGCTTGGGATTACGAAGACAAATCCCGATGAGCTCACAGAGGATGAAATTAATCGCTTTGCAAGATTGGATATCGACCCCGCGACCATAACCTGGAGGCGAGTACTAGACGTCAACGATCGCCATCTGAGGGGTATCACTGTCGGCACTGCCCCAACTGAAAAGGGCCAAACCCGAGAGACAGGGTTTGACATCTCCGTGGCTAGCGAGTGTATGGCTATTCTTGCTCTGAGCAACAGTCTTGATGATATGAGAGAAAGATTGGGCAGGATGGTCATCGGATCATCGAGGCGTGGTGAACCGGTCACTTGCGACGATATTGGCGCGGGTGGCGCCCTCACGGCACTGATGAAAGATGCGATTAAACCAACCCTTATGCAGACCCTGGAGGGAACTCCAGTTTTCGTTCATGCTGGTCCTTTTGCAAACATCAGCATTGGTGCTAGCTCTGTGCTGGCTGACAAGATTGCCTTGAAGCTTGCTGGAACTGAGGCTGATGAGAACCACAACGAGAAGACTGGATTCGTCGTCACCGAGGCTGGATTTGATTTCACCATGGGAGGCGAGCGATTCTTCAACATCAAGTGCCGCTCCTCAGGCCTTGTCCCGGATGTTGTTGTCATCGTAGCAACCGTTCGAGCACTGAAGGTTCATGGTGGTGGACCTCCAATTGCCCCTGGTGCTGCACTTCAGCAAGTATATCGTGAGGAGAATGTGGAACTTCTTCGACATGGTTGCGTCAACCTTAAGAAACAAATTGCGAATGCTAGACAATATGGCGTACCTGTCGTAGTTGCTATCAACAGATTCGAAACCGACACCCCCGCCGAGCTCGAGGTCATCCGGGCAGAGGCGATTGCTGCTGGTGCCGAAGATGCCATCCCGGCAAACCACTGGGCCGAAGGTGGAAAGGGCGCTGTTGACCTCGCTAAGGGTGTCATCGCCGCGAGTGAGAAGGAGAAGAACTTCGACTTCCTTTACAGTCTCGAGGGAGATGTTCAGACTCGCATTGAGGCAATTGCAAAAATCATGTATGGTGCTGAAAAGGTCGTATTCAGCGAACTCGCACAGAAGAAGGTGGATACCTATATCAAGCAAGGTTTCGGCAACCTTCCAATCTGCATTGCCAAAACCCAATATTCGCTATCTCACGACCCGGACCTCAAGGGTGCGCCGACTGGGTTTACCGTGCCTATCAGGGATGTGCGGTTAGCTGCTGGTGCCGGATATCTGTAAGTCTTTTCGCATCTCAGTCTATATATAAAACAAGGAGCAATACTAATAATATGCCAATAGATACGCATTAGCAGCCGATATCCAGACCATCCCCGGTCTGCCTACTGCTCCTGGATATCTCAACGTCGACGTCGACACTGAGACCGGAGAGATCGACGGGTTATTTTAAAAAATGGTTAATGGAGAAAAGAAAAATGAGGCTTGATCATCGGGCATACCCCTTTCTTCAGCGATATGTTTATTTATTGCATTGAGTGTGTGGGGGAAGAAGCCACTTCAACGTGTGTTTTCAGCATGCATCTTCAACAGCGGCGTTTTATATATATATCTTGGAGAAAATAGTATGATGGTTAGATATGAGATATGAAGTTACCCTGATCAACCCAGGGAGTATATAGAGTTTACGGTTATGAAAATAGAATGATGGTTTTTTGCAGATAAAAATTAAAAATGGATTGTGTATGAAAATGAGGAGATATACTGGGCCTGTGATATGAAATTAGAGGTATGCTCCCGAGAAGAATTAATTACGGGTCACGTTGGATGGAGGGCATACAAATAATTTTTGCGGGTAGAAAATATAACTCACTAAGACGTTCGTACGCCGTCCATCTATGTATTATGTCTAGATAACTATTTGATATGGAAGATTGCCCTCTGGCATGGATGTTATACATATATAAAAACATATCGTTACACTGTTAAAACAAGTCGCTAGCAGGTTCAGAGCTTGCTCGTTGTTCCTGCTCCGCTACTTCCCCTCCTTCTTGCTCAGCCAAAGGCTCCGCTGCCGCCCCCTTCTTCGGATAGGACCGCGTCAGGAAGGAATTGCAAAGAATCCCAGTTGCAACGCTGACATTCAGGCTGTCAACGCTGAGGCTGCGTCCGCAGCTGGGGATGTAGACCTCAACATCTGCTGACCTTCTCAGCTTGGTATGTAGGCCCTCGCCCTCTGAGCCTAGCATGAGAATGCAGGGATCGTCAGCGAGGGGATTGCCTATGTTATTAGCAGCCACGGAGTTTCTGGAGCGCGGGGTTCCTTTCTCCGTGGGCGCCACAGCAGCGTAGATTTTCCACCCGGCGAGCTTGGACTTGTGGATGAAGCTATCGGGCCTCTGGACGGAGAACAAAGTGATATTCTCAGAAGCTCCAGCTGATGCTTTGAGGACAACCGGGGTGAACGAGGCGGTTTTTCGTGTGGATATGGCAACAGCGCTGGCGCCGAGGAATGAAGCAGTGCGGATGATGCCGCCGAGATTTCCGGGGTCCTGGATGCCATCTAGCAAGAGAACCATTGGTTTCCGTCCAACGCGATCAACTGGCATGTGGATGAAATCCGAAGTGCCGTTGATTGCAGCGTCTTCGCGTGATTGATGGTCGAGTTCCACTTTAATTCCATATCCATCATATTCCACTGCGGTCGAGCCTAGACTCAGGACAGGAAGTCGCGGGAGAGGTGATGCCTCTAGGATGTAGCCGTTGTGAGGCCGTCCGCCGCTCATCTTGTCCATGAGCCGCAGCCAGTCACCGCGTATCCGCTGAATCTTCACTTTACATTGCCTTGCCAACCTCTCCAGATCATCGTCACGTTCAGTATTTTCTCGATTCTCTCCTTCGTAGATGTAGAACTTGTAAAGCTGTCTTCTTCGGCCTCGACCCTTTTGAGCTTTCAGCGCAGCTTCTACCACGGAAGTCCCGTATAAGAATTCAGATGCTGGTGTTGTGTAGGGGACGGACAGAGGTGTGCGGCTGTCGGGTCCACTGGACCTTGTGGTCGGGCCACGGTTGTTTCTCTCTTCAGGATCATTCCATCTCGTCTCTACAGCTGCAGATCTTGTAGGAGGATCGGCCAGAGCTTTGGCTAAAGCGGCGATTTCCCCCCTTGAGCGTTGGTCACCACGCGGCTCCACGGAACCTCGTTCCTCAATTCTCGACTGGTAAGACGAACTTCTAGACGACGATGGGTATTTAGCGGAGTAGTCGGATTTCTCTCGTGCTTCATAACCACCCCGGTCGCCACGCCGCTCTATGGAACCTCGCTCCCTATCTCTTTGCTGGTAGGGTGAACTTCTTGTAGACGACGATGGATATCTAGATGAGTAGTCGGATTTCTCTCTGGGTTTAAAAGACCCTCGATCAGCACGCCTCTCTCCGGAATCTCGCTCCCTATCTCTTCGCTCATAGGGCGCACTTCTTGTAGACGATGACGGATATTTAGATGAGTAGTCGGATTTCGCGTGTGCTTGATAACCGCCCCGCTCGTCACGCCGCTCCATGGAACCTCGCTCCCCATCTCTTTGCTGGTAAGGCGTAGATGATGACGGATATTTAGGTGGGTAGTCGGATTTCTCTCTGGCGTTAAAAGACCCTCGGTCGCCACGTCTCTCTCCGAAATCTCGCTCCCCATATCTTTGCTTATTGGGCGAACTTCTTGCAGTCGATGGTGGGTATTTAGATGAGTAGTCGGATTTCTCTCTGGCTCCGAAAGAACCTCGGTCGGCACCGCGTCCAGGAGCTTTGAATGGCTCAGCAGACCGATCGAACTGTCTCCTGGGCCCTGAATATCCCTTCTCTTCTTCATCGAAGGGTGTCCGTCGACGCTCCTGCTTGTGACCATGTCTTCCAGAACCAGCAGGCCCAGCAGGGTCAGGTTTTTTCCGAGCAAGCTGTTCGTTGGTTTTGATCAATTTTATCCCGCGATAAATCCGTGCTTGAGGTTCTTGCGGCGTACGGCCTCCCGCAGCCTCTTTCTTCGGTCTACCCTCCCATCCATCACGCGTTACCTGAGGTCCAGAAAATTGAGGCGGGTCCGCGGAGCGGCGTACCAGACCATTTCGTTCGATGAACTTCTCGCGTGGGTCATTGGCTTTTGGCTCTCTAGTCGAGCTTCCCCTAAACGCGAGCCCTTTCGACTTTCGCAGCCCGCGGGCGATGGCTGTATTGACTGAAGCGGCTTTCCCAGAGTGATATGATAGGCGCGATGCAGGCAAAACTGCTCTCATGTATCGGACATTCCTTAGCAGGATGATGCTGGACATCGCCTTTATTCGAATTCGAATTCGAGAATATACTCCGTGGGGAGGGTGGAGGTACGTTTGTACGTAGTACCTGTGGCCCGAAATAAAAAATCCATACCTTTTGTACAAAGTCCTTGTAGATATCTTATTTCTTGAGCTCGGTCCAGGTACTAGCGCCAACCAGTAGTAGCGTCGGCCCCCCGGGTCGCGGTGCGGGTCCAGATTATTCCATTCCGGATTCCAGAACCCGCACCGATAAGACCTTGCATCACGTGTACATCTGATAAGCCGATACCACCGATAATTTTGGACTGGATCCCTCTACTCTGTAACTATTTTCGCGTTGAGTGCAATTGTTCTGGACATATCAAACTGGCAAATACTTGCTCTACTACGCGCAACAACCCCACTATATACGCAGCATCTGTGGGGTAACACCACTACAGTATCCAATCCCCGCGACTAGTTAGCTACCACTGTCATCGTCAACATCAACAGACGCGTTCCCTTTCCACAATCGCGTCTTTGTCAACCCATCCAAACAAATCCCCTGGACAAAGAGTACATTACCTCTGCAGCGACTCATAATGCTATCGCGGATCATATAGCTTGACTGGGCTTGCCAGGATGTACCGTTATTAGTAAGCCCCCGCGATGTGGTCTTTATATTGTGGCTAATTAAGTAGACTTAAGGAAAGTCTAGCTCGATTGTACCCAAAACCCTCCTTCCAAGATATCGACTTCTGTTATAATAAGCCAACATGGCGACACCTCGCCATATCCCAGATTCGGATGATTCCGACGCTGATATAGTCCATACCCCAGAGAGGAGCAGCGGTGAGAGAGAGCCTTCTCAACCCCAATCCGCCTTGTCCCATAGGTTTCGGGAGTCCCTGCAGAGGCCCCAAGATGGCGGTGAAGCACGGGAAATCTCCTCAGATGGCTCCATTGCTGTTGTGGTCCCAGCACCGGCCAGGCCCTGGGAATACCAGCCATGGCGTGGAGATACAACAGTTGATACAGTGCTGGAAGAGATCGAAACGCGAGATGGCCAATTGCATTACAAAGTTGAATATGAAGATGGAAGAGAAGGAACGGTAAGTGACAACTTTGCTAGTTGGAATGGTGTCTACCGTTATATATCTGGAAACCCATTTTCGATCTCTATTTATTCAGCTATCGCAAAACGCCAAGTGGTGGTTTTGTGTATGGTATCTAGTGGCCATAGAGTTGGTATCAGAATGCGGCTATCAAATGTTAGTGCAAGTAGCATAATACCGCGGTTTGGGCAGGAATATTCTCAAGACAATATAGAACCCGCTTTTAAGCATTGCCTATCGAGACTCTTCACCCTCATTTTCAAATATCAGGGTCCGGAAAGATCTAGCCCAGATGTCTCGATCTCCTGTCGTTACTTCCCCACCTTCACTCTTTCTAGCCAAACTCCTTACCGCCGCTCCATCTTTAGCTTTACAAAAAGCTATACACTCCATTGATATCTGCTATTAAATTTACCTCGTCTTATCACCATCCATTCTGATATCCAAAGCCGTTGAGGTTCTTTGCTTTTGTTCCACAAGGTAGTGGGTGTTCGCTTTCAAAGATCGGTTACGCGGTCATCTTCTACCTCACTCTTTAATGCTCTATAAAGTTAGATGTTGTACTTCGTATAATCTGGGCTCTTAAGATTGCAACTGCACTTTCTAGCGCCTAAAAGCTGACTTGAAGCATACAGGTTGCTTTTGATCAGCTCCTCACATTGGAAAACGGCCGGAACGCTTTGGATCTCTTCAACAACGGCGAGGACGTTGGAACTTCATCTTCGGCCTTGGATTCTCGGACAGGTAGCGAAAAGCCAATGGCTACCACTACCAGCAAGCGTATCCGAACCAGGACAATGAATGCAGGCTTTGTAGATCCGGCTACAGTTGACCTTGACACTGATGAGGAAGACGAGCTCTATCCAGACCATGGCGCTGTGAAAAGGCGACGGCATGGGCCAGCTCGGTTTTCGTTGTTGACAAATAATAGCACCCGCCAAAGTAGCAGGGTTAGCAGTGCTCATGAGAGGTCAATGTCCCGTGCCATTCGAGATGGCGAAGGGTCAGATTCCGAATTGGAACCTCCGAGAACACGACGGGGCACTCAACCAACTCGCGGCGGACATTCGGGCACTCGCAGCTCTACGCGTGCCACTCGCTCATCCAATACCAACCCTATTATCAAATCCAACGATGGATCCTTCAAATTGGCCGTTGAAGACGAGGAAATGGACGAATTATCCAGAGATTCCGAAGCGGCAAGTGAGGGTTCGGATATCACTCACTTCACTCAACGAAAGAGCAACAGACGTGCGTCTAGAAATCGTCATCTCAAGAAAGTAGCAACCGGTAGAAAATCCCAGCTGCGCGAGTTCGCTGATGGAAGTTCGTCATCTGAGGAATTTGAACCGCCAACTCGACGATCAGGACGAGAGAGGGCCAATAAAAACATGAAGGAAATGGACATGGATGAAGAAATTTATGCGGACGAAGTTGTCAAAACTAATGCTCCAAAAGTAATCAGTATCCGAGAAATATTCCAGCCCGTCCCGACTCAATCTCGATTCAAGATCTTCCATAACAACGACTGCGACGTCTGTGGCGGGACTGGAACCCATTCCAACAAAGGTACAAGCCCCTTGATTTACTGTCAAGGCTGTTCAAGCTCCATTCACAAAGTTTGCCTTGGTTACCGCAGTGGCAGAGAGCACCTGGTTACAAAGGTCGGCCATGAGAACTTTGTACTCCAATGCCGTCGGTGCATTGGGACCTCGGTCAAAAAGGATCCTTCCGCGCCTCGCTTGGATGTTTGTCAAGGGTGTAAAGAGACTGGGGCGTCTTGTATCCCTTTCTCTACACGGAAATCTTCCAAGCAAGAAGAAAAGCTGAGAGAAGAAAACGGCGGAGATGACCCAATTACAACAGTATCTGAGGATCTCATCAACAATCCCAACAATATATTATTTCGATGTACTCGTTGCTTACGTGGGTTTCACTTTGAGCATCTCCCAACCCGGAAGAAGACATCTAAGTCATTAGAGGATCTTGATGAAATTCGGGATCAGCGACTCAACGATTACACCCCACGATGGCAGTGCAAGGACTGCCTTGACGCACCCGATAGGCCTCAAGCCTTAGTCGCATGGCGACCGGTGGATCGTCAATCTTACCATACAAATGATACAATTCGCGATTTTAATGAGGATCAGAAGGAGTACCTAATCAAGTGGCAAGACAAATCATATTTCCAGTGCATTTGGATGGCTGGTAGCTGGGTCTGGGGTGTGACTGCTGTGGCAATGCGGAAGGCATTTACGAACCGTGACGAAGGCATTAATGAGAGGCCAAAATGGACAACTGAGGAGGCTATCCCCGAGGAGTTTCTTCGCATGGAAATAGTCTTCGATGTTGGCTATGACGATGATTTTGTAGCCAAGTCAGAAGAATCCGACAAGGCTCAGATCAGCATGGTCGATGAAGTCCTGGTCAAGTTCCAGGGTCTTGGCTATGATGAAGCTGTCTGGGAGGAACCGCCTTCGCCGGAGGACAAAGAGCGTTGGAGCTGCTTCGTGGCTGCATATAACGAATACGTTGTTGGGAAATATTTCAAACAGCCTCCAGCGTCAGTCATGAAGGAGCGTGCTGACCATTTCCGATCACTCAACTTCAAGAACCTTGAGTTGAAGAAGCAACCTTCGGCACTTACCGGTGGGGATATGATGGCTTATCAAAAAGATGGTATGAACTGGGCGATTTACAATTACCACCAGAAGAAGAACGTCATACTCGCAGATGAAATGGGCTTAGGCAAGACTATCCAGGTGATAGCCTTAATAGCCGCTCTGGTTAAGGACAAACCGAAGGTATGTTATAGCTGTTTGTATTCTTGACTTGGCTGACAAGTCTAGTGCTGGCCATTCCTGGTGGTCACCCCTAACTCTACATGCCCAAATTGGCGTAGGGAAATCAAAAAGTGGGCACCGAGCCTTCGTGTTGTCACTTTCTATGGCGGGAGACGCGCCCGCGAGATGGCAATGCAGTACGAGCTTTATCCTGATAAATCTTCGGACCTACGAGCACATGTCGTCATCACATCGTACGAGGCGCCGGTTGATGAGCAGAGCAGATCATTCTTTCGGCGAATCAAATGGGCTGGCCTGATTGTGGATGAAGGACAACGTCTCAAAAATGACGCAAATCTTCTATACAGTGCATTAAAGGCTATGAAAGTGCCATTCCAAATGCTCTTAACAGGTATGTATCATAAGTACTGTTACGGAACCGCGTACTAACCCAACGATCAGGTACCCCGCTTCAAAATAATAAGCGAGAACTGTTCAATCTGCTTCAGTTTCTTGATGCCTCCGTCGATGCCGCTCAGCTAGATGAAGAGTATCAGGAGTTGACAAAAGAGAATTTACCGGAGCTTCATGAACTTATCCGTCCCTTTTTCCTCCGGCAAGTTGTATGTCAACACTGAGAAAAAGCCCTACTAACTCTGGCCCAGGAGAACCAAGCTTCAGGTCTTGAAGGACTTACCTCCGCTAGCTCAAGTGATCCTCCCAGTCACCATGAGCGTTGTTCAAAAGAAACTCTATAAATCCATTCTAGCTAAGAATCCGCAGCTCATCAAGTCGATCTTCGGACAACGAAAGACTGACCTTCGTCCGTCAGAACGGGGCAACCTAAACAACATACTAATACAGCTTCGAAAGTGTCTTTGCCACCCGTTTCTTTACAGCTCTGCGATCGAGGAGACGTCAGTGGATGAGGCCGCCTTACATCGTAATCTGATCGATGCATCCGCAAAGTTTCAGCTATTGGAGATTATGCTACCGAAACTTCGAGAACGTGGACATCGGGTGCTCCTTTTCAGTCAATTCTTGAATCAACTCGACTTGGTTGAAGATTTCTTGAAGGGGCTTGATATGTCGTTCCGACGCTTAGATGGTAGCATGGGCGCACAAGAGAAGCAAAAGCGGATCGATGAGTTTAATGCTGCAGATTCTTCTGTCTTTGCATTTCTGCTGTCCACACGATCTGGTGGAGTTGGTATAAACCTAGCAACAGCCGATACCGTCATCATTATGGTATGTTCCCAATTGCCTTTAATGATTATATGTACTGACAGCATTTTAGGATCCGGATTTCAATGTAACTACTATATCGCCTCTTTTGGACCTCTTTGCTAACTTCTATTAGCCCCAACAAGATATCCAGGCAATCTCACGTGCCCATCGCATCGGGCAAAAGAACAAAGTCCTCGTATTCCAGCTAATGACTAAAGATAGTGCCGAAGAGAAGATTATACAAATCGGTCGCAAAAAGATAGCTCTTGGGGCGCTCATTGAGAGCATGGGCGCAGAAGATGATGCTGGCGTCGACTTGGAATCTATCCTGAAGCATGGTACCGAAGCCCTATTCAACGATGACAATCAAAACGATATCCGTTACGATTCTGCTTCTGTGGATAAGCTTCTAGATCGAACTCAGATTGAAAACACTAACGCCGATGAGGAAAAGACCGCAGAGTCTCAGTTCTCACTCGCTCGTGTCTGGGCCTATGATAAGGGCACTCTCACGGATGATGTGGGCGATCCTGATGCTGAAGCTCCCACCCCAAATCTTTCGGTTTGGGATGAGATATTAAAGCAGCGTGAAGCAGACGCAGCGCGGGAAGCTGCGAGGAATATGCAGGATTTCGGGCGAGGAAAACGAGCACGACAAGTAAGCCATCCAAGGTGACTGTGATAATCCCTCCATACTAACATTGAACCAGACGGTCAATTACCAGAAGTCTAATATGGATGTCGATGACGATCTGGCTCCCTCCTCACAACTAGCTAGACGCCAGTCTCCCGAGTCTCCTAGTGATGAGGAATTTGCCGCTGTTGGTGCTGACTCTGATCCTGATGACTTCTCGGAAAACGATGATGTGGATCCCGGGGAACTAGAGTCAAGTGGCGGCCGCATAGGTGCGAAAGGTACGAAAAAATCTGCAAAGTCGCGTAGAACTCCCCAGAAAGCGGCAAGTACTGCTCGGGGCCAATCAAGTTCAGGGAGTAAAGTTAAAACTCCAAAGAAACCCGCCATTTTGTCACCGCCGGGAAGCGGTGTCATGAATCTACAAGGTCCTGTTCAGAAGTCTAGAGCATCAGCTGCCAACATGACACCAACTAAGTCTAGGGCAACTGGTCGTAAGAATACGATCAGTGCAAAGCCCAAAATTTCTTCACCGCCAAAAGAGGCAGATGATCCCACCAAGTAACTCTCTGGAACTTTCATGCTCTAATGGGGCGGCATGGACACCACTGAAATCAAGCATCCAATCTTTTCCCGAACTTCAATTCTCTCATTCCTACTCGATAATGATGCAATTTGCAAGCTCAGTCAATCAACAGAAACAATGTTATTTCGCAAGCACATTACTGACTAATAACTTCTCCAGTAAACGGCCATGAAGAACCTTTCATATCTCGAAACACACGAATTATACCTCCAACGCACCCACCTTCATCCAACATTCAAATACCTGGCCCCGCCATGGGCGCATTTCAAGTCTCCTCTAATCAACATCCCCCAACAACAGGCCCTACTTTCGGTGTGCTAGCTCCGGTGTCACACGGACATTACACAAACTCTCCCTACAATGGATCTCTTAGCCAACCTCCACCGCCACCTCTACCTCCTAGTCAACCTCCACCCAATTCTGGGCAATTCCAGGGATCCCACCCTCGCATAGAAAGACCTCAGTTCCGGCAGAGTTATGTTCCCCCTCCCACCCTTAATTCCGGGTCCAATGGGTATCCAAACCGACAGCCAGTACAGCACCCAATCTCTCGAGAGCCGCAGAGTGTCCCTAGACCTGGGGATGCTACCCATACTAGAAGCGGAATAGCAGCAACTGGTAGCTCAGGTCCGCAATCAGTTAGCACAAGGCTTTGCCCTATCTGTGGATTGTCGCATGTTGGAATCCTGAGTACCTGCCCAAAATTCAAATCTGAAGCTCAACTTCGCCTTATGATGGATGCCCTCGTGAGGCAAAGTACCAAAGCCCCCGAGAAAATGGCGGTTGCGTACGAGATATTGAGAGGCGAGCTACTGAGATTGGCGACGGAACGGAAGGACAGGAGACATTCTCGGGAGTAACGGCTCTCACATCCCCGCAGATACCCATATTTCTTTTTATTATCCAGAAAATCTGACCATTTCCTCAACGTGAGTAGGAAGATGATAATCGTGGTTTTCTGTCTGTATGAGTACATTAAAGCGCTTTTCGCATCCCATGGCGTTACGAGAAAGAACCTGGCATAGATCAGTGCTGCTTAAAGTTCTTCTCGGTAGATGGTAGAACCTCATAATACATAAATAGAGATGTTAAACATACCTTTCTCGGATATTTGTGTGCTAGTTTAGTGCAAATATGTAGCAGGAAAGCCGGAAACCAGAGATGCAATGCCTTTCGTATCACGCCATGGGCAATAACATTGCCACACTAGTAAGCCCAAGGTCCTGTAATACCGTATGTATTATGAAGACTTCTACTTTTGTGAGATTACATTTTAAGTTGTATATCTGCCCCAGAATGCCCCTATTCATAGATGACTAAGCGGACTGGGGTAAGACGGGTTAGCGAGGAGCCTCAACTCTCCTTTGACGACAATCCACTACTCGTCAAGTGCAAAGCTATGTACTTTGTGTCGGCGACACTTTAAGCTGCGATGGTGAGAAATTTTTTAATGGGAATTCTTGTCTAGACTTTTGGACTTCTGGTAGACTCCTGTTCATTCATATTCACACGCCGCGCTGTCGAAACTTCACTACCAAAACTCCACCACTAAAACTAGTAGGTGTGACACTCATGCATATCTGCTTGTCTTGGTTGCGAAATTCTGGTCAGATATGGTCAATTCAGCAATCCGCGAGAACCACTCTGCTCCTTTATATGTGCTCTATATCCTGCTACAGGAACAGACAACATATTATATGCACTACCCTGGTTTTTTATCTTAAGGCATGACTGTAGGAGAGTTAGATAGCAAGATGAACTGGATTTCATTGGTATCCTCCCCTCCTTTCCCCTCCATTAACAGACTCACCTCGCGCACATTAACTAAGCCCAGGGCTATGAGAGCTAACATATCTACCCATTAAGTTGCGGCCCAGCTGTCAATTCTATCCTCAGAGCTACCATGGCCAATTATCTCCCACTAAAACGATCCTCTCGGATATAGCGCGCGCAACCTTCGTGAAGCCACACAAACCAGGAACATCCCAACTAAGGGTATGTGCGATTCCGCTAGAGGATTAGCTATCCCTCTGAACAATATCCTGCATGCCTTTAACAGCAACGCAGTCAACGCCGTAGCGTTTTCCCGAAAGGTAGTGGCGTATCTACATCTGCGTCCTGGTTTAGAAACCACATCCACTCTCTTCAATGTATATTTGTGTAGGTAGTAATGCTTCCCTCCACTCCACCCACCGCTCCAGGATTGTGTTCCTAAGTGTGTGGAGTCTAATCTGATCCTTTAAGCGCTCTAAAGGAGCCTTTCCGGCATTCAAAGATCCACCTGCTGGGCATATTCTTATCTTTTATTTTCATTTAAGATACTCAAGTTTGACAGAATATGATGCCAGAGACCTTCCAAAACCGAAAAAATCAGAAGGCGTGCAAGTGTACGGTACACGTGTCAGGATTCTCAGGGCACTGTTGAAAGTCAAGGACAGGTTCCGAGGCATTTCCAATATGGTTTTCAGCGTTATAGTATGGTCGATGAGTTGCGACAGTTTTGGTCGCCTAAAATGAACTATGAGGTCAGTGCTGTGCCTATTCCAAGTGGAAAATGCTCCTAGAACTGAGATTGAAACAGGGGATTACCTTCTATGGATCGCATTGATTCCATAATACATGAATCGTCAAACAGCGCCCTTTGACTTGTTCACTAATAGGTGTACATTTACGGGACGGTCAGCGCCACTCCTGGTCGCCCTTTTTGATGCTGGTCCTTGATATTGAACCCGTCCTGGAAGTGCGCTGCTGTTGGAGGTCTCGACTCAATATTGTATGCGAACCGTGAAGGACTGCCTTGGTCAGCTAGCCCAGTATCTTCCGCTAATAGGGGCTGAAGGAGCTGGCTATCATCGTCTAGGACGGAGGTCACATGTGTTGTCGATGCTTATATGCCTACTCCCAGACAGTAATGGGCTATTGGAGGAAGCGATGATGCAGCACAAGAAGCTAATGGAGGTAGGCGATTCTTGGGGCCTTGTTTACGTATGGCAGTTTGATTCACCGGAATATTTGGCAAATCAACAAGGTCATGAGGCGAGCCTTGTATAATAATATGGGAATGCGAGCGTCATTAACCTCGATAGGCCTATATCACTTTCAAGCATCCTTTTTACACATACGAGCTTGGAATTCAAGGCAGGTTGTTGGTGATTAAAGCAGAAATCTAAGGAGGGAAGTATTTGGAGCGCGCATCTGTTGAGCGATTGATACTTTGTAGTAAGTTACAGCGCGTTGCACAGGTCAGGCGACTGCTACTTGCCATCTGGAATATAAAAACGTCAACAATCCTCCACCACCACCTCTCTTCTCCATCGCATACCAATCAACCAACACAAGCCCGCCACTAAATGCGATCAAAATTGCAGTAACATCTCCGGTATATACGGAAACTAAAGCACACCAAAAGGGATAACAAGATAGATAATCGCAAGTCACAACCACCCTCCTGGAGATCTCCCTCACCTTTCGCGCTTCTTCCATCTCCATCGCATTTTCGCTCACTCACGAATCTCACGTCACCCATCATTTCTGCATAACGCGACCTCCCGATAGATCGTCTCTTATTGCTCACCTTCAACCACAGATTCCCTCGCACTTTTGAGATCTTTCGCCAAATTGATTCCGAGGTATACATCGGTCACTTCAGCCTGGCAAACATTGGCTCACCAGTCCGTGAGTATATTGTTACCCTTCCCCACCTCAATATGCACCACCTCAGATGGCTACTGCATCAAACCAAGCCTCTTTACGTCGCGAAATCATCTCTCTCGTGGAGCTTTACTCACTCACTTTGGGTCATCTAACCTTTCTCCATCGTCTTAGGGGCTTTCCTTAACACCTCAGCTACCTGACTATAAATATATATAGTGCGAATTCAGACACTCACCTCACACTGCCCAAATCACGATGTAAGTATCCCCAATGAGCCACAAGCTGATTCCAAAATTTGCAAGTACGCTTGTGACCGTTTGATTTGTAGCTGTTTGCGATCCACCTCGTCTTTCCTTTCAAAACATACAATACTAATCGTCATCACGTGCAGATATCCGGACCAGGCCAAACACTGCAGTGAGCCGCCACAGCGACTGGTTATTTGCTACCGGCAAACGGCTCACGCAAGCAGGTACAACTTATTTAAGTACCTAGGTAGCCAAGAGTTTAGGGAGTTGATTTCTATTTTGTATGACCGCAGTATTCGTTCTCCTCGAACACGTTTAGCTAACTTATCTGTCGCTATAGTAGTCTCCCTCTATTACAGATCTTCCATAGACTGTATAGATATCCTTGTTCGTATCTGCCTTATTCTTCTTTTACCCCATACTTTTACTTAATTCTCGAGCGCATTTGGCCATCATTCAAGCATTCAACCATGTCGGCGGATTTGGCAGGCCTCGCTTTACTGCAGCCTTCGAATGGGTGCTCGAACTCTACTCAAGCCCCCCAGCCAACTACCCCAGCGATGCAGGATTCTGAGATGACTTCCATACTAACGACCAATGAGGGCCACAGTGCTAAGAGCCCATCGTTGTCTCCATTTTCTCCCGGGAAAATGTCAGCATTTCCGACAGGCCGAGAGTGTTCGGAGCGCATGGATGAACTATCAACGGACAATAGTGACGGCCAAGCCCAGCAAACTCCCAACTATAACAATCCCCCAGGCACCCCAATGTACTCCTCTTCTTATAGTGGCCAACAGTTCACACCTATGAACCCTGCAACTGGTGCATTCACCCCTAATCAACCCGACACCTGGACGAGAGCCGATCCATACATTCCTGGAGGGAATAGCGTGCGCTTAAGCACTGTGGTCCCTGGCCCTGTCTTCCCCAGTGAGGCTCAATTGAATGTTGCTTACGCCTATGCCATCCAACGTGCTGATGGACAATACACTCGTCTTATGGCGGCTGATGAAATTGAGGCCATCGACGGAGTTCCACCCACACAGGGTCTGGAAGGTCTGATTGTGCTTCCTGCTCCTCGCGCACCGTCGCCTCGCCGACGACAAGGCAACGATCCGATTGTTCCTGCTGAGGTATAGACCCTCTATCTGTGAATTGATTCCTGACATTCTAACTCACATTCTGTAGATCGTCAACCAGTTGACAACTGAGCAAGCCTGCCGTGTCATAAATAGTCCGGTTTCCACCCAGGTAAGCCTATATTCCACTCTATTTGACTGTTCCGGCCTTTCTAGCGGTCACAGCCATTGCACACCAATCATTATTATATTAAGAACACATTTGCTGACCCTGTTTGAAGATGCAGATTGATTCTATCATCGCCCAGTCTGCATATACCGCCCAGCATAATATGTCCCGACGACAGAAGATCTATTGTGATAAATGGATCCATGAAGGCGTCTGTGCTTTCACGCAGCTGGGATGCAAATATAAGCATGAAATGCCTCACGACAAGGCCACACAGTTATCGTTAGGCTTGAACCATGGCCTCCCGAATTGGTACCGTCGCGCTTACGGCCCGCCAGCCCTCCAACTAACACCGCAGGTTCCGGGGGCTGTAGTTAGTAACCCGTCTTCTATCTTAGAACCCCAGCCCGCACATGTGCGTCGCCTGGAAGGTCCTAGCGGTATAAGCGGCCCATCCAGAATTTCTGGCTTCCAAGCTAATCTTGGTAAGTTACCTCCGTACCCTAGATGTCCAAATGGAGCTAATTGATATAGATGGCGCTGTGCTTTCTGCCTATGGCCCAATCTCGCCTCCCCTTAGCCACCATGCTCATCCAGCTCATTCAGCTCATCCTAGTCACGCCGTTTACGTCGATCGCTCCAGATACTCCGGTCGCTCTAGCCACTCCAGTCGTTCCAGCAACTTGACTTCGAACCCTTATTCTGTCTACAAGCAAGGCAACAACAGCAATATGAAGGGATGGTTCTGAGCAGCAGGCTGATGGGTCAGACACCATGGTTGGGTCTCTTTGCTTATACAGACATTTGCAATATCGCTTTCGCAAGCCAATCGCCTGATATATGCCATACTGTTTGTGGCGGCAGACCTCCTCGACTCTCTTTTCGGTTTTCATTTTGCGGATAATAACACGGTTGTAGGCCAAGCCTGGAATTGCAGTTCTCCATTCTTGCGGTATCTAGTTGCTGCTTGCTGGCTGATGCTTTTAAACACACGTGGCCCTATATTTCCTTTCTTGTTGTACCAGCTGGATTTGCAATTACTCTGTCATGGCGCTATCATGCTATCGCCAAATGCCTGGCCAATCTCATGATAGAATTGAGACTCTCCTCAGGCACTTCTCGGTGCATTATTTCTCGAGTTTTCATTCTATGTTTTTATCAAAAATGGAGGGTGAGGAGAAAAGAGCGTTTGTCGTGTGCTTCTCCCTTAGTGGCGTTTCACAACATCTGTCTCTACGTAGCTAGTCTTCATCCTCCATCCTCTCAGTTAGTCAATTAAGTCGTCTTCCTCAATTCCTGCATGTGATAGCACCCTTTGAGCTGGAATAACATATCCGACACGGGGCACTTTCAACGGAACTCTTGCCCTGTCTTCGCAATTACTACATCGAACTAAATAGCCATAGGTTGCCCATTATAATTATGGCTGGTTTTAGATTTGATACACGCCATAGAGTATCACGTATATTCCCTATCTTGCGCAAAGAATTGAATATTTGCTAATATAACTGGCTTCCAACTCCAACCCATGAGCCAAAAACCGCTCCTAGTGTTAGTGGAAAAGGGAGGTATCAGAATGAGTGGAAGTGCTACATACAACAGTGCTCCAGTTGCAACAAGAACTGATATTATGAGTTATTGCATTGAGGGGTCGATCTGAAGATCATGTTTAAATGCAGCTACAGCACAAATATTGTTTTATAGCCCTAAGAGCCACCAGCCCCTTTTCTTGGTGATCTACTTAGTCAGCACCAGGTAATTATTTACGGAGATCAGAACATTGCAAAAAAAAAAAGGATAGAAATCAACGATTGCATTTGCTAAAATGTACACGATGATATTTATCTTCCGTTTTTAGGGCGAGACATCCATCGCAATCATCTTCAAATAAACCTCTCATGCGCCAAAATCAATGCCACCAGAGTTTCTCAACGCCCCTTTCCCCCGATTGTTGACCGGTACACAGAGGAATGAAAACCCTTTCATAATAATTGTACAGTGTGCATTCATTTCTTCTTGCCCTTCTTGCCCTTTGGTGCCGGAGCCAAATTAGAAGCAGTTGACATAACACTCGACGCTCGTGATGAGGGCGCGGCAGATCCTGCCTTGCTTCCAGATGCCGACTTCAAGTTATCAAGAGCTTTGTTCTGGTCGAAACATTAACAACGATATCACGGCTTCGGACTAAAATAATCATACCTTTACACCATTCTTCGACTTCTTCTTTGCCGGGGCCATGCCGAGAACACTATCTTCATCATTGGCATCATCCTCAGGCTCCCTCTTGCCCTTGCCGTGCGAAGTCCCGTTAGCACCCTTTGAAGCGGACGCCTCTTCAAACTCTCTAGCAACAGTCGTCAGCAGAGTGGTACATCTTCGGCCGATCTCGATTGGTGTGCGACTCAGGAAGAACCAGTCAAATCGGAACAGTGGGCTCTCTCGGATATCGTCCCGGATACGCTCATGGATACCTTCACTGTCAAGACCATACTTGTCGAGGAGGACGAGCAAGAATCGATCTTCCTCCTCAGTATAGACTTTCTTGTTCGTCGTGGAAACTGAGTAGTTGACCTTCAGCTGTTGCAATGGAACGCGATATTGTGCCATCTTCTTTCGCAGCATCATCCGTTGATGTTCCATCTTACGGGTCTTTTCCTCACCAGCCTCAATGATCGCGATGTATTTAGAGTAGTCCGCAATTTCGGTGTATCTTTGCCAGAAAACTTTCGCATATGCTTTGATTTCAGCCTCAGTTTTATTATCAACCTCGGTAGCAATTGCACCATAGTTCTTGTGGCCATACTTAGCAGACCCGTTGACGAATTGCTGGAAGTCTCGGCGATTCCAGTCTGCAAATCCTTGTTGCGACAGGCGTTGCTTTTCCTCCTGTTCCTCTTCAGTCAACGGAGTGGCATTGTCAATTTCTGCTTGATCTAAAGCACGCTCAGCTTCCCGGTCGGACAGGTCGTCATCCGTGCCTTCAGTCAGAGGGACCTTATAACCAATCTCCTTCCGGTGATGAGCAGTTTCACGATCCTGTAGATCTCTAAGAAGGGGAGGGAAGAATTGGTAATCGTGGACCGTCACTTGCTTTGGGGCACGGGGAGCCTTTGGCTTCGTATCCGCGGTACGGCCACCGGTGGATAGAGCTTGCTTGTAATATTTGTCCATCGAATAGGACTGCTCCTTGCGCTCGCGCTTGGCAGGGTTGATCCAATGAATACCGATCTCCTTTTTGCGATTGGTGAAGTCTTGGCCATTCCACTCATAAGCAGACTCTGAGGTAAATTTTTGCAGGTCGTCGATTCCAAGCTTCTCGTATCGTGCGTTCAACTCTGCGGTACGCTTTTCGCCGTGCTTCAGAATCTCTTCAATATCGTCGTCATTCAATTCACCCCCTTTCTCGGCGAGCGCCCCAATTGCACCCTTAGTCTGGAAGACTTTCTCCGCGCCATGCTGAATCATGTTGAGCAGCTCATCCTTATTTGCGGCAGCCTTAGCAGCAATCTGTGCACKGCCTTGCTGAATGACCAATTGATCAAGGCGAAGCTTTTGAGCAGCACGTTCCAACACCTTTTCTTCGATTGCATTTTCAGTGACAAATCTGTACACGACAACCTGTTTGGTTTGCCCGATTCTATGAGCTCGGTCCATTGCTTGAAGATCTGCTTGCGGGTTCCAATCGCTATCATAGAGCACGACCACATCTGCACTCGTCAAGTTAATGCCAAGCCCACCGGCGCGAGTGGTCAGAAGGAAAATAAACTTTTCAGAGTCTGGCTTGTTGTAGTCGTCGATGGCTTGGATACGGTCCTCGTGAGCCGTACCACCGTCAATTCGGCAGTACTTGAAATCCCGGAAGACGCAATAATCCTCGAGGATATCTAACAATCTGCTCATTTGGGAGAATATCAGAATTCGACTGCCCTGCTTCTTCAAGCGAACCAGCAGCCTATCAAGCATAACCATCTTTCCAGCGTTGAAGATTAGATGTTCATCGGTGGTGTAGGGCGGGCCAGGCTCGGCGCCTTCGAAAAGGTATGGGTGATTGCAGCACTTTCGTAGCTGCATGACAATGTTCAGAAGTCGCGTCTTCGATTCCCGCTTGCCGCCAGCTCCGTTGACTGCGTCAATATCCTTCTCCAAGATCTTCTTGTACCAATTAACTTGCATTTCAGACATGCCAATGTACAAGTTGATCTCCTTCTTAGGCAAGAGACTCTTCTCGACATCACTCTTGACACGTCGGAGCAAAAATGGCCGCAAAACTCGATGGAGCTGCTGAACAACAGTATCTTGGTCTGCTCCTTGGCCCGAGAACCATTGGTCAAAGGCCTCAGCGTCACCGAAGACATCCGGAAGCAAGAAATTCAGTAGCGCCCAGAGCTCGTGTAAGTTGTTCTGAAGAGGAGTACCGGTGATTAGGAGGCGGTTGCGGGAATTGAAGAGTCGGATGACCTGTGCCAGAGATGATTCCTCGTTTTTAATACGATGGGCCTATCAAATTAGTATAAGCATTTATAAGAGATAGATAGCCAACTTACCTCATCGATGATGATATATTCCCAAGCGAATTTCTTCAAATGCGACTTCTCACGTAGAATCATTTCGTAACTTGTAATGCAGACATCAAACTTTTCGTCAATGAGGCGTTCATTAATCAAGTTATGACGCTCGTCCTTGGCTCCTTGGAGGACCAGGACGTTGACCTCGGGGGACCATTTGGCAAACTCTCGCTTCCAATTATCCAGCGTGGATTTGGGGACGACGACGAGATGAGGGCCTGTGATATCCATGATGTGTCTCAAATATCCGAGGAACGAGATGGTTTGCAGAGTTTTGCCCAAACCCATCTCGTCTGCAAGGATACCAGAGATACCGTTTTCGTGGAGCGAGATCAGCCAGTTGAGACCGGCGACCTGGTAATCGCGCATTTCGCCCCCTTTGATAAATCCTGGAGACTTTTGGAAGCTTGTCTCCGCAGATCCGCCAACTTTCTCATCCTTTAAAAGCTCCGCGTCTTCCTCTGCCTCAGTTCTCCGACGTCTCTCATTGGTTGCGCCGCCTTGTCTACCGCGGGATTTCTTGGACTTCTCAGCTTCAGCATTTTGGCGATCAATCTCGTGCATGATTTCCTTAATACGTGGGTTCGGGTTGGTCTCAATGAAATGCCTAAAGAGGTCCGTCAAGCCAAGGAGATATCGAAATCGTCGAATTGAATCATCTTCCTATTTCCCCATCGAACGTTAGCAGTGTGCACTAGGTCCACGCCTGACCGCCGAAGAAGCACCGGCAACGCACCTTAGACTCGCCCAAGATGTCATGTTTTTTACCAAACACACTGCGGCGAAGCAGGGTGGCCTCCGATCGTCGTTTCCGACCGTCTGTGGCGGTATGGTCACCAGCAACACTGCTGGCAGTAGTGTTGGGGTTTGTGTCTGAGTCTTCTGTATAGTCAGGAGTCTCGTCAACCTCCTATGAGGCGCGTTAGTTCATTCTTGTTAACACTATAAAGCGATAAGGGGTGTGTCGAAGACAAAGTCGCGATCCAAGATCTCGTCCCCCAGCACAGTCCCCATCACAACAAGATAAACTAACCATTGGATCAACAGGGAGTTGTCTAATCTCTGAAGCATCTGCCATGGATGTGTCTGTGTCGGCACCACTGTCGCGAGAGGAGTGTGTGGGCGCCATCTTCGGACCTCAACCTCAGCTTCAACCCTGGAGGGGAAGCAGAGTAAGTGGACGTGCTGACGCGCAGTGCAGTTCAAGAACGATCAGCAGTGATCATTAAAATGCGTGTGTCGCGTTTGCAATGGAAAGGCCGCCTCTGGGTGACCTGGTAGGTTGCAGTTGGAAGAGGATGAAGGAGTGAGGTTGTCGCAGGATGATATCCATTTGACGCGTCTGATTCTGGGGAGTGGGAACTTTAACTTTCTGAGGCTCACCGCGGAGTCTTGCGCTATGCCAAAGGGAGTTAGCGGACTCTTTATCGTCTTCGCCTCCGTGACTTTGTCATGTGATTGTAAACCCCTATTTGCCTCAGGCAGCAGTGCACCTTCCACCACGATCTATGACACTTCCTGGACAGCACAGTGAAGCCCCACACCACAGGCAAATTCAACATCTATTTTCCGATGTTTTGGAATAAACACAACAAGCTGTCTTTTCTGCGTTTGATCACACATTGTTTATATAATTCCGCGAGTTCTATCTAGCAGTTATATTGCAGCACTTGTTTATTCCTCGCCGGATCCGGCTGTACGGCGATACGCCCTTGGATTTGGTAGGTTAAACTGTGTACCCGCTTCCACCAAAGGCGGTAAACAAACCTCCTACTTACATATTTCTCTTCACAGGAACTACATCATGGATTCTATGAGAAGTTTGAATACGTCTCTTCCACGTACCTCGCCGCCAAAGCAGCAGATGGGTGATCCACCCGAACAGCTTCTACAGGCTTTCAAGGCAGCCGCTCTGTCGGTCACCACGCTCTATAAGACAGCCGCGACAGACCAAAGCAAGGCCAGGGCCGATGGCTATCAAGATGCTCTTGACGAGCTTCTTACGTTTCTAGATAAGGAGGACATTGGCTTAAGTGATGGGGAGGGTTGGAGAATTCGACGATGGGCCACTGAAAGACTGGATGGGAGAGATTCGGTGTCTCAGAACCCCGAAAGTGACGACGAAGCACCAGAGAAAGCCGACGGTGGATCGTCGCCAGTTCTCCAAAGATCGCAAAGTGCAACTCGACTTCAACCAAACCCAAGGACGTCGAGGGCTATGTCTCCTGTACGAGCGGAGCCAACGGCGCAACCCGCTGTCCCCGCACCCGACCCGGTAGATACAACTCCAGTCTCGACGCCCCAACAAAGCACCTTTACATTCCGCTCATCTCATCCCTACCCACAAGATGCCGACATAATACTCTCCGATCTCGACATATCGGACAATGCCCGCACACAAAACCATGATGGAGCTCCACAGACGGCGAACCCCCCGGGCATTACCATTACCCTGCCCCCTCGATCAAATCCCAGGCATGGCAACCATTCCACACGAAGTAGCACGAGAACACAAAATGCGATAGGGCGTGGTGCGGGTCAGAAGAGAAAGATTAATATTGGGGAATTTTTCGATATTGGAAACTTAGGGCACGGGAGGGATGGACCTGGCGGAGGTGGCAAGCGTGGAAGATTTACATAAACCGTTCACGAAGTCTACGTTTCGACTTCAGCGCTTAGCGGTGCTTATGTTGCTCCGCAGCGTACAGCGAGCACAAACTAGATTTCCGACTTACCGACCCTTATGATACGATTCACGACTCATTGCAGGAGCATTTGGGAGGGTTGCATACAGGTTGGAGACTACTATCTAGAGATGGTAGTAGTAGAGGCGTTTGATTCATCCAGCATACGGACCAAACTGGGTAGGTCCGCCGGAGGGCTTCGCTTCATTACATAGCCATTTTGGTTGAAATTATTAGATACCCTTATATTACTGATAGTCAATTAAGAGGTCAATATTTCTCGAGAATTTGAGGACCATTACTGTGGGCGTGCATTGTAACCTCCCTTTCCTTTCCTGAGATATACGGAGTATGCTACTTTCGTGGAAGGAGTGAGGATGCTAATCGACGTTGAATGGGCCCTGAATTATACTAATATCATTCCCAATTTATCATATTATTTTTAACTATTTTAAGGAAACATATATCTGGACTTGAATTCCTTACTCTTTGCTTGACAAACGACCTTTCTTTTCTCAAACCACGTTGCTATCTTGTTTCATCATGGATCTATACCTGGTTACACATTGTGGTCGCTATGGTAATCGTCACGACGAGAATTCCCTTCAACGACGGACAACAATAGAGCCTATCGATGCAAGTATGTAGCCTTCCCTCACAGTTCCGGATCTCAGCTAAGAATTGTTTGCGACCCTACGAAGATACTACCGCTCGGACGCAACACATGCTGAAGGTGGGCACGCCACAGCTGCTGCTTGGGAGGGTTGGAAACAAGGAAACTCTGGCGGCCCAAACCAAAGCAGAACTGAACGGTTTGAACTTGTTGGGGCAAATTCAAGGCACTGAAAACGGCGCCAGTTGCTCATCCTATTGTCTCTCAAACTAAAGCAGCTACGAACCGAGCACCTATAGCCACATCATCTACCTCAACTTCCTAACTTGAAGCCCCCGTCCTATTGGAGTTTTGTTGTACTTCGCACTTAAATTAAATGTCTCAACTTACTAAGCCCCCTTCCTATTAGAGGTTTGTAACTTTTGTTGCACTTCGCACTTCTGCTGAATGTTTCAACTTAATAAGCCCCCTTTGTGTTAGAGTTTTGTTGCACATCGCACTTACTTTCTTTTTCTAAAAGCCTTACTCGAGTAGAACGAGTTTAGCCGCCTCCTATTAAGTTCTGCAGCACGTCGCACTTTTTCTGAGTGTTTCATAATGAGGGAAGCTCTTGATATTCGTTTGAGCTGGATTAATCCACATCCTATGGAAGGATTATTGAGCTATTATACTTGTACCTAAAGCTGATACTTCCGAATCAACTTGGTGGGCTGAATAGGGGAAGTCCCCAAGATGACTAAGCATCAACAGCCTGCGCTGCTCTAGAGCGCCGCACCAATGCTCCACTCAGTTTTACCCAAGTCAATCATCATAAACTCACGTAATCAAATTCTGAATGTGGATTCACATCCAACGATCCATCTCTCGATCTCCCAATTCTTTGTACGCATCAAGATCGATATCCTGTTCTGCAAAGTTAGGTTACACGATGACCAGTGCGCTATCAAAAGAACCTCGGCGCTTTGCTCCCCTCGGCACAGGCCATGACAAGGAGATTAAGAGATGGCCGAAACTTAATGGTATTGTTTTTGATGTTGATGGGACTTTATGGTTAGTTTTATATTTCTTATTAGTTTGGATTTTTGGCTTTGAGAAGCATAATTCTATCCAGGTTCTGGTGGTGGATACGCTCGATGACGAGACAGGAGTGGGATGTGCTGTGCTACAATAAATACAATACCTTCATTTTCCTATTATATGGGAGGTTTAACGGCCAAGAACGCTAAGTAGCGTTCGCCTTAACAAAAACCAAACTCAAGAATTCCATATTAGAAAGGTTATCAAAGATCATATATGATCTTTACTTGGAATTTCTCCAACCAGCGACCTTCAAGCTTGGATTGTGTACGAGCTGCTGCGTCTGCAAGTGCCATTAGTTGAGGCCGGAAGTTGTTATAGGGAAGGCGTGGTACCATCCGGAGATACATGAGACAGGAAATCCTAGAGCTAGTGGCATCTTAGTATTTAAAATATCAAATTACAGAAAGACATCTTTGATCTTCAATCATCAAGTCAGCGCACAGATGGGGCGTTGAAGCCAGTGCTCCAACAGCAACATCTCAGCGTACATCTCGTTCTCAAACAAAACAATACATCTAACGTTTCCCCTTCTCTTAGCGCCCCGCAAAACTACATGTTCGTCCAAATGCGCGAGGCTCTCGGCATAACAAAGGGCGTCGACATCCTAGACCACTGCCACTCCCTGCCACCAGTTGAGCAAGAACTCGCGCTCGAAAAGATCCGCACAATAGAACGCACTGCAATGCTCACGCAAGTAGCACAACCCGGCCTGGTCCAACTCATGGAATACCTCGAGTCCCGCAACATCCCAAAAGGCATCTGCACGCGGAATTTCGAAACGCCTGTGAATCATCTGCTGACGACGTTTTTGGCCGGGAGGGTTTTTGCCCCGATTGTAACGAGGGAATTCAAACCGCCAAAACCGAATCCCGCGGGGATTTTGCATATTGCGAGGACGTGGGGTTTCGTGAAGGAGGATGGCACCGGTGATGCTGGGGCGTTGATTATGGTTGGGTATGGTATCTTCTACCCGAAAGATAAAAATGAATGATGGCTAATGAGATAATATAGGGATTCAATAGATGATATGACGGCTGGGTATAAAGCTGGAGCCGCGACCGTATTACTTGTGAATGAAGCAAACGCTCATCTCGCAACACATCAGCACACCGATCTCTGCATATCTCGACTGGACGAGTTGATCAACATTCTCGAGGAAGGGTTTGCAGGACACATCGCCCAAGGAGACGAAGAGAGCGATTTGAAGGGACGCGCGGAAGATGTGTTGAGGGAGGGTGTAGGGGAGACTAAATAACGCCCATGGAAGCGAGACAGGCATTTCGGGCATAGGTCATGATTTCTATATATAATTACGCCTCAAAGCAACGCTGCTTGCCTTTGCGCAACCGCTCATTTTGAACATTTCAGTGGTCCCCTGTCCGTCGTATCAGCTCCTACCGGCGACAAATTCTTCTCACATCTCCTAGAACGTGACATGAAATGACGCAAATATAAAAAGGAAAGGAAAAACGCCGCGATATGCTAATTTCTGCACGCATATTCAAAAATATAAGACCCCAAAACCACAACATACTCCTTAGTAACCACCTGTCCCATTGCTTGGGTATCCTGACCCATACAAGCCATTGCCGAAGGTGGCTTGTCGCCTGCTTTCCTTCCGAACGTCGATATCGCTATTTTCCTTCTTCGGCACGGGTGGTGGCGGTAAGGGTCCGGCGGGTGGCGCAGGCCGCATTGGGAGGGTAGTTGTGTTGAATGTCGCAGCATTGGCACTCGACGGCCCCGTGACGGTGTTATGGTCAGGACCGTTAAGAGTCGTGACTCTTGGCACGGAATTTGTGGTAGAAACTCTAGGGGGGTGGCCAGGATGTGCAGATGCTCCTGATGCACGACCGAGACTCATGGATCCATTCTTGGTGGGAGAGCGGCCGTGATCAGCGTATTGGGGCGACGTTATTGCAGAGCGGACATCCGCACCACCAATTGGGATATCGCCCGATGTGGGTGTTGGGAGTGAATATTCAGCTGATTTTGATGAATCTGGTGCGCCTGTCGGGGAGTCGCTGGATCGTAGGAGTTGCTGGGTAGAGGGTGAGAGTTGGGGGGCCAGATGAGATTTGCGGTTATCTCTTTCCATGAGACTCACTGCCCACTCCCTGAGGTCTACAGGTGTTCGTTTTGCAGCCTGCACAAAAGGTTCTCGCTCCTAGGACAGAGAGTTAGTAAATCGTCCGAAAACCATCGACAGGTAGGTACACTTACGTAGAGTTCTGCTGGAGTTGGTCGTTCTTCCGGCGTTTTTGCCATGCATTTCTGAATCATATCTTCAAGGATTGAAGGGAAAGCATCACTCTTAGGAAGTCTGGGCGCCGGCTCATAGACAATCTGCTGCAAAAGATCAAGGATACCTGATGGTGCACCATCCCCATCAGACAGGTGCTCGCTCGCATCGAATGGGAATTTGCCAATGGCCAATTCCATGATGGAGAGACCAAAACTCCAGACATCAGATTTGACTGTATATTTCTGGCCTTGGATTCTCTCGGGAGCCATATATGTCGATGTTCCCACGAAAGTGTCTGCGACCGAGTTCACTAGCTCCCCTGAGACTCCGAAATCACAGAGTTTTATTTGTCCTTTTGAGTTTACCAGGATATTCGAAGGCTTTATGTCTCGATGCATGATATGATGCTTGGTGTAAAGATAGGTGAGGCCAGCAAGCGTGGCCTCGGAAATTTTCCCTAGGACATCGACTCGTACCGGCCCAAAGTGCTTCGAGATACTATCCAAGGAACTAATAATATTGTTAGAAGGTAATGCTAGCCTTCAGCTCGAAACGTACCCAACATCCATGTATTCCATGCACATAATAACATCGCTATTTTCACTCAGAAATGCGCCATAAAAATTCACGATGTAGTCTGAATTAGTATCGTGCATAATTTGGAGCTCCCGGACAATTCGACGACGCATTTCTGTTTTGGCTTCGACATGGATGACCTAGGAGCAGGAGAGTTAGAGCCCGGCTAGGTAACTGGCAATGGCTTGCCGCTTGAATAACTTGCGTACCTTTCTTGCCATAATGGTGTTGGTTGCCAGGTGTCGAACTTTGCTGACGGTTCCTCCATTTCCATGACCGAGGTCTTTCAGCACTTCAAGATCCTCTCTCTTCAAGTCTAGTTTGTACTCTATTCCAATCTCCAGCTGGGCAGTCTGCCGAGTATTTTCGAGGCCGTTACCGCCGGGAATCTGCAGGTCGCTTTCGGAGGGTTGAACTGCTCGCGGGGCGGGCGCAGCTAGGGCAAGACCTTTGACATTCTTGCGCTTCAGTGTTCGCACCGAGCCGATATTCCCACTATCTGCCATTTTGAAGACTTGGATGGACGCTCGCAGAGGTTGAGCAAGATGGCGCGGGTCCTGATAAAGGTGCCGTGTTGAAGCGCGGGAGCAGAGGTGGGCGCTTCTAGGACCACTCGTTCGTTGGTGCCCAAATGAATCTAGACCCAAACTCTGGCACAGGCGAAAACCCTCCGGACAGTACTGTATTTCTGCAACTTTAGATCAAGGCTGAAGGATAGCTGACCTGGCAGTGGCAGGAGGGAGCACGGCGTAGGATATGGATAGGGAGGTTCGCATTCGCATTCGGGGTCCAGATGAAGTGGTATGGACTTGTAGTGGTGGAAGGGTGTTCGGCGCTACTCCCAGAACGTAACGTGGGGAACTGGAAGGCAGACCGGGCGGCTTTATGGACACCACAACTGCAATGACAGAGGGAGGAGATGTCGGATTTGACGTACTTTTTTCCAAAGAAAGTGGACGAAGTTGGACAGGGGGAAAGGGATGGGTTTGTTCTTACGTTTACTTTTATATCGCATGGATTCAAGTTACAAACATGGCTGCTGTCTCATCATGACTCCGGATGGACCTGCCCGGTGCATGGCATTGGGCAGCACCGGAGGTACGCTCGAGCGTCTGTTCAGAACCTCCAGGTACAGATACGGGACGCTTCGCTGGGAACTAGTAGGCTATTATTGGGCGATATATACGTAGGATAGGGAGTTTCCCGAGGATAAGGAACAGAATAAATATGATATGAGGGCACTTCAAGTTATCAGGAGCTTTTCTTGTACTGTACAGCTAATAGATTAATAAATAGATACGACCGAGTGACTTGAACCTTAATTAATACATTGTGTCAGCTAACTAATTACCTAATAAACTTTCCCTTCCCGCTGTCCATGTGGACCGATCTACGAAGAAGCCGCCCAGAGGGAATAAGGTATTGTTAAGTATTAAGTACCAAGTACCAAGTACTAAGTACCAAGTACCTCTGTACTCTTTAAAGCCCCGAAATTCTACCGGCTGTGGCGGCGACTGTGGCTGGAACAGGCTGTGGCTTGTTACATATCTGTGGCTGAAAAGGCTTGTTCATGCCTGGCGTGGGGGAACTTGTGGCCTGGCGTGGCCGGCAGCCTTTCGCCTTTCAAGTTTCCTCCCAAGACGGACGGTGGCTAGGATCGCGAAGAAGCAAGGCAACGCGAACCACAAAATTTATAGGCGGCGCCATCTTACCTTCAACCCCAACCTCAGCTTCACCAACACCTTGGCTTGAACCTCAGTGCCCAAATTGACTTACTCCCCTAGCATCTCCCTCAATTTACTCCTTGACCGCATGCCAACATCTAATCCGCGAAGATGAGCATGCGCGATTTGATCCAAGGGGAGGCGGAGCTGGATGATGAGGAGAATGACGAGTCCTTTGACGAAGAGACGGGTGAAGCACGGCCAGGCAAGCAACGACGAAACCCGGATCTGGACGACTCGAGCGACGAGGAAGAAGATGATGACGATGAGGAGGCAGCTCGCGCGGTACGCACCTACGCAGTCCAGTAGATGTTTTGGGCTATTAATCTAACCAATATACTAGGTTCGTGAAGGATTCATCATAGAAGATGATGAGGACGAAGAGATAGACGATGATCGAGAACGACGGCGCAAAAAGGAACGCCGCAAACGAATCCGCGAGGAGGAGGAAGCTGCATTGGATGAAGAAGATCTGGATCTCATTGGAGAGGCAAATCCAGAATGGGAGCGCAAAACTACAGCCCAGGTATGTTGAGCTAGGCATCAAGGACTGACTGAATATGGTAAGCTGACTTTGCTCTAGCCCAAGCTTAAACGTCTTAAGCGTGGCCACCGAGATGAGGGCGACCGGCAGCAACGAGGCCTGGATGAGATGTTCTCTGATGACGAGGAAGTCGATGCCGGATTCGTTTCACGCGAGCACCATCACCGAGTCGACGAGTTTGCCGATTTCATCGAGGAGGATGAGCTGGAAGATGAGGATGAGCGGCAGAGACACCAGGAGGAGATGGAAGTGGCTCGCCCTCGGGAAAGAGGATATGTTGCAGGTGCAGATACTGCTGGTCTCGACAAGGATGCACTTGAAGACATGGAGGCTATCTTCGGCAACGGCGAGGACTATGATTGGGCTCTAGCGTTGGAAGACGAGGAAGAAGCAAGGGAGGCCGGGGAACACAATCTCGAGCTAAAGGACGTCTTTGAGCCCTCGCAGTTGTCAGAGAAACTCCTGACCGATCAGGATAACCAAATTCGCTGGGCAGACGAACCTGAGCGATTCCAGCTGGATCGGTTGCCGTATAAGAACTTCCAGATTTCTGAGGACCAATTCCGAGAAGAGGCGCGATGGATCACCAGTCTGATATGGCCCAAAAAACAATTACATGGCGACCTGCAAGCGCCATTTACCAGGGCGATTGGAAAAGTCCTCGAATTCTTTGTGGTGGATGAAGTCGAAGTTCCTTTCGTTTTCCAGCACCGGAAAGACTACCTTATCCACGCCAAAAAGACCCGACAACAATCATCTCATCACAGCAATGGTGACGAGCCTGATTTCGTTGTTACCGCCGAAAAATTACTTAACCAAGATGATCTCTGGCGGATATTAGAGCTTGACCTGAAGTTCAGAGCTCTGATTGAGAAGCGAAATGTCCTTGAAAAAACATACGATAACCTGAAACTGGCAGCCGAGGTGCGGGATAAAATGGTTGAGGCTATGCTTCCGGTCGCGGTTACAATGGAGGAACTACAGGACATTCAGGACTTCATTTACTTTCAGTACTCGGCGGAGATTAAAGAGCTAGCAGCTACAAACGGCGAAGTCAAGGACAAACGTCGTGCCGGGCAAAAGTCAACGATTTTTGATCGCATACGAAAGGGAAGAGCGTACCAACTAGTTCAAGCATATGGTATCACGGCTGACCAAGTCGCCCAAAATGCCTTGAGAGAGGGTCGCAAGCAATACACCGAAGATGCTTCTACAAGTCCTATTGACCTTGCTGATTCATTGACGTATGACAGCGAGTTCAATACGGGTGAGCAAGTACTGCTCGCCGCTCGTCAGATGTTTGCAGAAGAGCTGTTCATGAACCCTCGCATGAGAAAGCATTTCCGCATGCACCACTACATGATGGGTGTGGTGGACTGTCGAAGGACCGAGAAAGGCCTCCGAAAGATCGACGAACAACACCCATACTATGAGTTGAAGTATCTCAAAAACCAGACCTTCAGCGATATTGCCAACAAGCCTGAGATGTTTCTCAAAATGCTCAAGGCTGAAGAAGAAGGACTGCTCGAGGTCAAGGTCTCTCTGCAAAATGAGAGAGATTTCCGCAGACAGCTTCTCCAAGAGTTCCAGTCTGATAACTTCAGTGAGCTTGCAGATGCTTGGAATGAGGAGCGTAAAAATGTCCTCGATATTGCTTTTACGAAGCTAGAACGTGTCATCACCAAGGGCGTTAAGGAGAGCATGCGGACCGAATGTCAAGATTCCATCTTAAAGCTTTGCCGAGAAGAGTACTCAAAGAAGCTTGACCAAGCTCCATACAAGCCAAAGGGCATGATGCTTGGTACAATTCCGCGGGTACTCGCATTGTCAAACGGCAGTGGAGACATCAATCGTGACCCCATCTCCTGGGCCTGGGTGGAAGAGGATGGGCGCGTTCTGGAGCATGGCAGATTTACCAACTTGGCCCGAGACGAGAATGCAAGAGAGGATTTCGCTGAACTTGTGCAACGTAGAAAGCCTGACGTTATTGGTGTGAGTGGATCGTCCTTCGAAACCCACCGGCTTATCAACGTTATCCGAGACCTGGTTTCGGATAAAGAGTTGAAGGGAGCTGCATTTGAAGATCCGGATACTGGTGATGATCGGAGTGAGCCTTTGGAGCTTGTTGTTGTCAACGATGAGGTAGCTCGGCTGTACAAGGATAGTCCACGCGCTGCTGTTGAGCATCCGACTTTCCCTTCGCTCACGAGATACTGTGTTGCCATTGCCAAGTACCTGCAAAATCCAATGAAGGAGTATGCAGCGTTAGGGAAAGACGTTATCTCCTTATCGTTCCATCCTTGCCAACAACTTCTTCCCAAAGACAAACTTCTCAAGCAGCTTGAAACAGCCATGGTGGATATGGTCAATCTTTGTGGAGTTGACATCAATGAGGCGATCGGCGATCCTTACACTGCCGCGTTGCTTCCATACGTGTGCGGCCTTGGCCCCAGAAAATCCACAGCGGTTCTAAAGACCATTAACCAAAATGGTGGCGTCGTCAATACTCGCGACGAGCTTGTGGGAGATCCTGATAGTCACAAACTACCAGTTGTCGGTCCTCGAGTGTGGAATAACTGCGCAAGCTTCCTCTCTATCGAGTATGACAGCTCAAATCCAATGTCTGATTATCTCGACAATACCCGAGTGCACCCAGAAGACTACGAGCTCGGCCGTAAGATGGCTGCTGATGCGTTGGAACTTGACGAAGAAGATGTGAAAGCCGAAGTTGATGAGGGCGGTCCTGGAGCCATCGTTCGCAAGCTGATCAAGGATGATGAGCAGGAGAAGGTCAATGATTTAATTCTGGAAGAGTACGCTGAGCAACTTGAACGCAATTATAACCAACGCAAGCGCGCCACGCTCGAGACGATTCGTGCTGAGCTACAGCAGCCGTACGAAGAACTAAGGAGAAATTTCGCAATCCTCTCGGATGACGAGATCTTCACGATGCTCACGGGAGAAACACGAGACTCGCTTTGTGAAGGCATGATCGTACCAGTCCATATTCGAGTGGTGAAGGACGACTTCCTCATTGCAAGATTGGATGCGGGTATCGAAGGTAGAGTCGATATAGAGGACGGCTCCGACCAGGAACTGCCGCTCACTCGTCTCTTCTCTGCGCACCAAATTGCCCAGGCAAAACTTATGGAACTTGACCGTGGCATGTTTTCTGCGAAGCTCACGCTACGCGAGTCTATGTTGAAACATCCGTATCGGAAGCGAATCGATCACGATCCAGGATCGTGGGATGTTATTCAGGAGCAGAAAGACAAAGAGGAGCTTCGGGAAAAAGATAAAGCTACTGGCCGGACTCAGCGTGTTGTCAAGCATCCGTTATTCCGACCTTTCAATTCAACACAGGCCGAGGAATATTTGGGGTCACAATCACCCGGCGATGCCGTTATTCGGCCTTCGTCGAAGGGCAATGATCATCTTGCTGTCACCTGGAAGGTCGCTGATGGTGTGTATCAACATATTGATGTTCTTGAGCTGCAGAAGGAGAACGAGTTTTCTGTTGGCCGACAGCTTCGCATCGGTGGCAAGTACACATATAGTGATCTCGACGAATTGATTGTCGACCACGTGAAAGCCATGGCTAAGAAGGTCGCCGAAATGGTTCAGCATGAGAAATACCAATCAGGCAGCAGAACGGAAACAGGTACGATCCAATCAACTGCCGCTAATTCTATAACCATACTAACAACTCCTGCTAGAAAACTGGTTGACTACATACACTGAGGCCAACCCGAAGAGATCTGTCTACGCCTTCTGCCTGGACACGCGGCATCCTGGGTACTTCTGGCTCTGCTTCAAGGCTGGAAAATCCGCCCGCCCCAACGCGTGGCCTGTGCGGATCGTCCCGAATGCTTTCGAGCTAATGAAGGCCGCCTACCCAGACATGAAAGCGCTGTGCAATGGCTTCAAGTTGCGCCATGCTAGTGAAATGAGCCGACGTCCTTGAGCGCCTATATGCGCGAAGGACCTATTAAATCCGAGAAACTATAGATTAGGTTTTGCAACCGTCGTACACTGCTCTTTTTGTATCATACCTAGGTAATCATTGATCGTTGGGGCTCTGGCGTGGGAAGGGAAGGACGAAAACGGAAATGCGCAATAGTGAAATGTATGGCAATTTGAGGATGCCACAGTACACTGTAGTCCCATCGTGGTTTCAAATCCTTTTCATACAGTAGAAATATGACGCGGAGATACATGGCCATGGCCATGGCCACAAATCTAATTGCATTTGTTTCGGAGTGATTATGCACCGAATTTGCCTAGGCAATTGGTGGACTACCGCGGGCCTAGGCACGAAGTACGTATGTACATGTACATTATATGTACCTTAGGCTAGGCAGGGCTTATATGTTTATTATTAGTTGTGCTACGTACTCCATACCCCATTTGCAGTAAGCAAGGCTGAGATCGCGCTTAGTGTACTTCGTAGTGAGAAGGCTGAGAGGAACGGGATGACCATGAATCCGGGCGGCCCGAGTAGTCCGAGGTTGAGAGCTGCGGTTTATTAATCTTTGCTTAGCAGGACGAGTTAATACTTTCTATGCCTCTAATTCTCATTCTAGTTCTTATGTGAAATATTCTCATTCTTCATTATTAACGTTCTAGCTCCTTGCATGGTTCGAGTGCTGACCAAGACACGCCGTCAGCTCCACGGACCTACGCAGCCCTTCGCTCCCTGGCTGCAGCCTTACGAGCCCAAGACTCGTAATAATATGACACTTTGCATGTGGCTCCGCCTCTCAAACAGACACAAACACGCCAAGTTCGACACTCGAGAGACGCCATTCTTCACCAGCTCCACAACATTGCCAACAGGCACTTGCAATCCTTATTCACTCCCGTCTTACATATATAATACGCAGATACGATACGCGCCCGTCGTGACAGATATATCCCGCGCTCCTTTCTCTACTATATTTCAATCCCTTTGTGACCGCGTCTACCCTCCACCCGCAACCCGACTTGTCGCGCCTTTCGAGCTGTCCGAACTAGTGGTTGAAGATCTCCAGTCGCGCTGCCGATGCGAACGCGGACGCACCCGTTTGAACTGTGTATGATTCTCGGGCTATTGGAACAATGGCCGGCCTGGAGCAATTGGAGATCCATAGCAAGGTATGCGGTCCTAGGCCCTAGCTGTAAGACGAGATTCCTAGTCTAATATGCGGTAGTCGTACATCGTTCGCTGGGTGAAAGTCGATGAAGGGCATACTATAAGCTGGAGCGTTCAGCCGCATAAGAAATCGGTGTATGGATTTGTCTCCGCGTTTTGAGTCTTGTCTTAACAATCTGCCAGTAACTTTGGAATATTCAAACATCCTCGAACGAGCAATGGCATCTCGGTCCAATCATCAGACGAAACGGGCTCTGCAATTCAACCGGTCGAAGCAGGATTTGACAAGGGACGACGGGCTCTAGCCAACAGGAATGTAGACGCTTCTACAGCCCAAGAACAGCTCAAGGCAAAGGGCTTCATCGCGGTAAAATGGTATGGCAACTGCGAGGCAGACAAAGTCTCGATGGGGACGTATGCGGTCGATCGGGGCACGGGGGGGATGTACGGGTTGGTGTTTGACAACACGTTTTCGAAAACGACTTCGAAAACGGCAACATTCGTTCTCCTTACATACCCGTCCAATGCCCCTCCGCACTCTATGCAAAATATTATGGCCGGGACGGCTAAGAACTCGAGCCCGACTACTTCAGCAGATTTAGCTTCCGACTCCGTTGATAGTCTGCACTTAGGAGCTGGAAGCAAAGGTAGCAGAGGCAACTCAGTTGCAGGCCGCAACGGAAGCGAAAGCGGCCTCTCAACCTACCATGTCGGTGTCCTCCAGAAGCGCCGCCGAAAACGAGGCCAAGGTTATGCAAGGAGATTTTTCTCGCTAGATTTCGAATCTTGCACGTTGTCATATTATTATAACCGGAATTCGTCGGCGCTCAGGGGCGCGATACCGCTAAGCTTGGCTGCGATAGCTGCGGATGAAAGACGGAGAGAAATTAGTATAGATTCGGGAGCAGAAGTATGGCATCTGAAGGCTGGAAATGCGAAAGATTTCATGGAATGGACGAAGGCTCTTGAGCGAGCTAGCACTAGAGCTCGAGATGCTGACGCTGATTCTACCACTCAGCCTGGACAACGCAATGTCAACACATCGGGTTTGCAAATTGTAACGGGAAGCCCGCAGGAAGAAAAAGAGTGGGAGCAGGTGGAGTCGCTGGTTAGCAGGGTTGCTGGCACCCGTGATGCTATTCGAAGATTATCGAAACACACTGCTCCTGGGGCGAAAAGCTCAAATGCTGCGTTAGGCATGTCAAGCCTAAGCATACCTTCCAATTTTGATGGGCACGATGATTACTTCGCTTCAGGCGGCTCTGAAAAGAGGCCCTTCTGGAAGCGCAAGGCGAGTACACCTGCAGCACCTCAAATGACCCAACGTGGTATCTCGTCACAGCTTGCCGTCCCCCCGCCTACTTCAGTGACTACTACAGTCACAGCTGCAACGACACCCTCATCGCGGAAGCCCAGAACCTCGCTTGAGGAGACCAGCATGCATGACCACTGCGCGGCGCTGCTCCGCGATTTGGATGGTGTTCTCCAAGATTTCTCGACACTGTTAACCAACAGCAAGCGCCGCCGAAATCCTGGTCCAAAGTCGGGAACAAGAACTAGTATGGATTCAACTTCCACGGCTGAGTTCTTTGATGCCGAGCCAGGCGATTTAGATCGCTCTCAGCTGTTGAGGATCGATCGTCAGAGCGACGAAGGTGTCCAACCTTCAGAAGCTGAGGATGAATTTGTCACAGACGCATCTTCTATATCCTCAGCCGGAGACGAAAATGCACCTCACCTCAACGGTGCAGCAGACCTCTTTCCAACGAAACCTAAGTCGCTGGATCCGCTTCCAATACCCATACTAGTAAAGCGCCGAAAGATCGTGCCCCCCGCGAGTGGACCGCCCCCTAGTCTGGTCGGCTTCGTACGCAAGAATGTAGGGAAAGACTTTAGCACCATCAGTATGCCCGTCAGCGCCAATGAGCCTATATCCCTTCTCCAACGTGTTGCAGAGCAACTAGAATACGCCCAGATCCTCGACACAGCCGCATCTCATAAAGTGGCTACCTATCGACTTCTTCATGTTTCAGCTTTTGCAATCTCTCAATTCAGTTCAATTCGAGCCAAAGAACGAGCAATGCGTAAACCATTCAATCCCCTACTGGGAGAAACATTCGAGCTAGTTCGAACTGAAAAGGAGGTCCCTGGCGGATTCCGATTACTAGTAGAAAAGGTCTGTCATCGGCCAGTTCGAATGGCCTGCCAAGCCGATTCCACAAACTGGTCATTCGGTCAAAGTCCTGCCCCTGTACAAAATTTCTGGGGAAAGAGCGCAGAATTGGTCACCGAAGGCCGTGTAAGGATCGCATTACGACTTCCGGATGGAAGCGAAGAACTGTATAGCTGGAATGTGGCTACTATATTCCTGCGGAATGTCGTGATGGGCGAGAAATACTTTGAGCCAGTGGGTAGCATGGTAGTTACCAATGAAACTACAGGTGGGAAAGCAACCATCGAATTTAAGCAGAAAGGCATGTTCGGCGGGCGCAGCGAAGACGTGCAGGTCGATATCTTCGGTCCAGATGGCGCGCCTACGGGCGTTGGCTTGACCGGTACGTGGACCACCAGTCTCAAGATGCAGGAAAACGGGAGAAGCGGCGGCGAAATCTGGCGTGTTGGCGAACTCGTCGATAATGCGGCCCAGCGATATGGTCTCACGACATTTGCGGCCAGTTTGAACGAGATTACAGAGCTCGAGAGGGGGAGACTACCACCTACGGATTGTAGACTACGACCGGATCAACGCGCTGCCGAAAGGGGCGATCTTGATACGGCGGAGGAGCTTAAGACGAAGCTAGAAGAGAACCAGAGACTTAGAAGGAAAGAGGTCGAAACGAGAGGTGATGTTCACATTCCGAGATGGTTTGTTCCGGTTGATGGTGGAAATGATGGCGAAGAGGGATGGAAGTTGAAGACTGGGAAGGATGGGTATTGGGAAGAGCGAGCTAGGGGGACGTGGACGGGCGTGGATAATATTCTCGTTCCGTAATTGAGATCTGATGACTTAATGATGACCTATATCGGGTTTTGTTTTTGGAATATTCGGCGTCGTTTGGTTAGCATAGATCAGCAAATTTGGGCATCCCCCAGTTTTCCTTTTAGTTATGTGGAGGCGGACTTAGCGTTTGTACGATTAGGGATGACTGGCGGCAGGCGTGGTAAAAGCATTTACATCCCTTGAGGATTTTCCATTTTGTGTTTTCTTTGGGGAGGGAGCGGAACTTAGTATAGACGAGATGTTGGATTGCCCCGAATTGACTATTTCCCTCTGCCCCCCTGATCCGTTCTAATGATTTTTGACCTAGCAGTTTAAGGGTCAAAGGCATTGTCGGCGAGTAGCTCCTCTATATTTGGTTCGCCACGGGTAGTGCCGAGGTTCCACATAATCATACAATGTTAGTTACGTGTAGTTCCAACTTCCAATCACCAAAAGGACGTTCGTTTCTCTCATGCACGGAGTTAACTCGCCGTTTATCTCCATGCCGATCGTCAAGTAGTCACGTCAGTCAACAGAATATCAATTTGTACTTTATCTACCAACGATATTTTTTCTTCTTCCAAATCAAGCATCGAGAATCTCTATCATTTACAAGTTTGCCTTAAAATAATCAAAACCATTAAAATGTCAACCTACGCATCGGACCACAGCGCAGCGGTGCTACGTACACACAGGTGGCGGACCCCAGAGAACAGCACTCCGTACCTCCTCCCTTATCTCAGACCATCCATGAAAATCCTCGATGTCGGCTGCGGTCCCGGGTCAATCACGATAGGGCTAGCCAGACTGGTCCCAGAGGGGGATGTTATAGGGCTCGATTATACATCCACTCAGTTTCCAGAAGCACGAGTTCTAGCCGCCGAGCAGTCCATCTCTAACGTCCATTTCCAACAGGGTGATATCCACAAGTTACCTTTCGAGGACGGGACGTTCGACTTTGTGACTGGTCATCAAATACTTCAACATATCCAGGACCCCGTTCAAGGATTAAAGGAGATGCGCCGGGTGACCAAACCCGGAGGGTTTGTCGCCGTGCGAGAAGGCGCATCTATGACTTGGTATCCGCCGTCTCCTGGAATGTCCCAATGGCAGGAGACTACTGCTAAAGTTGGCTCAGCTATGGGGGCGAATCTGAATGCAGGTAATAAACTGCATGTCTGGGCCAGGGAAGCTGGATTCAAGAATGAAGGTGTCAAGTGCTCGGCGGGCACGTGGTGCTTTAGAACGAAGGATGAGAGAGACTATATAGGTGGCAGCATGGCGGATAGGGTTCTTCCTGGTACCAAATGGGGAGATATTGCGGTTCAAAAGGAGATCTGCACGAAGGAGGATTTGGAGGCGATGTCAAGGATGTGGAGAGAATGGGTTGATGACGAGGATGGGTGGTTTGCCATCCTGCATGGCGAGATCGTGTGCAGCGTGTAAGACCGTGGATCAATTGCTCTACTGGCTAGGAAGTGGAATGGTATCGGTGTAATCTTTGTGACTGGGTTGATGTCCACTGGATGGAAATTAAAAGCTGTTCAGTAGGCAGGTATCTATCGATGCACTCCTTATGCAGCTCTTTCCTCCCTGGATTTGGCAGATTTGCAATCCATAAGAAATAGATTCACTGATTCAGGGTACAGCAACTTACAATCTCATGACGCTTGTTGAGACTGCCTAGGTACCTTCTATGGACCTGTTCACAATAAGTAAAAGGGTTTAGCACAAACGGCGGCATCTTGTTCTCTCCTATCGCAAAACTCTCCTTATTGGGTTTTGTTGCACATCGCACATCCTCTGAATGTCTCAACATCTCAACCCCGGCTCCCCTATAAAATTTTGTTGCACATCGCACTTTTGCAAATGTCACAGCATCTCAAGTCTGTTCTTAATGCGAGTTAGGCCACGGCCCTTGTAGCGTTTTGTTGCACATCGCACATCCCCTCAATGTCTCAATGTCTCAACCTCTCACCCCTCGCTCCCTGTAAAGTTTTTGTTGCATGTCGTACATTTGTCTAAGTTACACTTTTATTCGACATCTTAAATGTCGCCTTAAGAGCGAGTTACGCAATCTCCTACTAAGGTTTCGTTGCACATCGCACTTTTGCTAAATGTCTCAACTTCTTAACACTCCCTCCCTCCCCTTTGGAGAAGAGCAATCCCGCTCCAACCTGAGCCTCTGAGACGAAGAAAAAAAACTCTCGAAGACATATTACTCTGTTAGTCGCAGGACAAGATACGGCAGCGCGTACTTCGTACAAATAATTGGTGCTGGAGCGAATGTTGGCTACTGACGTACTCCGCCTCTCCAGTTCCCAAGCATCGCTAACACGGCGGCTGACTCAGGCAGGCCAGTCTGCTTATTTCAACGTACTCCGTACGAAGTAGACTCTCCCCCCTATTCAAATCTTGGCTGCCCTAAATGGGTACATAGCGTCTTTTCTCGGCCACCACAAGAGTATCTCCCTCTTGCTGCCTTGATGCAGCGTGCGGTCAAACGGCATTATCAGCTATCGCCTCTCTTCTCAAGATTATCATCACCAGTCATTGCCATTTCCCATCGAATAAATTGGGGCAGCGCTCTCCAGTTGATGCAGCATCACGTCAATGTTATCTTCATTGGCACATACAAAACAGCCTTCATCTCAGTCTCCCATCGTTAGGAAATCGCGAAACCCAGGGCCAATCTACCAACAGAGACGCGAAACGCGGTGGTCTCAGTTATGAGAGCGCGCACGGAACGTACTTTCCTCGCGTGGCCAGCGGCCCAGCACAGTTGACATATTACCTTCATACCAGTATGGTCAAGATCAATCGAGTCAACAAGATTCGCAGGATGCACACCAGACAAGAGCATCTAGACTGTTGAAATTTACGTTCGTGGAGGCGGAATACCTAGTGACCGTTCATAAGCCACATGCTTTGCTCTTACTTTGCGATTTCTTCATATTTTGATCGGATGGCAAGTGTCTAGTTTGATATCTCCTGCATATATATATCTACATCTTCAGTTCCGTTACTTCCCGACCGAGACCTATGCTTCCGTCCGCACCAAGTGTTCTGGGCTGGATGTATCTATAGCTATTCGCTCCTCATTTAGCCAATTCTTGAGGGCCTGGAAGTCCGTCGGTAGGCTACCTAAGTAGAGACTGCACATACCTATGTCAAGGACGCATGCATTACTGTTCTACGCCCATCTTTTTTTTGTTGGAGTTGTTCAACATGCAAAAGTTCGAATGTCCTGGTGGTGGCGTACTATGATCCTCGTTGCGGCAATCGAAGCTAAACCGAGGAACAAAGACAAACATCCGAAATTGCGTGTTTATCAAACCAAGCAAACATGTCTCGGTACCAGAAAGTGTCTGCAAAGGTCCGAGGATAGAGTTTCTTGTGCAGCAAACAACTGTACCCGCGCTAGAGCTTCGCGTGCGGCTTCGAGCTGTATCCACGCTATCTAACATCGAGCAAAACCTTTTCATTTTGCATGTTTATCAAACCAAGCAGCGTAGCTTTGTATCATAGGGGAATTTTTGCACCTACTTACGCAGTTCATATGCCCAAAACCCACTGCTGCAACTCGAATACTATTCCGTATACCTATATATGTTTCAGAATATCATAGACTGTACGCCTACTTCTTAAATGCTGGAAATTTTATTTTGTTAAGTCTCTATTTTATGGGGAAGAGTGTCGCCTCGTTGCCCACTAACGCTCAAGATTAGTACGGGGATATCATCTGGTTGCGGACCGACGCTCAAGATTGGTGGGAGGGGTTCTTCTCGGTGCAGACCATGGTAGCTATAGCGTTCAAAGACTGGTATAGAAGTGCTTCTCAGTGCAGACCGTGCAATTATGACGTTTGAGATTGGTACGCAAGAGGGGAAGGAACCTCTCCCTCTAATCACCCACCCACGCACCCCCCCAGCATAAATACCCCTCCGCCCACTTCTCTTCTTCCTCTTCTTCTTCTTCTTTTTTTCTCTTCAGCTGGCATTATGACTTCTTGTTTTAATGCCCAGTTCACCCGAACAAGGTTGGGGCTAGCCACCTCAGCCTCTGTTCAACCGTCAACTTCAGCTCGATCCGCCCCGAGCACCCACATTCGTTCTTCGTCTTCTGTTTCGTCTGTTTTTCGACCTGTCGCTATCCCAGCGATCAAGTCGTCCACTCTTTCGAGGCCGTCGACCTCAGCTTCTATGTCCCAGAAGACTGAGTCCTCGGTTCTCAGACATGTTGAGCGTGTAAGTCTTTGTCCCCATCTCCATCTCCATTTCCAACCTCCTTTCTTCTGATTTCTTATTGTCATTATTGTTGTTGTTGTCGTCGTCGTCGATGTTGTCGGTGTTATTGTTGTCGTCGAGCATGATGCTAACTTCTCTTGCATAATAGCTTCGCAAGGTCCGCGCTGCCCAAGCGACTTACAAGACCTCCTCAGCATTTGCCAAGCCAGCAGTTTCGATTCCTGTTCCGAATCGACCTGCTGAAGGACCAGCTTGCCGTGTCCAATCGACGGCGCCCTCTGCTGCCCGTAGAGAGCGCGCGTTCGATTCTCATATTGAGAGGGTATGTAAACAAACCATCTCGTTCCTTCCGTTTTTGATTTTTTCTGTTGCGGGATCCTTGGGTAAGTACCCAGGTACCGATGCACACACCCCATCCACGTGTTACGCACTTGAGTATCTAGGTACCTTCATAGTATATCTTGTCGGTGCTTGGTTACTTCATGATGTATCCATGTTAGTACTTGGGTACCTCATCATATATCTTGTCGGTGCTTGGTTGCTTCACGATGTATCCTTGTTAGTACTTGGGTACCTCATCATATATCTTCGCTGGCACTTGATACCTTCATTTTATATCCTGCTGGTAGTTATGCATTTGATCATACACATTGCTGCACTTTTGCACGTCTATTCTCTCGGCGTTATGGCATTGGTGATCTTCGTCATGTACATCCTCACTACTTTATTTGGACTCTTTTGTCATATGGCTTCAACCCTCTTACACATCCATCGTCTATCTTGCTTTGTACTCTCTCCTCATTCCAACCACAGACAGAATTGATTCGGCTCCCGCTAACATCAGATTTCACAGGTCACGCAGGCAAGAGCAAGGCGATCGCCCCCGCCCTCTGCTCGGTCCTCACCTGCGACGCCACGCAAAGTGAGTCCAGTGCTGCCGCTTCCTCAGAAGTCGGCAGCCGTCGATCTTGCCCGGATCGATGAGCAACTGGCTCAGCTTGTCGTCGCACCGCTCGCTGTCAAAAAGGCCAAGCCCACGCCCTTGGTCCCTGCTCTTAGGTCTTGCCTTAAGACCGGAGCAGCAGCGAGCAGCAAGAAGGTCCGCTTTCTGAACTCTCGTGGATGGAATATCGTAAGTAACTGCCTCGCTTCCTCGAATCTTCTTTGGCCGCCTCTTGGAAGTCCTTGACCGTCGAAAGCCGAATTCCATGGTCTCTGAAATCGTTCTTCAACATAGAATGCTAACCTGTTATTTAGCACAGAGTCAGGGCGTATGAACCGGGGATTACCCCCCCGAATACGTTCATTCCCCTGGAGGAAGCGGTCCTCACGCAACCTAGTCTGATACGTCCCTGCCGGAACTGGGGCTTTCTGGAGGAAAGCGTCCGGCAGATGATGGGCGGATCCGACCAGGAACTCCGCTGGCCCCCGGTAGAACATACTGAGCCTGCACTCAGATGGGCTCGACGGGACCAGGATCCTGAGTACTCCCGCCAGGTGCGGGAGCGCCTCAGCCAGCCGGTCATCTGATGATGATGATGACTTGGGCTGATGACCTGCCACTCACGCTCTTTACTCAACTGTCTTTACCGCCAGACATGATTCGTCATTTGTCTTTCGTCGCTCTTTACTCAACTGTCTTTACCGCCAGATATGGTTCGTTTTTCGTCGCTCATTACCCCACATTCGCTTTTCTTTACGCTCATTACTCAACGCTCATTACTCTACACTCGTTTCTCTCGGCATCAGTCTCTTGGCAGGGGAGCTGGTGCCTCACGCTCATTTCACACCGGAAGGGGGTATTCCTTTCGGATCATCATACATGTCATGAATGCTGTCTGTTTTCAGCAGCACCCACGCTCATTACTCAACGGTCTTTACATTTCGGCATTCGTTACTCCACGTTCTTTAACCATGGTACTTCGATTCTGCAGGGGATCGGGGTACCGCCACGATCATTATTCGACGTTTCTTTCGTCACCACGCTCTTTTCTGGACCAGGTTGCGGGACAACTTCCTGATTCATGCTGTTCTCAGCAATTGCGCTCTCTACTCCACGCTCTTTACTCGACACTCGCTCAGGAGGAGGTCCTTAGGCAAGACCTTCTTCTTCAACCCACGCTTTTTACTCCACATTCGTTCTCCAGGTGGCTGGACCTGGTTCTTCAACTGGCTTTCGCCAATCACGCTCTTTACTCCACGTTCTTTTTTCGACTCACGCTCTTTACCCCACAATCATTTTCCGGTCTCTCGGGGCGAGGGATCCGGTTTCTTCTGGCTTTTCGCCGCTTTCGTTCATTACCCGACGCTCATTACTCAACGCTCATTAACGGCTCTCTGGACAGAGGGAGTCCGTCCTTCATGGAAACCCACGTTCATTACTCGACACTCTTTTTCGGGTCTTCTGACCCTCACGTTCATTACTCTACGTTCTTTACAGATCACATCCGAGTCTTGCGTCCGATGGCAAGGACAAGACTCGACGGGCAATCACATTCGTTACTTCTTGGTACATGTTACGCTCTTTTGGCTCTATCACGTTCATTACAACCACATTCTTTTGCAGACACGGGCAGATGTCTGGTACGCTTCGGCAACTCACGTTCATTACATCACATTCGTTTACAGGCTTGGGCATGCCTGTTGGTTGGTCGAGAGGGAGGGGTGGAGGGGTGGGTTGTGGATGGTGGGTGGTGGGTGATGAGGTGGGTGGGTGGAGAGGGAGGGAGTGGAGTGGTGGATGGGGAGGGAGTGAGGTGGTGGATGGATGTCGCCGGGTGAGCGGGGACTGGTGGGGGGAAGATGAGTGGCATCTTCGATTACGCTCTTTACATCAACGCTCGTTAGACACGAACCACATTCATTCGAAGCATCGCCTGGGAAACGATCTTCAGCAAACAGTGTCGGGAATTTAGCTTGTGCTATTGGTTCGTTCAAACTTCGACTTGCCGGCCATCGGCGAGGGTGGCTCCTCGACCGTCGAATGCCTTGGGAGTTGGAGAGCTTGGATGGATCAGGGGCAGGTACGTATCAGGAAGGAGTCCGGTTCAGCTGGGTCACGGGCAAGGTGGATTGGCCGCACGTTGTGCATGGGCATCCCCTTCGTCTGTTGTTGATCTGTAGCGCGGGTCTGGAATGGTATCGTATCCTCGCAAGCGAGATTCTCTTACTAACTTTAGGGCTTTTGGTTTGGTTATGCTGACGATTTATAGAGAGCCCTCCAACAAGAGCTGCCTTCACGTGGCGGGGGGCGTCAGTAGCCTCGCTCTCTTGAGTGGGTGAAGCCAAAGCCCTTGGTCCATGTACTGGGTTGGATGGTAATGCCTTTTGGAGATGAAAGCTTGGATACAATTAGTGACTGTGGTTGAATGGAAATGGGTTATCTTTGTATTCATAATTATCTAGCCCCATCCAATAAAAGCTCTCCCATCTATCAACTTTTGTTTCTCGTATCAGTGAACTAACTATCCTTAACGTTGCTTAACGTGATCAAAGACAAAATCTCATCTCGGTTAGTAGAGACGGCCATTCCATATCTAATGGGACCTTTCCTCAGATAAAATACTCATTACCTACGGAATAGACCATTTCCCCATCAACATCAGAATTAGAATCCACCACGGCTAGCAATCCCTTTTTACAGCCACGTTCTTAACAATTCCATCTTCGTACTCTATTGTCGAAAGCTTACCTAGGGGCGTTAAAAGGGCGTAAGTTTTAACTTATAGTTTTATTCATCTTTTGTTTAATTTCTTTTTATAACGGTTTAGAAATAGAAGATGTGTTCTAGCAACGAAACTTTTCTAGGAGATGCCTTCGATAGCTTATACCTCTTTCAGTTCTAGTCCTAATGAATCAGAAAAGGCGGGCGAGCGCCAAGCATTCCCATCATTGTTAAGTCTTCAATTAATAATTTAGTCATCACAAAACGGGGAGGCAAGAGACGAAGAATATCAAGGGGTTTCAATTTCTGCAATCGATTAGGAGTTATGGATATCTTAGTCGTAATTTAATATGCCTATCTATATCTATACCGATGCCGTCCATGATACTACCTGGTAATAACGTTGTTTGCATGCGGATGACAGCTCAGCTAAATTTAAATCCTCGGTTCGGATCCCACGTATTGTTCTGCGTCTGCCCTTGGTACCCTTGCGCTTGCCCTGGCGGAGAAGGTGCTGGTACACCGAATTTAATCCCCATTTCGGGCGCCCAGGTACTAGGTACGATAGGAGGGCTTTGTATATTGGCACGCGTTGGGACTGGGGCGGGGATATCATTGCTGTTATTGTTGTGAACAGTGGAGGAGGAGGCGGAGATCGAGGATGGTGTACTGTATGTCCGAGGACTTGGGGCAAAAGTTTCGTTGGCTGGTGGCGGGGGTTGTTGATGGTGGAGGGAGAGAGCGGAGAGAGGTGGGAGCGAGAGTTCGCTTTCTACCCTTAACGCCTCTTCCCTTCTCTCATAAACAAATGCCTTACAGCCATCTGTAAACCTTTGAACGATCTTTGCAAGATCATTGTAGAATTTCCTGCCCACCTCCAAATTACTCACAATCTCCTTATACTTGAAATATCCATTCTCCAATTTCTGCAGAGCCTGCTCTCTTTCCCTGGAACTGGTATCGCCTTTCCTCGCCGCCACAAAATTGGCATTCGCATGTTCTAGTTGACTTGTCAATCGGTCTTGTTCCTCAGCCTCTGATTTCAACGCTGTAATATCGGAATCGTACTTGGCAAGATGCTGCTCGAAGAAATGTTCAAAATGAGCTGGGACAATGGTTTGGTTAGGATGTTCGCGCTCAAGGCGTGCAGCTTCGGCGAGAATGCTAGTGTTGATATCGTCCTTCTTAGATTTTTCACGCAGGGCTTCGATTTTACGCCGGCGGCGAGATTCTAGGCGTGAGACTTCATTGAGACTATTTCGTAATCGTGATACCTCGACCTCGAGTCTTGGAGGGATGGCTACTCGTCGACTGCTAGGAACGGAGTTGCCAATGTCTCGGTCGGAGCTTGAGAGGATTCGTAGAATTTCTTCGCATTCGTGGAATTTTGTAAGGACCAGTTGGTCGCTATTTGCTGCACTCCTAAGATACCCATCAATTTCTTCAACTTGGGCGTATAATTGTGCGGCTGCGGAACGGGAATCTAGCCGGTTCCATCTATCTGTGCCATATTTCATACGTAATCTCTCGTCCTCTGCTGCTTCCGCTTGCAGAAGTTCTTTGCCTTCAGCGAAGATAGCGTCGTCCGAAGCTTTTAACTTTGCTGTATCTGAGAATGAACGATGGAGCCTTGTCAGAGCATCTGCTTGTCTAATCTCCTCAGCATGAGACGTGAGTGTTGGTGGTAGCCCTAGAGGCTTCTCCAGCGCTTGAAGTGAACCCGGAAGGTTTAGCGATCGTAGAGTATCATGGATTTTGGTGGTCAAGATCTCTAATTCATCAATAATATTTGAGTTGACGAGACGATCTCGCCTTTCTTCGTATATGCTAGCCGCGACATGGACAGCATAAGGTACCAACTTAGAAAATACCGCAGGGCCAAATTCTTTGTTATCTCCGATGAAGGCAGATGGTTCGGATATCTCTTTTGGAACCTTCGCAGCAGCCATTTTGGCACGTTCCAGGGTCTTGAGCTCGGATTTGGGTGGTACGGGATCTGGGGCGTCAGTAAAGACATGTGTGAGTAGACGGTGAACTCACTTAGATAAATTAGATCGTTGTCTTTTTCTGCCCTCTTCAAGTCCTCCGTTACCTTATTCCTCAATCCATTTAAATCACCCAAAACCACTTTGTTCAGATATCTGGCTTCTTTCAAGGCTTCATTGACACAAGTAATACTATCACGTAACCTGGCAACCTCCTCCCCATATTTCCTCTTTTCTAGACAATCACAAGCTTGTCGATACTGGGCTGCTGCAGCAAAATGGTGGTGTTTCGCAGTCATATGGTGTATCCATTCTGAGCTAATGGCATCACTCTTAACCCCCCAATCGCCCGCCGCACCATAAAAGTCCGAGACCTTGGCAGCCAATTTTGCTATCGACGCATCTTTGTATCCGTCCATGACTGCTTTCTGCCAGAAACATTCTTGAGCTTGCGCCAGCATTAGATGCTCGAGGGATTCGAGGGTAGCATCGTCCATGTCTTCAGGCGGAGCCGTCCGTAACTCTGGAATCACTTCCGCCTTGATATGGGAGAGGACTCCGGCGGCGAGGCAGAAATAGTTACATGCTGCTCGTAAGCCATCTGTAGAGCTGCGATTTGAGGCGGTGGCCAATTGGGAGTAGAGGGCCGCGAGATTGTAGAGGACGTTGGCTAATTCGAATTTGAGGTTGTTTTGGGAGATGGGGCGTTCGGTGTTGTAACCCAGGGCTGGGTACCAGTTAAAATCCACTCCAATCTGCCAGTACTTCATTAGTCTATTTCGGGTTTCCCAACCGGATCAGGAGAACTATACGTCTATAGGGAACTTTCCTCCCATCCACGCAAGTTGTCCCGCATACGCTGCTATCTTCTTGATCCCGCTGATGTGGGGTTCTCGCACGTTTATAGCGTCTGTCCGTAACGCATCGATGACCTCCAGGTCCTGCCTGAACATATCTGGGTGTTGCTCATATTTGCTGGAGATGTATTGCTTGATCGCGGCTGACAACGCGAGGCTATTGGTCTTACGAAAAGGCAGGAAGAGGATGTTGTTGCTGGCGTGCGTTGTTAGCATTCAGCCGATATCACCCAGGTTTTTGACAGAAGGGTTTATCTTTACCTTGCCATCGCGTTTCATTCCAGATGGAGAGCGTCTTTCCTGCTTCGTAGGGTGCACTCATGCGAAAGGTTACAATGACTTCATTGCCTTGGCAGAGTGGCATATTATTTACATGAGGCCCTCGGTGAGGTGGGGAAGGGGTGTCGTTAGATTCTGCCACAGTGACCAGAGTGAATATTATCTTACTTCGCTTCCCGCTCGAGCTATAGATTAATACAGACACCCACCAACCCCCCTTAATTATAGAACTCGCTACGGAGTACTAGCTGAACTTACCTCCTATAGAGCAACTATAGAGAACTACAATCCCTTCCGTAGAAATACATACCAAGGGTATTCAATAGTACGATCTCCTACTGTTCAAAAGCCACATTTTCATTCTAACTCATGTGCAAATAATAGCATCGTTATTTTAGGTGCTTTTTAGGCTTATACAGCTGCAAGCAAAAGAATGGCCGCAGTGTCTGCCTCTTCAGGTGCTAATATATAACATCTATGCGAGATCGTTAAAGCTATAATGATATCGTGTTCATGCTAGAACCCCACTTTAATCATCAGTAGGCATAACCTGACTGACATTCGACATCGATGAAAGTTCGATTTCAAGACGAGATCCAGATCAACTCTAAAACCCCATCTTTCTCAAACATCTTGTTCCCCTCTGCCCCGTACGTCCATCGTTGATCATCTGCCATTCGAATGTAGGTTTGTCGTACGGCCCTATCATCCAGTATTTCCGACTCTTTCAGCTCCCACGCAACTTTTCGACCTGTGCGAACCAGGCTCATCCTTTGCGGCCCCATCATAAAGTCCAGATTCCACCCATAGTCCTGTGGAGCAGCAGTAAACGTTCTTTCGACTTGGTGAAGATTGAAATCGATGCCTTTCGGGTAATATGCTACTGAGAAGCCGTTGGAGACAATAAAGTTGTCGCTCGTTTGAAACCGCTGCAAGAAGCAAGCTTCGCCGCATGTATGGATGATCTGTGCTCCTTCTAATGGATGGGCTTCATGCCACATCCCTCCTTTGAAGTGATGTAGTGATAGCGGGGCGAGGCCAGCCTCATAGAACCCCGCTGGATCACCCATAATATCCAGCTGGTGGAGATCCCGGATCAGGGTGAGAGTCGCCTCGGTATGTTCATAGATGCATTGCCTAAGCAAAATATCCCCTTGAGGGCCCCATCCGGTGTTTGCCTGCTTGATCTTTTCTGCGGTACTGCAGTTTTCGTAAGCATCGGCAACCTTTGCCGCGAGAGGCACAGAGAAGAAAACACCCGCACCGCCAAACGCCTGAGATCCATGGCGCTGTATATTGTTTACATCTTCAGAGAGCGTGCCCAGGTACAGGTCGCTCGTGTGATCGAACTCCGAGAGTCGTTCGAGGAGAGAGCCCATGGAAGGAAAGAAGGTATCGTCGTCACACATAGCAAGATATCTGCGGTGTCTCCGCGAGGTTTCGTTATATAGGGCTGGCAAAAGGGCAAGATATCGTTTTGCCATCTCGACGGAGCTGTCTGCTGCGGAAACTTTGATATCGATGCCTATCGACTTCATGTTATCTTTAACCTCCTCAATTTCCTCGGTAGATGCATCCACAAGACGGAGAATCAGCCCAGCGCCATTAGACTTCTCCTGCCCATCAGTCAACCAGTGCGCCCACTGCTTGACCGGGCTCGCCTTCGGGTCCATCAACCGTTTGTATGTCGTTGAGATGCCGAAAAGGAGATCCGATGCATCGACGCTGTGTGGGCCGCGAGACTGTGGGACAAGCACGTCGAGCGGCTGCAGACATATTGTGGCAGGCGGAGGATTACGGATATCGACCTCATCGAATCCCTTAGGGAACAGCTCATTGTTGATTATTGTGACCACTGTCCGCGGGATATTCTGGCGATGAAAACGGACGTATCGGCGGGCGTACTCGATATTATCTCCCAGTTTGTAAAGCTGCTGCAAGGATTGGAGACGATTCTGATCGAGGAAACAGTCGAGTGATGGCCGCTGGGATATGTTGCCGGCATGGTTGACGTGCAGATGTAACGACTCAACACGTTGAGTTATCAAGTTTGAAGGATAGATCATGTACAAGACAAACATAATACAGAAGATTGTGAGGTAGACAGCACCAGTGAATGGGTTGCGTGGACTGAATCTGTTTCTGCTGCTCTTTGCAACTAGGAACACCATGGTGAAGATGAGTTAAGGGCTCTAGACGTAGGCCCCGGGTAGAAAGGAACGAATCAGAACAAGTCGAAGAGTAGAAAAGAGTGTGGGGAATGAGATGCACGAAGGAGAAGAAGGCGTGAAACTACACAGGTAGAATAGAATTTGATGAAGTTATAGACAAACGAGGGGCATGAGGAGAGCGGGCAAGCGCACCCCCGTTGCTCCTTCGATTGAGACGAACATTGGGTTAGACACTGGGAGCCAGCAGCAGAGATCCAGCGCGATGTTACAGCTCCATACATAACTCACCGTTTGTTGCACCCATAATGATTTTTTCACCACAGCTCTTCCTGTCAAGAAGCGTGTCGCACAGATTAGAAAGCGGATGCAGTGGTGCTAGAACTGATCGTTTGATATCATTAATTCTGGGCCTCGACCTCATCCAATGGACGCTATGCTACTCGCATTCAGACCAAAAGCATCTCGTTGATTATGGTCTATCCGCAGAGTGCAACTGCCCAGTCTACGGAACTTCGCCCGCAAGTGACCAAAACAGAGCGTATTCTTCTGAGGTAGCTGATAGCTGGTACGATTAACAGCTATCTGTTAATTTTGCACTTGGATGTGACGCAGATATCTTCAGCAGACACGTTCTGCCGAGAGGTGATTGCCCATTACCAAGGTACTCGTAAGGGCCGATGGTTACAGTCAACCGCAACGGCCCGCCAAATATAAGGTGCTAGGGAAATATGCATCCAAACACGGAGCATAGTTGGCGTGCAGTATCTTGCAGATCCATCCAGATCCCCATTTCCTTGCCGAAGCAAGAACCCGTCGAGTCGCTGCATGCAGGCGACGGCAGCTTTCTTACCTATCCTCCCACAGAGTTACACCTCCCTCAACTTCATGTATGTATATGAAACACTGCATACCAAGATTTATTGAGTCCCAATAGAACAGAACAGGCATTCTGGATTGCCGGATCGTCGCAAGATCTATAGCTACCTTGATCTCGGGCTCCTATCTTAATGGTGTGAAGTGAGACTAAAGCACAAAATGCTTTTCCGCGATGCTGGTGGCGGACCGCTCTGCCAATTTCACCCGGCCACAAAATATCGTTCCGCCGGTAACATCCCCAGCAGGCTGTTTTTCTTTCACGCCTGCCCGTCTATTTATCAGCGAAACTCTCCTTCACTCTATAGCTGCACGGGCCTTATTTTTCCTATATTTTTAATATTGCAAGTGGTGACACTCGAGCATGGCCGACGGGTACGCCAGAACCACCAATAGAAGTTGTGTTAGTCGTTTCCGGTAGCCTCTACCATAAAAAGGTGACCATTTCTAATTCCCAGTTCTGGAACCGCCCCAATTACCTTAATACCAGTCAGCTCCTCTAATCTCTTATTCATTTCTACTGTCTGATCATCGTTAACGATCTCTTTTTCCTGATGCACGCTCCAGCCTTTAGCCCTCCGATCGTCCTTGATCTGCTCCGTGAGAAGCTTTCCGAAGTTGGCCTTCCGCTTAGGTCGAGCTTCGATCTCTGCTCTTTTGGCGGCCAGCCATTCAGGGGAGCGCTCCTCTGACCAGACGACTCGTGGGTCGATGTTGCCCCATATTTGGGACGCCAGCAGCTCCTTTGGCGACCGTGGATAGTCCGTCTTAGGCTGCTGTTTATTTAACCAGGAGTCCAGCTCTGAAGAATCAAAATCCCGAGCTCTGGCGAGGCGTTTGGCTTCGAGGGACATTGGATGTGGAACTGGCTCAGCGACCCGATTATCTGTGCTGCTGACGAGTATAGACGGCGAATTAACTTTTGATGTTTGAGTAGTTGCACTGTCTGATACGTTTGGACTTATTTTAGTATTAGGCAAAGACTCCATAGCCCTAGAATTGGCGCCGGGAGTTATCGTTATTGCTGGTTGCGGCATAAGGGTTGATTGGTCGCTGTGTCGTTTTGGAGGCGCCTGTTCATTCAAGGTTTCAGTGATAGCAAGTGGTTGCATATCGGGAATATATTCATCAGTGTGCTGGTCTTCTGTAGCATCAAGCGTTGGGGTGTTTTCGTGAACACCAACGCTTGGCGGTGTAGCATCCTTCTCAGTGTCTATGCTAACATACGGCGATTTATAGCCTCTAGCATTAGCCAAAGGTTGGTTAAGCATAGCGGGGAGGCCGCCGGTAGTAAACGGGTTATGCGTGACGTTGGTCCTCACAATTCTGATATGGTTTTCCGAAGCCCAGGGGTTCATAACAGGGCTAAGAGGTTTGGGTGGTGGGGGCTCATATTCGGGTGATTCATCAATGGTACTCTCAGGGTTCATCATCCGAAGCAGATCGGGACTGGCGCCGAGTCAGCATCCTGCAAATAAAATTCATTGAGCTTCTTACGGTAACGCAGTCTTCTTTGCTGTTGCCAAATTCTTATTTGAAATTGGGGGAATTGCAACTCGGTGAGAGGACTGAAATGTTATAGGGGTATCCTTATTTGACAGCCTTGTGGAGTTTGCAGCTGATGCTAGTGGATCAAACACCTCCATTGCCTGCCGAGGTGGCTTTGAGGTGATCTTGTCAGGCAATGTGTCGCGCATCTCCACATCTCGAATACTTCGTGGTAAGTTTGGCTGGGTCGAAGTTACCAGGTGGTTGCTAGAATTGGAAACGTTCGGGTCTGGGGAAGAGCGTTTGCGCTTTGTGTTATTTAATAATTTCCCGTCTTCCGAACTAATATGATATATCTTGTTCTTTTTGATCGGCCTGCGTACGGTTGCCGTCTTCTTTGCCACCGAGGGCCTCGCGACATGGTATCGCCGGTCAATCACTGTATCAGGGGATACACGTGGGGTGGCTGAGGATGAGGTTGATGCGGCACCTTTCCTCTTGGTGCATTTATTACAGGTGAAGTTCAGCCTAACAACTTGTCAGTGAGCGATACGCAATCGCACCCTGCACCTGTGATAGCAGAGAGAGCCCCCGCCCTCGCCATTTCCCATAAGATGGAAATAATGGGAGGTTGTGAGTGGACGTACGTGTGTTGTGGAATTTTAGGAGTGTGACAAAACAGATGCCATGCAGCTTTGCAACTTAAGCATCGAACGAATGGTTTTGTTATCTTGATTTCTTCCTCGTCACAGACATGGCACCTACTGCCTCTGGTTGAGGAGGACTTTGAATTAACAGAGCTTGAGCGGTGCATCGCATCAAACCCCCTTGCTTTCTGCATATTTGTTAGTATATAACAGGCATCCTAGTTTGATGCACTGGAAAAGGAATGAAAACGGGTCTCAGGTCTTTTCAGTTTCCATTGAGTCATCAGCCTGCAAGCCTAAGCGGCTTCGTATCTTGGCCCAAAACTCAAGTGACGTCTCAGCTAGGTCCCTGAGATCTCCTTCATTCACATCCTCGTATCAAGTTGCAAAATACACGAAGTTTTGCTCTGCAGCCTTTGGTAGCACGTCCTGGAGAGAGGAGACGCGCAACTCCTGATAGCAGAACTGCCGTGTGGCATAATATATCCCAATTGAATCACTGTTGCTCATAGTATCTCATATGAGGACAGTCTTGCCTTATTTCATGGGATTACAAGTGATGCGAAGGAGATCCGCCAGAAATAGCTTCCTTGGCGTGACAACAGTTCAGAAGCTTCGACCAAAACCAGCCAACGCCTTGAAGCAGTCGGACCTTTTACCAGATGTTCATCATTGACCCCAAAATACGACGATAGAATAAAGTATCACGCACCATTGAGTTGCGCTTGTTCGAGGCTTCATTGGAATTACCTTGACGGTCCATGAATTGCTTTGGTGGCGGCAGCCCGATAGCTGCAGCTAGAGAAGGTGAAGACACCGAATCCCTTGTTGTATGAAGCCTAAGGATTCGCCATATATCGAAGAAGGTGTTTCTTGGCTCTTAGGAGGAATGGAGATTTCTGCAGCGACAGAAAGTTGCGTCGTCTGGAGGTCGTATCAGTATCAAAGACGCGTCTGGACCATGAGAAGTTGAGGTCTTGAAGCAGCGTAGGGCCTAGCGTTCCCACCCTAGTCGACGCGGCGGCCGCTAAGAAGCGCCAGAGAGGGACGCTATGGCGGGCGATAAGGACAGCGATCAACAGGAGTCAAAAGGCTTTAGAGAAACAACAGCTCTGAACATTGTTCCATATTCCTTTCTTTCGCATCCCCGATGGAGTTCTTCAAGTCCGCTGTGGCCTCAGCAATATCGAAAGGCCCCCCATTTCCATACACATTCGGCGATCAAGTGGACGTGGATACAAGTATATGGACTCTCTATGCTGGAATCAAGCGCGTAATGATGACACTTCTTACGTTCGTGCACACCTGCTGATGATTGGTATAGGAAGATGGAAGCAGCTGTAGTATTTTTTCTTTCGATGTTTCCGCCAACAAACCACGCCTTCCTATGGCTAGAAATGCGGTCAAGAAGCTGCGGACCTTGAGACATCCGGGTGTGATCAAGGTGTTGGATACAGTGGAGGTGGGCAGCACGAATATACTCGAATATATAAAGATTGACGCGTGCTGGACAGACCGAATCCTACATATACATCGCCACGGAGCGGGTTTTCCCACTTAGATGGAATATAAAGCGAAAAAGTATGAGCTCCGAGACATTAAAATGGGGACTTTTTTCTGTTGCAGTAAGTCTACTTCAAAAGCATTAGTACCCTGCGCAATGGCTGACGGCATGGTTTTTAGCAAACAATCAAATTTATCAACGATGAAGCCTCTTCGGTCCATGGCGCGCTTCGAGTTGGGTCTCTATATACAAGCCTAAGTGGAGAGTGGAAGGTTGGCGGATTTGAGGTATTGAGTAGTATGAAAGACGACGATGCGATAATATATGTATGTCTGGATTCCATTGGGGTTGAGAAAATGCTGATAATTTGAAGAACTATGGGAGTCTCGTTCCGGACGCTGGACGATATACCCCGCCAGAATTGGCAAAATCTGGCTGGGATGCTATTAAACGTAATCCTCTGCCTGCAGTCGATGCTTACAACTTTGGAACGCTTATATTCGAGGTCTTCAATGGGGAGTTTCTAGGAGCGGACCAGGCTGGGCAAACCAAGAATATCCCCCAAACCATGCATGCAAGTTATAGGCGATTGGTCAACTCCAACCCGAAAGCCAGAGCTACCGTGGCCAATTTCCTTGAACAAGGCCGACGGAATGGAGGGTTCTTTTCAACACCCCTTATCAAACTTACAGAGAGTGTCGACAATCTTGGAATGAAAACCGAGGAGGAACGGGAAGAGTTCTTGAAGTGAGCGGTCCTTGTCTCGTAGGCCAGTAGTTGTGCTAACATTACAGTGATTTGGATCGACTATCCGATGACTTTCCAGAAGACTATTTCAAAATGAAGATTCTTCCGGAGCTGCTTAAATCCGTAGAGTTTGGTGGTGGCGGACCAAAAGTCTTTAGTGTAGTGATGAAAATCAGCAAAAAGCTCAGAGATGACGAGTTTGATACCAAAGTTACACCAGCAGTCGTTCGACTCTTTGCAAGTCCAGATAGAGCTATCAGAGTCTGCTTGCTTGATAACTTGCCATTAATCATCGACCGATTGTCACAGAGGCTTGTCAATGACAAAATATTTCCTCAAATGGTATGTATATATCCACGGCGCTATTTCACGCGATTAACCAAGTGACAGGTTACGGGATTTACCGATGTTGCTCCAGTGGTTCGAGAACAGACTGTCAAAGCAGTCTTGACCATTATCGGAAAGCTTTCAGAGCGGACTATTAACGGAGAACTCTTGAAATATTTAGCTAAAACTTCCAATGATGAGCAACCTGGTATCCGTACGAACACAACAATTTGCCTAGGGAAAATTGCGAGAAATATGGGAGTGGGTAATAGGTCCAAGGTCTTAATTGCCGCCTTCACCCGCTCACTACGCGATCCATTTGTTCATGCACGAAATGCCGCTCTAATGGCATTAGCTGCAACTTCGGACTGCTTTAGCGAAGATGACATTGCAAATAGGGTCCTTCCGAGCCTTTGTCCTTGCTTGGTGGACAAAGAAAAGCTTGTTCGGGATCAAGCCAACAAAACAATGGATCTATTCCTCCAGCGCATTCGAAAGTTTGCTTCGTCGATGCCTGATACAGCACTGCCACCTGCAAGCGCAGTTGATCCGTCGACGGCATCGGCGCCTCGTATGAGTACGCCTCAGCCAAACGAGGCAGCTTCGTGGACTGGTTGGGCCATTTCATCGTTTACAAACAAAGTCACCTCCGCAGCTGGAGAGATGCAATCCAAACCTAATAATGCGCCGGCTTCCACTCCACGCTCCAGCTCCATGCCTTCCCCGCTAGAATCGCGACGTCCAGACCCAGGTTCGATCACAGCCTCCGCTTCACCTTTGCACCGGCAAGCTGTTACCTCACCACCGTTAACCACTGCATCGTCCAATGCCAATGACTACTTTGAAGACTCAAATGCTGAAGAGGATGTTGATGACGCATGGGGCGATATGGAGGAGGAATCCTTTTTTGATGCTCCATCTGAAGCCCCCAAGCCAAGCACTAAAGCTGCACCTTCCGCTGCAGATCCCTTTGGGGATGATGGAGAACCCGATTTCGCTGGATGGCTAGCAGCACAAGCTCAAAAGAAGCCCGGAGCAAAACCGCTACCCAAGGGCTTGAGTAAACCAACGAATGGAAGACTAGCACCTGCTACGAGGGCCGTATCCACAGGGGGCGTAGGCGGATCAGGAGCCAAAAAGGTTCCTGCAGTGGCGAAGCCTGTGGTTGCAAAGAAGATAGATACGGCACCGAAAGATACCGGTGTCGACGATGGTTGGGGCGATGGGTGGTAATGCATATAACGAACTTTGAATGAAGAATGTAGCGTTTATGGCAAGCCCGGGCATTGGAATGGCGTTGTTGGGGTATTGATACCAGAGTCTCAAGATAGAAGAGACTTTTTGTCGATAAGCAACTTTACAAAATGTGTATGAAAAATGCTCGTCAGGCATTTATTGATTGGAAGTAATGGGATAAAACTACTTTTGTTTTACAAATGTCAAGTTAGTTATGGGCTTGTACAGAACACCTACTACTATAGATAATAGAAATTGCACCCCAAAAGTACAACCCCTAGGATGACCCATTGTGAAGAGAATATCATATCTGCTAATTAGAAGGCTGGATTGTAGTTCTTCATGACTATCCTCGATGAATATGGTGGTACCTTTAGCATCATCAAACATTGGGAGAGGCCAAAAGGACCAAGGGAAATTATATGAGGCTTTATAATATACTTGGAAGGTGGTAATAGAGAGCGTAAGGTTGAGTAGCACTCGTATTCGGTTTATAGTATCAGAAACTATATCATCTGGGGCAGATTTGTGATAGGCGTGGCAGGTGGAGGCTACTATAAGTAAGATCGAGACCCTCATCGAATCTGAGTACCTAGATTAATATCACAGTCAGAGAAGTAGCCAGGAGGGCTCACTTGGTGTGACAAGCTGTTTAAGCATGGGGTTCTGCTAGGTACGAAGGAATGGGGTTTCCAAGAATCACGGGAGGCATGAGCGGTTGATATGCAATTGGTCATGCACGAGACGAGATAAAAATCCTTGCCAATCCGGGCATTCAAAGTATCGATCTAGCGGGTATTAATCCAGCTACAAACGCCATGCTATGCTACCACCCATTCCAACGCCATGAACACCAGTGGCAGACCGAAAACCATCGCCTCGTTTCAACCTTGTGAGCAGTAATTCAACGATATGAACCGGAGATTTAGCGTGCCTCGGAGTAGTCATTAAGAGCAACACAGACGAGTCCCCTGTGGTGGCCATTGTACTGCCTGATGATCTGCTGACTGTGGAGCTCCCACAATCTCGCATAGTGGTCAGAACAAGCTGTGACAAGGTATGCGGAATCGGCACTGAAGGCGCAGTCCCATACCCAGCGTTGGTGGCCAGTCAAAGTGCTCTCCAATTTGAAAGGCTTTTCGGCGACCTGAGCATCCTGTGGTTGGCCTGGTTTGGGGATCATGGACTCGAGGTCCTTGACTTCCCAAATCTTAGCGGTGCAGTCAGCGCTGCAGGTTGCTAGATGCTTGACATCAGGAGATAGAAGAACGCGGGTGATGTAGGAATTGTGGGCCTTGAAGTGAGTGATTGGAATAAGCTGAGTCTTTTCATGGAACTGAAGAAGATGCCAGACGTAGACATTTCCCTTCACGCTGGTTAGTGGGGCCAAGCCGAAGGTCTTAGGGTGGCAGCTTACAGAGTTGGTGCTAGCACAGAGAGTAGATCCATCGCTAGCAACCGTGACGCTCGAAACAGGCTGATCCTCCTCAGGAATGAGCTGGTGGGAGCAATTGTTCTCAGCGAGATCCCAGACTCTAACACTGCCTCCGCGATCGCAGCTGATAATCTCTCCCTGGTTTGGATGGATGACCACGTCGTTAACGGCTTGGCCATGGACGTAGCTTCGCTGGACGGTTCCGCTCCGGGTCTCCCATATCTTGACCGTTCCGTCTTCCGAACTCGTTACCATCCACTTGCCCTCGCAATGAAAAGCAACACCGGTGATGTTGTTCGTGTGGCCCTCGAAGGTGAGAATCGGGTTCGGGTTTGTTGACTTGATATCGTAGAGCTTGATGTTATGGTGGCCTGCAGCGGCGAGGAAGCGCTTATCAGGCGAAATGCAGAGTCGATTGACTTGAGATTCAGAGTGCTGGATGGTCCTCGAGCATATTCCAGAGAGGGCCTCCCAGAACCTAAACCGAGCGGTGGGTTAGTCAAACTCGCGACGAAAACCAACAGGCCATGGAATTTAGTCAGGACGGTGACATACCGAATAGTGTGGTCGTATCCGGCTGTAGCCATAACACAATATCTCTTGTCAGCCTCATCAACACCCAGGTAGGACATCTTGACAGGAGCTACAACGGCTCGCGCCTTGTGCTGGGCAGTGGGAAGGTTGACGCCGGAGGAGAGGTTGAGGGAGGGGTTGTACTTCAGTAGGACGGAACGTCGCTCTGAGCGTCGCAGCTATAACTCACCTGTACATAGGATTACAGACATGGTACGAGAATCACTTGCTAGTCGCAAGAACCATTAAGCACTTGCAAGCACGGGCGAGTTGCATCCGGAAAATGGAGAGTTTGTTTGGAATTGGATATATGAAGTATTCAGCACACACCAGAGAGGTTTCCTGGCAGAACATCTGTGACGTTGAAAGCGCGTTCGCCTCTCCACCAATCACACAGGGAGTAATAGGGGCACGGGCATTCCCGCTGCCATCACCGCCCTGTTGAAGCTATACGCTTTTAGGACTACGGCGGACTTCGTACCAGACATCGAATCGATCGCGGACTTCGTACTTCGTAGAGAGTAATAATAAATCTTCGTCTTCAACCAACATACAAGGCATCGTCGCGATCCCTTTGATATAGAGAGTGTCTCCCATCGCGCGAGCACCCATCCTCAAAAGAAGAACAAGAGAATAAGAAGAAAGCAAGAAGACAGCAGGCAAGACTGGATTCACACTCCACTTCAAATCCCAGTGATCGTTGCATCCTGCTGCCTGTCAGCAATATACCTCTGCACTTTTAAGAGAGAGTATCGAGATAGCTTCCTCCACACACTGCACGGCGCCTTTCAAGGGGACTTACTACAAGGTATATCAACCCTGTGCCAAGGCCACCCTTTGTCCCATCCAAAGGCAGGTTGTTTGGAGATATGTGATGATGGCGCACATTGAGGAGCACAGTGAGGAGCTCGCGCAAAGCTGGGCTTGGCTCATGGACATCATGGGCGTCGGACCACAAGGAGAAGGTAATTATGCTTCTGCTGCGTCCTCTCCAGTCCAAGATATTGTAGATCATGGGCTTACACTACCACCCAGTGATCGCTCTGGCCTTGGTGCCGAGGATTCCAACGCCACTCAGCCCTCGGGCCCGTGTGGTACAGATACGGGCGCCCTGAGGGAGGCTTCATTAACGTATCTTCTATCTCAGAATGATTATCAGTCGTCAGAAACCCCTGAAGAGATACCAGGACTCACGGGGAAGGTGTCTTCTGATGCTTTGCCACATTACTCGCCCTCTATAGAAGCGGAGGCATCGGTACGTTTTTCGGCCCTGACCAGCAGCGGAGCTAAAGCTATTGATCAGACAAGAGAGTCGCCAGCAACGACCTGGTCGGCATCATGCCAATGCCAGAGCGATAATAGCCACAGGATGAGGATTTCCGGGTCTCATCAGAGTACAGTGTGGAGTGCCAATTCGTCAAGGGAAGATATCCAGCTACGTATCCGGACTGAAGAGCTTCCCAGGGGTCAGGCTCCCAATCGGCAAGTATGGAGCGTGGAATCCAACGTACCGTTATCCTCAGAAAAACATTACTGTGCGGGCCTCGAAGTTAGTAATCCTGCAGCAAACTGCATTGAGCGTCCCGTGGTGGATGAGACTCACAACTCGCAGTCCATTGGAAGACCCACTACCTTGGCTCAACCGCAAATAGGGGATGCACTATCTGACATACCTCTACCCTCCATTGAAAGAGATCCCCCAAGAAAATTGCAATCTATGTTTCTACCAGCAATGGAAGCTAGTGGTGGAGTTGGAAGACCTAAGAAGAAGATGGGGATAAAAAAGACGCTAGAGTTTGGAATTCCTTCAGGCCTCTTTCCGTTGAATCACGTGCACCCAGCCGAAGTTGATAGCGAAAGGGGTTACCCACCACTCGAAACTCACGAAATCAACTCGCGAGAACCTAGAATTTCGATTGTTGACGGCTCAATCCCCGAACCTCAAGCTCTAATCACCAATCTCCCGCTTCCCTTAGCTATATGCGTTGCGGTATCTGAGCCCCTATTGCAACTCAACACCCTAGGCGCAATAATAGACTTGCAAGCCCTGTTGAACGATACTGGTGCTCAGCAACCTCAAATTCCCGCCCAGCTCCGCACGATCTTCGACCAACTATTTACCCGCTGGAAGGCTGATGACCAATACCGAACGCAGCTACTTTTCTTGATCATGGAGAAGCTCGAGGAATCAAAGAGTAAGTCGTCTATGCTAGGTTTGCGAAGGTCAATTGCTAACTCAGCATCAGAAGGCACGCGATTGTCTCGTTCCCTTGGGCCTAATAAGAGGGAGCAGGAGTCTATTCTCGAGATTCTAGCTACCCTCGACAACGAACACACAAAGCTGCGTAGCAAGGATAGGGCTACGATGAGTAGTTCAGATAAGTGTCTCGTATCAGCTATGGGGCAACGAAATCTCTTGAAGAGGTGCGAGAAAGCGTTCAAGGACCTGGAACGCGCCAGCGACGCATTACGTAGTTACAAAGCCTTGGAAAAGAAACTCGACCAGCAGGCTCAAGTGATCGAGCGTTACGAGTTGGACAACAAACGCCTGAATAAAGAATGCCACAACATCAGAAATGACTCGAGCACCTACCAAGAAATAGCCCAGAGTACCCCACCTACACGGGAGCTGACTATTCCTGCAGGCCTCCAAGTGCAGAGGGGCAGGGCGTACAAGTTCGGGGACTATGTCACCAACCCATTTTGGCTGTGTCTCCTCCCAGATAAAGTTGCCCCCCATGGGCCATGTCGTGGTGTGAACCGAGATTGGCATCACTATAGAGCCGATCAAAGAAACCCTAATCCCCAGGGAGTATGGGTGAACCGCGTCAAATGTTCCAACTGCCTCCATTCCAACGAGTCCCGGCATCTACGTCAATACATATCAGATGATGAGGCGGAAAAGATGCCACCCAACCGTTCAAAGTCAAGCTCAAGGTCACTATCTACGCCGGAGCAAACAGTCTTGCCAGATGCTCCATTAGGGGTTATTGGGAGCGGAGCTAGCCCACACCAGGCCTCGGCATCCGCCACAACTTCTCAACACCTTCAACACCCTCCCCAGATCAGCTGCATGCCACTTCAGTCGCCACTACTTCCAGCAACTGCCCAGCAAAGCACGGATGCCATTTCGATGCCGCCTCCTAACCGTGAATGCTGGCCGAAGCCCGCTCCTGGCGCCGGCTACTGGCAACTGAGCATTCCACCCTCGCATCCAATACCCCATTCGTCTGCCAACCCCGTAACTAATCCTTTCGAGCCGGTACAGCAAACTCCTTCCTCGCCCGTTTATTCTAGCCCGTATCCGCAATACGAAACTACAGAAACCATGAATAACATCCCCATATCCTATTCTAGCCCGTATCCGCAATATGGAACTACAGAAACCATGAATAACACCCCCATATCCTATTCTAGCCCGTACCCGCAACACGGAATTGCAGAGACTATGAACAACGCTCCCATTTCCTATCCAAGTCTGGGTTACCAGGGAGATAGAATTGTCCGCTCTCAGCCGAAACCTGCTGCAACGAAATTTCGAACTCGAGGCGCGGATCCGGGTGTTCTGACCCTACCCACAGTGCCGCAGACCGTTATCAATCAGGCCGGAAACATGTTGTCAAATAGTTGCAATAGCGCCGTTGCGAGCGTGAGTCACAACCGCCCCGATCCTGGTGGTGTACATCATACCAGTCTTCAGCCGGCGCAGAATCATGTCAACAGAGCCGCTGTGAGCGGGAGCCACAAACGTCCTGCTCCTGGTGGTGAACACTATACTATTCAGCCGATGAAGCGACCCAAGAAAATAAAGAATCTGGGAATCAGTCTATCTACTACAGATGCTGTTCGTGTCGCACTTCCGGGTATTAAGCGGTCGTGGATGCCGCAAGATCATGATACTATATCAAAATCCAAGGAGGCGCAAGGAGAATCTATTGCCATCAATGATGACGACGCAAACCCCGTAAATCCAGCTGAACATCCAGCTATATTGGATGATGGTGACGTGTCGTCTCTATTCGACTGTGATGAGGCCCACGTTTCCGAGTCAACTCCGAGCAATTATGATGAACTTGCCACCTCTAGGCCATCCACGGGTGAGTCGGAGCCAGACTTAGAGCTAGACATGGAAGCAGAAATGGCGGCTATAATGGGGAGTGAATACCCCCTAGCACGGGATGATAGCTTGTGGGGTGATGAACCAACTCCACGAATAGAGCTAGACGTTCAACCTCTGGCATACGCGTGGGAGGATGAAGAATCCGAAGAAGAGTGAAGATGTTTTACGAGATGCTCATTTTAGGAGCATGGTGGCGTTCTAATACGGGATACCCAGTGGATAGGAGTTATGGTTTTTTTATTACATAGAGGCTTTGCTTGCTACGCATTTTGTTAGAGTAGATACCCAACTTGCTAAAATAACAGTATACCAAAAAATGCGTTAAATGAATGGTGGCAGAGAAGAGGTTGAGCTTCGTTATAATCCAATGAGACTCTAAGCTAACTAGGTAAGATTACTCATTGTACTACCGTTGCTAGGTAGCTTATATACACACTCGGCCTTACTTAAATAGTAATTAAGCGTCAACGAATGGGCAATGCAGTAGGTATTAGCAGAATATTTCATAATTCCCTAGATTAGCTACTTGCTTTGCCTACGCGAAAGTGCGACATATAAGAACAATCCCAACTTCGCAAATATTTTACTTTGCTGAGAAGTAGGAACTCTTCATAGAGACCGAATAATCTCAAGAGGGGTGACTTTCAGATATTACCAGCTTCTTCCAGTTTCCAGTACCATTTGGTAAAATAAGGACGTGAATCAGTATAACATTTCTATTTCACTTCTATTTTAATCCTCCATATTCATACTTTACAGTACGCCGCATTCCGAACCCCAAGACACAAGATTTAGCTAGCCAGAAAAGAAATGTAAAAACTCAAGACCTCTTCATCTTAGCAAGCAAGTTCAGCGCACTTCCCGCAAGGATGAAACCACATTGATCGTTGCTCATAGTATGCTTCGTCTTAATCTCCACCTCCGTTCCATCCTTCTTCTTCACCTTCAAACTAACGCTGCCCTCTCCACCACTCTTCAACATCTCGTATAACCCCACAGTCTCGACCTCGTCGCAGGCGTCCATGAGATCATAGTCTTTCTCATTCTCGAATGTCAATGGTACAACACCCTGCTTTTTAAGATTCGTCTCATGAATACGTGCGAGTGACTTAGCTAGGATGACACGGCCGCCGAGATAGCGAGGCTGAAGGGCGGCGTGTTCACGAGCGGAGCCTTCGCCGTAGTTGTGCTCTGCTACTACGAGCCACTCAAGACCCTGGTCTTTCCATTTCTGCGCTAATTCGGGGATGCTGGATGAAGATCCGTCGACATCATATGCTACGTTCACTTCCCCAGTTGCGGCGTTGACTGCTCCGATTAAAGTGTTGGCGCTGATGTTCGGGAGATGGCCTTTGTACTTTAACCAAGGTCCAGCGGCTGAGATGGTGTCCGTGGTGCACTTTCCTTGGACTTTGTAGAGTACACGGAGACCTGTGAGATTGTGGTCTGGGAAAGGGTCAAATGGCTCGAGGATGGCGAGGCGGTCGGAGGTTGGGGAGACGACTACGGGAGTTGAGGGGGAGGGGGCACCTGATGTGGGGAGGAAGTCGGGATTGCCAACTTCGAAGCCTGAAGGTGGGAGTTCTGCACCTGTTGGAGGAGAGAATCGGAATTGGGTCCCTGTGGGTGTGGTTATGCTGTCGGTTAGGGGGTTGAAGGTTGTGCTACCGGCATAGGACATTGCTGTCACGATTTCCGGGCTAGCGAGGAAGTTCATGGTTTCTGGATTGCCGTCGTTCCGGCCCCGGAAGTTACGGTTGTAGGATGTGAAGATGGCGTTGTTGTCGCCTTTGGAGACACCGTCTGTACGCTTCCATTGCCCGATGCACGGTCCGCATGCATTTGCGAGGACGATGCCGCCAGCCTCCTCGAATGTAGAGAGTGTTTGGTCACGGTCAAGAGTGGCGCGGATTTGCTCGCTACCAGGGGTCACGAAGAAGTCGATCGCTGGTCTGAGGCCTGCTGCAGAGGCTTGCTTGACGAGGTCTTCGGAGCGAGCCATATCTTGATAAGAGCTGTTTGTACAGCTACCAATCAGCCCAGCTGACACTGTTTGGGGCCAATTGTTTGTCTTAACTGCCTCCGCAAACTTTGAAACGGGGGTTGATAGATCTGGAGTGAAGGGTCCATTGATATGTGGCTCGAGTGTGGAGAGGTCGATTGTGATGAGCTCGTCGTATTGAGCACCTTGGTCGGCTCGAAGTAGGTTTTGTAGAGATGGAGTAGAGGCTATAGTCTGAGCTTGTAATGCAATGGACGATCGGTGGGTTGATTCAAGATATGGGATGTGTCGGACGGAGAAGGGGAAGAGGGATGTTGTAGCGCCGACTTCTGCACCCATGTTGCAAATGGTGGCCATCCCAGTACAGCTCAGGGAGTCCACTCCAGGTCCATGATACTCGATAATGAAACCGGTTCCGCCACGAACAGTCAATTTCCCTGCGAGATGGAGAATGACATCTTTTGGAGACGACCAACCACTCAGTTGCCCTTCAAGCCTTACACCCAGAACCTTAGGAGCTTTCAATTCCCAAGGAGCATCCACAAGCGCGTCAACTGCATCAGCGCCACCAACTCCGATTGCAATGGCTCCTAATCCACCTGCATTTGGAGTGTGACTATCTGTGCCGAGCATCATCAGGCCCGGTGCCGCATAGTTCTCCAGCACGGTTTGATGAATGATTCCAGCTCCGGGTGGCCAAAACTCAATGCCATATTTCTTCGCAGCCGACTCAAGGAAATCAAAGACCTCCTTGTTCCCTTTAATTGACTCGGGGAGATCAACATCAGCACCTCTCTCTCCAACAATCATATGGTCACAGTGTATGCTGGCCGGAACTGCTGTCGAAGGAAGATTACAAGTCATGAATTGGAGCAGAGCCATCTGCGCAGATGCATCCTGCATAGCCACTCTATCGGGCTTAAGCTTAAGATTTGCATTTCCTCTGATATTGAGTCCATTATCGGTGTTGGAAAGTAGCGATTCTTCGGGATTGTCCAGATGAGAATAGAGGATCTTCTCAGCCAATGTAAGCTGTCTCGCAGAGCCTAACAGTCGCCGGACTTCGTGAAGTCGTTTCAAGAGTTTTGGATACGGAGGGGTTCGGGATTCGATGTCTGGGTTATAATCATGGGAGGATTTAGTGGTCACTGTTGCCAGGCTTCGCGCACCCCGAGGTCTGAGTAGAGTGGTAGAGTAACAACTCTGCAGATGTCAATTGATGGTCAAAACAAGTTTCGCGATCCTCAAGGTGTTTACCTTTGCTCTAGTAGCAGCCCTGCTGCCATTCAGAAGTCCGGCCCTCATGACTGCTGCCTGTACGTAGTGCGCTGTCGAAGTTCTAGTTGTTCTGGTGATAATAAAATCATGGAATATCTCGAGTACGGGCCGAGTCGCGATGTCGGACCCCAGATTTGCAAGTCAAATGGAACAACGCCGATTGGTCAGTTGAACGACATGACAAACTAACTTTTCTTCGCGACATCTGTAGAGTAAACTTGTTGACGTGTAATTATTGTATAGTTCAACTTCAATTCTTGCCTTGTCAATCTCAAAGCACCGCCATTTCGCACCATAGAGTGTTAATCGCGGAGACTCAAACAGCGATAATCGGTGGATTGAGCCAGAAGCCAGAAGGCGTTTGTGGCGGTCATTTTGATTACCCGTGACAGCGCCTTGACTGGGCCAGTTAAGTTGCCCTAATTAATGGCTCCATTTCCCATTGTTCAGATCTTATTTCAGTAAAATTTCCTAAGTAGTATGTAACGAGAGCATATAGTTTTGCGCAACGGTATCCATTTCATTTCTCTACTGGCGTATCACTGGAAAGCAGGCGTAGGTGAGAGGAGTAAGTCTCCAAGTAGTTTTAGCTTTCAACCCCGAATTGCCAGCTTCATCCGAACGTTCAGGACCTTGAGGAAGCTTTCATTACGCAAGTGATTAGTGTCTTTTCAGCTTCTAGTTTGAGTGTTCTCCATATTAACTTAACTCTAAACCGAAATTCGTCCTTAATTGTATTTCGCTGGCTGCCCGTCGCACCAAGAATGCAAATTGGCGATAGTCATTGCAAAGTATCAAGGATAGGAGTCCCCTTCTGTCATCTTACTTGTGGTTTAGGTCTTCAGGCCACTTTGTGTATCGAAGAACACATTCGACGTACACGGTCAGTATAACCAAGGGAGGTAGTACAAGACTATCTCCCTGGGTTATGCAGTGATGGAACATGCAAGCAACACTACGATTGCAGAGCTTCCGTCAAGACAATCCATTTCCGGTCGTGGCCAAGTTCCCTCAATGCTTGCCTAGCTAGGATCCATTGAACTGTCGAATGATCGACATATGCTCTTAATAGCTTAGCTTAATAGGGCAGTATGGTGGTACTAGATCGTCGAATGTGCACTCAGTGTGGTGTCTAGGTGTTTCTATCCACAATATTACTCTAGACGTATCCATTGAACGTCCTACTGTTTGATGTGACCCCTGCAGAGGGACTAAGAGCTCCTCCAGGTTCGATAATGATAATCGAGTAGGGTCTTTCGAAATAGGCGTTGAAGTCCCTCCTATTGCAACCCCTCAATAATTAGTTGGAGGAAACCCTCGCTTCTCGGGCCCTTCTGGATGATATGCGTACGATTAATCCAAGTAGGACCTTCATTGACAAGTTGATTCATGGCTGGTTTCCCTACATGTGTCCTAAGCAGCGTGTGTGAAGACATGTGTGATAGGTCTTTGTGCATGTCGACGAGAGTATCTCTTCAAACACCCCACTTCACCTTGCAGTGTGGAACTTGATCAAGTGCACAGCTTTGCACTGGAAGAGACGTATTCGGGATTTAATTCTGTGATCCCCAAGATAGAAGCCACGCCTTGCGCTCAAGCCGCACTTTAGGGTTTCCTTCTGTTCTTACGTCGCCGAGACTCCCCCCGCTCGTCCAAGGCCACATTCCCTTTTGTTGAATTTGACGACAAAAGCTAGCCTGAAAACCTCCCCCCTCACACAACAACTTTCAAAAACAACCCAACTTCTTTTGATCATCTTCCAATCGTACCAATTGACTTTCATCACTTTCATCACTTTCATCACTCACTTCAACCCTTAGGCCGCTTGCCACTCTCGACCGCCAACCAAGCAGCAAGCTCCTGGGGCTGCTGGAGCTCCTGGAGCCGCCAGCTTCGTGGAGCGAGGACATCCCCAGTCCTCGCCCACACAACACACAGCAAGGTCAGTGAGTCTCTCTACACTTGCTCTATACCGTACCAGGCCATCTGTGCTTCCGCTCGTCGAATTGGATTGTGTGCGCTGTGCGCCACTTTCTGTTTACGAACTCTTCTGAATGTGGACTTCCACTGCTCCTAGCTTGACTTCCATGACTGGACTTCGCCGTTGCTGATAGTTATTGATCATAGCTCGTTTGGGATCGGAAAAGTAGTGATACCACCCAAGCCTATTCTATTCGAAGCCCGAGACAGTCTGCCACGATTGTACTGTGATAGACAGATCTATATCTTCCCGTCCAGTGCTCTGATACAAGGCCAACTACTCGATCGCCTTGCGTGAATATTATTGCGGATCTACCAGTAATACAGCGCAACGATGTCAGACTCAGGAGACGAGGACAATAGGGCCCAAACGGAGAGAGACAAGGCAATGATTCTCGCCGCGATGATGGTATGAAAATGTCTTTCACAGAGACTATATTTCGAGGAGAGCACTAATACTGGAAATAGGAGGAACTCGGAGTTGGTAGAATGGACGCCTTGCCCTTGGAAGACAGACGCGCCAATATCCCCGCAGCAATTATCGAGGATGTGACCGCTAGGCCTATCGACCCTTCGGATCCTATTGCCTCCCACTGGAAGAGTAAGTGGCTCCACCAAATGTTTGAAGCCCATATAAGAGAATCTGACCCTTATGGTACCTCTTTTAGATCTAGATTTCGACGACGTGAACGAATCGGATAAACTTTTAGACCCCATTGCCCATGGACAGTTGTACCGTCAGCGACAAGGGGCGCCTAATGCTCAATTGAATGCTCAATCTGGTAATCGTGCTAATGCACCAAATATGCCGCCTGGTGGTGGAAGAGGTGGCCAGAGCAATAAAAGCAGCCGCGGAGGCCATCATGGAGTAGGCCAAGGTGGGCACCACACCGGGGGCAATGGGTATAAGGGCAGTTCAGGAAAGGGCTCTAGCCGCTCAACGTAAGTTCATCGCGCAGATCGGCTTCCTTATTTTGATGTACAGTACTCACCATATCCCTTCCAGTCCCGGCCAAAATTCACGAGCATCCAAATGGGAAGGAAGTGGAGCAAGAAAGAATGCCCACCTGGGCGAATGCGTTAACCGTCTACGTACTCAGCCTAACCAAGGGGGATATACCCCGGGAGGGAAGTACGTGTCAAGCCAAAATGCATCAAAATCCTATCAACAGCCAGGCAGATCCCGAGCAAGAGAGTTGCCAAAGACAACATTCACTCTTGCTTCGCGAGAGGAATTTTTTGCCGACGTTGCTAGACACTATCCGGTGCAGCAAGGACCCAACCCATCGACTGTTCCTGTCACTACCAATACACCCCGAGTGACCGCCCCGAACCGAGATACTACAGCTCAGGAATCAAGCGTGCAGGTCTCGGAATCATTTGCAAAAGCCAATTCGCCAGCCAAGACGATTAATAACCCTTCCATTGCTCTGCCAAAGGGTGGCTTGGCAACTTCAAAATGGGCACCGTCCAACCAGACAGCAGGCTCGACGAACCAGAAGGCTCCTAGCTCCAAATCTCCAGTCAAGGTCAATAATACTCCTGCTAGTACTTTGCCAAAGGATGGCTTGGCAGCTTCAAAATGGGCACCATCCAACCAGACAACAGACTCGATGAACGAGAAGGCTCCTAGCTCCAAATCTCCAGTCAAGGTCCATAACACTCCTCTTGGTAATTTGCCAAAGGACGGCTTGGCGGCTTCAAAATGGGCGCCATCCAGCCAGCAACAAAACAACCTCAGCGTCCAGTCCGAAGTAAAAGTAGGGAATGGTCGTGGTCCTGCCATTTCTCTGCCAAAGGATGGCTTGGCGGCTTCGAAATGGGCACCTCCTAACCAGGCTGCACGCCCAACAAACAAGACGCCATCGCGGTCTAAATCTCCAGTCAAGGGAACTCCTGCCACCAAGGCAGCTACTGGATTGCAAGGATCGAATCGGGCAACCCCTGGCAAGTCAGATACTATCCCTCCCAAAGATTCCGAAGATCACTGGAGCCTTGGAAAGCTCGAGGCCATCACAACCAAAACAGCCACAAAGGGAGAATCAGCCACATCACCACAAGTAACAAGGGAACATTCAGGTGTTGAAGTGCAGAAGGACAACGGCCCAATCGAACAAGGCAATATCCGCCTGACTCGGGCCAATCCTCGGACACCACTTGTACTCAATATCTATGTCGGTTCAACCCTCGTCTTTTCGGATAGCGTTCCTAGGGATGCGACCTTTATACTCGACAAGAAGACTCTGAATTTGCGCCTTAAACAAAAGAATGCTATGGGAACCTCTTGGAAAATGACATTTGTCTTGGCTCATTTTGCAGTTGGCACGCATAATCAAGTTATCTGTGATCTATACCGTCTAAACTCGGCCCGAAATGAAGACGCAACTCCAGCTCGGTTGCCACTCGCAGACCATCCACCAAGCGCCTCTCCCAAGGAGATATCGACGTTGTCTCGGTCTCCTGACGAATCTCGGGATAATAGCACGTCTAAGGGACCAACTTATTATGCTGAAGGAATTAACAGCGCCCCTTTAAGTGACCTCGATGTTCTTAAAGATGGTAAGGAACTCGTCGCTTTCGGCGAGAGTTCCGAAGATGAGAAAGTCCCTCCTCCTGTAGGCCTATCCGCCCTAGCCGATATGTGGGAGTTGAATACTACTGTGTTGGTCAATTCGATTTTCGCTACCATTAACGCATTCTATGGCCCCATTCTAACTCACATCTCCAAAGCCGTCGGTCAGCAGGGTTTGGGGCTTGATGCGCCAGTAGATGAACTATTAGCATCGACCCCGCATCTTAAGGCTAGTCATGATCTTGTTGGAAACTTCTTCAGGTACTCGGAAACCTATTCTTGCATGACCAAACTAGAAATGGCTCCTTACATCGAAGATTTGAGCATAAAGCTCTTCGAAAAGGCCCTTATTCTTCGAAATGACAGCTCATCTAATATCTCTAGGGCGGTTGGTTTGGATCCGGCTGTTATTGATGGCGATATCCGAACAGTCAATATAAAGCAGACCGTCCGCCACATCTACCCCATAAGTGACCTCCTACAGATGCGTAGCCAGGCAACAGTGTTCGAGGGTGAATTGCTGCCTAAGAGTGGAAGGAGGAAACTAGAACCGCCTGATCCTAAAAACATTGCCGGTTACACTCCACCTGGCCGGGCAATCGTTGCAGGTCGGGAGGAAAATGAAAACGCCTCTCGCTCTGTTCCACAATTTAAGCCTGCTACATCGGCTGCTGGCTGGCGAGCATTTGCGGATCATGAGACAAACGTTAACCCTACCACTGTACCTCGTAGCAGAGCAAAATCAGGAAATCTCCGGAGCAAGCAAACAACATTATTTTCGTACGAAAATTCAGCGACTGCCTTCGATATCAACAATCAGGAGATCTTGGAAGAGGCTAAACTAACCCCATCTCGCCCGGCCTCTGTGTCCAAGACTACAGCAACCGTTGAGGATTTGCAGGCCAACTCAAGTACGAGAGGTAACATTCCAGAAGAGCCCATTCAAGAGCCACTGGCAAAGGATTCAACTTGTATCTCCTTGGGTAATGATGTGGCAACCGTCTCCAGGATTGACCAGTCCAATACATCTCCAGAGTTCGACAATACAGAGCCAGCCGAGCCTACGCCAGCCACGCCAGAAAGGAAACCTCACACTGGAAACAGAGGTACTAAACATGTTCCCAGCAACTCCATTTGTGAAAACCTTGCTAAAACTTTCGAAGGGCTGAACCTTAACGTTGAGAGTGGTTCCTATGCTACCGATCCAGCTACTAATGATTCTGGCAAGGTGCCTTCTCAAGCTTTAGCAAGTGTTCTGCCCACAAGCGTCGGTCCGGTTGCGACTATCCCCATCGAGCACTATAATCAGCAAGCGTCCCAGGATGAACAACAGACAGGCCTTCATGGGCCAAGCGCAGAAACTCCACGCCCTCTGAATGCCCAGGCCGCTGAGTACAAGTCTCCGCCGCCAAAAAAGGGTGCCTTGTCGGGCCTACGAAAGGACCTTCTAGACATCAAGGGTGGACTCGCTGCATCAATGTGGGCGCCAAAAATTATGGAGACGAAGTTAAACCCTACAGCACGACTTCCCTCGCCAGTGTCTCGATCGACGATTATGCCAAGTGTACTTCCACCTCACGGTGAGGCTATTCGCCCTGCGTATCCAGTCCAAGGGTATACCCTTCAGCCAGCAGACCTAGCTACAAGCCTTACCATGCAGCCTGGGAAAACTTGGCGTGTTTATGATCCTCAAACTGGAAACATGATAGAGATTGCCGGTGAAATCGTGGGTGTAACCAGCCCTACCCGGGTTGTTCCTATGTCTATGCCAGGTGTCGCTAGAGGTTCATTTGGTGGCCAGGAAAACATTCCCATCTCTGCTGCAACAACCGCATTCACAAGCGTAGCCAAACCTAGCCCTATTGCGCTTTCGTCAAGGCCGACTATGACCCCAGGCGCTTTTGAAGGTTTGCAGAACGTTCAGCCAGCTCCCAACCTGCCCACTCCAAAAAAACCCGTATTCTCCTTCCCACCTCGGGCCAACATGCACCATCGTCAGATTTCGGATGCGTCATCAGATGCGGGTGTCTTTTCTGCTGCTAACGTGTCGAATTTCAAAGGCTCCCCTCAGGGTCGTGGCCGTCTGGGGACTGGCGCCACACCTGGGGCAGGAACTCCATTGTCACCTCTTCGCCATGGTGATGAGGATTATCAAGCCAACCTCCAAGCAAGACTCAGTCAGAGCATTGCAAAGCGCTCCCCTCCCGGCAATCGGCAATAAAGTCTGGCACGGGGTTCTGTGTGTTTGACGAAAATGACAAAAGATACACAAAACCCAAAACCCTGTTTCATGTCTTTAGCAATGGTTCCATGGCAGGACTCTGCATTTGAAATGTTTTGCTTGTTTCGAACTTGTAAGCGGGCGTTATCGAGTTTTGAGGCGCATTGAGTTTTCTGGCCGAAATGTATCTGACCGATACCATGTTATCGCCCACGAATTTCTCGATCTGCAAACGAGTTGACTGAGATTTGATAGATACCAGACGGCAGAAATCGCTGATGTGTACCGTGTATTGCGCACAAAACACAGAGAGCGAAACAATGTAGTTAGTCTTCTCTAGGTTTAGACAATACAACTGCAGCTGCCTTGGAAGATGGTTTGATGTGATCAATGTGATTTATGGTGTGACAATGATAGTGATGTTTATGCTTCGGAAAAGAGGCTTTCCTGTAGTAGAGTAACGTACCCCAGACTGGCCTGTGACGGACTAATAATAACGAGTCTAGACTCGCGTATCTGGTTCTGGTACGACTTACGGAGGTAGAAGTTAGCCCCTTTAAATTCAATTTATTAAGCGTCGTAATAGCGCCCGTTGGGCCCTCGAGCTCCTCCACGTGTGGCGCCATGCAAACCAGGGGTCCGGAGTACGTACGACTCTCTACAAATTCCCAACCCAGCACTCTCTCTAATTGTACACGAACGAATCTTTTATTCTAGAGCTGGGAACATACCAATCGCTCAATATGTCAATCCCAGCTTCAACTGTCGTTACTTCTTTGCCGGAAAAAGCCGAGGGATCAGGATCAGCAACACGGTTAAGAGCCTCGCAAAATGGGAAGACAGAGACAACCTCAACTGCCCCTCCTTTAGAAGTAAAGGAGCACGATTTCTTCTGGACCTACACGGAAGAACCCCATCGAACGCGTCGACAAGCAATTATTAAAGCACATCCCGAGGTAAGCTCCCAATCGTCCTTGTCGTCGCAGCTTCAATCGCTATACAGTGCCCAACAAAAGATTCCTAGGTTACAAAACTCTGTGGGCCAGAGCCACTCACCAAATACGTTGTCGTCTTCGTCGTCTCCATCCAAATCCTCTGCGCATACCTCCTCCAAAACACGCCATTTATATCATGGAGATTCATCCTCACCGCATATGTAATTGGCGCGACGGCGAACCAGAATTTGTTCCTGGCTATCCATGAGATATCGCATAATTTGGCATTCCGGAGTCCGGCGGCGAATAGGGCCATTGCTATGGTTGCAAATCTACCAATTGGGATTCCTTATAGTGCTTCTTTCAGGGTATGTTGGTTTTCCCTTCCATCCTAGTTTGATAGATAGGAGGAGGTTAGAAGTGAGAGATGCCAACAGACCAATTGCTGATTGTGACTCCTAGCCCTACCATCTCACCCACCACAAATCCCTCGGCGTTGATGGCCTCGATACAGACCTACCAACCGCGCTGGAGGCTGTATTCTTCGACTCGATCCTAGGAAAAGCCTTCTTCTGCACATTCCAAATCCTCTTCTACGCCCTCCGCCCGATGTGCGTCTACTCAATCGATTTCACCAGCGTCCACCTATTCAACATCATCGCCCAGGTGCTCTTCGATTATATCCTTGTGAAATCCACATCTCCCAGCGCTCTCTACTATTTGATCCTATCCTCCTTCCTAGCAGGCAGTCTCCACCCCACCGCGGGGCACTTCATCGCGGAGCACTACGTTTTCGACGCCCCTACCCCCGCCGCCAACGAACCTTTAACCAACACCCCCATCCCAGAGACGTTTTCATATTACGGCCCGCTCAACTTCTTCACCTATAATGTGGGTCTACATAATGAGCATCACGATTTCCCTGCTGTTCCCTGGACACGGTTACACAAGTTAAACAGCATCGCAAACGAGTTTTATAGAGATTTGCCGAGGCACGAGAGTTGGATAGCAGTTATCTGGAGGTTTATCCTAGATGATAAGGTCGGTATGAGGTGCAGGGTTAAGAGGAAGGAGGGCGGACGAAAGGTTGGGGCCTGGAAAGAGGCGGAGGTGCAGGCTTGATTTACTAGGAATTGTTTTCTGCGCTGGCTCCTAGCGGCTAGGCGCGTTTGGGATCATGGCAATGATGATAATGGATCGCTCGGTGTATATATATATGTATTTATGGCGTTTCTATGATGGCTTGGGAATAGATTTTAGGAATTACGATAGATAATCGCTAATTTCAAGTAGTCAAAGGCGTGGAGACGTGTTGAATTATCATTATCTTGTTATCATTTAACCTGAGGTTCATCAATCGCAAGACAATTTGAGTAGTTGCAGGTATTGGTATTGTTTGCACTCCAGGTTCTTAATTCTCGCGCTAATCGCTCAAAGCTAAAGGAAATAGAGAGCATGGGAGACGCAAAATTCCATCCGTTGACGTCGCGATAGCATACAGCGACATAACTAGGGAAGCTGGTATTGGGTTCAAGTGTTCGTGCCATCGTTAATGATTTCAGAAATGAAACGCATGCTATGCCGTGTCTCGCAGCCCAACACGCACTCGTTCTATTATACCACCGCCTCGCTGCGGGCATTTTTACATACCTTATTGATCTCTCCAACACACCCATCCAAACCCACTTATCAACTCCAGCCTCCATCGTACAAGCAGCCACCGAACTGAAATTTAGAAGAAGATATATGCAAGCAAGAAGCTGACCAGACAAAGCGCCGCAACAATTTGCAATGGAACGCCTTGCGAAGTTGGGGCCCTCTGCATCATATCATTAACCGTCTCATTCGAGGTCTCGCCCTTTGCCACCTTCCGCATCCGCAGACTACCTTCTTGGGCATAGCTCGAGATGGTTGCTTGCGCTTCTGCCAGCTTAGTCTTCAATTCGTCGTAAGAGAGTGGTGCGGCGGGGGCAGTCGGAGTAGACTCGGTGGCCGGTTGATCTACTGGGGCTTTGATATCGCTGAGGCGACGGTTGACGGGCTCATATTCTGTTTTAGAGACGGCGGCTTTGGGTGCTAAGGAGCGTCTTGTGTTCTCGGGGGTGAAAGTCTCAGGTGAGGGAGACCGAGCGTTGCTATAAGCGGCGGATCCAATGTCTGGTGTGGCGGCGTTCGGGATTCCATTGCTTGAGTTCCTTAGAGGTGTAGCAGCTGCTGTTGCGCCCTCAGCCGCTAAATACACAACCCTTATTTTCTTCTCTTGGACTTGGGACCTCTCAGCGTCATCAACATGCTGCCACTTAGCTCTGTTAGCAGCTGACAAAAGCACATAAAGATATTTGGAACTCACAACGTTCCCACTGAACTCTTTATCCGCGGTGACTGCTACCGACTGAACCAAAAACTTGTCCTTGCACTTCGCATCAGGGGCTGGTTCCTGCTTCATAGCCTGCAGAAGAACTACGTGGGAATGATTAGAGTGGCATTATGGGCAACTTGCAGATTGGGTACGCACCAGTGACATCAACCTCCTGCCCTGGCTGGACAGTGCCGGAGTTTGGGCGAACGCAGTATCTGGATAGTTAGGTCAATGGAAATTGCTTCGATCTGTAATTAATGGTAACATACTGCTTAGGCGCGGTAGTCTTGACCTATACATAAAATTAGTCCCTGATCTGCACCGTTCCCAAGAAAGGTGTATGTATGGCGTACCTTGAAAGCAACTGGAGTATGGTTTGGATTCTTAATCTTCAAGATTTGCGACACCTCTTGCGTAAATGGCCCTGAACCCCCTGCATTAGAATTGTCGACCGTGGTAATTGACACATCTACGTACGATGGAAACCCAACTCTACAGGCTCGATCTCGACTGACATGGTGGCGGGTTGCGGCTACTAGAACAGTAGCAGGAGCTGGAAGGGGGAAATGCTGAGGTACTTTCGAAAGCTACAGCAGTTTGTCGCAGACCGATCTACGCAGGATATGGAAACTCGAGGCCAGTAACAATGGGAACAGCTGGCAAGCTGCGCCTTGGACTATGCGCCAAAGGAAGAACGTTCGCAGGATTTTCGGTGGTGTATTGCCGCTGTTGTTCTTGTGGAGGGAGATGGTATGGAGGTGGCGGTGGAGGTAGAGGTGGAGGTGGAGGTGTAGGTGTAGTTCTGTCGATTTCGTGATGGTGAGATGCTTTCCAGGGATGGAAATGGAGATGGACATGAACGAACACTTGAGTTGAACATGGGGTCACTCGGTCGGGACTCGTACCTCGCTTCGTTCGCTTGGCGCTGGACGTCATCCTGCTGTTTGCTCCGTAACCGTTGCGCATAGAAGTACCTGGACCACCCGGCGGAATCGCCATCCATTTCAATCCCTTCAACCACGATAGAGTTTAATTCGCAAAATTATCCCATTCGTATACTTTATTCAAGAGTCGAAATTAATACAACCCTCTCGTGCAATTTTAATTTCTCTGACTTTGCCTTAAACCCCCACCATGGCTTCCTCGGACTTAAGTGTCCTCCTGGACATGGGCTTCGAGAAGGAGAGAGCTGAGTTGGCGGTCAAGAAGACTGGCGGATGTATGTCTCTCCTTGCTCTACCCGCATTTTCACAGCTAACAGTTTACCTGCAGTACAAGGAGCGCTCCAGTGGCTGGAAGACAACCAAGACAAGTCGCTGGAGGAGATAAACGCCCCCGCAGCAGCATCTACATCCGCAGAAACAGACTCGACTATCGAACCCCCGGCACTGAAGGAAGGCGAAGTTGCTAGATCGATGGTGTGCGATGACTGCGGGAAGAAGTTCAGAAGCCAGGCTCAGGCTGAGTTCCACGCTTCGAAGACGTATGTTTAATAGGCGGTATAATATCTACGGGCGCTGACGGTTTGCGCAGGGAGCACACTAGCTTTTCGGAATCAACTGAGGAGATCGCCCCTCTTACGGAAGAAGAAAAGAAGGAGAAGTTAGAGCAGCTTCGGGTACAACTGGCCGAGAAGCGTGCCAGGCAGGCTGTCGTGGATAAGGAGGAACAGAAGAAGAACGAGGTACGGATTATTACTTCCATTACTGCCTAGCCGACCTCTTCAGGGCATATAGGTACCCCTCTTCTTCCTACAAGCTAACCCCTTCTCTTCCCCTTAGAAAATTCGCATGAAATCCACCAGAGAAGTCCAAGACATCAAAGAAGAACTAGCCCGACAAGAACAAATCAAAGCCGCCGCCAAAAAGCGCGAAGAAAAGCTAGCTGATATCGCCGCCAAAAAGCGCATCCAAGACAAAATCGCCGCCGACAAAGAAGATCGCCGCCTGAAGGCCGAAAGAGTAAAGGCAGAACGCGAAGGCCGCGAAGTCCCCGTTGCACCCGAGCCAGTAGCAGCGCCTGTGGAGAGGAAACCAGCGCAAATACATAACGAGGCCAGGCTGAGATTGCAGATGGCGAGTGGGACGGTGATGAAGACATTTGGTGCGGAGACGACCCTTTTTGAGGTCGCCCAGGATCTGGAGAGTGAGGCCGGCCAACCAATTGAGAGCTTTACTATGACGTATCCGAAGAAGACCTTTAGTGGGAGTGTGGATTTCGGGAAGACCCTTAAGGAGGCGGGGTTGGTTCCTAGTGCCGTCTTAATTGTTAAGTAAAGGGTGGCATGAGCATGGGTTATGCATAGGTGGAGTTGGGCGTGGAGAATTCTGCCTGGGATCACGACACTTTCATTATACCTGGAATGTTGACTTAGAAGGGCCCGGTATTCCCTTATCGCCGAGGTATGTAACGAATGCAATGGAGAAGAATATCGGATGAACTAAGTTGTAAGCGAATGCCATGCCATTTCATCTAGCAGCTTTTTCTCAAGCACAGAAGCCATCTCAAACGCAACCCTAAGCCCGATCACTTATAGAAAGGAAGTTACCCCCATTGATACCCCACCGAAACGCCTTGCTTGCATTTAGCAATCAATTTGATAGCAATAAGTCCCCCAAACGCCAGACGACAACATCCCCGACGAATGGTATAAGAATATACAATCATCTAGCCGTTCAACCTCTGCCTCTTCAAGTCGCCCCCAGTAGTGCTACCGGCGATAGGCTCATTGGCAGGTAAATCCACCAACGGTGTCCTCGCAGAGTTAAACCCTCCGCCTCCAGAATCCACCGGTCTTTTTAGTGGAGGCTTATACATACTCCGATTACTCATAGGGCTCGGATTATTCGGCGCGCCAATTCTCCTCGTAGTGTCAAGTTGCGGGGTCACAATGTTTCCTCTCGGTCCAGGAGCTGGTCCAGGGGCAGCCTGTGTCGATCCGGGCACGTGCTTAAGATCTTTCGTCAGGGGTTTCGAGGATTTGTGGTCGACACCCGGTGTCTTCCTAATAGATGGCGATTCCGCGTGGGGGTTGAATACAGGCATATTGTTGGGTATTGGTGCCGGTACTCCCTCTTGACCTTGGCCTTCCGGGAGCATAGTTGCTGCTCGGGCTGAGTAAAATCCCGCTCCTTGGGGAGGTAAGCTTGCGGCATCGCTGCCATCTGAAGGTTTATGAACTCGACCTGGAGATCCGGGTGCTGATACCGCTCCATTACGACTAGGTTGCATCAAGATACGGCCAGCGATGGGATGTGATTGGCCCTGTAACGCTGGCCTGGACTGATTAACAGGATCCTGTGCTGCCCTTATTCCTTGGCCAGACCCGTTGGAAGCGGATCTAGTGAAGCCAGAGTGAGGAGTCTGGGGCTGTGGTTGTGGTTGTGGTGCTGCATTACCACCACTGTTGGTTACTGTTCCATTTTGAGGACGGCCTGGCGGGGCAGCCATCGCCTGTGGGCGACTTGTAGTAGGTCTGCTATGAGCTTGCAACCCAGAGCTTGCTCCAGAATTCCCACTTCGAGCAGCTGTAGGTCGATTTGAAGCCGCAGAAGGTCCAGGCAGCACTACTTCATCTGGGTGTGCATCTGGATCACCGACGCCAAAATCTGCTTCATCAAAATCTAGAGCGTGTGAGCAACATTCTGTTAGAAAGAACCGCGTCACTGACCTCCAAATTCGTCGTCAAGAGTGGCCGCAGACGCTATAATAAGATCAGTCTCATGAACAGTCAAGTCGTCCTAAAAACTTACTTATGCTAGCAGCATTATTGCCATATTGCGACTCCTCATCCGCCGGGTTTGGTGGATTTGGCTCTTTCTTGACCGGTGCAAAAGTTGGATGACGATGCAAATTATCGACGTCCCACTTCGTAGGCTGGGCCTTGACCTTCGTAACCTTGCTCAAATACTCCTTGTCATAAATGCAATTACCCAAAACATTACCGAAATTTCGCAAAGCTCTCTTTAGGGCATCCGTGGTCCCCTCTTTCTTCGCCTTCTCAAATGCCGCAGCTTTCCCCTTGCAATTCTCCATATGCCCATAGCCTATATCCTCATGGAAGGTCCCATCTCGAAGCGTAACTCGTACAATAACCGATAATCCAAGAGAGATTTTTAATGTTTGCGGATGCTCATCGACAAAATCAACCTGCACGTCCATGATCTGGCTAGACCAGCCATTGAATCCGAAGACCTCATTCGCCAGTTGGATACACTTCTCCGCAGCCAGGTAATGTACCTTCTGCCCTGACGGCCCTGATCTCGATGATATATATTCCGGCCCCAGTTGTTTTTCCAAGCGGCCTTGAAGTGTAACGATTTCTTGGGCGGTGAACTCTGATATTCGTGGTTTGACTTCTTCGAATGGGTTTGTTATTGTGCGGCCGCCTGAGGAGAGATGCTGCTCGCCGGGTCTGCAAATGTTAGCAACAAAACTTAGCACGTCTGATTAGGGGGCACATACGCAGGCATCTTGGTCGAATCGATCGAGCAATGGGATGTTTCCCAAGCTTTAACATTGATGGTGTTGTTGATGTCGTTCTGGTTGGCGGGAGACGCGCGTGACTCTGAGATCGCGAATTGACGCCTAATCACGTGCCTACGTGGAAAGGGGTTGCCCTATCAGAGTACGTGCTTCGTATTTGTGCTGCCGAGTCAGGCTTGGCGCAAGCAGGTCCGATATCCACCGACAGGACCTCTACTTTTTTACTTACATTAATCGTCATTGTCTACTACTTAGTTTATCCTTACTTTAACTATGGTCTACTTATTTGCTACTTTAGCATATTCATTGACTTCTAATCCTAACAGCACGTAGAATGAGGGGATTCTTTTAGTTAAACAGCCGCCCATACAACACCAGAATCTCGACATGAGTATGTTCCACTTCCATCTGTGGACCTGAGCAGTCGCTGCTCTAACCTGGGTAGAGCACTGAGCCCTGGGTATTTCTATTACCTACGAAACTTGCAAAATAAACTGGCGGGAAAATGTCAAAACAGATGATTGGCATGAATTTGAAGAGCGCGATCAGAATGGTAAGTCCACGATTACTATCATCTAACGAGGGAGCATTGCTCTACCATCTGTGTATGCGATCTCTTCAATCAATTTTCCCCCCGACGATCTCACAACGCCACCTGCAAATTGGCTAAAGTACGAGTTCTGGTTGCCCTTTCGTCGCAAACTAGGATGCATCAGCCACAACATGAGGAGTACGACGTTTCTCATCCGTTTTAGGCGATTAATTCATTTGAGGGCATGTTTTAATCTTCAACGTTATAATATGCTTTTGTAGGGCGAATCTAACTCAAACTAGAACGTGGGTCAAGCCTTTCACAGCACATTGCCCCAAGAGTTCGGGTCCCTAATTTTCGGAACACTATTATTTTCAGCATCGGCTAAAGATGATTAATTTAAGACTTTTGAAGGATGATTTCAGGCGCAAGGATACCCCACTTCTACATAGAAATTCCGGTACTACGCTGACTCTTTAGGCCAAACTCTTGCAGAGGGGGCTTTCGATTAATTTCGAGCTATGCCGGCAGTCTTCAAGACATATAAACTCGAGGAATTATTTAACGTTGGGCAATGCCGCTGGTTTTTAGAACGTCAGCTAAATGAAATTTGATGCAAGATGTTTCTTGCAATTGTTGTGATAACTTTTGCAATCTTTGTCTCGGCTCTACCGAACCGAGCCTCTGAAGCACAGCATTTTACTCGTCTAGATGATATTGCGGCTTCATATGACTATGTTATTATTGGTGGAGGAACTTCTGGGTTGACAGTCGCTGATCGGCTAACAGAAGATGGAAAATGTTTGTACAATGATTTCTGACTAGAAAGGGAGTGGACTTATTGAGATTATCGTTACAGTTACCGTATTGGTTGTTGAGTATGGTTATTTTGAGGACGCTGTCAACCCTTACGAGTTCAACACGAAGGGAATACCAAGCAGCATGACATTTAATATCACATCAGTTGGCAGTAAGAAAGTTTCACTTGGGATAGGATGTTGTGTCGGAGGTAGTTCTGCCGTTAACGCAATGGCTTTCATGCGTGGTACATCAGAGGATTATGACCGATGGGACACTCTCGGAGGTGTTAGCAGCAGGCAGTGGAATTGGGAACATCTCTTGCCATATTTCAGAAAGGTGAGAGAGCACAACTTCCTAGGCAACGAAAAGCGACACTAGCTAATGAAACGATAAGAGCGCTACTTTCAATCCTCCGACTGCCGAATTCGCCCAAGACTTTCCCGTAGAGTATGATATCCAAAAGGCTTGGGGAGGTCAAGGACCGATTCAAGCTAGCTGGCCAACTTTCCAGTATCCTGCCATCAGTAAGTAAATCCCAAATTATTATTATCAATAAGCCTTAAAAAGAAATTCTAGATATCATGCACGATGCATGGAAGACTCTCCCGGGCGTTGAGTTTCCAAAGGATGGGTCCGAAGGTAAGGCTGGAATCGTCTGGATTCCCATGTCGGTAAATCCAGAGGACGAAACTCGATCTTACGCCCGAACTGGCCATTACGAAACTGTGAAGAGCAGAACCAACTATGCACTTCTGACAGGACATAAAGTCGATAAAATCGAATTTACCTCTGGCGGTACACTGATAACGGCCGACAGCGTGCTCATATCTCCCAGATCAGGGGATGGGCCAACGGTTAAAGTCACTGCCAATAAGGAGATAATTCTTGCGGCCGGTGCCATTCACTCTCCACAAGTTCTGCAACGTAGCGGCGTCGGCCCTCGAGACCTTCTGGATAGCGCTAATATCCCTGTGGTTCTCGATCTCCCTGGCGTTGGTCAGAACTTCCATGACCATTCATATTTAACTATGGAGTATAAATGTAAGATTGTCTTAACACATTGAGTGAAAATAATTGCTAAGAAATCAGATCTAACCAATGTTTTTCCATACCCGGAGGCGGTCCGATCTAACGCCACCTTTGCAAACTGGACTGCGGAAGTCTGGGCGAAAAACAAAACAGGTGGCTTTCCCCATTCCAGATCCTTTATACACTGGAAAAATTTGTTCTTACACATAATCAAGGCCCGTATTCTGTTGTTGGCTCCAATCTCATGGCGCAACTTGGTCTCCCGATAATCGCCCCCGACGAATACAAGTCGATCGCATCTGATCTTGAGGACCTAGATCCCGCCAGCCTTCTGCCCTCCAATACAGACCCAACAGTTATCGCAGGCTATGCAGCTCAACTAAAGGCCATGGCAGCCGCTGCACGATCCAATAATACGGCCTGGCTCCAGTACGGTCTCCGTGGCGTAGCTAGGATGAATGTTAATAATATGCACCCTTTGAGCCGTGGTAGCGTTAATATCAACATCTCAAGTCCAGAGAGTGAGCCAGTTGTGGATTATCGTGCTCTTACCAATCCAATCGATGTTCGAATTGAAGTTCTGCTTCTCAAAGCCATCCGGAACTACTTTGCAAGCGAGGGAGAAATACAAAAGCTCACTCCTGTTGAGGTAACCCCTGGGCCGGATTTTGCATCAGATGCCGACTTGACTAGATATGTTCAAGATACTGTTACTCCAACTCAATATCATCCGGTGGGGACATGTTCTAAGATGCCGCTTAAGTTGGGCGGTGTTGTAGATGAAAATTTGAGGGTTCACGGAATTTGGCGGCTCCGTATTGTCGACGCTAGTATTATACCTTTAATCGTTGGAGCCACCTTGCAATCAACCGTTTACGCTGTTGCAGAAAAGGTAAGAAGATTATCTCCTCAGCGAATTTTCTCTTCTTATAGCTGTATATCAAATAGTGAAACATTTGCTAAAACCCTTAAATAGGCCGCAGACTTGATACGACAGAATGCTTGATAAAATTCAGAATGCTTTGAAATATATTGGAATTAAAGCTCCCTCTACTATTATCCAAAACAGCTCTATGAAGTTAGTTTCACTCTAAAATGCCTATCCTCGCGGCCATGTGAATTTAATCATTCAACATAGGTACAAAGTATCCCATCGCCGCGAAGCACTACAGTTTCCCCGCTTGCCCAAGACTTACCCTTGATGCCGTGTCGGGCTAATATTTCCACAACCAGACTTCTCCAGGAGAATGTACACAAGGACTTGGGAAATGGTTCTTGATTTCCAAGCGTTTGCATCCCTTATCACCTTGTGAGTGCTGATAGGAAGAAGAGAGGTACTCATATCATAGATACATGGTAACACTTCCCTTATCCACGTTTCGCGGATTGAAAATGTCAGATTGGCTATTTTGCTGCTATATAAAAGTCTGGAAAGATGGCGGTGATGCTTCCAGTGGAAGAAAGAGTCTATGTGCAAGTATAAAATGACTCAAATGAAGCAGCGGAATTTAAAGATGCCGTAGACCGTTTGGAGGCGGTGGATTTGGATGATGAGGGGTTTGCGAGATTTTCTTACTGTAGGTAGCTAGTCTCGTTTAACACATGTCGATTTTCATTATACTCTCTCCACCACCTTACTTCTGGTCACCCGTCTCCTTGGGATTTGCCTGTCCCCGTCAGATTCCGCGCCGTCGTCATACTCCATAACTGCATCAGCCCAACGCCATAGCCGCCCATCTGCTACAAATCGCGGGTTCATCTTGGCTGCTAATGCTACTTTACGCGCTAACGCTAGTCTCTTACCGCCAACTTCGTCGAAGTACTCCTTCTCCCGCCGACGGATCTCGCTTTCAGGCTCGTCGTCAGCTGCTAGCTCGCTGGCCAGTGCGAACGCATCGTGGCTCGTGGCTCGTTTTGCCAATATAGCTGGTAGATTATTGATGTCGTCTCCGTCATCTCCAGGAGTTACAGCTCCCCAGACAAGCGCATAGAGTGCCTCTGGGTGATCATAGTCTTGTAGAGCATCTAGGTTCACTAGGCGCATGAAACGTGAGACCATCTGGCCGACCTTCCAGTAGTTGGACTCGATTATACTCCTACCGATCTTCCTATTTTCGGTTTCGAAGCCGGAGCGAAAGGCACTTACCAGTGACAAATCTAACACCAAATCCCTGGGATGTGGCAGGCCTGGAGTAGCGAGTAGCTGGGCTCGAGGAACAGTGGAGGAGAACGCCCAGTCGATGACACACGTGATGTTCAAGTCATCGTCAACGAAAAGGTTCTGGAGGCTGATGTCGTGGTGGCAAAGGGGGAAGCCAGGGGCCGACTGACAGATAGTGCGGACCATACTGGGGATGATAAAGTCCCGGAGGAGGTTGCTCGCGAGGCAGTACTGCAATCGATTCATGCTCGAGTCCACCATTCCTCCAAGGGCCGTGAAGTCATTCCAGCGATCAGTAGCGGCTTAGTACTTGGCGAAGTTGGGGTATTCTTGCGGGACGGGGACAGGAGCACGGAGGACATGGTGTCCCATTGGAAGCTGCTCGGCATGTAGATGAAGGGCTGCGGCGAGGGAGGAGTAATAGTCCGCTTCGTTATGAAATGGACCGCGCGGGATACCCTCAATCGTTTCTCGGTCTTGTAGAACGTGACCGGGAGAAAGACATTCGTCGATGTAATAACCATCGTCGCCTTCGAAGAGCGACCCGATTGTCGGAAAGCGGAGACCAAATAACTGACAAGCGTAGCATCCGAGCTGTCGCATAATTTTCTTCTTCTCTTCCTCTGTCAAAACTCGTGCTGGCGTCACAGAACCGTTCGGTCTAGAGGGTTCCAGAGTATGTGTTCGCCAGTCGTAGTTCGCAAGGGGATGGCCAGCAGCCTTGCTCATGAGGATATATGGAATTTCAATATCATTTTCATAGGTGGGGCTCACAGCAGTTAGCTCAAGAGAATAGCCTGGAGCTCAAGGAAGATAGATACCTGTAATGGAAAACCTCTGCTACAGGAATAGAGGTGTGCTCTCGGATGTATTTCAGGGTAGCGGCCTCGAGGAGACACCCGGTGACGCCTTGGGTGGCAGCGTAGGATGAGCAGGGAGCCCGCAAAACCCACTCGACGCCATCATCGAACTCAAGAAATATCGCCCAGTTTAAGGCGCCTGCTTTGGGGGTTTGAGAGTCGTTGCAGGTACACGGTTGATGTCGGAGCCGTTTCGCTAACAGGAGAAGTTGCCTGAGATCGAAGTCGGCGTGGAAGTAGATATTCCTCTTTCGGCGCGTAGCAGGCAACGTGGTGCTTGGCATATCAGATAAGCTACCTCTGAAATAGTCCACCCATTCCAGGCCATCTTGTTTAGCCATCTTGAGGAATCAAAATTATTAAGAAGTGGCAAGGCACTCCTATATCGGAGGTTTTGTTTATCTGCCTACTCGGTGAAATAATAGGAGTGGCTGGTGCATTATATGCAGGGCACGCGGCCGCTGCTGCAGACGGTAGTGCAATTCAGCATTCAACATACTGTTAGATAAGTCAACGAATAAGCCAAAGTGGTAGCTATAAGTAGATAAAGTCGAAGTTATGACAACCATTCTACAACCTCCCTATCCACACGTAAGGTAGTAAACTACAAGGTCAGGTATGTGATAGTATTAGTCTGACGAAGAGAAGCTTGTCAGCAGAAGGGAATTTACATCTACCGGTGTTAGAGTAGAGGAGTTATAGGAATTCCCCTGCCTAGCTGAAAGTGCCACTTTAGGCACCCCACTTGGCACTTCTCTACTGCAATAGAGAAATTGTATATATATATCTATAATAAGCTAAATACTTAGATATTATCGCTCCTTATACTAATTAGTATATAGTAGATAATAATAAGAACTCTAGAGTGCTATTCAGGTATTACTAGTTTTATTTTATTTAGTTACTTAATTAGTTCCTTAACTTATATATTCATTTACTTATATATATAAGCTTTTACTCTATAGTATTAAGCTCTTTAATTAATATAATTATCTTATTCTATAACTTATTCTAAACAATTAAATACCTATCTTATATATACTAATTTGGGACCCTATTATCAACAGGTTTAGCGCCGCACGACGACAATTTGTCAAAGTTGTCCGGACGGCGCTGCCAGGCTTTCGAGAGGCCCCCAACAATGCAGTTCTCTCTGCGACAGGAGGTCTCCAATATAGAGGAAGTAGTTAAAAATTCAAGCCCAAGTAGCGAAGATGCAAGGAAGGCAAGGGAGGACTTCCTAAGCCTGTGGGAAATAGTTCCCGACGAGTGGAAGTCACAATGCAAACGTCCTCCCTCTGATCGTATGAGGGTGGATGAATGGAAGAAGGATCCTATTAAGATATCCAAAGAGGTGCTAACCCAGCTATCAGTTTGGGGAGATGATCTTTCATCTATCCTTCCCTTGGCTGCTTTCCCTGATCACCTCGAGAAAGACTTTGCTCGACGACTGTTACTGGCGTTGAACAATACTCGCATCCAAGAAAGTATATTGGGTATACGGTTACGCATCCTTCAAATAATGTTATACCTCTTCATTAGCAAGCTAGGCGGTGAGCAGCTTCGCACAGACTCCGAGCGAGCGGGAAGCTGAGTTATACGAGAGAACAAGCATTGGCGTGGACTGCAGGGAGAAGACTTTGGACATGATAAAGAAGTGGGCGGCCACTGGACGGCTGTTATATCCATTATCGTTGGAATTTGCACCACCGACAGAGTGCTTAGGCCCCATGATATGTCTTCCCGAGGACATAGGGCCGAACAAATGAGTACCAGCAATGCTAGACCAGTGGATTGTCCGCTAAGCACGCCGCAAGCTTATACAAATACCAAAAACTGGAGATGCTTGGACGAGCGCTATTGAGCTCCTGAAGACCCGTGGTATCAATGACAGAAAGGTTCGTAATATCGACCGTTGCTATACCGTTGGGTCCAAGATATTGCAGAGGATGAACGCGGAGATAGACGGATACCCAACAACAAGGAAAGTTCAGCAGGAAAGTTAGACCTTCCAGATTCCCTAAGAGGCCTATGGTTGAAGCATCATGCAATGGCCAATTGGATACTTCAGGTGATTCCGAGGGATGTAGCATGCAGACAACGCGGGAGAGAAGTGAGAAGCATATAGGTGGAGAAGTGGTTCGCGATGTAGCGTGTGGGGAAATAGTCCGTTCATTAAAAGATCTTATTAAATAACAGCTTCTAGCGCATTGATTTTGCAGAGAATGACTAGGTTCTGCATACGAGCCACAATAACCTACCTCTACAGCAGGTCCTTACGTCTTAAATGTACTGTGTACATTGCTAAAGGAATTTATAGTGTATTCAATTATACAGGTCTCCACAAAAAAACAAAAAAAACGTAGACATGCAGAATTCTTCCATCAGTATTTGACGATCGGTGCGTTTGCCCAAAGTACCTCGATGTACTTCGTCAAAGCTCGGGTCATTACTTATCGTACACCTACTCCGTAAGCCAGGAACCTGAGGGCACTACTTCGTAGAGTATCCACCTTGCTTTATCTACCTGGGACTACTCTACCACACTAAATATACACTTATTAGGTGATTATTTGTCAGTCGGAGCCATTTGTCAGTCGGAGCCATTTGTCAGCGGAGAGTAAAAGGTCTCCCAAGCCCGAGCTCGGTTGATCGTGGAGTGACATGGAAGTGTGGGGTTCAATCAAGCAATAACGCTGGTCGTTGCCCCTACTTAAGAGGACAGTGTGTCTGTCCCAGAGATACAATCCTCATCTCTGGCATCAGACTCCATTACAGAGGTGTTGTGTTGAGTCTCCCATCTCCATTCACGCTCCCTGCTTGCCAAGCCCACGCCCACGCCCGTCCAGCAACAGAACATGTCTCTCAAGCCGATCACTCTCTGGGGCCACGACAGCGGCCCCAACCCCTGGAAGGTGGCCATCGTCCTCGAGGAGCTCAGCGTCCCTTATACGCACAAGATCATCGAGTTCCCGGACATGAAGAAGGAACCGTACGAGTCGATCAACCCCAACGGCCGGGTGCCTGCAATTGAGGACCCGAATACGGGCATCACGCTGTGGGAGTCGGGCGCCATCGTCGAATACCTGGTCGAAACCTACGACAAGCAACACAACATCAGCTTCGCCCCCGGCTCGAACGAGTACTACGAAGCGAAGCAGTGGCTGCACTACCAGGTCTCCGGCCAGGGCCCGTACTTCGGGCAGGCCGTGTGGTTCACCCGCTACCACCCCGAGAAGCTCCCCAGCGCTGTCGACCGCTACGTCAATGAGATCCGTCGCGTCTCCGGCGTCCTCGACCGCGCCCTGCAGGGCAAGGAATTCCTCGTTGGCGGCAAGTTCAGCTATGCCGATGCGGCGTTCGTGAATTGGTATGCCATTGTGCCCCTTTTCGCTGGCAGGATCAACCTCGAGACGGACTTCCCCCTCCTCAACGCCTGGTTGGAGCGCATCAAGGCCCGTCCGGCCATTGCAAAGATCCTGCAGGACCGGGATGCGGCTATGAAGGCCAAGTAAAAGCGTGTTGGGAGTCAATGGAATTTATCTGGCGAGATCCATCCTGCTGCTGGGTCGGAGATAGAGTATCAATAAAGTGGCAACGAAATAAAATCAATCTCCATCGTGCCGAAATGACTATATACAGGATGCTGTAGAGCTTATAAATTCAATATCTCTCTAATTTTATCATTAGGTCCTTGCTCTATTTAGCTGCCTTACTAGCGCTCTGCAGAGAACTCTATATACAATTCAAGGCTCGTGAATATTCCAATCCTGCTTCATCAATCTTAATTAAGTGAAATAACAAATGAAATTCAAACAATCTAGGAAAACAATCTTGATATCGCCCGACGAGAGATCCACGGCCCATTCTCGTGTGTTATCGTTGCATACCCTAGCTAACTAACTACCTTTCCTAGGTGTCTTGTATGGCGCATTCTTGGGCGAATTTGGTGCAAAACTCTTTTCGGTAGAAAATCAGGCACCTACAGCTATTACCTATCTATATCTCCAATATCGAGCTTCTAAACTATTTCTATATACTAATCTAGAGAGCGTAGATATCTTAATTTTGGTTAGATATTTATACGACTTAAATACCTCAATTCTAGTGAGATATTCGCGTAACTTGAATACCTCAATTTTAGTAAGATATTTACACGATAACAGATTTATATCTAGGTAATAGCCGTTGGGCCTCATAGTACTGGCGAAAGGAGTTTTGCACCAAAGTCGCCCAAGAATGCGCTATACCCACCCCCCAAGCGACAAAAATTGTCTGATTCTTCAGGGCCTACATCGCGAAGCAAGAGCGCCTCGGAGTTAGCCAGAGAAAGGGACGGCTTGTTGTATATTCTAACTAGGCACGAAACAATTCAGGTTGCTTATATATACCCTTTCCACTCACTAAAAAATATTGAACCGGACAAAAAAGGACCTCGCTATATATTCTAGGATTATCTAAAGATGTTCTGGTCAATGGAGCAAATAAGTGCCTTGCAAGCACAACTCTTTCCACATAGCATAGGGGAAGATCCGGTGTTTAACTTTATCACTTTATCGCAAGAAGTACACACTACGTGGGGCAAGGGGGCGTTTGCCCTAAAGCCGATTTCTATGTCGGGCGATAACAGAACGCTAAAGGTCCAGCTTTACTGGCAAAAGGAAAATGGCACTAAAGGCAGTATGAGTCTTCTCACCAAACCTACATCAACCGAGGGTCTCGATCGCTATGGAAAATCCTGGATATAATTGGAAAGTGATACCAAAATTAAATACGGCGACTAGTTCGAACTTCACACAGATGATCCAATTACGAAACCCCTACCAAGTCTTGAGCTATTAAATCTCTAATAGTTCCTCCCGCAGCCGACATAGACTAGCCTAGTCTTTCAGAGTCGGGACCCGGACGAGGATATTCTAGGCCTTGAGTTTGATAAAGTAGAGGATTTATCGTTAGGACTATAGATCTACTACCCTCGCCAGAATTCGTATACAACAATTTACAGCGTTCTAGTTTATCTAAGTATTATACGAATAAGGCAGAGGGGGACAGAAGACTTACAGAAGTCGGAGACAGAGACGGAGTACAAATAGCTATATAATATTAAGGAATATCGGGTGGAGCGATTTACGAAGATCCTGAAGGACAGTGCCCATTTCGTCGCCTCCTTACTATCAAGCTGCACTTTACCTCCTCGCTCTCTGTATCTTCTATCAGTACTATATTAGTTACACCGTTCTTATACTTATCACTTAGTAGTATGGGCACTATAGCGTCGTAATCGAGTAATCGGAATAGTAGTACGCGAAGACGTGATAGCGTGCGTCAGCAAACCCAATCTCGAGTAACACTAGATCGCGGTATTACTGCCGATAACTCAATGAATCGAACCGACCTTCTTGGGATGCCGCTATCGAAGCGAAAACGCAATATCACTTTGGACGCGTTACTAGATAATAACGAGGAGGAGGATAATGATAATATTGTCCCCGCAAAGGCATAAACTACCTAGTATCCTACTTGTGGATAAAGTACATGCTGAGTAAGCAACCATGGGCCACATGATCCAACATAAACGTGGGCTCGTACATCTATGGAGTGAATTCGGTTCAAAGCCCTCAGCCATGGGGCTGAGCTCTCATCACGCCTTGGCACCTGATTTCTCTACAAAGTGCCAACCTTCATGAACTTCAAAATGGCGAGTAACATCATAGAAACCGCACGTTTCGGTCGTCAGAATGTGCATCCGAGATGCAGACGGAGAAGACAACGGCATCCACTCATGCGTCGTGGATTGCCCCTTATGCTGGATCTTCATGAGCACCGAGAACAAGCGCAAGCTCGTTGCGGGAGACAAAATCCAGCTTGGAACAGCATATGACCTGATGCTCGCAGCTCAAGAAGGATGTTGCTTTGCCTCACTTTGGCTTCAGAGGCTTTTGTACACTCCGCATGGCCCTGTAAGTCGAAGTTGCCAATTTGCCAAAGGCCATAGAATGTTGATTGACTATCTAGCAATACTCCGAAAAGTCCAGAATCTCGGCATTTGTGGCCCAATCGGGCAGGTCTCTTCCGATGGATATCCGGGCCATCACGTTTGCTATACAGGATGCAGACGGTATGATTAACCAGCTAGGAGATGGAAGCGTTGAGACGGTGTATCACGGGCATGAAGACACTTTTGGTGTTTTTGCTTTCGAGGGTTTGCTTCAGCTCTATATTCATAGCTGACACTGGCTGAAGTGGAGAACAGGAAGCTTGACAGGAGAATTCATCAAGCAAAGATTCGCTCAGCCAGTTGTGACTCAGCCAAAGGCATATGAAACGGCTCGAGGATGGATCGCCGAGTGCCTGTTTAAACACGAGAACTGCCCTAAGCCGGAATTCTCTCCCTTGCCTACTCGGGTCCTAGAAGTGTTGACAGTCAATGGTGAGAACAAGGTGAAATTGGTTGTCAGCGATGGGCTTTGTGCCCAATATGCGGCACTTAGTTATTGCTGGGGTCGAACACGCCAGTTGGTGACCACAAGAGAGCGGCTTCCATCGTTCATCAATGAAGGGATAGAAATCTCGAATCTCCCCAAGACTTTGCAAGATGCCATCACTGTGACTAGGAAACTTGGGATTCGGTACTTGTGGATCGACTCATTATGCATCGTACAAGACTCAGACGACGACAAAGCAGTCGAGTTATCTGAGATGCCTCGGATTTACAAGAGTGCAATTGTGACCATATCGGCAGCACTGGCCAAGGACTGCGATGATGGGTTTCTAGAGGATAGGAGTGAGGTGCAAGCAATTCTAAACAGTGTGTTCGCACTCGAATACCTCCTTCTTGAGGAAAATCATCCCGAAGCAGATCATCTACAAGATGTGTCTAAAGATGACACAGATACAATATTCGTATGTGCTGATTCTGATTGTGGCTTCGCAATCAAGGACTTTGAGGAGGAGCCTATCAATACAAGAGCCTGGACATTACAAGAATCTTGGCTAGCCCCCCGTTTGCTTATTTATGGATCAGGACCTCTTCAGTGGCAGTGTCTTAGCAAATCTGCTTCTTTTGGTGGCAGTCCACCCTACGGAAATGATAAAGGCTTCCTGCCTGTGGAGAATCGACGAAAGTTCTTCGCGCAACGAAATCCAGCTCCTCCTACCCTGATAACGGAGAACGCCGAATATTCTAGCATGACCATGGATGAGATTGAAAGAGTCCTGGATGAAGTTAGAGGCAGGGTTAACCAATACCTTGGTCGGACCGACCCTAGAGAGGAATTATTAAATGAGTGGAGAGAACTCGTCAAGGAGTACACTAGGCGAGCAATGACAAATCCTGGAGACAAGTTACCTGCCATTTCTGGAATTGCAGCTGAGTTCGCGCGGCTCTCTGGTGACGAGTATCATGCGGGCTTGTGGAAGACTTCGCTTCCGTATAGTCTTCTCTGGCATCAGCTTTCAAGGCCCTCACCTGGGAGCAAAGAGATGATAGGCTATCGGGCTCCATCTTGGTCATGGGCTTCAATTGATGGCGCAATTAGTATGAAGAGCCCAAAGACTTTTATTGGCAAAACAGAGGTTATTGTTGAATCTATCGAAACTACTCCACTAACACTACTAGCGCCTCTGGCAAAGGTAGTATCTAGTAGACTAACTCTGACGGGACCAGTTCGTCGGATGTCATGGGGGAAGGTGCAAGAGAGATTTGTGATTGTCGACTTAGATCAGAGTGCGCATTTGGTATGTTACGAAACCGAGCTGTAAATGTTACAGAAACTGACAGAATAGTACTGGGACTACATAATACCAGACAATGGCTTGCTGAATCCACGATTTTTGAACCCTTCCAAGAACAGCCAGTATGCTCAAGCAGGAGAGACCGTCAGTGTTTCAGTATTCCCTCCAGCCTTCATCACTCCAATCCCCAGATCTGTAAGGCTAGTACCTAGTGTATCGACCCCGGAAGGCACATCCGTAGCTGAGAATGGCGCATATATCTTCCTAGAGATTACTCGAGCCCCAGAGCCTACTGGTATTGTGTTAGAAGAGCTTCCAGGGGAGGGTTATAAGAGGATTGGATATTTCCTTATGGGCAGGAGAGCGACGAGTCAGGATGAGCAGAAGGATGGATTTTGGAGCGCTGGGGACAGAGATTGGGACTGGGATGAAGGGTTGAAGATGCGCACTTTGACCATTGTGTAGTATAAGCCTACCAAGATTGCAAATGATGAGGGTGGAGTCGATGTTCGAGGTTCAGACATGATATAAAGAGCGATATCTGTTTCAGCTTAACAACAAATTTCTGCCACGTTACTGATCCGCATGAAAACCACTAGGCCTAATCATTATTCTTGATACACCTGCTACAACTAGACGCTGAAGAGCGTCGAAGGGATCGGAATGTGGTTAGTAGTCTAATACTACCTATTCTCCGGGCTTAATGCCAGCTACCCCACGTCAGGTGACCCCAAATAAGGGGAGCCCTTTAGCGACAAGAAAAGGGGCATAAAGGGGCTCGGTTCCTTAAATGTGGTTGATGCCTTAGGCTGCAGGGCCTCTAGTCTTGACCTCAACACTGATGCTGGAAAAGCCCATATTCTTTCGCATACACAATTCCCTGCAGCAAAATGGCCGATTCTTGATCAGAACCCCGAGCGCTCTCGGTTTACGCTGCCTCAACCAAATCCTAGCATCCCCCGCGAAAAATTTGCTCCTCACGACTGTGGTAGGCGTAGGAAAACACCGAGTCGAGAAGGGAAGCCGCTGAGAGGGCCCACCCAGCGCCGCTATAATTTGACAAGGCCGGCTTGAATACCACAACCCTCCAAACAACATGAGTCGAATATTGTCGAGTCGGCAAGCTGAAGAGCTGTATGCACATACCTGTGGCTAGAGATACGGGGCGAGGACTGGATCAGGGCTAACACAATATTTCCAGTCACAAGTCGTTCATAGCATACTTGTCAGCGAACAGCCTCCCAAATACCGCCGCCGCACTTAAAACAGAGTTGAACCTTACGGAGGATGATTTTGATGCAGCTACGGCAAAAAAATATGAGACATTGTTGGAGAGGAAATGGACTAGCATTATCCGCCTACAAAAGAAGGCAAGTCTTTCCTAGCCTAGGCTTCATATTCTGTTCTCGTGACTGGGTGCGGGCTCTTGTTTTCCACCCTGGCGGTAGGTATCTCATTTCCGTGGCAGACGACAAAGCACTACGGTGCTGGGATCTAAGCCAAGACGGCAAGTGCGTCAAGGAGCTATCGAATCTGCATGATCGTTTCATATCTTGCCTGGGATGGGCACCGGTAGTTGTTAAGGATAAGGATAAACCTCCAGCCAACAGCGAGGCTCCAGGAGGCCCTCCAGAGGTGCAGGTTCGCTGTGTCATTGCCACCGGAAGCGTGGATATGACATTGAAGATATTTGCGAGGTAGCCGTGCAAGATTTGTCGTTCAACATTGCTTAGTTGCCAATCCCTTCAAAGATCCACACACGGCAAAGACACCTTGCGCCTAAAGAGATATGTAGAAGCTCTACTTTGGGGTCTTGAAGGAAAACAGCCTCAGAGACGCATAATTGCAACTTGCAAGCATTACGCAGCCAATTACCTTGGATCTTGGGGTTGCATAACTTGACACCCTACAAGATTTGGCTGAGTAGTATCTACAGCCACTCCAGCAATGCGCGAGGGATAGGTTGGGGTTTTCATGTGCTCCTTCGTACAATAGTGTCAACGGAGTTCCATCCTGCGCCAACAAGTAGCTTCTGAAGACGGTTCTTCGGGAGCACTGAAACTGGACGAATGAGAACTGATAAATTTCTAGCGACTATGAGGCTGTCCAAGACGTTTCGCTAAACAACCACTACGCCCCCACGAACGCTACGGGTACGACGCTCACTTTCAACGAAGGCACAGGTAGACTACCTAGGGCAGTAGCTGTGAATACAGCTCATCCTCAGATAGACCAGGAGCATAGCAGAGCAAGCAGCTTACAGAAGCAGCGGTCGATCGGGCCTTGTGACGATGATATGAATGGCTTGTCAGGGCGGGATACTTCGATGTAGCCAAAGCTCACTATGCCTCGCTTGGCTAGTCAGACGTCAACCGTGAACCCTTGGTAGCCTTGCCAAGAACGATGAGAATGGCAACACTGTTCTATATCCTGGTAATTATACACTGATTCTAGGGCTGCCTACGCAGACGATGATGAACCTAATCCGTACCGGTGATTCTGCTGTACTAGACAAGTGGCCGCCGGCGAGCTAGTGGAAAGATATAAATCAGTGTGGAAATACGGATAAAGCAAAACATCATTATAGCAATATCAGAAATTTTACTAAATCTTTATATTTTGCCTTTATACCTAACAAGTCGGCTTTCAATAGGAAACTCCCATGCCCCCAATATCTTGCCATTACATATACTCAATCCCACCCAGTACGGGCCTTGATGATATCTGCAGCCTATATAAACTGTCAGCAAACACCCAAGCAGAATAACCTCCTAACGTTGAGGAAATTAATAGAGGATCTACCCACCTTCTCAGCCACGGCATAAACGGTCATAGAGGTCGTAGCACCAACAATAGTTGGCATGATACTGGCATCAATGATAGTCAAGTTCGTGGTGCCATAGACCTGCAAGTCTTCATCGACAACTCCACCCCATTCACGGGGCATCTTGGCCGCGGTACCAATGGGATGATAGACGGACGGAATGATCTGTTCCTTGGCCCAGGCTGCGAGCTCAGAATCTGTAATGATATTCGAGCCGGGAAGGCTCTCCTTTGCCTCATACTGGGCAAGATCGCCGGTTGTCATGTAGCGACGCATAAATTTTATCATCTCGACCATAACATCAACATCTACGGGGTTAGACGCGGCACGATAGTCGACCTGCATCTCGCCATCCGGGTCCTTGGGGTCCATAAGAATGGTACCACGGGACATGCAGTGCAAATTCTGAATGGCACCTCCAGGACCGTGCAACATTATCTCGAGGAAGACTGGATTGGTGGAGCGCATCAGCTTAGCCCAGACCTTTTGCTGCTGCTTGTAACCCTCAATCTGGGTCTCTTCGTAGTTGCTGGGCAGATACGCCGCAGGGTCTTGCGATTCATATGCCTGGGCAAGGGCCTCATACTTGTCAGGTGTGACCACCGGAAGACCGATCATAGCCGCAAGAGATGGGGCACCACCACCAGGGGCACGAGCAGCAATTATATCCCGAGGTTTGTTGAACAGTTCAAGATCGAGGTCGCTGTCAGTGGGTGTTGTACCCCCTAAATAAGTCACAATTAGAGATCCCATAGCCATGAAAGTTAGGAATAAGGACACTTACATGAATACGCAATATTCCTAATATAGCTGTGATCTTGAAAGTTGGATCCAACACCAGGGAGATCGACCAAGACAGGAATATCGGCGTCCTTCAGGAGCGGGGATGGGCCAATACCACTCCTCATGAGTATTTGTGGTGTATGAACTGCACCAGCAGCAAGGATAACCTGACGTCTGGCTTTCACTTGGGCTGGCGGTGTGTCAGAGGAGTTTCTTGAGGTAAATGTCACACCAGTGGCAGTGGTGCCGTCGAATAAGATATTAGTGACTTTTGCGCCTACAAGCATCTCATAATTTCCCCGGTTAAGATCGTCCCAGTGACCGCTTCTAGCATATGATCGTTCGTATTTTATTGGGTCTTGAGAAATCGGGTACCAATAAAGACCTGGTTCACCAGCACCGCTGTCGACTGGGACGGCTATGCCTGGCATGTTCTTCATTGCGTTGTAGAGGACCTCTATTTGCAAAGAGTTAGAATGACATTCGAAGTACAGTGAAGGATAACCAGAAAATAAGCTTACTGATGTATGGCTGTAGATAATTTGTCCCGAATGTACCGAAGATTTTGGAGGTGGTGCCCCAATACGCCATGTCGTAGGTGATATTGTAGTTTTTCGCCTGGACTGGTTCAGGCGGGGACAACGTAATACCCTAAAACAAGTCAAAAACAGCGTATAGGGGTGTTATAAACATATTCTGGTACCTTCTTAAAGTATGGCAGTAGCCCTTCCCAGTTCCAGGTGGAATTTCCACCACCTAGAGTTTCCCAAGCATTATACTCTTCCTTCGTGCCACGAAGGAATACCTGACCATTGACACAGGAGCTGCCGCCCACAACGCAGCCAATGCCAACGGGGAATGTGCGGTCATTGAGGCCGGGTTGGGGCTTAGATGTGATGTTAAACATGCGCTTTGGGTTCATGCCAGTTTGAGTATCTAAGTAGTCATAAGAATGAAGGCATGAAATAATTGGCTGATATCCATAGACCAACTTACCGAAATAGCCATATTCAATCGCGAGAACAGAGTCTACGCGAAATAATCAGCAAGTCATGCCTTCAATACATAGTGAGGGATTGAACTACTGACATTTGCCATTCTCGGAGAGTCGATCACCAACCGTCAAGCCAGAAGTTCCGCCGCCAATAATGACATAATCATATTCGGCTTCAATCTGCTCTGCTCTTGTCTTGACATTAGTATATGGGGAGGTAGTAGGCCAGGCAGAAACCGAAGACACTGCCAATAGCACAGCAGCTGCCTCTAGTAAAACCATGGTACCGGGGTTTAAGTGATCAACAAAACGGTTGGAAAGTCCGAGTCAGGTACGGAACTTAGGGGAGTAAGCCACAATATGAGAGATAATAAGAAAACTCCACACTACCTAAAGCAACACATCGAGGGGGGAGACGTGTATATACGATTGCAGATAGCAATGCTTACCGTGGCCATTCACAGTAAAAGCAGCCATTTCGCCTCTGACGATCAGACAAAAAATGCCAAGATGCTGCTTATATCATTTTAGTAGCTGCCATGCAAGGCTGCGATTGGATTGAACCGGGAAGATATAAAGATTCATCTTTCCAAGATTTTCAACAATAGCCTCGAGGGAGAACTGTGCGGGGAGCGAATCGGCAAATAATAAACTTAATTAGACGTACTAGTCGAGTCCGCCTAATTGATTACCAAGGTCATTTGATATATTTGGGTGTTGACAAAGCTGCCTCCGTCTTATTTGGGGTCCCCGCATCTTGTTCGTTGAACCGGCTTGGTATCAGCTTGGTGCCTGGATTTTGGACCCACACGTGATCTAAAACCTACTCACCAAGACTTGAAGGCAGCTCGCGGTTTTGCAAGGTCTAGGACACTTCCTTAATATATAGGAGTAAATCGATCCTACATCTCCCGCGGAAGCCGCCTTCTCCACTTTTTAACAGCTTCAATCGATGCCTATGCAGAAGCTGTTTCTTCAGATATCTAAAGTCATTTGACTGGCACTGACTTCTTCCAATTCTCCTGTGCTTATCGTAACTCAATCACTATATTTTCTTCCAAATCTCACGTTAGCATCGTCGGAGGATCAAGGGCCAATATCTGGGGGAGGGGCAATCCAATCCTGTTAAAGCGGATGCAGATGCAGATATCATGCGAATCGGAACATTAGATATTGCGTTCAATTAGGCATTTTGTGGACTCGGGAATTATGGCACCCAAGGTTCAGTACATCGGCAAGCGGATTTCGCGGGGCCTCCTTTTGGACGCGCGCCGAACTATGGCATGGCAAGTTAATCAATGTTTTTGATATTTTGCTTTCCGATTCCGAGAAGGGCTATGTTTGGGGTTGAGACACATGCTGTACCTCGCACGCTCCACCCCGTAAACGTCGTACACGGCCTCGGGCCTCGCATCACTCACTATTGTAACACAGATACCTCATCTTTTCTTTCTGTAGCCTTGACTATATATCGATCAATAGTCGGTTCGAGAGTTCATATGCTGAAGTTATGGATAGTATATAGCTACCTCCAACCATTGTGAAATGCAGGTACATAGGCCCATTCAACCTTGCCTAGGCTCATGCCTGGAATTCGATCCATAAATATAAATCAAACATTTGGTAGCTCTCGTATTGAATCACCCCTAGATATTTGATTCCTCACGTAACTTGAAATATTCCTCCCGTGATCGTTGAACCTGACGGTGGGTTGTGGCCATACACAGTAAAATAATATCGTGCCACCGTTCAGGTCTGCTGCTGTATGGGACTTTCCTGCAGTACCTGCGGATCCTAGCGTAGCTTCTGTAATCTCCTATGAAACGCGAGAGCAGTCGGAGCGCAGGCACATATAATATCGTTGATTGCTGTAGAAAACTCAAGTAGCATAATGTATTAAGATTTGCCTCCAGAGCCAGGGATTTCCGATAGAAAGCTAAATCCATGAGAGGTTAGCCTAGATTCCTAGAACGGATGTTGGTTGCGAGCTGGTAAATAAAATACTGTACAACCACGCGGGGTGTCTAGCCGCATGAACAGTTTCAATCTTAGAACTCTCATGCCTCATATCTGACATCCTCCGTGGTCTCCCTGAATGGTCTTTGAAGCTCGGCATGCTCGACAGGCATTCAAGATCTCGACACCTCGCTACCAAAGACATATTTCACAAACCATAGCAGTAATATTTTTAAAAATAAAAATAAGTATCGAAATGCACAACCGCATCACCCGCCAGAGCCACCACAAATTTCAACTTCCAGGGCATGGTATCAAGGTTTGTTGTGGCATTTGGAACGAGGACCGCTTCGCCAACGCGGACACCTAGCATGGACGCTCTCAACTGCAGTCTTTGGAGCTCACTGTCGCTCTCGTCTTGTAAACGGAGCGGGGAAAAGCTGAAGCAGCCGTGATTCAGCGTACGACTATACGGGGATAAAAATCTAAAAATAAGGATCAACTATGGCACGGTCTTCGACGAAAGGGCGGACTTCGCCTCCTTTTGGTAGAGAAGAGCGATGGAAACTCTCGAGTGCTTCCTTACCAACGACCAAACCAACAACCTGTTCAGGCTTGGGTTGCAAGAAACACAGAGACGGTTGTGGCTGCGGGAGTGCCCTGCTTTGTCAGCACAGCGGTGGGAATCATTAAACCTCCATCAACGGTTCATCATCTGTGAGACATCGCATCGTGAACCTTATTTGTACCTAAGATAGCTCAACTCTTACCCTTCGCATATACAAGGCGAATAACACACGGATTGATTTGTTATCATTATAACAGCACCACTCCCCGGGGTTACTGTACTTCCCATGAGTATCTCGCAGATTGCTGTGGTACTGTAATTGTCGATCCCATCCAACAGAGCCTAGTGTTGGCACTGCGCACCACAGGCAGCGGGTCGAAGGCTTGTTATAAGGCAGACCGGACTTTCTATGAGTCAATCTCCACATTACTCTTCTTCTCGACGTCCACAATCATGGGGTCGACAAATAAAATTATGTGGGATTTCCGCCCATTGTTTCAGAGATCCCTGCTGGGCTTCTTTGCCCGTGTTCCCTGCTGTGGCTGTGATATGTCTGCCTGCTAAGTTGCACCTAATTTGGGCAAAATGCGGCTGACGCGACGCGCCAAATACAAAAACTCATTTCTTTTAAGCTGCTTGTTTGTCCTTCATACTTGCGGCTCTTTGGCAAGATAATGTAAGTGTCTGAATAGAGAAGATGCGTCTTTTCCTTTTCCTTGGCTTGTCCTCGTTAGCGGCCGCTGCAAGAACTTCAACAGTCAATTTGGAAACTTCAGACGAAACCTCATCAATCACATCAATTCCTACTCGAACCCCAAACAAGCCAGCCGAACCAACCGATGTGAAAACCATCACTTCCCCTGGCGGGGTTTCTATACGTTACAAAGAGCCCGGGAAAGCAGGTGTTTGTGAGACCACGCCGGGTGTGAACAGTTATTCGGGATATGTCGACTTGAATGATGCTACCCACATGTTTTTCTGGTTTGTAGAAGCAAGAAAAAATCCTGAAAATGCGCCTCTTACGCTGTGGTTGAATGGCGGACCAGGGTCTGATTCACTTATTGGATTCTTCCAAGGTATGTTTTCTTTTAAAGTCTCAGAAACATTTACTAATGGTACATCAGAGCTTGGGCCTTGCAACGTTACTAAAGCTCTCAAGACGCAACTTAACCCGTACGCTTGGAATGAGGCCTCCAACATGCTCTTTCTATCTCAACCTATTGGGGTCGGGTTTTCATATTCCAAGGTAGACTATACTAATCGCTATTATGGAAAGTATGGTATCCTCAAAACCAAATTGTAGCTATTTTCTTACTATATCTAGTGAAGCTACAATCGACCCGTCTGTGGCGGTCAACACTACGGATGCCGCCGCTGTTGGAGCCTGGCACGTATTACAAGGCTTCCTAGCCAACCTGCCGCAGCTCGATTCCAAGGTTGCTTCGAGAAGGTTTAACCTCTGGACCGAGAGCTACGGCGGCCATTATGGACCCTCCTTTTACTCCTACTTCAAAGACCAGAACTCCGCCATAGCGAACGGGACGCAAAACGGCACGCAGCTCGTCATGGATACACTTGGCATCGGAAACGGCATCATCGACGAGAGAATCCAGGCACCATATTACGCCGAGTTTGCCGTCAACAACACCTATGGTATCAAGGCTGTCAACGATACTATTTACGAGCAAATGAAGGCCGCATATTATGACCCAGGAATGTGTAGAGATCAGATCGATGCATGTGTTGCCGCTGATCGGTCTACTCCGAAAGGCGAACGAATTTGTGCGAGCGCCGGTCAAATCTGTAGAGCTGGCACCGAAGCACCCTATTACAAATACAGTAATCGTGGTACTTATGATATCCGACACCCGCGAAATGATCCTACCCCACCGGATTATTTCGTAGATTATCTCAATCTGGCGAGCACTCAGAATGCTCTAGGTGTGAACCTCAACTATACCAGCATGTCAAACAATGAGGTTGGCTTCAATTTCCAGAACACAGGTGATTTTGTTTTCCGAACTTTCATTACCGACCTCGAGGAACTCCTGGACAACGACGTCCGGGTAGCACTGTTTGCCGGAGATGCGGATTTCATCTGTAATGTGTGTTTCCACCGTTCTGTCAGTACGTTTGCAAGCTAACAACATGCAGTGGTTTGGCGTCGAAGCTGTCTCCTTGGAAATGAACTATACTAATAGCGCTGAATTCCGCGCCGCAAGCTATGTGCCATTCATGGTAGACGGAACTGAATACGGCAAAGTGCGACAATATGGGAACTTCTCCTTCCTCGTTGTCTATGAGGCCGGCCATGAGGTTCCGTATTATCAACCCAAGGCATCCCTCGAATTCTTCAAGCGTGTCCTGGGGAAGAAGGCAGTTGCAGATGGGGTCACTGATGTTACGGCAACTTATGGAACGAAGGGCAACCAGACCGGGTCAGGTCCATCGCCCACGCCCACCGACGGGTCGTCTGGGTCCAAAACTTCAGGGGCGGCTTCGCCTACTTCGACCAAGAGCGCGGCAACGAGAACACAGATTATTTGGGGTGAAGGAAAGAGTTGGATACTTCTTGGCATAATAGGCGTTGTATTCACGGCGTTTGTGTAGAATGATTCTAGCATTTGGGAACGTTGGGTTTTGGTGCATATACTACAAGACTTGGAGATGCTTATGAGCAGATTTACTATTATCATAGACCAGTCCATAATGTTACTACATATACAGGGAGTGGTGGTACATGTATCCTGTTTTGGGGGCATATACAGGCAGTGCGGCCGTTTAAGTAAACCTTTAGCCTCGTCCCGGATCAATAATTGCAGGGTAATATTAAGGCGACCATGATCATATACCTCAAATTGATAAAATTTAGGGATGGGATGCCACAAGGAACGTTATTTACTAATGATTATTAGTTGTAGCGGGTTTAGCAGCTGGAATATCGTCCCATAGCTGCCCCAAATAGAGAAAGCGTGCAGTGTGTTTTGCTTATTGACGATGACCAGGCAAAGGGCACAGGACCGGGCATAATTCGCGTGTTCACATCTTCCAATATAGGGACATCGAGATAGGTAGAAGTCTTCATGAGTTCGCTTATCTATAAAAGCTACTCGACCAGCCCAATATTGCACCGAGAGGTAGACCTTGGCTAAGTATTTGTAGGTACAGACAGAAACGACAGAGTAATCCTCTAGTCGAAAAGACCGAAGCCCATATCCTCGTCTGACTCCTCCTTGGCTATTGAAAATATTAGTATTCTCTTGCAAAATTGCCGCAGCGCTCGGATGTATCATACCCTCTTCCTTCTCCTCTTCCTTCTCCTCAGCAGCAGCACCAGCGGCGGCAGCACCTCCAGCAGCTGGGGCGGCAGCGGCGCCACCACCGGATCCAACGTTCAAGAGGAGGTCCTTGACATCCTTGCCCTCAAGAGCCTATATCCAACATCAGCATCGGTTTAGTGATCCCTCCTCAATTGTGGTTGTATGTACCTTGGCGAAGAGGGAGGTCCAGATAGGCTCAACATCCTCGATGCCAGCAGCCTTGATCAGGGTCTGGAGCTTATCGGCCTGTATACAGAGTTAGCAAGGCTCTTCTTTCCTTCAACTTTTTTTTGTTTGATGCGCAATGCTTCGGGGGGGTTGCGTACAGTGATGTCGACGGCATCATCGGCGAGGATGAGCGCGGCGTAGGAAACGGCGAGTTCGGCGTTAGACATTGTGGGGGATTTAAGAGATTTGTTTTTCGATGAACAAGAGAATCAATCACTTTAACCGCGAGTTGGGCGGAGACTGAAACGTCGAGTTCGGTGGAGTTGGGGTGAGTTGTGAAAGTTCGATCGTGGTCGAGTCGAGTCGAGCGAGAGGAAGTTTGCCGGTTGCCCTACAACAATGTTGGAAATTCGGCAGTGTGGGCGGCAGAACGTCGGCGCGTCGCTGATTGGCGGGTATAGCGAAGGGCACGCGCCAAGCGGAATGGAGATAAGCCCCGACACCCCGCGCCTGATAAGTCGGTTCCCCACCACTTACGGCCTGCTCTTCGCCTTCCCATACTTATCTGGCACGTTGACGTACTGGAAACACCTCCCCAGCTCTACAAGTACACGCAAGTGCAGCATCCCGGATATCGACGCAAATAGCTTCCCTGAGAGCGAACAGCTTATACCTCCATTGCTGCCATTCGCTTGGGTCCCAGAAACATACGAGCAAATACTACGACAGCCGGTTCCCCCAAACGCCCCGACGCGATGACGGATACTCCTTCGCTTCCCCTCCCCAGCGACTCCCGCGAGCAGTCGGTCCTTGATAATCTCCTGCGGATAAGGGAGCAATTGATGCTTTTGAAGCAAGACCGTACCACATATGTCAAGTCCTCCGATGTTATGCCGCTTTACGAGCAAGTGGTGGAGCAGGTTAAGCTGCTGAATGACATGCGAGCCGGGGAGCCACATGAAGATAGCAAAGGTGCGCATCGAGATCATATCACTGGATCTGATATGCTATGGCCACTAACAGTTGTACCGCCAGTTGACCGAGTCTTGGACGGGTGCTTCCAGCTCCTATCCCTCTTTTTCATGACCATCGGCAGAAACAACGAAGCTCCCGCCGCCTACGCTTTAACATCCACGATAAAACGGTTGCTGGACCATTTGATTGAGGTGGAACTATACTCAGAGAAGGACTTGGCTCATTGCTCTCATACGCTTGAAAGACTGCGGGAGATTGTCAAGAATGCCGCTGGTTCATATTCGCCGAACTTCCTCACATTTCTTTCTAATCGAATTGAAGCGTGTCAAACATTATTGACTAGTCTCCAAAATCGACTGGCAAGGCTTGGTGGGGATTTGCCAAAGATACACGAGAAGCTGATTTCGATATTGCGATCCATATCACTGGCTAATACCCGAGCAAAGGTGAGACACGGGTTGGCGGCCTTACCGGTCGCCTTGCGACTGGTTTTGGGGAGCACTTGGCTGACTACCTCCATCAACAGTTCTCAAGTACCGAAGTGGCCCGGTTGCAGGCTCAGCTAAAGGAAATTGACGCGCAAAGGGTCGACGGGAAATTTGTTTCCGCAAATAAGGAGGTGCCTGCTGGAAATGAGGAAATTTGTGAACTTCTGGAAAGATGTCTAGTTTGGTCAAATATTGTGTTGGAACGGTGAGTATTTGTTTGCGCGGGGGTGTTTTTTTTTGGAGTACTGCTAAACCCAATCTAGGAAGGGAGTATTTCCTGAGGCTTTCAGCTCGAAATATCAGACGCTGGTCGAGATCCGGAATACGCTTGAGAAATTATCTTTAACTCAAGCATGGTCTTTGAGAGAAACTGATTTATATGACTATCAGAGACAGTTGGATAAGATCGATGAAAGCCGGGTCAATGGAAATTTCGTCGACGCAGAAGGAAATTTTGCCGAACTTTATGTCCAAAGGGTTTGTCTAGAGAATAGCCGTTAGATACAGAGTGCTAACTTGCTTTAGACATTGCTTTATCTGATTCGGCGTAGTTATGGTTATATCTATTACCTAATGGTCTCATCAGAGCCCGTTTCTGAGGCGCTCTTACCTGTCTACAACCAACTTCAGACTCTCAGAAGATGTCTTATCGAGGTTAAGAATTCCGGAGGTGTAAGCTCGCCAAGAGAGCTTTACCCGTACAGCATGAAGGTAAGTCAGTCGGCAGGATGGTGGCGAGATGTACTAACTGTAGTTTAGCTCAATTCCCTTGACAACATGAGAGTTGATGGGAAATTCTTGGTTGGTAACGAAATCCCAGAAGGACAGGGGAGTGTTATCGACCTCCTATCCGAATGCTTCGAGCTAAATTACGAACTTCGAATCGCAGCAGAATCGGAGGGAGAAGAATAGATTGACTTGCAACTCGGACGGTATTTGATAGCCATCGTGACAGGTGCAGCCTTGCATATGGATTTGATTCGGTGCGGTACATGGCCTGGCTGTAAGATAGCAGCTAGATCAGGCAATTGCATGACGAGGTAGTAGGTTAATTCAGCCGGAGAGGAAGCTAGGTCGACATACTGACTCTACCCCCCGATGATAGAGAAATGGAAGCAATTCCTTGAATCTCAATCTGTAAATCAAACAGGCATATGATAGCTCAAATGGAAAAATCCATCTATCTCTATATAAAAGATTTGTTTTGCAAGGAGTAAATAGTTATACGTATAATCCTAAGGTAAATTTTCTCGCTTTCGTTTGTCGTGTGGCGGGGTGACGAGGTCGCGTCTAGAAATCGCGTCCGCGTCCGCGTCGGTTCATCCTCCTGATTTATCAACTGTCAATTGTCCTCACGCTTTCAACCTCGAACTACTACGCCATCAACCACACTAGCAGTTGAATAGAACATCTACCATGTTTAGCATGCTCCCTCCCACGCCAGCACACACAACTCCCCATAACTTCAAATCACATCAATCATACAAATACACACCATTGGTCTCATCGCCTCTCTCCTGCCTCCCCCTCCGCTCCTCTCCAACATCATCCCCGCTCAGCCCATGCGATGGAAACGTGCCTCAACGCGTTTTCTCGTGCGATTTCAATTATAACGACGGCGATAAGATGATGACGAGCCCTACACCTTCTCCCTCGAAAGCAAAATCAAAACAGCCCCAATCACAGTCCCAATCGCGATCGCGAAGCCAATCGCAGTCACCCACCTTAACACTCCCCTCCCCTCCTCCATCTCGGGGCAAGGAGCGCGACAGTATGTTTGGTAAACGGCCTACAAAACCCAATCCTTTATTTCATGGGAGGAAGGATGGAGAGGATGGGAGGGAGACGAGGAGGAAGCTTTTCCTGAAGAAGGTACGAGAGGGAGCTGAGGAGAAGCGGTGGAGGGATAGAGGGGGAGATGAGGAGATTATGCGGGTGCTATGGTTTGGTGAGGAGAGGGAACGGAGGAGGAGGGAAGAACTTGCTATGGAGATGGCTGATCAGCCAATCCCAGAGGAAGAAGAGCTGAATTTAGGTATGTTAATTGCGGCAATGACCGGAAAGGTGACTTGGGGATTAAGGCTAATGAGGTTTTTACAGATGAAATGATGGCAGAGGAGGTTGCGATGAACGAGGAAGCTGAGCTGGATGCTATGCTAGGGGACATGCATAAGCAGGCTGAGACGCCCTATGGAAGTGATGATGAGGAATATGATGATATCTTTATGGATGTCATAAACGAAGAGACCAGGGCCGCAAGTCAACAGCAGCAACAGCCCCAATATGAATATTTGCGGCCGGAAAACCAGGACGAAGAGATGATGGACATGAGCTGAGATATACAGCGCAGCGTTCGACTATGATTGAATAGTTATCCCATATTGGGTTGGTTACGGGCATGATTTTAGCGACGGCGTCTGGCATATTTACAGTAATTATTCCTTGTCACTACGATATGGATAAGGAGTTCCAAGTACACATTGTACTGTCATCGAAGGACTTGAGTCACTATTGTATGGGGAAATATTTTGAGGGCTTGGTAATAGAGCTTCATCATTGTTGAGGACAGCCTTCTTCGGGTGCTCCAAACGCTTCTTGAGCAGCTGCCATATCTCCAACCAAATCTGCAGGCGGAGAACCAGCTGCTTGCATCTGTGGAGAAGAGTTAATGAAGATTCCAAGATAATAAAACGATTAGCAATACACACCTTCTGCATCCTTTCCACGATATACTCCCTATCAGCGCTATTGTCGTCGCTATAGGCCTTTGTATCAAAACGCGCGACAATCTCCCTCACATAAGTCTGCTGTTCCTTGTATCTCTTCAAATCATCCTCCGGTACTTTCCCCGCATTCTTCTCCATCCACGAAGGGAATTTATCATCAAGCTCCTTCATCGGCTCGTACAATATCTCCTTATTTGTCAGTTGCTCCATCATCCCTAGCAACATTTTAGAGAAATCCTCCTCGCTACCTTCACCGCCGTCCAGGCCCGAAGCCTGCATTGCCTTCATCATCTCCGCTAGGAAATCGTCGGAGGATTCCGAGGTTGCAGCTGCCGTGGCTTGGTCCCCAGAGGTACGCATGCGCTCCATGGTCTTCTTGATAGTTTCTTGGAACGATTCTTCTGTAGTTGAACCCTCTACGCCAGCCTTGGGTGTGGGTTTTGTCTCAGTGCTAGGAGTCTCCTTTGTAGCAGTTGAACCGGGGAGTGTGGTCAACCCCGCTGCAACTTGTTCCAAAGCCGCCGGTCCGCCTAGCTCTTTTAACATGCTCTCGAACTGCCCTTGCATATCTGGGGATTTCTCAAATTCTCCTAAGAGATCAGCGAGACCAGCTTGTAACTGTTTTGAGAAATCTTCATCTGAAGGTTCCTGTGCGTCTGCGACAGGAGGATCGGCAGCCACGGCTGCTGGTCTGCCAGGACCCGATGGGAGGGAGGGGGCTTTAGGTTCTGGTTGCGCCGGTGTGAATTCGTCCAGCATATCTAGTTCCTTTATGTTAATGAATGCCCGTTGGGTGCTTTATGTTTGCTTTGAGGTTTTGCAGACTAACCATCTAGATCATCTAAATCATCTTCATCGGGGTCTGGGATATTGTTTGCTGTGGCGGGGACTGCGTTTTGAAGGACAGCGGCGGGCTCATTTTCTGTTTGGAGATTCTTTGTCGATGGCCCAGTAAGCCCATCGTCTGTTTGTTTCTCCATGTTTGGCTATGGGTGGTTTTGCCAGCGAGATTTGTTCAGGCTTGTGAAGGTTGTATTGTGAAAGTAGAATGGGGGGTTGTGGATGACGATTAGGGTCGCTAAGTTTGGAGTATTCACCGTGACTATAGCATGTGCAGAATTGCAAAAACTCGTAGGTGTGAGAATTTACCTGAGGTGAAGATGTAGATGTACCTATAAAGTGAGGTATGCGACAACTTAACGTTGTCCAAAAGTATTATAGTGGGAGTGAATGCCGGGAGCCGTTTCACAGAGACCGAGGCAGAAGAACGCCCCTGCATCCCTTTGGTCTGCTCCAATCACACATCGTCATCCTAGACCGGAATCTCTCGCAAACCGTGAGGCTTCCGCAAACCTTCAGCCTCATACATTCTATCCTACAACTCTACAAATACCCAGGCCACGATCCGCCCGTCCGACTCCCTCGCCTGAGTGTACGGGAAGCGCCTCCTGCCTCAGCCTCCAACCTCCAAGTTCGAACCAACGCACTTTTCGAAACCCGAACCAACCCTCAACCTCAGCAAACCCTACATCTTACAGCCTCTCGCCTCACCAGATCAGCGACCATGGCGCTGTGCCAAAATCGATTGCAGGAGGAGAGAAAGCAGTGGCGACGGGACCATCCATTTGGGTTCTACGCAAAGCCCCAACGCAATGCTCAAGGTGTCCTCGATCTGAAGGTTTGGGAGTGTGGCATACCCGGCAAGGAGAAGACACTTTGGGAGGGAGGGCTCTTTAAACTGAGCGTTATCTTCCCTGATGGTAAGTTTACACATAGCACGCGATTTCGGAGCCAGGTTTTCTGACATTCATCACAGAGTATCCCACAAAGCCACCAAAATGTACGTATCTTGCCGGTCTGTCTAAAGTGCTAAGCTGACATTCCCAGGCAAATTTGTCCCCCCTCTCTTCCATCCCAACGTCTACCCATCTGGTACGGTCTGCCTGTCGATCTTGAACGAGGAGGAGGGCTGGAAGCCAGCGATCACCATCAAGCAAATTCTTCTAGGTGTCCAGGACCTGCTGGACGACCCGAATCCAGATTCCCCCGCCCAGGCTGATGCATTCCATCTCTTCAAGAAAGACCGTGCGGCATATGAGAACAAGATCAAGAGGCTTGTTCGAGACAACCCGGCCCCTTAGGCTCGCTAGCGATGGATTGCATATGGGTGGTTGGGATTAAGCATAGGCGTTGGGTGGTATTTGCTACTAGATGTGTTTATTGATTGCAGGTACTAGGGTGCGGCGGTCACTACAATAGGTCAGCTACGGTGAAATGGGTACATGAATATCAGTCTCTATCCCGGCATGAAGAACGAGCTTGCGATGTATCATCATGCAGTTGCGGAGAGAATTGTGCGCACGTGAGCACCTGGAAGGGTGGAGCGATAGTATCAGTTGACCTTATTTCCCCCACCGATCGTTCCGTGCGGAAAAGCGCATAGCCATGGCAATAATAATTACTCTCTAACAATAGGCCAGTTTCCTTTTGCATTTGCAACTTGTTACTATGCCTAAGGTACCTAGTAGGTACCAAGTTACCAAGTAGGCTGTTCTGTGTCAAGCGTGGGGTGGGAAGCTTATCGTGTCGAATGCCGCCAGCAAGCGGAAGGGATAGGCCGAAAATCGGCCCTCCTGGAACCCCACCATCAAAATAAATTATTCGAGTCATTCCGTCCCATTGCCACTGCGACAACAACCAACTCTCCTTAAAAGATCTTCCGGAGACCAGCTTCGATCTCAATTGGAAATCTCTCATAACAATCCTACTTCTCAGATTATTTACATAGACCTCAAGGCTCACTTATCTCTCTTGTGCACACATCTTCCCCTCATTCCTCCCTCCGTCACAACCAGGTCAACATGTGCGGAATCGTAGGATGCCACCATGTGCCAGATGCAAAGGCCTTCAAGCCTACGGCTCTGAAGATGGCTAAGCAGTGTCGCCATCGTGGTCCAGATTGGTCGGGAAGTTATCTTGCCAACAACACAAGTATGTGACCGCGGAACATCAAATTGGATGTGACTAACCTTGGCAGTTCTTGCTCACGAGCGTCTGAGTATTGTGGGCGTTGAGAGCGGAGCACAACCCCTCACCAACAAGGACGAGACTATGGCATTGGCTGTCAATGGCGAGATCTACAACCACAGACTCATCCGGAAAGGGCTGAAAACTCCTTATCATTTCAAGACGCACTCAGATTGCGAAGTCATAATACCACTAGTAAGAGACTCCTGCTTTGGGCCTGGGGCCGGCGCTGATTTTAAAACAGTATATGGAGTATGGCATTGATGCGCCAAAACATCTCGATGGCATGTTCTCGTTTATACTATACGACAAGGCCGAGGATCGAATAATTGCTGCCCGCGACCCTATTGGGATCACAAGTTTCTACCAAGGATGGTCCAGCACGATGCCAGGGGCAGTGTTCTTTGCTTCTGAGCTGAAATGTTTGTCTTTCGTTTGCGACAAGATTATTGCGTTCCCTCCAGGACACATCTATGACTCAAAGACCGAGAAGACGACGAGATATTTCGAACCATCGTGGTGGGATCCTACAAACGTTCCTACGACTCCACTCGACTACAAGGTTCTGAGGGAGACTTTGGAAAAGTCAGTACGGAAACGGTTGATGGCCGAAGTTCCATATGGTGTCCTGTTGTCTGGCGGTCTTGACTCTAGTTTGATCGCCTCGATCGCGCAACGAGAAACTCTGCGGTTGAGAACCGCATCGTTGGCACAACTTGAAAACGGAACTGCATCACCGAAAGGCCCGGTGGATGAAGACCACGGAGAGGGCTTGGTTGGCATTGATGATGAGAACAAACTGTCGACCGTGACATACCTACCCCAACTCAACTCATTTTCCATCGGGCTACCGAACGCTCCCGATAGCAAAGCTGCAGGGGAGGTTGCCAAATTCCTCGGGACCAAGCATCATGATATGACTTTCGAAATCGAGGATGGCCTCAACGCTTTGTCTGATGTTATTTACCACTTGGAGACATATGACGTTACCACGATCCGCGCCTCAACCCCTATGTTCTTGCTCTCAAGAAAGATTAAGGCCATGGGAGTCAAGATGGTTTTGAGCGGAGAGGGCAGCGATGAGATCTTTGGTGGATACTTATACTTCCATGGTGCGCCTGACAAGAAGGCTTTCCATGAGGAGACCGTTCGCAGAGTTAAGAACTTGCACCTCGCGGATTGCTTGAGAGCTAACAAGTCGACTTCGGCTTGGGGTCTCGAGGCTCGTGTTCCTTTCTTGGATAAAGAGGTAAGAAATCACCGAACGCGGCGAATACTAGCTCCTGCTAACAATAGAACAGTTCCTGGAAGTGGCGATGAACATTGATCCACAAGAAAAGATGATCACAAAAGACCGCCTCGAGAAGTACATCCTCCGTAAGGCTTTCGACACTTCTGATGAGCCTGAAGCCAAGCCATACTTGCCAGACAACATTCTTTGGAGACAAAAGGAGCAGTTTAGCGATGGTGTGGGCTACGGTTGGATTGATGCGTTGAAGGACAACGCTGAACTCCATGTTACTGATGAAATGATGAAGAACCCCAAGCCTGAATGGGGCAGCGATATCCCAGACACAAAAGAAGCGTGAGTGCTTCCTCCCCGACTGTGGTTTCAACCATTGCTAACAGAAATCGTAGCTACTGGTACCGAGTGATGTTTGACGAGCACTACCCCCCATACTGCGCCGAGACCGTCATGAGATGGACTCCAACATGGTCGAAACAAACCGATCCAAGTGGAAGGGCGATTGAGATCCACAACCAGAAATACGACTAGGCAGAATTGAAACTAAGTTAAACAACCGTATGCATGTTGTAACAACTAGGAGTTTCTTGGGGGTACAGTCTGGAGGTGCGTAGTTGGGCGTTTGTTCGCGTGGTTGAATACTTCGAACGGATTTCGGAGATGTCTAGAATAGCGTAGTCAATAATAGATTCTATTCTTCAATCTGCATTGGATTTGGACTTGACTTGTATCAATCAACCATCGCCAAGAGCCAGTCTCCTTTCCTGCCGTAATACTCCGTACAAGCAGCATTGATTGTCCCCAGTAGCCTCGTCTCATCTCTTGTTTCTCGCGTCATGTGCCAGTCAGGTGCCAATGGGTGACCCTGAAAACTTGGAGCCAATTACAGCTGCACGTTCCATCGCGCCATCCCGGCCCGAGTTCAACCGTTCCAGTTCTACCGCATTGCATAATTTCCGCTTCCATCAAGATCAACACCTTCTTTCTGTTGAATACTCATACCGCCCAAACAACCTCTATACAACCAATTCCCCAAATCCCCCTCTCGCCTCTCTCACAATGTCTGTCCCAGCTTTCGCAGATATCGCAAAGTCGTCCAATGACGTAAGGAGAACCCGCGCTTTGCCGCGCCGCTCATATTTGGGAAGCTCTAGAAACTAACATTGCCATCAGTTGCTCAACAAGGACTTCTACCACCTGTCCGCAGCGGCCCTCGAGGTCAAGAGCAACACTCCCAACAATGTCGCCTTCAAGGTGACCGGCAAGAGCACACACGAGGGTGCCACCAGCGGATTGGTACGAGACCCGTCCACCACTTCCGATTCCAATTCCAATTCCCCCTGGACGCGAATGCTGATGCGAACATGAACAAAACAGCTAGAAGCAAAGTACACAGACAAGGCAACCGGTATATCTCTCAAGAAACTCCAATTAACAATAATCCCGCGTTTCGAGCGAAGCAATCTCCTCAATTTCATGCTCAATCTCAGTCCACTTACCGGTCACGCACAGCTGCTAATATTCTATCGCCGCACAGGCTTAACGCTCACCGAATCCTGGAACACCGCGAACGCTCTCGAGACCAAGATTGAGCTCAAGGATGCCATTGCCAAGGGCCTCAAGGCTGAGCTCCTAGGCTCATTCCTCCCAGAGAAGAACACAAAGGGTGCCAAGTTCAACCTGCACTTCCAACAGGCCAACTTCCACGGCCGTGCCTTCTTCGATCTGCTCAAGGGCCCAACCGCAAATGTTGACGCCGTCATCGGCCAGGATGGTTTCCTCGCTGGCGCTGCCGCTGGATATGATGTCCAGAAGGCCGCCATTACCAACTACAGCGCCGCCATTGGATATACCAATCCTGCATACACAGCTTCCATCACAGCTGTCAACAACTTGAGCGTTTTCTCTGCCGCCTACTACCACAAGGTTAACTCCCAGGTCGAGGCCGGTGCTAAGGCCACCTGGGACTCAAAGAGCGGAAACCAGGTTGGTCTTGAGGTTGCCAGCAAGTACAGACTCGACCCAGTCTCTTTCGCCAAGGTAAGTCTTCACCGCAAAAGGCTCTATTCAATTGTACGCGAAATAGTTTTAACATAATTGCAAATTTAGGTCAAGATCAACGACCGTGGTGTTACTGCCGTTGCATACAACGTTCTCCTCCGCCCTGGTGTTACCCTCGGTCTCGGTGCCTCCATTGATACCCAAAAGCTCGACCAAGCTACCCACAAGATCGGCGCTTCCTTCACTTTCGACTCTTAAAGTACTCGTGCTTGACAAATGATACGATAGTAGAAGCTCTTGCTGGTGTTGGCTTGCATTGTCGGGAGATGGCTGCTGATGGAGAATTGTATGTAGTATAGCAGAATTACCTGGGGATTCATTCAAGATACCTAGCCTTAATTAGCCCTTATCTCCCACAGACCGTCGCTGAATCTGAATGTTGACTTTTGCATCTTATATATGGAGCTGCCGTCCCACCCAGAACCCCACTTGAATTCAAAATTCTGCATCTAAAGCAGGAACGAAGTGTATGGCCATGATATTGTAACCCAAATGCTTTGATAAGGGGACTAGCCGGGAACTCTAAACACCATGTCTCTCGAAGCTCGCAACTCACGCTTGGTATAGAATGTTAGTACATGGCCACTCCAACTTGAACGATGGGAGATTCTATTTATAATATTCATACACATATATATACCGCCCACTTTTCAAATCCTTTCTCTCTTCCTCCCCGGTTCACTTCCGCCCAGAAGCCTCCCCCCAATAGCCCAAGGCAACCACACACCCAACGCAACAATGCCCCCCACAGCCAAAAATGTCATCAGCGTCCCTTTTGTCCCCTCCTCATGCAGACCACCCCCTCCCGCCGTATGATCGCCATTCTGCCGCCGTCTGTCCATCTGCCTCCGAATATGATTCTGATGTGTGCGTAGATGCTCGCTCCGATCAAAATGCGGTACATTTTGCGCGTGGACCTCGCCGAACGGGGATTGTCCCGGTCCCATGCCTCCGCCGGTGAAAGCGTACGCAGTGGACGATTCTTGTGCTGCCTGGCGTTTGGATGCTTGGGAGCCCCAGCCGCCGGAGCTGTAGAAAGAAGGGGGTGGACCGCGGAACTGCGCGCGTCGTCGACTTAGACCGCTTGCGGGCCGGCCTGGTGATGGGTGTTAGCTTGCGCCATGCCACATAGAGTCGGGGGTTTGGGAGGATATAAACATACCGCCTGCTGGGCCTGAGGAGTGATAGGATCCCTTATGTGCTGGTTGATGTCTATGGCTATGAGGGTGGGAATGCCGAAAGTCGCGGTCATATTGCTGGCGCTTGGCTGGGATGCCGAGAACAGAATAAGCTTCTGTTAATTCAATAAAGCGTTTCGAGGCATTGGGGTCGTCGGGGTTTTTGTCGGGATGGTGCTTTATGGAGAGCGCGTAGAATGACCTGGAGAAGGTTAGTAGGAGGCTAGATTAAGAATTGCTAAGGCAAGATAGAAGTCATATAGATCTAGAGATATAAAGAAGGAAGAGATCATAAACTTACTTCTTCACTTCACTAGGTGTGGCATTGGTAGGTATTTGCAGTGTCTTGTAGTGATTCGCCGCCGTACCTACGTCAAGGCATCTCGGGCTGCTGTGGAAGAGCCGTTGAAGGCGTGGCGCAGGCGTGCAGTAGGACGAGCGGAATGGCATTCCTCATCTTTTTATTCTGTGGCTTTGAGAAGTTCAACGGCGATATCTGATTATCAGAAAGATACTTCTGCAACCGCGGAGGCGGTCATTATCGGGATACCTCAGGCTAGTCCTAAAAGGGAACCAGCAGGGCATCTTTATATTATCGGCTTTTAATTTATGCCCCACCATCCCCGCCGTTTGCCTTTGAAATTTATGAGACCACCCATTGATCAAAGCCACACGGACACCCACAGATAGCAAATATGGCTGCACAAACCGCTGATGCTCTTGCAAAGTTGAAGGGTGAGTGGGTGATATTCTAGGTTCAAGATTCAAACAATATTACAATTACTAACAGCCACAAAGTGCAGGATCCGGAGGCAGAGAAAGCCGCGGGGGTGGCAAAGGCCAACGGCAAGGTGCCTGCTGCGGAAGCTGATGACTCCGATGAGGATGAGGATGACAAGGCCGCCGCTGGTGAAGGAGGAGCTGATGCAGCAGCGAAGAAGAAGCGCAAGCGCAAGCGGAAGCCAAAGAAGGCCGGCGGCGCAATTCCCACCAAACAGTCGTCTCCGCCACGAGTCCTACTGTCGAATTTATTTCCGAGTGGAGAATATCCCGTTGGTGAAGAAGTGGAGTATCGGGATGAGAACTTATCCCGGACGACGGATGAGGAGAAGAGACATCTCGATCGGATGAACAACGACTTCTTGCAGGAATATCGGCAGGCTGCAGAAATCCACAGACAGGTTCGACAGTATGCCGCGCAAAATATTAAGCCCGGCCAGAGCTTAACAGAAATTGCCGAAGGCATCGAGGATAGCGTTCGAGCATTGTCCGGTCATCCAGGCTTAGAGGAAGGGGATAATATCAAAGGAGGCATCGCTTTCCCAACAGGCGTTAACCTAGATCATATTGCGGCACACTACAGCCCAAATGCTGGTAACAAAACGATTCTAACGAAGGATAATGTTATGAAGGTGGATTTCGGTGTGCATATCAATGGAAGAATCGTCGATAGCGCCTTTACCATGTCATTCGATCCCATGTACGACAATTTGCTCGAAGCAGTCCGCGAGGGAACAAACGCTGGTATCAAAGAAGCCGGCATTGATGTGCGAATGGGAGATATCGGAGCGGTTATCCAGGAAACTATGGAGAGCTACGAGGTTGAGATCAGAGGCGAGACATTCCCAGTGAAATGCATTCGAAACCTCAATGGCCACGATATCAGGCAATGGCAGATACACGGCGGGAAGAGTGTGCCCATTGTGAAGGGCACTGACAACACGAAAATGGAAGAAGGGGAGGTATTTGCCATTGAAACATTTGGCAGTACTGGAAACGGCTATGTTCGGGACGATGTAAGTTTTTGTAGGAAATTGCTGGTTGGCTTCCGACTAACTCTGTGTAGCTGGAATGCTCTCATTACGCAAAGCGAGTAGATGCGCCTGTCGTGCCTTTGCGCGTTACATCTGCCAGCAAGCTTCTCAACGTTATCAACAAGAACTTTGGGACGCTGCCATTTTGCAGGAGATACCTGGATCGTTTGGGCCAGGAGAAATATTTACTTGGAGTGAGTAGCAACATGCTGCCCATACCAATGCCAGTGGATCGATTGACTAACATGTAATAGTTGAATAATCTCGTATCCAACGGTATTGTCGATGCATATCCCCCCTTGGTTGATAAGAAGGGTTCATACACTGCGCAATTTGAGCATGTAAGTTGCTAGATTTCGTGGGTTGCCTAGAAACTCCACTAACATAGAACAGACCATCCTGCTCAGACCTACCGTGAAGGAAGTTATTAGTCGCGGAGACGACTACTAATAAGCTCTTGCTCAGGTGCAACAGCATACCGCCGCGTAAGCATGTGGGACTTGGAACGGTTTATGGCCTGATCAATAAATAAATCAATGAGTTTTCGCAGCTTTCAAAAAATAATAGCTTCCAAGAAGAGCAATGTCCGTGATTCGGAAAGTGATTCGGAATTAGACGGCTCCGTTGAGATAGGAAGGTATCGCCAGATAGGCAACCAAGCTCGTACTGTACTGTACTTACAGTAAGTGATAAGAACTTAGGGCGATGCAGCAGGCTTCCAGAACACCCAACACCGGCAAGGAGCCCTTGTGAAACGCAGGAAATCCTCCAATAGTTTACCAGGTAGTCGCTGCTAGCCAGACCCTGACTCTTGTCAGCATTTTTAACCTTACAATCCCTGCGCGCTGGCAGTTCAGCAGCTTCAGCTTCGACCTGTCACGCGAGTGTTTTTTCTTCTCGTTCATCATTATTAAGGGGCTGTGGACACCCCGCGAGGCGACTCTTGGACTAGGGCAGATAGCGTGATTTGGGATCTTCAGTATCTTCAGTATCTTCAGAATCTTAGCGCCGGCGCCCCTCTGTCTGCCAACGGTTCTGCCCTAAGCCGAGTCAGCTCCTCCGTCGTTATCCAAAGACTCGCGCAACAATGGATGGCGCGTCTTAGGAGGCCCACCCTCTGGCACCGCTCCGCTGCTCTCCGGGCGGACAGACTCGCTCGTTTCGTGCAAGCTGCAACCATATCCGTGGACCCTGGGCGGGAATCTTGGCGCCAAGCGCGTGGCCGTCCGGGGGAATCGCCAATGTGGACATCGGGGGATTCCAAGTACAGAGTAGTCCTCCACCCACCAGCTGCAGGCAAAACAGCAGAAGCGGACCAGCTGCAAGTGCGAGTGCAAGTGCAGGTGCAAGTGCACACAAGAATCCACCGGCGGCGCCGCCGACGATGCAGCGGCTTAAGTGAACCAAGGAACCAGGGCGCCGAACTACGACTGCGACTGTGGCGTTTATCGCGCGGCGAAGCACTCGTAGCCTCAAGGGGACGAGTCGGTGGTCTGGGGAATTAGGGCACAGTTACCTATCGTGGAGTGGATTCTTGTTGTTGCACCCTATCTCGTGCCCTGGTTGACAGTGCTCGCCCTCGCCCACGCGCAGACGCAATGCCACCGCCCTGTAAATTACTAGCTGAAGGTAGGGAGTCCTCCTCCAGCTCTGGCCCGCATATGTATGGGATCGGCGTTCTGTACAAGAAAGCGGCAGCTCCCCTCTTCTGCTGCCTCCTTCTCCTCCCCATCCTTTCTCTCTCCGTCGGCGTCCCCAGGTAGTTTATTCACCCAAGGGCCTTTGGTAGATATCGGTGTCGAGGATCACGGCATACCGCGCCAGAACCACCATCATGGAGACCACAAACACAAACCAATACAAGGGCTCTTCAGACTCGCCCGAACCCAAGAACTATGTGTCCGATGTCCACGTCGGCGATGCGGAAAACTATGGGGTGGAGGAGGACGACCATCACCATCTCCGCCGAGGGCTCCAGTCGAGGCAGATTACGATGATCGCTATCGGAGGAGCGATTGGTACTGGTCTCATTATCGGCACGTAAGTAATCGCCGTACTCCATAACAGAAAATCTTGTATCTCTTTTTTCTCCTATCAAACCACGAGATAACCTACCCGGGAATGCAGTAAGCTGATATCGTGTCCAGTGGAAAGTCTCTCGCCCAGGCCGGGCCCGCGCCCTTGTTTATCGGATATACCCTCGTTGGCTTTCTCTGCTTCTTGGTGATGGCTGCATTGGGCGAGGTATGTGCAACCTCCTTGCTATTCCATTCCGAAGCCTAGCATCCCTCCTACCTAAAGGGTGTCTAATCACGAGACACATGCTGACCTTATCCATACAGATGGCTTGCTGGCTACCTCTCCCCTCTGGCTTCACCGGTTATGCAACTAGATTCGTGGATCCGGCCCTGGGATTCTGTCTCGGCTGGAATTACTGGTTCAAGGTATGCCTTAACTTATCCCTGGTGTTACCATCAGAGTGGGCATTTGGCTGGATCTCAACTGACGCAAACTACTAGTACATTATTGTTACGCCAAACAATCTCACAGCTGCCTCTCTTGTCATTCAATACTGGGTCCCTCGGGAGAAGGTCAATCCTGGGGTCTTTATCGCAGTCTTTTTGGTTGCTGTCGTGGCCATCAACTACTTCGGTGTCAAATTCTTCGGAGAATTCGAATTCTACCTCTCCAGTATCAAGGTCATGGTCATTATCGGCTTGATCCTTCTGAGTTTGATTCTTGCCTGTGGCGGAGGACCGAATCACCATGCTACTGGTTTCGAGTATTGGAAGAATCCTGGCGCGTTCCATGAGTATATTCTTAGTAAGGAGGTTCCCATCCCTTTTGGCTTATCGCTACTAACAAGACCTAGCTGGAAGCGCAGGACGGTTCCTCGCAGTCTGGTCGACCTTCACCACCGCCGTCTTCGCCTATCTGGGGACGGAGTTGGTTGGTGTGACCGTTGGTGAAGCTGCCAACCCAAGAAAGGTTATCCCAAGGGCCATCAAGCTTACTTTCTACCGTATCCTCCTCTTTTACGTGGTCTTGGTCTTCCTTCTCGGCATGCTTGTTCCATACAACTCGACGGAACTGATCGACAGTAACAGCAACAAAAATTCCAACACAGCTTCCGCCTCACCATTCGTCGTGGCCATCAAGCTCAGCGGCATCCAGACCTTGCCCGGGATTTTCAACGCCTGCGTCCTGCTCTTCGTCTTCTCAGCTGCAAACTCGGATTTATACATCGCATCAAGAACCCTTTTCGGACTCGCTCATGAGAAGAAAGCGCCCAAGATCTTTGCGTATACTGACAAGAAGGGCGTTCCTATCTTCGCCCTCGGCCTCTCCGTCGCATTCTGTCTTCTGGCATTCCTTGGCGTCAACACATCGTCCTACACGGTATTTGGCTACTTCGTCAACCTCGTCACGATGTTCGGTCTGCTCACCTGGATCTCGCTCCTCATCTCGCACATCTGCTTCGTTCGGGCGCGTCGCGCGCAGAACATCCCTGACTCTGCCTTGGCATATGTAGCGCCCCTTGGCATGTGGGGATCCGCTGGCGCACTAGTGTTCAGCATCCTTATTGCCTTCTTCAAAGGGTTCGCGCTGTTCTGCTACAAGATAACGGCCAAGAAGGGAACCACTCCGGTGTTTGATTGGCGCACGTTCCTGACCACTTATCTCGGTATCCCTCTGTACTTCGCCATGTTTATCGGATATAAGTTCTACATGAAGTCAGAGATGGTTAGACCTGAGACAGCAGATCTGTACAGTGGAAAGGCCAGAATTGATGCGGAGGAGGCTGAGTTCATCGCCCAGCAGGCTGCTCGGAAGGGCGGTCCTGAGACCAAGGCTGCGAGGATCTACCGCCTTACTTTGGGATGGCTGTTCTGATTGCGCCCAACCTACATACTGGCATTTTCAAACGTCGATGTTAATGAAGACACGATATATCGGTGTTACGGACAGCGATTTGCATTACTTGATAGAATCCCGGCTGTACAATTTTACGTGATACCGGTTTACATAGCGCTATAGAAGGAACGATATCCTAACCCTAAACAAATAAATAGTACCTACCATTTACAATCTAAATTACTTTCGTACGTGAACCTATTTCATTTGTCACATTGTGCCAAGTGTACGTGCCTCAAGAGTACTTCCTTCCTATCTCCTTTCGCAATTTACTCCGTACAGGCCTCCGCACATCCACATCGTACAATTCCGTATCTGATTTCATTATCCCTACTTGATAACACCAACAGCCTTGTTTTCTCGTAGCCACTGGAGCCTAGAACGCCGAGCCCCAAGTGCCCGAGTACAGTGCGCAGATATTGATACAGCTAACCCGCTTCCGGAAAGCGATGCGGCTGGGACTGCGCCCCCTGCCCCGTGATTGATATTGCGGGGTAGTAAGCCCAAGGAAACTGGCATTGCTTATTAGCAGGTTTGTGGGTTATGTCCATTTCTTATTAAGTTAGCAAATTGGCTTTGCAACAGCCACTGCACCAACTTCGGCATTATTATGGCGCAGGCCAAGTGTTATGGAAGGCTCTAGTTTCTTGGCTACATTGCAGTGAGACGTAGTCATGAAAAACCTGTACTTCGTATGTCCACGTGGGGATGATGGGGGAAGGAGGGCTGTTCTGTCTCTGTTGGTGATGGATGGATCAATGAATGTGGAGATCGGTTTCTCGTGTTTCGCTATGTCTCATGCGCTTAGTGTCCTGTAAGCTGGTTTTCTTTTGATGGGCTGCTTCGTCATGGCATACGAGTATTCCTCTCTATTATGTTATGAGCTCCAATTCTGTCTTCCTATTGGTTCTTCCAGTAATAGAGTGGAGGAATTATGTCCTATTGGTAAGGCGACTGTAGGGAGTGATTTATATCTTCAAGACATTTAGTTATCTATACTTTTCACTATGGAGTATTGATATATATTTTATGAAGAAAATAGCTTTAGTATAAAAGTTACTTCCGGCAATAAATTCGCCTACTATCTTCTATTATTGCGTGTATCAGATTATCTACATTCTATATCTATCGTTATCTCTCAAATTGTCCAGGGATTTATTTTTACTCTTCCCCTCGAGATAATAAAAATTCATATTGTACCCGATTATTGTTGCGTCAGCCTTCAAGAGCACCGAGTCATTACAATCCACTTCCCCAGCAGAACCAAGTATTAGCATTAAGGGGCCAATTTCGTCCTCCTTCCCCATGGGGTGCATGGGGTGACAAATGAACCCGATATTCGGCTATCATCGTGAAGGAACTACTCGGTGATCGCGGGGCCGTCATTATGATCGGTGGCATCGACCGGTTTCATAGTGTCAGCAAACGTACGAGTTACTTCATCTCTCCGAAAATATGCGTACCTGAAAACTGGCTCCGCTCCTAGGTTAGGGGTGATGAGAAGGCGGAGCGATGACTTACATCCCGGCGCTAGAACATGACTTCCAATGTTCCACGGCGCCCAAGTAAATGGCTCAGATCTACATCAAATGCATTTTTTTCGCCGCCTTGCATATCCAATCCCACGGATGAGAATTATATTAAAAGTCTGTGCTTTCCCCGTGGTAGGAATCTGACTCGTTGTATCCCCACCTTCTCCGTATTGTTCCCCCGCGCCCAGAGGTTATTGGATGGGCGAGAGGTTTACTTGGCCCGTATAGTATATGCTTCCAGACTCCCAGTGTCCGGAACCGATCTCTTGGACTGCATGGATGGTGTTTGAGCGAGGAGTACTAAGGAGTAGTTGGATATTCGATGGGTGCCGAAGGGTGCAGGGTCTATAGAAACTATCCGCGTCCCGTCTTCGGTAGTCAAATGCTGTATGACAAAGGGAAACTGTGCGTATCCTTGCAATAAATAAAAATATGTACATGTACATGTACAAGCGCCATGCCAGAGTCAAGGACAAGGGAAGGGTGATCAACAAACCTTCCGGGGTACAAGTGTTACCACAAAATCCTAGAGTCCGGAAACTTCCGTGGAGGCAAGTGTACTTCGTAAGTGTTACATAAAACCTTGGTGGACATATTTAGGAAGTTTTGTTTCCACCGTAGCTCAACATACGTACCCTCCTGTAATGCGTTGAATTCAATACTCTTCTTCAACAGACATATAATCGGCAATCAGTGCACCACTCCTTCAGCCAATTTGCTATGCCCGAAGCCCCTTTTTCCGTGGCTGGCTCTACCATGCTCTAGCAGTTAGGCAGCATGGATGTTGTTAAGCTATTTAGCTCCAGTTGCTCGACGGGAGGCCACCACAGAAGTACACAGCCATATACATCCCGTATAACCATCACTTGTATGGGGGTCGCCTAGCATTGGAACCTAGATTGCAACTTGCATTTTATAGCTATTTCTGATAGCTCGTAATGGGAGTGACCCGAAATCAAACATGGACATGTGACTACCAAAGAGTATTTGGCAGGAAAGCTGGGCTCTGTAGAAGCTTCATCTTGAAACCAAGTCTAAAGGCATACCCCCTTGACATTCTGTTGCGAATTCATCATGATTATATACAAGCTAGTTAATTTCTTTCATAGAGGCATACCTCCTATCGGCTGCTCCACACCCACTACCAACCCGTTCAAGGATTTCTAAATGCACACTTGAAGGGGTAAATCTGAATCTATCAAAGGTGGTATCAGTCAGCAGAATAGCTAAAAAGTCAAAGGCTATCAAACAAACCTTATTAAGGTCCCACACCCCACTCTGAGCGTAAATATCCTTCTTCAAAGCTTCCATAACCTCCTCTTTCGAGCTAGCAGACGCAATCATGCAGCTCCCCAACATCTTCATACCCTCTCCTTCCTTGGGAACCTCTTCTAGAAACGCGCCTACACGAATAGATTTCTCAGCATCCCGTTGACACTTTCTACATGACAGTGGATTTGATAGTTGGAAAAGTGGGGTACAAACCGCCCATCTTCCAAAATCCCGTCGCCTCGTTGGCTTTGAGGCCTTCAAAATGTTTACTAGGGTATAAAATCAGAAAGGTATTCGGAATAATTCAGGAAAGAGCAACAAACGGCCGGACTTCCATGCGCTTTGCCAGAGCTCCCTCCTGATCTGGGAGGATAACGAGCCATTCGAATTTGGCTGGTGTGGAGGATGCCATTGTTCTTAACCCGAGAGCTATAGGGCGAGGTTTGAGAAATGGGTTTATATTGCGGCGGAGAATGAATGAGGAACGTGTAAAGGTCGCTGGGAGCATATTTGGAAGAGGATAGTTCGATGAGTTGCGGAGGAGGTTAGAGATCCGAGATGTGGGGCGGAAAGGGCGGGGTGATAGAGGGGCACCAGATGGTTGGCGAGGGGATATTATCCCCACACCTAGCTTTGGTTAGTACGTAGTAGTTCATCAACAACTCAAAATTGAGCTTCGTATAGGTTATTCTTGGTAATAGAGATTTTGTTTTATGAGTTATAAGAGTACCTGCCTAACTAAAGGCTCATGGTTGGGAAATTTTATAAGTCTTAGTTTAGTCAGCCAACATAACTAAAGTTATAACGTGAAGCTTCACGCCCCCTATTTTGATGATCGATGAGAAAAGCATCCGAACGGCTAGTACCTAGGTATCCAAAGCTATATTAAAGTCATAAGTATAGTATCAATTGGCTGAAGATAATTAGTTGAACTGTTAATAGCTTAGAGCGACTATATAAGGTTGGTTACATGACTGTCTTCCTCCGAGCTACTTGCACTATATAGATCAAAATAAGCGATTTTTGTATTAAGGAAGACAAAAGGCGGCCACCTGGCTAAGTGGTTCAGGTCAAATTGTCTTATGGAGAGGATCAATAGGGATAAAACACGACAAAATACGAAAAACGATCAAAACCGGCAAGAGACGTAGGCAATCGAACGGGCCGAACTCTTTTTGCCTCTCGAGTATATGAATTTTAAATAATGTTTTTGCCTCAATTTACTGCCTTAGTAATAGGTAATCTTTTTCTGCTTTCGTCTACTGTGTGTCTTATTATTCGAGACGCTTCTCGCTTGTGGTCGTCATATAGGTAGGCAATATTGACAAACAAGGCATGATTCACTCTCAGCTTCGAAGTCATAAGCTTGTCGCCGCGTGGGTATTTATACCGCCCTATTCAGCTTTAGTAGCCCACGCGTCAACGCGGTTCAACCTCGAGTTCTCTACAAGAACACGAACTCTATCAACCTCGATCTCTCAAAGTCTGGATCCATCAACCAGACCGTTATATTGCAAGCAGAATAACGAACAACCCCTTCTCAGCCGGGCAGCTGCCTTGGAGCAGCTCGATCGTTATCAAGCGTCTCGATCAGAAAGGGCACTCCTCTTTCGCCGCCGGAGCCTTGCACTTTCTAACAACATCAAACCTCGTCCAAGCGAACCTCAGCTTCACACTTCCCACAAGCACAACAGGAACAGAAAAAGCCCAAACAAACAACATGGCAGATCAACAACAGCTTACTGCTCCTGCTCCTTTACCCTTCCACACCCTTACCGCCCCGAACTCTTCACCAGACTATGTCGCCCTTGAGAAATCCGGCCCGCCATTTAAGCCAGCTGTCGTGCGTGCCCCCGAGCCTTATGCTCCGGAGGCGTGTCGTTTCATCAACATCTGCCATCAGATGGAGTATTACATGTATTCACCGGAGGAGTTGAGGTGGAATTTCATTTCGGGATTGACGATGGAGGTCAGCAAGGGAATGGTGAAGGCGATTGAGGAGCCGTATGACCCAGAAAAGCAAAAGGGGCTTCAGGTCGCGGAGCAGGTGGAGATGCTTGAACGCCGACTCAAAATCGAATTCATCACACAGCTCGAGAAGGCGAAGCGACTTGTAATCCCAGAGCTGGCCTTCATCGAGAAGGTTGCGGCGGAGCACCCAGACATGACTGTTGGTGACCTATGGAAGCAGATACAGGAGAAGCGGAAAGCTGGCCTTCTTGAGGGATGAAGGTAGCTAGAGTTGGGCCGGTAATGTCTCGTGCAAACGGGACAAGTGGAGGCGTCAAGTAGGGGCAACTTGCCGTTGCACAAGCAGAGAAGACTGAGTAGCATAAGGCATCTGATGCAGCTCATCTTGAGGCTTGAGAGCTTGGGACTAGCAGTGTGGAAATCCCTTAATATAATCGAGCTGCCCTGAGAAAAGAATTCAACTCTCCATAGTATCCAAGTCCTTCATCTTCCATGTGAATGTTTATATTGCTACCCACAGTCACTGCTGTTGCTCGACAGTTAGTTGTGAGCGACTCTAAGTTAAATACCACTGACGCAGCAAAGCCTTGACGACTGGAGCATAACATAGGATTTTGTCTCTCCTTCGCCCACCGTGTATAAATACCTCTCTCTCGTTTCGTTCTTCATCTCCTTCTAATTTCCAAATCCAACACCCAAACCTAAACTTCAAAGTTAGTTATTTCTCAGCCAACATTACAGCCAACACATAAATAATGGGTCAAATCCCAGTTGACTTCCGAAGTCAACCCATTGCTACCACGAACGGAGCCATTCCCAGCGCCGGCGCCAAAGCCGTGAGGGGCAGACACATCCCGGATTACCATGACGATCTAGTTAGATGTGAAATATATGGAACAGGCAGTATTATAGACAGTAAAACCGCCTTTCTCTAGATACACGAAGATGTTCTAGCTTAGACATGTACGTGCGAGTTGACCGTGACTTAAGTCAAACGCTAATCACCCACTCTATTTCCGCGTACATACGACTTTCTTGGTCTTGATAGCGACACGCGCTATCTCGACGTCGAATATAGTGTATACCATATGCTTCGTACAGTACCCTCAATTGTGTTGATGCGTGCCGAGAAGCGGTGATGTAGAAATTCTCGACGTACGAATAATTTAGGTTTTAGGTACCTAGGTATGCTTTCACGAGTTCTACTCGTGGCTGATGCGTGTCATGTTGCGCCTCGTGGCTGCGCTGCGGCTGCGGCTGAGCTGCTACGAGGAACACACTGTAGCCTTACTTGGGCTTCTCAACCATTACATGTTGAACAACGCTGATTCCGACGATTGATGAGTTACGCCCGGTCGCTTGCGTGTTCGTCGATGAATGTTGGGGGAGCAAGATTAGCCCACTGCTGAACGACATGTTTTCCAAGTTTCGTAGAGTGCTCGGTCTCTCGAAGACCAAGAGAACTCCATCTATACCCCCAACTGATTCATCGCAGATAGGCGATGATATAGATGATCATGCACCCGAACTTGCAACAACAAACGCTGGGCCCGCAGAGCCTCAAACAGATCTAGCAAGGCCGGACAACTCGCTAGACATCGGCCATTTCGAACAGAGGGACTGGTACGGGATAAGAGTCCTTCGCGACCCGGACCCGGTTGGTTCTGCCAGCATCGACATTGTCTTCATACATGGATTGACTGGAAGCGCGTACAAATCATGGCTGCACAAAGGCAGCGGGGTGCACTGGCCGAGGGACTTGCTTGGCAAAGATATGAAAGACGCGAGGATCATGACCTTCGGGTACGATGTTGACTTGGTAAACCTGCGTAGCCATGCTGCGCAGGATGGGATCTCTGGGTATGCTCATGACTTGCTTGGGTGTATGTCGGGATGCAGGTTGGGTGATTTGGTATGTACAGTCCAGCCTTGCTGGAACCAACTCCCCCCCAGCCATTTGAAGCCAATACTAACACGCAATCAAGCTGTCCCGCAGAATAATATTCGTAGCCCACAGCCTCGGCGGTCTTCTTTTGGAGCGGGCCTTGGTCATCTCAAGAAACAGCAACCAGCCACACCTCCAAGCCATCGAGACCTATACTGTTGGAGTTTGTTTCCTTGGAACTCCTCACCACGGCGCTGGTCAGGCGAGATTGGGTGATGGCCTCGTAAACGTGATCAACCTGGTGAAACCTACAAATCGTAATATGATCGAATTGCTCAAGCGGAACTCCCACATTCTAGGAGATATCGAGAACGAATTTCACCAACTTCTAGACAAGAGGAGAAAAGACGGCGGCAAGATTGAGATTGTCTGTTTCTACGAAACAATTCCATTCATATCCTCATGTGTCGTTCCTAAAGAAAGTGCAATCATAAGTGGCGAGCCTCATTATCCAATTCGGGCTAATCATGAGGTATGGTAGGCTGACTAACCTGGAGCACCTAGGTAGGCGACCTCAGTTAACTGACTTGTCAACAGGATATGACGCTATTTTCGCAACGGGGTACCTATGGTGACAAAGGATACATAGATATTCTGCGAGAAATTCGTAGAATTGAACAAATAGAAAATGCCAGGTTCGCACAGTTCTGGGCCAGTCTCGAGGTGAATAAGATGGATATCGACAGGCACCTCAGTATCACTTCAACACCACAAGACGGTACTTTCACTTGGATTTATGAGCGTCTTAATCTTCGCGACGTACGTTCGAGGCAGGAAAAATGCTTAATTCATATAACTGGGATGCCAGGATGTGGAAAGACTGTTCTCAGTACGTGGCTATATCGAAACTTTCGACAACTCACTCTCCACCGAAATAGATACGTAGGAGCGTTTTTTCATGGATTCAATGGCAGAGATGCATCTCGCCGCAGCACAAAGGGAATGCTCTCGTCATTGCTCCACCAAATGTTTCTTTCGGGGAGTCTTCGGCGCCAGCACCTACTCCCCTATTTCACCAATTCGTTTAAAACAGATCCTTTGCCTCCAGATATCCTGGTCCGGATTTTTCAATGGGCTTGCGGACTCGAGGCATTTGAAAAAGCTATTTATATAATTGATGCTTTGGATGAGTGTGATCAAGGAGCGGAGAGAGATGAGTCGGTCCGCTGCCTGTCTAGCATCCTCAACCAGGATACAAACAACAAACTCACAATGATTGTTGCAAGTAGGGACTATTGGGATATAACTTTTGAGCCCACAAGTCCTGGTTCGGACTCTGTGATTCGTGCCAATCTTGATGAGGAAGACGCTATGAAGAGGGATCTTGAGGCGTACACTGAACGATGTGTGAAAGATTTCATTAAAAAAAGACCGGAATACTCGTCATACAACGATGAGTTGATTCTTCGAATACGTGATAGGGCTGGTAACGGAATGTTTCTCATGGTACAGCTGTTGACCGACCTACTATATCGGTCTGTCGATTCCTCACCAGCGGCAATCCGCCGCACCATCAACTCCTTGCCCTCAACGCTCCAGGAAGTATACCGAGGGATATGGCAAACCGTACCACCAGGAAATGAGCCTCGGGCGAGAAAAATCATGTGCTGGATATTGACCGCATTTCAGCCCATAGCAGTCCAAACTCTCGCGGATGCCTTGGCCCACGAGACTGTTCTAAATGACGAAACAGACCGTAACAGCCTCGTCGACGCTCGGCCGATTGACTTGAGAGGAGATCTAAGGAGGCTATTTGGACCCCTAATTCGAATTGGTGATGCGGTCGAGCTCGTACACCAAACCGTCAAAGACTATTTCTTCTTGGAAAGTAATCAACAGCAGCTGCAAACAAAGTTTTCTGTTTTGTCTCCTGACCGTCACATCAATATCGCCAAAGTCTGCCTATTCTGTCTCGGGCAAAACAAACACGCAATGACGTCTGCGAACTCTCTAAACTCGATCCTGGGTGTTGGAGTCCCTCCTTTCTTCGCATATGCCCATAAATACTGCAATCGTCACCGAGAAGCTGCTGTCGAGAACCATGAGAGCAATGAAACTATTGCGAAGTTTGACTTATACCAGGAAAGAACACTTGGTGACATTGAATTTGAGGCAATAATTTCTGATGAGGAGACCTGGGCAAGGCTTGAGCAAAGACGGCGTTCGTGACGTGAGCCTGGGGATTGTAAAGAGTCGACATCCTGGTGGTATGACCACTATTATCCCAGGTATCAAACCGACCTGAAGAAATGAAGGTGCAAAGTATGATGTCCCCCAAGAGACTCGACCTGGCAACCTTAACAATGGCCTAAAGTGGTGTTCAACCCATCATATTAATATGAGACCTTCTCACTAAAGCCACGAGGACGCAACAATTTGTTAAAGTACCCATGTTATACAAATAATTTATTCTGCAGGATAAAAGTCGACTTGGTACTGCAGCCAAGGCATGAAAAAATTCCCCGACTAAGCCTCGGGGCTTTAGGAGAGGTGGAAACTTTCAGTATAAATTTGGCTGAATAGCTCATTTGGTATTTACTCGTATATGCCCTGTTCAAATTTCTCCGAGTCGTAGAATAGGGCGGAAATAGTGTTTCCGTTGAAAATTCGGCCTTCCAAGGCGTTCACAGCCTATTATAGTGGTGTTAGTTACCTTGGTAATTTTATAGCAAAGGGAGAGATATGGCTTACCCGTAAAGCAGATAACTGGTTTGTGAATTTGACAAACACTTTTGGGGCACTTCCGTGGCGGTCAATATAAACTCTCTCTACACGACCATACTATTGAGGTATTAGTTAACAGGCCTGGCAACGTGGAAGCCAAGGGGCATACCTTCTCATCGCACTCATCGCCTATTTCCTGCATCAACCCGCCATCTCCTGCGCCCTCAACCTCCTCATCGAGGTTCATACCATCAACCATACCCCTGAGCACGATGACTTCGGACATGGGCCCGAACTTGCCCACCTCCGAGTCTTTCTCAGGCACGTTTTTCTTGCCTCCAATGATCTTGCCTCTTCCACCAGGGTCTCTGAAGCCACCGCCCTCGGCGTCCGATTTCTTTTTCCGCTTCTCGATTTGAACTCGGAGCGGGTTCACGATTCCAGAACCATCGGCGCCTAAGCCTGTGCCCTTGCTCCACCCGTACTTGGACATAAGGCGCTCGGCGAATCCTTTCTGTCCAGGACGGAGTGAGCGCTGAGCCTCTTCTACGTTTTCATCAGGTTGCTCAGCTGCCTCAGCTTCTACTGCGAGCGCCTTTTCTAGCTCTATTTCGGAACTTGGGATATCGCTTGGTGCTGCTGGCAGGTTGTATCGGACGGGAGCTCGAGATATTGCGGTACCAGGCAAAGGCTCCTCGGGGGCTGTTGACGGGTGAAATGGTTCAGGCGGCGGCGGTGGATGTGCTTGCAAATTTGGAGCAGGTGGGCTGTAACGATCTGAATCGGCATTGATTGGGTGGCTAGTAGGTTTTGAGGGTGGAGAATCCATGGGTGGGGGAGCGAAGGAGTAGTTTGGAGGGGGCGCAAATTGATCTGATGATCATCAGTACATTCAAGCAATAGTAAACTCGCAGGTCCCTACTTTTCATCTGTGGGCGATGGTCCTCTTCATCGTCGCTATCCTTCTCGCTCGCAGACTTTCTGGCCATCCTATGGGCATATAATCTGTGTTTCCACTCCCTTATTTCTCGAATCTTTTCGTCACTGTGCTTGTATTCTTCATAGCTGTTCGGTCTTGTGGGGTCATAAATGTCATCCCAGTCTTGAACAAATACTTGCTCTTCCTTGTGCTTGTTCTTCCGCCGCTTTCGACCGCCTCGTTGGCGTTTTTCTCCACCGTAGAATCCATTTACATCATCGTCATCCCCCGTGGCAGTCCAATCAGCTAGCGTGTTTTTCACAGCAGGCTTGGAGGGTGTCGGTCCTTGTGTGACTGGGATTGAAGAAATTGTTTGGGTTGTCTTGTCCGGCGGGCCAGGTTTTGGGAACGAGGATTTAGGTTTCGCCTTCTGCGCAAGCTGTGGACGTTTGGTAGGTTGAAATCGCAATGCCGCTGTTTCAAAAAGTAAAACTTAGAGTAAGTAATTGAATCTTTATAGGCACTATAATAGTAGAGAATGACCTACCAGGATCTATTTGGGGTTTCTTTGCTGATGCTTCATCTGCGGTCTCCAGGGAGGGATTCTTAAACACAACTGGTCCTCTGGAAACTGTCGCAGGTGTGGTCGCGCTATTAGGATCGAGGAGATTCGCATATAACGAAAGCCCAGAACGAGGGGCCGACGCCGGCGTAGATGTATTCGACATGGTGAGGATGGTGGAGTTATAGTGTAGGTCGTATACGTCGTAAGAGCGCGAATGTTAAAGCCACAGCCTGATGTGTAAGGCTATGGCATCAGGTGATTGCAGGGTCCCCTGACGACAGAAGGTGGCTTTCTTTCGTCGGCGATAAGACCAGGATGGACCTCGGGAATAAAAGCACTGGATGAGTGGGGTTTAAACCAGGCCTTGAAACTTCAACAGTGGCAGACAGCTTTGGAAGCTTTTGATATATTTACGAATTGCGATTCTGCATTGAACATATACATAATATTTCACGTTCTTGAACACAAAGCACCTAGCCGAAGCCACAATGTCTGCCACCACGCTCTCCAATTCGTTCACCGGCTCCAATGACACAGCGCTGATCATCCCCAACAAGACCCAAGGTCTCACAATATCATACCAACAGCTCTCCTCCGAAATCCTCTCTTTCCAAAAGAAGCTCGCAAAACTTGGGGTATCTCCTGGATCAGCAATCTCAATCGCCCTCCCAAACAGTTACGAATTCATCGTTTCATTCCTAGCCAGCGCCTGGCAAAGAGCTATTGCAGCTCCGTTGAACTCGGCATATAAGCAGGAGGAATTCGAATTCTACATCGATGACTTGAGCTCGGCTCTTGCCCTGGTGCCGAAGGGCTCATACCAACAAGATGGAGCTGCGGTGCGAGCTGCAAGGAAATACAATGCTGCCATTGCGGAATGCTATTGGAACGGGCAAGAGGTGGTACTGGATATCAAGGAACAGGGGAAGTTGAAAGGGAAGGGGAACCAGAAAGTTGCCACGGCAGAGCCCGATGATGTTGCATTGGTACTCCACACCAGTGGCACAACGGGACGGCCTAAAGCAGTGCCATTGACACATCGAAATCTCACGCGGACGATGAAGAATATCAAAAATACATATGAGCTTACGCCAAAAGACCGAACCATGCTCGTCATGCCGCTTTTCCACGTCCACGGCCTACTCGCAGGATTCCTAGCACCCCTCTATTCCGGTGGCTCTGTAATTGTACCACCCAGGTTCTCCGCCTCGGAATTCTGGGACGACTTCATAACACACAAGGCAAACTGGTACACAGCTGTTCCGACCATCCATCAAATTCTCCTCAAGTCCCCACCTCCTCAGACCAAGCCCAATATCCGATTCATCAGATCATGCTCCTCCCCACTATCCCCAACAATCTTCCACCAGCTGGAGAAAACCTTCGACGCACCCGTCCTCGAAGCCTACGCCATGACCGAAGCCTCCCACCAAATGACCTCAAGCCCCCTCCCACCAGGAAAGCGCCAACCCGGCAGCGTCGGCATCGGCCAAGGCGTCGAAGTCAGGATCCTCGATCAGGAGGGTAAGCAAGTACCTCAGGGTTCCGAAGCGGAGATCTGTATCCGCGGAGAGAACGTCACAAAAGGCTACCTTAACAACCCCGAAGCCAACAAGTCTTCATTCACAAAAGACGGGTTCTTCAGAACCGGCGACCAGGGGAAGCAAGACGAGGATGGATATGTTTTCATCACTGGCAGGATTAAGGAGCTGATTAACAAGGGCGGGGAGAAGATCAGTCCTATTGAGCTTGACAACGTGCTTGCGAGACATCCAAAGGTTAGCGAGGCAGTGAGCTTTGCGATCCCGGATGAGATGTATGGACAGGATGTGGGCGTTGCGATTGTAGTGAAGAGCGGAGAGAGGCTGGAAGCGAAGGAGTTAAGCGGATGGATTGCGGAGAGACTTGCTAAGTTTAAGGTCCCGAAAAAGGTATGCATACGTCAATTACTTACATTTCTCCCCCTTTCCCCGTCCATATATCCCCCGCTGGCGAAAAAGTCATCAAAAGGATTGACACTAACGAATTCATAGATATACTTCACAGACAACATGCCAAAAACCGCCACGGGAAAGATTCAACGCCGGATCGTAGCAGAGACAATGATGAAACAAGACAAGCCAAAGGCTAAGCTCTAAACAACTCCTCTTACCGCGCAGGGCGCTAGAAATATTTTAAACAAGCGGTTAAGTATATAGTGTACAAACACAGAAATATATAACGATTTATGTTGGGGGGGGGAGCAGGAAGAGATATGTGTGAAGATAATTTGAAGAGATAAACAAAATTGTATTGCATCCTTCGTTGGAAAACTTAACGGCTGAACTTTACCTAGAACAATAAACAATAAACACTCTGTACTTTCATATACCGCGGTAATACAGACATAATCTGACCCAAGGGCTTAATCTTCGTACCTAAATTCGTACCTTATAAAGGATACCTATCTATCATCATCGAACCTTGCTATCACACAAAAATATACTATAAATCCAAAAAGAAACCCCTTCAGAAATTTACCCATCATCACTAATTATACAACGAAGCCTCCACACAGTACTAGTATACGATATCTAAGAACCCCTCCCGCCCATCTATCCATTCCATTTTCCCCTCCTCCCTCCCTCATACATCCACCCCCTAAACCACCCCCATCCCCACAAACCCCACGATCCTCCCTCACAACACCACCCAAAGCTTCAAGAAACCAACTACACCACTCCCCTCCCTCCATCAACCATACGATCCCTACCTAACCTTGCCCACCATACTCACACACCCCCACACTTACATCTACATCCTCAGCCTCAAGCCTCAGCCGCACCCTGCACCCCCAGTCATATACCAAACCAAGCGAAAAGCGGCTGAACTAACCTAACGCACGATCGACTTTCCCCCTCCGATGAGGCTGAAAAGCCTTGTCCAGCCTTGCATGCTCCTCTATGGTTCTTAGTTTGGGGTTGTGGTGATGGGTAGCTTGCTGGGAGGAGAATGTAGTAGGAAGGGGTTCATTGGAAGATGACGTGCGAGAGCTGGCTGGGTAGGGCGGAGTGAGGCTTATTACATGTATGCTCTTCTAGTTGGGCTTTGGGCTTGCGATTAAGGGTTTAGATGGTTCATCCAGGTGGGTTGGTTTGATATAACTCTCGAAGCAAAGCATTGGGGCAGGAGATAGGTTTAACATCAGTGCTGTGCATCTGTCAAAGCGAAGAGAAGGAGGAACTAGAACCGTAGAGGTAGTCTTTTTATCTAATATCACTTTCCGACAATCAAGAAAATCATCAAGTACGAAGTAGAATCGTCACAAAGGGGCATTAAAAGTCCTAAGGATCAATGTACAAGTTTGTATGGAATCTCGCGGCCCTACAGTCATGTCGTTCCACTCCATCCATCGCGCAAGAGCACATTCCGCCATTCAACAGCAACGCCAGTATGCAACCGAATGCAACCGCCTAGTAAAGAACAGCCACCCGGAATTATGCATCCTCGCAACGTCCTCCCTTTCCATTCTCATCCCCTTGCGCGAGAACCTAGCCGGCGGAAAAGAGGCAGAGTTGTTGTTGCAAGGAAAGATTGTGGAAACATCACAGATTAGGTCTAAGTTGAGCGAAAAAGGAAAGACTAAAAACGCCGACATCCCAATGCTTTACAACAACATCTGCAGAAGACCTCCGAGGACTGAGAACCCGGCAACAGCCTCGCTGACGCCGAATGATCCAGCATCACTCTTCTTGGATGAGGTGGGGCTGTCACTGCTGCTGGTTCCGGTTGATGAGCCAACTCCGCTCTTTGCGTCGGCGGTAGTCTTGCAGGTGAAGGTTCCCTGGATAATCTTGTTCTTCATGCTCTCGAAGTTGCTGCAGTCAATCTTGACAGTTGATTGAACATTGAAACCGCCCTTGACGTCCTTGATCTCTGGGAGCTCAGGGCTAGAAATGGAGTCAGCGTCTGTGTCTCTAAATGCAATTTTACAATACTTACGTAGAGAAGTTTCCGGCGAAATCAATTGCACCATTGACAGTCTCCAAAGCTGGGAAGCTAATGGCGCTAAGGGCTGTGTTGTTGGCAACCTGGACAGCGCCTGCAACGGACTTGAGGACAGGGAATGAGATGTTAGAAAGCGCAGAGTTGGCAACCAATGCCAAGCTACCTCCCACGGAGGCGCTCTTGGTGATATCACCGACAGTGGTCAGGTTGGGTGCGATAATGCTCTCGGAGTTGGTTCCATAGAATCCAAGAGACCCGTTGACGGTAGCCAAAGAAGGGAGCTTGATGGATGAGACGTTTCTGAAAGTGGCGTTGGCTGCCCAGATAAGGTTAGGGAAGCTGACATCCAGGTTCTGACCGTTGGAAGAGATGTCGACAAGCTGGGTGATGTTTGCAACTTGGGTGCTGAAGGTCTTCAGGCGGTTGTTGTTGTTGATGTTCAGGGTGCCAACGGTCTGCAAGTTGATACCATCAAGGGTGCTCAAGAAGGTGTTGGTGATGAGGACGGCATTGGCCTTGGAGAGAACCGAAGGGAAGGTGAGCTGCGAGAGAGCAGGCAGCGCGGTCCATTCGAGAGCCTTGACGGAGGTCAAATCGGACATGGAGAGTGTGGACAGAAGGGTCAAGTTGGTGAGTCTGAAGGTACCGCCAATTGTGCCAATCGAGGAACTGCCCAAGCTGGTCAACTGGCCAGCGTCTTCGCACACGATATCACCCTTAATTTGTTGAGGACCATCGATGCTGACCACACCGGAGACAGTCGAACTGAGGACGATGCTGCCTGCGATGGTGGAGCAGCTGGCGAGAGCGGCGGCATCGGCAGCGGAATTGAGGGTGATGGTGGTCTCGGAGCAGATATTGGCTAAGAAACGATCCCATCAGCACCAGCTCGATACCTCAATCGATCTATCAAGACGCGCCCTCGGCATCTCGATCCACCGTACGTTGACGGGTGGAGCGAGATGGAACGAGATCAATCGCGCGTGTAGCAGGCAGGACGTGCTCAAAGTGATAGCAATGGGGAGAGATGGATGACTTACCAGCAGAGACGCTCCAGGCCGCGAGGGCAGGGAGAAGGATCTGTTTGGCGAACATGGTGGGTGGTATTATGCTAGTAGAGTAACTTGTTTGGAGTCAGCGAGGGTTTCAATGTCAATTGAACCGAAAGATCGAACTCGATGCCAGTAGAGAAGAGGCAGCGGGACGGTTTGCGAATGATGGATGGTGCTGTGTGACGGATGAATACAAGAAGTAGTGGCTATTGTTTGGGGTTGCAGCGACGTTGTGTCGTGTTGTACTTTTCCGTGGCACCGTCTCCTGCCTTGGCGACCGTCTCCTTTCGAATTTTCCGTGGTCGTCGTCGATTCACGATATCGAGGAAGGAGCCAACGAGCAGCGGGCGTCGTGGTAGTGAATTGATCGGCGTGGGAAGTAGCTTTTGCGTGGTTGACGGGTTCTTGTGGTTGTAATGGACGGTGATGATGGAGACGATGGGAGGAGGCCGTGGTAGGAGAGCAGGAGCCGGAGCAGGATACGAAACACAAACACAGACACGGGCTGTCCGCTCTCTATCCAGGACCAGGACCAGGACCAAGGGGATCTCTCAATTGTGGGCAACGGGATGGAAGTATCAAACTAACCTTTGGAACTTAACGACAGTGGGGAAGGGAGAGAGAAGAAAGAAGACACGCTCGACTCGTAGACCAGACAGACTCTTGACGGGAGGATTCAAGAAGAGGGTTGGCAGGACAAGAACGGAATGCGATTTAAAAGGGATGAGCCACTGACTGCTGGTGGACGCTACGGAGTGCAGTGGTGCGGTGCCTACGTAGTGAACCTACAGGCACTGCACCGAACCTACGTAGGGGCGGCCCTGGTTCCTGGCGTGTGTGTGGCGGCGTGCCACTGCCACTGCCTGTGCCTGTGCCTGCTCCGGAGTCCTGTACTAAATGCCAGCGTCTGCCAGCGTGTGCTCCGGGGGCCACGGGTGGTTGCTGTAGCGCTGTAGTGGTGCCTGTAGCGGTGCTGTAGGCCTGTAGGTAGTGCTGTCAGTGCTGTCAACTGCCCATTGTTCACTCACCGCAGTGTCCACCACTACTATCCATCTACCATTATTGTTTGTCTCAGTAGAGTAGTAACTAGCTACTGTCCACATCCACCACTTGTTTACTTCTTCGTATCGACTGTTGTCCCCCAACACAAATCTCCATGCCTCATCCCCCTCCGCGGTATGTAGTACATCAGGCACCACGTCCAGAGTGCGAAGTGATCGCCACACACAATGCGGCCACAACAACAAATGCCTGCTCGGGGTGTTTACTTCGTGCGGTAGATCGTCTCGGACAAACCACTACTACCACCTGCACTACTACGTAGGTTGTAATTTATACATTATTATCATTATTTGCACAGCACTCCACAGCACTCCACAGCTTTCGTTTTGTTTATTTATTGTTATTATTCTTACTCCCTACTACAGCATTTTCACACTTACAGACAATTCCGTTGCATTCCTGGATTCCTGGATCCGTTCCATTCACTAATTACTCGACTGATCCAAGTCCAGCTGTAGCAACACCGTAGCTCCCCTTGTCCCTGACCCCCATTCGTTCCATTGGGCGCAAATCAGTGGATCGTGCTAGGCTCAACCGAGGCCTTTTGGAGATTTGCTAATCAACAAGCCCGATGATGCTGCTGCGTGCTTGACCCATCCAGATTGATTTGATTCCTTCTCCTTTGTTTGCTGTTTGCTGCCAATACTCCGTAATCTGCTGCCAACCTGCCGCTGCCGCCTACTAACATGTTGGTTTCATCAGATCCTTCCGCCTTCTCTTCCTCCTCTTCCTCCACTTCCTTGCTCCCTATGCTGCGCCCACCCAGATCCCACAATTAATGATTCCAACCGTCCCCCCCTCCTCGTACGAGCGAGTGGCCCCGTCGTTGATTCCCGGCCCCCCGAGTCCCCGATGTACTGTACCAGCGAATCTTGATTTCCCTTCTGCCAAGTTGCCATCGCCTGCACCAATCCCAAACGGGGGTAGCATTCATGAAACCAGCAGCCAGCCCCCATGTCGCTCTGGTGTGGATAAAGCAACCCGCCAAGGTGCCACAGCAGGCTTCTGGCCTCTGGCTTGCGACGCTTAGCTGCCGCGATGCTCTGGAAACTTGGAAAGGATGGAAGCGGAATCTCGAAATCTTGGTGGGAAGGAAATGTTTCAGAGACCTCTTCAGCAGTTCAACCTACCTTGGTCTATACGGAGGGAGACCTCACTACTTGGAACCCCGAGACCAGCTGGCTATATACCGAAATGTCTTAAGCCTCCGTGTTGTTCTTTTTTCCACAGTCATAACAGAAAACTGGACGAACTTGCATAAAAGCTTGATGGGCGGCCGGGTACGAGGCTCTCCCCCCGATGATCCGGCATGACCGCTGCATATCGGGTTGGCGGCGGCGGTCCGCTAGTGGTGCTCACATATGATTCGGCGGGCCGTCTTCGATATCTTGATAGCTTCAGACACCGGTGCGATGTGCACGTAATCTTCCTGCAGCTTCTGTTGCCGTCACGATGCTAGCCGTACAGTTAAGCGCAGGAGAGCTCCGCAGAGAACTAGAGGTGGGGAACTCCGTGTAAATCCCAACTTCCCAAGTACAGAGTACAGTACAGTCAGATACGGAGATGCCCAGAGGCCCCAGCATATTTTTGGTGGCCTTTTTGAGCCTTTCCTTCTGTTAGTATTAGTCACATGTCAGTGGAGACCAACTCGAAATTTGATAGAATCCAACGGCTTTGGTGTGGCTTTATCTCGGCGGCACAGGAAATTTCGATTATCACACCGAAAGTATCGAGCTCGTCTCAACTTCTCGTCTCAATATCTGTCTCACACAGGAACAGTATTTGCTAGAACAAGCTGATCCGATCCTAGCTTCGGCGTCCCCCAAAACCCCAGATTATATGCCTAGAAAATCCCGTGGAGCTCTGGAACACGCATAGAGTTCGTTATTGATGACGATGTCGCAGTCTTTTGGCGTTCCACAAACTGGGATATTTTAAACCCCCTGGCTGCTCGCTTGTGTTATCGACATTGCACAATTTGGGATCCTTGACCGTGCAGAGCATATTGAAAAATTATCCAAGATGATATTCGACATGGGCCCAGACCGAAAAGTCCTGTCTGGCCGCCAATAGCGCACACTCAAGTGTAAGGCCTCCTTTGATATTTCTCAAACCAGGCAATTGCGGCTTTGAAAGTCAATCCCACCTGGGGATTGTCCGGATGCGCTGCGAGAATAGCATCTGCCTTCCTAGAGAAAGATATAGTTTGGGCTTCTGTTACTTCTCCAGAGGCAGCCAGAGTTCGCAGAAAAACCCATACGGACTCGTGTGTCCATTTGAATGAGGTAGCCAGATCAAGTACATCTCGGAAGACGCGTGTGCTTGCTTCAATCCGAGACGGGTCTTCAGGGCATCCAAACGAGGCGAGAAAGAACAATAGAAATGAGAAGCCAGATGTATCACCCGGGTGTCTCAAGCACCAATCATTGACGATGAGGAGCATTTCATTCCTCTCGGCATCTTTCACACCAAATGTTTGGACAAGCCACCGCATATGAGACCAGGCATAGTAATTTCTTGGGTGTCTCTCTGCCGCAATCAAAACAACGGTTCTGAGATCTCGCTGTATATCATATTCCAACTGTACAGAATGGCAGATCTGAAGAATCCAACGACGATGGCTCCAGAGCGTGGGTGATTTGGTATGGCGATGTAGCCGTGCCGTTAAATAGCTGTCAACAAATAACAGCTCCCTCTCCAGCGCTAATTGAACCTCTTCTTTTGAGCCCTCTCTACAAGACTCGATCAGTCTTTTCCTTGCATTCGCCGCGGTAAGATTTTCCGGGTCCATCAACAGCATAACAGCGGTTGCATTTCGAAGCTCATCACGCTTCTCATATAGGGGCTTCTTGAGGAGCTCGAAGAAAATTTGACGAGCAACGACGAACGCTTGCACAAGTTTGACTTTGGGGATAGCAATGCTGTTTTCTTCGAGGAGAAAGTTTTGTCCAGCTGGTATTGGATGGCTCTTTCCAAGGAGCTCAATCTCGAGCAATTGCGTTCTCTCCTGGCAGAGTCCTCGGACGATGTCGTTATAAACTATGTGAGTGTCGTTGCTTTGAAGGGATGCAACTGTTTCCCTGTCGAGAGCTCTTGACATGATGATATTCTTCGAGAGCAGAACAAAACACTGAGGGGGTTTGCAGTTGAGAGGAAAGTGCTATTTGTGAATGAATGTACTTCGTAGCCCTTAAGCCTTGCAGCCTTGCGTTGTGGGGGCACGGGCCCCAGAGCGCAAAGGAGTCCCGACCTTTCAACGGCCACAGTATGTCAGTGACGTGAACTTTCCGAACAACCTCGAGCTCGCTGATCAGACGGCGTTCTGAGGAATTCTTCTTCTCGCAAAATTCATCTACCTCGGCCTTCATGAACGCAGGCAAAGACATTTGTTCAAGATGCCGTCGCTACTCATTATCGTGTTCGCCCTCCAGGTAGCCATCTATCTGATCAACACTTTTGGAGCCGCCACTATCAACAGCCTGGTATGAATGTACCGTTCGCACACATCCACCGTACAGCCAACTAACAAAATCATAGCTGTGGAATATCTACAACCGTCTCCCTACGCCAACCTCCCAGTCTGCGGCCGAACAGAGGGTGTTGAAGAATCAGTTCATGAAAATCCGGAAAGAGCTGAACAGCACAAGCAGCCAGGATGAGTTTGCCAAATGGGCGAAATTAAGGAGGCAGCACGATAAGATCCTGGAGAAACTGGAGAAGAGCAGTATTTACCCCTAAGCATCACCAGCATCTTATGCTCACAAAGCTAACCTTTCACCCCGCCACAGAAGCAGAACTAGATTCTACGAAAGCAAATTTCGACAAAATCGTTGGGGCATTGCGATGGGCGGGCACGAACGGATTCCGGATGTTTCTACAGTTCTGGTACCAAAAGGAACCTATGTTCTGGATACCCAAGGGCTGGGTACCATATTACGCGGAGTGGCTGCTATCATTCCCACGGGCACCGCTGGGGAGCATCAGTATACAAGCGTGGGCATTGGCATGTATGGCGATTATCGTACTAGTCAGCGACACGTTGGTTGCACTGGTGGCACTCGCGCTGGGAACTCGTTCCACGGTGAACAAGGAAAATGGCGAATCGATGAAGGTGCCTTCGGGGGAGAAGCAGACACCGTCACAATCACAGGCGGAGAAAAAGGAGTTATAAGGGGCAGCATAGGTAGGATATTACCGGGTGCATTTAAATACCAGACTACTCTGCGCACGGGGAAATAAACATATGGGAGTGATTATTGAACAGTATGTCTCTCATCAAAAAGACGCAAGAGGTCGCCATGGCTTTCGCTACAGACCTTGCAACACGAGTGAGATGACTCTTGGCAGAGTACTTGGGGCTTGATCTGGGCATACTTTTTGACTTTGAGTGACCATGGGAGAGAGGATCGCCAAAGCTTCGAAAGTGCCAGTGTTGTACAGTAGAATCTAGGTAAAATTGGGGATATAAAGGAATTAATACTAAAAAAGCGGAGAGATTGACGTGGTCCCATTGCTTGGTATACCAACCGTTTTAATAGCAAGTTCATTTGTTGTGGTTTTGTAGACATGCTCCAAATGGTTTGTGGTGTTCAGTTTGGAGAAGTTCTGCAAAATAAGAGGACGCGGAGAAAAATCAGAGGGCGTGGACTCGGCTGAGGGACTAGGACGTGTTTGGAACGGCCATGGCGGTGCCCAATGGCAGAATCCCTCCGCCTCTCACTTGCAGTGGCTTACTGCGACAAAGCAATTGTTGTAACTGTTGCCTTCAGCGCGAAAGCTGTCTTTATCTTGAACGTGTTCTGAGCGACTTCTCTATGCCTCAATCCACATCGCACATATAATCCCCTCCAAGATGGCAATCTCCTGGGGCACGTAAGTAACTCCTCGTCTTTCCACAACCCTTTCACTAATCGATATTGACACCTCGCAGCATCAAATCCCTCCTACTCTTCTTTGGCCCCATCCTCCTCCCCAAAGCAATAGGATACTACCGCTCCGCACGCTCAGCACCTACCATTCACGGGATACCCATCCGTCCAGTTCCCTCCTCAGTAAAACGTGCACTCCTTATTCTCTTCGTCACAGCATTGGCATTCCTCCTCCGCACTCTCCCAGCATTTGCGCCAGAGAATATATTCCAGCTCACTAAATCCCGTATCCAAATCCCCAACGATGTCCTCTTCGCTCGACTGAATGCCCTCCGGCCTGGTCAGCCAGGACTAACATCATCCGACACCCTGCTGCGCAGTAGAATCAACTCCCTCGAATCCCGTCTCTTATTCTTCCAGTTCGGCCCGGACGTCTTGACAAACTGCCAATTCTGCAACGCCGAGGATCCCAATACCTACCTTTATTACTTCCTCCCTGCCCTGCTCGCGCCACATTTGTTTAATATTTGCGTCCTCGCGCTTGTTACCAGCGGCCTGTTTACGGGAAAGGACGGGGGCTTATGGCGCATGAGTGCGACTCTCGCTGGGGGCGCAGCGATACTCTTGGACGTATGGATTACGGCTACTTATAGCTACCAAGAAAATGCGCGGGCGACGAGATTAGAAGACCTCCATCCCTTTTTCTGGAGGATGCGCGTATACCGCTTTATAGGGCTAGCGTTTATCGACGGACTCCTGGGATGGCTTCTCTACCTCTCCAGCACGAACCGTGCATTCATCATTCCAGCCACACCGGGTGAGCGCATCGAGTCTAGCACGAAGTTACTTGATAATGTGCGAAGTAAGATGAACGCCATGAGCATATTAAGGAATACGGTGAATCGGGATAAGGAGTTAAGAGAGAGGAGCAGGGAGTATTGGGTTATGGAAGGGGACTTGATGGGCGAGTTGATGGAGGAGAGGGAGGTGGTTGAGGGCGTGAATAATGCGCTGGAGAATAGGATTGATATAAGGACGATAAGTGCGGACGCGGAGACTTATGCGGAGAATGTTCTAGCGCCCCTTCGGGCGATGCAGGGGACGACGGATAGCTAGGTGGTATGGATGTATGATATTAGATTTTATATATATGATGCCACTGGTTTTTGTTCTGGTATGTTTCTCTTGTACGTCAGTGCTTCTGTACTATATACACCTAGAGCGACGACTATTAAAATTGGTTCATAGCTCATATTATTTCATAGGATTCTAAGAGAAAACAACTAGATACGGATTCTACATCCAATAAAGGCATCAATATAACTCTTGTGTACCTTGCCAAACATGCGGTGCTTGTAGCAGGTGTTAATAATTCATAGTAAAATGTAAACTATGTTTAATTAAGTTGGGATTTTCTAAAATATCATCAGTAAATTTTAATTTGATACTTGCCTACTTATATTTGAATCTATAGAAAGATGAGGGTTAAAAAACCACCGTGGGTTTAAATAGCACTATTTTATTTCATATTATACCGCATAAAGACTATAGAAATAAATTTGAAACTCCAGCGCCTGTCTTCGAAGCTTTCTTGAAGTATACAATGAGAAGATACAAGAGATACATTCTTATTTTGTATAAAACAATGGTTGTGGTGAATAGTGTAAAACTAACAACAGTTATATGTTTCCTTTCTGCTTCGATTTTATACCTATCGGAGAGTATAATCTCTGTAGAACATGTCTATATTTGTCAAGAAATATTTTTAGGGACTTTCAAGATTTAAATGTCCGGTTCATTCTTATAGATATCATAGGTTCACGCGGAAACACTGCCGAATACTCCTTGTTGTATTCCATGTGAACGATATTAATGCTGCGTTGGATGAGGGCTTGACTGCTACTATCACAAGACATGTTTGCAGCTACATATAATTCAAGGGAATACCACTAGCAAATGCTGAGCAAGGTACCGGTGTATTATCAAGTTGAATCTAGTTCATCGCAAATGCTCCCAACCATGGCGAAATTACAGTAGTAATAGCTGCTGCCTTGTTGGTAGTATCCCTATGATTCAATATCGTAGAACGGATCGGTATATTTTCTAAAATAGTAAGTTATCACGGATCACCCACGAAGAAGAAAACAACAAGGCCATCAAGAAGATGTCAAGAAAACTATAAGATTTCAAATAACAACAGATGTATGAATACCTGCTTGCTTGGCAATGGCCGCAAGAAGTCTGACCTTTCAACGCCTCTGACAATGTCCATGGATATAGTACAACAGAAACGCGATATTGGGATATCCACCATCCCCACAACATGCGTATTGGAACCTCATGCTCATGCTCTAGAACTTCCACCCTAGCCCTTAGTCTCTGGCCTTTGGGCTATGCTGCTGCTCACGCTTCCGCTTCTGCTACCATTCCTAGACCCCTCCTCCGCGCTCCGCTCAAGGAAACCCGTCCACAGATCAGCCAACGACTCCTTGGTGGCCGACGGCTCCGAGAAGAACTCTGTTGAGAGCGATGGTGTGCTCGGAGTGCGGTGGAATGGCGATATCGGTAAACGTAAACTGTTATTTGAGGCGCCTGGCCGTGCAAGACCTGCTTGCTCTTTCTGCTCATCGGTCCAATTAAGAAGCGCAGAAATTAACTGCAAGATCTGAAATTTCTTGGGATCTGACCGGTCTAGTGCTAGGAAATGCAGGAAATGGTTGGTTACGATTTGACTGGCGGGGAATATTAGCATGTCTGTCATATGTGGGGCAGTAAGGCTGCATACCGATCAATGTTATCCTCCGGTTTCGCCTTCTTGAGGAACCGTAAGGCTTTGGTGAGGTGATCATTAAGAACGATTGCCTCATGGCGAAGCTTTCCAATCAGGAGATTCTTTTCCTTCACCTCCTTTTCAAAAGGCGTTAACCTATCGAGCTCCATTTGCAAGGCATCCTTCCCTTCCACGGCCCCTTGAGCTCGTGAATCTGACTCCTGGACAAGCTTCTTCAAACCGCCTAGTTGTTCCTCATAGGATTCAACCATTTCACGCAATTCTCGTTTTCGGGCCTCCTGGACTTCCTGCAGGGCTCTCTGTATACCCTCCAGTGCTTGAGATTGGCTGTCCCTCTCGCTCACTGCCGCCTCATATGCCTCCTTTTGGGTGGAGAATTGCTCCTCCAGGTCCTTAATCCTATCCGCCAGTCCTTCCCGCATGGATCTCTCCTCCATGGCGAGGACTTCCCAGTCGCCCATTGCCTCCTTAGCTGCTTCTGCTTCATCCTTCAATTGCCCAGCCTGTTGTATCAAATCCTCCCGTTCGTGGACCCAATTTTGCTGTGACAGATTGTGCCGGTTCCGTAGACTTGATAGCTCTTTCGAAGAGTCCTGGGATTCAGCCTCTAAGCGCTTCACATCCGCCTCCAAATCCTGGACGCGTTTTTGGAGGCTCTTATTTTGAGACTCGAGTTCCTCTATCTGCTCCTTCGCCTCTGCTAGTTCTTGTTTGTCCGCTTTTAAACGCTCCCCTAGACTTGCTTTGATTGTATTGATACGGCCTAGAAGGTGCTGGTATTGGGTCTCGGCATGTTCTTTTGCGGATTCACTTTCCTCTAGCTCTGCTCGCACGGTTGACATTTCCTCCGTATGATGCTCCTTGATCACCGAAACCTCTTCCGTATGTTGGGTCCGAATGGTTGATACCTTCCCCACATGCTCATCCTTTATTTTGGATATCTCTTCCGCGTGTTTGCCTTGTATATCCTCTAACGACTTCCGTAATTGCTCTACTTCGGCACGTAATGCTTCACGTTCTTGTGACATCGCTTCCAATCGAACGCTGGCATCAGAGGTATCCGACGCATTGCTGTCCATATTATCTTCCGTTTTCCGGTTGGTCGTCAAAGGACTAGCAGCAGGTGCTAGGTTCGAAGGAGCAACTGCATGCCGACTCGTATCATCATGATTGTGGCCGTTCGTCTGCGAGTGGATGCTTCCCGGGAATTGTGCTTCACTCGGAGTATTCTAATTGGTGTGGTTAGGATTTGTGCTTAGGCTCGTACAATGGCAATTGAACAGGTGTCATTCGTACCAAGGCTGACTGCTCCGAATCCTCGGGCTCCCCTTCACCACCACCGCCAACCTCCAGCGAGCTGTCCTTTTCAGCATCCTGCGATTTGATGGCATCGCCGTTACTCTTTCCCTTGGCGCTCTTCTTCTTCTTCTTGCTGCTCTTCTGCTTGGGAGCTATTGGAATGCGTTAGCAAGGCCGCGTGCCCAGGGGATAATCATCGCTCAATGGGAAAACAACGCACCTGACAAGGACGCCTGGGAAGGGTCTGAAGGCGCTAAAGCAGACATATTGGATAGGCAGGCGACGATGGTGGGAACGTTCTTATCAATTGCGACGACATAAGGTACGTAGGGCAGGTTGGTACTAAAGTACTTTGTAATTATTCTCTAGTTGTACTCGTAAGGCTTTCGCTTAAAGATCGATAGTCGGCATTATTTATATGGACACCCCCTTCCCACAATTCCCCACCCCGTTCGACACGTACCTGACCTCAGGGAGGAGGTTGACGTCGACACTAGACTCCTAGAGTTACTTTTTGATAAACAGCATCATAACTACTCAAAGCGTAGATCGTAATTCATAATTCCATATATTTTACAAGGTGACAAAACCACCGCATGAGATACGTGATCAAGCACGGAAGACGCCCAACATCGCCTTGCCGCTCATATCATGGCATGATGTCGATACATACGAAGCTCAGGAGCCAAGGTGATGCTCTATCTACTTCATTCCATTTATTATCCCGTACTGTTTTTCACCATACTCTTTTCGGTGGTTGCTTGAACATCTTCTTTACGCAATTACAAACGTTCCTACCGCATCCAGTAAATGTGTGCTTGTTAGTTGAAGTAGTTCCTGTGATTGTGTCCCTTGAGGTGTTTCTAGCCAGGCGCAAGGGCCTGCTAGAGAATCATGAGGAGGATCTGGACCAATTCTCCATCTACGCAAAATCCCATAGCCGTCGGAGAAAAGCATATTGGAGATTAGAGGGGGTCTTGTTGATCTAGGGATTTAATGATATTAGGCTTCAAGCAATGAACTAGCACGACGAAGTTCTTTTTGAAGATGGGGACTTTACCTGAGTTCGTGGAACATATTATATTACGAGTTTGTACTTCAGTGAACGGAAAATTGGAGTTCAGTGGGAGGGAGTGCCTACATATACATGTTAACAACTGGCATTTTGATCTACAAACTAAAAAATTAAAGACGATTTTGCTATGCACATCCCTAAAAATGGTCAATGTTGGGTACGGGAGAGTCTACTATTGTATTTTTATTTATAGCAAGCGAAAATTAAGTTTGGATCCAATTAATAAAGGGGCAATCAAAAACAATGTGTCTGTTTGTCGCGGTATTAAAATCCGAGAGTCTTGGTATGTAATAACAGCAGCTCTGGAATTGTCTCCATGAGGACCGAGAGGGAATAGAGGGGGCGGAGTTGGGGGAATTTGCTTTATGAGTTTGAAGGCTCTACGACTCAGGTAACCCTGTACTAGCTCAGTGATTGAGTTGAACTTAGGGATAAATATTCAATTCTTTGTCATGACTACAAGTCCTCTGAATAAATTAAACCTCAATTTCAAAACTCACTTTGTTTCAGCAAACCCTCCTTCATAATGTTAAAATTCACCGCACTCATCCTGCCCTACCATCTGTCATATATAACGAATATCTGGGTAAATAAACAAAATTACAATACATCTCAATGCTTATTTCACATTAAAGTGCCGTTTGGCTACAACCTCGCCCGATGCATTCAGCTCCACAGCAGTAAAGTGAGTTCGATTGTCGCTTTTGCTTGTATGCGGGGTTTCCCTGTAACGGCATTAGACTGAAGTATCAAGTAGAGATCACAGCCCAAATATAAACAACAGAGTGAAAGGGGGACAAACTGAAGAGCGACAGCCGTGGTGTCAGAATGGTACGAATCGATGTGTTTTTCAGCAGCGACTTTGAAATCCGCCTCAACACCGCTATCAAGGAAGGTTCTCGTCCAGATGTCGGTCTTCTTCACATATCCCACTTGATAAGTCCGGCTTCCCCTCGAAATGGTGGAAGTAAGGTTGGTCGCTACCACCCGGGCGATAGACATTGTAAAAGGGGTAGGGTTGTTGGGTGATGGTTGATGAAGTATTTGGGATTTGAAAAATGGATGAACTTTATGAAATTTGATGATAGTCTCCAAGGAAGAGAAATTTTAGAGATTGGATGTGAATAAGTGGTATAGACTTAGATAGAAGTGTTCAAAATAGCGATGACGGCTCTGGAAATTTTAGTCGATATGGGACCAATCTGAATTTATATACCTCTCCCTCCAGAAATATTGATCGTGACAACATCGTGACATCCAACAAGAGAACTGGATAGTTTTACGGCCTACTAGCTGCGCATGCAGAGGGTTGAGTGTATCACCAACAATATGACCACCGAGCGCCTGTGGTAGTACTGTGATTGGAATCATTGGATCAATGTCCGTTTGATCAGAGGCAAAAGGAGGGGTTGGCAACTTATCACGAGCTTTACCCAGAGAAATGCATTGCGGCGGCTCGCAAGCTCGCGGGAACTGGACATTTTTACGGCCTACCAAGCGGCGCCTGCAGAGAGTTGAGTATATCACCAACAACAGGACCGCCGCGCGCCTGTGGTAGTGCCGTGATTAGATCAATGTACCAAGGCTAGGGTCCGCAATGACCCACATTACTACTCGTATAGCCCCTGCATATCACGTGGTTTAGCATACCAACCTCTGACCCGAACGATACGTCCTCCGTAAACCAACAGTGGCCCGGCCAACCAACAACGCAAGGGGTAGAGGGTTCTATTTCCCAGCTATCTACTCTGTACGCGCCATTCCTTTCGCAATTCGACCCCTGTGCTAGAAGCATGTTTTAAAAGCTGTACATTAGCGCTTAGAGGGAAACAAAGAATGTTACATCTTACGACTGTTGCTCCGCTCTGCAGGAATCTGACGATTGCACGTATTTCCTTCTCAACTTCTCAGATTTTGCGTAATCGCCCTTCATATCATCCTCCATCTTCACGTCGAACTGTATCCTCGCAGGCGTTGAAAATGGCCAACGAGCCTCTCACACCAGGGGCAACACTTTGTGGCCAGTCGGGGCGCACATATACTATCCAGGAGGTGCTTGCTGAAAGACGGAAGCCTCTGTTATGTGTTTATCGTGCGAGGTATAATCCGAACCCCACGATAAAATGGTTAGTGCTAATAATATGAAGTGCCGAAGGGCAGGACTTTATTGTTAAAAATATGATACCAGGGGAATACGAGTATCAACAAGATTTGCAGAAGCCCTTATCCTCATGTCCCAACCTGCGAACCGTTGTAGACGGTCTGCCAGGCCCGGAATTGTTCATCTATCCATTTTTACAAACCGATTTTCTTCAGTTTACTCAGAAGAACTTGACCGACGCAACCAGAAAGAGCATGCTCAAGAGCGCTCTTACCGGTCTAGCTGCTATGCATGATCGAAACATTATTCACACTGGTACGTTTTTCGGATATCCCTTTATCTATCTATTAGAATTAGAACCGTAGACATATTTCACGATAGAGCATTGACACATCTATACACTCGCTAACCAAACCTGACAGATATAAAACCAAATAACATTCTCTTGGACTACGAGGACATAGATGGTATATTATCTGTCAAAAGGGTCCAAATATCGGACCTGGAGGACTCGGTAGTTCTTCCCCCGGGGAAATACCTGAGGGACGCACTTTGCGGTAACCAGATGTGGAGGAGTCCTGAGTCCTGGGCCCGAGCAGCCCAAGGCACTCCATCAGACATTTTCTCCTTTGGCATTGTGTCTATTTACGTGGTACTGAATGAAATGGTCTTTCGCACTACCGACGAAGAGTTAGCGGCAGACGACTCATGGCGGCACATTCTTAAACGCCATATCTCTTTCTTTGGCGAAGAGAACGGTTTCAAGGGCTTGTTGGAATGGATTGGTGAGGAAAACCCATTCTTCGAACGCCTTATTGCTCTCGCTGGAAGCTTTAAGGAGGAGGGGAAACTCCGAAAACCGTTCGAGCTGCGATATTATGTGGATGCGCAGTTCCGTGATCTTGTTGGCAAGATGACAACATTGGATCCTGCGAAGAGAATTACAGCGCGGGAGGCGTTGGAACATCCCTGGTTTAAGGAGAGCGAGTGAGATGCTTTGTGGGACAGTATCTACATGGGTTGCGTTGTTGCAATTTTATATCTGTCAATTTAAACTTCCACTCTTCGACTATATATGTCTTATAACTTCACTTGCCGAGTATTCGCGGCTAATACATGGGCAATTTGAGCCTGCATCAGAGTAGATTTAGAAATTCATCTTCTGTACACAAGATATGGAGCCGTTCCTTAGCTAGGTTGTGGAAGTTCTTGGCCACGAAGTAGCTAGAATGATTTCTACACACTGGTTTATTGAGAGTTGTTTACTAGATTAGATCTCTTTTGAAAGTGGTGGTTTGTCCAAACTAAGTAAAATCACAGCGATAACCTTAATGGATCTTCCATGCGTTTCCGTATTTCTTGTTTATTGGACGCAATAGAAGGTACATTCAAGCGGTGGTCACTAGAATGAAAATGGCAAGTGGCTGCGTGGTTTGCAACCCTGGCACTCTACTACCAGCTTTGTGGACACCACAGAGTCCTACATAGCTGGAAACAAAGCCTGGGTTATATATCCAATCCCCTCCTTTCCCTTACTAGGCTCACGATTTGGCAGAGGCATGCCAGGCACACTATATGTCTAGATAATTCTGCATGTACGCACTAAGCGAACCCACTGCGCCCATAAAGAGTTTGCACTCGAGCAATCAGCAGGATTTTGAAAGGCGTTCGTTCTGGGCTATTCAATAATATGAAAAGGCTACTTGGAAGGTCATTGTATCGAAGGATAGCAATGAGAGCCAGAACAGGGGTATAGAATGCCGGAGTTTATATGTAAAGACTGAAGAGAGAAAAGAGAAAAGCTGGAGCAGAGGCGGTGCGGGTAATATACGGTATAGCTTGACGCTAGGTCAAATGGGGCTAGAGCAAGATGGGGTGTCGACTGTGCACGTGACTGTACTCAAAAACAATAAAGGTACGAAGTACCTCAATAAAGGTTCCCCTACTTGGGTATAGTGGCGTTCTCGGCCACCCCTACCTTACCACGTGCCCCCCATACCATCCCCATCCAAGTACCTTGCAAGCCTCCTCTTGGTCTTGCCTTGAGCTTTCCGCCCCGCGATGTCACCCTCTGGACGAATCCCTTCCAAAACCAAATATCAGTCTAGACAAATCTCCGTCAGCAGTGATCCACTATACGCTGTGAGATAAAACTCCATCTATTTCAGCCACCATGGCGTCGCAGGCATACACTTCGTCGAGCTGGACCGCATCACCATCCAACAACCCATCCAATACCAACTCAATGAAGGCTGTCCCGGATGGGTTGTCACCTGAGCATATTGCGAGACACCTCGCAATCAAGCGTGTTATGCCTATGAACCGGGTAAACAACCAGCTTGCAAAGAAGCAGAAAGTGGCAGCTTCGCCCTCCAATGTCGCTGAGTACGACGAAGATGATGAAGTCGCCGCGGCAGCGGCACAAGCAGCTCTCGCGGGCATAAGTGAGACGAAGCCAAAGCTCGCGCGCAAGACGAAGGGAGATGAATCGGAGGAGAAGCGTTTGAAGCGATTTAGGGCCAAGCCTCCTCTTACATACCTAGCACGACTTGATCGTGTCAAGACGCAACGCATGTTCCTGATTGATAGAAACCGGAGTACTAGTGAAGATGGCACGCACGAGCAGGAAGCGTTCGACATTGCGGGTAGCACAGGAAATGTCTATCAAGTCACTATCTCCAAGGTTCCAACCTGCTCCTGCCCTGATGCGGCGAAGGGAAATCAGTGCAAGCATATCATTTATGTAAGTTTGCTCATCGCTCGGAATAATTACTAGGGTTCATATATAATAGGTCCTCGTCAATGTTCTCAAAGCTCGTGAGGATCTAGCATACCAGCTTGCGTTTCTAGCCGCCGAACTGGTCGAGATCTTCACAAATGCACCATTCACCCCACAATCGGATGAGGGAACGGCAAGCACTACCGATCCAGGAAGTAATCGCAAGCCTATCGAAGGCGATTGCCCCATCTGCGTCATGGAGTTTGACGAGTCAGACAAGGTCGAGGACATCGTCTGGTGCAAGGCCGCTTGCGGAAACAATGTCCACCGTCTTTGTTTTGAGCAATGGGCTAAGAGTAAACCGGGCGAGGTCAAGTGTGTTTATTGCCGTACGCCTTGGGAGGGTGATGAGGACAGTATCAAGAGGATTAGCAAGGGTGGGCGAATTAATGATGAGGGCTATGTTAATGTTGCTGGGGAGCTCGGACTTAGTGGTCACCGAGACATGAGTACATACCACCCTTATTGGGTTCAAAGAGTCCATGGCGGCGGTAGGTATGGCCGTAATAATGGTTGGTAAGAAGCCGAAACCGAAAAGGGGGCCACATGCTGCTTAATTTTAAAGTCAACCGGCGTTACTGAGCGAAACATACACCAACCTTCATGGTATTTGGCGTTGATATTTGCATTTGCAGTAGGAAATAGCATCCAAGGCAACCCGAAAATTCGTCTTATTTAGATACCCATAATTTCTTTCCAGACGCCATAGAGCCTGTTGGTATTTCCATCAGCCAGTTATACGCCCTCTACGAAGTAACCTAAACAATATTCCCCTTTTTAATCACAAACCCCTCCAACGCCGCAATCGCCGCCCAAAGTCGATTTTCAGCCTCAGGGAACACCAAACTCCTCTCCCCATAAAATACCGCATCATCAACCTCCTCTTTATGCCTTGGCAAACAGTGCATAAACTTCCACCCATCCTTTGCACCACCTTTCTTCGCCAGCTCCTCCGTAATCTGATACCCCTTGAAAGCATTTATCCTCTTCAGAGACTCTTCCTCCTGCCCCATAGAAATCCACGTATCCGTGACAAGGACATCCGCATCCTTGATAGCCTCCTCAGGGACGTTCGTCTCAACGAATCCCGCTCCGGAAGAGGACGACCTTATAAGATCCCGCATAGGGGCGGGGATGGAGTATCCTGTCGGTGTAGCGACAGATATATGCACGCCAAGTTTCTGACATGCTATCGCAAGATCGAAGAGCACATTATTCGCATCTCCCACCCAAGCCACCTTTAGTCCCTCAACGCCCAATCCTTTTCCGCCTTTCCTTCCGAAAACCTCATATATGGTGAGGAAATCCGCAATGGTTTGTAGAGGGTGGAATGCGTCAGATAGAGCGTTTATCACGGGTACGCTGCTATCCTTCGCCAGATCCGCGACTTCAGAATGTGCTCCTACGCGGGCGACCATGGCCGATACCATCGAGGATATGACTACCGATGTATCATATAGGGATTCGTTGACTCCAAGCTGGATATCGCTTGACCCGAGAAACATCGGATGTCCTCCCATTGCCGTGACTGCTGCTTCAGTGGAGACACGCGTGCGTGTACTGCGCTTGTTGAACATCATGGCAACTGTCTTGCCGGCGAGAGCGTTTTTGAGTGTAGGTGGAGTGGTGCCAGATTTGAGAGCGGCTTTGTGGGACGAGGCGGAGAGAACGAGCGTGCTGAGCTCGGAGGCCGTCAGGTCTGCGATTGAGAGGAGATGACGGGGTTTGGGAGTGGAAGACATGGAGTAGGTGCGTTTCTGAAGCTGGCGAATGGCTATTCGGGCTGGTATGAGGATGTTGCTTGAGGGACTCATCTTGACGGCTGAGAAGGGGTGGTGAAGTTAATTAGAGTTCAATGGATGACGTTGCGAACAGTAGATAAGAAAAGGTATTCAATTCGATCGAGTTGTTAAGAGAAGCAGCGGAATTAAGGAATTGAAAATAAGGGAACCTAGGCAAGATACTTACATCAGAGTTGTTTATGGTTTTAAGACTCAGGAAATTTTCGAGCTGCAGGTGAGTCAAAAAATGTTGCGAGGCTGAACGATACAGGAGCTTCCCCCACAATTCGCTTCTGGAGCGACAGGGCCACTAGGCTCTGGCCACTGGAAGAAAAGGAATTACAAGAGAACTACGCAAATGAAATGCGATACTACATATCTATTTGTAGAATGTATCAGAGATTATGAATGATTGTTAGGGTCCCTCAAAATTTACTTGATAATTAATAATTTTTTAACACCAACCACCGTCAAGTTCGGCCGTCCACATAATAATAGCTCTAAACCAGAACATTTGACGGGTTAAGTACGATGTATTATTTTAGTGTCCAGCATTCCTTTCAATGATGCCATAGCACTGCTACAATTCTCTACGATAAATTTTGGCCAAGAAAGTACAAATATCCCGAAATAATTAAAGTCATAGAGCATTTGGAATTTGGAGGGGCACAATGGGGTCGGTCAAGCGCTAGGACAACTAGTTGCCTTTGATTCCCAAAGAATGAAATTTCCATTCTCGAACTACCTAGGTGCTTATGGTCGATATAGCCATGTAAAAGGGCACAATACACAGAAAGGCCGTGTACGGAGAGAGAGAAACCGTGTACGGAGAGAGAGAAAGAGTGTACGCCTGGCATAATGCCCGCTGAGTGACCCATGGCCAATGCAAAAATCATATCCATCCCGAACCCAAACTCCCGACAATGCTTAACTCGAGAAGAAAATAATCGACTAGTGAAAGAATCGTCATGAGCTTCGTGATCGATACGGGCCTCTAGCCTGGTATCGCAATAAATAGGACGCCGTGTAGCCGCTACCTCTATGTCGGTAAAATAACAATCTGCTCCCTTCCCTGTACAACATCGCATGACCGATTGTCGTCACCACTACTACAAAGTCGATCAATCCGCTACCAAAGTCCAACGCGAACAGGCAAGTTAGTGCCGTAGCTTTCGGACAACAGTTGGTTGCGGATAGATTCACGGTCATTGGCGCCTGTGCTAGAGTTGCCACCCATCCAACCCAGGTTCGATCCCAGAGCGTTAACAGCGACCTGCATACGCCCTCCACTCTGCTCATTATGCTTAGCAAGTCGCTGGTCCCAACCACCCGAGTGCAACTGGAAACCGCCTCCTTTCTTTGAAGCTTCGCTGATAACCAATGCCCAAGCCTTCGAGATCTCATCATATGCGTTGTCTTTGTGGTGTCTGTGAGACTGGCTGTCCCACTCAGGGAGCTCGTGAACTACTTTTGTTGCGGAATCAAGGAAGTTGAGGGATATGCTCGTCTGGCTCTCATTCGGCGGAAGGTAGTGAGGCGTGAAGTCGGTGAGGGCGTCGATCAAATCCATTAAGGGCTGCTTGACTCGGTTGTAGGCATAGTCGGAACTCGAGTTACCACCGAAAGGCAAGGCGTCCCGAAGCTTCTCTTGATACTGGGATAATACCTCGAGAGTTGATGCAACGGAGGGCCTAGGTGCTGACGACACCACCTCCGTACCGATCTCTGGGTGTCGCTCACATATTGTTTGCAGCACCGACCGCAGAGACTGTGCATCTAAGGTTTCGAGGAGTCGGGAGAGGGAGAGTGGGCGTCCGGCAACTTCGTTGGCTCTTACTTTCTTCGCCGGTCGAGCAATAGCACGAGGTGTGAAAGCGGGGGAATTCTGGGGTGAGATGGACATTTTATCGTCGAGGCCATCGTCGTCGGCTTTTCGCTTTCTAGAGGCACTCATTCTTAGACTTGCAGTATGAGGAGATACTGCGGGTCACAAGATCTGTCAGTGTCGAGAACATAAACATGGTGAATATTTGTTGTTGTTGTTGCGGGTCTTACCAGGGTTGTGTGCGTCGTAGTGCGAAGGGAACTCTGAGAATAACGACGGATGCGTTGGCTTCAGCAGTACGTTCATTGTTGCTGGGCTCTCGTGGCAATACCAGTCGAGAAGATCGATAGCTGAAGCCTCTGCAGAAGAATATGGAGGAGAGGGAAGTGAGGAGCGAGGAGCGACGACAAATGTGCGAGGGGACGAGAAGACGGGAGATGAAGGTCCAGTGATGTTCTTGACTGATGGTTTCTTGGACGACGATTTGGAGTAGTTCGGGTAACGCTAGCCTTGTTCGACTTGGTTCCCTCGCTGCCACACCAAGCAGCTGCCTTATTACCTAATCACGAAGCTACCTGGGATACATGTGATGACGACAGCTAGCTGTTTACAGCTTAGTCCATTAGCTTAGATAAGGTTATCCGATAGCCTTCCATCATTCACTTTCACCAAAACTCTAATAAATCCTCAAGCTGCATGCAACAACTCATTATCTCATAGCTACTATGAACCTCCTGCTTTTACGGCGGCCCCGGAAAAAGAAATGCATTAATGCAAGCTATCGAAAGGTTTCTTTTGCTCTGTTGGATTATACGCTGCACAGACCTACTGTGGTATCTCGGGTGTCCGTGCGGATCGTCATCTCCCGGTGTTTCTACTATGGCCTTCAAGTCTTCAGCAGCTCTTCTTCCTTCCCTTGTATATCTCCTCTCTTGTCTCTCTCGTAATGCTTTATATTTCCCGCCTTAGGTATTTGTGTTTAACGTGTTCCTACAGAGCTACATAACCTTCTAGTTAGAAATAATCGGCCTTACAGCTCGATCACTCTAGACAAATCAACCGTCTCGCCCACCCCCGCTCCTGCTTCATGCTATCATTATTATCAATGCTTCTGTTTTTGCTCGCAAATTTGTTGAACTCGGCACCTCGGCATATCGAAAAATCGCATCCTGCTTCCTCCCGACAACGCCCATCTCCTTACCGACATAAGGATCTACTGGTGCAGATAACGAGACCTACAGAAAGTAAATGCATGGAACTGAGGAGGCAGCAAGGAATAGGGTTAATAGTCAAGGCGAAATTAGAATTGAGGCGAGGAGTGTGGAGTTGACAGCAAGGGGGGGGGGCGAGGCCGGAAGGGTTGGTCTTGTTTAGAGTGATCTATGAAGGGATCGTTAGAGGATATTATCTCGATGTGAAGTGAGAGAGGCCGAGCTGATAGGCATGGCGACTACCGGCCAAATACCGGGATTCTGATAAGAATTAGGCGTTTTGGAAGAAGTGAGGAAGTGGTAGGTTACGTTAGTTGTGGGTTGTGCTCGGGAAATTGTCATGAGACTCCGACAACGACACATCCATTCTTCCATGATTCTACCTACAGTTATGCTTTGTATATGCAGGGGCACTCAGGGGCTTCCGAGGCGATGCCTCGTGCTTTAACGAAAGGAGGTCTCAGGAAGCCTGGAAGAATAGCCTATATTCTGGAATCCGCGGTTTCATGCACGAGATGCTATAAACGAACCTCGACATTTCCCAATCTACCTCTCAATTGCCAGCTGCGAGCCTGCGCATATCGCTTTCTTTATTCGTCATTTTACTCCCTGGTTGCCGTTGATACTATGGCTGTTATAACCTTCCTGTTTCAGGGGCTCAAATGCAGTGCTGTTACGCCGTGGTTGGGGTGCATACTTTCGGAGGGTTTTCGTCGTTTGTTGGTTGAAGCCTAGGCCAAGATATAGCCATCGGTAGTACGAAGTAGCTACTGCACTGGTACCGAGTTCAAGGGAAAGCTATCCAAGCTAGTCTTGCTTGGCTTTCTTTATTAACGGGAAATTGCCGTTGCTTGGGTCTGTCACTTTCCAACTATGGTGCCCACCTTGGCACAACTTAAATTCTTGAGCATATATAAAATAGATTGAGCTCATCTCACGTGGTTAATCTAGGAGGAAGCAACTAATATGGACCACGCGCAATGATATGAACTGCTCTGGATCCTCTACTTAGACTTAATTAGTGGTAGTAACTTTCCGGAGGGATTCATCACACTCTAAATAAACCCCTCTAAGGCATTGGTGCGTGCTTTGGTCTTGTTCATACTTGGCTTCAGCCATTGTTTAGCGCCTCGAGATCCTCAAGACCATTCTCATCGCGGGTATACTGTCGCCTCCTCGCTCTCGCGATCAATTTATTTCCTTTGTTTGCCCTTTTAATGACGTCCCTGGCCTTCATTTTTTTTAGCTTTGCTAATATATATTGAAGTATTTTCGATCTTCGATATTCGCATCTATAGCTTCACCACTACCGCTACTGGCTTTGAAAATATCATAAATATCCAATCTATGGTCTGCTGCTTCTTTTGTCATCCCTCGGGCTCTCTGTTATTGTGGTAGGCTTTCCATCTTATTTGGAACCTTTCACTCCTAGAAATACGCCATGTTATCATTCTATTGTCATTTACCATTCTATTGTCATTTGTCATTCTATTGTCATTTATTATCTAGGACCTTATATATATAAAGCGTTCAACCTTTCAAAACACCAATTACTATTAGCTCCATGAGCAATCCTAAGTATGGTGATATCTACCATAAGCAACTCTAGTCTCTTTCCGATGAGCTCAGTTTGATCTGGGTGCGCGCCAGAAAAGAGGAACGATTGGTAATTGAACAAGATAGAATTGAGTACCTATGTAGGAGCTCATGAGCAAGGGTCAGCTCGAAGTTAGCTAAAAAAAAACTAGTGATTAATAGAGTAATGGATGTTTCCTGGTCGTTTCTTCAAAGCTTGCTAATAGGACAACTAGAGATTAGGAAAAAAACTACCTCTTTTTGACTTCCTATCTACTTACCAGTTATATCAATCTCTATCACCTTAATTACGTCCTCGTATTCCCTGGGCGCAGCACGAAAATCGGTGAGAGCATTTACGGTTGTTTACCAGTGAATGACAGAGTAGCGCATGGCTACTTACCTATGCCGCTGGCTTTCTACTGAAGTATCCACGTTATATATGAATTTGGCGCGTCCAGGCGGTGACTACCAATCTGCCCCTCGCCAAATCGCGACCCTACGAAAAAAAAGAATCCTCAAGTATATTCAATTTAATCCTATATGGCCTATTCTATTTTTCTAAAATAAAATAAAAAAGAGATCCAACCCTCAAAATTGCAAAAGAGTTCGGCCCGGTGTCGAATGCCTACATCTCTTGTCGTTTTTTTTGTTGTTGTTCCCTTTCTTCCTTTCGTCCCTGGCGATAACGAAAGTACAATTTGACCCGAGCCACTTGACCAAGTGTCACGCCCTTGTACTTTGTTAGAGGATATTTGCTTATTTCGCCATATATATATTAGAGGGGTGTTTAGCCGCTAGAACATTTTTTTTTTGATGACACACCATGAGGAAGTCGAGATACTGGAGAATGAAACTCAAGGTCGGGGCAAAAAGGCATTCAATTGGCGCAAACAAAAATATACTCCCCGAAAACCCCCAATCTCTATTAGAAACTCCTTATAAATCTAGCATTCATCGATATATTCCATACACACATGGTTTTTTATTCTATATCTTTCCGTCGTCTTTTACTTTGAAAACGTCCCCTCTCCCCAGCTCTTAATCGCCTTCATGCTTCCCTCCTCATGAAGCGCCTTATGCATATCAAAGCTATTCCACAACAAATGCGGCTCATGACCCCACCCCTTCCTTAGGCACTCAAATTCAGCCTTATCAAAGTAATCCGTCAGGATAGCTTGATAATCGGGATGCGCGCACTTCTCGATAATAACTCTAGCTCTCTCCTTGGGGCTTAGGCCACGAACATCCGCGAGGCCTTGCTCCGTGACGATGACGTCGAGATCGTGCTCTGTCTGGTCCACGTGGGTGCACATGGGGACGATGCAGGAGAGACCGTGGGGGTCGGTTTTCGAGGGACGGCTAGAAGGTGTATGCATGATGCTGTATTTGGCGGAGCGCAGGAAGTCTGCTGAGCCGCCGATACCGTTCAGCATTCGAGAGCCCATCACGCAGGTACTGTTTGCGTGGGCATAGATATCGACTTCGACTGGGGTGTTCATGCCAATTACACCCAATCTCCGGATGATCTCAGGTGAGTTGGAGACTTGCTGGGAGCGCAGGAGGAGTTTGTTATAATATTGCGCCCAGCCGTCGTAGAAGCGCTTGAATCCCTCAGGGGAGAAACGGATAGATGTTGCGGTTGCGAAGTCCAGGCGGCCGGAATCGAAAAGATCGAGGAATGTATCTTGTAAGACCTTGCGGCTGATTAGTAAATGTGATTATTTAAAACGACGGGAATATAATGCTTACTTCAGTCCACACTTTGAGGTTTTGGAAATTCGATTCTGCAAGTCCACCAATGACTGCGTTTGCAATGTTGCCAATACCAGATTGGATTGGAAGGAGATTCTTAGGCAGGCGGCCATGCGTCACTTCATGCTCGAGGAACTCAATCAGATGGCCAGCAATGGCTTTCGACGTTGCATCTGGCGGGGCGTTGGGTTGAGTTTGATCCTGGTAGTCAGATTCGATAATGGCAACAACCTTTTCCGGGTCTACCGGAATGGCAGTTGTCCCAATTCTGTCTTCAGGTGCCATGATCAAGTATGGTTTTCGGTGTGGTGGAAGGTCGGTCCCAGTAATATCGTGAAGGCCTTCAAAGGATGGCATGGAGGTGTTGACTTCGATAATAACCTAGGACTTGATCAGTACTCGGTTTTGCTTTTGAAAGTCGTAGTTGACCCTGGGTTTGATTTATCAACTGGAATAAACAACGAGGGCAATCGCGGGGCATCTGATGGTCTACATCATAGGTAGAGGCGGATCACTTTTCCCTCTGCGTTTCAATTGACAAGAAATTCAGACATACCTTATCAGCCATCTGAATCAATTCAGGAGTAGCACCGACAGACGCTCCAGGAACAATGCTACCATCCTCCGTGATAGCTGTAGCCTCCACAATCACGACATCCAAGTTCTTATTCGGCCGGTCTCTGGTATAAAAGCCCTATATCACCCAGTCAGATCCTATAATTCCCTGCATCAATTCTGATAAGACACTCACATAAACCAAATCGACCGGGAACATGGATAAATGTTTATCAAAGAACTTAATATCTCCGTTGTTGATCCCCTTGGCGATAGCCCTGCCGACTTGGTGCGGGGCACGCCTCTCAATCATGTTCAATTGGGCCCAGCGGTTCTCCGTCTCTGCTCCAGAGCTGGCGCCGACGAAAAGGGAGTATTTCAGCTGACCCTCGAGTTTGTTCTTCTCGACGTGATCTGCGAGCATGGTTGGGACCTTCCTGTTCCACAGCAAGAGGGGTCAGCACTCGAATCTTCTAGTAAAGAAATATATAGTAGATACGTACTTGGGATACCCAACACCCGTAAACCCGGACCATCCAATATAGGCTCCATTAGGGAAATGGGGAAGCACATCTTCAGCATGGCAAAGCTTTTTCAGCATCGAAGGGCGGCGGACCCGCGCCTTCAGAATCGAGGAAGCTTGGAGGACAGCTGAGGAAGACATGGCCAGTGTCAGTTCGAACGCCAGAAAAAGAGCTCAATTGCACAATGCAAAGTTCACCCCAGAAAATGAATTTAAAAAATGGAGGCCCCGCTATTGAAAGATTGGGAATCGGGGCATGATGATGCGCAGCTATATAAGGCGAACGACCCCCTGGCCGGAGCTCGAGTCAAGCAATGAACGTCAGCGTGCATACTAAAACACACAGCCGTTCGGTTATCAGCTCAACCCCACCAAGGCCCAAAGGCAACGAAAGCAGAGGAAAACCCTCCGCAATCGCAGCGCATCGGTTATTCAAGAGTGCTTCTTCCCGAATTGCACGTACAGTAGGAATTATTATTATCTTTCTCACCATCCTGCATAAAAATTACGGCAATAATATAGCTCCGTATTTTGATCATGCATTGCTCTTCACAATGTTACTGTGCTGGTCACTAAAATTCAATAGCTTGTCCGTGGATCAAGGACAAAGCAAGGGCAATATTTGCAGTTGCAATGTCTCAAGAGTAATTTATTTCTATTATATCGTCCCGCTCTCTCATGTGGCCAGAGTATTGCATTTCTCTAACTAACATGCGCCATTTCCGGGACTGCCTGGACCGGACTTGCTGCCGCAGGACTCGCCGCAGCATTCCTGGCCACTCTCATCTCAGTCCGACTTATTTTAAGATCTTCCGCATACTCATCAAACGCGTCGATAAGCGCCTGGAGGTCGCCCCTCAAAGTTGCCAATATCGTATCAACCTCCGGACTTTCCTGCTTTGCCTCTACGTCTGTCCAGTGAACTCCGATTTCCGCCTTGAATCCCTCCAACCTAACAATTGCTTTCGTGAAAGTTTGGATCATAACCTTCACATCTTTGTGGACAATGCCATATTTATCTTCCGTCAAACTGGAGATTGCAAATCGGGTCAATACATCCGCAGCATCAACAATAATCCCAACGTCTCCGTACGGCGTGCCAAGTACTATGGCAGCCATTTTCCGCCTGTATTCCTGTCTGAATGGGTAACCTAGCCTACTGTTCAAAATCCAAGTGATCTGGGTCTTGAAAAGGCCCACCAGCCCCTGGTCGGACAGTGCTTTCTGTTGCCCCGGAGTAAGGACTGCGCTTTCTGCTTTCAAGAGCAGCTCTTTTGATTTGGGCTCAGGACTCGTAGGTTCCGATTGCCCGTGTCGTTTTGCGAACCTCCCGATAGCCTCAATAGTACGGCTACTGTCCCTTTTTTGTGGACGAGCAGAAGTAAAAATATCTCCTGGCTGTTCGAGGCCGTCCTTTAAGGGTTTCTCACTCAGACGTGGTAGAGGCTCGGGCTCCGGAATCTTCTTCTGAGAATCGGCTGCTGGTTTGGGGGCTTGATACTCGGCAATGCGCGATTCCATCCCATTTATTACGTCTAGACATACGTCTCGCAACTGGGACCAAGTAGAGCCTCCAGCTCGATCCAAGTCCTCAAAAATTATTTTTCTTCGGCCTTCGTAGTTCTGCGCAATCAGGGCGAGTTCCCAAAAAGCAAAGGCCTATATAGCATTAGTGGAGTTCCCAGCAGTAACATATCTGCACTGACCCTCGTTTGCAGTTTCTTTCCCCTCAATCCGGTCAATAGACTTCCATTTGGATCTCGAGACTCGTGTGTGATAGGCCGCTCGTTCTTTAATGGTTCTTGAGCCACATACACGGAAAATGCGGCATTTCCGAGTTCCCAAAGCATAAGAAGTAGAAAGCCCGATAGCATCGTTCGTACAATCAGGTCAAAACGCCATGGAAATTTAGCCGGAGGTGACGTGGTCTTTGGCAGATTCCAAAAAATACTTGCCCAGGAGCGAGTGAAGCTCCAGGCAAATTTTCGTATAGAATAAGGGTATACGCCAAGGTCCATTGAATACACAATTGGTGTAACGAGAGCTACAACAATAGCACGTTGAGCAGAGGTAAGTATCAAGGACGGTAACCTCCCCTTAAGTTGCGCCATAGGAGGAACGACTAGATGCGTGGTCTGGTTGGGTGAGGCCTGGGGTCTTGTTTTCATAACTGGAAGATCGATTCGATCATAATCGTAAAAGATGTGGCAGCCGGCCTGTACAAACGCAAGGATGTAGAAGAAGGTCGTCAGATATATGGGCCTCTCGTTCAATATTGGGCGGTGCGTTTTGGGTATGGCATTGATCCGGTTGAGGTCCGCGTCTTTCGACGCAGACCAGATGAAGATCTCGCTGAACAAATATGCCGAAAGTGAATACCAAACGCCTGTCTGCACGATATCAGGTCTGAAGAAGTATGTTCTGAAGGTCTGCCATGATGAGTATGACGTCCGTAACCCCACATGTAGTTGTGAAACTCGAAGAATAAATATCATGAAGGCGGGAATAAATAGTAGGGCTGTCCGAAGGCCTGCTCTTCCCAACGGGAACCACGACCATAGCACTAAACAGAGCATTAGAGTAAGGCTTCAGGGTTGGACTCGGGGAACGTACGAGAATTCCACTCTCCGATCAGGACTGCTTCTACATAACAGAGTCCAAATAAAGCTGCCGTTGCCATCGCAAATCTTCTATGCAAGGCTGGCGTGAGGAAGTCCTTGTAGGGACGGACCCGAACAACGCGAGGAGCTGGCGGCATCTTGGAGTAGATTAGGGCTCGAACGCCCTTGATGCAACTGTAAGGACTGTATGGCGACGAGCTTTGACTATCCTAGCTATGAGCTCTGTGTTTTCATGTTGGTGTTGAGGTTGCGGCTCCGGAGCACAATTGCGCCTATGCTGTGTTGACATTGAGACAAAACAATTGCGCGGGAAGCTCTCGTCAAGTCGACCGACCGGGGTCGGGTCGGGGTGCAACACTGCGTACGTCAACCAACGTCACGGGCGCTCAGCCTCCTCCTCTTCTCGACCAGGCAACTCACTGCAACACAATCTTTAAGAACTCCCAGCCCACTGAGTTTTACAACTCCGCTCTTTCTGCATTACCGCAAATATGTCTTTTGATCAGTTATCGTCGATGGAGTCGCAGCCGACTACTATGCGTAGACAGGACGATCCTCAGTACTCGGACGACCCCGAATTCCAGCGACTGTCACAGGAGCTCATGTCGAAACTCTTTACGTTAACAGGCAACATCTCGCGACTCACAAATGAAATCGCACTATTAGGCACAAAGCGAGATACCGAGAGGGTACGGGAACGAGTGCATGAGCTCTTAGAGGAATCGAAGGATGCCTTCAAGGAGGTCGGGGAAGGCGTGAAGAAGATACAGTCATGGGAAGATGTTAGCGTGAGTATTGGCAGTGACGGCCCTTCTGTAAGATTACTTGCTAACCTGCCATCAGCCGTCACAAAAGTACACCCAGCAAAAGCTTGCCCGGGAGTTCCAGAACAACCTGCAAGAATTCCAATCTGTCCAACGCCAAGCTCTTGAGAAGCAACGAACATCTGCGAGCGCTGCGCGACATGCGTTAGAAGAACAGCAGTCACCAGGAGCTGAAGGGAGCGGTGCTTTCGGACAGCAGCAATCACAAGAGCAGTTGCGACTGGCTTCGCAAGATGAGGTTGATTTCCAAGATTCATTGATCGTGGAGCGGGAGGCAGAGATTCGCAACATCGAACAGGGTGTTACAGAGCTAAACGAGCTGTTCCGAGATGTGGCGCATATTGTCACTGAGCAAGGCGAGACTCTTGATACTATCGCCAATAACGTGGAGAATACCAGAACTGATACGAGGGGGGCGGATTTGGAGTTGAGGAGTGCCGCACGATATCAGAAGAATGCTCGGTCGAAGGCTTGCTGTCTCTTGCTGATCCTAGCTGTCATCCTTACTATTATTATTTTGGCGGCTGTCGTTGGATGAGGGTCGACAGGGCCGAAGATATGTTTGCTCGCATTTTCGGAGGAGTTCGGCGTTGGAGGATTTGATGCTTTACAGTTCGAATATGGACTTGTACTCGTGAAAGCGCTTTCAGATATGGGCAAATCGATTCGTGTATCCTGGGCTTGATGCTGTCTCCTTGCTCTTGTATTGATTTGGTACGTACTACTTATATGTAGGTACATAATTATCCTCTAAAGAATAGAAATTTGAAACACTGGGTACTTCAATTTGGCAAGGCATAGAACAAAAAATTGAAGACTAACCAGCATATAAACGGCATACTACTACTAATATACTTATCAAAGTGTTTAAACCTCTCATGTCCTTATATTGGTGCCGCTAAGATGGGCGTGGGAATGCCAGTGGGGGTCGCCGTCAACGGGTATTTCTAACCATCAGCGAACCCCGGACGAGGCTGACATCAGGGGTTCTCCAGCTTTCGGGCGCGCGAGGGCATACGTCGCGTCTCCCTCAATCAATGTTCCAAGAAAACATCCCCAACCTCAATACTTGGGATATCCAACCTGAAGCTCAAAATGGCCTCCGTCTTAGATGAGAAAAGTCTAGACGAGGCATTTCAAGGCCGGCCGGACCTACAGAGTGCTATTCGCCTTGCTGCAGGTACGTTTCGAGCATTAGCCTTGTCCTCGAATACTTACTTCACGAGCATTTTCAGCCGTCGAAGTTAATTACTTTCAATACGCTGAGTACCGAAACTAATTCAGTTGCACAGTGGGCGATAATTACATAGAATTATTCAACCAGATCTCCCTACATGTCTGCAGCCTCACCCCGCCATCGTCAGAACCTGCATCCAAAAAACGACGTCTAGATGAAGGAATTGCCTCCCGACCAGCTGCGAATGGCACAGCGAATGGCACAGCTGTGGCAAGCAGCAAAGACCCCGTTCTCCTCGAAATCAAAGAAATTTCTGTCGTGATACCCCAGCGCAAGAAATATACTCTCTGCATGACATCCTCCCACCTCTACGCCCGACTCCCGGACTCCCAAGAACCCGTCGCTAGCATAAGCTATGCGTGGAAAGACATCGGTACGGCTCTTCAGTCTCGCTGTGTGTTGCCTTGCTAATCATAAATTATAGAATACATATTCTGCCTCCCTGTCCCCGAAAAGACTCAAAAACAATACAACTACGTCATATTTCCCCGTAACTCCAACATCGCACCGTCGAAACCCTCTCCCGATTCCCCATCTATCCCCGAGCCTCTCGTCTTCACAATCCCCGATAGCGTCCCTAAACCAGGCACAATCGGTGGCCTGGAAGCCTCCTCCGCAGCGGCCGTATCAGACGACTACAAAACGCTCTTTGACTGGGCTCTCTCCTCTCGATTAAAAGCAGCAGGGAAGGCAAATCTTAAAATTGTGCAAGCAGATCAGAAGCTCTTCGCTTCTGAGCAACGACAACCACATCGTCCAAACGAGAAAGCCGTTTTCGTGAAAGCTTTCCGGGGGTCTAAGGATGGATATTTATTCTTCCTGCCAAATGGCATATTATGGGCGTTTAAAAAGCCGCTGCTGTTTTTACCGCATGAGAGGATTTCAGCAGTGAGTTACACGAGTGTCCTGCAAAGGACGTTTAATCTCAGTATCGAGGTGGATATGAGTTCTAAATCTGAAGGCGGCGAAGTCGAGGAGAGTGTGGAAGAATTCGAGTTCAGTATGCTAGATCAGGAAGATTTTGGGGGCATTGACGGTTTTGTGAAACGTCATGGGCTGCAGGATAAGAGTATGGCGGAGCAGCGAAAGGCCAAGAGGTTGAACGTTAATGTGGTGAAGGATGAAGAGGGGAATGTGGTAGGGAATGTTGAAGCTGGGGAGTTAGAAAGGGCGGCTGCGGAGGCCGAGCAGACAGCGATGGATGAGGAGGATGAAGAAGAGGAGGATTATGATCCTGGGAGCGAGGGTGAGAGCGAGGGTTCTGGCACGAGCAGCGAGGAGGAAGACGATGGTGAGGGGGCCGGCGAGGAAGGTGAAGACGACGAGGACGATGAGGAGGAGGAGCTGTAATATCCCATGGTGTCACCATGGTGTAATATCCATCGCCTGAGACAATGTGTGGATAACTCCTGAGTTCTATCATGTCTATTCGCATTTCCATCAATGAAAAAAGGAGAAATTTCAAATCTACCGATCTAGTCCGGTATCTATCCGCCGCAGCCAGCGGTGATAATATACCGCAAGTACAATCCTCAACCCAGATTGTAGTAACCATCAGTATCTGTATGCATAACCGCCCAAATGCACATATAAACCCGCCTTATATGAAGCCCTCTTCCCTCACCATGCCTACCGCACCAATCAATCAAATCTCTTGATCATGCTTTCTCTCCCTGGTCCAGTTCCAATATACTGGACCTTAATCCCAACGAAGTTCTCAATGAAGTCCACATATTCCCTTGCCTCCTTCGGCAAATCCCAAAATGTCGCCGCTCCGGTTGTGCTCTTTTCCCAACCCTTCAATTCCTTATACTCAACCTTAATCCGACTTAGAAGCTCCAAATCCGCGGGGAAGGATTCCAGTTTCTCGCCTGTGTCGGGGTGGATGTATGCTGTTGCTACTTTGAGCGTTGGGAATGTATCTAAGACATCTAGCTTGGTGACGTTGAGAGATGTGTAGTGGTTTATGGCAGCGCTATATTTCACGACTACTAGGTCGAGATATCCACAGCGTCGTTTTCGTCCTGTCGTCACGCCGAATTCGCGGCCGATCTCTTGGAGTTTCGTGCCGTCTTCTCCAAGGTCCTCGGTGGGGAACGGGCCACCGCCTACGCGGGTGGTATACGCTTTCACGACCCCGATGATACTGGAGATTTTCGCTGGGTTTATTGCCAGCCCAGTGAAGATTCCTCCTAAGCCTGTGTTTGAAGATGTTACGTAGGGATAGGTGCCGTAGTCAAGATCGAGCATAAGGGCATTGGCCCCTTCAATAAGAATGGGCAACGAGGCTTGCTGGGCGGATTGGATAAGTGGAATAGCATCGACGACAAAAGGGGCAAGATCTCTGCGGTATTCCTATGTCCAAGAGTTAGTGATACAGCACATGAAATAATATACAGGAAATCCTACCTTGAATCTTGAAATCTCTTCCTCGACATCGTACTGTAGCAGATCCCCGTACCGCTTCTTGAATCCACGGGCCAATTCTCGCAGCTTCTCCTCGAAAGTGACCTCGTTGAAGATCTCTGCAATGCGAACTCCGCTTCGAGTAGCTTTCGTTGAGTAAGATGGTCCAATACCCTTCCTTGTCGTTCCAATGCTCTTCCCGCCCAACTCAACCTCCTCTAAGCCATCAACCAATTGGTGCAAATCGAACACAACTTGGGCTCTATCGCTGAGGAAGATTCTATCTTTCGCATTTTGCAGTCCTTTGGCCTCCAAATCCTTCAACTCCTTGAAGAAAGACGGAACGTGGACAACAACACCAGAGCCGATCAGGTTTGTACACTCGGGGTTGATCAATCCGGATGGCAGAAGGTGGAAATCATATGTGACGCCGTTCGCGACGATGGTATGCCCTGCGTTGTTTCCACCTTGGGCTCTGGCGCAGAGTTTAACCGTTGGACAGAGAATATCCACAAGTTTTCCCTTGCCTTCATCGCCCCACTGGGCGCCGAGGACAATGGTAGCCATGGTGTATTTCTACCGAGGTCGAATGGTAGTTGTATCCGGTGGTTGATTTGCTATTAGGATTGGGATTGGTGTTGGATATAGAAACACCTCATTGTGTGTAGTTGCAATATGGATGTCGCAAGAAGACCGAGATGACTCGGATACCGAAGTTGTTGGTGGGGTCGCGAGTGAGATCGGGATGATGCCGGTCGATAGCGGGGCAAATTTTTTAGCCTTGGCCATCCTGTCTGCTTGCATTTGATTTCACTGTTTCTTCCAGCTTCGAGTCTCCGAGATTTAATTGTCAAGAATGCAGTCTGCAGAAGGTATATATGGTTTAGGTGTGCTCGAGTGCTTGAACTGAGCGTCCGAGTGGTATGTGTATTGTGCTGTATTTTATTGCGCTATCACTCTGTGTTCCTGACTCTCACTGCCGGGTTTTTCGTGGTACGAACTACTCGAGTACTGATTACCTAACATAATTCTGACATTCCACCCTCCACCAGTTGTACTTCGTCAAAATTCTACATCAAAATACCGCGCTCATGGAGATATTCTAATGGCACAGTAGCACTAATTGTACCAATTCATTTTTCCCTAACCTCGGCCTTGGGTCCCATCTACCCGTTCTGCGCCTAAACCTCTCGGACACTCGTAAGCGTGACATTTTCTTGGGGCACCGTTGGGACTCAAGGTCAACGAAAGCATTTAGTTTATTCCGGTAATTGTTGTGTATAAGTTACCCTATTTGTTTCATCTTAGGCCTCGTAAATTTCATTATACATGACCATCTAGTGCTAACAAATATGTACCGGTCAGAAATTCTTGCCTTCACTATAGTCTGATAGTATCATATAGGTCCATAAAGTACTTTTGATATATCGTGTAAAGCGGTAATAAAACGAAAGTAAGGTTATTTGCACTAAAATCTTCTTCAGCTCCTTGATCTGCTTTTCAACAGACTTCCGTGCTGTCCTAGAGCTGCAGCAGGCCACTCAACGCTATGTTCGTAGTCGAAGTATGATCGGATAGCATCGCCAAAACAGCTATCAATCTTCTGGGAATAGGAAACCTTCATTTCATTCCTGGGGATGCCGGATTTCTCGCTGAATGCGGCGCACTGCCCGCTGATAGGATATGTCTCTCGGAAGGAAACCCCCTTTTTGACGAGGTAATCTGCAAGCTCGGTTGCAAGCATCAAAGGGCTGCATGATCATTACTGCCGAGAAGGATAAAAGGGCGTTGTTAGGATGACAGGGGACTAGACGTACTCGAGGGATGCCTTCGATTTTTCTAGGCTGGCAGGGAGAGGGCTTAATACCTCAGTCGCGATTCGAATGCTGTCTAAGAGTCTTGACGTGGCCGAGCATAGGCCCTCAACTTTCTTGAAGCTAAGAGTATTGCATCAGCAAGTTTGGTTCCCACAAAATTAAAGAGCACATACTTAACCTAGTGTCAAGTGAGCATGCATTCATAAACTTACATCTTTATTTGTATGTACTATCCCTGAAGTCAATAAATTATGTCTTAGAGAACCGCCGACTATAAAATATGGAGCTAGACTACCAACCTTGACAAGGCTTTTGCAGTCATCATCAATCCAGGCATTTGTCCAAAAGCCCGACAGGCATTCCCTTGCAGAAATTCTAAAGAGTCCGGGGGGATTCTTCTGTGGCATTAAGGAGCTTCCGGTAGTGGATGCATCTGCAAATATAACGCTGCCGGATTCTCCGGACGAGTAGACAATCAGGTCATCATCCTATCTATCACAGTACTAAATAGATGTTCAAGACTATGCATCTAAACTAAACATGTAGCTGGTCTGCTAAAGCTGAATAGAGTAATGAGATATGACGACGCGCTAGGGTAGACTGGGCTGAAAATATAAGGTAGGGGCAATAGGACGACTACCAAAACTACGAACGATAAAAGCATGACAGTACTAAGGGAAACACGTGCAACATGCACATGTTTCCCCGTTGCATGGCCTTGACTACAAAATCACAACTCGAAACTGCTACCAGGGTGTTTTATAGCAAACCCTCGAACCCAGGATCTTTAGCCACAGCATCTCTCTCAAGTCCGAAGCAGTTGCCAAACAGGGTGCCCGCACCGAGGGCTAAAGTTTGTCCTCGAAATACTCTCGCAATCTCTCCAAATCAGACGCAAAAGCCATTCCGTATGAGAGCATCTAATGATTCCGCCTAATTGGCTGGGCAAGTTGCAAGTGAGCGTACTAGGTATGATAAAGTCAATCTTAGTCTCTGCCCTGCCGCGGTGACTTTAAGGAAGTCAACCATGTATCCTTCGATTGCCCTCAACTCACCTTTCAGCCACATCCGCATATCCGTGGCAACCTACTCGTTCCTACTTCGGCTGGTATGCAACGTTCCCTCAATTTCCTTGCCAATAATGTCTCCTAATTGACGTTCGTTAGCTGCGTGGATGTCCATCGACGCCAGAGATAATCTTGAATGTTCCAGTGGCCCATTCTTCCTTAACGTTCTTGAAAACTAGATTCAATTGCGGAAGATTCGGCAACCGTGGGGACGTCCGCTTTTTGGTTTGCCCGCGCCTAGGCAACGCTGCCTCGGATGTCCTGGATCATATAATTTGCAGTCGTAATTAATTGATTGATCATATGAAACCATGAGGGGGTGAAAACCATCTACCAATTTATTATCAGCTTTACATTCAAAATGTTGTCCTAAATCACAAGAAACTCAGACCTGCGAAACGACATCCCCACAACATATCCTCTCCAGGCTTGCTGCCCTGTACTATTACTTGTTCTGACGCCATGATCACATCCAAACACTTAGATTGGAAAGGAGATCTTAAACTGCAATTTGCTTGGTTTGGCTTGGTTTGGAGAGAATGTGTGGGGTAATGTGGTTGTCGTGTGTTTACTTCGATAAGCAACTGCTAGCAACATTTAGCTGCGCTCTAAATCGTTGCCGGGGTTGAGGCAAGGGGAGCTCTTTGGTGCGATTTTGCGATATCACGTGATTATATTCAACAACAATCAACGACCCGGACTACCTCTCAAAATTCTCCAAACACCGGAGCTTCCTGAGAACAACCGCAACCCCTTTTTTAAAGCCTTTGTATTTGTTAGTTTTGGGCGCTGAAATTAGAGATTGTTCTCCCTGCCAACCCTTCAGCGATGGCTTCTTTTCCAAACATCTACTCTCACCGCAGGGTTGCCGATGCGGCTACAAAACCTTGCGAGATATGCTATAAACCAAGTACCAGCGTTCTTGTTACTCCAGAGAATAAGGTCAGGCGGTCGCTTTCAATATTCCGAGTCCGCCTCTCTGACCTGCTCTAGGACTTCTTCTTCGTGTGTCCTGGTCATCTTAAGGATAGGGGATTCTGTAGCCCAATAATTGACGAAGCTGCGGTCGCGGCCCGGAAAAAGAAGGAGATGGAGGCTGAAGTTGAAAGAGTGAAGAAGGAATTTGAGGAAAAGCAAAAGAAGAAGAAGGAGAAGGAGAAGGAGAGGGAGAAAAAGGAAAAAGAGAAGAGTAAGGACAAGGACAAGAAAGATGATGACAAGGAGGACAACATCGATGAAGAAAAGGTCCGTTTTCCTTGTTAACAAGACTAATATCTACCAACTTACACATTCCAGAAGAGCTCTGAGGAACCTCCGCCAGTTGAGGAAGAGCCCAGAGTATTCGCTTTGGCGCGGACTTTCTTCCAACAACGGATCGACAAGAAGAGAAATGCAGAAATTGCAAGACGAAATCGCGAGCGTTTGCAGAATCCAAACCTGTTTCCCCAAGTCCCCAAAGGCTTCCCATGAGATTCCATCACTTCCTCAACTATCGGAAGTCTGACAAAGGTCACGTGACATACCATGGCTGGAGGGAAAATATCACGAGGTAGTAGACCTCGGCCATTTGATACCCAGTGGAACTCCTCCGGTCCTGAGACAATCGAAATCGACTATTGTTCAACCCGGCCCTGTGAGACACAGTCAGCGTGGGGTATATGCTAGCTTCCTTGGACTTCCACCGGCGACACTACGCGCTTCGATACATATGCAGTACTGATATCCGAGATATGCGGGCCGTCGGACCATATCACAATTCTAGTGAGCACGAAAACATACGTTGTACGTACTCCGTAGTAGTACGGAGCGTATATTGACAATTCTGGTGGTGCTGACCGCATACACCCTTGATGATCGACCCGCTACTCGCCCGGCGCCTTGCGTCTCGATTTAGACATGAATGTTGGCATTAGCTTAGCGTCCGATATGCATCTTCATATCCTGGTCGTCGGCCACGGTCCAAATCGCACGGCATCTATCAAGGCTGAAGGCGGTATGGACAGTCCCGGATGCCCACTCTCGAAGACGGCCACGCGCAGCAAGGGCGGGTACCCTATCTCTAAGAAGCATCATAGTCATTACGGTACATTTGACCGTAAGCTAGCGTTTACATTCAATAAGTTATCATTACGCTCTGGTCACATTCACTCCCAGCCTTATGGCGTGCCTCGCCGTATGGCTCGCTTCGAAGCTCGTAAGGTTTAGTGCTTACTTTTCGATCTTCCCATGTCCGGGACTCAGCCACTTCAATTCGGAAATTCTCAGCCAGGCCCATTAGACCCCTCGCATCCCATGCGGCATTTTGAAGCCTCTTCAAGAATGGCCGACGGAGCCCATATTAATGTCAGAGAACCCCCTAATCGCCAATCGCCCCGCGATCAAGGCCCCGGCTGACATTGATCGGGTTTACAGGCGGGCGAAATTAATGAGACATGCACAATCGGCAATGGCTTCGTGTCACACAGATTACGATATACGCTCTGGAAACCGCCCGTAGGCAGTGTATGAATCAGCTTACTGTACATCCAATAGTAGTCAATAATGTGTCAAGTACCCCGCAGATATCACATTTTCATACATGTTAGATGCAGTCATGCCTCACTAGTCTTCAAGAAGCTGTTAATTTAGTCAAGTCTCATACGCCGAGCATATGACCTACTCCCGCCTCAAACTTCGTAAGGTACCCACAATGTACATCCAGCTTCTTCCTGCAGTTGGTTACTCGAGTAGTACTTTCAAGGTACAGCCCGAGGGGCGTCGTATATTATCGAGATATGCCGGCCAGTTTCCCATGTTTATCCGATAACCAAAGTCAACAAGTCTATTTCTTCTGTGCAGCAATTCCATCGTATCCTAAGGTAGAAGGTATAAATAATCTGTCCGTCCCGAACCGCCCAATAAACTACGTCCATCTTTCGTCCTTAGGCATGGCAATGATCTCTCGTAATTCTGTTTCTGACCTCCATCATGTTATAGACGGACTAGCCTCTAGGTTCCCACACACAACGTTGTATAATCCTTTACGAGCAAACAAATATTTTACGTACGTAACCCATTCCACTTCCAGCGTCTCATGTTTGTTTTACTAGGATAGGGAGAGAAAGAGGCAGGCGGTCAGCAAGATAACAAAACTTGATGACCAGTACGTGATGTATTGGTCTCACCGTGCGCGAGCGCCCTAACCTCGTACTATTTGAACTCGTAGGCCTAAATTAAGTCAGCGATTCTAGTAGGGAAACAGGATCTACGCCCTCATCTTGCTGCGTATCCTTATCTCGGTACGGATACAACAACATAAACCACTTTGCAAATTACGCACATCTGCCTTGGTTCAACCTTACTAGCGGATCTCTTAAACTTTCCTTCGAATTGGATGCCATATTTTTCATTGTTTTGGAGTCAGCATATCTATTAGCCTAAGGACAATGAGTAGAATCTGGTGTGTAACCCTATGGTGCTAAGGCAAACGCCACATAGGCGCTGGTATCCCTTCATACCTAGCTGCAGAGAACCTACATTCATCAGGGTATATGTTAGGGTATGTACATAAAATGCTTCGTAACGTGTACTACTCTGGAGGGAATAGGAGCGACTACGGAGGAGTACCCGCACACCCCTTAATGCAGCATCCAGACCAAATAAGTGTCACTACACGGGATATATATATTTTTTCTGCATCTCTTATCCCGCAAATCACATCCCAGGACTCGAAATCTTCGAGATGAGGAATGACGCTGAGCTCAGCCTTGTGCTTAGGTTGGATACACATCCACCATTCAAAACACTCCCTTCACCCCTACCGATCGTCCCGATTGCGACCTAGAGGTTCTCCTTACCTCTCATGCCCGGAGGAAGCCGAATGCCCAAGCCCTCGGCGGTAGCCTCGTCTAGGGCTCTGACATTGGCAGCTCCTAAGGCATCTTTTCCTGGTGCTCGGACATTACTACTGCTACCCCTCTTGGTGATTTCATCGATTCTTCCTTTTTGCAGGCTGAACGCGGGGCATACCCACACACCACAGCTGCACCTCATTCCTTGCCATGCGTAACGGCCTATTTGTGCTTCGCACTTGGGGTTCGGGCATTCGAGACGGCCGTTGAGAATGCCTTGTTCGAGAGCCGGCCGCATCCATGATAAGGGGTGGAGGAAATGGTGTGTGCATGCTGTATGCGTTGGCGGCGGGGGAAGATTTGGTCTGGTGGTGGGGTGTGATAACATTGAGGTTTGTGTCGGAGCAGTGGCATTAGGGAGATGGGTGATAAGATAAGGGGTAGTAGCTAGTGTTCGCCTGAGGGAGGACAGGTAAGTCAGCTTCTCGTTAATGTCCTATCTCCGTATGACGACAGGATCTGCTATGAGGCGATTCCATCTTCAGGGGGGGAAATCATGTGACCGGGGAGGAAAAGGGGTAAGCTTACCGACACTTCCTACACCGTAGCTCGAGCTCTTTTCCCCCTCCACCTTGGGCATCTTGCACCTCCTCGTCCTCAAATCTTACCCTATCAGGCGCCATGCCAGCCGCAAGCGCTAGGCTCACCTCTCTTTGATACAGCCATCGCTGGTAAGTTGGCTGACCGTCGATATCTCTTGGACAACCCATTTCCTTGTAAAGTTCTAGCTGCGCCATGAAACCGTCATTCGGTTCGGCAATTGGACGCGACTCGCGGATTAAAGAGAGTGCCGAGGCAACTGTGTGCTGCGGGTTTTGGCGGAGGAGGTAGGCTATGACCACTGTGACGGAGCGAGATTTTCCCATTGCACTGCGTGGGTTGAAACGTATCAGTTCATATGGGATGTAAACGAAAGTAAAGGATGAAGAAATAGTGATATTGAGGCGATAATAAAGGTGTAGTAGATTTATAATCTTTAGATAGCTCTGGGATAGATATAACATTGATTCATGACGAAGTGGCTGACCGCAGAAAAAGAGGATATAGATGAATCGACATATACGCAAGCTAGAGATTTATCAAATACTCCTTTTAAACACAAGCATCTCACTTGAGGCTGCACCATTCTTTCCTCTTCGTAAGCGCCTTAAAGACAATACTCTTTCAACCACTGCAAAATACAACTACATAAAGATACCATAACTCACCAATGAACCAGTACTCCCCCTCCACTCTTCAATGCACCCTCAATGAACTTCCCCGTCCTCTCAAAATCCGCTAGCAAATTCTCATCGTCCACATCATCGACCTCGATACTGAGGTGCTCGTACTTCTCCCAGTCCTCGAAATCCTTGAAGTCATACTTAAGCACAGACACGATGTGAGTGATGCCTGTATTTTCGAGAGCTGTTTTCCGGCGGAGAGTGAAAATCCTGGAGGCCGTTAGTCGTTGGTTGTGACATCACCGGGGGCCAGGGCTTAGAGGGGATGAAAATGGAATGAACTGAATGTCGAGATAGAGAAAAGCATATTAAAAAGAGCCACAGGAGATGGCGGTTAACACGTGCTTTGCTTGTATTCCAAGGGATGGCAGCAGTATCAGAACGGAAAGAAGATGCAATACGTACCCACCAACAAACAGGTCTTCATCCCCCGGGACGCGGGATAGCGCCATATTCAATGGCGGTGGTCTGTAGTCCAGTGTGGCTACGGGTCTGGTACTTTGTAGTTGTTTTTTTTGTGATACAGATGCAGATACAGATACAGCCTTGCCCGCCCGGCCTTCGAGCCTGGAGGCCCGCGGTGCCGAAAAAGGAAAAAAGCAGCACGAAATCACGAGGAAGACAGTCAGGTGATCCAGAGAACTAGGTGGCTCTGCTGTTTGAATGTTTGATATAGGGCTTACAAGGGTGTTAGCCCAATGCCGCGGCTCCAGATTTGCTCCAGAACTGAGAAGCCTCGGTTCGCCCAGCGGGGAAAGGAACAGGAATCTATTTCGTAATTATGCCTGAGGCAACTTTTAACGTAGCAGTCGTCAAAAAGCAATCCAATATCAAGACCTGTTCCTTGCAGCCCGAACCGGCAAATTATACTACGTATACTACTACATACATTGCATTATTCCGATCAAATAAACTTTCAATTTCGGACGGGGTCACCCTGCCAAGGTTGGATTCGCCCAAGGACGACAGAGTTGAAGTACGGATCCAGCGGTCTGGTAGCCGATCCTTCGATTCCTTCCCGGATCCTTCTGCCTTACGGTCATGCCCTACGGCCTTGCCCTACCCGCAGTGCACGCTCTCCAGTCCGTATCCAGCTGTTTCCTTGTTACTGTGCCGTTCCCGCATATTACCGACCCGGATGTGAAGGTTGGGACCGCCGTGGGATTGAGCCTTAACACTGACTCGTAGCGAGGAAGGACATAAGTCATGTTGAGCCTGGAATGCTGCCACTCAACTGTGTGTGGCTCCATGGTTGCCCCTGGACATCCCCGGATTCTCCTGATCTACGACCTAAAAAGGCATCCGGTCCGAGACTCGGTGAATTGGAAGGCTGGACCTGAGCGGTACTGGTTCCTGACTCCTGGGATAGGAGATGTCAAGGCGGTAAGAACTGCAACATAGTTCCACCTGGAAAAGCAATACCCCTTTCTTCAATAGCCCCCCTTTTCTGGGTCAGTAAATAACACCGACTCCAGGGCAAAGATGTTTGGTGCATTCTGTATAAGGGCCGAGATGGGCAATCTGTCAATTAACAGCGGTATGTTCACGTGGACGTAGTAAAAAGGTAAATCGATAGTTGGTCTCCACAAGGGCTACCGAGGTTGGTTCCCGACAAGGGGTGTCCAATAAATATTCCGAGTGGTTTGGAACTACGGAGTTCTTGCCCTGGATGACTTGCATAAAGAACGATACGAAGTTGAGTGGATTCGACTGTCAGAATCTACGCGTGGCAAAATCGAGGCCATAGATGACTCGCGTCGGATGGGCTGGGCTCGACCTATAGAGTGATTGACATGGCGGTTAGGCATGTCTTGCCCCCTCTACTCCGTCCACTCTCGGCCACCATTGCTTGGAATATTCGTGGCGCAAAAGGAAAAACTGTTCCAGACTGTTCATCTGATGTCCGGAAAAGAGTTCGAGCGGTAGGCATCCGAGGAGATCTATCAGCCACACTTGTTTCTCAGGGGGCCATGGCGTCGCCGAGTTGAAGAAACTATTCGCCCTTGTTCCACCTGCAACCACGAATCGGCAAGTATACAGACTGGCTTTTCAGCTAGAAGAGACTTTACTGTCGTCATCCTTGATTGATATTCCTGTTTTGTTGTGACTAATTCAGGGAAGCAATATACTGAAACCGGTATCGTTGGATGAGCCGCTGACCCCTTTTTCCTAATACGACGTTGGCCCCGCGAGGCAAATGCAGCCCAAGCTCACCCCAGGACCCAGGTAGCTGGATGGCTTTTAGTTCCTAAGAATGAAATGAGCTGTGGAGCGTTATTGAAAGTATGGCAATGCCGAAAGTTCAGCCTCATCATAACTTCCACGTTCCCACAGAGTTTTGAGGCTTGCTTATTCGCCAATTGACGCTCAGCAATTATTCATGACAGCTGGGTATCAGAAATAGTTTGCCACTAAGCTTTTACCTCCGGCAAGTGTTATAAGGTCCGGGCGTCTGCAGTGTCTCCGCTATTGCCTCTCATGTCTCAGATCATGTCCTCTCAAGACCGGTAGATGCAGCTGTTCAGGATCTTCTTGTTACACACGCGATATTGCTCCGAGAAAACAAATTCCTCTGACAGCAGAAAACTTTTAGCATTTGGAGCTACTCGATGTGGTTCGTTGTCCTCGAGCATGAGTCGATAAAGCCTGGACTTTCGCCCTGGGATCCCCCCCTTTCTGGCGCCTGGGCTCACCAGCACCAGCTAGGCTTTCGAAGGTTCGGTATGTTAGTCACTAGTTTATCGGAATAAGAGTAGTCGTCGGCTGGATCGACCTGGCCGAGCATCCAGCCCATCATGCTCTCAGCATTTGCAACCTTTATAGGGCCTGTTCTCTCCGAAGCTAGATTTGCGAGGTCAAATCGGCAATAATACCAAGAGGCTAATAACCACACACTGCCTAGGTATCCTACAAACAAAGATATGCGGGGTGGCGGTGTAAATGCATCGTGAGGTCTGGAGGGTTTGAAGCTCGCTTGGCGGTAATTGATCGATGCATCCGCCCAAGAAAGCCAGCCTAGATCTTCTTCAGTTGGATAGATATACGCCGTGCATTGACTCGCCTATTTGCACACCTTTGTTATCAGTTTCTGTTTTGGGATCCGTTGAGGGTGTGCCCGGTTATGATTTTCATGTAATAGTCACGTCCCCAACCCCCTCTGGACTCACATGGTCCGCGACGCAGTACATCGACAGATGCGGTCGAGTTAGAGTATTTTTGCCAGCCTTCTCAATCATTGCTATTATTAGAGGCGATTCCCACGTTTAGCCCTGTGGCGCTTGCGGTATAATTATCCATATTATTGGAAGCTGGGGGCGATGGCGATTCCCCTCAGCCGACCATTTTATCTATTACCTCACGAAAGGCCCGATATTGATCAAGGTAGGAGTTTCACAGCCAGCTCTCTCCTGGCAGTGACCCTCTGCATCGTACCGGAAGAGGCGCCTCGAGCCTCGGGCCGTTGGAATTTTGGAAGTCGTGCATGTCGGTGGGGATTCTTCAGGCTATGCCCCAGCTTTGAGACTCGCCTGTGATTTGCAAAAAGAAGTGCACCGCAGCGGTGTGCAAAACGCTATGAGTCGTGGAAGCTATAGAGCCTGATTACAGACTGATCAGCAATCATAGGGCAGAAGGTTGCGATAGGGGTGTGGCAGCGGCCTGCATCATTCCTACCCCACGTCTGCTGCCCGTGTAAGACAACACCGTGCATAACGGTAATGAGATCCTTGTAGGGCAGAAGAAGGCTGCGGTGCGCGGCGCATAGGATTCTAGGGTCATGAGGAGAGAATGATGATGCTAAAGAGAAAATATTTCCGGCTCACTGTCTCGATACATGGCCAGAAACGTCCAGATGCAGATCATGCCTAACAATACGATATGATCTGCTGGTGTAGCCAGTTGTGAGGCCTCGAGTCCTACGGGAATACGACTTCAAGGAGACTTTTTAGATTATAATGACGTGGGTGTTGCTGTTACTCCCGTAAGTGAAAGAAGGCTGAAGGCGGGTGACAATCTCTACTCGATTTCGGATGAAGATACCGCGTTTCGCTGTATGTCTGCGGCCAAGTGCTGCATCGTTGGGGCCGGCGGGCGACAAGGCAACAACCACTTGAGCCTTTTCACACAGTACGAAGTATGCACTCTGCGAGGAAGGGCTTCCGATGCAACAGTCTCTCGTGAATCATGACGAAGACCCGTCCCCTCCAATTTGAGCATCATTTCACAAGGGCTGTGGCACAATCAGAACGGGCGTTTCACCGTAGTTCCTTGCCTGTTGTGCAGCACCTGGGGAGATCAAACGGGTTGTGCTCGAAAGATCCCATTGAACTTCTAAAAATGAATTGCCGCCGCAAACCAGGAGCTGATGGCACGTTGCCTGCCTCGCGTATCGCTGAATATATTATCTTGGTTGCCTTATACTGTACAACTATAAATTTGGGGCCTCGCTATCCGCTTCCCCGTAGGGCTTGATGAAGTCGAAGGAATGTCGAGGCTTGACTAGTGTTAGCAAGAATTAGGACAGCGAAGGCCGTTGGAAACGAGATATAAATGTGCATCCGCGCTTGCCATATCTATTGGAGCGGTTTTACGAAGCAAGTGCTGAGCGGTTTTGGGCTGCGAGCAATGGCCCTATGGAAAAAGCTTGTCCGTTCTGAACTTCCAGGGGGGATGGAACATGTACTTCGTATGATCGGTGACATGCTCACCAGGGATGCCGTTGCAGCACTCGCCGCACTGTGCAGCAGGGTGTATCATTTAACACTTTCTCATCCATCACCGGTGCATGAAACGTTGGCGCTGTCTTCAGCGACAAAATTAACCAGCCTGTGACCTAAGCACCCCAAACTTGCCCGCCTAGATACGGCGCGGCACGATGATTCCGATGTCCCTGGCTCTCATGATTGACGCTGTCCGCTCGAAGATTTAAGCCTTGTTGATGACAAGAAGGGCCTCTCGTAACCTGCTGCCTATTTGAGCTTTCTCTGCTCTATAGGCTATCTCGTGGGCGACTTGTCTGCTTAGAGCTGCTGCCGGTACCACTGCTGCTGCCGGGAAAACTGGCAGGCTGTCAAGGCTGGCTGGCAAGGTGCTTACCAGTGATTTGGTACTTCATCAAGAGTGCTGGATATCTGCTCAGTAGAACAAGAGGTGTACGTGTAGCATATCTGCTATGTCAGTACTGACCGAGTACGTAGCCTGTTTCGAGTGCTTGAAGCATAGCCTCCTGAACCCACACCCCATCTCCGAAAAAGCCCTAGAAACACGGCTCAGGTAGCTTTATAGTAGGATTCCCCGCGATGTTTCGGCCGCGTTACTTCATGATTCTTATGCACCCCATTTTCAAAACATCGCTGAGATCCTTGGTCCCAGCTCCTAAAGCCCTAGAGCGGGTGGTGGCGCAGCAGCTATGCAGTCCAGCGAATCTACGAGCCGGCGAGACAACGCAAGTGCCTGGCATATGGCACGGGACGAACGGAGTAGTATCGACATAGGCAGAGCATAGTCTGTAGACTGTAGCTCCTACTACCGGCAGTCTCCGTTGTAGAAAAGATTGTAGTTATGCACAGTAGGTAGCACATGCATATACCGGTACCTACACACGCAACTCCGGTTCCTTCTTGATCATTTTCCTCTTGGGAGTCGCCCTCAAGCTTGGAGTAAGTTATCGTGCTCCCTGAAGTATGTACGTTATGTTTCCTTCGTACTGCGACCAATGATCGAGGAATATCGGAGCTGGGTGGGGGTGTTTCGACGCACGTCGTCTTTAATGATCCTTCTTATAAGGATCGATGCCCGGGTGAATGATCAATCAATACCATTTCTCTACCACGTACCTTTTTGCACATACAGTAGCACTGTCGATACCGACACCGACGGCCGCGGCGGAGAATGTGAGGATTGACCGCTGCCAGTGGCGGCCTGCGTTCCTGTTCAGCTGCCCTACTCCGTGTGAAGAGTGAAGTGCATTTATGAGAAAACCCACTTGCGCTGGTCACTAGGTGTGCTCGAGCCTCAGCCACGCGTAAAGACCCCGAGAGCGCCACTGACTACCTTGAAGTCTCCACAGGCTCACATCGAGCCACCTTGGGTTTTCATTATTAGGTGGATCGTTTAGTGCTTTGTAAGGCTTGCGGGTCAACGATTGAACTGTGACCAGAATGGCGGCCGGAGGGACGGAGTTGCACTCTTGTGGCTTTCGGTGTGCGACAAGCAGCAACCGGATGCAACATTGCCAGCACTCGCAAGCCGCACGAGATATGGCTTTGGGCTAAAATGCCTTCGCAGGTAGGGCTGAGATTTCGATTGAGCAGCTCCCTATCACAGACGCACGCTCGCGGAAGCCAGCACCGGGGTGGTTGGCCCCATATGCACCCAGGACAACAGGGCCCGCGCCGCGCAGCGCACCCATGGACTCGTTCTCCAGCCTTCCTGGGTTTGGCCCTTCCGTTCCCTGGTCGCTCAATTCACCCAGGTCCCAGGCCCCGAGGACCTGAGAACAGACAATGGACAAAGATTGCAGAGTGGCCGGTGGAGGGTCGATGCCATTGGCCGGGGACCAAGAGCCACGCAACACCCACTAAACTCGGCGACCAACTTCACAAGGCTGTCCGGAGGCACGAGGGACCGGTGCAAACTCCACGGGGTAAACGAAGGCGACGACAAAACACCAGAGCATTCGGGTTTGAAGGGGAACGGGGAGGGGAGGAGAGGACAGGACAGGATGGGCTGGAAGAGCGACAAGGCCCAGGACTTAACAAGTCACCGCAAATATGACGAACGACTTGCGGCGCAGGAGCGCCGTGTGCATACTACTGGATCCTCAGGACACGAGTGCTGAGTACCGAATAACTTGTTGGAAAACGTATTTCATCAGCTGCCGTGAGCCTCGCCTTGTAAGGCTCTGGCGCTCGACGCCGTGCCAAGGTCTAGCCTGGCTTCATGTGGAACACAGCATGGTGGTGAAGCACATCTCACGAGAAGCTGAATCATTCGCCCGTCTGATGGAGATCATCCGGACTGTGAAATAAGCAGCGGAAGGATATCCATGAGCAGTAATCGCCGTTTCCCGAGCCGCCCAGCTAGTCATATAGTAACTCGTAAGATTGTCAGAAAAGGATGCCGATGCTGTCGCCGGTCTCTCGTGTTGCAAAGAGGAATGAAGCAAAAGTAGCGGGAGCTTTCCCTCCAGTATCTGAATTCCATTGGCCGTGTGACGTGATGCCCCTCCGTCCGTCTCCATTCCAGGAGCCGGAGATTCCTGATATTCAGATAAGACATCTTTGATGCCCCTCTCAGCCGTGTCTCAATGTTCCACACCCTCGTGTTATCCGAACCCAAAACACAACTCGACGCCTCCCGTGCTCAATACATCCACCCCGCAGCATGGTGCCGCTCTGGTAGCCACTAGACTACCCTCTCCATCCAGGGCCAACAGACAACTCTCACTGACCGCCCTATTGGCTTCACGGGTACGACGTAGGACGGCGCGCTCGTCGGTGAGGGTCAAGTTCTCGTCGGTCTCCGTGGGCCAATACGGACGTATTGTGTAGTAGGTGGTGTCTACAAGTAACCTCCCTTGTATATTAGTATCCAGACTGCCCTCGCCCAGTGCTTCTTCTCCATAGCTCCACAGTCCACACCGATTCCATCGTGCTGTACTCGTACTGTACCAGGTGCCCCGCTGGCGTTTACGCGGGCTCGAACGGGAATTACGCACTTTCACCTCGCCCTGCCTGCCCTATCTTGTGCAGGTTTGCCATTCCCGACGTTGCCTTGTGCGGTGCCTTTGCCTTGCCGTGCCTTGCCCAGCCCAGAGATGCCAGACCGTAGCTGGGACTGGCCTTGACTCGAATCCGACCCAACGCCGACGCTGTGCCCTATGCCCTATGCCTCGAGATCCACCCCCGGTTCCTGTGTACCAGCTCGCCGTCGTACTCGTAGCTCGCGCACTAGGAGCAGCTGCCCAGTTTCGCCCCGTCAGCGGACGAGGGAGGAGTGGAGTCGGGACGTGCAGGTTGAGCTCCAGCGTCCAGGAGGCGACTAGTGATCCAATACCGTAATAATAATACACCGCACTCTGTAGAGTCCCAGTCTCGCCATCCCAGCACTGCGTCGTACGTCGGAGTCGTAGTAGTGTCGGTGTCGGTGTCAGGGTGAGGGTGAGGGTGAGGGTGGGTGCTAATGTCGAGTGGTAGCAGCGTAGGTATGGGGCGTATGCAGCGTACTCCGTACATGGACAGTGCCTAGAGAGTGCTAGAGAATGCCTCGTACCTAGTACCCAGCAACCTCGTCCCTAGCACCTCGTCCCTAACACCTCGTCCGTAAGTAGTATATTTATTATTGTTAACGCCGAAAACACCAATGCAGTAAATCGACTTTCCTTGGTCGGAGCACGGAGCCTGCGCCGGGCGACCCTTGTAGGGCCAATATGCACTACAGCCGCCCCGGCGCCCTGCCTACAGCCACGCCGCCGCCCGCCTATTCCCGCTATTACTTACGACCTACGCCCCTTCACCTGGGAGGTCCCTCTGCTGTCTGGTCTCTGCTCTCGACTCACTCACTCTTCACTCCTTTTGAAAGTCGTCCGCGCGCCTCTGTCTTCCTGCTGTTCCCAGAGCCCCATCCGAAAGAGCAGATCTCTCCTTCCTTTGGCGCTGCTCGTCTTTGCATGCCATCAGATAAGAACTAGCTAGCCGCGGGCGCCATATTTCTTTTCTTGGTGTATTTTGTTACAACAGCGTTTAGATATCTATTCATGTTTTGCTTTCGTCCACAGTCTCCCCTCCTGCCGCCGGTTCCGCACGCCATTGCCACCAATATTCCAAGAAACCCTTCGAATTTGGTGCAAGGAAAAGCTAATTAAATTGATCGCCATTCCATCCCTCCGCGCCTTCAGCTAGTGGCAATCTCGAGTCCAAGGCGCCCGTCATGGACATCCCGAGCCGGGGGCCAAGGTTGCCCGAGATATATGTCCACGACTCGAGCACCGATCGATTTCGGACCTCGAGCAGATCCAGCTCTTACACTTCATCCTCCTCTGCAACATCTGCCATCCCAATGTCGATACCAAATGCGCGGGACCCGGTACCCCCACCACTGCCGCCCCCGAAACACCTCCCGGATATTGCATCTGGTGGGAACAACGGCCCTGATCTAGCTTGGAGGTATGGGAATATGCACAGCGACTATGGGAGTTCGGGTTCTTCGGTAGCGCCGGGATCGAGTCTCTATGGGAGCTTTGCGAGCAGGAAAACTTCAATGGACGACCGCCCAGATTACTCACGGCGTACCGACTCGACGGCTACGATCAAAGGAGATCATGGGCGGGAGCAAGGCTATCCTCGAGATGAGGGGTACTCGAGTCTCTCGGGAACAAGTATCGAGTCGTTCAAGTCAGTATATCCTCCTCGCGAGAATTGTTCAGCATGGCAGGGGTCGCAGGAGGCCCTCTGTGTATGCCCGGTGCTGTGGGGGATTTTCGGTGTATTACTTTATAATGTGCTCTGAGGTTTCTCTTGCTGACAGCTATTGTGCATAGGTCGAAATTCCAAAATTCCCCGTCTACGAGATCTACCTTCCAAAGCTCTATCCACGATAAATTCCAATCAAATACACAGGCTTACGACAAATCGTTGCTGCAAAAGCTGGATTCTCGAAGAACAAATGATAGCAAAACCCCACCACGGAGTTATTCCAAACTCCCAACTTTCAGCTCTTCTGCAAACGATGTGTCACCAACGCGACGAGCTGTGGATCATATCCATCCGACCCAGCTGAAGCCTTTATCGTTACCAATACTCGGCGGCCGATTAGACTATGTAGAGAGTCCTATAGCACTGTCGCAGTACGGAGATACACCGCTGTCATCTGCGGTATCACCTCGAAATCCTTTTCCGCGTGTTGAGCTACAAACTCAATTTGATTACAGGTCGCCGAGAGATGTATCAGAATGTGATAGATCCCCTCATCCTTATGTTAGAGGGTCGGGGAGTAGCTCGGCAATGAGCGTTGGGGATGACACCTCGAGTGTGACGAGTCGGCGCAGAGAAAGTTATGACCGAAGAGTTTCTCCCGACCATGATGTAGACTTCCATATGGAAGAGGCGGGGCTTAGACGGCTTAACATTGATGATTATGCCGCCAGGTCAGATCCTTATTCGCCTGGTGCGACTACGAGTCTGAAACGGCGTGCCTCCTCGCCACCAGTAGAAGATGGTCCGTCGTTGCATACAGTTGGCAGTGCGAGTGACCTATTCCGAAGGCGAGAGTCTGCATCGCGGTGCTCACCCACTCCACGTCTGCATTCTACATCAGGGTCTGTGTCATCCGCCGCTTCGGGGGCGAGAAATAACTCGTATTCTTCCTCTACCTTATCAATTGGCACTGGTAGTATAACTAGCATGAGTTCCTATGGGCGTCTGTCACCTGGTGGAGTTTCTCCGGGCTCAACAGACGTCACGGACTCTCCGTATGTTAGCTCGATATCCTTGAACACGAGCCCTCGAGGCTCCTATTCCAACGCAAGCCAGCAGCGTAACATATCAGAAGCTCGGCTTCTCATAAGTTCTCGCGAAATGGCCGATAGCATGGGGAATGGAAAGCTCAACGGCATACCGAAGATCCAAGGTGTCTTTATGTGTGAATGCTGCCCGAAGAAACCGAAGAAATTCGACACCCAAGAAGATCTAGAGTAAATTTCCCTGCATATCCTCTTCTCACAATTTTGCTAACATACATTTAGCGGACATGAACAGGAAAAGCAATACCAGTGTGCCTACTGCCATAACCGATTCAAGAACAAAAACGAGGCCGAAAGGCATCAAAACTCGCTCCATCTCCGGAGGCATTCTTGGTCGTGCGCAGCACTCTCGGGCTATCCCGCAGCATTCCATGCGTCTTCAAGCCGGCCGAATGAAGCGGATACATGCGGATACTGTGGTGAAGACTTTCCACGCTCTGGTATCTCGTCACCGTCCGCCGGACCTCAGGTTGCTATTGCTACAGAACGGGATTGGAATGCCCGAATTGCGCATTTACAAGAAATGCACAAGTTTGGCGAGTGCAATCATGCGAAGAAATTCTTCCGGGCAGATCACTTCAGGCAGCATTTGAAGCACAGTCATGCAGGCACTAGTGGTAAGTGGACGAACATGCTCGAGAATGCGTGTATGAAAGATGAGCCGCTCCCCGAGCCGATCAGAGGTCCCGAAAGGGTGGTCCCGGGAAGTGGTAGGGTATCAAGGATTACCGAAGAGGAGGAGAATCCCTAATTCGGGCTCCTCAGGGGAAGCGAACGAACGCTTTCAGACATGAATCAGATGTTACGAAGACGAAGAGGAGTAACGAGAGCAGAGTGAATGAGTGACCAAAAAATCATTTTAACGGCCGTCTACGAGATACCCGGTTCGCTGTTATTTACCGGCATTGCTTGCGTATCAACATCATATTGGTGGCTTTTTGAGTGGCACGAGCGGTACATAAACCGCATATTTCTATTCTCACACCACATTTTTATCCCCCCAAGAAACGAGGGAATGGCATCAGCGCACTTGCATTGGCGTCTGGTGTAGCAATCATTATCATATCATCGTCATTTGAGTATACTTCCACCAGCAATATCTATAATCGGCCGGCAACACATAGGGTTGAATGGTCTGAAAGGATGGTTGGTCAATGGGATGGGATGGGTACAGGAAGGGAACGGATGGGAATGGGCCGATGGAGGTTGGTTATAGGTATTCTTGGTGGTACATAGAGTATTTCACCCTGTTTAGGCGTTTGCGGTCGCTTGGGGCCTTGCAAGAGTCGCACGATATTTGGGTCCAGGAAGCAGCTCAAGGCCTTAAGATATTAATGAGAAATGATACAAGTATGAATATACTTTTATGCTGATAGCCCTCTTATCTTTTCGTTTCTCATAATTCCTTTTTCTCTAGTTTCTCGATTTCAACCTATCCACTGACACCGTCGTTAGCTTCCTTGTCCCTTTCATTTACTCTTCCGCCCTTCCGTCTCCTTGTCACTATCTCCTCCTACAGAGTCCAGTTATGCTACGATGCACATCGCTTGTTTCGGCCGACACTTCCATCGCAATCAAATTGCAGGATCACAATTAACTTCCGCCTCATAATTACCAAGCACCCGGCTGCACCACCCGCACCCCCCGAACACGCCTTGCCAAGCAAAACAAGTTCTACGAAAACAAGTTTACGACTTGTGAACTAACCATAGACATACGAAAGTACTTCGTACCTTCTCCTATTTCCTTACGCCACACAGTCGCATCATCCTCATCCAGACCGCCTAACGGCGCCACCCTCTCGTGGAGAAATAGGGCAAGTGCCGCGCCCCTTGTGTGCATGCCACCCCCTTTTTCTTCTCGATCCTCGTACATCGGTCAGTCCGCCCTCGTGGTATAAGTGACTTCTTCCGTGAACTGTTCCTCATCCTCGTCAAACACATGTGATAATTCTCCGCTCCTTCCTTAGACGGGCGGCCGTTGAGAACTCGAGGGGGGAAGTGGAAGGGTTTATTGATCCTTCGAGGCTTCGCTTGTGGTGATGAGTACGTAGGGTTGGCTGGCATACTACGTAAGTTTACCTATGGAGAGCCTCCGTTTCGTAGATCTTGCTGATGCGGTGGAATCCTACGGCACGTCCGATGGAGCTCCAACATGTAGTGTCATGCTTACCTAGAGTATATGACAGGTTCCTTCCATCGTAAAGGCTGGATATTGGAGTGAATGATGTGCATATTTGTATGTATGGCTGGGGTAAGGTAGTACTACGTAACGGCTTGTCAAATCTACGAGCTTGAAGGAATGCCGTCGGGAGATACGGTTACGACCGTAAGCGAGGTGATGTTACGTATGATGCATTTTTTCTAGGCAAATATTTCCATTGAATGGTTTACGTTATGATGATTATCGAGGGCATTAATGATCCCGGAATGGTACCCTAAAGAGTGGACTATGTACCCGCGACAATAGATATGGGTGTGCATATAGCGCTGCCAATACACGTCCATTCTAGACTACACTTCCTTGTTGAGATTAGGGAGGGATATGGAGTTGAAATAAGGTACAATCCAGTAAGGGGCGCGCTGTGGTACGATTTTATCATTCCACATCTCTTGTATGCTGAGCACAACTACGTACTCACGGGTCTGAACACATCCGGCGGTGAATAATTACCTACCCATTCTAAGAGAATACCCCAATCATATAGTCATTAGAGACAGTTTTCTAGTTCAACTCTCCACCCTGTTCAATTTATGTACTTTGGACTTCAAACCGCAATAAAAGGGGGGCAGTAGCGTCCTCGCTTAACGACTTGCACAAGATATGCCAGTTATTGCACCCATTGAAATCGCGGTTACTACAGTGCTGCAAAGCTAACAATCAACGCTGAAAGTTAAATGCAAATTGTACTGAAGTGTGGGGTGGAGGTTCCACACATTTCCCTGCTAAGATCTATTGCTACGCCGTTAAAAGCGCCAATTTCTTGACGATGGAGGGAACTACTCTGATCTACACATATGCGTTCATAATCAGATAAAGGAAACGGTAGAACCATTATTTTATAATTGTTGACAGTGTCTCCGCTAATGCTTCCATCCATAACAAGGATGCCTCAAAACTCCAGACCCAATTCCATCGCCTGAAACACGCCATAATGAAATTAGCCCCCCGATGTATCCATTTTGTCCTGTCTAGCGTCCTTCGCCTTCTGCCTCATACCATCTCTCCACGCATCAATCCGTGCCTTCAATTCCGTATTCGGGATCACATCCTCAATTTTCAAGGGCGAACGGTTGAATGGGTCGTGGGGGTCGCTCAGCAGATGACTACGAATGGTGCTACGATCTAGAACCATCTTGCTAACAGGTAAGGTCACGGGGTCTGTCATCAATGTCGCTAACAGCGGGTCTTCGAATTCGTCGGGGATCTCGCCCAGATCTCCTTCATCCTGGTCCTCGAGCTCTTTAGCTTTTGCGAATCGCCTTTTCAGGCTTTCCCACGCGGCCATATCCTCGTGTGATCTCATATTATACCGCTCCATAATGCGAGATGCGTTGTCGAAGTTGATGGGTTTGTATGATCGACCATCACGAGCAACGGCTTCGACAAACCGGTCCGAAACACCCAAGTGAAGATAGATATCGACGAACTCACTGAGCAGAGTTCTCGGTTCAAAAAAGTATTTCTTGGGGTCTTTGACTTTGAGATTGGCTGACTTCGGGCCAACAATGGTATCGAGGGTATAATCCACCATTGCTGCCACTCGGTCAATAATCTCTGGCATCGTAAATGATGCACTCAGCGTCTTCGTGAAAAGCTTCATCATTGACACCGTCTCATTTGTCAGTTGCATATAAGACTGAGCTTGGCCCTCAAGAGTTTGCAATTCCTCCTCCTTCGTTGCTCGCTGTTCCCCAGCAAGAGATGGGTTGTCTAGTTCTTGTTGGAGGTCGTGGATCTTTGGAAATTTCGTTAGCGCCTCATCGAGGACATAGGTTGCATCATTCATTAGGAGATTGACAAATTGCAAGAAAAATTCGGTGTTCGTCCTTATTTTGTATTAGCTATGCTCGTGTCGGAATTGAGTCTCAAACTCACTTGCTCTCTTGCGTTAGCCTTTGACGGTAGATATCATTTGACCAAATACACTTGATGACTTGAAATATTTCGTATCGAATATTGAATTTGTCGTAAAATTGGGTGTGCGCCCCGGTTGATTCAACCTCTGTGTGATATCAGCAACATATTAAAAAGCCCTAACCAAAAGGCAGCGTACCGATGTAGAATTTAATTAACGCGTGAAGTAGGTGGTCATTGGCGAACCTCGTGCCAATGAGGGAATCGCCCAAGACTCCCTTAGTACGGTGATAGACGGGCCATGTGCCGTGGAATAGAAGAGAAACAAGTTTCGCCTTTAGGTAAGGGTTTTTGATATATTCGGAGTTCGTTAGGAAGGTAATACACAAATGAATTATCTCGTCGCCAATGGCTGATATCATCACATCTGGTACAAATCTACGCCACCGGTTAATTCGAAACATGAATCCCAAAGGAGTGGATCTTACCGGAAGATAAAGTTGAAATTCCCCACAATATCCTCAAGGACATATTCGGGCAGGAACCTGAAAGCATCTGGCTGTTCTGCTTTCAGGGGCAATCTGGACTTGTTAGTATTATACCCTCACGATCTAGCTAGGGGTCATACTCAATAGTTTTGTCTGGGGTGTAGTCTGATTGCGTCGCAATCCTTAGGAGCCAAACGGTGACATATCTCATGAATAATAACGACCTGGTCTGCATCTGCTTGTCCAAAAGAACGCCTTCAATGGCGAATTTGAATTGCATAGCCTTTTCCAGCACATCAGTAAACTTCCTGATCTGTTCCTCAAGTCTCGCGCTGTTCATGGGGTTCTATACCGTGTTAGCTCTATCATATAAGCAAGATCCGGGGGAAGTACATTTGCAAACTTAGGTCGCTCATTCTCCATCTCACCAATTTTGGAATTCAAGTACTTGATGTCCTTGTCCAAGGATTTAAGGGTTGCATTTGTCGCCTCGCTACCGTAGTGGTGAGCGGCCAGGGTTAGGAAGAAGACCTCCGAGATGAAGTTCGAAGTGCCCTCAGCCTCCGTCTTATAGTACTCATCAGAGGCGTTCTGGTCAGCATTCAACTTCGTCTCTGATTCAATGTCGACACGCGGACGGCGTCTTAGATAGTCCACATCAATCTTCGATATCTTCGAGAATGTAGCATCCATGAAGGGCTCGCAGAGGCCGTCAAGTACCACTGTAACATTCATGAGAAAAGCATCCGAAGATAACTGCGTCGGGTCCGGCCGTAACGCTCGGCGTTTGTGGTTTGAGTTCACAATATATGCGAACCAATCCAAAGTTTTATTCTTTGAAGATGGGCTGGCTCGAACGAAATGATTGATGATATCAAGCAGATCTCTCTGATGAGTCTGCAATGTCATTCTAAGCGCTTCTTGAGATGTGTGGATATGCCGCTTATCCATTGTTTTTGGTCCAGAAAAATACTCCCTAGCGACTTCCGGCTGCAGTGGCGAGATTCTGAAGAAGGGTCCTAGAAGTGTATGTTTCTCGATCCCTGGAGCCGATGTTGCCATCTGGAAGAGAGGGTCTTCGGCAATGGCTGTTACCAAGCGGGGAAATTGTGAAACCTGTTTTAATGCCTATGATCTAGATTAGCACGATGTATACGTACCTATGAATTAATGGCAAGGCTCACATTGATGTATGGCTTGTAATTATCACTCATGGTCATGGTTGAGAGCTGCAAACTCAGACCGGCAATAGCTTTCATCAGCATCGGCTTCACAGTATCATCTTCGTCAAACCGAGATACAGCTTCGGCTAAGAAGTCTGGACATATACCCTTGTCCGCTCCAGCTTCGTTGAGTAGATAAGGCGTCAACGAGTCTGTTGACGGATTTGGGTCGCGGCTAGAAAGTCAGCCAAATGCTCTACACTTCCAACATGTTTACTGACCCATAGAGTTCTGGCATTTCCACGGCAAATATGCAGTTACTCATACATAACCGTTTCGCTTCCTTAAGTACTTCATCCTTCCCATTCGAAGTACCTCGTATACCCTTCAAAGCCTTAGTTATCCGTTTCCAGCATGGCAGTAGGTAGTCAAGGATCGATATATTGTTCGGGACGCTTGATGCTGCCTCTAGAATCGCTGAGTCTAGCCTATCTGTGGTGAAGCTGAGAGGAGACTGTTCCTCTTCCAACTCTGATCTGAGATTCGGCAGGTATGTGAGTTTGTGATTTGAGGAATCCACCTTCTGTGCCGGGTCTAAAGTAATGCGGAAAATCTGTCCCAGTACCCTATTCGCGTAATTATCCAGGCTCTCATCGGTTGATGGCGATGCAAGCTTGCGAATAGGAACTCGTGGGGAAGTCTGCACGTCTGATTCAGCTCGCCGACGCTTTAATGTTTTAGCTTCTGATGCTTCTCTTACGGTGGCAGCGCTGGCCCCATTTGAAGGACGGGTAGTCAACTTCGAGAATGGGTTTTCAGACGGTGTGGCTGCGGATGTTGAGGCAGGTGTGACATTGATCTTGGGTTTGGGCGTGGACTCGACTTGTTCGGAAGCTTTAGGAGCTGGAGCTGGAGATGAAGATGCCGAGGCGCTTCCTCCCTGTGCTGGCGACCCAGACCTTGGAGTGGGTGTTGATGGGCCAGACAGTTTCTCTAGACGTCGCCGCCGGATCTATAGACGCAGAGGTGTTAGCCACTTCGATCTAGTATCAGCTCGGCGATTAAGTCTAACCTGGTCCATCTTCTCCTTATCTGGAGCTTCCGGGGCGTTTGGGGGCCCATTATCGTTCTGGTCGTTATCCATGATGCAGATAGGATATTGTCTTCAAATGATGTGAAGAATCACAGCCAATACGCTGGAGAAGGAATGGGTGATGGCAGCCTCGTCGGTCAGTCGGGAATCCCCATGCGACGTCCAGCGTCCAGTGGCTTTAGCGATAACGCTTGCTAATCAGTAGCAGGACTCCAGTAGTGCACAGGCACGCGCATTGGGCGACTCGGAAGTTGGAACCCGTTGGAAGTTTCGAAGCTCCGACGAAGTGTTAGAGACGAAGATGTGGACTAGCAGTAAATCCCCTTTTTTGTTGGTTACTCTAAGAATATCTTCAATACACTGTAAGATATATAAATGGTTAAGCTCTTTGTGACCAACGTAGGACGGTGTGCACCCTTCGTATATAGTGGCACAGCGGCAGAGTGATTGCTCTCTACCTACCTACTTAGGTACCTAAGGTAGGAACTCAAAGATGGGATTAAACTACAATCCACTATCATAGAAGCCTATTTTTGGGGCCTTGCCTTATTATTCGCACCCTATTTTACCTGGATTAAGGAGAGACCCTACTTCGTATTCATTCAGGAAGCTAAGTTATTTGGAATTATGACATATCCTTATATACCTTACCTATCCTAGCAGTCCCCTCAACAGCTTCGATTATTGCGTAGGGGGTTTATAATGGATTGGTTGGGAAGGACGACCTACAATGTCATATATAGTGCATGCTCACTCCACTTTTGAGATACCGATCAATTAATGCCTCTCACCAAGCGCGCGATTGACGATTCTGAATCTTGCGTTGTATTTAGGGCATTGCATCAAACTAATAAGGTTGTGGAGGGAAGAGGCTTCTCCAGTTATGCCAGAAAATTTACAATGAAGGTTTATCTATTATGCCTTTACTCGCATGAAACCAGCGACATATGAACGGCGCAAAAATGCTGTAACCCCAGACGCCATGCTCCCTAACTATTCCCAAGTTATACAACGAACGTACAACGCAGTACCTCTCGTATCAAGACCTTCTCTGCCCTAATTCCGATAACCTCTTGCAGTTCCTCATCTCCATCGAGCGCGCTTTGTTTATCTTGTTTGCATCTTGGAAGAACCATCCCTGGCCCTCTTGGACCAACCTATTCCTAGCCTCCTCCTCTTGGGCACAGTGGATCCTCAGCTCTTGGACATACTGGATATCCGCGTTCTGATCTAGTGATTGGAAATTTCGAGGTGTAAAATTTTCCACTTCAACGGGATTAACCCAGTATTCGACTTTATAGTTCCTTGAATGGCGAGCCAAGGTCTGTGGTGGTTCGGGACCATCAAATATCATTGTAGGGCCTCTGCTTGACGAATCCGAATCGGAGAAGATAGAGGATAGCAGCGGCAGAATGAAAATGAGTAGGAGTGGTAAAATCCCCGTCAAGATACTTTGCAGCGAAGGTGCAGGTTCTTCTGGCGCATTCGGATCTCGCGGTCTCCTTCGAGGCCTGGCTCCTCCAAACTGGTGCACCCTAACACCAGGGCCGCCATTTAAGTTGAAGACAAATCCCGGTCCATTATCAAACATTCCACCACCTTGAGGGATTCATTAGCCTGGGCCCATAATCTTTTCATAGAGCAAACTTACCACCGAAGGGTCCAAACCCACCTCCTCCCATCCCGCCACTGAAGAATCTTTGGAACATCTCTTCCGGGCTTATCTCCTCCTCCCACATCGATCCACCACCAGCTGCTCCTCCCGGCCCTCTCGACGCCCGTTGACCAAATCCGGAGAACGGATTCTGCGGTGCCGATCCTCCTCCAAATCTACTATCTGGATCCCCGCCGTATTTATCGTATTTCGTTCTCTTTTCTTTGTCACCTAGCACTCCAAAGGCCCTACTCACCATCTTAAATGCCTCGTCTGCGTGTTCATGTCCATTCTTATCCGGATGCGTCAGCAGACTCATCTTCCTATACGCCTTCTTTATCTCCGTATCTGTGACCGTGGTTTTGACAGTCTCCAGGCCCAAAATTTCGTAAAACGCCGTCGGCTGGCATCTTCGTACACGTATAACGGCGGCCTTCTGATCGAGTGTGTATGTCCTGTCTTGGTTCCCTTGATTATGATCCCGATTTTTTGCTGTCCCGTTCCCCTTGGCATCAGCACCAGAAGCTGTTGCTGAGGGCATTGCGCCGCCCTTGTTCTTCTTTGGGCAATGAATCTGTGAAGGCAAGGCGAAGGGGGTGAATATAAGAACGCAGTTGAAACCGGAAAACGAGATAGCGACGCTGTGGCGGTGGTTGCTTGGTAGCTTGATTTTGTTCTGGCCACGGCGACGGAAGCCTGTGTCGCGAAGGCGGTCTCTGGTTTCGTCCTTAGCTAACACATAGTACGTTGAATGTAATGACAGGGGTACAGGGATCCTCGAGGAACGCAATCCGAGTATGCACGTGATGTTGAAATTCCGAGACTCCGTCATCGAAGCTTCTCTACCACCTCGGAACGAAATATTTAGTCGAATATCTCCATTGAAAGGTGAATCTTGACCGAAAAATACTCAATTCCTACTCATAGTAGGGACTAAGCTTATTTCAATATCGCCCATAGCAAGTCAAAATGTCAACCGAAAATGAAGACGTTCAAAAGACTAAAAGAACCATCCTCTCGTATCCAATGAATTGGGGCAGTATGTCAATTCCTTCAGTAATACTACATATATCTACGTATTAACATTCTCCACAGAGTCATCCTTACCTCCAGCCCTCCTAGCAACTCTCATAACAGCCCTCCATGCGAAACCCTTCCAGCCATTACCCATGCTCTTCCCACCACTACTCCTCTTCGGCTCCTATCTGAATCTCTCTTCCTTCGTCGTGGATTCCGCAGGCATGACAGCTGCGTGGTCGGGCCTATATCTTTTATTAGCGAGTAGGAGGAAGAATTCGGGACGAAACAGGGTGTCTAGTCGATTCAGCGCGAGAGGTCTGACGAGAGGCAGTGCGATGATGCTTGCTGGATGTAATGTAGTCGGTGGTGGGGTTACCTATGCCTTTGGAAACCGGTCAGAGCTCGATAAGAGAACGATTTAGGGCCGCAACGGGGCTGGACATGTATGATTATAATCTATAGGAGGGAAGAAGGGCCCTGTACAAAGCTGGGCATTGTTGTAAGACTACGAGGCTACTGAACGAACCGGATTTTCAACTTCACAACGTCAAATACATCGTCCGCCCTACCATCATTATAGAAGGATCTATTTTAGTGTCTCGCCGCTATGAGATCCGGAAGAATAGCTATCGCGCCTGGGACTACTCGATCACGGGGTGGAAGCGACCTCCAGCACCTCCTGTGGTAATTATGCGGGTTGTAGGCGGTGACTACCAACCGGTCTGTCCATCCTCCTCGCCAAAACCAACAACAAAAACAAAAGGGGGATCGCGAAATAAATTCAACTTAATCCTACATCGCGTTTTCTATTTTTCTAGAAGAAAAAAAATAGTTTAAAATGGCAAAAGAGTTCGGCCCGGTGTCGATTGCCTACATCTCTTGTCGTTTTTTGTTCGTTGTTGCTTTGTTGTTATTTCCTTTTTTTCCCCAATCGTCCCTGGCGATAACGAAGTACAATTTGACCAGAACACACTTGACCAAGTGCCACGCCCTTGTACTCGTTAAAGGATATTTGCTTGTTTGGCCATATATATTTAAGGAGGGGTTTTGGTCGCTAAAAACCTCACTTCCTCCCCTTTTTATTTTTGACATGAGCCTTCTGAAGTTCAATCAGGGCCCTAGAAGATATAGTAGCGATTGGCAAGTGATCAAGCGACCAAGGCATAGTTTGGCCGCCAAACCGGGCTAGCTTCCCATCAAACTTAATAGCCGTTCAAAATTCCTGCGTCGAATGGATGCCTACAAATAGATAGGGGAGGTAATCTGCATAAATATAAGATTCTAAGCTGTAGAAATAATACAAGTGCAAACTGTGTTGAAGCCTTTCAGATCTTTCCACTATTTTCATCCGTTCTCGACGAGAAAAAAGCACCCTAATTAGAGCCCAAATTCGATGCTCACAAGGATTCATCGACTATAGGTATGCAAAAGACTTCATCGAGGTAAAATTGCCTTCGTTATTGGCAATATATTTCTCCCGTTATTTCCGTCCGCTGACTTTTCTGCTCGTGGTTCCCTACTTAATACTCGATAACCTCCCCTATGTAATGCAACCTAATATAACCCACAACGCCGAATACGCCCGCTTCCGAATAGCTAAGAAGCAGGCAAATATATAATGCTCCACCACGGTTCATCAAACAACGATATGTACAACTACTCCATTTCAGCGTCCAAACGACGCAAGCCACAACTCATGAATCAAAGTACCCGCAACCAGTATGTTCCCGAGTGAAGCACAATTCGAGCAGTCCCCTCTTCCATATACAATTTCTACAATTCCATATAAAGCCCCCATGAACTCAAGACTGCCCAGACCAGTACAAAGCGCCTGGACAATAGTAGATTGCCCTGTAGGTTCTGCAAAGACGGTATTATCGAGTATTGTGCGTCCTCCGATGAAGAGAGCGGCGACCATGACCACCAGAGAAACATTCTTAGCATGCTCAGATGGGTGCGAGTGATAATAATTCCAGAGCAAGAGCCCAAATAAGAGGACAAGAGCCTGGCATAAATGACGCATACGAACGCCCTGTACTGAGGCTTTCTGACGACCGTTCTCAGTGCTACTTAGTGAGAAGGCGCTGTTGAAAAGATCCGCCAAATCATCACCGGCCTCTTGAGGGGGGCTTGGCGGAAAGAATTTGGGCGGAGCAAATTCAATATGCTGGCGTGGTTTGATGTTCTCAACAAGCTTCGTTTCTCCAGCACTTGAGTCCACATCCAAATTTCTCCGAGTCACGCTATTGAAAAAGTTATCCTTGGTCTCTTGAGAAGCGACTCGTAATCGCGGTTGATTTGGAGGATTTCGAAGTCGGTGAGCTGGTGTTATTGGCGCTGGTGGGACTTTATACCAGAATGGAGATGGCTGATCATGAACAGGAGTTTGTCCGAATGGCTGGGGTTCCGCATTTACTTGCCGGGCGCGGGCAGGGTTAAATGCACGATGTTGCGTTTCGGGGGCAGATGGAGACCAGTCCATCTCTGATTGGATATCCGGATCATTGCGTTGTTGCATATGAACTGGGACTTGCCCCGTCTTAAGGTAATGTGCCGCTTCACTTTCAGTCATATCTAGTAGAGACGGGGTTGTTCTAGCTATAGGAAAGACTTCCCGAGTTTTCGAAAGACTGAGAGATGGGGAAGGTGTGGGACGCTCTCTCAAAGTGGGGGACGGTTTCCACAATGAAGGTGACAGTGGTGACAGAGGGCGATGTTTCGTCGAGGGGGCTGCACCTATCTGATCGAGGGCAGAGCTCATTCCGCCCATGTCCTGGCTGGGGCTGCTAGACATAGACCTTGGTCCGACGTAGGCAAGCTTCTCAGGTGTGGAAGTCCAGAGAGGGGTCATGTCAACCTTGAGGGAGCGTTGTGCCATAATAGCCAACTATACTTTATTAGTGAAGGCACATTGGGAGGCGTAGGGAGATACTTACCGCAGCATTGAAGCCTAGTGAAACAATGTGAGCTGCAATAGTAGCTTCACTGTTAGGATCCGCGAGGACCCCCGTTCCCATAATATGATATGTGAGCGAACGAGTTACCACCATTATGCCCTGGAATTTGTACCAGTTCGCGAATCCATTTATGTGGTTCATAAAGCCCCTGTTGGCTTCCTTAAACTTGGGGTTCCACCATAGTGAAGAAATGGTGCAACATAGACTCCACCATGCCCAAGGGCTTGAGGTTGCCGCGGATATCAGAGCGCCAAACAAGGAGAGCAGAGTCGGCTGAAGGTAGGGTTTGAGGGCTGGTAGTGGGCTGAGCTGAGCAGCTGCAAGTAGCGCTATGCCATTCCACATAAACTGCCCCAAAAGACCTGCATACCAAAGAAGCCGCCCTGTATCGACGAAGGATATGCTATAAGAATTTGCCTTCGTCCTTCTCGATCGAGACTTCTGCATCAATTGCCTAAGATAATCTGATTTGGCGATCTTGCCGGCCTGACGCATCCGCTCGAGGACCCTTGGTTCGCAATCTTCGCAAACTTGAGGATACCGTCTTTCAAGGTCCTCTTTGTATTTGAAGTATTTCCGCTCCATTTCTCGATACTGAGGATGTGCCGGGTCTGTTTCCACATAGTACTGAGCAAGTGATGATGTGTATAAATGCTGGTTCTTCAGGCATGTTTGGCAGAAGAGTGTCACATCGGACTCTTGGGAAGCAGGTGGAGAATCTGGCCCGGGAATGGCATATTGGCGTTTGGCAGGTGCGGCATAGTCTGTAGCAACAGGAGGATCTGTAATTTCACCATTCTATTCCACGCGTTAACATTGAATCTATTACGGTGATAAATAAGTTGGGCCTGTACGTACCTCATCCAAAAAGTTCATCGAGTCGCAATAGCCACATTCCCACTTCGTAATGAGCCCGTCATATTTGATGCCGGACTTCTTGTTGCAATAGAAGCACACAAGGTTCTTCCTACGGAGAGAGGGAGCCATAGGTCCATGACTTGGTGTCGCTGCGTCGAAAAAATACTGAAACTGAGGAACTGACGGTGCTGACGGCGCTGCGCGTGTGACAATTCTGCCGTCCATGGCTGAACCCTTGGCAGCCTTCGATTGGCGGTGACGGATTGGCTGCTGCATGTTGATGCCTTGAAACAGGGCCTGAAGAGGAGGGATCAACAACAAATATAGAGAAACTAAGTACCATGAAAGGGAGAGAAATAGAAAGAGGATAGAATGAACTCATGAGGGGTAGAGAAACATAATGAGAGTGTCTCAATTGCGTCTAAGAAAGCTTCTTGTAGCTCAACTGCAGTGCACAATACTAACGGTTCTCTGACAATAACACACGCGTCTTAACAATAGTAATGCTCTTGTCCTCTAAATGCAAGAAGGGAAAGTGAGAGTGTGAGAGTGTAAGACTGTTATTGCGTACTCGATTAATGATATTTTTAAGTAACTATACGGAGGTGGTCATATTTTTGTATGTGGTCAAGGCGAGAAGATGGGGTTCGGCGGATGGAGAGAGATCGCACTTGCACGACATCTCTCATTCACACATTCACCTAAAAAAACCCTCCTAGATGGAGACAGCTACTTACCACCATGCAATCCTATTTCTATACCTCTGATCGCAGTCGCAAGAACCTATGATTTCTATCCCCGTCCACGTCGCCCACTCAGAGATTATCGCATCCAGAAACCTTACTATTTCAGCCTCGTGTCAACATGGCCACTATCTCAGCCTTACGTCTGCTTGTAGCTGCGATTGTCCTCGCAATCACTACGGCATTTGTAAGATAAACACCCGAATATATTATCCTTTCACTAATAGTGTACCGTATAGCTCCGACTCCTTTATATATTTTCTACTATCCAGCCCCACCGAAATCCTCATGTCAAATATCCCAAGACTACACCCTCGCATATGGTAATAGTCCTGGGCTCGGGGGGGCATACTGCTGAGATGATGTCCCTCATGCGAGATGTAGACCCCCGGAGATACAAGCATCGTACCTACATTGTGTCCTCTGGAGACGGGTTCTCCTCCAGCAAAGCCTTCGAAATCGAAAAGCGTATCCAAACGAAATACACCGCGACAGGGATCCGTATAACCACTAGCGGAGAGGATGACCCTGTGACGGGAGTATGGGATATCAAAGTTGTACCGCGAGCAAGAAAAATACACCAGCCTCTTTATACTGCACCGTTCTCTTCGTTGTGGTGCTTGGTTGGTTGCTTGCGAGTATTATGCGAGACAGCTAGGGAATCCAAGGTGTCGCCAGGCGCGTTTCCAGACATTATCCTCACAAATGGACCTGCCACGGCAGTCATAGTCGCTTTGGCTGCTATGTTGTTGAAATATATTGGTGTAGCGCCGCTATGGACAATGAAGACAATCTATGTGGAGAGCTGGGCGAGAGTGAAGACGTTGAGTTTAAGTGGAAAGATTTTATTGAGCCTTCGAGTCTGTGATAGGTTCATTGTACAGTGGGAGGCGTTATCTAAAGCGATCAATGGCGGTACTGGAAGGAAGAGAGTAGAGTGGGGCGGATTTCTGGTCGAATAGTGAGTCTAGTTACTGATACTCTAGCTTTTCTACTTTTGCCATAGCCATTGCTATTCTATAAGTTTGCTAAATTAGCAGCTAAGCATAAGATCCCGTGTTTAATCATTATTCTTCTTTATTCGTTTCATAGGGAGCTACTACGCATACCTAGCCCAAATTCCATGGAAGCAACACATTAACACACTAGAAGCCACCTTGGATAATGTCCCTTCTTTCAACTTTGTGGACCGACTGACTATAAACCGATGATATTCTGAATGACCAACTGCCCCTGATTCACTGAGAAATCTAAAGGCTAGCAAATGTTTATAGTAACGAAATGAACTTTCAGATGTTGGTCACGTTAGGTTCACAGTTGGAGGCCGCCTCTCGAAGAGGGGACAACAATACTATAATATAAGTACATTCCCCTAAAATGTTACACTGAAGAGCTCCGAGCTCTAAACTCAAAGCCACATGTTCTTCCTATACTAATCCGGGTTCTTCAGCAAGAGGATCCACGTCTTCTTCTACTGCATCATCAGGCGTTGGGACACTCGTATACGCAGCTTCTCGCAGCCTGTCCATTTCCCCAACATTCTTCGTCGCCCACTCCATCCAATCCGCATAGATCTTGTCTTCCAATCCCATCGAAACCTCCAAAACCCCTTTGCCGAAGTATGCGCCAGTCCATAATGCCTCCTCTTTGGCGACTCGACGTTCAACCTCTTCCTCGTGTCGTAGTGCATAGAATTCCTTCCGCGCAATATCATAAGCTTCGGCTTTGCTCCTCCCATTATACATAAGCCAGAGTTGCCTTTGTACGACACTGAAAACTCGTTAGAACATTTGGGGCCTCGAGACATTTGTATATCCTCACCTCTCCCCGCTTAAAGGCATTCCTGGTTGCCGTATCCTGGACCAGTCGTGTTTTTGCCCGTCTCGTCCATCATTTTCCAGTACTACCCGAGGCCTTGCTAGCTCCCAGGGGTGGTCTTTGTGGAATTGCCGTCTCAATCGATCCTCTTCATACTCGATTATCTGCGGTTGGAACATCTTGCTCGGTTTCCGGATTCGAGAATTGTGCTTCTGTGCCCGATGTTGAGCAGGCTGTGTCCGGGTCAAGATCTCTCCAGGAGGAATCGATCCAATAGTGTTATACCATACTGGCGGTTGACTTGTGCTGTTGGCTTCTAGGAGACGTGATGCGGTTTGGTACACTCTCGCGGGCCTTAGACTGCGGCCTCCCATCTTGACGAATGACAATTGATGACCACTGCTATGGAATTAGTTTGGCGTATACAGATAATCGAAGGCTGCTCACATACATTCCGTATCAAGACACAGGCTGGGAGCTGGAGCTTTTTGAGATGGTCGCGAGGTTGTCCGTTCGTCAGAACATTTCGGACGGGGTTGGCACGGACCGCGAACTAAATTTCCGTCTCAACTTGTCGCGAGAATTGTGGTAGCTCAGGATTTCGCAGAACGGTTTGAACACCAAAACACCGCCCCTTTCACAGTCGCCATTCGAGAGAGACCTGGGGGGTATCTGTATTGGGATCATAGCCCCTATGCTTCTGCAGTGACAGTGACTGCATCTCACAATGTCAGGCGGCTCATGTCCGTCCTCTGTACCTCGTCCTCAACGGCTGCCTCCGTCGCCTCAAAGGTAGCCCCCCGACAAGCGCTATCCTTCCTATATCCTATCGAGTTCCAGAATCGATGGCCTCGTCCAAGACGCAGCGGCCGCCGTCAAGCCGCCTCCAAAATGATATTAAACACTGCTCCAGGACTCGAAGCTTGGTTCATAAGCTCCCTAGCCAGCGCTGGCAATTGCTACAAGCACAATCCAAAGAAACCCCAGTCTCCCCCATTTTTCTCATCCCAGAGACCAAAAATATCAATTGGCAGGGAATTGGCGCACAACACTCCTTTCCGGCGCCAGCAATCGACCGGAGGTGCGAAATGTCGGAAGGAAGAGGAAGAGGACGATGGATTTCTCGCGCAGCCGAATCACACGCGAGAGGAGCTTATGGAATTGGTGGACCAGTACGATGGACAGCCCTTTACCTTTGCAGATGAAATACCATTTACCAAACGTCCGAGCCGTTATCAGCCTCCCGACGGCCCTCATCTTACTGTTTCTGATAAGGCTGAAGACGAATGGCCCCCTGTATACCAGGCGTGGCCTGCGGATCCGCAGACGAAGATCAAGCTCAATGAGCTGGACAAGGTGATTACAAATCGTTATGGGGATCCTGAGATAGCGTACCAATTGTACAGAGAACTTCCGAAGCCGCGAGCACCGTACCTTGAGGCTACAGTTCGACACAGATTGCTTCGATGTTTGTCCACTGTGGAGCGTAAAGACGAAATTTCGATGCTTAGATATCTATCCGTCGTGGATGATATGAAGAACTCGGCTATACCCCTATCAACAACGGAGTGGAATAGTGCGATATCCTTCATTTCCCGGTATGTGGCTAGATCAACAGAGGTTGAGGTTGAAGCTGCATTGAACTTATGGAAAGAGATGGAACAGGTAGCTCTGGTTAAAGCGAGCGACGCTACTTTCAATATCCTCTTTGATGTTGCCTGTAAGGCTGGCAAGTTTACCCTTGCAGATATGGTCTATAACGAAATGGCGGCTCGTGGCCTCGAATACAATCGCTTTCATCATGTCAGTCTCATCCATTATCATGGATTGAAGAAAGACGGCGATGGTGCTCGGGCGGCATACAAGACCCTTGTAGACGCCGGAGAGGTCGTCGACACCGTTGTGTTGAATTCAATGATATCCGCCCTCATTTCCTCATGTGAACCGAATGCAGCAGAGAATATATACGAGCGGATGAAGAAGATACATTTTTCGCAGACAGAACCTCGATTACCTCCCAATGACTTCATCAAACAGCGCCGAATAACCCGGACATTAAAACAAATGGCACAGAAGATCAAAATCGACCCACACAAGAGGGAGAGGTTCCAAATTAGGTCTATTATCGCTCCAGACGTTCACACCTATCGGATTTTGGTGAACTACTTTGCTGTTGAAGCTGGCGAGTTGTCTAAAGCAGCCAAACTCCTGGAAGAAATGAAATCGTTTGGATTACCCGTCCATGGGGCATTATTCCTGGCACTTTTGAAAGGATTTGCTATCCATGGCGGGATTCGGTATACCGAGTGGACTGAGGAGAGACTCGAAAGTGTTTGGCGGACGTTCCTTCGAGCAATAGATGGCGATACTAATGACTTGTACATTAATAGATGGATGGTGACATGGGCGTTGAATGCTTTTGCGAAGTGCTCGGGAAAGTCCAGAACGATGGCCGTTTGGGAAGAAGTGAGAGAGAAGTGGCAGCCTGACGAGCTAGAATTAGATTTCGTTCTGGGTACCTTGCGCCCTCTGCTTGAGGCCAAGGATATGGCGGAGGCACGTCATGATTGGATTCTAGGATCGTTGTAAATATTTTAAGCCAGTCATTACAATGTATATGTATCGCCTAATACTTGTTAGCAAGAGTTAGCACTCGAGCGCTTAGCTACATTTCACAAATTTTGACTCGATATTTTAGTCTCTAGCCCAATGTATCACTTATACAGTACATTTAGATCTAACTATATCTTGTTTCTATAATTTTCATCTAATCCTCGTGTGAAATTCGCCTTTGAAACCCTTGTAAGGCAAGCATACCTCATGTGACCTGGCGCTCCTTCGCGACTCGATTTGCCCCACAGGTCACGTATTAGAACTCAAACGCAACCTCACGCGTCAAGTTCAACATCAGATCATCCAAACCCTCTGCCCCAGACACACTGGCTGTTAGATTTAGGATCCATAGTAGAGGCGTCCTGCTTGGCATGATGACTTCCCCCAAGGCCGGAAAGCGCAAACACAGCACTTTCGGCGGACCAGTTTCTCCCCCGCCATTGCGCCGTAAAGTCCAGTCCACCACAACGCGTACGTTGTTCAGGCGTTCTTATTAGATTTTCAGTTTCAACTAATACATATTCAGAGACTGCGGTTGCCTCGTTCTTTACCCCAACCTCTCAAAAGCCTCCAGAGAAGATTATCTGGCAGGAACGGGCCCCCAGTGATGATACACCTAGTACTCTACTTGTTGGCAAATATATAGCTGCAGATGATTCAGCTTCAACTACCAAAGCTGGCGATAGCAAGAGGAACAAAATAGCTGCATTTGATTTTGTAAGTACTGTGTTGTATTTATTCTACAATAGCAACTCTAACATGAGGTCATCACATAGGATTCGACCCTAATCCAGACTTCTTCTGGCAAAAGGTTCGCCTCTGATAGCGCTGACTGGAAGTGGTGGCATCCTTCTGTACCTGGCCGGCTCCGGAAGTTATATTTGGAAGAAGGGTATGCTTCATTTACTGAATATACCAGCAAACCAAGAAGCTGATGACGGTTTAGGTATAGGGTTGTGGTAGTCAGCAACCAGGCGGGCTTAACTTTGAAACCAGATTCGAAAGCTCCAAAATCACTACAGACAAAGGTTGACTCGTTCAAGGCCAAAGTCTCTGCGGTCTTCAATCAGCTGGACCTCCCCATCAGCATCTACGCAGCTACAGCAAAGGATATCTACCGCAAACCGAGGCCTGGAATGTGGACAGAAATCCTAGATGACTACGACCTTCAACCGTCCGAGGTGGACTTTGAACATTCAATATTCGTTGGCGATGCTGGGGGACGTCACGCAGAAGCGGGAAGGCCGAAAGATTTCTCATGTTCTGATCGGTATAGCTCAAACTCTCCACTACATGGATTGTGCGCTCACATACGATAGGAATTTTGCTGAGAATATCGGTATCAAATTTTATTCGCCCGAGGAGTACTTTCTCGATGAGGCGCCGAAACCATTCACGCGCACCTTTGAGCCTTCGGAATACCTACCGGACTCTACGGCTAAAGGTTCGTCAAGATGTAACCCTTAACCATTAACCGCCTGATCCACGATAACTTATTCTCGTCTAGCTATCGCATCTTTTACTCGGAAGAATGATCAGGACCTCGTTATCTTTTGTGGTAGCCCAGGCTCCGGAAAATCCACATTCTATTGGAAGATGTTGCAACCTCTGGGCTACGTGAGAATCAACCAAGATATCCTAAAGACGGTACGTCCTCTCTGATCCTGCCAATGAACACCATTCTGATAATTGAGAAGCGGGAGAAGTGTCTCAAGGTAGCGGAAGAATACTTGAGGGAGGGCAAGTCTGTGGCCGTCGGTACGTGTGCAATACCTGCTGCACCTGCTGGCGACGGGCATGAGCGTACTGACTCTATATACTCCAGACAACACCAATGCTGATTCCGACGTCCGAAGTAAGTGGGTAGCACTCGCTGCAAAGCATTCCGTGCCGATCCGCTGTGTACATTTCACAGCGCCAGTGCCAGTCTGTGAGCACAACGATGCTGTGCGAGCGTTTAACAAAAGCGTATGTGCCCTTAACCCCCCCGTCATCCTTCCCATCTCAAGGCAAGGATGCTGACGCAGAGCTTTGTCACATGTGGGAATGTTTACGATGTTCGACCGGGCATTTTACTGATGAGACCGATAGATGAATCCCGAGAAGCGTAGCATCCTCTCCAGCGTGGCGTTCAGGAGTTTTACTTCCCGATATCAACCACCGAAACTCAGTGAGGGGTTTGAAGATATTATCGAAATTGCTTTCAAGGTGCGGCGATTATGAATCAGATTCCCGTTCAGGTTTTGCAAGACTGACCCTGCCTCCTGCGTACAGTTTGAAGGCAGCCAAGAGGAGAAAGACATCTGGACACAACATTGGGCTTGAAACGCTCGCTGCGCAGCGCTCAATGACGTGTCTGAATATCACAACCGCATCACACGCCCCTGTCAATGGCATGCGACTCACTTTGCGATGGCAGATATTAATCGGCATGTCGTATGCAGGCCACATTACGAGGATTAATTAATAAATTCCCCGACGCAAACAACGAAAAATTCTGTTTACAGAGTAGCTGTCGTAACCGGTCCGAATTAGGCCAAATCGCAATTGAGCCTAATACCTAGGGCTTGGTCTCCACCTTTGCGACATGTGTGGTAACCGGGGGGCTATTTTGAGGAATTCTAGAATTGTCAGGTTCCTCGCGCTTAGAGGTTCTAGACAAAGTGACTGACTGTTGAGTATATTGGGGGGCGACAGAAAGATATGCAGGATGAGGTCTCGACTCTCAAGAGAGATGGAGGAACCCGAAAGGGAGAGATGCCTCTCATCAGAGTGGGCCTCGGTATCAGAAGCCGATTCTTTTTACAATTCCCAGCTCTCACGGAAACCCTCCGGTATTGTGGGAAAGGCAATATGGAAATCCCAACTTCCCGACTGGGACCTGGGCGTTCCTCACATGGGGGATGAAATAATTGTTGAGCAGATCGAACTACCTGCAGCATTTGCTAGATCGTGCAGTAGTACAAAGTAGAGAAAACTGTTGATTTACAACCGACTGTGAGCCCACTCTTATCCATAATATCCTGACGGCGGCGTTCTCCACAAGCGCGCATTATCTGTAAGGACATGTACCTTACAGATCTACGTACCTACGGAGTAATTAAGAAGGCGGCGATCAATAATAGATGACAGGAACCCAGGCCAGAGAAAGCAGGATCGATCTCCAACGGTCCATGGCTGCATGGGCTGGCCGCCGTTGCGATCGATCACCGTTTCTACTACTACCGAGGGCACAGGGTAAAATCAAGATGCATTTTTGCTCCCTATTTCAGTCTTCATGTGGCATGTGGAGAAGCAAGCATGAAGCCTTCTGCAAGTTCGCACAGGAGGAGGGAGGGAATATCCGTCGCTGGTGGTGGCCATTACGATGTCCATAGTTTCCAGGAACTCTGAAGATATCACCTCTGTGTGCCCTATTTTGGAATAAAAGTGTATGTGCACATGATTGTTAGCCGCAACTTGGTGTCGCTGGGTGTCTGAGACTTCGCACGTGAGCCGTGGGAGCTGGTGTTGTGACCCGGGAGCTTGCGAGTGGGCAGAGGACGAGCAGGGAGAGAGAGGGGGGTTTATTACTTGCGTTGGTCCGGTTGTGCTGTGCTGTGTTGGTGCAGTGTTTGTTGTATTGTTACAGTAGGTAGGTAGTATCAGTGTCGGTTGTGATGTGTTTGTGTTTTGTGTTTGTGTGTGTTGTATGGTGCTGTGTTGGAAGTTGGCTGCAGTGCTGTGTTGGTGTGGTGCCACAGGGAGCCGTAGGGCTCTTTTCACCCCCGAGCCAGGGCCTCCGAGGTGCCTGGGAGGTGCGTACTTCGTAATAGAGCAGCTACCGATCAGCGAGCCGACGTGTTCCTGGGGGGCCTGGAGAGCCCTGGAGGAGCCCGGGAGAGCCTATGGAATGCCCCCTAACTCCCCCAGGAACCGCACTGGTACAGTACCACCCTCCCACGGAGCCCTCAGCGCCCATTCCCAGATTCAATTCACGCTCCGACGGGGTACGGGGTACTCGTACCTACGCTCCGTACCGCCTCCGTACACGAACATCGCCAGTCGCCAGACTCCAACCACAATCCAAATGACAACGGAAAACATGGAAACCTGCAGATGCCGCGCAAGAGGGCGTTTTGCCAATCAATCAATCAATCAATCCTGCGTCGAAGCTCCCAAGACGGTGCGCTGTGCACCCATGCACCCCCACCACCACCGCGGACTATGACGATCGCAACAGCATGAGCAGAATTGCAGAGCTGCAGCCCTCTTTTTTTCCCACGTCCCGAACCGCTGGCCCATGACGATCGTTCGCAGAATCGCAGGCGCCGTACCTGTACCTGTACCTGTACTTGGTACGGTACAGCAGTGCTACGTACGAAGTGCTATGCACTTCGTACTTACCGTAGTACAAATCTGTACGTACTTCGTACAGAGGAATGAGTTGATAATTGCTTCGTACAGCAAGCTGTCCGAGCGGCGAGGCGGCGGCTGGGCGGACGGGAGTCTCTGAGATGCTTGCTCATCATCAACTCCCGGGTCCATCGCTTCCTTCCACGCGCTGACACGCAGGTACCCGGCCTGGGCCTCTGGGAGCAATGTCTCACTCTCTCACACACACACGCTCTCTCGCCCATCTCCCCGATTGGGCATCTTCGGTCTTCGCTGCAGCGGTCTCCATCGTCTCCGAATCGTCATGTTCAACTTCAGCAGAGCAGTCCCGGGTTTTTGTTTTGTCCAGAGGCGACTGACTGACTGACTGACAGACTGATCGCCCGGTGACCACGCTGCAGAGGGTCACGAGCGGCCGGGAGCGGACAGCAAAGAATGACCCTCCCCCATCCTTCGCTGCTGGCTCCATACGTTCGGTATTACGGCGCACCTGCTGGAGTGATGGAGGACTAGTTGACGGGGTTGCGTGTGCGGCTTGGATGAATTGCTCCACGGGCCCCAAGGCAGGCGTCCAGAAGGCCAGGGACCACGGGAGCGGTGGTTGGGGCCGTTGGGCTCCCTCAGCAACTCGGACGGGGACTGGGACGGGGACGAGGACGGGGACGGGGACTGGAGAGTTGGCAGCTCGGTATGTGCTCCGTACTGTCTGTTCATACGAAGCACAGTCCTGTACAGTGCTGAGTACAGTACCAGTACTTCGTCGGATCGTCCAGTGTTCCGAAGTGCCTGCCAGGCACCCCTCCCTCCCCCGTGTGGATACTCGTAACACGGTCTTTCTGTCCAGTCCAGCCAGTGCGGTCCAGCCAGAACAGAACAGAACAGAACAGAGCAGAGTCAATAGACTCGTCGTCCGTCAGTAGTAGTGTCGAAGTTTGGGGCATGTCAACGTCCACCCTGGTACCTCGGCCCTTTACAGGCATCGAGTCGTATGGCTGCTCGGATTGCTGAAGCCGCGGACCATTGGGCCACTGAGTGACTGAGCAACTACTCTACTAGGCACCCCGTCCCACTGTCCCACCTACCCGCCAAGAAGCAAAACAAAAACAAAAACAAAGACAAAGACACCGACACAACACAGATTGCTCCTCCGTCAGCCCAAAAAAAACCCCCCCAGGGTCGGCGATCGCGGAGGCTAGGCCACACCGTCCTCGTGGCTCGCCGCTGGCGGTGGCCACGCCGCTAGGCCCAGAGGAGGGCTAAACGGGCGGGATTCCGTCAGTGTGCCCCTGGGGTCTTACTCGAGTAGTGATTCCTTGCTACTTTAGACAACTCTAGTAGCGTGAGTAACTCGAGTAGTACTAGGCCCGTCCCAAGTGGGCCAATTCCTGCTTTGCCGTATGGTGGGATTGCCATCCTGCCCGCCTCCGAACCCAACCTGTCGGCGGAGTGGATTTGCGGAACCCTGCTCCCCGCCCCGCTGGGTTTTCTCGAGCAAAAAGAAGCTCTGGTGGCCAAGTTGGCTGCTGCCCTGGGCGGAAACGTTTTTCGGCTTCCCTGCTTGCTTGCCCTGTTCCTGTTTCCTGCTCCTGCTCCTGGTCCGCCTCTGCCTCTCTCTGCCTCTCTGCCTTTGCCTGTGCTTGCTGTGAGCGAACCGAAGAACGTGAAAAAAACATCCCATGGATGTGACTGGCTGCAGCGGACCATTTCTGATTTAGCCCACGAAAAATCCCACCAGACCCAACGCCCAGCACCACCACCACCACCACCGCCATCACCTCTTTCCTCCGACCTACATACGTGGACCGTCGACACTCACACACGCCCTCACAGTCCAGCAGACTACCACCACGTATGACCGACAACCAGCAATCCCATCTCAACCATCTCATACAAGAACACCCCCATACACCAATATGTCGCCAATCTCTGCATAACCCCGGAAACGATTCCACCCCCAGATCAACGCATACGCGACAACCGATTGCTCAGAAAGAAACGATGACTCCAAAACTAAAACCGCTTTTATTGCCACAGTTGGTGGAGGAACGGAGAAAGAGGGAAAGCAGCATTTTGGATGCGGAGATGGACCTCTCGAATTCCTCGTTCTATTCCCAGTCCTCATCAATCTCGGATTTCCCATCGCCTATCACGCCCACATTCTCAGGCCGCGGCCATATGAGATATTCAAGTTCCGCCTCCTCGATCGATTCAACCTTCCATTCTTGCGTGGTGGACTGCCCATCATCGCCCACGTTCGTTGCCACAAAAACAGGCAAGCGGTCATTACCAGACGTGAAAGAAGAGCCGCAGGAGCGTGAGGGAGATTTTGATATGTTAGACGAGGACGAACTTTATGACTGTTTGTGTAAGTCGTGCAATGCGGGGTCTGGCAAATATAACTTGGAAGCAATAGAGCTAATGCCTGCAATAATAGGCGATAACCATGAATGCTTGCACCGCGCTGCTTCGACGGCTCAAAGTTTTGAGCAGTTGTCGACACAGCAGACCATGAATTACGATCTAGTTGAGGGTTTTATGAGCGAGGGTGATTCCATCCTGAGTCCTCGTAAAAGACAGAGAGCGAACGAGTTCTCGCTCACTGGTCTTGCTGGCCGCTTTGGAACCAGGTTACCTTCGTTCTCTCGGAAATGGCGTTTGAGGAAAGACACGAGCTCGGCTTCGGCTATAGTTGAAACGCAGCGAGATCGAGCCGTGTCACGCGCCGCGTCGAGTCGGTCGTCTTCGATATCAAATCCTCCGCGACAAGTAATGGATATGTCGTCGGAGCCGCAAATGCCTCCAACTCCCGCCAGAAGTATCTTTGGTAGTCGCGAAGATGTTTCGCCCGCTATCCCGATTGATATTGAGAAGGCGAACGACGATATTTTAGAGCGCGAAGAAAAATTCGCCACTACTCCATTACTACCACCGCTCATGACCGATGCATTAACCAAGGAGGTTGCCATGCAATCGCCATTACAGTCACCATCTGTCGCCGAACCTCATGATCCATTATCCGGGACGATAACACCGGTCGATGGTATCACCACACCTCAATTGCCAGGCATTCCCTCCCCGGCTCTTAGCACGAAGCCATCGATATCTTCCTTCCACCGCAGCACGATTAGTCGACCTGGACACCTGATCCCTACTTCAGACTCTCCATCCATCATCATTGCAGACCCCAATGATGAATGGGCAAATAAGCTTGGACATGCTAATTTCACCATCTACCCGGAACCCTATACGCCAGAAAGCTTCGATCTCGAGGCTTGCCGGCAACTTCGCTCAAACTGGGATTTAGCGCGGTGCAACTATACGAAGCATCTAGTCCGAACAGGTGAACACTACGGTGTCACCTCGAAGACCTACCAGCTAACCGAGGAGAAATGGCAGTCAGTTGATGGAATATGGCGCAAATACAACGAAATCACCATTACCAATACCGTCGAGAGCGGTGGCGATGCCTTCGCCACGCTAAAGCACAACCCGCTTGGGGACGCCAGCAGCAACAATATAATGACTCGCATTCCCTCGCTAAATGACCCAAGAAGTCAAGGGCGGTTTCCAGAACTTGGTGATGAAGATATCGTCGGGCCCATGGTGCAAGCCGCCGCTCAAATTCAACGGAGTCCCAGCAAGAAGACGAAACTCATCAAATTCTTCACGGAGAAGTTTCCTGCCGGCCTAGGACGACCTTGAAGCCATCGTTCCCAGTTCGAGTGCCCATTGCGGGTTTAGATACGCCCGCCTCGCGGCCTAGCTGCTTTCACGGCTGACTTACTAATGCACGATTCTTTTGTTAATGTTTTTTTTTTCCCAATGATGTTATTATAACGGCCTAGCTACCTTTTGCCTTTGCTGCAAACATTCGATACCCCACGCTCCTTAAAAAGCTACGCTCGTTCTATCAGAGCTTTGTTTCTTTCCTTTGCTGTTTATTACCCCATTTGGCGTGGTTTAATTGTTTCTTGATGATGTCAATACCAAAGCTTATTGTATCCTCTTTATGTCTTAACTTTTTTTTGGGCGGGGCGCGCGGGACCTGGTCGCTCTAGATAGGCTGGCTGGGGAAAATCAATTAGAAAGGAAGGCTCTGGAAAATAAAGCTGCATATGCAAAATGCAGCTTTTGAGCGGGAATCGGGATTTAAAGGAAAGAAGATGGAGACACAGGAATGGCGCATATTATTTCGGGCCAATTTTGCTCCTGAAAAAAAGCATATATCCCTAGGGAATGCCCCCGTGTGGCAAGCTTTTTTGGTTTATTCTTTTTCAAATGCCAGCTCGTCTGGTTATTTTTTTTGGGGGGGCGCTGCGGTGGAAATGGAATGGAGGGGAAGTGGTATATAAGGTTTCAATGGCGGCTATTACCTTCAAATCCTGCTGGATTCGTTTGGGAGGGCGCAGTCTTCGGTGCTATATTAGGAAAGGGGGGGAGAAGTGCGAGCTGGAGAAGGGAAGCTATGTGGAATGGAAAGCACCGAAATCAAAATAAGAATAAAAAAACAAGAACAAAAATAATATAAAATTTCAAGATAAATCATGATTCCAATCTTTCATGTGATTATTGTAGAGGGAGGGTCTCTTGCAGGAAAGAGTGTTTGTTCTGCTCGTAATATCCTAGTCCTGTTCATCTCATCCCCCTGGTGCTAAAACGGGAGGTATTGGGGCTAGTAGAAACGACTGTGAAATCTAACGAATACCCTATGCCCTGGCGGCTTATGAGTAGTCTATGATGTATGAAAGCTATTGGTGATAGCGTATGGATTAAGAGGTAGTTTGTGCTGTTATTGATCATGTTTTAAGCGTAATTCAGTAGACGGTAGGGTCCAAATTTGGTAGCTAACTGTGTAATTATCTATCGTTATTTTTCATGGACATGGACCTATTTTTTCATATGTTCAGTTCATCCTAGATGGCCAAATTTACTTGAGGAAATCGATAAGCTTCGGAAGAATTATAAAGTGGAATGCTATTACAATGATTGTCTACTCTTGTGGATATATTGAATATTTGGTACTCCTGTTAAGGGCTTCCCTTCTTCGACTCACCACATGACATAGTGAACTAGAAGATATTGGCTTTATCGTGACTCTCAGGGGGAGATGGAAATTGTTACTTTTTGTCTTGAAGAAACGCTGTGCAACGAAGCTCGTGTTTTTGTAATTACCAAATATAGTATATGATGACACGGATATCATATCTATAAACAGAGCGAAATAAACAGCAACAGCAATTTATATAGCGAGCAAGACTTCTCACTTCGTAATTGGCTCTCCATTCGCGGCAATCAAAGACTCCTCTGTCCTAATAGGACCCTCACCCACCTGCGTCAAAATAACCCTCGACACACCATCCTTCAATACCTGCACCGCCCTCGCATCCAAGTTATCACTCGCCTGCTCCTTAATATCCCGTCCTTGCCAGCCATCCAAATTCCCTAACGCACTCTTCAACACACCCGCCACAGCCTCCGTATTCTCCTCCTCGTAATAAATAACCGCATTAGGTCCAGCATCAAAAGTATAAGCAGCGATGACCTTCCCCGCCTTGGTGTTGATATCCTCCACAGCCCTAATAGCCGCACGACTCACATCATTGAGATAGAAAATAGGGGGGAAGGTATCGAGGCAAGTAGCATGGAAACTATTACTCTCCATCATAGTAACCTTTCCAAAAGCCTCGAAATCCTTCTCCTTGATCGCCTTCTCCATCTTCAGCATATGCCTGGGGACCACGACCTCCGCTCTGCGCTGGAAGAGCTCTGACGTGGCGACGGTGATCTGCATGCCCGAGGTACTGCTCACGCCCTTCTTCTCCGCCGACACGACGAGGATCAAGGCGCGCATGGTGGGCCAGTGGGATGCGGGAGCGACCTCCACGGCTACGCTGTCGCTGCCGTCGGCTTTCTCGCCCATCTGCCACGCTACGTAGCCGCCGAATAGGGAGCGGCATGCGCTTCCGCTGCCCTGGCGCGCGATTCTCGATAGCTCTGTAGGGGACGAGGAAAGCTCATATAGGTTTGCTATGGCGCGGACGAGCGCGGCGAAGCCAGCTGCTGAGGAGGCGAGTCCTGCGGCGGTGGGGAAGTTGTTCTCTGACACGATGCGGAGGGGGAGGGGGGAGAGCTTGGGGAGAGATGCGTCGGAGGCCTCGAGCTGCGCGCGCAGAGAGCGAAGCTCGCGGAAACAGGCCTGGGTGCGGGCGCCGGTGACATCTTGAGGGGAGGAGTTGAGGAGGAGGCTGTCTTCGGAGCCAAAGGAAGAGGAGCAGGCGGCGGTTGTGTGCGTGCGGAGGTCGGCTTGGGAGAGGGTTACGGAGACGGAGGAGTTGGTTGGGAGATTCAGCTTGGGATCTCTTTTGCCCCAGTATCTATGCAAATAGTAAGTATTTTGGTTTTTGTGGGCAAAGGGGGTTTGGACGAGTAGTGAGGGGAATAAGGGGGAGGAGGGGCAAAGGGGTACACTTACTTGACCACTGCAATGTTGACTGGAGCAGTGGTGCTGGCTTGGTAGACTTTCTGGTCTGCCATTGTGAAAATACTCCACTATCTTTCCTTTGAATCCCTATGCAAAGAAATATCTGCGACGTGAAGCTTTAGAAATTCCCAATGGTAATGCGCATCAACGTGGGGGATCAAGAGTTACAGAAAGTAAACAATTTGTACCGCAAACTGTATCATAGGCGGTCAGTCGCCAGCCAATCGGGGACGGAATGCCCGCGACCCCCCGATTACGATAGCGACATCTCGGCCGGGATTTTGCAGCGATCTGAAAAAGTTGTCTGGGATGCTCGTTCCTAATAGCATTTCGATAAATACAACCAACATACGTCAACACGCAATGCCGAAAGGAACAGAAGCTGAACCCCAAAGCCCGTCCGCGGAATCCTGCCCCGTCGACCATGCTACGCGGGAAGCATGGCTGAAGTCCAATAAACAATCTCCTCACCCGTTCCCCGGCGCGACAACCGCAGCCAAAGAGGCCAGCCTTGCCGGTCAAGGGAACAGCAAAGATTCTGGTGCCATCGACCAACCCCAATCCCCGGCTCCCGCCAGAGGACTCTTCTCAAGATTCATGTCTCCCAACCCCCCTCCCCCGTCAGAAGCGCCAAAATCCCTCGGTGTTGACCGCGAAATATCCACTATCCCGCGCGCATCACCAGTCAACAATGAAGTCGGGTCAAAGCCCGCCAACAGCGAGAAGGAGAGCGGTGTTAGCGAGAGTGGGAATTGGATATATCCGTCTGAGAAGATGTTCTTCGATGCGATGAAGCGAAAGGGGTATGGTGCTGAGGCGAAGGATATGAGGACTATCGTGCCCATCCATAATGCGGTTAATGAACGGGCGTGGAAGGAGATTAAGGAGTGGGAACGGCCTTGGGGGAGTGAGGAGAAGTATGTCACTGTCGTTTGATTTTATCCTCGATTTTATATACCGTGGAGGGATTGTGCTAATATAGGTGAATGGTATACAGGTGTGGAGGTCCACGATTACTCTCTTTCCTCGGGCTACCGAAGACTTTGAGCCCAAAAGCTAGGTTCAATTCGCTGCTGGGATATACAGCCCCTTTCGATAGGCATGATTGGGTTGTGGATAGGTGTGGAACCAAGATTGACTACATAATTGACTTCTACGTGGGGAGGAATGACGGCGGGAATAACAAGTTGAACTTCTTCCTAGATGTGAGACCTAAGTTGAATTCTTGGGAAGGGTGGAAAATGAGGGCTGGGAAATTGCTGGGCTTGGTATAATGGAAGGTTTGATGTGAACGGACAATCGCCAAAGCGGTCGGCTGAGACCTATGGACGATGGGCCGATGCCAGTGGGTGTGCCTCTTTCAAAGCCGTTCGAACCGCCGCCTGTAGAGCCCTACGGACGGTTAGTGTTGGTGTTTGGTGTATTATATATGTATGGGCATTGGGGGTAATCTCCGCTTTTGTGGGAGTTGTAACAACAGGTGCAAAATGGCTGGATGTATACCATTGTACAATATAGAATACACTTAGACGAGCAGAGCATACGAGGGTTTTGCTCGTTGGTATATATAACAAGCAAATCTACTCACTGATCTTTGGCACTAGCTGAAGAATTGCTCTCCTTCACTTTAATCCTCGTCCCGGACACCGTCTCCATAGCACCAGTTTCAATATCCCACCCAGCCTTCTGAAGCTGTTCAAATATACCGTAGCTACCACACGCCCTCGAAACATGTTGCTTCGAGCGGCGAAGATCCTCCATTAGAGCCTTATCATCCTGCGTGCGAGGAACGCCTCTATACTGTGCATGGGACAAAGCATGCATCCAGGCGCTGAGCTGCGTAGTCACCGTAGCAGTGTCCCTTAGGACAACCATAAAAGTTTTGCGTGGCACATCGAACCACATGATGTACTCATCGTCCTTATACAGTTCGAGGAGTTTTTCGAATTCAGCCAATTGAGTGCTGGTATAGCTTCCGCTGGCCTGATTGGGTTCTCCGAAGAGGTTAAGGATCGTTTGGAGATCGACTCCAATTCTGCAAAAGCCAAGAGCCTTTCCTCCTTGCCATCGCAGAACGCCATCTCTTTCGAAAACTCGCTCCCCGATAGATATTTCTTCTGGTGTGGGGATGCGAATGGGAGCTACCTGATCAGCTATATTCTTCGGTTGTAGCTCTTTATCAATCTGTTCGAAACAGTTTGAGAACACGAGATTAGCACGTTGTCGGTTGAGCGTGCGCATGCTGACTGCTCGGACGGCCAGGTAATTCGTCCCTAGATGAACCGCCAGAAGCGCAATCATCGCGCTCCAGGTTGCCCATTTGGACGAGATATGAGATACCACGAGACTACCAACTAGCATCCCCATGAGAGAGATGATAGTCTCCTGACTAGAATCTTTCTAAATCGAGATCAGCTTTATCCTAGTTCCACAGATCAAAATACTAACGGCATTTAACTCCCCAAGATTTCCCTGTGTTGCAAAATGAGCACTTAGTGAGGCTTTAGAACTACCAGCCGCAACACCACATAGACTCCGCAGGACACTGGAACAACTTAAGAGAACAACCCGCGAGGGCTTCGGTAGTGCTGGTGATAAACAATCGAGGATCATGGCAGAGTCGTTGAATATATCAGCTGCTAGGCGGTACATTTTACACTCAGGCTCGAGTGATGTTCCGAGCCTGTGTGCGAAAAGGATGGTGGCAATCCGTCCCATGCTCTCCTGGAGGACGGAAAGGAGCAGCGCAGCTGTTGGCGATGCCCCTGAGTCACCGACGCCGATTCCTAACATACCGGTTAGCCCTTGAATCTCCAATATCCAAACAAAACCAATGAAAATGTGGCTGTCTGGAATCAAGAAACCAAAAGGTGAGTAGATATATAGCGGGATAGGACGTTGATGATTCTCAGCGCACAACACCCAGACCAGAATCCACATCAACAAACATCCTATCAAAACCACTTACCTTCAAGCACCGCCCTACTAGACAACATCCCCGCAATCGAACTACTAAAAGCCTGCAAAGAATCCTATCAATCATCAAAAGATCAGCCTTCTCTCCCTTCCCCATCTATACCTCACCAACATCCATCACCTACATAAATCTGATACCTAACACAACCGCAATCAGTCCAAAATCCAATAAAATAACGTTCAAAACCAGCAATACGCAAAAGAAAACTCACTCAAGATAATCCCCCGTAACACTATGCGGATACCCCGCGGGCAAGAACGCATTCAACACACTCCTCGCAAAACTATTAGAATTCTTTGGTATCTATATTTATCCCATCCATCCATCCAATTAGCAAAATCCTTTCTTAAATCAAATTCCGATATAAAGTTCTTCTCCAAGTAACAGTTAAAAAGGCCATACATACCACGACATCTATCCTACTACTACTCCCCCTCTTCCCCCCCGCCGGGAATGCTAGGTATGTAGCGACGACATGTTTCGATTCGTCGATTTCTTCGATCTCGATTCTGGCGCTGGGGGGTTGTTTCTTGAGGATTGATTGGGCCATGGTTTATTACATTTCGGGAGTTTATTTATTGGGGTTGGGTCGTGATAGATGGTGATGAGTTGAGGACAACTAGAGGTTGGTTTACTGGCCTGATGGAGGGATGCTAAGCGAGAATACGTAGGATGTGTACTTACCACTGAAACACAATTTATGGCTAGTTCTACGGTGGGAGTGGGAGTGGGAGTGGGAGGAAGAACTCTATACAATTGTACGATCGTTGTAATAATGTCCTTTTAAGGAGATTTATTACTAGTTATGCCGCATATCGGTCTCGAATATCCTTAATATCCCCAGTACTCCTACGTTGTCCATCACCATATCCACACCCACCTCTCTTCATCCAACCCCTCTCTCATCTCAATTCCTCTCATCTCAAGTCACATAAATACATAAGCAACCCAACATTAATCAATCAATTATCTCTCTCTAATTAATCTCTCATCTCTCCTTTCATCCCCCCTCCCCCTCCCCCCTAATAATCTTTTCTTTTTCATCTCTCTGTTCTCTGTCTTGCCTCCAAACGTGTGCCAATGATATTCACAAATAAACTCCACCCCAATTAAGTCCCCTATTCCAAATATATATATATATATATGTACAATAAAACCACTCCAACCCAACTAAAACACTAGCTAGGCTACTCTTTCAAAAGAGAAATTTTTGAAATAACTACATGGTTTAATCGCTGATGCTGATGCTAATGCTCTGCTCTTCTTTTTTCGTATCGTACAAACTACTTTAATTTCAAGTTTTTCATTATTCATTTGTGTTTCCCCTTCCGGTTTTTTTGCTTCATTAATGAGGCTTGTAGGCTTCGAGGTTTGCGGTTTTTTGGTCCCTAGTTAAATAGACCTAGACATATACGCTTAGTTGATTCTTCCTCCACCACCACCCAATAAACTGGGTACAGCTTTCCTCCCAACCCTCTTTCCGGGAACATCCATTCTTGGCACGCCCTGGATAACTCTCGGTTCTCGCATTAGGGTCACATCAAGCTGTGCTGGGATCCTCGATACGATCGATCTATAATCGCCAGGGAACCTGGAGTTAGGTGTTGGTACGGCAGCGCTGCGCCAGAGGTGGTCGGCTTTGTCTTCTAGGAAGGAGGGTCTGGAGGATTTGTGAGAGGTGAAGAAGGATGAGCGGCTACGGGATTTCTTGGCAAGGATAATGCCGTCGAATAGTTGGATGTGGGGTGCGTTGGAGGCGGAGACTTCACGCTCGTGGATGAATTCGTTGAAGGCTGTCCGCAAGTTAGATGTATGTCATTGGAAGGGATTGTAAAAGGAGGTGCATACCTTGGGTCTGTTTCAGCATAGCAATATACTCCTGCTGTTCACCTGGCAAGCTCTTCATAAATCCATCCATGTCAAAGCCGTATAGCTGTCCGCTCTTTTTCTGTTCTCGCGTCGGCCGGCCCAAATGCTTTCTGTACGTGAAGAAAAGACTTGAAAAACAGCGAACGAAGGCTGCGCGTACTCGATCCGCGTGGAAGGCTGATGGGCAGACCAAAGCTAGCTGACCTAGGCATCGGCCATGAGACTTTGTGCTACAGCTCGTGCATTTGTATATTCCATCGCCTTCACTCTTATCATCGCAGATGGAGCAGACGGTTGACATATCATTAGCCTTCCAAGTCATACAATGACCTTCAACCCACACAGTCGTGTCTGTATTGCCAACAGGTTGCATAAGCATGTTAGGCATGATGGTCGAAGCGGCGAGAGTTGATGTGGCGTAGGTCGAAGGAGCATAACCATACATGGACTTCGAATCGATCGATAGGGCCGAGGTAGAAAAGCTGGCAGAATGACCATTGCCGAATGGCACATTAGGTCGGCGCAGAGTGGGCTGTCTTTCAACACCGAAGGACGAACTTCTTCTCCCACTGGCAGTGTTTTCAAAGTGCCCTGATCTCTTCTCCCTCAGAGTTGCCGCAAGAGCGAAACCCGAATCGCTTCGTGAAATGGGCGTGGTTGGCATGGACGGGAAATTGCCCGAAACCGGGGATACAGACGCTGGGGGGCTCCCTTGCGGTGATTTGCTTGTGGAAGGTCTTTCCACTCTAATGTGGTCATTTTTAGACTGCAAAAAGGCATTAAACACCAGTGAACTTTTCGCAAATAGAGGATCAGGCTCGCCAAAAGTCGCCGAGTTCTGACTAACGTGCTTTGCCAGCGAGCTTGGAGGGGCGTTCTGGGTGTAAGCAGCTTCGTTTTCAGATGAGAAGGCATCATATGGAAAAGACTCGACCGCGTAGGGTGGTGGCCCGACTGGGACGCCGCACCTGTTGTGATGAGGCGCTGCGAGCTGTAGCAGGGAAACGAGTTTTCGACGCTGTTGACGCGGTAGCGGGTTAGGTGGTGACGTTGCTTCGATGGCATCCTGATCAAGATCTACCAGAACATAGTCATCGTCTGGAAGCTCTATATTCTCATATCTCCTCTCGATGCCCACAATGTAGGGACAAGGGGCCTCAAGGGCTGAAAGGAGCCTTGCAGGTAGTACTGGAATGAAAATGCTCGCCCACTTCAGGGGATATAACAAACTTGCCAATGCCTTACTTGCGAGATGCAGCATGGCTGTATGTGACGAAAGCAAGATAATCCTTGACTCTGATAGGGCAAACTCGAGCAGAGACACAATATTGGGAATCGAGAGAGCTCGGAAGAGGGCATAGAGATCTGTGTTGCGAGATTCCGGAAGCTCGTTCGCAGCCTCTTTCCTGGCAAATAGCCGCAATTCTCTGATGGCAATCTCGACTTGGGTTTTCGACGATATTGGGCTCAAAGCCTCGGTGCAAAGATTGACAACATATCGCTCTAGAGGCTGCCAGCGTCCCACCTTAGGGGAGCTGGGCGGGACTCTTAAAACCCCCCCATCAGTCATGGGAACGACAACAGCCCTCAGCCACTCTTTCCAGAACCCTGTGAGACTACTATCACGGCCTAGAATTCCGTAAGCTCTGGGGGTCCAGAGTCCAGTCTCGCCATCTGTCAAGCCGTCGATTTTCGAAGCAGCTCCGTGGCGGACGGGCCGCAGCATGTCCGTCATCAATCCGATCTTCTCCTCAACTGAACTTATTTGCTCTTCCAAGGCCTCTCTGGCAGCTGATCCGGACACTGCACCCGGTAACCTTGCCAACAGTTGGGATAGATTTGCACGCTCGGAAGCTAGCCGTTCTCCCAAGCTTGAAGCCAATTCTCTCTCTTCATTAGTCATATGACTCTGTCTCCATATCTCACATCGCTGCTCAACGTTTGCCGCAGCTTCCTGATTTAAGGGCATCCACACTATAACAGTGATGCCATATATTTTTGAGTTGTCATCTCCCGTCATGGCAAATCCATGCCATGTCGATCGAGGTCGCTCATCCGCGGAAACTATATTGATATCGTTGGGGAAGGCGAACATGGGTACATAATCGGGGAATCTTCCTCGTCTCTTTAATTCATCGGTTGCGGTTTTTGGCGGGTATCTATCGAGTAGCACAGGTTCGAAACGACGTTTCAGAGGGTGCATATCGGGATCTGCATTCAAGGGTTCTGGAGGAGGAATGACGGAGTTATAATTACTCAATCGTCTCGACGTTCGGACAGAAGCTGTGAGTATAATAGGTCAGCATGCGCTCCAAGGGATAAACAAGCCCCCCCGGTGAGGAATCCTAGGAGCTGTCACACAGCATATAGATCCTTCTCCGCTTCCAAAAAGTTTAAGAAAAGAATAAAACTCACTTGTCCTCTGCACATTCGATGGCTGCCTCTTCATACTGCTCATATCCCTAAAGCTGATTCTCCTCCGTATGCTCCCTCCTACACTCCTGAGCGGACTCCGCTTGCCGGGTGGGCCATTTGCTTCTGGATCTTCAACCTTCAGCCTCTCCGCTCTCGGATTCGTCATCGGGGGCCGACTCTGGATGGGAGCCCCAGCACTGAAGCTCAGGTCATCCAGGAAGGTTTCCCTCTCACTGGCAAATTTCAGGAGCGCCTTGTCGAAATCAAAATCACCCAGCATGCCACCGCCTGCCCCATTGCCATTCACGTTAGTGGACGGGCCTTTTATAGTAATGCTGCTGCGGTTGCTGCTGGTGTTATCGAATTCGACCGAGTTTCGTGGATCGTTGCCAATCTTGCTGAGTTTATTCCAGGAATTGGTGCGGGAGTGTCGTGCAGTTGCTCTTGGGGTGCCATTTTCCTTCGGTGGCACTGTTGGAGATGTCTCTCCTTCACTGTCCCCTTCTTCTATTGTTGCGTCGACTTGCGGTGAGGGTGGAACGATAGCATTGTTTGAGCTCGAGGGGTTATAGACTGGATCACGGTAGGAAAGCGAATCGATCCCAGCGATCCAGAAGTAATCTGCCAAAGGGGCGGAAGTGGTATCCATTATTGCATAGCACGAGTATGGTACTCGGTGGCGAAAGGTGAGGACTATGTTGCGTTGACCGTTAGTTTGACATCGAGAGATGCCAAGTCATGGACCGCGTCCTCCTCCTCCGCAACCCTTGATTCACGGCACCTGGTTGTAGAAGAGAGCGCCGATCTGTAGGGGGATGTGAAATGCAGGTGTTTCGGCCTGATATCGATATCCACGAGGGGAGCGAAGGTGTTGTCTTTCTGGCAGACTGGCAGATTCAGGAAGCGGGGTGAGGACTTGGTTTCGATTTCGATTTCGATTTGGACGAGCTTTCTAAGGGGTCCCCCAGTTGTTCAAATTCGATCTCGATGTTGGAGAACGCGCCGCCGCAAATAGTTAGCAGCGCCGTAGTACCACAAAACTCCGTACTTGTCGAATGGAGACCAATGGAGCGCCGATGGGGCTGGCAGCGTGATTGGGTTTTGGGCGTTCTAGCGCCACGGTGGGCGATGGCGATGGCGTGGGGTGGAAAAGGCCGGGAAAGCAGAGAGCGGAGAGACGACGACGACTTCGATCTGGCTGGGAACACGAGGGGGATGAGGGCCGGACGGTAGACGCAGAACGCAGAAGTCGTATTTACCTAGGTAGTCTCGTGCTGTCGTAGGATGCGGATGCGGATGGGTGAAGTGGTAATGGAACTGTGGATGGCGGTGATCAATCCTCAAACTCCCCGCCCCAAAGTCCCCGTAATAAAGGCCAGAAGAAAAGCACAAGTACGGATCCGAGGTGCGTGGAGTGAAGATCTTCACCGGTTCGAGAGTCGATCACGGGCAGCAACGACAGCGTCACCGCAACTCCGAATAGGGGACCTCGTATGGTACTACAGAAATAATAATAATAATATCCTCAAGCACCGCGCCTCTTCCTCTTTATCTGGGTTGCTTTCTTCCTTGGATCTTTTCCCCCCCCTGGGCAAGGGCGGCAAGATTATAAAGTTCATCAACTTGAAGGCGGTTACAATTATGGTACCTTTGTACCACAGGTATCTACTGTATGTATTAACCCAGCGTGGGGACGATAATGTAAAGGACCTATTAGTTCAGAGACAAAAGCCCTACCCTAATAACAACGACAACAACAACAACAAAAAAGATATAAAATTTATATTAATAACGGGCTCGCGCATATTATAGGTGCTCGCATGGGGCAGGCGGCGGCGAGACCGGGTAAAGCGAAAGCCACATGTGGTGGATGTTGTACAGGAGTCGCAGAGGAGCTTCTACACGAGATAATAATAAGCTGGCGGTCTGGGCCCCGGGGGCTGCTTCTGGGGGGCCTTCTGGGGGGGCTTGATTAGCAGGTCTCGGGCGGTCGTTTAGGGGCTCTACATCGTACAGTGATGCCCTAACAGCACCCCTAACAACACCCCCTAACCCCCTCTAACAGCCCGGCAAGCCTGCAACCACCCATCCTCCGCCCAGCACCGCACAACCAGCTTGTTTCATGGCGCGTCTCTCCCTTATCTCTTCACGGCGAGCCACATCCTCCGCATAGGCCCAACAAACACATGGCGTCCAACACACATTTCCATGGGTGCTGTACTAGAGGCAAAAACGCCAGCAGACAATCAGTTAGTCAATCAATCCGAGATAATCCCAACCAATCGATATAAATAGGCGCGAGAGCCCGTACGAGGTACGAAGATCCAGGGGTAAATTTGGAGGTTGGCCCACACCCTTCCGGGGCACAAGGCTATATATATATATACTCCGTACATACGAAGTAGAGCCCCCTTGCGTGTACGAGGAGGATACGAACATAGCCTTACATACCTACCTACCTAGGTAGGTACTGTACATACACACAAAAACGTGGGGTTCAGTTTTGTTTGCTCTCCTTCCCCGGATATGAATTGTTTAATTTAAGCCAGCGTCTGATAGATTGAGGATACCACGCCTATTTGCAACTCGGCCTTTGTTGCTGTTTGCTGTTTTGCTCTCGGGGGTTCTGGGGGGGTATGTATATTAATTGGAAGCTTCAAGTAGATCGGCGGTGGTGGGTGGAAGGCGGCTTTTTGTGGAATGTATCCCCCCCTGTGGTTTTCGCTTTACCTCGGAAGACTCCCGAATTACCCTGATGGGTCGGAGTATGGTATGGCGATCCTTAATATGGAGAAGGAAATGTGACATACTCGGGAGAGTATACACAGTACTTTGCCAGGTTATCTCATTTGAGCCACAGAGAAAAAGCTCAAAGGCAGCAAGCACTGCGATAGAAGAAAATAAATCACACAGGGTTAAAAGCAGCTGAACTCTTCTTGTAGCATGAAAAATTCCATATCATAATTTCCTAATAAGTGCAGGCATCGGAACATATCGATCATCTACCTGGACACCGGGGCGGGCGGTGGAGGGCAAAAAAAAAAAGCACCCGCCATACAAATAAAAGCCGCATACGATAACGACCCTCTCTCTCTGAAGAAAAAAAAAGCGACAATCCCGCTATGCAGCCTCGAGGTATGACTACCATTTATAACACCAGACTCCAAGCGGCCAACCGACCGACCATGCATAATCGCTTTCGTTTGTTCTTTTGTTTGCCCGGTTCCCCCCGTTTCGTTTTCTAGTACTCGATATCGAGGTACCGGTACGCAGAAAAGAAATTCGCGAGAGAGATCGTTAAGACCAGGTAGGTAGGTATTTACAAGTCCCCGAGAGAAAAAAAGGGAGGTCCTACAAATACAAACTCTGTGCCGCGACGATATCTCTCCGGATTTTGCTGAGCGATTCCTCAAATTTCGCGGAGAGGTCATCGGAGCCCATGACCTTGCCCGCTTGCGCCATCTGTCTGAGGAGCTCTTCTAGACGGCGGAAGAGACGGATCAGGGATCCTTCGTAAACATCTGTCATTTTGCTGTTGAACAACGTTAGTCATAAAATTCAGAAATCGCATTTCCAAGATTATAAGGGGGACACATACCAGATCTCCGCAAAGGATTTTCCCTGGGCCCAAGCCAATACAACATCCATAAGTTGCCATTTGAAGCCCTCTGCGTACTCTTGCTCGTTGACCTCCAACTTGCTCTCTTGGCTGACTTTGGCAATGATCCTAGCCTGGCCTTGGATGTCTTTGAAGTGTTTTGCTAGTTCCTCCTTGAGAGCCGGCGCCTGGCTCTTCTCTTCGAAGATGAAACAAGAGAGGACTGCGGCGCACATCTCGGGCGAGAGCTCGTTGAAGAACCGGTTAAAGAGGAGTTCAGAGAGTAGCAATTCATGGCCATCGCCTGTTGATATCTCACAGGCAACACGTGCTTTGAGTTGTACTACCTCCTGATCATTAATGAAGCCTAGACGACGGAGGACTCGCTTGCGTGACTTGAGCTCGTCCAATTGCATAACGCTCTGTGCGGCCGTGATCGCCTTCTTCTTCTCCTTGATCTTTTGACCAATATCCATCTTCGTCGCATATTGGTTGTAAAGTTCAGCTAGACGGGGTGAATTGTGAAGCGGGTTGGACAATAGTCGAGACTCGAGGACTTCAATCTTGCGTAGAAGTTTCTTGAAGGAATCATCCGTGATACCCATATTTTCAATGGGATCCAAAGTCGCAATTCCATCTGGGAACCTACGCTTGACTTCTTCAAGGGACTTCCGAACCACATTTCGCTGCTCGACCAGACGTAGATCTTTGGGTAGGAATATGCGGACATGGCCAATAGCTTCAATGCAGTTGAGCATGACAGGAACAACTTCCATCTTGCCTTTCTCTCCCTCGGGGGGTGGATGAATTCCAGGTGGCAGATCCGTGGAGGTTTGCGTAGCGACAAACGAGTCTTCAGCCACCACTAATAGGACGTCAAGTATGTATGACGATTGTGGAGACCAGTTCTCCTGCTCTCCTCTAGGGGCTTGCCGTTTCGTGAACTTTACTACCGCTCCCCATCCGAAATCATGATCGAGGTGTTTGATGTGGACAACTCTTCCAGGTTGCAAGAATTGCAGGCAGTAATTGGGATGGTTGATGACGTCGCGCATGTCCTTGGTATACGAAGTGATTTGTTGCCGGAGATCGTAATAATCCTTTATGGTAGCCTCATCGGCGATCTCCAGACCATCGCGATCCGCCTGCAATTCTTCGAGCTCTCGGTCAAGTTTGGGAACGCCAGCGGTGTGCTGGAATTGGTAGAAGCAGTGCTCCAGCATGAACTCCGGTGATATGCCTTCCACTCGCATTAAGTTAAGAATCATGTTGTAGCCAAGATAGAATGCCGAATTGAGATTATCTTGCTGTCCCCGCACGATCTCCTTGGCAGTTGCAGGTTCCATCTTGTCGTTGATCATCATAATGACGATACCTCTGTCATCAAGACCTCTTCTTCCAGCGCGCCCAGACATTTGAATGAACTCTGAAGGCGTTAGATACCGGCTGGAGACTCCATCGAATTTCTGAACGCTTGTGAACACAACTGTCTTGGCCGGCATATTCAAACCAATTGAGAAAGTCTCCGTGGCGAACAAGACCTTGATCAAGTTCTCTTGGAACAAAATCTCGATGGTCTCTTTTAGAATCGGCAGAAGCCCAGAATGATGAACTCCAATACCCCGTCGAAGTAAAGGAAGAATATGTTGAATTTGTGGCAAAGTCTTATCCTCGTCTGACAGGGACTCGATTGCACTATCAAATACCTTCTGCACCATAGCCTTCTCCGAGTCGTCATTGAAAGCCATCGTGCTCATTTGCAAAGCATACGCCTCACAATCACGTTTGCTGAAGCTGAAGACAATGACAGGATTGTAGTGTTTGAGCATGATCATACGGACAATCTTGTATATGTCGCTGGTGTCCTTATTTCCACCTGTGTTGGTCTTCTTATTCTTTCCTCTGCCTTTTTGTTTGGCATTGGGGTCTGATGGATCCGCTCCCCTCTTCTCTTCAATAGTTGACATGGCTTTTTGGAAATTTTCTTCGCGGAAATTGCCTTGCTCGTCCACAACTAAATGAATGCCATCAGCTCCTGCCGGGAAGAAGTAATGCTGCAAGGGTGTTGGCCGGAAATCGGTGTACACAATATGACAAGGCTGTTGATGTGTCTTCGTAATCCATTCGGCGAATTGCATAGCATTGGGGATAGTGGCAGACAAGAAGACATATCTGACCTTATCCGGTAACAGAATGATGGTTTCTTCCCAGACCACACCCCGAGTCTTGTCTCTCATGTAATGAACCTCGTCGAAGACCACCCAAGCAACCTCGCGCATGATTTCCGAGCCTCGATAAAGCATAGACCTCAAAATCTCAGTCGTCATGACAAGGCAAGTAGCCGTAGGGTTGATTGTGACATCACCAGTCATAAGTCCAACGTCTCCAAACTCAGCGGCAAACTCTCGGTATTTCTGGTTGCTCAATGCCTTGATGGGACTCGTATAGATGACTCTCTGGTTGTTCTTAAGACATTGTGCAATGGCATACTCTGCAACCACAGTCTTGCCAGCACTCGTATGCGCCGATACCAACACGCTCTCATTTCTCTCTATGGAGGCGATAGAGACTTTCTGGAAGGGATCCAACTCGAAGGGCCAGGTGCGCGCTGGCTTCTCGGGCGACTTATGCTGTGAGATCGGAATGTAGTCGTAGTCCGGCGGGAGAGACACTTGATGCTGAATATTGTGCTGAAGAACCAACGCCCCATCATCCTTTGCCTGGAGTCCTGCTGAAGCAACGATCTCTCTTGACGCCTCGGTTTGGAAAGTATCGGTGACCACTGGCTCTGCCTCCTGCTCCATGCGACGTCTCTTGGCATCTTTCTTCTCTACCAAGCTGTTGCTCTCTGGCTCATCCTCCTCTGCGACAGCTTCCCCATCCACCATATCCGTGTCGGGCTCCTGATCCTCTGCGGGCTTCTTAACATCTCCATTGATATTCCGCTTCTTGCTCCTATCCTTCTTCTCTTTCCTGCCCTTCCCGGGTTTCTTTGGTTTGTCCTTCAAGCCAGTTCGAGGCTGGTCATCAAAGACATCGAAAAGCTCGTCCATCCTGCCAGGAGTTTTCCGAGACCGCGGTGAGCCTCTCCAATTTTTCTCTTCGTGGGATTGAAAGACGCGGTGTCGCGGGCGGAAAGGTGACTTTCTTTAAGTTTTTTGTTTCCGCGAGCTCACAAAAATTTAGCGCGGAATTTACCGGGGACCCCTGCAATCTCGAGGTTAGCGTTGTTACCGAGACAAAGCTCGTCTACAATCGAACGACAATTACAACCCTCTCTTCACCAGATAATTCGATCAATCAATTCCTCAAGGTACGTTGCACGCTGCGCCAATTGGAGTCAATTGGAGCTGATGATTGTTTGTAGATGCTATCACGAGCTGCAATCCGCGCTTCCTCCTCGACCTCGATGGTCGCCCGCCGTGGCTTCCACTCTACCCGCACGCAGCTGTCATCACCTCATCATTACCCCGAGGGACCACGATCCAGCATTCCCTTCAACCCGTTGACGAAGTGGTTTGCTCTGAGATACTGGGGATTCATGACTGTTGGATTCTGTGAGTCTTACGCCTGGACGCCTGCCATCCATTTTACTGACTGGCTTTAGCCCTTCCTTTCGGTATCGCAGTCTGGCAGACGAAGAAGAACCAGGGATAGAGGGATAAAGGGGGGAATCACTAGAGGCTGGGCTTGGATGTACAGTTAGGAGCTATTTGTAGAGTTGGGATCTCGAATTGAAAAGTGCCCAATATTACCGTTCCGAGGGATGTTGCCCTGGTGGTCCTATGAAAGGTAATGGAAGGCGCGGAATAACTACAACGCCGTGCAGTGATGCTACTAATGATGCTACTAATACTTACGATGTCAATGCATACTCTGTGTCTGCACTGAATTGAATGCATAGGAGATCAGAATGCTTCCACGATTATAACTTATGATACAAGAACCATCTGCCCCATCCAATTCTCGACCTTTAGCCTAGTATCAAGCGTATGCCTAGCCACAGTATGAAAGTCGAAACAGCCCTCAAACTCCGTTTTTATCGTCATCAACTCCCCAATTCCCTGTTGCATCTGATCCGGATCATTTCCATTGAGGACCTTCGCACTAATCGTCAAGATCCACTTATCCTCCCCATCGAATGGAGTAAGGGATTCGAACGGCGGAAGAGCACCCAGTAAATCCTCTGGCTGTGTGCTTTCTCCCTCTTCAGGAAGCTGGAGATACCGACTCAATTCGAACATGGCGTTGCCGTGGACGAATCGGTAGCATTCATGAATAAATTGGCGGCTGAAACTATATACGGCTGAGATTGATGCCTTGAAAACTTGGGGTAGAGAAATTACCTGTAGCCCAATTGAGACTGCGTGGTTGTAATTAAGTCTCTTTCATTATCGATCTGCAACATCAACCTAGTGTTCACTGGCCGGGTGCCGGCTGGGTCGGGAAGCTCATTCCATCTCAGCGTGCCGGGTCTGATATCCGAGCGTTGACGTCTGTCACGGGGAATCAGTCTTGGACGTTACGAAGAGTTTCGATATTCTAAGCTTCGAATGATTGGCTAGAACCAAGAATACAGTCGGCCTGTTCAACTTACGCCGGGTCATCTAATTTCACATCCTGTCCAGGTTCTTCCGTAGGAGCTTTGCCGAAATCCTTTCCGTCGACCTCATATATCAACGTAATGACATATGATTGTCGGAGAAGCTGCTCATGCAGGCCTCGCCATAAGTTGATCTTTGCCGGGGGTTGGCTCATGATAAACGCAGGGTCAAGGCCTTTCAGGTTAGTGCGGGCCTTTGGGCCCTCGAACATCAACCGACGATACAAGTGATGTTGGGGTTGCATGGCACAATAGCCTTGGAGGATCCGGACGGCTCTGTGAAGGGCATCATTGCCGATGTGTGCTGTGAGAAAGAGCTCGTGCATGATGACGGGTTTGGGGTAGTTGATACTGTGGTTACTCGTTAGCCTCTGGGTAGGAACTGAAGCCGGAGTTTGAGAGCAGGAATTCGAGAGCAGCGCGCTCGTCATAGAGGCCGAATAATCTACGTGGACTGACTATAGGAGGCTGCAAAAAGAGCGCGAAATGACTTACCTAGGCTCTACATCTACGGCTCTAAAAAGATACCACTGCCCAAAAACGATGCAGGTGGGTAAAGCGAATCAGGCTCTCAGGCCCGAAAGAATGTTTGGATGGAGATAAATTAAATGCTGTTATGATTCCCAGTTTATTTTGCCCTTAATCTGCACATACTCGAGTACCGTAGCGCAATACGTCGCAAAGCGGCTCCTTTCCAAACTACAATTAATTGTTGACGTTGCGCAACTCTCGTCAGGTCGTGTCGTCGCTTCAACCCAAACCAACCACCTCGCAAAACGAAGTTCCACGTTCCTGCTTCTGCACCGACCAAGCAACCAACCAGCGACAACCCCGCGTACATCAAAGCACATGTCAAGGAATTGGCCAACCAACCCTGTGGAAACAAACTTTAAAACGCCAATAATGCTATTGAATCATATGGAAACCGTCAAGTTGATAGCTGCGCATCGCCACGATGCAAATTACGGTTGTCGCGTTTTTCTCTTGCGACCCCGTCTTTTGGTTCCCTGGCGCAAGCAATGTCTTAGTTGGAGTAGGTATGGATTTTCAGGAGTCAAAGACCCAATCTTGTGCACACAAACATAAAGCTAAATTCTAAGAATTCCAGATGTTTTGGCTTTCTCGCCTCGGCATATCATATCATATCCGTCTTGGGCACTTTCGACATATGTAGAGTGCAGGATCGACATCGGGGAATCCTTACCCCCATACGAAGTATAGTTTCAACGATGCAAGTATTGATTTTGTCTTCTATAAACAACGGCAGTGGCTCTACAGTGTTGGCGGATCAGGGGCTGATGACGACTTGGGCTGATTGGTGCCAGGTCTGGTTGCAGCTGGTGGTGGTTCTTAGCACGGAACCGTTATGACCACCGTGCTGCTGCTGCTGCTGCTACCGGCACGACGATAACGCTATTGCTGCTGACGACTGGCGATCTCTTGACCACATCGAAAGAGTAATCGATACCGGCCACGCTGTGGCCACATTGGCAACCAGCAACCGCTCCGTGCGTGCGTGCGTGCGGCAGAGCAAACCCTCCGCAGCGTCCCCGAGACATGTCATAAGAATCCTCCCATTCCCAAGGCCTTCCCTGCGTCCGCCCGCACATCGCTCTGGGCGCGCCGGGTGGAATCGGAACCCGCCGAATATCAGATGCCAAAGACTCGAGTTCCCCAGGTTTCTCAACTGATCTGAGACGGCAGTTGTTTACCCCGTATTTGGATCAGGGCGAAATGGGGCGATAATCCGCAAGAATCCGCAAGAATCAGGCAGAATCCTCTGATTGTGGACTGTAAATAGTTCTGTTACCCCCATCTTCTAGCGTTTGTGTGCGACGTAGCGATAAGCACAAGCCAAGAGCCAGCACCACAGCCACTCAGCGGGCGTGAAACCACCAAGCAACGCAGCGGCGGCAGCTCGATCTTTTTTCGCGAGACTCGGCCGACAACGCGGAACTTCTCTCCGTCGCTGGTAGCTCGAAGTAGCTCGCCTCCCTCAACAGAGTACAAGAACCTTCCTCGTCCCCTTCCCCCCCTCCGCCCCCCCTTCGACTCTCTGCACCCTACAACAATCACCACGCACGCGAGTTACGACAGCACGGCTACGCCAGCTGGATCCTGGACTTCCCCGTCGCCAGCTTCGTTTCTCAGCTATCCACCGTGAAAATCAGTAATCTCGCCTCGTCCCCATCCCATCCCATCCCATCTCCAACGATGTTTGCCACTAGGGTTCTCCGCCAGGCGGCTGCTGCTGAGCGCACTCCGATGATCAAGTTCATTGGCAAGCGGCCCATTCCAGGTAAATATATCCTCCTTCCCACCTTGCCCTCACTGCGAATACAGCGCTAACGGTGGGAAAACAGAGTCTATTGACCATTCTGCCCGCAATGTCCACCCTGCCTCTCCCTCCCCTCGACTTCCTTCCGACTTCACCTCCGCCCCATCGGCTGCCAACTTCTCCTCCTACAGACAGAAGGCCATCCAGCATGGCCCTCTTAGTCGCGGCATTGGCGCCGTCTCCGGCCAGTCGCTCGGCCCCGTCGCCCCGGCCAAGGGCGAATACTTCGACCGCGACCAGCTCCCCGCCCGGTTCCGCCGCAGCCTTCTCGACATGGCTGAGATCGATGCTATTGAGACCGGCGGTGCTACATTAGTTTGCTAAGCACGTCAATCAGAGGAATCTGAGGGTGGCAAAAGCACACCGTATAAAGACGAAAACAAAAACGCAATGATACCCTACGGACTAGACCCCGGATGCAACATCATCGCCTCCGTCTGCCATGCGAAGGATACGCATGCTTGGGCGTGTGATGATTGGGAGGTTCTACCAGGAATACTGGGAACACTCCCGGCGGAGGTCGATGTTACGTGGAAATGCTCTTTGGGTGGCGGCAATGGTGGGGGAACCGGCGTAGATTTTCTTGCGGGATCGTGCGTGGTGCGCGTTTAGATTTTCCAGCGGGACGTTTGGCTTGTTTCTTTTTAGAAGGGTCTTTCCCTGGGCTGACTGGTAGCCATGTACAATATGCCAGCTGTTTACCAACTAAACTGTTACTCCATCACCGACCCGCTTTACTGAATTTTTCTTTTCATTCGTGTATATCAAAGTGGCAAGTCCCACATAACAACCAGCCGCTGTCGTGCTCATCTCATCGGTTATCACCTATGCGTCTCCAAAGCCCCCCTTTCTCCTCAAATATCTCAGCCATTGCCATGCAAGTGCTAGGTAAGCTGTCGCCGGCCCCGCCACATGCCTGGTCAACCGCCTGATAGTGGGTTCATATATTTTGACTATATGTACGCTATAATTCAAGTTTCATCTCCACAATAGCCCATATGCAAGTACCCGTTTACATGACGAACGATGCACCTCCCCCTATTTGCTCGTTCCAAAGGACCACACTACATTTTTTAACTTCGGCAACCATCCTTCTACCACAAACCAACCAACCTTTCCTCTCGGCTGTTGTATTAGCTCTTTTCTTTATGTCCTTGAAGTTGACTGTGGTTCACCGTATCCTATTGTGTTAATCTGTAGTGCAGATATAGATGCTTTACTAAAACTTCGTGTCCTGCATGACTTTATTTATCCTACGGAGGGTAATGAAGAGTTCGGTATATTCATGTAAAGCATGGTTCTGTTTGCACTGGGCGACACGTGTGGTTTATGTGTCTCCACTAGTCCTTACAATCTAGGTGATCAATCAGGGGCCGTAGAGTCACAAGTACTTATCCTTCTATCATCATAGTTTGTCTCTCTCTATATAAACTAGAAAAGCAGCAGTTAACAGAAGAGACCAAAACCTGCTACAAGTACTAAACATCTGAACAGTATATAATACCTTTTCTAAAAGAAATACCTGACATGTCTCAGGATTTCTACGACATTCGATAACAAGCTCTGATAGCAAATAACCCCCTCTTAACAGCGTTGCACAACAAGTCTTTCTGATGGATAACATCTCTTTCAAAAGCTTTTAGATATTCTGCAATAAAGACATGCGGTGTCCCCTTTTGCCGTCTAAATGACACCGCTCACTCTAGATAGGGACACCGCCCCTCTCTAAATAAGGATCGATCTCCTCGACTGGAAAAGCACCATCTCCTAGGAAACCACAAAAGAAGCCTCCTCTGTTCCCCATATCACAACAGCAACCAACCCAAACCCAAGCAACCACAACGTTAGTTACGCTCCAGCATCGGTAAGCAGCGCGCGCCATCTAACCCTTAACTAGACTGTGCCATTCACCAGAAGCGCGATCTATGCCGCTCCATATCAGATCACTAACGCGCCATAGCTAGCAAAGCTGCGACCAAAACGCCCAACCCAAATGGCGTGGGGAATGCGATCACTTCCACCACCTAACCCATTCCGCGACCCATCGATGAAAAACGCCTTCGAAAAAAGCGACGAGAACAGTGAGGATCAAAACGACGATAACAATGAGGATCAAAGTGACGATAACAATGAGGACCAAAGTGACGATAACACTGAGGACCTCCCGCAAGAAACCCAGCCGAGCATCCAAGAAAACCCAAGACACATTATCTATCGCGCTGCCGACCTGAACACGACTGCTTTATCCACCATCAGATACGCCCAGAAACGCATGAACGAACTAGGACTCTGCGAGAACCTGGATGAATTTAACTACTTCACTCTCTTCAACGAACTCCTCGAGACTACGCAAAAACAAGTAGAGACCAGTGAGGTACTGCAGAAGGCATTGGAAACCGCAACTGAGGAAAAGAGAGCCTTGGTAGCTCAGCTCGATGAGGTTGCGAAAAAACAAGTAGTCATCAGTGAGGGAATGAAGGAAGCATTTGAAGTCGCGAGGGAGGAAATGCAGAAAGCTTTGGAAATCGCGCGGGGGGAAAAGAGGGCTTTGGAAGCTGAGCTCGGCGAGGTTCAGGGGATTCTGGAGGTGCTCTAGTGGTTGCGTTGTTGGGCTGTGTAGATATGGATGTATAGCTGTTGCAAGCGGAGGGAGCTAGGTGACGGATTGTGAGAAGGAATGAATGGGGATGATGTTCTCTGAGGTGCGGGTGCGGTTGGGGGGTTGCTTATTTGAAATTCAAGTTGCTGCACGCACCTATACTCAATGGTATTGCCTATCTTTGACTATGCTCCTATGCATGTCCTGTCTCCTGTATTTGCCCAACAAGCACCTCATCCTGCTCCTACGGTGCTTCTCTATCTAATGACCAGAGGTTCCAAGCCGCTTTGGCGTCAACAACCTCTCCACTCTTCGTGGTTCGTACTAGAACCAAGGAGTTCCCTAAAGCAAACTTACTTTGCCTAAACCCCCTTATTTCACTCTCGCTCCTAAGCTCCCCGTGCTCAAGAAACCCCTATTCCCCATGGTTCCCCTCCATCCAATACTAAGTATCCCAAAAACCACCTTCCCATCAACAGGCTCAGCCCCTTGCCCATCCGGACCCAGCAATTCCTCAACCAAAAAACAAACCTGCTGTACATCACCGGGCATAAGAACCGGACGTTCCATCTCCTCACCCTCGGCAACAATCTCCCAATTAACTCCCTGACTCCTAATCCCCTCTCTCGTCTCTAGGGCTACAGTATCAAGCGTGATAGTCTCCTCGCCACAATTCTCCAACTGGGCTTCTAAAGCCCATTTCCTACTCGTATTCTTGGAGCCATCGTTAGGGGAAGACGGGAGGACGCCAGTTTTGGTTCGAACTACCATACACCCCTTACACACGAACTGGTATAACTTCCTAAACGTGCGGACCTTCCCCGAGGTAGGCGTTGTTTCAGTGTATGTCACAGTCACAGCAAGGACATGACTCCCCTCCTCTTTAAGATCGAAGTTCACGACTTTCTGCAGACTGCGTCCTGGTTCTAAATCCACCCCATCATGATGTTTCTGGTCCTCTTCCGTATCGGTTTTGGATTCTGGTGTGTTGGGACTTAGCCCGAGCGGAACCGGTACCGCTGAGCTGGGGATCTTCATCTCGGCTTCAATGCGCACATTGCTTATATTTTTAGGCATGTTTGCACCAGGTAGCATTTCATTATTCGCACAGAGCGTGCAGGAGAATGTCTCGCCTACGTAGGCGGACCCAAAGGCCGGAGGGAGTGTGAGGAGGGGGGAGAGGATGAAAGCATCATTTTGAGCCCCGGGGTATGCGAGGGAGGCGGACGGGGAGGGGAAGACGGTTGGTGAATCGGAGGGAGATGGGATAGGTGTTGGTAGAGGGAGAGGATGTTGTATTGAGAGAGAGGGGCGCGAGAGTCTGGATCAATATATTAGATACTACGTTGGACTGAATGGGTGGCATGTATTGTAGAGTTACCTGAGGACTTTCAAGGAAACAGAATGAGGTTCTTTCACCGCATCAACAGCTGCAGCACCGCGCTGATGCGCCATTGTTCAGTAATGCACGTTAAGCCATTCCATATGTTATGTTGTTGTGGCATATGATTGTGGAATATGGCCCAGGAACTTGAGGGGCATACAGAGATACGATATACTATGCCGCGGTGGTACAGTACTCATGGATTCTGCCACTCTCACCGCTTCCTTATCACTCAGTCTTTTCGGAACCGACCAGAAACCCCCTGATGACCAGAATTACTCAAAGGTCTTGTCAAAATCGAAATTGCCATGAATCACGATTGTGCAAGCTACGGTAACAAGCCAGGAAACATGTTTAATCATAAAACATCACATCAAAATGTCGGCTGCGGATGGGATTTCACCTATGATGTGGTCACTTATACAACATTACAAGATATCAAGGCAGGGCAAAACCTGTGAATATAAATGGGCCACGGTTTAGATTTAGGATACTGAATGAACAAATCGAATATGTACCGGAAGATCGACAGAAGTTATGAATTACATAGCGCAGATTGGTTGATTGATTGATTGGCTTGTAAATTTTCAGGTGTTTGGTGCACACCTCAGATTGATGGAGCTTCCGCCTAATGTACAAGAATGAGGTTACCTCGCAATATTTTCCCTGCCCGAGACTCTACGGCTTCCCAAATAGGACCAAAATGTGACGAGAGAATCGCAAAAAGCCGTTACATTCCAGGTGGTGGAGGAACCTATAGAGGTTAGCAACGTCACCGGAAATCTCTTGGCTAAACCTACAGCGCTGTAACTGCCCACGCCCGGGGCTGCTCCGGATGGTGGTGGTGGGGGAGGTGCTTCGCTGGGGGGTGGTGGAGGAGCAGAGCCAGGGGCCCCGGCGGCAGCACCAGGAGCACCAGGTGGAGGAGATTGTTGCTGGCCTTGAGCAGCAGCTGCAGCCATGTATTGTTGATAGTACTGGGCATACGCTGCATATCCACCATAAGCTGCATATGGATCGGCCCCATTAGCATAATATTGGGCATACTGGGCAGCATAATCAGCCCCCGCAGTAGGACTGGCAGCACCAGGTGCCGCGGTAGCAGCAGCCGGACTCATGACGGTACTGGGGGTATTCGGGGCTGGCGAATTGCTATATCCTCCATAACCTCCTCCACTGTAGGAGTGTGACCTATCAGAAGGAGCGCGATCGCCATAACCACGCTCACCTCCGTAACCAGTGGTGCTATAGCCCCGCTGTGGAGGTGGCCTATTCTTGAACTCTTCATACTGATCTCTCACATTCTTTAGCAGATCTTCGCAAAGCTCCTTTGCCTTCTGGACGTCGTTCGGATCAGGTCCCCTTTTTCCTATTAGCATAAAATAGTGATATGGAACAACTGATACCTACGCAACATGGAGATACATGTCCTCATCACTCTCGCGATTAGTTGAATACTCTGTGAAACCAGAGCCTCGCCCTTTGATCTGGACACGGCATCTAGTCTCTTGCTGGATATGCTTGACATAGGCTCCTTGATGACCGACAACTTGAGCGCGGAGATTGAAGCCAGGGATCGGTTCGAAATCGATCGGAATTCGCTCCTCGGGCCATTTTCGCTGTGCACCGGGTCAGTACGACAACCGACATGGGCATAACAAGTGTCCTACTCTTCCAAATTCGTCTCTTTCGACTTGATCTGGTTCTCGTCTACGGAATCGCCGCTCATCAACTAGATTCGGGAGTTCCTGCTTCATGAGCTCGTCAATCTTCGCAACCGCCTGCTCAAGGCCTAGTTTGGTGGTGCTGGTAACGTGGAGGTAAAGCGGAGGATTCTAGACATTCAGTTAGTGCTTTTCCCGGAAACTTTTAGAAGGGAACTTACAGCAGCCGTGGCCATGCTCTTATCAGGGTAGTAGCTTCCACGCGTGGTGACATCTTGAAAAGTCAACATGAGAACTATATATCAAACAGTAAGTTGTAGGTGTAGCATACCAGCTCCGGTTTCTTCCTTGATCTAGATGTCACGCAGCGGGAGTCAGCAGATGCCAAAGAGGGGTGTTTAGCGCGAGCTATGCGTGCTTTCAGGTAAGCTTCAAGAACCTCCACACAAATGATAAGCTAGAAAGAAAGGAGGGGAAGATGCCAAAAGTAACGTTATGCTATATGAAGAAGGATCTGATGATATCAGTGGGGTATTAACACAAGGAGTATTTACCATCTCTTGAGTAGCACCTTTGGTCAGTGTATAACGGTTGCGCAGATCGTTGACTTCGATGTCTTTGATATAGTCGCCGTCCACAATATACATCTCACCATTAACTGTGCTTGCGCTGTTGCCTCCACCGGATGCTCCTGGTGACGCTGACTTTCCGGCAGAGGGGCTCAGTGTAGATCGGATAGGCGGGACATCGACATGCTGAATGCCTCTCTTGGCTTGAATTTGCGCATTGATCCTGGCAGCGGCGGCAGCTATGGGAATACGTTAGAAACAGCATATAGACCAGAGTTTAATAAGAGTTAACAAACCTGCAGCGGCAGCAGCATCAGTAGGGACTTTCTTTACGGTGTCTGGTGCGGGACTGCCCGAGGCTCTTCCAGGCGGACTTCTGCTTCGTCGTGACTCTGACTGCTTTGCAGCTGGAGGGGAACGCGATCGTCTGTCAAATCGAGATGCGCGCTTTGGCTCCGGGACAGTCTGGTCGAAGCGCGAACGCTTTGCGGTGCGTCGCTCTGTATCATCCATCTTGATGGTGCGGGGGCGCGACTTGCACGAATATAAGTGTTGTCTACAGGTGTAGGTGTAGGTGAGGTGGAAGTTGTAGTTGTTCAGCCTCATGGCTGTCTGAGCGTACAAAAGCCCGTCCCCAGGTCTCGCTAAATCTTCTTAGCTCGACTCAACCATAACTTTTCGCTATCCTCGGGTCGCCGCTCTCGGCCATCTCCCTCCCTCCACCTTGGACTCATCGACAAACATCGCTCAATTGCAGAGCAAGGTGCTGATCGAGGAAGGGCAGAACTCTCGGAATCCCATCAAGGCCCTTACTGGCTTGCAATTGTCTATCATGGCCTCACGAAGCGCCCTCCTCTCTCTCCCAATTCGAGCAGCCGTTCCCCGAAGTTCCACCGTCCTGCTTTCCCGTCAGCATGCCCGAGCAGAGTCAACAGGTTCCTCCACCGCAGCGCTAGCATACAAAGCTCTGCACCGAAAGATCCACCCTCTTCCTACCTCAGACGCCCCTTCGACTTGGTCAGCTCAAGCTGCTGTGTCCAACATCCTCTACGAAACCCCCTCGCCTTCACTTGCCCCGCCCAAGCGACACATCCTCAACTGCCTCGTGCAAAATGAGCCCGGTGTGCTCTCACGTGTGTCCGGCATTCTGGCCGCTCGCGGATTCAATATCGACTCCCTCGTCGTCTGCCACACCGAAGTTGAAGACCTCTCCCGGATGACAATCGTGCTCTCTGGGCAAGATGGCGTCGTGGAGCAAGCCCGACGACAACTAGAGGACTTGGTTCCCGTATGGGCTGTCCTAGATTATACATCCGCGGCATTGGTGCAGCGAGAGTTACTACTTGCTAAGATCAACATCCTGGGCCCAGAGTACTTTGAGGAGTTACAGGCCCATCATAGGGAGATTACCGCAAGTGATTCGGACGGCGTGGGAGCCGAGGAAGAGTGGTCACAGAAGAGAACCGAGCAGCTGAGGGCAATTGATGATTTCCATCCCAGCAAGTTATTGCTCAGCCAGGCTTTGAGACATAAGCATGAGCATTTGAAGTCGATTACGTACTTCGCCCATCAGTTCGGTGGAAAGGTTTTGGATATCAGCACCAATAGCTGTATCGTGGAACTGTGAGTCACCTTGTCCTGTGTGTTCTTTTTCATATACTGACAACCCATCCAGCTCAGCAAAACCCGTCCGAATCGATTCGTTCATAAAGCTCATTAGTCCCTTCGGTATCCTCGAATCCACACGAACTGGTTTGATGGCGCTTCCCCGTTCGCCACTTTTTGGTCCTAACGAAGCCGAGCTCATTAAGGATGCCGATGATATTGTGGACGCCAGCACACTTCCCCCAGGATAAATAGATATGGTCAACTCACGTTACAAAGATCGGTGGGTAGGGGAGTTGGCGTTTTTTCATACTTGAAGCACGTCACGTTTTGATATTTTGACGCTATGAATTGGCTTATTGTAGCTGGACTCTGTTTGTGTCTATCTAATATACACCCAAATTCAACCTAAAACTCCTCGATTGTGATCATAAATTCCATATACCAATTACGCCGTCACCCGTAACTCCTGATGTATCGTAACATATCTCATAACTTAACGCTTGCACCAATTCCAGAACCAATATACCAAACCGATTCAGACCAGTGTTCAAGTTTAACCTCAACAGTGCCTCTCCCATCAAGCTTCATCTTCCCTCCCAAAGCTTCCTTGATCCTTTCATATCCAACAGAATCAAACGACCATTCAACTGGAAGTCTCGGAGTTGTGCTGCGGCCAGGAGGAACCTTAAAAGGCAGATCATATTCAATCCTGCCCACAGGTTCGGTATGGTTATAGAATGCGGTAGCGTTTATGTTTTGGAGGAATATCGTGCTATGTTGTAGAGGTGAAATGAGAATGAACTCAGCCTTAGAGGAGAATAGGTGGAAGATAGCAGCGTCGATGAAATGGGGCTTATCATCAATATCTTCGCCGTCTTTGCCGTCGTCGCCATGCCCTGGTGAGGATAGCCTAGGGGTAGGGATCTCTATCCCGAATTTGCTGAGGGCTTGGCCAAGTCTCGGCTGGTGAGGAATGGATTCATTGTGGGCCTGGAAAGTCAAGCTGGTGTTGAATCCGGAAATATACTGAGATATAAATTCTCGCCCGATGTTTCTGCCTTTCTCGGCCCCGAATTTAGCTGGGCCCCAGGTCGCCTGCACAAGCACATTCGTGTTGTTGCCCTTGACAACAGCGACATTTCTCACAGTAGCTTCGCCGACGACAGAGCCATTGTTGAGAACATGTATGTTGATAAAAGGTATTTGGGCGGTGTAGTTAGAGGGATTGGTGAAGTTGACCCGGGCCTCGAAGTTCAAAGAAGTCTTATCCGTACTCAAGACTCGTAGATCGCCGACCTTTGGGTTCAGATTTCGAAAGCCGTCGCCTGTAGAGATCGCTGTGCTCTCGTCAGCTTCCGTGCGGATCCAGCCGAATAATGAATGGAAACATTTTTCCTAACGTTTGACAGGAACAACGCCATTAGCAGGCATCTGTTTGACGGGAAGTTTCCCTAGGACCGTGGACACTTCGACGTCAACAAGAGCTTGAATCTCAAGTATCACGTCGCCTCCACCAAAGATGAGTTCTTGTATAACGTCGGAAAATACGTCGCTATCAGTGATGTTGAGCGGAACGTTCTTGATGAGAGATTGAATTCTCAGCATGGCCTCCTCTCCATCTGTAGGATCAATCCGTGATGATTCAGCCTTCTGCCACTTTCGCAAATTGAGCACTCCAAGCTTATCGCCTTTGTAGAAAACATCGGCTGTAGCTTTGACTCGTGTAACATTGAGTCCAAAATTCATCTCCTTGGGCAAGCTCGCAATTACGTTGATATTGCCCGAGATTCGTGGATTTGCTTCATCCGATCCTGGCTCCGCGAACGGATCCGGAAGGCTGAAATTGGTATCCTCCAGGGAGAAATTTCGGATGAGCTTATCAAAAGTGCGTCCTGGAAACGGAACTGGAACCGTGACACTAGATATGATCTGGGTAATCCACTCAGGTGTGTGTTCGTTCGGGGCACTCGAGCCTCGTACAAATACTGTCGTCTCCTGGCCATGAATGTAATCTCCTAATAACAGATCTAGGGGCGATGATTTTGTGTGTGGGCAGTCCTGAATCAGTGACTCGGGGAGCTCCCGAATGACACCTTCAACACCGACTTCTACCTCCGAGATAGGGTTCACGGCGACAATGTCCGTTGTTGCCTCTGCCAGACGAATGTACGGATCATCCGTCACGCAGTTTGGCACCAGGATGTCAAATCCGAGCGGTGGGATGGTGAACTTGACCGGGTAACTGTTTATGACAGATAGAGAGACATCTGCAGCCATACCCCGACGGCCACTAGAGGAAAGAGGAATCTCATGGAAATTGAGGCGCGTGATATTGTACTCGGGAATAGTTAGGTGGTCGCCTAAACTCGGTATTAGCCATTGCTACGTCCATATGCCACCTTGACCAAGATTGCTCGAAGATTTGACAGTGTCTGGAAACAAGCGAAAGTCTAACACTTATTAGATTGCGTACCGTTCCTCCTAGGGATGGCACCAGCTCTATTAAAGCTCCTCTCGAGTTACGCTAAAACCTTCTCCCCCAAATAAAAGGACGCAAAAGAACGGTAGAGGGATTGACCTTCAAGCATAAGTGATTCTGAGATGGTCTGAGTCCCAAGGGGAATCAAGCCAGTTTTAAGGCCAACATTCGTCTTGCCCAGTACCCTCAATGTACCCAGGCGGCCCTCGAGCCAGTCATTGGCGACCTGTCGGATGCCTTCAATATTGCCTGGCTCTAGTGCTGCGATGAAGTCAATCAGGGTTGTTTCCCCATTCCGGATATTGACCACGACTCGTGGTACAGTAGCCGTGCCGATAAGGAGATTTCCGTATTCCGGTAAGTAGACTTCCACTTTAGCTTCTTGGGTCTCGACTTTATGGGCAATCCAAGTGCCAAAGCGACCGATATTCCTGATATGCTCGTTCGCCACTCTTGAGGCGTCCATTCTAAAACTAGCTTGGATCCTCGCATTCACACCAGTGCTAGTGATAGAGTCTATCGATAGATTCGTTGGCTCGATAACCAAGGCCTCTTTGGCGTACTCTTCAACAGCGCCAGGAGCAAAGAATGCACCGAGAGTGATGGCTATAATGATTGTCGCGAGAAGGGCAGCAAACACGACTGCTGGCCATCGTCGAACGCCCTTTGACGCCAGCGATGACGACGAGCCATGCCCATTTTGCAAGGATCGCAACGATATCGCAGCCGCCGAAGGCACCCCTTCCTCTGCACCATCTTGTGATCCATCATATCGAGGAGTATCGTCGGACCGTGATAATAAAGGCGTATCTTCGTGTAAATCATCAGAGTGGCGTGAGTCTTTGGAGAGCGAGCTGGACCTGGATCTGGCGGGACTGCCAAGCAGCGGCGAGGAAGGGTTGTCGGACATTGCCTCGGTAGATTGCGATAGTTATGGCTCGCAGCTGGAATGGTAGACTCCCGACGGCCAGCGCGAGGGATGATAATAGATGGCGCTGATGGTATAGATTGAGGCCGATGATAATCGATAAGGATGATGGTGGGTACTGGTACGTAGTGAAGATGCTCAACCAACTTGGCGGGCGAGTTTCGAGTACCTGGCACTAGCAAGGGAGAGCAGTGACGACGTGGTCTTGTGCTGCCTTAGGGATAAGGTTAGCCGTTAGTGGGACAGCTGTATCACAGTCCCACAGCGTAGCGAAAATTCCTTTCTCCTACCAAAAACACCTCAAGAGAAGAGAATAAAAGATATTCGGAATTTGGATTAAGCAGCTACAAGGCAATTGCAATCCTATGCGTCAATGCTGGAATCCATCGCGATCACGCAGATCTCCGGTGCAGATGAGCCCTGCAACACAGACTCTTCTGGGCTCTCTGCAAACGGACTCTCAAACCGGAGACAACAGAAGCCAATCCAATCCAGTATAGTCCTATCCTCTCCTCCTTCCCCTCGCTGCAAGCAGTAGCATCATTGCTACCCCGTCAATTAAATCCAGTATATCAATTATACCGGACCTAAATTGGGCTCTTTCGCCATCTCTATGCGATTTGGCTCTCATTCAATCCGAAGATTACTTTCTTTCGCTTATAACCAGTTTAGTGCTTCAGTTCCCATGTGCTGATTCTCTCTGGCTTTAAACGCGCACATGATTTGTATATATTGTCAGAACTACTATGAGGGGTGGGTGGAGTGTCCCCAGATCTAGACCTCGCCGCATTGATATCGGGATATCGGCGGCACCATGTTAGTTCCCTGGATATGGATCTTGTTAGTGCATCTTCCACAACTATATTCAGACTCCAGGATCTACCTGCGTCTCAATTTTAAATTCAGGGCGTTTGGAATATCTGAAATTTTATATAATCTCGATTGACAAAATCTATTTCTTCTTATGTCTATATGTAATATAGCGTTGATCTGTCTTTCTATCGCATGCCTAAACCCCACGCTGGGCGGGCGAAATAATTCAACAGTCGAAGAATCCCAATAGCTACTGCATTTTAAAGTTTCCTGCCATTCTTGTGCCTATCTTTTTAGGAGTTCCAGGGGACCCTCATCCTGTGCGTGCTGTTGTGAGAAAGTATACACAGAGTACGAAACGCATGACAGTTACTCACAAGAAGCTATTCGAACCGCATCACAACACTCCCGGCAAAACCGCCCTCCGTCCCCCAACCTTCTCCCTCCCAAACCGGTCAATATACCACTTCCTCCCGCTCACTGCTCTAGGCAACATAGTGGCAACCTCATTAACCACAAAGTTCCTCGCAGGCACACACGCCCAACCCCCAATAATCCAAAACCCCAACCACTCAATCCACTCGCACAAATAATGGGGATAAAGAACATACTTGAACAAGCCCCCAGTGGGAATCTTGTACACCTTGTGCACGTTGGGGTTCTTTTTGTTAGACTGCGAGGGCCGACGGATCTGGCGCAGTACTTCATCGTGGTAGATATTCCCCGCGAGACCGAGGGTCCATACGAGAAGTCCCAGCCCTATGCGAGAGTGCGCTAGGTGCCAGGAGGAGGACGCGGTGGGACCGTAGCCGCCTAGGTAGCCGCCGATTGAGAGGCCGTTGGTGAGTTGGAAGGCAAGGGCGGCGATCCAGACGAGGGGGTGGATGGGGGACATGGAGGGAGCGAGGAGAGGGCCTAGGATAGCGCGATTGATGTAGTGGATGGTCTTGGTGGATGTTAGAATGGGAATCGATTCCGTGGAAAGGGGATAAAGTTGGATGGGAGATTTACAAAAAGCCCAGCCATAGCTTTGTTTTGCCACGGCAAGTCGCTGATGCCAAGTTCAGCGGGGAGGGTGTTGACGATGTATAGCACCGTCATGAACCCAGGTACCTCCATCGTGATCCACGCAATTTTGCCCGGAATGTTGAAGCTGCTATTTGTCGAGGTCTTTCCAGCTCCATACCAGGATATAATCCATTGTAGAGCGGCGATCTTACGATACATGAATCAGTATTTTTGTATTTGGGTTGGGAGAGCGGATGTGGACGGGGGGGTTAATTACAAGAGGGAAGAATTGGAACAAGTAGACAGCCAATTCCCAATTCTCTCTCGAAGGAGGTAACCAATTCTCTATAACAGCCATCGTATCTAGCGGTGGCTGTCCCGCCACAAATTAAAAGAAGTCTTGAGGACGAGGTTTGACGTTGTTCGGCTGGTTGTCAGAATGCGCTGGGAAATTAATAGATGCAGCACCAAGCGGTGATAGCAAACAGGGCAAACACAAGCCGCAGCCTTGCGCGGCATATGTTCAGCCTTGCATGGAGTTGACATCACATCACATTACATCTACAACCTCACTCATTCCCTCAACTAATATCTTCTCAACTCCTGAAACCCGCCTCATCCCCATCCCCATCCTCATAATCCTAATCACAACCCTTAACCAAAGAATGGCCACACCAACATCCACAACCCCAATCAACCCCTCCAACCCCGAAATGCGCTCACATCTCCTCTCCCACTACTCCACCCTCCTCTCCACCTTCAGCACCTCCCCCTCCAAATTCAAAATCCTCACCTCCCTCCCTCACATATCTCCCACCTCGACAACACCACCTCCCCCACCCCCAAAAACCCTCTACGTCCTCGACTCCTCCTTCAACCCCCCAACCCTCGCCCACCTGCACATCGCCCGCACCGCCCTCCTCCAAGATAACCTGCCCCCCTCACCCACAACCAGAAAACACATCCTCCTCCTCCTCGCCACCACCAACGCCGACAAAAAAGACCCCACGCCAGCCTCCTTCCCCCAACGCCTCTGCATGCTCCGTCTCCTCGCCGAAGAACTAATTTCCGAATTCCCGTCAAAACCATCAGAGCAAGCAGCAGGTTCCGCGCGCTTAACAGTCGACATCGGCGTAACGAAACAGCCATATTTCATCGACAAAAGCATCTCGATCCTCGAAGAAGGAGCATCCTATAACCAGGACACGGAACAGGTCCACCTCCTAGGCTACGATACGCTCGTGCGTTTACTAGATGTGAAGTACTATCCCCCCGCCCATACACTCGAGCCTTTGCATCCCTTCCTCGCGAAGCATAGGTTGCTGGTGACGTACCGCGCGGATGATAAATGGGGGGATAGGGAGGCGCAGGATGGGTTTTTGAAGGGGGTGGAGGAGGGGGCGTTGGATGGGG